GGGGGGGGGGTCTCTTCACGTATATCACCTAGAAATACTCAAACTATGGCAAAATAACTGTTCTTCTTTCCTTGAAACCAGGCATGCACTGCGAGCCAAATCAGTGTAACGGGATTTCCGCAGTGTTGACATAGTCAATATTATCCCGGTGTCCCTCTATACGAGTTGCGCATGTGTTGAACAAGCGATCCCACACACGGGTCTGCTTACCATAATTGTAGCTGCTCTTCCAGCCCTTGCGATGGTGGAGATCATGGTCCTCGAGCAAGAGCTCCATATCGAACAGCCTTAAAAACGAGGTCCAGGGATTCACCGCGGTGGCGATCATCCGCAGACCGCTGTGGCCCAAAATCTCCGTGAAAATCACATACTGCTGGCAAATCCACCACTCGTAGAAGCCCATGGGGAACCCCATCAGCTTCATTGTGCCGTATGTTATAAGAGGGGTACCGACGAGGTCGATGAACTCCTGCACCAGATCCGCATACGCTGTCAGAAGAGGATTGGGATGTTTTGTCAGATGGTGTCTGCGGTGGAACTGCCAGAGGTGTTCGGTCTCGTGTGCGGCGCGGTGGAACAGGTAATACCAAAAGTCGAGGACAACTGCGTAGACGCCGGTTTCAAAGATGAGCCACAACCACCGGATGGAGGAGGGTCCTTCATCCGCGCGATAGGAGAGGATAACGGTGGCCATTGGGCGCAGAAATACGACTGACAGAAGAGTCTGAACCGTCTTCCGTACCCCAACGTCGGGCACACCATCACGAGGATGCTTGTCGCCATCAAAATATCCAATCTTATGCCCGACGCCGCGCAGGACATGCACTTCGTGAATGGCAATAAATTCCAGCGCCAGGCTATAGAAAGCGAAGACTAGCAGCGTGGACGGTTGACCGACATAGTTGATGTAGAGTTGATGGATGATGAGGGGGATGCTGGCGTGGATGAGGACCCAGCGATGGAATTGTAGCTCTGGTGCGTAAGGCACCTTATCGGTCTTCTGGTGAACTGGAACTTCTTTGTCAAGATCCATATGGTGTATGTTCAGGATCTCAATGAGCCAATGGGCTGCGTTCCACTGCGTCCGATCCCACGAACGCCAAGTGGACTTCATCGAGTCCATCGGATTGCGTGTAATTGCAGCCATCTCTAGGCACGGATGTTAGAGAGAGCTACTGGTAAGGAAATGGAGTTCATTACTTCTGTCTTTGAGGCCCCTCCGGGCTCTTCTATTATACTACTCAACAGGTAAACATGTGAACTAGCCATGAGAATAGAATTGCAACCGAGGTGTGGATACTTTCCCCAACATTTCCCCCCACGAATGGTATCAGGTTTCTATTATTGATTAGTAGTCTTGCCTCTGGTCAGTCGCATCTTCTTCTTGTGTTAGCATGAGGGAGACATCTGCAAGACCCACATTGGCATGCGCTCCTTTTCTGAGGATGTCCATCCTAGCGATGATCATTTTCTCTCACAGACCCCGGAAAGTGGTGTAAGTCGAAGCCTTGGCTAAATGATGATATTAACAGTCTCCACCTTGCCCGGTCTTGATTGGCTAGCGTGCGAAGCATGCCGGATTCAGTATGTCTTGCGAATTGGTAGGCCCTAAAAATCGACACGGATGATTATCTCCTGAAAAGAGTACCCTCCTTCATGAAAATCGATGCTATTATATTTTGTTGCCTGTACAGTACTTTCACAATATAACCTTATTCAAGGAAAAAATGGTTAGGCAGCTTCAGGTACGTCATCTGTCTCCATTACCTTAACGAGAGTATGAATGGGAATAAAAACAGGGCTGACAAGGGTAAATCATCATTAGACTGGAGAAGATCGGGGTGAAACGAACTGGTAGTTTGCTTCGACGATGTCAAGGACCTACAAGTGGTAAAAGGCATTTAGGCACTCTGCTCTGCAAAGAAAAAATCGGGCAAATCATGAACGGCGACTATCACTCAATAATGGCCGTATCGTTCCCTTGTCTCAATTCTCCTCGACATGTAGAAGTACCATGCGCCTTGATTGCCCTCACTATCCTACGTTCTAAGGACCAGGATTTGAAGCCGTACCCTGTGTATGAAGAAGCAATCACCTAAGAACTTGCGTTTACCTCAGCGAACCCCGACTGTTATATGTTTTTTTATTTCTGTTTCTTTCTTTCTTTCTTGCTCTTCTCTTCAATTTCTTTTTCCTCTTCTTTTTTCTCTTCTTTTTTCTCTTCTTTTTCTCTTTTTCCTTTTCCCCAAAACTTACAACTTATTTTTGCTTATCTCTTGGACAGCCTTTTGGTGTTCCGGCAATTTCTTTTTGGGCCGAGCGCAACACCAAGACTTATACAGCTGATGATGATGATGATGATGATGATGATGATTCATACGCCGACCCCTCGCCTCAGGGCGATATGCAGGAAAGCTACAATCTGTACTCTATCTACACGGCTATTTACAATGAACTATTTCTTTCCTGATGAATTTAGAGCCTTGTCAAGGCCTGTATTAGCTGATACCTGGTATTCTGTTCTGCAGCCCTTGTGGCGCGCGGCTTCAAAATCTCTGCAATATTTCTGTATAGTCCAGTACCGCGCCGAAGACACTACTATCCTCCGGGGTATCTTATAGCCTACCTTTCTTATCTTGGTCAGCTCCTTCTATTATACCTAAAATATTGTTAAATGCTCTTCCAATTTTATGTTGTAGCTCTTGGCGCAGCCTGTTTAGCCGCGGGCAGTCAATTAATACATGGACTACTATCTCTACCACCCATATTCATATCTTTCCTCTTCCTAGAAGCGATTTGCTTGCTATATATTACCAGCCATAAGTGGCCAGTCCGGAGTTGAGTGAGCAAATAAGCTTAGTTATAAGGGAGTAAGCTATAAAGCTGGCGGGTGCAGCTTAAAGATAGGATCTTATTAATTTTGCGGAGATATCCTCCCTCTTTTAAGATTCTCTATTCTTGTTTCTATTCCTAAGTCACTTTTGTACAGGTTTCCAAAAGCCCTTGTTATGTATGTATTGGTACTGGCGTTCCATGACGCAGGATATTTTACATAACGTGTATCCCCACGTACAAACGTATCCGTCAGGCCATATAGATATATCCCCATGAACCTACCAAGGTTTCCTCCCGCAAGATCACATCGATCATTCCTCATAGGGCAAAAAAGATGGCCCCGAATCTAGCTCCATCGACCCTGGAATTTATCCGTGATATGATTTTGAGCAATGAACTTACTCACTCCCAGATTGCCATTGCGGCTGGCTGCCATCCAAGTACTATCACTAGACATGTTACTAACATGAACCTGTTTGACAATATGTGAAGGCACCCCCGAATAAGGGCGGACGCCCACGGAGACTCTCACCTATTATGTTTAAGCCCTCTGTGATCACCTACTTGAGAAGCCCCATTTGTACCTTGATGAGATGGCTATTTTTATGGGACGAGTTTCAGGTATATATAACCATATGCAACATTAGCCGAGCTCTAAAGCGTGAAGGTTAGTCTAAAAAAGCTGCCAAACATAAAGCGAGAGAGGTAAATGTAGATCTATATAACGCGTACTTCTATTTTATGTCAGACTTTTGCTCATACCACCTTGTGTACGTGGATGAATCTGGGTGTGACAAAAGGGTAGGATTCAGAAGGACCGGCTGGTCTCCTCTTGGTATTGCCCCGACTCAAGAGGCCAAATTCCATCAGGATCAGCGGTATCAAATCATCCCAGCTTACGCGCAAGATGGGATTGTCCTGTCCTGTGTTTTCCAAGGCTCCACTGACGGGTCAATCTTCGAAGATTTTATTGAGGAGCTGCGCCATTATTGTGGAAGATGGCCGGAGCCAAAATCTGTTCTTATTATGGATAATGCTTCTTTCCATTACTCCGAGAAATTAGAGCAAATGTGTGCGGAAGCAGGGGTAAAGTTGGTATATTTGCCCCGTATTCGCCTGATTAGAATCCGATTAAGGAGCTCTTCGCCGAACTGAAAGCCTTTACAAGGCGGCATTGGCGAGTCTACAAAGATAACCCGACCAGGGCTTTGATTCTTTCCTTAAATGGTGCATTAGAACTGTGGGTACGACGGAAAAGAGCACAAAGGGACATTTTCAGAATGCTGGTCTGACAGTCGAAGAAATGCCATAGGAGAGGCATCTCTGCAGACTAGTAAGTTAAGCAGTCGTGCCTGGGGAACTTACTTTAACAGATTCTATCACACTATAGTCAAGCTTATGGTCAGCCGCGAGGTCTACACCTGGTTGCAAAACCAGTGCACGCTTTTACTCGGATGGTTTCCAGGACGGTCAAAAATTACTGCTTCGTTATGAATGTTTTGACTGCATTGCAGCCTTTTAGTCTTACCACCTTACGGTATCCATGCGGAGTCTGGATATACTGAACGCTTATGCTTCGAGCGAACGTTTCGGGCTCCATTACGTATGGTATATAGATTGACGGTGACAGTAGAATTCTTTTACGAGGAATAGGCGCTGGATTTTTGATTCGTTTGACATATGAGCGTAACCAAAAATTCAGTATCTGGTATATGATTGATTGATTGATTAAATGCCCATCGGTTCGACTTGGTTCGAATCTTTTTCCCGGTCACTGTTGAACACTAGCGATCAAGCAACCCCATGGGCGGGTCTTAACCGGGGACGATTAGTTTCCTTAGCCGAGTGCTACTTTATCCTCATTAGGAACGCCTTGGATTCTATAGCAAAGGATAGAAGGCAAAGAATGCGTGGTTTGCAATTCTCACATGCTGGCTAGTTACTAAGCTCCAGACTCTTTTCGGCGGTAATCATTCATTTCATCAGAAATACTGAGGCTAAGCAGTGGAGCCTTCATAGTTCCAGTCGCGTCCTAGGCAAATATGGTTCCTCGAGGTATTTTAGATCATCGTCGGCCAGCTTGATCTTGGTCGCTTCGATAGCCTCATCGATCCTCTCTTTCTTGTTCAGGCCAACGACGGGACACATGTTCTTGCTCAGAGTCCAAGCGATCGCTACTTGAGCCATACTTTTTCCGAGCTTCTTTGAAATCTCCTCAACACGATTGACGATTTCTTCATCGACCTTATCATCTCTTGACCGAACTAGCATGTGGAGTCCAGCGTCCTTCTCTTCTCGAAGAGTGTTTCGAGTACCCCATGGGCGGGTCAAGGCGCCACGTGCAACAGGTGACCAGGGAATCAAGCCGATACCAGTGTAGTTGCAGTACGGAATCATTTCGTGTTCTTCTTCTCTATAGATCAAGTTGAAATAGTTTTGCATAGAGATGAATTTATGCCAGCCATGGCGATCAGCAATGTTTTGTAGCTGTTGGAATTCCCATGCTGCCATGCTGGACGCTCCGATGTATCGTGCTTTTCCAGATTCAACAACATCGTTTAAAGCTCGCATGATCTCCTCTCGTGGTATCGAGCGATCTATGCGATGGATCTGTAGCACATCGATATAGGTTCCAAGTCTTGCAATACTCTTATCGACGGCATCAAGAATATGCTTACGACTTAAGCCGACTTGATTGAGGAAGATCGTCATCGTTCTGAGCGGTCATGCCTGGCTGATTTGATGGACAGTTTGGCGTAACACCGAAGTAGGTTTTCGTGAGGATGACGAGGCTTTCTCGAGGAATGTTGTACTTCTTGATAGCTTCACCAATAACCTGTTCAGACTGTCCGTGGGAATAGAGATCTGCAGTGTCCCAGGTACGGATTCCCGCGTTGTATGCATATTCTAGTAGAGGAAGTGAATCTTCTTTGTCAAGAACCCAACCTTGCCATTCTGGTGTCCCGTAGCTCATTGCTCCACTGTCAACGTTAGCATAGAAGAGGGACAGATTTGGGTAGTATAGCGTACAGAATGACTCTGGAAACTTTGAGGCCAGACTTCCCCAGATACTGATATAGACTCATGTCAACAAGTGGTACGAATTCACAACTGCACGTTGACCAAGGGATGAATTGGTGTTATTTTCCTGAAGTGCTCAACATGGATGACGTGAGAGACAACGCTAGTGATGCTGGCCAGCGCCATACGTAAATATTGCAAATTGGTGACAGAAGCACTTTTCACAATCAAAACTCTCTGGCACCAATTTGCAATATTTATGCATGGCACTGGTTCATTGATACAGGTCAAGTTTAAGCCCGAGAGTTGGCAATCAATGGAGGGGTTAAGCTAAGTCCGTGCCACCACCACGAGACCTAACCCTTAACTCCACTAAGCCCGAGTACAAACTCTATTACAGTTACAAGACATAGCATTTAGTTGATCTTAGCACATATGTAAACAAAACAATCAAAGAGTGAAGGTGTCTTCAAGGGCGTGTTGGTTGGTAACCAGTGGGAGAAATGGGGCGTTGATAAGGGATCCATCGATAAGACCAAGCCACGTGAACGTCACGTGGCTCAGTCACGTCCACAGGTCAACATCGTACCGATATTCTGGAACCACAACAACTCCATTTATGATGCTCCACAAGGTCTCCATTATAATACCAAAATCCACTCGGTGCTGCTATACCACCTCACCCTCTAAGTCTACCAAGCGCAGAGGCATAGGTTGGATCTGGTCAGATATTGAAGTTGCTTCAGTTCCCAAAGAGGAAGATATCAATGGTCGAGGTGACTGCGTTAGAAGGATATTTATATTTATTGGTGGGAGCGTCGATCCGGCAGTGAGGCTGTTGGTGGATCTGTTTTCTTTGGAGAGATGTTGACACTCTTTACATACAGCTGTTTGCACACGTTGTCGGGAATATTATCATGAGTGTCTAAGATGCCGCGTTGCTCCACATATTTAATAATGGTTTTTAAATGATGTATCCTGAGTTTGTAGTGCTTTTTCCCTATTGGATCCTGCCAACAATACTAAACTTCATGCTGGCAGGGCGGTCCTGGACATCGCATTTTCTGATACACATCTCGCCAAACTGAAGGCTGGCCAGAGTAGTTTTTAGCGTTAATCTAATCATCACGCTCATGAAGTTATTCTGTTGGTTACTGAGGAATTTCCTCTTTTGTCAGTTTTCCTGGGAGAAGAGTCGGCGTCCTCCATATAATTAATTGATATAGAGACTGTAAGCTTCTTTTTAAACAGACAGAGGAGATCTTGCCACATGCGGATTTATCTATTTATAGCTGTCCAGTCAATATCAGTCTTTTCAAAGCGCTTTGTGATTGCCCTGTGAGTGATTATTTACAGAAATTATAACTAAGATATTATCCGGCTTCACATGCTGGTTACGGTTTATCTTCTGGTGTAGCACGCGTTTCGCCTTCTTAATCTGCTACCAGTATGAACTGGGTGCCGAGTCTAGGTCTTGTTCCGTATCCTTAGCCAAGATCCGGTTGTTGAGAGCCACCCTCCAGTCAATTATATACAGTATATGAGACAGATGTTCACCATGGGGAGAAAAGCTATATTCAAAGGCCGTACGCTCGCGGCCGAAGTCACCGGGGGTAGGGCAATTCAATGGAGACCGTTCCCAAGTCCCAGCTTAGGAAGGAATATAATTGTTGAGGGGCGTGAATGGCACCTCGTCAAGGCATAGGATGCCACCATGGAGCCTAACTTCGTTCGTTAGCTTCCCAATGGGAACTTATCTAAACTTAGAGCGACTATTGCTGACAAACTAAGAATAATAATAAGCAGAGTCATTTGTGTTGCATCACTTAGCTCCTACAAAGCCCGCAGTAAGCACCTCACTTCCAGGACGGCAGGATACGAACGGAAAGTGACTATTGACAGTTTGTCAGATCCGCCAGGCACCCCAGCTGACGGTTTGGCTAGTTGGTATGGAACCCTCCAACCACCCATGAATCGCCTGTACGGGATTCATACGTATGTCCGAATGACATTATTACATACTACAGTTTTATACATTATCGTTAAAATACACGGAAGATAGGTATTCCATGGACTTGCTATTTACGATTTAGCTCCGTTTCGGATGAGGTTTCAGGAAAGAACTCAAAAGTATAAACATTTGCACCGGTATTGCATCCAGCTGTAACGGTTTTTTGCGGACAGTGGCCACGGCTCGCCGGAGATTGTACTTCTCCAAATTTGCTTAGCAATCCACAAGTCCATTGACCGATAATGCAACCCAAGCTTTACAACACATTCCGTTAACGGACTGCCTTCATTGCTCCATATGATCTTGAGATTTGAATTTTCAAAATACTGTATGTCCCATTTGCTACAGGTGATAGGGCAGATGGGACCTAGAGCCAGCATGGCCATTGACTACCTTCACATAGTCCGTCACTCAACAATATAGTATTTGGTCAAGGAAATAAATAGCCCAGAGGATTGAGCCTGTTGGAGTATATGTCAAGGGGTCCAGGGCTTCTGGTATCGCGTGGCCCTCTTTCAGATATCTAGCGCCAAAGAGGGATAACCTCACATAGTCATGCCTATATAATTCTCAATCTGTTTAAGAACTAATATATACGACTATAGGGTGTGCAAAATAGGGCTTCTCATCTGCTCAGCCGTACGTAAGCCGCAGGGAATACGCGTGGTCAATAGGCAAAGCGCCCTCCAGCAAATTAAAAAGTTAAAATACGTACAATAAGTCTTTTAACATAAAGACAGGAAGGCATAGCCCAAAGGCTCTGGCGAGGAAAAGGACTAGAATGAACATACAAACAGTTGAGGGGACTGATAAAGCTTTTAGGGACTACAAGAGGCAGCAGCCTAGGCCACTGCCTAGGCATGTGTCTCTGTCATAGCTAACGGTTCTATATGGACTAAACTAGATTAATGGTAATAATGATAGTGTGTCGAATGTCTCAAAGTGTTATATCCTCACCACAGCATAACACGAAACAACTGACATACCCCACCTGCAAATAGTTAGGAGTCACATCCAGGCAGCTAGGACACTTTGTTACATTCGTAGCTATTGTCTTCTGTAGACAGACTTAATGCCTCTATGATAGTATTAGGCTACCCCCCACTATACCCGGTTATACAACTCTGTAGATATCACTTTAGGGTCTAAACGCAGACACGCGTAACTACTCGGCAACTGGATTTGTTATTGTAAAATATGCCTTGTTTATAAGGCCAGCAGATATTTCTGACAAGCATCACGTCTTACCCACTCATTATTAACGGCCTCCACGGAACAGATGAGGACTCTGCCTCCATACGGGCCGCCAGAAACTCGAACCCAGCCGTTCTAGAGGCTCTATTAAACCATTATTTCACTCACCTCCAGTTCGTACCCGCCGGTCGCGAGCTGAGCTGGATGAGCGCAGCAAAGGCTTTCCACGTTTTTGGGCGGAGCCGAATGTTCTAGGTCAGCGACTTCGATTATCAAAAGCCCTCACAGCATTAGAAGTGGCTGCCGCGCTCGGGCATGAGGATTTGTTTAGTATGGACCGCGACGCGGGCGCAGATGAAACCGCCTGGACGAGTGCTTCGGAGGCCCGTCGAGTCGACTTTGATGATACCAAGCCGTCATTCATGAGCACTCCCTCTCCTGTTCATGAAGCTAACGCTACTAGCCAGCCTGCTATGCTTCACAGATTGCTCTATACGTATGGCAATTTTCCAAACTACCGCCCCCTCGCGGCTCCTATAGTCGACTTACCACTACTATAGTTTGCACTGGCTCGATGCGACCCATCTAGCCCTGATGTCTGGGCCTGTATCACGAGCCTTCACCAGCATGAAGACCTAGATAAGCACCTACGCTCTCCTGTCTTCGACATCCACCCGCTTCACTTCGCAGTTGGCCGCCACGACGTAGACCTCCTATCCCGCCTCTCTGTGGCACTCTCCAGTGCAGGGACCACGGCGTTGCGTCAGAACTTACTCCATATCGCCTCGCTCCCAATGATGTCCGAGTGCATCGACAAGGAAAATCATGATTCCGTTCGGAGTATCCACTGCGCTCCTTCGCTGATCTACACTTGGCTATCGCATCAATTCCCTAGTCCCCTGCACCTTGATCCGAACAAAAAGACTGGTAGCTGGGCCAACAGAGACAAACCCTTCCCAAAAACGACTCCACTCACTACTCTAGAGCGGGGAACCTAGCTCGGTTCTTTGCGTCTGCTTGTAGAGGCGGGTAAACAGAAAGAATAAACCAGATAAGTAAACAGTATTTATGGTACTATATTAACTATTAGCAGGGTTACTTAACAAATCTAAGACTAACAATATAATTTATAAATAATAACATAGTATACTTAATAACAGGAGTAATATCTTTTTATATAAACTATAATTATTACCTGTCAAGCACATCTACTAGTCAACGTAGAGGACCTGCCGACTAGGTAAGGATACGTAGGCAAAGAAGATAAAAATATCAAAGGCAGGCAGTCCTAGATACTTTTCAGACAGGCGACTGATTCTTGACCTTCTATAGTTCTTGGCAATAAGTCTAAGTAATCGGCATATTTTCGGAAGCCTGCCCTATTTTACCTCCTATATTAAAATATATATATTTTCGGCGTTTGTAATCGAAACAGCCTAATAACAAAATATATGATATTTTAATAACTGAAAAACATTAATATAAAAAATATCAGCAAAACTATACTCTAGTACTTGGTATACCAGTCCCTAGCCTGAATAACTGCCTCAACTCGCCTGTCCATACTATCTGTTATATTTTTTAAGATATCCTGGTGAATTGAGGTCCAGGACTGCTCTAACACTTCCTATAGATAATCTTTCTTCTTCTTATTAGATCCCCGGCAATTTTCAATATCAGGATTGATGCTATACATGCCTTCTTTGAGAGGAAACCACATGTGTTTAATGGGATTAAAATCAGGTAAATAGGGTAGCTATTCCATATAGTTTATACTATTACCTTATACCCAATTCTTGATCTTTTTAGCTATATGGATATACGTGTTGTCTTGTATAAAGGTAAGCTCCGGATCATAGATAGTAGGTAATATCTCTTTTAAGATATTAAGATAGGAGCGTGCAGAGTAGCTATACTTTTTTAACTTAAAAATATATTCCAAATATATTAAATCGCTGTCTTTTTTGCTCTAGATAGCTGCCCAGACCATTACTCTGATCTCTTTTTCCTTTTTAACAGGTTAAATGAAGTCTTCCTTCCATTTCTCGCTATTAAAACTGAGCCGGAAAACCTATTGCTGATAATGGCCTGAGCCGAGCTTAACTGAGCATTTATCTGACTATATAATCTTAGCCCAATCGGCCTCGGTATAGTTTATACAGGATAGAGCCTAGTTAAGACGCTTTTTGGCTATCTTATTAGTCAGTTCAGGTCAATTCTGAGCTTTTCATTTACCATATCCTGACCCATAAATGATATTGTAGAGTGTACGGTAAGATAAAGAGATAGAAAGCTTGTTCTATAACTGAATATAGGATTGAAAAGGATCTTGCTTGATAAGATAAATAATCAAGCATTTATCTTGCTCAGTATAATGTCTCAAACAGCCTGAGAGTGGTTAGAATTGATAATTATCTTGCAAGGTAGCCCGGTCGGTAGATGAGTAGATGGTTAAAACAGGCCTATCTAGAGCCTCTGCAATTTTAGAGCCACTAGCACCACCAAAACGAGCTCTCTGTATAAAAGCTTGCTCTGCTGGTTTCAGCTCAGTATTACGCCTAATATTAGGATTCAAGGTCCCTAGAGCTCGACGTTCAGGCATAGTTCTAGGTGGTTGAAAACATGAGGTTGTTTGACGCGTTGTTTACGCGCGGCGAGACTTTCTGCCGGGTACTGTACTACTAGTAACGATTCACTTCACTAATTTATAACTGAAGGCTCTACGCCTAAAGGACTAAGAATCCCCATTGAGCTCCTGATCATTGGGTGGTGCGATATTCCTTATTGGTGGTCATTCGGGGGCCAATTTATCTACGCACATTGGTCACGGTATATTGTACAATCCTCAGGCCGAATCACTATTCGATATTTGACCCCAAATCTACTAGAGTTAATATTATAAATATATCTAGGATTTCGTGTCTTTGTCAGATAAGGCCTTCCGATACTTCACCCTATTATACAGTACCGGGGGGTTACTATATTATATTCTAGCTCTTAAAAGTGCTCTATCATATATCTTATATACCTGAGCCTACTAGGACTTTACTAAGGATTCTACATATTTTATAAGTAGACAAAGTCAATTAAAATTAATCGAACAATGTGCGGCCTGCTCATGCGGGGCTTACGCCATGTCGAAAATCGTTAAAATTGACTCTTGAGAGTGTACTCGGTGGTTGAACAAAAACGTTTCCGAACACGAACGCCATGCAATTTGACACATGCTATGCAGTTTAAGCTCTGTCCCTAACCGAAGTGTCTCGTCCGTCCTTCCTGTCTGTGTGACAGGTTGTTTAATCAAATTTTTAATGCTAAGTTCGAGCGCTGGTTCTGTGACTGATGACGTGTAGCTGGGTTCTGTTTGAGGACATAACAGGCTTTTTTCCCTCCCTTACTTATGGATTAACTATGAGTAATGGGCTCTCCATGAAATGACTACACAAGGGGAATCTTGTGTGCTCCACTGCTCCATGACTAGCGTATAATCTATGCAACTGGTTCTCAAGTTAGTAACGGTCATCCAGGGATAGAGAGTAGAGACTATCGTTTGTTTATTCTTCAAATCAGCCCAATGTTACATGTCTGTGCTGCATCATAGCTACCTGGTAGATGAAGATATGACGTGGAGTGAATAGCCACCTGATCTAGTAAAATATATATATGGTTTGTCGGCTCTAACATCACCTTGGGAAATAAAATGCAGGGCTGTGCTGGGACCCTTCTTCAATGTTATAAGAGGAAGATGTTTGGTCTAGAAACTATAGCTACGACAATGCCCCCTGTCCAGTCCCAGCTCGTCGGAACCTGGAAACTCATTGAGTTTAAAGCTACCCGGGAGAATGATCCGAGCAAGACACCTATTTACCCCATGGGTCACGGTGTACAGGGAATGTTGCAGTACTCCCACGATGGCTATGTCTCAGTGCACCTAATGCGCTCTTCAGCCGATGCTGCATATATTACTCAGGACAGTCCGTATCAGAAATATGTGGCCTATGCCGGACGCTATGAAGTGGACTGGAATGATAAAATTATTCTCCTGCGACACTATCTGACTTTCTGCTCCTACCCTGACTGGGCTGGCAGCCTACAGATCCGCCAAGCCGAATTTCATGGAAATTATCTTACGCTACAGACAGTGAACCCACTGCAAGGGGAGGTACATTTGTCTCAATACTTTAAAGTGTGACGTGTGTTAATTAGGAATCTAGGTCCAAGAACAGGAAATCAAAGGAATATTGAGATGGTGTAGGGCCAGAATAGAACAAGACGCTGGCGAAGAAGAAAGCTGAACTTTAGTTCTATCCGGAAGGGTACATAGCACGTCTAAAGGTATCGGGGAAAACCCTCGTAGCTCAGAGTAGCTCCAGGACGCGATGAAATGCCGCTCTCCCGAGTCAGATATCAACCCCGAATAGTACGTAAGCTTGCATGCCTACTGAATAAAGCATTGACTTTTGAAAGGTGTATATACTGTTAGATCTGCCTGTATATAACAAAAACCGAAGTGTATCCAACAGACCACAGTCCCTCGCCAAGTTTAGCTATACTTGTTCTCAACATCACTGACCACATTACGAGTGGACTAGTCGGTAGGTATCCATAACGCAAAAATATCCTTGTTTAACTTCCACTGTGCGCATCTCTCGGTACTAGCGAGGTACGGGTGGTAAATCGAACTAGTTAGCAGAATTATGCTAGAAGCGTTATCGAAGATATACAGATCAACAGGCCTGGCGATAGCAGTGAGCATGCCTATATGAAAGGGTAGCAGCTCTAGTTATAGTATCTCTCCCAGCATATTCAATACCGCTTTGGACGCGGCGTAGACACCCAGCCAGGGTGTGTTTATGTAGTTCTCTAACGTGGGTCACCGCCCAACGCCCGCTACCAACCAACGCCCCGCTCCGAAGCCAGAGAACGAGGCAACAATTTATATATAAATTTTAAGCGTCGCGGAAGCGCTCGAAGAGGCATATTTGCCTGCCGCGACGACTTTGCGGTATAGAGGCCTTAGAGAACTCTTCAGGTGCTATAGAAGTAATATCTATAGTATTTTGACTAGTATTTGTTGTAGATTACTTCTTTTAATCTTACTTTAATATTTTGAAGCTATTTTAAAGCTGCTGTGCTGTCTCTTTATTAACTTGCTCTGTCTTTTTTTAATGTTTCTTTTTCTCTATCTAATACTTATGAAGAACTTTATTAGTAGCTTGCTTTTCTTTTCTCTCTAGAACTAATTACTGTTTCTCTTTCTTAGCCTGCTGTTAATAAAGCTACTCTTACTCTTTTAAAGCTTTTATAAGCTCTACTTCTTGCTCTTTTGCTGTATAAAGCTTGCACGCTTGCTATATTTTCTTAGATAAGTAAAAAATCGCACCACTGCTGTCTGACTCTTATAGTTAAAATACCAGAGGTTTAGTATATTGCTGCTTTATTTTCTTATTAGATAAAGCTATTTTAAGATCAGTATCCTCTAATTTTAACAGGGCATTCTCTATAGCAAGCTGGTATATTATAGAAGAAAGCTTTTTTATATTTTTATTATAGTAATTAACAACTGTAGCTCTGATTATTTATTAGATAAAATGCCAGTCATTACCGAATCTACTTATTTTCTTGTTTAATTAATTACTCCAGTATATCGCGAGATAATATTATTCTAATAGTATTTTAAGAAGTGCGCTAGCTACTGTTTTTCTGGCTTTTTTCTATAGATTTCTTTACCAAAGTTTCGAAGTATTTTATATATAGGATACAGGCCTCTCTGCGACTATTTATTTATATACTTTATAAGTATTTTAGACAGCATGTTATTAAGTAATTACTGGCTTTCATCTCTAATATCTCTTAGCACCTGTTTTCCTTAATAGCGTCTCGCAAGCATAGATTGATCAACGCTAAACTGTTTTATAATTTTAGTATATATAAATGGTTCTCCTGGCTTTAATGAAGCGATTGCTTCCAATGCTTCATCAATCGGAGCCATATTGACTGAGATATGTGGTGTTAAAGTTGTTGAGTTGAACAGTTGGTGAGCAAAATGCGGGGCGTTGGGCGGTGACCGACTTTATGGCTAACAATTGTCCCCTTGGAGCGGATCAAGAGAGACGAAAATACTTAGATCGAGGCCAAGGTACCCCATAAATTAGTGTCGAAGAGGCGTTTGGCTTCATCGAGAGGAATGACTAGCAGTGGTGAGCAAAGGAAAATACGTGTATTATTCACAGGATAGTTAAGTTGTCCTTGAATAACTTTCTCCGCCGATATAACAGCCGCCTAAATGCTAGACAAACTGCTTACGTCCAACTGCATTAGTGTAATATGAGGTATGGTAGGCAGCTCTTCCATCTTAGAGATAGTGCGGCTTAAGGAGAAAACTGCCAGTCCCTCTTGATAAAACCTTGCCGCGAGGGCATGGCCAATACCCCCGCTACTACAGGCTGTGATCAAAACTGAGGACGACGATCGGGTGTTATGACGTGGATGGCGAAGTGCGTACGTCTGGTGAAAGATATGGCTGTATGAAAGGCAGATGCCCTTTATTTGTACATGCCGAAAAAGCCTAAACCGTCACGGGACATCGTGAAATTGCGCAAGGGTGATCGGTATACTACAGGGATGGGTAATGCATTCGTGCGTAGGTGGCTGATTCAAAGTCAACGGTGTTCTACAAGTTGCCCAAAAATGAAAATCGGACACCAGAGCTTGTATCCAAGGATATCTGAACCAGGTTATTCTCTGATCTAGTGGGTTGGTTGTATGGAGCCCTATGCTTCACGTCATACGTATCTATAGTCTTAGATTGAGTAAAAGGCTATTGCCTACTTGATCCGTGACTAAGGTAAATCGGACTTTACGCGTATCATTGCTCTTACGTCGTAGGTATTATCGAGATGATAAGAGTAAAATACTTAGATGGGCGAATAGAGGCCGTGGGTGGATGGCGGCTCCAGATAGTGACCACGACCCTCCACCACAACCTCACCGGCTTGTGATGTATTGCCCTCCAGGATTTCCAGCCGGCCCTCCACCCAGGCTGCATTTCCATCGACTTTGACGGTCCTTGCTTTGAGAACGTAGAACGAGTCGGTTGGGGCGGGCTTCCGGTAATCTATGCTCAAGCACAGGGTTACTGCTACACGTTTCGGCAAAGCAGCACTGGCACAACCCGCCAGCCCTTCGTCCATCATGGTTGCTAACAAGCCTCCGTGGGCCATGCCAGGGTATCCGGCCACAGATGCTCCAAGATATAAAATCAGATAGAAGGAAGCCCCCCCTGTCTCATAGAACGCCAACGGGGGGACGGTAACTTTGCCTGGAGCCACGAGGCTGCCCGCAGTGAACATTTCTGATCGCATCGATCTTGGAACCTTTTGGTAGTAGCGAGACTCGGATAACCGAGCATCGGATCGTAGGCGTCGCGTCAATGTATGCTGTTGTAGTTGATGCTCGACGTGGTCGATTGAGGAAATCGTTGCGGCCATCGTCCCAATCACAACAAATGACACGTATAAAATGATGGTTGGATAATAAAGTCTTGATGAGCGGTTTCAGCAGCCGAGGTAAATGGATGCAGAGGAGATGCAACCTGATATATACCGGTGACCCAATGTGAGAATGTGCGTCGTGCGCCAGTGTTGCTAACTCCCCGCGCCCTTGATATTTCGAGCTTCAGCCTGACCAAAGTTCCGAATTCCACGTCAAATTCCACGTCACACCTGCAACTTTAATATATTGTGGGATAAGGAGCAGGATGGAGGTTATACGGCGCTCTACTAGAGCATGAGAAACTAGCAATGGTTCCACCGTGATAGGCCTTCAAAATGGGGGCAAATGAATGGATATGTCCCGCATAACCTAGTATGTAGACAGGAAAAATTGAAACTTAGTGAAGGCTGCTTAAAGAGTCAACTTTCTGCAGACATCGGCTTGAAAGAAATTTCTCAGGATATCGACTTGAAGGACATTCAAGTATCACAACAACTACGTTGAACTGCTTTTCTCTTCAAACGAAGAAATAGCATCATGAATTCCGAGCAGATTCGCCAGCAGTCAGTAGCTATAGTTGGTATAGCTTGCCGGCTGCCGGGGCAGGCCGCAAATGTGGACAAACTATGGGAACTCTTGTATGAAGGACGTGCTACTTGGTCTCCTGTTCCCGAAACTCGCTTTCATGAACAAGCCTTTTTTGACCCGGATAGCAAGAGGAATGGAGCAGTTAGTTTCAGCCTAACTATCTAGAAAACAGCTGACATATGGGGTAGTTCCATACTCGAGGAGGACATTTCCTCCAAGATGACATCTCTCGCTTTGATGCCCCATTCTTTAACATCAACCCCGCAGAAGCAAAGGTGGGCAATAAATGTTGTTAACCACATTTAAAAATGGGAAGGGTGACCTAAGACAGGCCATGGACCCTCAAATGCGTCTGCTGTTAGAGTCCGCGTATGAAGCATTTGAAAACAGTGAGCCTCGTTAACTCTCTTCCACCCAGAACCTCAGGCAAATATAGACTAACAGCTCAATTGGAAGGTGGCATGACATTAGATCTGCTGCGAGGGACTGATACGGCTGCCTACGTGGCGCTATACAATCGTGACTATGAAAAGATGCTCCTACGAGACTCCGAAGACCTCCCTTTCTACTATCAGACCGGCAATGGCGAGGCGATGTATGCCAATCGACTATCCTATTTCTTCGATCTTCATGGACCCTCATCCACTCTGGATACTGGCTGTAGTGGTGGCATGGTTGCATTGCATCAGGCTTGCGAAAGTATCCGGCATGGTGAAAGTACCCAAGCCATTGTAGGAGCGTCTAACCTGATCCTGGACCCAGCCAGTATGATAGGTCCTAGCTTCCTCCAGTTCTATTCTTCTGATGGTCGCAGTAAGGCATTCGATCAATGTGCGGATGGATATGGGCGAGGCGAGGGAGTCTGCACTTTGGTGCTGAAGCGCTTGTCAGCGGCAATCGCAGATGGCGACCCTATTCGGGCTGTTATAAAAAGTTCAGTCATGAATCAAGACGGGCGCACCACTGGAATCACCGTGCCTAGTGGGGAGGCGCAAGAGTCACTAATCCACGCTGCATATGTGGCGGCTGGACTGGATCCGGCTGACACTAGCTATGTTGAGGCTCACGGCGCGGGTACTGCAGTTGGAGATCTCACTGAAAGTCAGTCCGTTGGGTCAGTCATTGGAAATGCTAGAAAAACAAAAGGGCGGGAACCAGTTGTAATTGGCTCCATTAAAGCCAACATCGGCCATCTAGAAAACGTTAGTGGCCTGGCGGCAGTGATCAAGGCAGTGCTTGTGATAGAGAAAGGATGTATCCCCAAAGCCGTGAAGTTTCAACAGCCCAGCCAGGAAATTCAATGGAAAAGTTGGAACTTGGATCTCCCTACTCAATTGCGAAGCTTAGACTCCTCTCAGGTGTCTTTGAATAGCTTCGGGTATGGTGGCACAAATGTCCATGTCATCCTCGACAAATTCCACGAGAATGAAGAAATAAATGACTCCATAACTGACAGGTCTCGATCTCTTGTCTTTGCTCTGTCAGCTCGATCCAGTAGCTCTGCCTACCTCGCAGCCGAGATTTTACAGAAGTACTTGGATAAAATACATTTAGACAGGGAGAACAACAGCATTTTTCATTCCTTGGCTCATACCCTATCCACTCGCCGTTCCATTTTTCCCTGGAGAGCGGCGGTCGTGGCCAGCTCGGTGTCTCAGTTGCATGAACGACTTGGCTCCATCACATATTTACATAATAAGAAGATGCCTAAGATCGGGTTCGTTTTCACAGGTCAGGGAGCGCAGTGGGCTACGATGGGAAGTGAGCTTTGGGAGATCAATGCTGTGTTTCGAAATTCTATTGCAGCGGCAGAGAAGTGTCTAACCGACCTAGGAGTTAACTGGAAGCTCACCGATGAGCTATGGAAGTCACCGGATCAGTCCAGACTCAATAGCGCGATACTTGCACAACCGGCATGCACAGCCATCCAACTGGCATTAGTTGATCTGCTGGCCGCGTGGAACATCTACCCTAGTGCCGTTACCGGCCACTCCAGTGGTGAGATTGCGGCTGCCTATGCCTGTAAGGCCATTTCCTTCCGCGATGCGATACTGGTTGCATATGCGCGAGGCTGTGTGGCCGGTCAGATCGCCGAGGATAAGAGGTTCAATGGTGCGATGATAGCTGTGGGCCTAGGACCGCAGGCTGTGGAATCCTACCTTCACGCCTCCTCGGAATCTGACGGTTTAGTCACGATAGCTTGCATCAATAGCCCTGAGGCTGTCACAGTTTCCGGTGATAAGGTCGCCGTGGACATATTAGAAGCAAAGCTGCACCATGATGGGGTCTTTGCTCGTCGACTACCTGTAGATGTAGCCTACCATTCATACCATATGCTGCGGGTAGCGGATATGTATCGCGACGCCCTCGCTACAATGAAAGCGCCGCACTCCAACCCTGATGTACCGTTCTACTCGAGCGTGACAGGTACGGCTCTTGACGGAACGAAATTGGGACCACAGTATTGGGTACAGAACCTTGTCTCACCGGTTCTATTCTCGCCCGCGATGGATAAGTTGCTATCTTCGGAAGCTCCTCAGATGATAGTAGAAATTGGCCCACACGCAGCCTTGAAGGGCCCTATCAAGCAGATTTTTAAAGTGAAGGCAATCAAAATTCTCTACTTATCAACCATGGTCCGTCATCAGCGCACCAGCCAATGTCTGACCGAGCTCGCCTCCCATCTTTTCACTCACGGCGCTCAAGTCAATTTGGACAAGGTGAACCTCATGTCGGGCTCGACTCGACACAGGGTCTGTCTTACTGACCTCCCTCCATATCCATGGGACCATTCATCATCCTTCTGGCACGAAAGCCGACTGAACAAGAACTATAGGCATCGAGCAGATCCGGCGCATGAGCTACTTGGAATCCTCAGTCTGGAATCGAGCTGGATGGAACCTCGATGGCGGAACTATATCAGCCTCTCCTCACATTCGTGGTTGGCCGGGCATCGAATTCATGACGAGGTAATCTTCCCTGCTGCAGGGTTTATGGTCATGGCCATGGAAGCGGCGTACAAGATGGCAACTCAGCAGCTCCCTCAACATAAGCGCATGGGTAATATCGAATTGAGCGATGTCTCCATCTGTGAATCTCTGATTATACCCAACTCCGGATCCATTGAACTCATATTCGTCCTGCGACCAGCCAGTGACTTGCGCGGACGAGATCTCGCGCGCCGGCATGAGTTCGTAATCAGTTCCTGCTCTGATAAACGGAATGTAGTAGAGCACTGTCGCGGATTTGTGAAGATTGACCTTGATGACACGGAGCCACTGTTAGGTCTACTCGAACACCAGATTGATATAGAGACACTGCCTCAAGTTCGGATAGAAAGGTGGTATGATGATTTGAAGCGAATTGGCATTGGGTATACCGATCAGTTCCGGGGATTAGTCACCGCATCAGCAGGACGTGGCTATTCAAGCTCCACGCTCAGGCCCCATGCCACATTAGGCAAATATAGCGTCGGACTTCATCCTGCAACATTAGATCTCTGCCTGCAAACCATGCTCGCAGCAATCGGATCGACAGACGCCATCCGGGGCCCCATCTTACCGACGTACATACAAGGTGCTTCCGTGAGGGTAGATTGTCTGAAAAATGCTTATAGCAGAATGCGGGTCTCTTCGAAAGTGAAGAAACTCGATGGGAATAAATTCTATGCCGACATCGAGGGCTGTTCCTTTGATGCAGATCAGACCGGTCTCGTCATGTCGCTGCGAGGCCTGCAAGCCGTATCCCTAAAAAGCGTGTCCAAAAAAATGGATGAGACTGACCAGGTTAAAGCGTGTCAAAAGATGTTTATGATGCTCGACCCAGATCACCTGAACGACAGGATGGTGGATGAAATTTGTAACGCATCTCTCTCACCGGTCTCTGTCGCGTCCATGTTAGCACAGTTCCGAGACGTGTGCCGCTATTACGCTCAAGCAGCCGTTAAGGAGATATCGCATGAAGATGTGCAACGGATGACACCCTATCAGATACAGTACTTGACATGGCTACAGAGAGAAGCTAAACTGGGCGCATATGATGTGTCGGCAAGCTTAGTAGACCAGGTTAACTCATTAAATGCAGAAGGGGAGATGATCTGTCGCGTGGGTAGTGGTCTGCCGTCTATCCTCAAGGGGCTTCAGGAACCGCTGTCCTTGATGATGGAGGACAACCTTCTCTATCGGCTCTACGAGGATGACCAGAGTATGCAACGCTCTGCTACACAAGCCGGAGAATTTGCACGCATGTTAGGGTTGAAATCCCCGGGTCTGCGCATCCTGGAGATTGGCGGTGGCACGGGATGCGCCACATTGCCAATCCTAGAGGCTCTGAGTCGGTCAGAACGAGATTTATTTTCTCATTATAGATTTACCGATGTGTCCTCTGGATTTTTTGCCAATGCACATAAGAAACTGGAACAGTGGAAAGAACTCATTCAATATCAGAAGTTGGATATTGAGCAGGATCCCGCACAACAAGGGTTTGAGCCGTCGGACTACGACCTTGTGGTCGCGGCCAACGTTCTACATGCTACCACCAATATTGAGAAGACCGTCCAGCACGTGCGTCAGTTGTTGAAAGAAGGAGGCAAGCTGTTGCTGCTCGAGAGCACAAGGCCAACAGTGCACCGTTCGTTTATCTTTGGTTCGCTGCCAGGCTGGTGGTTGGGGGCCACCCAGCGTAACAAAGGCGGCCCTTTGCTAAGCGAGCAGGAGTGGAACGAGACTCTTCTGGGCCAAAGGTTTAGTGGGGTAGACGCAATTCTGCATTCATATCCGGCTCCGGAGGATCAAAGTGATAGCTTAATCATATCAACTGCCTGCCCTGACGGTCCCCCGTACATCGACGGAGCTCAACTGGCACTGACTTTGACTCAAGAACAGCTGTCCAAAACAGAGAAGAGCCTAGGCTACCGAGTCGCTCAGCGACTCTCTACCCTCATGATTTCCAGAGCTGTAGAAATTCATCCACTGGGAGACAACCGATTACAGGATCGAACGTGCATCATGTTGACCGATCTCGATGGGTCTATGATCGGTGATCTTGACCCAGCAAAATTGCAGGATCTCAAGCACACATTGAAGTTAGCGCGTGAGGTGATTTGGGTGACTTGCGGTGCTATGGATCAGTGCATAAATCCCATGCCAAGTTTGGTTTGGGGCCTAGCACGAGTGCTGCGACATGAAAACCCCCACGTTCCGATCATTACCCTCGACCTTGACCCAGAGGACCTGCCACAGTCCCAAGAGATGACGGCAACGCTTCGAAATTTCATTTACCGATATCTCCAGAGCCCAGATATGGGAAACAGGGAGTGGATTGAACGCAGAGGGCAGTGGTATGTTCCTCGATTGATTGAGGACGCAGCCACCACGCAATTTGTTCGGTTCCACTCGTTGGCTCCACAGCTTAGTGCCTCTCAGTTAGAGTCTTTCCATCAGCAAGGACGAGCACTATCTCTGACGACTAAACATACGGGAAGTCTCCAGGATTTGACCTTCACAGATGATGATGTTCTCGAGGCACCTCTCTCTGAGGCAGAAGTACTAGTGGAGGTCAAAGCATCTGGTGTCAACTTCCGTGATATTATGGTGTGCTTAGGCCAAATGCCAGACGAAAATGTTGGAGAGATCGCTGGTGTAGTCACGAAGGTTGGCAGGGATTCACGGCACGAGTTCTCCGAGGGAGATAGGGTTTACACATGGCACGTGCCTCGATTTGCCAGCCACGTTCGATGTCCAGCGTCGAGTGTACGTCGAATTCCAATCAGTGTCTCCTTTGAACAGGCCGCATCAATTCCCATTACCTATTGTACAGCGTATCACTGTCTTGTAAATGTGGCGCAACTACGTCCTGGAGAGAAGATCTTGATACATTCCGGCGCCGGAGGTGTTGGTCAGGCCGCAATTGCTCTCGCTCAACATCTGGGAGCAACCGTGTTTACGACTGTTGGTTCGGATGAAAAGAAGCAGGTCCTCATAGAGCAGTATGGGCTTTCTGAGTCTCGCATCTTCTCTAGCCGGTCAAATAGTTTCACCAGACGGATTCATGCAGTGACCGGCGGCCGGGGCGTCGACGTTGTTATCAACGCTCTAGCCGGTTCTTTCTTGCAGAAGTCCTTGGAAGTATTGGCCCCACTGGGCCGATTTGTGGAAATTGGCAAGAGCGATTTTCTCGCTCACGCCCGGATGGATATGAGTGCTTTTGCACGCTCGATCTCATTTTCTGCTGTCGATCTCGTTCAGCTGGCGCGAGAAAAGCCGCAATGCATCGCAGAGGTCTTCACTGGTGTGCATCAAATGCTGGTAGAACAACAGATCAAGCCAGCATATCCTCTCAGCGCTTTCCCAATCTCGCATCTTGAGGAGGTATTTCGTATGATGCAGAAAGGGCAGCATGTGGGTAAACTGGTCATTACGCATGGCCCCAATGATATGGTCAACGTATTGCCACGAAGCCCTCCTGTGGCTCGACTACGATCAAACGTTACTTACCTCCTTGTCGGTGGGCAAGGTGGTCTTGGACGTGCACTTAGTATTTGGATGGCCAAGTGTGGCGCTCGGAGCATTGTTTCTCTTTCCCCATCGGGTGCTAGACGACCTCTTACGCGGGGTCTCATTGAGGAGCTGGCACAGATGGGAGTTCAACTCTTCTCCCGCTCTTGTGATATCGGAGACCGTAGCCAGTTGCAAGTTATCCTCGCAGACTGTGCCAAACATATTCCTCCGATACATGGTATCATTCACGCTGGGCTCACACTCAAGGTAAGTAACCAAGATTACATCAGGTTTATCAACCGTAATATGCTAACTCTATTGCAGAACACAACTTTTGAAAATATGACATTTGAAGATTTTCAGCAGGTGCTGCAACCAAAAGTGGCGGGCACTTATAATCTTCATGAGTACTTCCAGGATCAGCCGCTCGACTTCTTCCTCATGCTCTCGTCCTATGTCGGGCTGCTTGGCAGTACTGGGCAAGCCAATTATGCTGCGGCGTCTACCTTTCAAGACGCCTTTGCGCGTTGGCGAACGAGTCTCGGCAAACCGACATACTCTCTCGATCTCGGAACTATGCTAGGGGCGGGATCTCTTCATGAGAAGCCTGAGGCGCTAGCCCATTTCGAGAGGATGGGGCTGGGAGGAATCCCCCTCCCCGCACTCTTCGCTCTTGTTGGCTACGCAATATCAAATCCCGTCTCTGACTATTGTGACAGTCAGATTGCCATTGGATGGGCGCCACCACCAACATGGACTCGAGCCGATTACGCTGCTTTGGATCCCCTCGTCTCGCACCTCTCCCCACGCCTACCTCCATCCAGCGACGACAAAGAATCTCACGAAGTCTCTATCGACGAGGCTCAAGACCGTCAGCCCCTCTCCACGGCCCTTTCCCGCTGCCAGACCCCAGAGGAACGAGCCTCTGCAATTACTGTGGCTCTCGTCAAGCAAATTGTGAACATCCTCGGAGTCGCTACAGAAGATGTGGATCTTGGCAAACCGATCGCGGCCCATGGAGGGGATTCGCTGGTGGCCATCGAGTTCCGCAACTGGTTCCGCAAAGAGGTCGGGCACGGTTTCACCACTGATCAGGTATCGAATCTGTTTTCTGTCCAACAACTGGCCGCTGAGGCTGCTGGATGAGTGCTTCCAACGAAAGTAGAGCCCTTAAAATTAACCCACATCAGTCGCGGAGTGCTATCATCGTAGGGCGTTACTGAACAGAATGGGCTGAAATATTATGGTAATTGACTTGGCAATATAGAGCCAAATGGTATAATACGGGTTGTGACTCATCGTTGTGATTCGGAACCTCTGCAATATATTTATATCTGACTTTAATTTCTTTGAACTACTCTCTGATGGTTTGGCATGCACTTCATTTAAGCATACTTGCCCATCCCAGAGAAAGAATATAGATGACTAAACGTAGCTATTAATAATATCTCTGTATTCAATAATTAAATCTGTCTATCGAAACGTTTGAGTCTAAACACAATATAAAATTAATATGACGATAAATATATTGCTACGGGTAATCCTGAAGCTCCTGAGGGCGTACGAACTCTACTATATATAAGGCGCCTAGGAAGACAATCTGATAGTAGTTAATTATTGTGGCTCTTACTACCTGGTGAGAGGTAGGCTAACACCAGAGATAAACTGCATACAAATAACTATCATTTAATTACTAGATAAGATACTGATGGAAGGGTTTCCTTCTCCCTTCTCGTAAGCCGCGGTGTCTTCATAGCAGTTTGGCCTATTGTCCATGTCCTTTACCAGTTCGTATTCCTTCTATACTGCCTCAGTATCTGCTCTAGGTAACAAAACGATGTTTACACATCCAGAAAAAGTCATTCAGGACCTTAAAGTACATGCCCTTTGCAACAGTCTCCACCATTCATGGTACTCGTTCAAAGGCTGCATTCCTGAGGCCCTGCACTCATAATAAGAATATAATTCATGAAGGATTAATTAGAGTATAATCGAGAGTCTCTAAGAGTCATGGACTTTCTAAGAATTGGTGCAGGATATTATACGCGGTGTATGCATGCCACGGTCCCTTGGTCGGGAAAATATAGAAATATTAGTAGGGATCGAGAACGGTTACTTATATTAGAGAATATATTTAATATAAGCGCCAGTGACGAATGCCAAAGTCAAAGGTTACAACTTGATCCGCGTTCTTTTTAGTGGAGTTTCAAGAGATATCGATGATTATGGCGTCGACTGAGCCCTTAACCGCCCTCAAACTTTGGTATGACTTAATTTCATGAGCCAGCCGCGCTGTCTAGTCACTTTGAACGTCACACGATAGGCGACCAAAATGTCAGCAGGTGGTCTCGACTGGAAGCCAAGCTGCGCCTCAGCGCTTCGCCCGAATAGTGCACCCGTAAGATCACGGTTCTTGCAAAACCCCGACTCAGCATGAGCTGTTTTCTCTCTTGGGAGTTGCTTTGTTTCCTCTTCTGGGGCTGTTTATCTAATATCTCCAGGTGCTGCCCATAGTTGCTAAGGTACTGAACAATGGGTGGTTTCTATCATAGGAGCTGTTCGCTTAGAGAGCTTGCGACTGGGTGAGATCCCGGTCGGTCAGCAGCAGGCAAATGCAGGTCAGCAGCGGGGGTTTGCTAAATATGCCAGTCAGCAACCCCGTCTAAACGGTACCCACGTCTAGGGCGTAGCAGGGCGCGGAATCGACCCCCAGCAACCTATTGACCGCGCATAAGCCCACACGCTGGCCGGTTGTATTGTTCCATTCGTGATGAAACTTACCGCGGTCCTCATTTTAAAACTGCATGCTCATAGCTCTTAGGTTGTCTTGCCTTTGTCCTGAAAGGAGGTACGGAATATGTAACATCTATTCCGTTGATGGATTTCTGATCTGGAGATAGTATAATCTTGTGGATACGGTCTCCTGCTCTCTATAATAGGTATCAGAATATATCTTTTATGTTTTAGAACAGTACTAACGTCATCTCCAGCTAGACGGACAAGTCGCTCCAGGCATTTAAGGCTATCACGTATTTCTCCATTCTCCATCCAGCGCAGTCTTATGGGACGCATTCTCGTTATTCCCTATGGCAAAATTTGATCAAAGTATAGGGGTAGTAAGACATAAAGGAGAGATAGGTTGAACCAGCTGCAGGTTGGTCAAGTCAAGTAGGGGATAAGAATCACCACGAACGCAAGCAACTCCATTACCACGTCACGGATACCAAGTCGATCAGGTGATTAACTCTTAACCCAGACGCTTCCAGCTAATGCAGCAGGGATGCCGAAGTTTGCAATTGCAAACTTCGGCATCCCTGCTGCATTAGCTTCTTGTTGGAAATGTTTCAGGCTCGAGAGAGATCGATAGGTTTGGAACCATACAGGGGTGCATCCGCGTCATGATTTAAGTCGGCGTCCGCCATACTCTCATCATCTTCAACGTCATCCACATAGCCTGGGAGGGTCTTTTCGTTACCTAGTACGCCCTTAACACGCTGCCCAATATTGTCGACTAGATATGTTCTAAGCTCCGATTCATCTAATCCTTTCAGGCGCTGTATCATATCTGCTACTCCACTCAGTCTTAGGCAAGCTTCTTTAAGCCCAAGCGCCGGTGAAAGAAGATGGTTCATGAAAGACGGCCACTCTTCATCACTGGCTGATGCGACATCAGGCAGGGGAATATCTTCCCAGAATTCCGTTTCATCTTCCTCGTAACCGATCAGTAGTATCTCGGGGACACCAACTGCATCAAGAAGGCCCTGCCATCGCAAGGCCGCAGTAATTGTACGGTCGAATTCGCGGACAAATTCGGGGACCTGCAAGCCGTCAATTTGCATTGCTGGGCGAACGCTCTCCTTTCCTTTTTCGTAGAGCACTCTTCGAGACGCATAAGCTCTTGATTCCTCTAGACCCATCTTATTCGATAGCCCTTCTTGTAGGATACTTGCGTATCTTCGGCCCATATCCACCGCAAATAGGCGGCCTTTGAGGGCGCGGTAAACACTTTCAGTCTCAACCCTAGCGAGGTCCGCGATTCTCACATGGATGCACTCCCTTGAGGAAATTGGTAACCCGAAATAGTGCCAGGAAGCCCTGATCAAGGAGCTGAAGTAGGGTGCACACCTTGGCCGGGATGGTGCGCCATCAGCCTGCTTGCCTGGCTCTGTGCCCCTGTGTAGCTTGGGATTAGGTATGACGGGTTCGGCGCGTGACGCTAGCTCTGATCTCGGAAGGGTTATCATGCTGCCCACAGCACCTGGTTGCTGTTGAAGCTGTCTGTCTTCCTTGGCGGTTATACTGGCAGAGCAGGCATAATGATATTTAGTGCAGCGATCACACTTTTCACGGGGCCAGGAGCGACCAAAGGGAAGACACTTCATATAGCGACATTAGTGTCAAGACGTCTTTCCCATTATTCAGATACAGAAACAGAGAGCAAGGCGATTAAATGGGAGAATCCCATACCTTCTTTTTGTCTTTCCGGCAACGCGTACACTTCAAATAGTGGAGCCGCGCAGGGACAGAAGAGTTAGCCGAAGAATCCATTAACAAACAATGTAATATCGTGACTCTGGCCTATTGTGGAACTCTTGGGGGGGGGGGGGGAATTGCAATTGTGGTATGTAGTAATAGCTGATAGTTCATGAAATATCGGAATACTGTCTAGGGGTCTGGCAAGGTGCTGGAAAAACTCTGAATGACACGAGAACACCGGGTTCACTGTCCCTTTTAAAACATTTAGGGATCGTTTTGGCTGATACCCCTGATTCGCATTTTCTGTCCTCTTGATCGCAGTTCCCTCAGATTTTGGCAACCTGGGCTGGCACGGAATCGACTCTACAACATGTCGCAATCGCACTCTTAATCGCACTTCTAGCCGCAATCGCAGTCGCACATGGGTTGTGGTCGCAGTCGGTCTTGCGCTAAACTTGTTGTCCCTGTCGGCGTCTATCCTCTGATTGGACAGATCAGACAGTTGATATTGCGCTCAGCTTTTGGTATTTCCCATTAGGAATAGCTTCATGTAGGTGCTAGCCACTAGCCCCAACACGCTCTGTGTACACCGCTCTCCCATACTGACAGAGACATGCAATCTTTTGTCATTAGCCAATCAAGGCATATGGATGGTATTCCTTAGTTTACTTCTCGAAATGCCAAGCCGTCAAGTATAGCTGTTTTTGGCCCTAACTGTGTCATGGTTAAAGTGAGTTAAATATCCGCTGAAGCTATATAAATCCTAGCTTATTATCTATTTAACTAGATAGGAAGAAGGTAATAAGGTAGTAAGGTAGTAATATTCCGCCAGATTAAAGTTTTGAAGCTGTAAGTCCTGTACACCGTGTAATTTGTCTTCAGCTAATGAAATTTATATAATAATATATCCGCCTTATTTAGGCCTCGGCAAAACCCGCCAAGAAACAGGTTGGAGTCTGAACCCACGGGTTACGCACGGGTACCCGTTTGTTAACAAACAGAGCAAACATAGGAAATATACTGCCTATTTGGGAAATTTAGGATGACTAAGCATATTTATACATTCTAATAAGGATTTTTATGTATTTTTATGCCAAAACGGGTTCTTGGCGGGTTTATGGGTTTGGGTTCGGGTTTAGAACCTGAACCCGACCCATGGCGAGGCCTAGCCTTATTTAACGTATTCCCTGCAACCGCTTAGTATCAGTATCGTTGGATCTCTTATAATAGTTCATCGTACACATGCCACACTGCTATCAACGACAAGGCTACAGGGAAATATTTCAGAGGTATTGGGAAGTTTCTAGGCCAACCAACAAGGCTGTTCACTCATCATTAGCAGCCTCTTTAGACCGTAATGCCCTAGTCTTGACGACATACTTCTCTCCACTCCTCTCTGACTGGCTCCCCTGCTCTGCTTGCCAAGATACACAGGTACACGTTTAGAATTAGCTCCGAAACAGCCCTGTAAATTGAGATTGTATTGTCTTTTCAAGGTGTTAAGTACCTGGGACTATACAGGCTCGTGTTTACCGGTAATCTCCCATACACACATATAAAAAATAAAGAAAAGAAAGAAAAAACAAAATCCCGGTTGCTCGTGTGTAAGATTATCGTGTATGTTTATCAATAGATAATCATATACTTAACTAGATCATACGAATGCTCAAACGCCCGTCTGAAGTATTGTACCTTAGGACTTTAGGATTACCACCACATCTGGGACATCTACGAAAGAAACGAGGTATACAAATCCCTACGTAACAGTGCAAATGCATAAAAAGTATTGATCGCACTGGTTTTATCTATAGAGGACGAAAGCATCCAGTACGGCTGCTCACGATGCAGTCCGTGCAGTCCGTGTTGTCCGTGCAGTCCAGGATTTTATTGTAAGTCGTAATGACTCGTACTTGCTCCAGTTATTCAATGCCGCATTATTTTCGCATTTCTAAATCCTAGTATTCTTTATCTCTGTAAGTTACATTTTACAATATCGTAGAGCTCCGGGACAAAGGCTTGAGTCAAGACATCCGGATTTGGTATTAATCCATAGTCTGGTTCCTAGAATTTTGATCTCTCGTTTGGCAGGTATCTTCTTAGCAGCGGGCGAGTTTGCTCTTCCACCGTTTCTGGGCGGGAGTGGCCTAGTAGAGATGGGCTTACTACATTCTTTCACGCATATTTACGACTGGTTGTTCAAGTTCTATATAAGCCCTAATTGATAAAGGACCGGTACATACGACCATAGGGCGTGGATAATAGGGCTACAGCCGTATATATCAAGAGATAACAGTACAGTATAGTACTAGACGGTAAATGGACTTGTTGAGGAAAACTGATGTTGCGGAATGGCCGCTATGGCCAACCGTACCTGCTAAGGGGAAATGCGGCATCTTAGCTGTGGTATTCTGATCTCAAATAACAACGGCTTTTAGGGCAATGTTCATTTCTTGGATGCCTGAGTTGACGTGAAGGCTTCAGAGCCGCTTGGATCCAGAGATATGATATTCGAGATAATTGATTGTAGTTGACATGGCTAACCTTACTGTATAAGCCCGACGGGTGGCTTGCCGAACTGTTGGATGAAGCCATACTAATGACAGTACCCCGCATTGGTCTGCCTAAACACGAAGTGCCTGATAAGCGGGACAATCTCACCCAGTTCAATCCACCTCAACCCGATCTCCAAGGTTGTAGAAACTGCATCTTTATAATCACCGTCCAAAATGGTCGCTCCCACGGACCAGTTCTCCGCCATTTACGAGAACGCAATCCGAAAGTACCACGAAATTACGGGAGAGACTCTCGAGGTCGATCTTCTCACAGGGATTCGCAGTGTCAGCGATCTCACGAAAGAAATCGACGAGAGGAACAGGGCCTTCCGCGAGTTCCGCGAAAAACGCGGCGCCATCTTCGATGTTCTCGAAGCGACCCTGATCCCCGTGCAATTATTCGGCAACCTCGCGGCTGGGGGCGCGTCGATGGTATTCCCCCCCAGCAGTCTTGTCTTTGGGGCAGTGATGCATTTGGTGGGTGCTGCAAAGGGGGTATCGGCCTCGTACGAGGCGATTCAGGACCTGATGCAGATGCTGCAGGTATGGTCTAGCTACATGCAAACAACGACATGGAAAAGGATGGAGCTCTGAACGAAACTAGGATTTCACCATCCGACTAAAAGTATACACACAAGAAGCCCTCTCCGAGGTTCTAAGCGACAAGCTGAGCGATATCATCGTTACCCTTATCGAAATTTTTGCCTTGTCATCCAAGATTATCCGACGTGGCCGACTGCTTAAGTTCACCCGAAATATTCTACTCGGTAACGACGATGCCATTAAAGCCGCGATAGTTAGACTTGACAAGCTCACCCAGGCCGAAGCTAACCTAGTCAGAGCTGAGACCTTGACCGAGTCGAAGAGAGCCGGCCGTGTAGTTGATGGTATATCTGTGACCGTCAACGCCACTAACGCGACTGTCCTGGAGACCGGGATGACGGTGAATCGAGTGAGCGCACAGGTATATGAGGTGCAGGAGATGCTAGAGAAGCTGATCGTTTCCGCGAATGAGGAAAAGCCGGATACCCGTGAGAATCAAGAAGCCCTACAGGAACTCATCAACCGGGTCCTCAGGCCATCTAAGGTTGATTCAGCGCAGGAATGGTTCGACAAGATCCACAAGGCCCGTGTACCGGGCACAGGGGACTGGGTTCACAGTGAGGATGTTTTCCAATCCTGGATCAATAAGGAAACGCCGGTAATTTTTGTGTCTGGGAACCCGGGCGCAGGGAAGTCATTTCTGGCGGCGAACATGATCAGTTTCCTCCTCAAGCGGTTTTGCCCAGGCCTTCAGCGCAACCCGGTGACTTCTATTGGATACTTCTTCTTCAAGGGTGACAATCCCCAGACAAGGTCCTTTCATCAGGCTTTGCGAGACCTGGCTTTTCAAATCAGCAAGAGTGACCCATGGTACCGGAAGTATCTCGCGACTATCGCGGAATATGAACAGATTAGCACCCTAGAGAGTGCCTGGCGTCTCCTATTTGTTGAATACTTTCTCAAAAAACCTAATATTGAGAGCACGGCGTATATCCTGCTGGATGCAGTAGACGAAACCCTGGACGAGGAGCGGAGGATCTTCGTCGATCTAGCCAAGGACTTGTATAGTAATCAGTCGCGTTTGCAGCTAGCCATCGTCGGCCGCCCTTATCTCAGCGACCAACTGCTCGAAGGCCTGGAAGTTAAGGTGCCAACCCTTCACGTCACCAAGCAGAAGAACTCTGGTGATATTAGCCAGTATATCCACGTCAACATCAAAAAGTCCCTGGTTCTGCGAAGGGTATCGCCAACGCTACGGGATGAGATCATTGATAAACTCTCGGCTGGAGCGGAAGGCATGTTCCTTTGGGTAAACCTTATGTTGCAGGAGTTAGTTAAGAAGCGAAATGAGACTAGTATGCGAAAAGCACTGGAGCAGGCTCCCCGGGGGCTTAAGGAGATGCTCCGACACGTGTTGGCCACTTTTTCTAGAAGCTCGAACGAGGAGGAGCTCGAGTACCTTAATGAAACATTACTCTGGGTTACCTGCGCAAATCAACCGTGGAGTCTGGCAGAGATAGAGGCGATCCTCAGATTAAAGTCACCTGAAGGGGACGGTATTATTGACCTTGAAGGAGCCATACGACGCCAGTGGGCGTCATTCTTCACCCTACACCGAGAGGATGGCCTTACGACAGCCGAGCTAGAGAATAGACCAGCTTATCTAGACGCGTTCGACTGGGGGACCGACGAGGAGAAACAAGATGAGTACGAGAGCTCCGAGGAGGACTATTTCATGGCCTTCAACTCAAAAAGGGATACAACTACCGTCACCTTTTACCATGCATCTATTGGCGACTTCCTCCGCGACGAGTCGGAAGGTAAGGTGTCGGCTACAGAGAGCCACATTGGTGTCGGGGTGTATTACCATGAAGCAAAAATTCATATCCTCAGGACTTACTTAAGGCTAATCACTAATCCCGAGTTTGCAATAAAGGCAAACGACTCGGGACACATGCTCCAACATGCTGCGCGGCATTGGGGCGATCACCTTCTTACCACCTTCCCGTCCAAGTGCTCATTAGAGGATAGACGAGAGATCGCGAAGATGCTGTTGACGGCATTTCGATCGGAAGAAGCAATGACGAACTGGCTTGGGGAGGGTAATTGGGCTCTTCCTACGGCTACCATCAAAGCTGTCAGACAATGGTGGCAAGAGCACGACGTCCACGAGTTTCTCTCTCCAGAAGAGAAGGAGTTTATCTCGACAACGGAGAGTGAGTCAGGTAATCTACTCAAACCAATGATAATGTTCTGCATTAAGAGATGGCTGTGGGAAGACCAGCCTAATCCTGTTCCTATGGTCTCTATAGTCTGGCGCTACCAAATGCTAGTTAAGGGTAAGGAGGTCCATGATTACGATAGGAATATAACGGCGGAAGAAGTAATCGAGGCTGCTGAGTTTGGTGGCTTCGAGCAGACCAGTCGGTGGTTTCGACAATGTGCGATCGCTTTGCGCCAATTTTGTTGCTATGAGGAGGCCCTTGAGTATTTCAAAAAGGCGATGGAACTCAATCCGGATGATTGGCGTACACTGCGTGAGCTAGCACAAACATATCAGGAGCAAGGCGACTGGCAGAAATCCACTGAGCTCTGGAAACGGACTCGACTATGTTTGTTGACTGCAATTGCGGAGTCACCAGAGGACGGGCCACTAAAAGGACATCTTCATGAGTGCCTGGAGCATATGGGCCAGATCTATGAAGAACAGGGGGATCAGGAGAAACGGTTCGAGGCGGTTCAAGAGGCATATCAATACGCACCCTCTTGCTGGGCCTGTATCTATGCCATTCTGGATTACCATAACAACAACCACGCTTACAAAGCAACCATGGACTTGCTGAAGAAGTTAGCCGATACTCCAGTTCCTGAAGAAGATTTCTCGGAGTTAACTCGATTCTTATTGGTCAACGTATTTGATGTGGACGTCAAGTCAAGGCTTGCTGCCGATGCCGCATTGGCTACCAATGACCTGGACTTCGTGTTGGCGAGCTTGCAAACGGCGGCCAGGGTGGCTCGAACATCCTCGAGGACGTTGATTGCCGCGGAGGTGGATATGGCCATCGCTCGAATTTATGATGAGTTTCTTCTTGACCACCTAAAGGCAATCAAATGCTGGGAGAAGACCATGGACGCATACTCTTCCTCCTCCGACGGGACATTGATCGGGATTATCAGACAGCAGGCCTCCTCAAAGCTGGCTCGGGCGTTTCTCTGTAACGCAGTCAAAGTTGGAGTTGACACACCAGAGGCGGAAGAATCGGGGGCCAAACTTGAGAAGCTCGCTCAGCAAAGCCAGGCTTATTCCTTAGGAAGCTGCGCCTTCGCGCCGGCCGTCTACTTGGGCATCTACTGCCACCTCCGAGGGCAAGACGAGCGGGCGCGGGCTCTCTTCCGACCTTCCCTACAGCGAAGCATTCAAACCCTCCAGGGTGACAATCCCACGAACGAAGAGCTTTCTGACCTGCAATATACTCTGATGAGGGCGGGAGATTTGAAAAATGTTATTGCAATTGCCCACAGGTCGGAACAAGACAACAGCGACCCCTGGTATATATGTCGCGGCCCATGCCGGCGGAAGGCACCTACACGGGATGGTTTTTCCATTTGCCCTATCTGTTTGGAGGGGGAGCTGTGCCCGGACTGCGTTAAACTGGTGGAGAGCGCGATACCCAAGAAGAGATGTAATTCCCAGCACGTTAAGTACTTTATCTCCATTCCCCCGCATTTGAAGGAGATCCGCAGCGGCATGATGCTGGTCGATGGCGAGGAGATGGAGTTCGAGACGTGGTTGAATCAGCTGAAAAAGGAATGGGCTCTTGATGCTCACAATTCTTCAAATTCTCCCGCAGCCCGTCTTGGTCTCGGTGACTTTTTACTCGGCGTTGTCGCGTAGATCCAAGATTAGCGTAGAGGTACGTTATTTATGGTAGAATTTAATGCCGCACACCGGGAGCTTAGAGGACTGATCGAAGCACAATAATCGGTAGGTATCTCTAGTAACGATGCAATCATTTTGATATACTTCTTGTATATATATAATTGCGACGTAATTGAACCAAGCGAGGATTAAGAAAACTCTAGACAACTAGACTGTTAAAATGAGCTTGCGATGGACGTGCTTAGCGGTTCTGTGTGTGTCCAGGTAGACATTTTAGATCTAGAGATCTCCCGAGCACAGCTTCCTATTCTATATGAGTACGAGAAATAATCTGCCTCTACATGGCTTGACCGAATCTATCCTGTTAAAATTTATACGATAATAAAGCTCCCCGCGTTCTCCCTTCTCTATCCCAAGACTCTCCTAAAGCGATCCCCGGACATTTGCACAGCCCAGTAGGAGTGTACGTAACCAAGCTGGAATAAACTTATGCCAGCTACGAATGCACAAAGGAATCTAATATTACACCGATTGCGTTCTGCGACTCAGTCGTGGCTCAGAACCTTGTGCGGTGTTAGTTTACAAACCTAGCTAACAAAACACGCTTCTAAGGAAGCGACAAACCCGTTGTATTTGGTGTTTTTCCATATGCAGTCCTGACTCGAGCAGAACTTCCGGGTCGACATTTCTTCGTCGTTGTAGCCCTCTGCTAGAATCTAGAAGACGGGTTAGTCACCGCTTTTATGAGCGCTCTGAGCTCAGACCCTTGAAGGAAATCGTCCTGTAAGTATATGTGACGTGATCCTAGATATCAAGAAGGGACGAAGTTCCAGCGATAAGAAGCGAGATGAATGATAGCGATGTGTCTATCGACCAAGGCATCTTCGATAGTACTTGAAGAATTGCTAGTAGCTTCATACAGCTGAAGGTTTATATATTCTAATGCCCAAACCAGATTCTGGCTTCTGCTTGGGAGGATACCCAGCACAACACTGGAGTGAACCAAATTGTGGCGATGGCCCGTGCAATAATGCTACTTCCATAACACACTCGAATATTGGAAGAAGCAGATGAGAGTGCTGTATTTAGCTCCAGCAAAGCCAATGGAAGCGAGCTGGAGTCTCTACAGAGTAAACCAGATTCCGGCAAGGCACCTAAGAATGAATACATAGTCCAGATTTGGGTGCCAACCAATCATGGCGTCGGCTTACAGAGGAAGTGGCCCTGAAAACAGAATTGGGCCTCGGCCAGTTGGATATGCGGTCTTAACTGCAGCCAACATACCAGCGACCAGGGTATATTGAGAAGGCGCTAACACCCTAAGAACAAAACGTTTCTACCTCTTCGCAAGAATCGAGGTTTGTCACTCCAGCCTGTCTTTGTGGATTCTTTACAATGCCAGCAAAAGCATCCCGAATCCCGGACGAGATATGGGACCAACATAAAGAAGAGATTATTGCTTTTTATTTGGCAAATCTATTAGGCCGAACGATTGACTATATGGACAAGGAATATGGCTTTCGACCTAGGTACCATCTTCACTTTCTCCGGGCCGACCCTCTGAATAAATCTGGAATCTGGCACGGCCATACGGCTACTCCTAGAGAAAAACAATACACTAGAAAGCTGGGATCATGGGGCGTAAACAAATATCATCCTGGAAGCATCTGGACCAGTGTCGCCTCTGTGAAACGAAAGCCAGAAAATCGATAAAGAAATCGCACGGCATATTTCTTTGGGGAGGGAGTAGTGTAGCTCTGAGAATGCTGTACTCCCATATTATCAGTCTCTATACCCCCGGCAGAGCCAAGTGGTATATCTCGCGAATTCCTTCTTCACGACCTTCCTTGGTACCGATACATGCAGGAGATACAGGCACTTGGTAAGTGCTTGGTAGCTATCTACAATACACCCTGCACTATACTGCGATTTCTCCCTTTGTTCTTCTTTTCGTTTCTTTTTTTTATTTCTTTTTTTGCCTCCTGTTCTTCAAACTCCATTACAGCCTTCCTAATAATATGCCTTGATTTTGAGAAATGTCAAAGTTAACCGAAATTAACAAGATGCCCACCCCCGGTCTTCCTACTGCCCTGCGTTATGCAGTGTTACTGACGATGTATCATTGGGATAGTGTGGCAATACTACGGTTAAATATAACGCATGTTTCAAGGACTACTACCTCGTCCTCATTGCGGGCTATTTCAAAAGCTGGGCTAGTCGGCACCCCCGCAGTCTCTAGGATATAGGATGATCTAATCCCTAGATTTAATTATATCCTCTATTACTTGACATAACCATTATCACCTTTTTTCTGTAGTATAGTTCAGGTGCGACTGCATATTAACTATTGGTTGGTGTTATGGGAGAATCTGCTATGGTTCGTAGGAAAAGACCCGTTAATCAATATCGCTTCAAAACCGTGTCTTCCCGGGCCTTTCATTGGGTTGAGAATGGTATCAAAAGATCCTGGGCCACAGCTTGGACACACACAGGAAGTATGCCTAAGACTCCGTCCCACACAGAGTCACAGAGGCCCGTTGCTGCTTCAGATATAGCTGCAGTTGCCAGTCTATAGAACCGTTAGTTTCTTATATGCGAGATAGAGGTATGGTACTAAGTGCGAACATACTCCCGAAAGCGACCATCGGAAAAGAATGCCCCATTAGTGTGATCGTCTAATCCTTTAGCTGCCATTATATACTGGGATGCCCCTTCGTCTGGCGACCGACAAACCATATCCTCCAGAAACTGGGCGATTTTGCTTGAATTGAAGGATCTAAACAATGAGCTGCGGGAAAATCCCGGGGATGCGCAAGCGACTAGAAGTTCATTCTGATCCAACCTAGTGGCCAGTTGCTGGACCCATAGGACGACAAGCAACTTACTGATATGGTACCGCTCATAGGAAGTGTATGCGTCTGGATCTCCTAACTGTTTTAAAAGCATTGAAAACGTGTGCTGTTTTGGGTTGGCCCATGCGTATGCTTCAGAGGATATGAGGAGAAGACGACCCTGGTCATGGGACCGTAGCAAAGAAGGAATTGCTAAGAGAGCTATAGCACAGTTGCTCAGGAAGTTTACCTTTGTGAGGGACGATTAGCCTGCGAGTATCACTTTGAGTCATGCCGAAGGCGAGACAGGTCGAAAGGGGAAAGTCTTCCCCCCGACAGAAGCACCATCAACCAAATTGATATAACATAGTTGTATATGCGTACCTGAATTGTCTCCTCCTGTCCTGTTTCAGGGCAGATAGTGAACTCGGGCTGATAGACACCCGCATTCAAGATGGCTACATCGAGACTAGCGTACTTGCTAAGCTTGTACTTGAATGCAGATATTGAACGCTCAGATGCCATTTCCAACTCCAAGAGGTCAACTTTTGCTGCGCAGGGTGAGGGTTCTAAGCTATCAATAATCTGCCTGACGGCATCTTCTCCTTTCTCGCGATTTCGAGCAGTCACGATGAGGTGGCAAGCCACACGGGCAAAAGCTTTGGCGCATCGAAGACCACAGCCACTAGTCACCCCTGTGATTAAAATGGTCTTGTTTTCAAACCCGGTAACGTCAATCTCTTCGGTTGGTGTACATTTGGTACGTAAAAGGCGATATAAAACGGGAAAAGGGCCATCCCGGTCAAAACTGAGGCTGTATGGATTTCGTAGGCTAAAGGCCAGCATATGGAGGGCGGAAGGAGACATTATCAAACAAGAAAGATTGAGCTACGTCTCTGCTTTGTTGTTTGGGCAGCTACCAGTAAAGCCTTTCCAATTTGTGTTGATTTAGAGGGAGGGACTTCAGGGGAAGGACACCTGCCACTAACATGGGTTAGATATTCCTCAGACATGGTCACTCATACAAACCATCTCTAATATGGTGCGATAGAACTGACGGTGAACAGCTAAAGAGACAAAGTTAAAAATATGTGTTCGCAGCATACATTGCATGAATATAGCTCCCAACTAGCCAACCAAATTAAGAATGGCCCACTTTTTTTGGGAGACAGCGGTAAGATTCCACAGGTTGTTGATCTTCGATTTCTTCCCGGGAAAACCAGTTCCCATGCATCCCGTAAGGGACCCGTTGTGGCAGCACAACTCGAGCTGCCACTGTCTGCATGTCCCTTGCGTCGATGATCCACAACTCGCTACGGGCATTGCTCATCGCCTCACCTGCGCTGTCCAGCTGCGACTCGTCGAACACGAAACTGAGCAGCCAGCCATCATCTTCATCTACAGTCCCTTGGCGAGGCACAAATGAGCATTCCTGAGCGTACCATCCGGTCGGCAATCGGAATATACTAATAGGGTCATTGGACTTTCTATCCTGGACAATCTCCTGCACAGATCGACAGTCCACACAGCCGAAAATAGGTTCAGGAGAAGTCTCCAACCCCTGCTGAATCAAACCCTTTGCGTCGACTTTCACTATACAGTCGATCTTTACTGCTTTCCCTAGTGCCGTGCCAAAACATCCCTCTGTCGTCGAACAGCCATATACATACCTTGTCTCTGACATTGTGCTTTGCTTTGGTACATGTGGAAACTCGAATGGGATTGCAGAGAGCGCCCATTGATGTGAGATGATATTCCAGGGACGAGTAAGATCAAATTGATAAAAGTAGAGTCGACATTGCGGAATGCCATCTTGCGCAGGAACCACCGGCGGATCCAGGTCAGCAGTCGTGTACAGAATAGCAGGGCTATTCATCCGGCACACAAGCATGTTTACGCGAGGTTGAAGGCCCTTTTCATCACCCGTGGGTTCTGTGTCCCAGGTATTGACTGTATGGAATATACAGCATGCCTCGGTGTGAAACCAGCGGATCTGGTCTGGATTATGTCTGGGGAAAACACCAAACGCAGCCTTGCTGGAAACATCAAAGCTAACAACAGGCTTGGTGTGCCAGAGGTTCGACCACTTGACAGTAAGTGGCAAGTCTATCATCACGGTATACTTTCGTGAGACTCCAAAATCATGCATCACCTTAGGGGACGATAGGCCAGGTACAGGCACGTTAAGAAGCATGTTTGCTGGGCGGCTCGAAGTCTTGCCCCGCTTTGGTATAACCGAGTAGGAAACGTATGGTGGAATGAAAACGGAATGGAAAATAATCATCTCCTGCGTCTGTGGATCGCAACGAGGCTAACTCCCACGAACCATTTTAGACTACAACGGCCATATTCGTAAGGGAGGATAACTTACATGTGCAGTTGTCATCTCCTGAAAAAGCCGGAAGAAACCAGAAGCTCCAAAACCACTCGTGTCAGTGTCCCCCATTGGCTCTCCTTCTGAAATTAATCCATTGAACCACCCAACCGTTCTAAGATCCGGCAGTGAAACCCTTAGAGGTGGACCGCTTTCGCAAAGCGCAAGAGCCCGGCCATCATGGTATACGATGTTGGTGTTGGCCACACTAATTCTCTTGATTGTATGGGAATAAAATTCCAAATAAGACGTGGCAATGACCTTGGTCATTCGCCATAACCGCTTCAGAAATTGGCCTAGCGTAACATGCGGATCCAACAAAGTGGCAATGCTAAGGGGAATGGGCTCGTCTAAGGTCGGATGGTCCATAGTCGCGAGGAGCACGTCTGTCATCACATATTGATTGGAATATTCAGCCACAATATGTGCTCCGCCTGGGGAAGATCGGAAATATACTCCGCTGAGCATCCCATCCCCATCATACCAGTGCGTTTTGCCAGCGATTTCAACTTCAATCGCAGGGTTTCCCCCGTTACGAACATACTGCCCGCCGCTGAGCTCCTCCGGGACACTGCCAATGCAATAACATGGTTCCGAACTATGTGTCTCAGACACAGGAGCAAAGTTGCCACTCATGTACCTGCTATAAGAAAGCGAGATTAGTTTTAGAATGCGAGTACTGAGGGATTGCAGGACAGACCTATGCTTTCTGGAGTTTCCCTCCACCCCCGTGCCACTGATATTCATCATAGTTTAGGACAAATGTTCGTCAAGCGCTTTGCTGGGAGGCGTAATATTGATATGAAGGGAAAAAATTGGATAATTGCGTTACCTCATTTCTAACGGGAATCGATGGGCACCTAAACTTAAACAGCAACGCACGATAGATGATAAGAAAGAGAAAAAACGGCAGGAATTGCGTACTTGCGATTCCTCTAAGGCAATTGGGCCGATCTACATTATGCAGCCTATCTGAGCCTTAAATTGAAATGCACTATACAGATCACATTACACATGGCTCAGTATTTATGCAAAGATCAGCAGGGGGGCATATCATATTCAGCATTCGGCAGACGAAAGCAGACATAGCATGTCCCTTGCTTCTCAATCCCTACCCTAGCTTTCCTGGCAGTTCATAATAAAAGCCTCATCAGTTAACTGCCTTGATACCTAGGCTAATTTACCGAAAACGAATTGACTTGGATTTTGCAGACCTAACTGCTCATACCTGACGCTCCTGGATAGAAACAATCGCCATGGGTCTCGACTATATTCTATTGTGAGGATGTTATATAAGAACGTCGTTTTAGACGCTAAAGCTAACTCTATTGCTTCATCCTATTACAAGCCATTGCAAATTTACCATCCCTATAGCGACAACCCTATCTATTTTCTACATTCCATTCTTGAGCCGCCATGATATCTACAAGATCTTCACCCTGATCGCTGTATGAATACTCCAAAGCACTGTCTAATCGATAATTGTATAAGTTGTATAGCTAATTTTGACAGATCGCTGTTGTCGCAACTATACCATGGGATTCCTACCTAATTTACACTAAGATATGGACCTACCCTCCAGACACAGTGATAGGGTATACATTATTCAGGATTCCACTGGAAGAGTTATTCTTCTTTGTTATTCAGACCTATATAACCAGTGTTATATACTGTATCCTGACAAAGTCTCTCATCCGACCTATATATATCAGGCCAACCCAGACCCGGCAGTGGGTGAAAGACGCTGGTACCATCTGTCTTATCTCATCAGCGGCGATTGGTATAGCTTTTGCCCTCTCTTCAGGAAAGATGACATACTTGGGCCTTATACTCTTTTGGGTAAGCCCAGTCTTGCTTTTTCAATGGTATTTCTTGGTACTTCTTTTGTATTTTACCGATACTAACCGAATACCAAGGCTACTGACGTTTGACTACCTTACGGCCCTCCCATGGAAAGTAACGGCATTACCTATCTGTATACCTACACTATGTTTGTGGGTTGCAGATGCCAGTGCAGTAAGAGCTGGAACCTGGGTTATAGAGAAGGGCACAAAACTCGATTACCAAATTTGGGATGGACTTGAGATTGAGTAAGCGGTCTATTGATCATAATTTCTCAAATAAGCCCAGTTTAAAGAGTTACCCTACTGATCAATATGACAGAGAGGCAGTATTCTTCTTCCTGACAAATGTTATGGTTGTAGGAGGACTAATTGGCTGTGATTATGCGTTCGGAATCGAGGAGCTCCGAAGGCTCTGCGCTAAGACAGATGTCCAGAAAAAGGACATCTTCTTGAAAGACGCACTCCTCGGAATTTTTAAACCCCTCCCTGGTACAGATACTGCAGCTAAAGATGAACTTGCAAGAGCCGTGAAACGCCTGCAGGCTAAGAGTGAAAGTATGTTTCTGGGCAGTGCTTTGTTCCATGGGAACCTACGTATCGACCTGATATTTTTGTAAGTTGTGATTCTTGAATGCTTGCTTTATGTACAGCATGTACACCAGCTCTTCAATTCCTGCCTATTTACGAATCTGTTTTTCAGGTACTCATTTTGTCGTGTTGTCGATGATCTCGTTGACGACAGCGGTTATGACAAAGAACAAGCCCGGTACTGGATCCGCAATTGTTCTATAGCATTGAATAACAGGTTTAAAAATGACCAAACGACGGGAGGGGCCAAGTTCAATGACCCTACAATGGCCTTAAAATACAACGAGCTCCAGTCATCAGTCGACCATCTCCCAGTCTCCCGGCTATCAAGAGAGCCGCTACATGATCTATTGAAGGGGTTCGAGATGGATTTAGAGTTCGACTACACAAAGGGATGTTTTCCAATTAGAGACGAGGTAGACCTTGACTTATATGCCTCCCGAGTAGCAAGCACAATAGCTGCCCTTATTCTTGATTTGGTCTACTATTACTACTATCACAACAAGCCAATCCACCCCCCTGATCATCTCGAGCATGTAACCAAGGCAGGAAAGGAAATGGGCAAGGCACTACAACTCGTGAATATTGCGCGAGATATTCGGCGGGATGCAGCAATTGGTAGAGTCTATATCCCTACCTCCTGGCTACGTGAGACTGGATTAACTCCAATTGATGTTATTCATCGCCCTACGTCTGCCGACGTATATAGGCTTCAAGAGAGACTCCTCGAAAAGGCAAATATATGCTACACAGCCGCTCGTGATACTATTGAGGAACTTCCTCATAGCGTTCGGGGCCCTATCAGGGCGACTGTTGACAGTTATATGGAGATTGGTAGGATTCTGAGAGAAAAGAAAGGAAAGAATCTCGAGGGTGCAAAGTTAAGCGTGCCTTTGTGGCGGCGACTGCTCGTGGCGTGGTCAGCTATGTTGCAAAAGAAATATTGATTGTATTATATGTTATACTATGTTCAGCATGTTCCCTACACCGGGAGAAATCACATATATTCTCAGCGATGTAACAATACTTTATGAAAACTGCTGTATCCCATCATATGGCTGAATAATAATACATAATATGGCAAAGGCACGTTACATATGGCTACTATTTCCGCGAGGGTATCCTAAATAGCTAGGCAGGCTGATCATACCCTCTGCCTTGCTGGAAAAAAAAGCCATGATTCCTTGCCGTAGATCTTGATAAGTATCCCTTTAACATTAAAGTCGCAGTCTGAGTATTTTAGGGGTATCCACCCACTGGTGGCGCTCCCGATTTCCTCGTAGTAATAATATGACGCACACCATCAACTTAATATTATTAGGTGGCTTTGAATGTTGCCAAATAGGCAGATGTTGCTTTACAAACTATGGGATATGGATACATCATATACCAAGCCAAGCATTGTAACACCACTGCTTTATTTTTTTCAATCTACACTCAAAGGAGCAATTCATATACCGTGTTATTTTACCTGGTTTCGGAATATACCCTTTGTTAAGCAAGGGCAACTTTGATAATAAAAGCAAGGGGCAAGGTCGAATACATCATATTGGTGTTCACTCTTAAAGCCATTTTTGTGTATTCTGAAGGCTTTGCAATGCATTCTAGCAACATCAGGAAGTCACAAAACCCTGTGAAGCTTAAGCAGGTTGCCTACATACTAATTAAGTGTTTAATGTAACAAACGCATTCGTCCATCTGCCTTCAAGCACACTAATCGAAATGGTAACTACTAAGAACAATGAGGACTCAGCTAACAGAGATTTGTACACACACGGATTCCCTTTGATGGCATTATGCATTGGCTTATGTCTGGCCGTGCTTCTTGTAGCTCTGGTAGGCAAAGATGTTAGCAATGACTTTATAGGCTAATCACTAATCTCTCGTATGGGAACCAGGACAACACGATTCTTTCGGCCGCTATCCCGCGTATCACAGATGAATTCCAATCCATTAACTCAGTGGGTTGGTACGTTTCAGCATACCTTCTGACTACATGTGCATTTCAGCTGAATTTTGGAAAATTATATACCATCTTCCCAATGAGGCCCGTATTCCTGTTTTCTGTGCTAGTCTTCGAAGCGGGATCAGCAGTCTGTGGAGCGGCGCCAACCTCGGCTGTATTGATTCTTGGTCGTGCAATTGCAGGCACTGGGTCTGCAGGTATCTATTCCGGAGCTCTGGTTATGCTGGCACATAGCGTGCCAATCAAGAAAACTCCTACATGTGAGCGGCGCCTGGTTAGTTATTCCTTGTTGTTGGAACGTCAGAACTGACTCCTATAAGACACCGGTCTTTTAATGTCCATGTATGGTATAGCGGCTCTCATCGGTCCTCTGCTGGGGGGGGGTTCACTGATCATATAAGCTGGAGGTGGTGGTAAGTTTTCTACGGGCCACCAATTGCCATCTCTATCTCTGATCCTAATGCGACTTAGTTTCTATATCAATCTCCCAGTAGGGGCTTTATCTGTTGTCTTTATATTCGTCTTCGTGAAGCCTTTGGCACACATGGCGACGAGCCGTAGCTGGAGGAACACGCTATTCAATGATTTGGACATTCCGGGGAGTGCTACGTTACTCCCAGGAGTAGTCGCACTGTTACTAGCCCTACAATGGGGAGGCACGGACTACGCTTGGTCCAATGGCCGAATTATTACTCTTTTTATACTGTCTGCGGTTTTGCTAATTTCCTTCGCTGCTGTGCAGCGCAAGAAAGGCGACATTGCCACAGTTCCCCCACGTATTATTTTACACAGAAGTGTACTATCTGGATGTGTCTTTTCATTTTTGCTGGGAGGGTCGTTCTACACAATGGTATATTTCTTGCCTTTATGGTTTCAGACCATCAAGGAAGTATCCGCCACGAAGTCCGGCATCATGTGTATTCCTTTGCTTCTTTCTATGGTTGTATTAACACTTCTGACAGGGATTACCATCACATGTCGAGGATGCTATGTACCATTTTTCTATATCTCAGCCATTCTGTCGAGCATCGGAGCTGGGCTGCTTACCACATTGACTATGGAAACCAGTCCTGCAAAGTGGATTAGCTATCAAGTAATATACGGCGCCGGGATTGGCACAGGGTTCCAGCTTGCCATTGTTGCTTCACAAGATGTACTGAGCCTTGAGGATGTACCAGTCGGAACCGCATTGGTGACATTTTTCCTAACCCTGGGAGGTTCTATATTCACCTCGGTGGGCGAGAATGTCTTCATGAACAAGCTTATCAGCAGCATTGCGCAGGTGGCCTCTGAGATTGATCCTTTATTGGTTATCCACTCAGGCGCGAGGGATCTTAGATCGAGCCTACCATCAGGACTCCTGGCATTTGTACAGCCAATATATAGTTCAGCGCTGACCATGGCGTGGTGTGTTTCAACGGCACTGTCGGCGGCCTCTATACTTGGGGCTATCGGAATCGAATGGCGAAAGCTGAAGCGTCCACAAATGGTTGGAATTGCTTGAGATCCAGGGTTTTCGGTGACAGGACTCCGTCCGTATACTGTAATCGGACACTGAGTCAACCTACCTCTGTATGTATGATAAAATAGCACAATTTCTCATTAATATCTCACCGGTCGAGGGTTTTCGAGGAGCCTTGAACAAGGTATAATAAGTGGTAATAGTGTATCTATATATTTCATTTTTCCAGGTATATCTCGTAGGTTTTTTTTACCATATAATTGATTTTCAGAAAGCCTTAAAAAATATAGAATTATTACTACCCGAAGAAATATATAAAGAGAAAAAGTTGCCTCGGTGCGTACGACTATAAGTACTGAGGTCGGACCAAATGCCAGGCGTTGAATCGGCTTCACACGTTTGCCGTATCGTTTCTCTGAATGAAACGATACGGTGACATAGTGAGGTCCATCCAGTGAGGCCAGGAGACGTGATTTCAGTACTATGTTAATATATGGATTCAATGGTACACTCGCCTGACAGTTTGTGGTTAAGATATTAAGGGTAGAAAACGTCCACCTTGCAATGTATAGTATAGTTTCACTCGTCGCACTACTCGAGCTGCCTATGCTAACAGGTCTAGGCATCCAAACAATCTGTATCAACGAACAAGTAGCGGTAACGCTTGTTAACACAGGAAGCGAGAACATCAGCCACAGTCAGAATGTGATGAGTCCGAAACAAACATCAAGGAACCATTTGCCATATTCGACGCTGGCTTGACACGGCTCCCAGATAGATTTGAGGCGATCTTTGCCAAACTGTACCGCCATGCAAGGGTTACATGTCCAATCATGATGACCTATATAGTGTTTTAAGTACGGGAGGCTATTCTACTCCTTCAGAGTAAGAATATTCAACTTTCACTAGGAACTCCCTCTAGATCTGAATTTACAGATGGAATGCACTCTACTTTGCTTTCTACTTTATATTGGGCATGCATTCCAGGCCCAAAGTATTCTACTAGGATGATCGTTTCTGCTTTCATCCTCTTGCTATTTACTGCAAGGCAACCCTTCCCCCTTACATATGTAGTTCACTTATTCACAATTAGACATTATATTTTATTCTTCCGTATATGGTATATATTAGCCCAGACTAATGAGGGAAGGCCTGCATGACCTCGCATTTTATTTTTTAGGGCCTTACTTCTCATGGAGACTCAGCGGTGGCCAATACTGCAACCACCTGTTCATGTCTCACTCATTTTACACTAAGTTAAAGAGCTCATTTCTAATCGGTCAGAAAATATCTAGGAGCAGACGTAGAAGCTTTAAGGGTTTAAGCTTGCGTTGAAAAACTAAAAAGGCAAGCGGAGTAGGAATCGCAATGCACATGATTCGCGGGCTCGCGGGCACCAGATATTTTATTTCGGTGAGAGAGTGCAATCATTAACGATACAGCATTACTTTTACAACTCTACAGCCCAATATCATCAAAAAATTGGAAAACATGGCCCTTCCTACAGCAATTGTGGTCGGTAAGTATTATCACAGAAGCGAAATCTGCATAAGATAATAAGCTGACTTTTGTACACAAGGCGCTGGAGCCGGTGGCGTAGCAGTGGCAGCTCGGTTGGCAAAGAATGGATTTCAAGTAACTGTGGTGGAAAAGAATGGCTCGATTGGTGGCAGATGTTCGCTAGTTCACCACAATGGCTATGTGTGTTCCTTTCTTTCTCCTTTCTCCTGATTCCCTTGGATCTTCCACGATTATTCAGGTACTCACACTCCACACTAAGAGGTTTGATCAAGGTCCGTCCCTCCTTTTAATGCCAGAGTTTTTCGAGGAAGTATTCAAAGATTTGGATACAACCTTGGAAAAGGAATGCGTACAGCTAAAGAAATGCAATCCAAACTACCGGATCTGGTTTCCGGATCAGCAAACCATCGATCTTTCCTCTGATATCACCCACATGAAACATGAGGTAGAACGTTTTGATGGTGAGCAGGCCTTTGCTAGATTCCTAGATTTCCTGAGCGAGGCTAGTCGTCACTACAGTCTGTCAGCTTCTCTTGTCCTCCGAAGGAATTTCTTCAGCCTATGGAACATGCTCCGGCCCAGTCTCCTTGGTTCTCTCTGTAGCTTACATCCATTCGAGAGCATCTATTCCCGAGTCAGTCGGTATTTCCACTCGAGGCACCTACGGCAGGCATTCACATTTGGGAGCATGTACTTGGGTATGAGTCCGTTCGACGCTCCCGCAACCTATTCTTTGTTACAGTACTCCGAGACTGTTGATGGAATTTGGTATCCCATCGGGGGGTTCCAAACGGTTAGTAGTCATGATGGTGATATACGGTACATCGCATAGATATTTACTGTTTCTTAGGTTCTAGAGGCCTTGGCTCGTGTAGGGACTCGTTTGGGAGTGCAATACCGACTAAATTGCCCGGTCTCCACCATAAAAGTCTCCAGAGACCAAAGAACGGCAAAGGGCGTCGTTTTAGAATCTGGCGAAACGCTGGATGCCGACGTGGTGATCATCAATGCTGACCTGACATATGCCTACAATAACCTTCTTCCCCCGTCAAAATATGCAGAAAGCTTGAAGAGTCGACAGACATCGTGCAGCAGCATCTCGTTCTTCTGGTCGCTTGACACTACTATTCCTGCTCTTCAGAACCATAACGTCTTCTTAGCGGAAGAGTATCGAGGAAGCTTTGATGCTATATTCAAGGAACACCGCATGCCGGAGGAGCCGTCGTTCTATGTCCATGTTCCCAACCGCTTGGATCCCTCAGCATCCCCTGAGGGTAAGGATGCCATCGTAATACTCATCCCTGTAAGCCATCTTGGGGGCGAGAGTGGCAACATAGAAAGTTCCAAAACGTACTGGGATTCAGTCGTCACAGAGACTCGGAACAAGGTGCTAGAAATCATTGAAAGGCGTACCGGTGTTTCCAACCTGGATAAGAAGATAATACACGAAATGGTGGAGACACCTTTGTCCTGGAAGAACAAATATAATCTCGATCGCGGAGCTATTTTGGGTCTCTCGCACTCTTTCTTCAATGTCCTCAGCTTTCGGCCCAAGAATCGCCACGCAGGTATTGATGGTCTCTTCTTTGTCGGTGCAAGCACTCATCCAGGAACCGGTGTTCCTGTCTGTTTAGCTGGCAGCAAGCTCGTTAGTGAAGAGGTTGTATCAGCGATGCGCGGGTGGAAGCCTAGAATCATCAGCTGGCGCTTTTCACTGTTAGCGGTCATGGTAATCTACATGGCGTATCGCATGCTGGACTTTTATGGCCAGCTTGTTTTGTTTTCTTTTTAACATGGGGTATTGGGGTTTGCGATAGCCCGTGTATGACTATATCGCATTTAACCTGGTAGTCTATGTCATTACTTGCATGCCCGATGGATAGGAAGTCTTCAATGTTGTACTTTACACCTGCACATACTTGTAGACCGGTAAAGGATTGATAGAAAGACGAGGGGAGTTTCCATGTGTAACGGAAGCTCTGCGCAATATCGTTCATAATTTATGGCTATTGACCTATTGTGTACTAGCTCTTTAGGTAATCCGGCTTGACAACCATCGTAGGGTGAGAAGCCGTACCACAATATCTTCTAGGTGCTACTGAATCATATGCACTCCAGGATGTGCCACAACCTCTGGTGATACTATTCTGCCTAAAGTCAAGGGTATACCCTGAACAAGACTTCAAAATACCGTAGCTGATATATCAAGTTGAGCTGCCTATTTAGTCAGCATACAGGATGTAATCATCATCGTTGTTACTATGCCGTTAATTTACTAGGTATAGATACTGAGAAATATATCATCTAGGACATGAAATAATAAAGTGCTTACGACACATACGGGCTGGTGGATGGGAATATAGAGCGCTTCTCGGTGCAATATATTGGCCACACGAAGCTTTCGTAATAAGGAAAATATATCACCTAAATGATGCGTCGAGGAAAGTACATATATCTATAGATTATATGATCTGACCGAAATAACGGCAGACTTGAAGAGTTTCCTCGCTGAATTTCTAGGCTGGGTCAATATCTGAATCATTTCGTGCTATCTGCCAAATATCGACTAGCAGTGAAAGCTACAATGAGACAAAATATTGGTCCACTAACTAGGTCCAAGATACCGTACAGAATTCCTTCCAAATCAGGAGAGAGAATGTTTGCCCCTTCACACAATCCCCAGACAAGCCCATATCCGCTCCAGAGAATGACCATGAAAGAGCTGCATAGAACATACATATGTCTCATCCTAGGCTGATTTCTTTTGACTAACTTGTACCCAGAACGGCAGATGACTAGTTTCACTGGTACACATGCAACAGCTCCATATGCACTAATTTGTTATATGAGTCCCCGTAAAGCAGACTAACATTGTGGAAGAGTTGGCGACTTACTAGTAAGCCCATTTGTACACATTTGGAATAACAGCCCCACCTAACCCCATTGCCATTACCAAAACTGTCATGAAGGCGTTCAATAATATTAAGTCAATTGGTGCGGATGCTAATAGCAGCAGTTCAGTCATTTCAAGCGGCGTGGCGAGAAGCCTACAAGGCAGTTAGTTTACAGCAATGCATACCTAGATTCCTAGCGGATATGCTCCAGTAAAGGTAAAGGTGCAAGAGGTTAGAAATACCAAGCTACGTATCTAATCCAGTATACCTGTCGTACGGGGCCAACAGAGCCAGAGGGAACCGGTCGGTGTGGAAACTCCGCCACGACCCCCACCCATCCTAGCCGAGCAGCCATAGCAAAATAACCCATAGCAAGTAGATAGCAGGAAAGGGCTGAGAGACAATAGTACTGTGGAAGGTGGCGGCTTCTGGCCGTGAAGCACTGAATCAAAAAGTAGACACTGCTCACTTGGAATATGCCTGTCAGGACCCAATACCTGGTGTCATGTTATCTTCAGAGCTCCCAAGAATTGATTTTCTCCACTTACCAAGTACTCCCAATGTTTGTGATTGAAACTACCGTCCCTTCCTGGGATGTCATCGCATGGGCTGCTGTGATCGATACCATGTCGCCTGCTAACATTTCCTGTAGGTAAAACAAACCAATATTAGCGTATGTGTGTAGACGTTAATGATAAAGAACTGCTACTTTAACGAACAAGGAGGTAAATATACAACTTCGTGATACAGCATGTTATTGCATATTTCCCAGTCTCATTGATTTACCGCCTGAGGTACCCACAAAGTGGCAAGCCCCTTGCAGATAAAACTGTATCCCTGCAACGAACAAAGGTTTTCAGGAAAGGTTATTTGTCCAAAATTTCTAGTGAAAAATTCGCAGGCAAAGCAGCTATGCGCCTCTTGTACGAGGCAATATGGTGAAAGAATCTATTGCCAGTATAATCTCTAACTCCTCGTCAAGTTTGCAGCTGTTCCTGCATTTGCGCTGTAAGTATGGTCCACCGAGTCTGCCTACAGAGCGGCCAGAAGACTACATAATAAATAATTAACTAAATCACACATACAGATAATCGTACAAGGGCGAAGAGTGTCCGCATGACAGGTCTCAATCCTTCAGCGGTGTGCTACTTTACCCCCTTCCTTAGGACCAGTCTTATTTGCTGTTCGCCCTTGTAAGTAAGGACGAGTCCTCACTGCTGTGTTCAAAGTTTTACGGTTATCACTTGGTGCTCTCTCGCTGCCAACTTAGAGATGTAGTTGATATATACAATGCAGCATTGCCCAATGTCGCTGCGGCATCGATTGGTAAAACCGCTGGATAGTTCTATTAAGATGCTCATCGCGCATACATGAAAAGCACTGTGGGGTTGACTTCAATAAATCATAATAGTTAGTCTCGTGGTCATCTTCGAGGATATCCCAGACTGGCAAAGCCCACCCGGTATCCACCCCATCCAGCCTGATAGTAAGGCACTTTCTAATTGACAGTTAGCCTGTACGACTGAAATCGAGACTAGGATGTACAACGACTCCTCCATCTTACCGCAACCACGCACTTCGCAAGAAAATCTAGACCCGAAAGTGCCTCCGACTGGACCCAACATCGATTCAGCTATTCTTTCCAAGGCGTACGGACCGGGACCAGTAATTATCAGTTTTCAACGGTTCAACCCGAATCCAAGCCGAACCCGCGCCTAATTGGGCCGAGCCGCCTTGTGGGCTCCATTAAACTAACCTACTTAAGTATGGTGATCATGTATTAGTATTCCAGAGCTGTTTCTCCGCTCCTCTTGAATCATGTGGGGCAGTTCCTGAACCATGCGGAACTATAAGCCTAGCGTGGGATCGTAGTCCTGGACTTCAATTGATCATTATGGTTGCGTGTGTTGTTAGGCCTTCTGTCTAATCATGGCCTTAACTCTATCGCCCATTGCCAAGCAGGTTAGTCATTACCTGCATTATATTTAACTCCCAAAAAAATATTACCCATCTCGAAATCCGCCGCTAGACCTTGACCTCCTTCCTACTCTAGTCCAATAGCTCGCAATATAGGCACCCAAGACATTCAGCTACGATACTATACCGATTTCAGGGCTCTCACAGGAAGGTGATTGCCTCTGGATGTACCAATTTAGGAACTCCCACGAACAACCTGGGCGTTAGCCTATGTGTTCCCAGAGTTCGAGTTTTCCCTGTGTGATCTTGAGGTCATGATCTACTATACTAGTCAAAACTCTGACCATTATTTTGGCACAAACTTCTAGTAGTGATGAAATTCCTACGCGAGGAGAGCAAACTTGTTGGGAAATGAGTCTTAGAGAATGAGGAGATAAGAAGACATCTGGGGGCCAAATCCGATTTCGTACGCATATGCGAAACGGAAGAATATATACAACATGCGTTGCAGGAACTGTTTCGTATTTGCCTGACCAGAGAGGAACAGATGAGGATACAGGGAACTTCGGCATTAATTATGCCATAGAGAAGCAGTCGTTGCGAGAAATATTGGAGTGTTTTGAATTTTGGCCTTTATACGAGAAGGCTTCCTCAATCTCGATTATGGACATGGAGAAATAAACACATCCAATAGAAGTCCATGGCGTAGGGAAGCCGAAAAAATCCGATGGGACTGACCCGAGTTCAATTGACCCGACGTGATGCCGAGCGAGGCCACATCCGCCATGAGTCATACACAATAAGCGGGATAGCAGTTTTCCCTGAAATAGCTACTGAGCGATGAGAATACATAGTAGATCGTGGAATCTACGAAAATCAGTCATCGTTATCATGAGGATGCAGCCATCGCCCTATAGAAATTGGCTGGTGAAACTCGTCAATACTCTAACGACCAGCTGATCCAATGGCTCGGACGTCTTAAGACTCCCAGAGTCTCTCCGCCAGTATCTACAATGCCCTACTGAGTTTCCAAAAACAGCCCAGGCATTGTACACCCTCATGAAATGTCAAATCACAATATTTCCATATGGGAATCTCTCAGTCCACTACTCTCAACCCACTTGGTAGATATCCGCCCGGAGTCCCTGTATGAAAAAATGATGGGGCCCAGGAATTCGGCGACGAGGGGGTTACTGTATGGAGCTGAGTATTTCCTTCCATCATATGTTGCGCGGCTTGGGGTTCGACGTATACATGACCGGAGTCAGAAATCGGAGCCGACCGGATGGGGTACCTGGCGGGGACTACCTTGGTTGGTAAGTGAACTAAACATGGTATTTAAACACCCAATCACTAACGGACTGCAGGACTCACATTGTCAATATTGTCCATCTCCCGTCGGGCGAAAGGTTGTCTCTTGACGTTGCCTCGGAGGGGATGGGCCGACAAGCCCGCTTCCGATGAATGATCTAAGGAGAGGGACTTCCAATCTAGGCCCACAGCAGATTCGCCTCATTCACGATACTATCTCTAAAAAACAACTTGACACTCGAAAGCTCTGGATATAACAATATCGTAACGGGGACGACAAGGAATGGAACTCGTTCTACAGCTTCTCGGAGATCGAGTTCTTCCAGGAGGACTTCGAGGTGATGAACTGGTTTGCCAGCGCAAAGACACTGCATAGGTGGACGGTTTGGTAGTACGCTTTCTTCGGGCAGGAGAGTCCTATCTTTGATGAAAGGGCAGCAACGCAGAGTTTGTTAGATGCGGAAAATTTTGGCAAGGTCATGCTTATTAACAATGTGGTTAAAGTGAACCTCCGGGGAAAGACAAATTGTATATTCATTTGATACGGAGAGTGGACGGATGAAGGCCTTGCGAGATAACTTTAGAATTGACTTAACCCGTGGCCAACGAGATAGCATTCAAGGATGGGATATGGCTCTAAAATAGCGAGAATGTCTCTGCCAGAATCAATGGCGACTTGGTAATACATCACCATGGACAACAGAGCTTGAAGGGAATGACCTTCCCGTTCAAGTAGAGGGGTTGTGATAACGACGCAAGGGTCTATTACTCCATGAGCATGATTCTGGCGGATGGCTCAGCAGGCTAGGTATGTTCAGTGGCCACATTCCTGTATTGTGTCCAGGGTTGCCTTCTTGAGCACGCCTTTCGGGAGGACGGCTCGGAGTGGATACGCAGTGCTCAAAGGAACATGGACTTGACAGGTATTACAACTGTCGTCATCAAAAGGGATCTGTTGGCACCTGAAATGCCACAACCGTCGGAATGGCTTATGCGACGCTTAGGGCTCCCTTGTCCGCTCGCTATATTTGAATATGCTTTCCTCAATCCATGGCTCCTCCTCGCCCAGCGATTTATTGTATACTAAAACACAGATTATATTAATAACAATCATGGCAGCGACACAGCCACGGGTTCCAATCATTCCCTTTAGTCCAGCACGACTACCATCCCACAATAATATCCTCCCCGGACGCACGTTTTCTCCCGAGAAGCTTGACCCCAAACATGCCAAGGAGCTCTTCACAGAGATCCTTCTAGGACATTAATTTAGAACTATATTGGCGATGGACCATACCCTGACTTGTGCACCTTTAGGAATGCTGTCGCGTTTCACTCACTGTCCACCAATGTGTTCTTTTACGCAATCATCGAGGAGCGCAACACGAAACCCAGTTTTGAAAAGGTGATCGGGTATTTATCGTTCATGCAGATCAATCCTGACCACCTGAGCACTGAGGTGGGCAATGTTTGTTTTCGCCTGCACTCCAGCGCGCGCACCACTGGTGCCACCGAGGCTATTTATCTTCTCGCTTGGTATGCTTAAATGATTTAGGGTACCGACGACTGGAATGAAAGTGTGGCTCTAAGTGAGCCGATGTGTCGCGCGGCATCGCGACAAGGGTCCATCTATGAGGATCCTTTCGCCAACACATGGTCTTCAAGGGGCGAAGCGGAGACACGAGTGGTTTTCGATCTTCTGGGAGGAGTGGAATACTACGCTCAAACAAGCAATGGAGAAGGGGTTGTATGAGGGAAACTCCCAAGCCGATGGCAGTCAGGAAAGGTCGCTCCAGGTCTTAAGGACTGAATGCATGGCGAGTGGCGAGTATGGATCTAGATAAGTCTCCGTCAACTTGTTCACCGTCTCCGCGATGTATCAATATCGGACTGCGAAAGGAAAATATATATGAGTACTTCACTGTAATTTGCTATACACCAATGTAAAAGATTTGCTTGACGTTGGACACCAAGTCAGTATTAGATTCTACCATAGGTATATCAACCACCTCCAATCATCTCATAAAAAAGCATAGCAAATGTAGAGCATCTGCGAGCCCCAGCATATACCTTATCAAATGGATATTTTACAAGGGGCAGCGCCCCTTAACAACAATCTACATAAGGAGTTTGACTAGACAAGCCATATCGTGAGCCAACCTCGAAAGGCCATTACCCAACGACAACAGCCCTAGGTGCTCAGGTATTGTTGGGTACCCATGCGCAGCGAATCATAGGTATTGAGTAGCTCGAGGTTCATATCCAGCTGATTCCGGCAATCGTTACTTGCGTCTCGCTGCTACCAAAACGGTAGTCAAGAACACGCTAAATGATGACCTTGCAATCTGCGCATAAGTCGCCATTTAGCGCCGATGGCCTAAACCAGTTCAAAACTCCTATAAGCAAACTCAGCTCCTGGATGACTCGGTATTGATCTCGCAGATTTAACGTTGGGACAGAGGCTCGAAGAGCTCTTGGCAGAGAAGGATCCAATTTGCGCATTCGGTATAAATCACGAACGAAGCTCCTAAGATGAAATAACACTAAGTTTCTTGATGTACATCCAACCTGTATTCCTTCGTTTATACCCGCCACCAAACAGCCCTTTTCAAAGCAAATCCCCCATTTGTTTGCGCTTGAAATATCGCTCGATGATTGGCAGAGCTAAACATAGCCAGACAATGGTTATAGCCACCCAAGCAACACCAAAAGCATATCCGTTGGTCTCTTTGAATCGTGGGGCCTGGGACGTAGGGAACATGAATTGTTGAGTTACCGTTCCAACTGCGCTATAAAGGTTGACAGATGATACTGTTAAAATATAGAAGTATTTACTATGCCAAAAAGGCCCACTTACTATCCAACCGAGATCATCAGAGAAGTGGCCAAGGCACGCAGCTGCTTGTCACCACCGCAGCTTGAATTTAACCAAGCACCTATCAAAGGCGAAATGGCACCGTATGCGCTACAAAGGTAGTAGGTTGCCATCATGAAAGCTTCGTTAGTTGGCCAAACCAAGAAAGCAACATAGGCGTATAGCTGAAACAATCCGAGTCCGAGAAGGACCAATGGAGGGTTTTGGGTCTTGTCCACCAATGCGGAACTAACCAACATCCAAACGAGTTCCTGGTGATAAATCAAGTTAGCCGATAGACGTAGATACAGCTCTGGGGTGGTGTGGGGGGGGGTTCTTACCACGCAGCCAATGATGGTGGGGAGGTTGTTAATCTTCTCGATGCTGTATTTGTTGTGCCCGTTAACTTTCAATGATTTTAAGTACAGAGTCATCCACCTCTGTAAGTTGACACCGCAGGTGCATTCCATAACTCTATAGATGGTTACAATGACCTGTCTCACAAGAAGTCATAGGAGCATTTTACTTACGCCCATGCGACACAAAATGCATAGAGCTGCCATGAGGAGAAAATACGCTTGAATGCTGCGATATTCCAGCTCGCTTTCATGGCATCGCGATCCTCATCGGCTAGACGATCAATGCAAATCTGACGCTCCTTCTCGGTCATCCACCATACCTTCGAAGATCTTGGTTCATCTTGTAATTACGGTAGCTGTATTAGCCTTCCTGGTGATAACTTCAGGAGTACAAAGGGACCTGAACCTCTGCATACCCGGACAACAGAAGAATCCAAAAAGAGCAACAGGGATACCGATAACAAAGTCAAATATGAACACCCATCTCCAGGCCGCCAACCCCATGTGGTGGTACATATTATGATACCTAGATCATGATAATTAGCGTTCGTAATCCAAAGTATTCCGAAGGGAGGTACCAGACAGGCCAGCTTGAATGAAACCTGAAACCATTTGTCCACCGACCGAAGAGAACATAAATATCGAGGACCGCCGACTAATTTCGGATGATCGATACCAACTTCCAATCTTCTAAAAATGTAAACATAGTCTCCATCGTCTCAGATTGTATACATGCATACAATGTAGAAGGCACCGGGGATGGCGCCGGACTCGAATAAACCCGTAAAGAATCTAGGAATAGTTAGCAGCACCTTCTCCTTCAACGATCCAACGTGGGAGTTACCGGAGAACATAAATCGCCTTTGCCGACTCTGCCTTGTACATAAACAGAACGAAGAACGACCAAAACATGGTGCAAGTCGATAGCCAGTAACAAGGTTGGACCACTGTGAGCGCCATGGTGAAAAATGGAGCCCCAGCCATAACCCCGATGTTAAAGTACGTCGTAAACCAGTTCAGCTCATTTCCTCCTATAGGCATATAAGAATGAGCATTAGGCACAACTAATAGCATTCAGCTCACTCAGATCTAAGTCTTCCTTCATCCCTGAAACGTATGCATTCGTGACATTTGTTTGGTCCTTGGAAGAAGCTGGTAAGCATGTATTATGTGAATGTTTGCGTTGACGGGGTCTTACTAAGTATTTCACAAAGAATGTCTGTCTAAATTAGCAATGAAGCAACTGAGGGGCTATTCTCCGATGCCAAGTACATAGGCTTACTAGACAGGTATAGAGCAGAATGAAGATGTCCAATTTGAAGATTAGCCACTTCTCTTCTGTGCTCGTCCCTGGTTCGTGCCAGTGTAAAAGCCGCCGTGCGTGGTTTAGGCTTTTTCTGGACAGGGGGTTGCCATCATCTATGGCAGGGTTGGTCGGTACTGAACTTGTAGTATACTCTGGCGCAGCCATTTGCAGTTATTGTTGACTAAGGTCTTCACTATGCTTTCACAAAATAGAATATGCTGAAGACAAAAGTCCAAGACACCAAGTTTATAAGAGGGCTTGCCGTGTATCCAGTCCCAGAGACAAACTGCGTTTAGCTTTAGGACCTTGGTGGAAAGAGACTACTAATAGATCTTAAGAAAACATTTTTGATTTTTCGGATCCACATATCTCACCTATCTCAATGTAAGTAATTCTTAGGAAAGTTAATGTTATCGTTCGCCACAAGACTCTAAAAACTATAGACGATTACACATGCACGAGCATGACCCTAACGGGGTACATGATTCGTAAAGCTTGGGCATCGCCCCACGCCTGTTTACCCAGATAATGCGGTTGATTGAGATTATTTTCACTGAACTTCGTACAAATCTAGGCGGAGTTGAATAAGGGACTAGTACAATGCCCATGAGAGGAAGGTGGCCCAGGCGGACTCCCTTCACACCAGGGACAGAAAGTCAAGCAATTGTTGCTTAAAAGCTGATGTGGTAGAAATTACCTTTTTCTTTTTTGGGTTTTTTATATGGCACTTGTTAAAGCAGACCTACTCTAACTATGCTGTATACAATATGTGATCATTTGCTATGTACTTTGCACGCGCTGCAGTGGGTTGTTAGCCGGAAAGGTCCGGGAAGTTGTCTCATTTGCATTTCATCTTTACGAATTCACATATATTGGGAGCCAGTCCTGACACGAGCTGGGTTCGTTCAGTTGGCAAAATGATCTTACCGAAGTAAAGGACAGCACATGAGAAGTACATAGTGAGGTACGTCTTGATTTCTCTTTTCCCACAAGCCCCCAGGTCTAGTAACCTAGATAATGAACTACTCCTAGCGAGTCGATTACCTATAGAAAACCATATTCAGGTAATCGTTCCAGACCTCATCCATAATTTCCTAGGGATGCATAGAGATTCACATGTGACTTAGAAAGGATCAAATCCTAGAGATAGGCTGCCGTTACATCGACTGGACCACTGTTGATACACTAAGTCTAGGCAACATTGTTCCCTAGCTTCTGAGGTTTCTACCCCCATTGGTAAGGTATTATCTATCCCTTATTCTCCTACACAGCATGTCTAAGAACGACTAGCTAGCGGCTACACCCGACGCTGTGGGCTATAAGGCGACTAGCTTAGACGCGCCTCCAAGCAAAACCGTGGGAAATCGATTTTTCACCCGCAGCGACGCCCCAAGATGCAACCGTGGTACGCTATAAGCCCTACGCTACCCACGTCTAGTTTAAATAAGGGCCCTGGTGGACTGCCAAATGCCACGAGTTGATCTAGGGCTAAGTTGATACATCAGACCTTAGTTCACGCTAAAAAGCAAAACCACACAGATGTTATTCCCATTACGAACCGTAGAAAAAGCCCATTAATCTGGGACCTAACACGACGGGAAATGATCGCGAGTTGCGATAGTGATACAGCAATAGTACGCTTCGATCTAGGCAAGGAGTGACGGGCGGAGAAAAGAGAACAATCCCCGTAGCAGTAAAATAGAACATCAAGAACAATTGTTCCCATCCGTTGCCTCGACCAATCATAAAATTACCAAACCTAGATCAGGTCGTTATGATGCGTTCTCGGGTTTAACGGATTCTCTCTACTAGAAATTTGCTATTTCTAAGCCATGATTCTTTTCATTTGAACATCCAGTTGGGAAGAAAACCGGAAATATGCCTCCGGACCCTTAGTAACCTTTCTGTGCGTACCAATTCTGTGCTACGACAAGATAACTATGGCAGTCGTTGGGTGTTGTATTCACCACTCTTGCTCAAGTTGCTTCCAAAGACCAGCCCACCCTACCAATCAAGGTCAATCAGTATCCTCATATCGCTACTTATCACTACTCTTAAACGCTCAAGGTCTTAAAGACATGGTTTAAGGTAATAATACTCTCTTTCCTTCTAATACAAATCTTGCCGCTTATATGATGCATTGAATATAGTGTCTCCTATTGATCCAACAATATACAATGGGCTTACCAATTTATGATCAACATTTAAAAGCAAAACAAATATTGGTGATATATATATTTATATACTTAGTGTATATGGAAAGTTGACCACGAATTCATCGATAAAGGTTTAAACCATAGTCAGCTAGTATCCTTACAAGTTAACTATTGTTTGATTCTTTGAACCGTATATAGGAGAAAGCCCCATTATTTCATGTAGTAGCTTGGAATAGTAAGATATGAGAAACCATCATACTACTCTGTAGGTTTCACTCATTCCTGAATTGGACATAGGCCGCTGTATATTGGTGCCAAAATCGGTCTTTTGGGGTTGCATTTAAGATTAATTAACTGTTTGTCTCTTGTAGGGAGTGTGATAACGGCATAAACCCCGATATCTTCCTGTAATATCCATTTGTAGACATGGGGTATATACCTAGGGCAGTATGGGTCAGCCGATGGATGGCACGGGATCTCACCCCGCCCCCAACAATAAACTAGTCATTCCATCCCACCGACAACATTCCCAGCAAAATTCCTCGCTTGCTACACGAATATTAAGGATGATCCCCAGTAGGTGCGGTTAGATGCATTCACAACCTTGACATACTATAGGGGGGAAATGTGCCAAGAACATACCAATGACGGCTTGACAAACAGGCCGCGGAACATAGAAGCAGAGGTCTGAATGGGAATATGACAAAATGCATCTAGTTAACTAATTTTTATTGCGATGGTCTAGCGTCAAGCTCAACCTCTCTCTCCTCGTCGGTTTTCCAGTACCAGTACGAGAATGGCAGACGCTATCAGGCCTATAGAGCCGGACAGTATGTACGTATCCATAGCCGTCCAGCTATGATCCTGATCCGCAGAAGTACACAGCCATTCTAACGGCACAGCTACTCCCCAACGACGAAGCGGAACAAGATCGTCTGGATATGGTGCACCACATTTTCCGCCTAGCATTACGCGGTGAGCTATTCTTGACAAAGCTGGATAGTTCTCAGCAGATCTTGGACGTGGGAGCCGGGACGGGTATTCGGGCGATTGAAAGTGAGCACTTCCATGTATCGATGGGCACAAAGGGCCCTCTTAATATGGAAAACGCTAACGAGGAACGTGCTCTCGAAATACAGCCGGCGATATGCATCCTTCTGTAGAGGTCATCGGCACAGACCTAAGCCCCATCTAGCCCGCATGGTAGGCCCAAAGGCTTCCGATATGAAATCGTACTGAACCTCCCTCAGGTGTCCTATCCAACGTACGGTTCAAGATTGACGATGCCTGCGATGAGTGGACGTTCCCGACCGAACGTTTCGATTTTATTCATGCGCGGACATTGGCGGGCAGTATCCTTGACTGGCCAAAATATTTGGACGCGTGCTATAGGTATGTTCTTCGGTGGTAATCCAATCTCCCCAATTTTGGGATAAATATACATTGGCTATCGGATACATAGAAAGCGAACTCTTATCTTGTTTAAAGATCCCAGGCCTGTTGGCAAAGTGGAAATTGCAGAAGGACGGGCGAATTCTGGTGTGACGATGGCTCTCCACCAGAGGGGAGCAGGGAGCACAACTGCAAGTGGCTTGTGAGTATCTATTTTCTATTCCTGAACGACCTTCGTAAAATTAGCCCGAGGGCTAACGTGTTCTAAGACTGAATTCCTTCGAATCGGTGTAGAGTTAAACTTTCTATTCAACGTCTTTCCCTCGATACCATGCCACCTAAGAAGATAGGGGTTCACTGATGTTCAGAAGCGGGAGGTGGTGGTTCCTGCCGGGCCTTGGCCGAAGAGTCCCTGGCTCAAGGAGTTTGGGAAATGGTTTCTGATAATTCCTCGAAAGTGCACTCGAAGCTTACACGTTGGCGCTCTTCGCGCGAAATGGCTGGAGTGAAGACAAGGTACAGGTTCTTTTAGCTGGCGTCAGGAGTGAGATGAAAGAATGGCAAAATGCATCTCTATACATACTGGTATGTTGTTCCTAGTACTCCGAGTCATTTCACTGACGAAAGACTATTTTCGGCCTTTGTAGTTCCTTTGCTACTGCATCAAAGCAGTACTCAGACTAAACCTTATACAATGCCCAACGCCGGCTACATGTCTGTCGCTATGTGACTTGATGTTGGTATTGCTGCTCAGATAAGGTACTATGGCTAAAGTAGAGAGCGCACCACCACTACCTTAGTGCAATATATCACTAAGCTCAGCAAAAGACTGATAGCCTAGATTATCCGACCATAGCCACAACTGGCTAGCATCAGCAAGACCTGAATCGGCTAACGTAGAAATATTTCCATCCCAGGAAAATCCGGCCGATGAATCTAAAGCAGCGATCCCATGCTCCGGTCCTTCCAGAGTTTGCCATGTGTTATTACCGGTGTCAGGCCCAGGTACCCCCGTTTGCTGGAGTGGGTATTGCGTGTGGCTGGCCAAGACTGTGCGGCCCTGTCAGCAAGGTCCAGCTAAACGGATGTGTATGCCGATATAGGAGCAATACCTTCTTGAAGAGGAGTGAGAGACGTCTGAGTAGTCGCTAATGTATGAGAGATTTCACTGTTAGCACTCATCTGGGTTTGGTCAGAGCCAGAGAGACTGTTGGCAGGGTAGCGATTTCCGCTAGCTTTGAGTCTTGAGCTTGAGTCGGAAATGGGATCACCGAGAATAGTTCGTTGCTCAGCCTGCATGACGACGGCGACAAGGTCCTCGAGAATCTTGACACTCTGGAGCGATAGGACATGCTGGGATGAGACCCTCTCCCTTTGGAGGCGAATGATTCGCATAATACCTGCCTTTGCCTTCTGGCTGATGACAGATAATGGTTCCATGAGGGCAAGCGCGCAGAGAACGACACCGGATGTGAACAGGCAAATGCCGATATGCATTACAGCATGTGTCCTGCGACAAGCCTCTAAGAGATGAGGATATCGGTACAACTCCGAGGTCCGCAGCGCAGATTCTAAGAGTTGTTGACGAGAGAAATTGGAGATTTCACTTCCGAGTGCTTCTTTGGCCAAATCGACTTCATGGCCAACATCTCCAAAGGCAACACTCCGGTGCAGGATGATCCGAAGATTGTCGTAGGTCAATTGAAGAGCAAGCGCTGCAAGCTGCAACAATGATGGAGGCCTGGATGTATCCTCATTTGTGTAAGTCTCTAGTCGCAGGATATCAGGAAATTGTCCCTCCCACGTGACTAGTTGACTATGGATGGATTTCACTGTCTCCACTCGATTGGTTTGGAGTCGCCTCCCTAGGAAAGGGCCCATAGTTCGGTAGAGCCTGAATTTCCATCGATGATATTCTAGCAGAGGACCTTGCCGAGGGCTTATGTCCCCAACGTCTGTGACCAGGCCAATATTGCAATCAGAGTCATCTATACTACATGGCCGCCCAAACGCTATAGCTGCATATCTAGAATGAACCAGAATTACCTTAGAGTGTATTCCATATGAGTATCGGCTTGAAGAACATACTTGTCGAAGACTTCCAAGGCCCACCATGAACGCCGCCTCGACTCTTGCGCGATATCTGACAAATTCTGCCACATCGATTCGCGGTGCAGTCCAAGAACCTGTGCGATCTTTATACCACTGCCTAAGATCCCCAATCCAACGGTGGGGCGGCCATTGAATAAATGAAAACTACCCAGGAGCACGCAAACCTGGACGGCTTCCACATTCGGACATCCAATGATTCGCAAGAACTTGTATTCGATCTGAGCGAGAAGCCGCTCGGAGAGAAGCGGTAAGCTCTGGTGGTCCTCTTCAAGTGACTCAGAAAGGGATGAATAGTGGGCACCGAGTGCAAGGACCAACAGCACAAGCCAAAGAAAGTTGTTGTCTGTTGCTGCAACATGTACTGAAGCTATTAGATGCTCATATCGTTGTCGGAAGCTTCCTTCGTGAAATACCTGGTCCAAAAATGTCAGATAGGACGAATACACTGATGACGAGCCAACGTTGACACATAACAACGAACATACCATCATAAACCAGTCTACGGAGTCAAAAAACTGGGTAATCAACGCATCGAGGACATCCTTTTCAGGTAGCTGTATACCGATTGTATCTCTCCATGGTGTTGGGCTGGAGAGGAAGGGGCTAGCTGGCTTTTTGCCCCCTGGCAAGGCGGACGTGTCATACTCTATGTCATATTGTTGATCAATGCGAGAAAACATCTACCATGGTCATAGCATGGCTAGTCAGCTCACTCGGACAGTGTGGAAAAGCTACTCTAGTGCATCTCATTACCCGAGTACTCAGATCGACAATGTTCAGCTCTGGAAGAACCACAGTATCACCATCGTTCGCGCGAACGCTAGGGGGTCGTCCTTCATCGTGGCTACCTTGCTGGACGACTGGTGCGGCAATTGGTACCGTCGGAGATGATCGAGCCACTGCCTCCCCACGCGGGATACATGTTACACCGGCTCGGACACATAACTGGCACGGGCGTTGTTGATCGCACTGGCAATACGATCATTTTCAGCTTCGATCTCAGCGCGGTGGACCTCAATCGAGCCAAGAAACGCCACATACCCCTAATTTCCGTCGTCGACATCTCTCACAGGCGGACGAAACCTTCTGACGCTTTCTAGCCGGGTCCATATTCAGAAGAAGCAACTGGAGTCCTAGTCAAGGGAGAGAGATCACTAGGTGTGGATGAATCTCCGACGGAGTTGCACAGTCCGCAGCGTGGCGTCCGTCGGACTTACATAATCGCTCTAGATTCATTCGCCTGATGTCATCGCTTGTCTTATACTTTGCTTCAATTATATTTAAACTGTTATATTTCCCAATGGAATTGACACACAGTACACCAAATTGTTCGTCCGAGAAAGATTGTCTCCTGAGCATCAATTCTATTATCACTTTTACTAAATTTGGCAATGGCTCCCCCACGCAAGGCTTTGATTGCGATCACCTCCGCCCACGCGCCGCTCTACCCCGAGGGCAAAGAGACTGGTCTGTTCATTACTGAGGCTCTTCATCCATTCAACGTTTTCAAGAAGGCCGGCTTTGATGTGGACCTTGTCTCCGAGACTGGTACCTATCAGCCGGATTGGTTGTCCCAGCAGAAGGATTGGCTGCCCGATGAGGACCGCGCCGTCTGGGAGGATCATTCCAGTGAATTCCGATCCAAGCTCGATAAGTTGCTGAGGCCCAGCGACATCAATCCAGACAACGTAAGTAAAGCACTTTGTCAATGCAAGTGTCATGTTTCTAACACCGTCGCTTGACCAGTATGGCCTTTTCTTTGCTTCGGCTGGTCATGCGTCGTTAATTGACTACCCTGATGCCAAGGGTTTGCAGTCCATTGCTGCCAAGGTGTACACTGACGGTGGTATTGTGTCCGCTGTGTATGAACACCCTGGAACCTCCTGAGCTCTCTCTTTTCCGTATACTAATACCCTACCAAAGCTGCCATGGAGGAGCCATCTTCCCCGGCATCATCGATCCATCCACTGGAAAGTCTGTTATCGCCGGTCGCAAGGTTACCGGCTTCACCACTAGGGGTGAAGAAGAGGAAGGTGTCCTAGATACGATCAAGAGCTGGAAGAGGCCTACTATTGAGGCCTCGGCAGCTTCTTGTGGTGCAACTTGTATGTCTTCCCTTGACATCATTCGGATCTTCTAATTAATGGTGGCAGATGTCTCTCCTGCTGGACCCTGGGATGCATTCACCATCACTGACGGTCCTATCGTCACTGGGGCAAACCCAGCGAGCGCTCATGTCACTGCTGAAGCTGCTGTGAAGGCCTTCAACGCCTTGTAAAGTGTTCTGTGGTGATGAAACTTGAGCTGTTGGTCACGAGCAAAGATGCCGTCTTAATGATTTTTTGCTATGAAGAATGCCACTACTCTCTTTCATCGGTCTATCTGCTTTCAAGAGAGTCTCAAACCCTTTAATTCGGGCCACATTTACCCGTATCGTGCATTTACGACCTCGTCATCGAACCAGACGGGCGCCACTCCGTAGTTCATCAGCGTACTTTTGACCTTTGTGTAACTCTCATAAGCCTCCAGCCCATTTTCCTTCCCCATTCCACTTTCCTTGAACCCACCCCAAGGTGACGATGGGTCATTGAGATGATGGCCATTAATCCAAACAATACCCGCGTCGATCTTCGCCGCAACGCGATGCGCCTGAGTAAAGTCATTCGACCAGACAGAAGCACCCAGGGCAAACGGCGTGCTATTCGCAATCGAAACAATCTCCTCCTCCGACTCACATCGAATCAACGCAATCACTGGTCCAAACACCTCATTACAAGCCAGATGTGAATCTGCCCGTACCTCAATAACCGTCGGCTCAAAGAAAAACCCCTTCCCATCAGGCCCTGTGGTAGCACGTCCACCACACATAACGCTCCCCCCATCCAGAACCGCCCTCTCGACAAAGGCCAAACACCTCGCCACCGCTGCCCGCGAGATCACCGTCCCAATCTGCGTCCGCCCATCCATCGGATCCCCAATCCTCAAGCCCCTAACCCTCTGCACTAACAACTCCCTAAATGGCCCATAGATCTCCCCATGAACCAACAACCGACTCCCCGTCACGCAAGTCTGTCCACTCGCAATGAATCCCGCAAACAACGCGGCCTGCACTGCCCTCTCAACCTCCAGGCTCGGAAACAAACAAACCGGCGCCTTTCCCCCCAACTCCGCAGTCACGGGGACCATATTCGCCGCCGCAACAGGCGCAATCGCCCTATACGTTCCCAACCCCCCAGTCAAATCAATCTTCGCCAACTCTGCCGACTCACAAAGGGCCTTCCCCGTCTCCTGCCCATACCCGCAAACAATCTGCAACACCCCATCCGGCAACCCGGCCTCCTGGAACAAGGGGCCCAGCTTCAGAACCGACAACGGCGCAAGCTCGCTCGGCTTAACGATAACCACATTCCCCGCCGCCAGGGCGGCGGCAATTTTCTTAGTCGCGATTAGTAAAGGGTGGTTATAGGGCGTGATCTGGGCGACGATGCCTAACGGGAGCCGGGTGAGTGTGTTTACGACGGGACCTTTGAAGGGCGGTACGCGGCCTTCGTGGACGCGCGCCAGGGAGGCAAAGTACTCGAGCCATTCGGGCACGCGGGTGAGTTGGGTTTGCATTTCGCGGATTGGGCGGCCTGTTTGGGTTGTTTCGAGGGTGATGAAGTCGTCCAGTCGGGCGCGGAGGAGGCGCGCGGCGGTTGAGAGGACGGTGAAGCGGTCTCCTGGGTCGGTTTTGGACCATGAGCCGCTTTGGAACGTGTGTACGGCGGAGGCGAGGACCTTGTGGACTGTTTCGGGGGGTGTGGCATCGATAGTTGCGAGGGGCGTTTCGGTCGCTGGGTTGAGGACGGTGATGGTTTGCGGGGTTGCGGCGGTATGGGTGCCGTTGATCCAGTTGGATATGTGGGGGATCGGAGAGGACATCGTGCGATTTTCCTAGGTTTCGCGGTGATTTGGAGTATTGAGATTGTGTATGAAGGTGTACAGAGGGGGCTCTATGGACATTTGTAGGTGAAATGGAGAGATATGGTTGAGATAGGAGGTTCGATAAGGAGTTGATACTCTGATAACCCCGCATTTTCTATTGATACGCTATCCTTATCTGTTTGGTGGAATTGCCCTTAATTAGCTTGGGAACTAATGCAGCGTTACATATCGTGGGAGATACGATGCAAGGGTTAGAGCTTCTGCGTCGCATGTCCACGCAATGGAAAGTACACAGTCCTCCCCATGGATATGATGCACCATTGTTGATGGAAACAGGCCACTAGAGAGTCCTTCATCGAGGGTAAGTGGAGACGCGAGTGTCCATATCATAAATCCCCACTGTGGGCCCTTGACCATGAGGGTCAAGAGCCCATTCCTGATATTGCAGTTTGTCCTAAGATGATGTAGCTCAATCCACAGATAAAAATTTTGCTACATGTACAACCACTAGGCGATGAAAAGATCCATTCTGAAAATAACTCAACGTATTGATTCAGTTAGTAAGTGTGCTAAGCTAGGGAACCTAACAGTAGGAAATTACAAGACGAGAGCCCTTCACATCACCCAGTCATACACCATAATATTATAAGCATTTACTTTTGAACACCCACGGTACGACAAGCTTCGCTACTAGAAGAACACGCCGGATCATCGAAGCCGGGATGTAGTCAAGCATGAACCGCTCGGAGAACTTGCTGACCGTATGTGAGACTCCCAAACATCCCCTAATAGCTTGTGTGGAAGCAAAGGTGATTCCTCCACTGTTCTCTAGACCGGTAGCTGCACAACGATTTCAGCAACTAGATTAGAAGAGTGGCTGGTGTGAGAGTCGACGTGTCAGTCTCTGCCCTGAATACACCAATATCTATCTCCACTGTCTATATGATGTTCTGCACTTCCGATTGCATCATCTGTAGAGATATTGACAATGTTAATGAATGTCCTCACAAGATGACAAATCTACAACCATCATGTAGCTCACCTCTGTTACCAAACACGGACATGAAAGGCGACGGCTCAGAAGGCCGACTACTCTCATCCAGGTGCTCCGCCACAGTTTTTTTTTTTGGTTTTTTTTTTTTTTTTTTTTTACCCAATGCGAGTATTCCATGCTGTAATGCCCCTTAGATTCAAAGTATCATCCATGGTGTAATGAGTAGAGGAATAAAGACGCTGACAGCGGAAGAATGCTTCGGGCTACCGGCTCGTTGTAGAAGGGGGACGTCGCTGGCTTCTGGCGTCGTGTATTGAAATCGTAAGTGACAGAAAACGCTGAGTATGATAATTGTAAGACGGATCAAGAGCGCCTCTTGAGGGGATTTATGAGCCTTTGTATATAGGATCTCATACCAAATAAATTCGCTTCGCTCGGTTCAACAAGGTGTCTATTTACTAAAACTGGCCACAACTGGGAGCGAGGTACGCTCATCACGAGAAGCGGATTGTAGTACGACGGGTTGGCAACTCATGATAAAGCCATTCAGCAGAGTCAAGATGTAGGTGCATTCTGTCTCACCAACCACAAAGCCTCCTTCATTCCAGTGCTTATAGGACAGTCGTAACAATCTTTGCGTGGCACTCCACTCTGGAAGATGTTGTGAGAGGCCCCAGACGCCTACTCAGCAATTCACCAAGCGCGTGATAGGCCATGGCCTATCATAGGCCCTAGGCTGTTCGCTTACGGTAGCGTACATCATTGGCGTTCTAAATTGCACACCACCTGCTACAACTAACCGGCCGTCGTGCTCGGATGGCTGTCAGGGCCGCGTAACGCGCGGCCCCGGAATACTAGGAGGGGCCGGATAGATCACAGTTACGCTCCTGTCTAACTCGTCCCTCTATGCTGAGTATGGAGCTATGTTGTAGACGGAGAACGAGAAGACAGATAATTGTAACACTGGAAAGGTACCAGACTTGTGAACAGCCCTATCTAATCGCACCACTGGGTGATTATGCTGTGATACAATGGATAGTAGTGATAACTACCGATTTGGGGCGCTGAGGTAGTAGATTAGATTGAATCGGGATACTCTAGGCTAAATCTGGAACGCGCTAAGGTATTTATAGCCTAGCACCAGTAGTGACTGACAGATTTTAAGGAAGTAGTATGGAGAGTGGTTACTATTATAGACAAGGAGCTCTTAGGTATCACACTTTTCAATTTCTAACTGATTAAAAAAAATAATACCTAGAAATTGCATATCTCTCAGGATACATGACTTTCCATAAGTCGAGCACCAACTTCAATGTACGTTGACTCAATCTGTTATCACCAAAGACTATTACATATATTGCTCCATCCCTGACATACATCCCCATCTCGCCCCATAGCCTTTGCAACCCTTAACTCTACATAATCACTTCTCACCCCAAGCCAGCTCAGGCTGCGCCAGCATTTCTCGATCCCACCGAGGATCCTTACTCTCCCCAACAGGCGCCCAACCAAGTTGAATCTATCATCATCAGTAACATGCCGTATCCACCATCTCCGCACCCCACAACACCATACCTGCATAACCTTCTGGTCCCAATCCTTCGTAAAGCTCTTCACCTTCCCGTCCTCAATCTCAAAAATAGCGGACGCACTCCATCGCGCCTTTCTCGGTGGATCCGACCGCTCAATGCCCTGATACGGCTCTCCCGAGTGGGACCCTTCCGCCGTATATCGCAAGAGAACATGACCGTTCTTGGCCCACGCCTGGTCATACCGCACAATGTGCAAGTCGTTGACGGATGCCATCACATGAGCGTGCGATTCGGCGTAGTCCATTGGGGTGGAACATCCAGGAAATGTGGAAGGGCTCCAGAACCAACTGTCGGTGGTGCAGAGGTGGCGGACGGACTCGGCGCCGTGGTTTTCTGTCGGGGAGTACGCGATTGACATATACTGTCTTGCTACGGCGATATTGCACTGTATAGTAATTGTTAGGAAAATGGAGATTGTTCTCATTATGTAGATGGTGGTTAATTCGATATAAATAGGTTTGGATAGGGTTTCAACTTCCTACACACCTCTTCCTCGGGGGTCTGCGCCGACGAGATGACGGTCGGAGGTTCGTTTGTTGATGACATTTTGAAGCTACGTGATTAGAAAATATTGAGATCTTGTTATTCTATAAATTCTAGACGGCACTGGCCTGTATATAAAATAATGAGATGATCGAGTGTGACGGGCGTCGGGGATAGTGTCATCATGACGCTCGACGAATTGTATATCCTGGTGGCGCATGTTTTACCAATCAATGAGTGTGAATTGGTATCCCCTGCTCTATAGTAGAATATGTAGAGTATATATGTAGGAAGGGAGAGAGTAATCAGTATGTATAGGTGTGCAGATTATATGCATCGGCAATCACTAAGCTAGTAGTGTACACATTTGGCCTGTAGAGGAGGGAAGCGAACTGTCAGCTCTGTGGTAGTATATTTTTTCTGTTTTTATCAACCACATATCTTCACCTGTCTGTTTGCCCTTATCGAGATCTAAGTAGCTCCAGCCAGGGGCCTTTCTCCAAGTGCACGGGTCTAAGTACTTTGATAGGTAGGAGCCTTAGTAACACTGCAATTTTAGCCTCCTGGAAGGGTTGAGTGTGCTTGGCTAACAATCAAAGCCAAGAGAATCGACTTCACCATCTCTATTCACCTTTGCAAAGATTCATCTAGGTATGACAACTAGTGTATATCTTCGTTGGCCGTGGCTTCAAAGTTGGTGAAAGTGTTCCTCCTTTGTTTATGTCGCCTCACAATCATGGATTGATAACGTGAATATTGGCCAGGGTAGACAGGTGTGCCCGTCGCAAGAGCGTGTAGATATTCTATAGACGATGCTGATGATTTAGCGATGAGCGCCTGATGAAGGTTTGATATCCTGTTTGGTTTCAAAAAAACACCCTCTGAAAATCTATCCTGATCATGTGCTCCATGGGTGATAGAAGAGTCACCAGTTTAAGTTAGTAACCGAGAAGGATGACACGTCCTTCTAATCCTTCTAGCGAGTTCCAAAAAAAGATGTTCAACGTGTGAAGGGTATATTAGCTAGAATTTCGCTCAATTTATGGCGAGGTCGTGGAGCAAATCAGACGATATTTCCCCTTCTGTGGCCAACGAATAAATTGCCCGAAAAGGAAAAACGCGGCTTTGGCCTGCGGCCCGGCGGAAATCCACGGGATCCGATTGGCCTAGACTATCCATCAGGCCGCCGAAGAGGGAAATCCAGCTATTGAAAAGGGACCAACACCAATCAGCGGGCGGCAGTCACTTGACCGGGTAGCCCTTCGACTTTACACACTATTTATATATGCCTCGATTGCTCTTCCTTATCTTCCTTCTCCTTTGGCAAGTATACGGAGTGCTAAAACTGCTGGTTCATGGCGGCAACCCATCCAATTTTGAACTCCCATCCAGAATAGATTCCCTACTCCACCAGCGCCTCCCTGACAAACACCCCCCCCCAGCGATGTTGACAACAACCCCCTTCGACTCCATCAGTTTAAATCATGCCTCCCAAAGTAAGAAACGTGTGGCCTACTTTTATGATTCTGATGTGGGCAACTTTGCCTACGTCTCCGGACACCCCATGAAGCCCCACCGCATGAGGATGGCCCACAGCCTGATCCTCAACTACGGACTGTACAAAAAGATGGAGATCTACGTGAGTCTTTGTAGTCGTTGCCGTGAGGGATTTTCTTTCCGTGCTTACTTTCCGGGGCACTTTTTAGCGTGCGAAACCGGCCACGAAATATGAGATGACACGGTTCCACTCTGATGAATACATCGACTTTTTATTCAAGGTCACCCCCGACTCCATCACCAAGCACCTGACCGAGCAGGTTAAGTACAATTTCAACGACGACAACCCCGTCTGGGATGGCCTGTCCGAGTTCTGCAGCATCAGCGCGGGCGGGAGTATGGAAGCCGCCGCCCGTCTGAATAACGGCAAGTGCGACATTGCCATTAATTGGGCTGGCGGCCTTCACCATGCGAAGAAATCTGAGGCGAACGGGTTCTGCTACGTGAATGGTGAGACTTGAGCGATGATTAAATTGACTCGCACGTTTGATCCATGACTAATGCGGGGCAGATATTGTCTTGGGAATTTTGGAGCTCTTGCGGTTTCATCAACGCGTTTTGTACGTTGATATTGATGTTCACCATGGCGATGGCGTTGAGGAGGCGTTTTACACGACAGATCGTGTGATGACGGTGTCCTTCCACCAATACGGAGACTTTTTCCCCGGGACGGGCGACATTGGCGACATCGGCGCTCAGGAGGGCAAGAATCATTCAGTAAATGTGCCACTCCGTCCTGGAATGGATGATTTTTCCTATAGTCGAGTCTTTCAGCAGGTGATTAAAGGCGTCATGGACTGGTATCGTCCGGACGCAGTGGTGCTGCAATGTGGCGGGGACAGCTTGTCTGGCGACCGTCTCGGGAGCTTTAATCTCAGTATGAGAGGACATGCAAACTGCGTGAATTACATTAAGAGTTTCAACTTGCCAACCATGCTTGTAGGCGGTGGTGGCTATACTATGCGAAATGTGGCGCGTACGTGGGCGTTTGAGACTGGTGTTGTGGTAGGCGAAGAGGTCGGGCCCGAGCTTCCCTACGATGATTTCTACGGGGTAGGTGATTGACTTATATTCTTTCCGGCTATGGGATTTTGACAGACGAGGACAGTACTATGCTCCAGATTATATGCTCGATGTCCGACCATCGAACATGCCAAATCAAAACACCGACACATATTTAACACAAGTATGCACACGGGTGCTTGAAAACATCAAGAAGACCATGACATTCAGCCCATCCGTCCAGATGACAGACGTACCGCGCTACCCACTCGCGCCTGGACTCGACGAGGATTATGAAGATATCGCCGATGACGAAGATGAAGATCAGAATAAAGATATACGCATTTCGCCCCGCCAAGTCGACATGCTGGTCGAGCATCAGGGCGAACTTAGCGACGACGAGGAGATGAGTCAAATTAGCAACGTGCTAAACGCGATCAAGAAGCGAAACCACGTTAACTATGGGGAACCTGTTTCGACCGAGTCTACGACGGAGGCAGAGACATCGAAAACATCAGATGATCAGTTAGCCGATGGGTCCGTCAAGAGCCAAGACACGCCGATGACCGAGGCTGAGGTAATTTTGGAAAGTCCTAAGGCTATTAGCCAGTAGTTGCAATTTGGTTTGGTCTGCTCTTGCTTGGCTCGTATTTTCTCTGACGCATCCCACTGATATCCTGTCTCCAGCCATGCACTTGTTTATATCCGGCGTTGGCCCGCTTTTCTTCTATCACTATTTTTTCTTTCCTATATATTTCTATCTTCCATGGCATCTTTGGGGAGTTTAATGCTATGATAAAATCCATTCATGCTTCAGTATCGATAAACCCTCTAGCTAAAGCATAGCGAGCGCCTATAGCGGTAGAGGAGAAACAACCAAGCATTTCGACGAGCGAACTACCCGGGGGGGGGGGAGCCATGGCCCAGCGCGGATCCCTTCCCCACGACAACAACCCCTATGAAAATCCACTAAAACATTGAGCAGCATTATGCAAGGCATTGGAAATTCTCCGATCAGTGATATATAAGCACTAAAACCGAAAAAGAAAGTGCACTGCATTGGACCACAACTTTCGTAAGTACAGAATGTGGCACATCAACTATTTTGAACAGTACTCTAAATTCATAAATATCGTCATGTCTATATCTATTTTATGGTACAATAGCTGCCTGGATATATTTGGGAAGCCATATTTTGCAACACTAGCTTACTCCCGAATAAGCACACCCCTATATCTCATCTTGCCCTCCCTCAATGTCTGCATGGCATCCTCGATACCGGCCTCATTTAGGGGGAACTTCATGAGTGTCGGCTCAATGTTCTTCTCCGCGGCGAACTGTAGCAGAGTTTTGAGGCTCTTGCGAGAAGCAACCAGGGAGCCTTGGATGCGGATACCCTTGCCGTTCATGTACAGCAGAGGAACGGCAGAGGGCTTGAAGTCAACAGTGAGAGGGTAGATGGTGCCGTGGACGTCCATGAGGGGGATGAGACTGTAGGATGTTAGTAACTGGGTCTCAAATTCAACGATGACGGTGTTGGGACACTTACGATGGATAGTCAACGTTAGCACTGCCGCAGAGCAGGAGATGCTTCAGGGGCTTGAAATCCTTCATTTCCTGACCGCTAGAGAACACATGGTACTCTGAAGCGCCGAACTGCAAGGCCTCCTCGCGCTTCTTCTCGGAACTGGACAGAACAACGACGTGGCAGCCCATAGCGGCGGCCAACTTGATGGCCAAGTGGCCCAGGCCACCGATACCCATGATACCGACACGGTCTGTGGGGCGCACGCCGTACTCAGTCAAGCAGGTCCATACGGTGGCACCGGCACACATCAGGGGTGCGGCGTTGGCGGAGTCATAGCCGTCGGGGATCTTGAAGACGTTGCCGGCGTTCCAGATGACGCCTCGGCTGAAGCTACCGATGTCATGGTTGTGGGAGCCGTATTCCTTCTTGTTGACACAGTATTGGTCCCAGCCTGAAGAAAGGTTAGTTCAGCAAATAGGAGACGAAGAATAGCAAGTTAACATGCCGCTCAAGCAGTGGTCGCAGATTCCGCACACTTCATGGGTATATCCGAACCCAACGCGGTCACCGGCCTGGACATGAGACACGGCCTCACCGACCTGTCTGACGATTCCTACACCTTCATGACCGAGAACCTGGCCAGAGCGCAGGAAATGCTCGTCTGTGCCACAAAGTCCGGAGTGCGTCGTTTCGATGTACACATCAGTCGGGCGAAGGGGGCGGGTAGTCTTGTCCGCGACGATCTTGCCCTCCTTGGAGCCACGGTACACGTCAAAGGTGATGCTCATTGTCAATGAAGATTCTCTAGAGTTTGGATGATGTCAAGAAAGAGAGATTAGTTACTGTACCGGAATCTCTAAAAACGAATTCTGAGGGCTGCCATATATATATGCTCTACGCCCGGGAGATCCGTCTTGATTCCTCATCCGGACTGTCAGATAACCAGGAAAAAGTGCCACTAGAGTTTTCGTGGAATGTTCGATTCAACGGAACCGTCGGTATCCACTAGGTCGTGGCCCACATTCCAGATCTCCACGACTCCCTGCCCTAACTCTCCGAGACGGAGCAATTCATATCCCCGGTGGAGCAATACCTTCGTTATATGCAGTCTTTATCAGTGTAGGATTACAGGCGGGGTCCCGAAATGGCATCGCGCAAACGCATGTATGAGTCCTAGAGCAGCATCTAGTCGTACCCGGACTTAAGCTGCAAGTGAGACATGCAAGAACTTCAGCGCATTACCGGATTCAGCGCCTTGCATCTATTACACCAAATCCTCGCTAGTAAATCTTGACGTCAATATTGCAAGTGTGTTGCGCAGTTAAAATTTCTCACGCAAGGAAGTTATCAATATCTGTCCGAGATCTTCTTACATCATAGCGTACGAACGGCATGAAGTACCATGGAACTATTCTACCTTAATATAATAACCCCCAGCAATTCTGCGCCAAAAGCAGTTCCGCTCGCAACCAAGGAGAAAGAATGAGATAGATGAAAGAATCGAAGTTGCGTCAACCGGTCCAGGCCCACCCGGAAACCCAGCGCTCGTTTATCGCAGATAAAGTATGGCGAATTTGCCACCAAGGGTGAGTGACCCACCGACCAAAATATCTTCAAAGGACACGGTTAGGAGTAGTATCCCGAGGTTCGCCCGGAAACGGTAACATGTCCCGAGCGTTGTAGCATCGAGCGTCCATTTGATGATCCTACTCCCTACATGGGATTGTTCTGCGGCAAACGCGGATTTAACATATTAGGGATGGTTTTCGACTCTCCTTTCGTGCAGCTACGAGGCAAGTACTAAGCATCAGGCTCGGGACAGGGGCACTCATAGGCCTTTTGAAAAGCTATTTGAGAAGGTATTGAGGTATTGAACGGTAGGGTATGGGTTGAGAGTTGCCTTCATAAAGTAGGATCCAAGTGTAAGCACCCTTTCCTAACGTCAAGATAAGCTTAATTGGCATCGCAAGATCCGTGTACCTTGGGGAAATCTGTCTGATGTCATTCAAGTGTTGCTTGGTAAGAGATAGCCAGAACGACAAATGGCACTTAAACCCTAGGAGGCGTCTGTAAGGTCTACTACACCAAAGCCGAGGTCGAGAAACAAAGTACACTTCCGCCACACACAAAAGCATCATGTTCAGTAATCAGAAATTACCTAAGCTTAGGCAGACAAATCTTTTGAAGAAACTAAGTGGGAGAAAATTGGGGTGTAAGCTCGGCAACGGGTCGGAGTTTAGGTCAGGGATTTAATGGAGTGGGTCTCCGATTGACGGTGCATAGAAAATAGCTTCAAAACCTAACAAAGCTGTAGGATCCACTCTTTTAGCCGTTGTGCCGTCTTGGCATCATCTTGGATCAAGGCTGGACTGGACTTGGACAGCCTTTTTCAAATCCCTCAGGGCAGGATATTGCCTGGATCGGAAATATCACCACGACAACGTCCCATTCAACCCTGTAAACCCTTTGCGCTCTTGGCCTGTGTCTTTCCTAAGATGGGCTAGCATGCAGCCGTAAGTGCCTATCAGAGGTATTATATATATCTCTCTTCCTCACACATTCGCGTCTGTGCTCAAACATGGTCGACGGACATATAATAGTGCTAGGAATGTGTATTTGCATTGGCGTTTTCGAGACTCAGGGATTTCGTAGGCTCCTGCTTTTTAACTCCATGCGAGGCACAATGAAGCTCTTTCTTCAACGAGTTCCAACACGCCGAGATAATATCAGATAATTAGGCCTAGACGCCTTTTGATCATTCGGGGACGGTACCGGTAGGTTAAGCATTCGGGTATGTCCACCGGCCGATCGTTTGAAGCATTTCACATAAACCCTCCATCCTTGTGAAAGGACTATGCCCCCGACACCTCGAGGGCTAGGTTTCTCCGCTGGTATCTTGCCCTTTTTTCTTTTGCTTTTCTTTTGTTGTCTTTGCTATAACGCCCCTAGCTAACGAGTTTGCTTAAACCACGCAAGATGGAATTACAAATTGGGACCAGCTCGTCTGCTGGCTTGGATTTTATACCCCTGAAGATTCTGCGAAGGCAGTTCGGCCTTTGTCTGACGCTGACCCTTTTCGCAAGCTCTAAAGGTGCCCACTTTGGATGGGTCGACGATGTCGCAAATCAGATGAACTAGCAGATCTGGAAACAGTGGATGGTTACCATGCCAACGTTCTTGATCATAATCTGGGTGACTTTTGCTACTAGGGTATCTTTTTTGGTAACAAGGGCGACGTCTGAGCAGCTTTGAAGTGTTGTTTGAGGTCATGACGTTGGGGACGAGTCTGATGTTGGTTGGGCTTGCACTGGGCCCCTTGATCCGGGGGGCTGATGAGCGAGTTATTCAGGCGGCAAATTCCACCCTCCTTTGGTCTTACAGTGACCCTTGCCTTCCAGGTGCCGGTTGAGGTAGCGCAAAATGTCGAGACTGTCATGAGAAGTCGCTTTTGGGTGGATGATTTGGTTGTGCGCCCCTGGCCGTTGTAAGGGGCGCCTTGGTTGACGGTTTTCTAACCATCCCCGAAAGTTAGCAGAAGGTTCTGCTCCAACGATGTGCGGCTCATCTTCCAATGGAAACGGGCAACTGGGCCTTTCGTTACTGGTTGGAAGAGAACCAGCCTACTGGGGCAGAGCTTTTGTAAAAGTAGATTTCTTGCCCAATCAGGATGCTACTATCCTTGGAATCTATCCTCCCTCTCATCACATTCTACCTGTCCTTAGTCTATGGGCTCCTCTATAAGTTCCTCATCACCTATCTGATTTTATTCCAGCAAGAGCGAAGCTAGGAGCATGCCGGGGTTGCCGCATTATCTCTAGGTCTCATTGTCGGCGTTGCTTTCAGAACAATCCTTACTGTATACTGACGAAAACTCGCTACAAACGCAAGTGGTTAAATGTAGCTACTTGGCGCCAGAAGGATGGCTTGTGGAGATGATGATTGCTTCGGTGTTTCTTCCCATGGGCTTCTTCTACTCTGGCTGGACCCCAGACACCAGCGAGGACGCGAGGACTAGATAGGCCAAGTCCTCGCAGGGGTTCCTGTTGGGGTCGGCTCCATGACCATCGTTATGCAAGATTAAAAGTAACTCATTGACATCTATATGATGTCTGCGAATACTCTTATTCGAAGCCCGGCCGGAGCTGTCGTCCCTCTCTTCGCCTGTCAGCTCTGTGGAAACCTCGAGGATAACTGGGCCTCTAGCTTGCTTGGATTGTTTCGTAGCCAATGGTCCCAATTTCCTTCCTGTGTTACTCACATGGGGACCGTATACATCTACTACTGCCAGGACATATACAGCTCCCTTTAGAAAGTTAATATATACCCACAGAACAACAGCAGAAAACCGTCTACTAGCCCGTATAAGTAATTTCCTAAGGTCTTGTTACTATTTAATTTGTCTATAATAAAATATAAACCATGTTACATGATCATTGAAAATAATATTATTGGACTTACCACGACAATTTAGAACCCGAAGCGTGCTTCTCAACAGGGTCCCTGAAGCTCTTGTAGGATCCCGCAGTTAGGGTCCCGCCTTTCGACTTGCTCGTCTTTGTCGAAGATATGGTAGTCCAATTGTATGATACGGTTCGAAAACGATCAAAATTACGATCATGATAACTACCAAGAATGCCTGTCTAGGTTGTAATCATGGGCACTTTATATGCGGCCTGATTACGAAAGGATCCAGCATTCCGTTTGAATCGTCAAAGCCTCTATTCGGTAAACAAATATCAGCTGCCTAGGATACTAGATAGTTCTATAGGCATATTCAGTACTATCCGATCTATCCCGTCCGTAACATATTGAAACATCCTATCAAAAAGGAGGAAGCCAGATGAAAGGAGCGTTCTCTGCGTCCGCAGCAAATCATTCACTGTTCAGTACCCTAAACAGGATATTCTAGGGTTCACCCTGGTTCACCAGCAGAACATTCCGGGACTTTATATCCCACAGAAAACAACCTATACAAAAGCAGTTCTGTTATACCTATGTTGCCTCGTTGTTGTCCCTTTATCTTCTTTGTTTACCTCGCATGCGGTCTTTCATTATTTCTCCTCCACACACTCTACTCTAACCCCACTTCACACACACACACACACACATATCATACCTTTCATATAGATACGATACTAAGATGGCTCAAGGAAGACGAGGATCTCGGATGACTTGGAATGATGATAATGTGCGAACTGTACGAGGCATCCGCCCTTCCTATTTGACCCCTTCTCCTCCTGTCTCCTCTTCTGTCTCCTCTCCGTCCCCACACCATCGTCCCAGTGAAGCTCACAATATCGCAATACACCAGCTGTGGAACGTTATCCTCAAGACCCAACGCGTGAACCTCGACGTGAACCTGGCGGAGGTTTCTGCCGCTTGGCGTAAGTCCCTTTCAGACCAACCTCAGTATCACCCACTAATGTGCCTTCGTAGCGGGAGAGCAACGCCCTACAGTGATCGCTCTCGAAGGACAGTTGGCAGCCTTTCGTCGCCACCTCCCTCCCGGCAGCAACAGCAAAATGGTCCTGCACCGCGGTAACCTAGACGCCGCTCTTGCCGCTCGAGCTGTTGGAAACAGGCAGGATGTCACCAGCGCAAGTATCCAAGACGAAGGTGAAAGGACCGCCCAAGCTGATGCAGAGCCTACTCCTGAGAACACCCAAGTTAGAGCTCCAGCAAACGCCGGCACCCACAGGAATACAACCAGGATGGCTAACGCAACTGCGACTCCGCCTGCAGCTCGGACTGTGGCTCGGTCGACTAATGCGCCTGCGACTACTATCGCGACTCCGATGACTACGAGTGCGACCACAACTTCTCCCCCGACCGCTAGCGTCACCTCGACCGGTCATGCCTCAAGCATCTCCCACGGCCTTCCTGGTTGGTCAACTCCTCCTGTCTCTAACCAGTGTAAGGCTAAGGAGCCTCAGGGGCAGTATATCCCGGTATTCCTGCCGCCTTTTTCCACCCGAGAAACGCCTAGACGCACGCCTAAACGCACGCCTATGAGCCTGGCGCTGCCCAAGAACAGTAAAGACCAACTGCCACGGATGAGTCGAGGCTTGCCAGAGTGCGAGTGTAACAGTCTGACCTGCGCTTCGTGTTATAACAGAATCATGTATTCAGGATAGTCTTCTGTTCGCGCTGGAACGGGCAGCTAGCCGGTGTGGTCGCTTGAATATGTTGCTATACGGTGGTGTTATGGAGGTATAGCGTTGGTTTGCTCGGCACAGGGCCAAAAGGGGTATTTGAATGGAGATGGCTTGTGTGGTGGTGGTGGTGGTGGTGGTGGTGGATAGTTTGTCCCGGTGGTCCCCTGTTTTTTTGCGTGGTTAATCGGAAATTGAGATTTTGTGTCTACCGAGGAGTTTTGATAGTTGAATAACGCTGAATGCATATGAGGTTGTTATCCCCTCAATGCTTTATCTCAGTTTATTGTAGCCTATGGTGTAGGCCTCTAAGGAATTCGACAAGCACTTATATGCTCGGCTGACCAGGAGTCACTCTTCTGCTCGGAGATGCCACCAACCCACAGCTCGTTATGCACATTTTGTACCTTAAGCATGGAAGTATTGTTTAGAAGCCTAGATTATCCTGAAACCACCTCGCCTAGACCTTCAGATACTGCTTCGAGAACTACCAAAAGATCTCTTTTCTTTCTTTTCCTCTCCAGACATTCTTATCTTGACAGTGTCTACGCTTGTAGAAAAAGACTTGTTTATGAGGAACACGTACCGTTTTGCATATTCGAATACTCTGCGATATAATCCCCTCTTTCAAATAACCTAATCAAAACACACCTATAGTCGAATCGAAACCATCGAGGTGCCACAAGTACCCTTAACAAATCATCACACTACACCCTATCTAGGCTATCCACTCTAACTTACAATAGCCAGAATCACTCGCCGTCCCCCTCCCCCCCTCTACCTAGCGAAGCCTAGTTAGGATGAAAAAGCATTGATTCTTTATCCAATAACGCTGTCATATGCATATCTAAGCTCTATAGCCAAGGGAGGCCGTTCGCTTCTCCTCCTCGACCACAAAAGCCAACGTCAGCTAACAGTCCAAACTCTATATTCAACAATAACTCTGTCGGAGTTAGGTTTCGAGGTTTATAGGGCTAGGGATGGCTCCGGGGTTGTTTGTCGTTGGGGCGACTTTTGGTGGATATGGTGTAGGTAAGCGGGATATATATATATATATTTGAATGGAATTTGGGAGCTTGTTTGCTGGAAGCTAGGTTCTCTATACGCATGTAGTGTGTTCCTTGTAGTGGGTAGCAAGCAGACTTAGTAAAGATGTAATGGTGTGTGTATTCCTGGTTGCATTTCACCCCAAAGCTACTTCACATACCAGCCCAACCCAAACTAAATCCATCACTCATCCTCCTCCGTCTTAACACCCACAACCTTAGCCCCCTCCTCCTTAACGACAACCTTCTTCGCGGGGGTCTCTTCCTCACTCACAGTCTCGTCGCCGTCATCCACTGCAGCCTTAGCCTTACTCGCCCCCTTCTTGGTGGGAGTCTTGGGCTGAACCGTTCTCTTGCGCTTTGTGGGAGTGGAGGCAGGAGTAGCTGAGGCACTGGTCGACCCGTCGAACTTCTTCCGGAGCTTGCTGATTTGGTTTTCCACTGCACAGGCGGTGACTTCTGAACTCGGATGTTAGCTTTAGGTCTTCGTTTGGTGAGGTAGGAGAGGATAGGGGATAGAATAGAGAATAAAATAAGGGAGAAAATAGAGGAGGAAATAGAGAATAGGATGAGGTGAATAGGAGAGTGTGCTGATAGGATGTCCTTGGATGGTGCGTTGATAGGGTGGGATAGGATGGGAGGAGATGGAATGGGGTAGATAATGACTGCCCTTACCAGGGCCCATGTGGGCAGCGAGGGCTCTGTAGTTCAGCTTGAAGTTTGCGTCCTTGAGCTCGTCGACGATGCCGAGGAGGAGCTTTTGTAGATGATTTTGTTAGTGGTGTTGTAAGGTGAGGTGAGGGTGGATTTACGTGTGCATTCGCCTCAGGGGTCCAGGACATAGGCATGTTGAATCTGTATGGAGGGTTCTTATTGCTTAGATGTGGTTTGTTGGCTGTTGTGAGCGTGTGCTTCTTGTTGGTGTGGAAGCTGGTGGTGGATGGAGATGGAGATGGAAAATGGAGGATGGAAGATGGAGGACGGATAAAGAGGAGAGAAGCAGAATGCCACGGGTAGGAACAGAAAAGATGCTGGGATATAACAGAAGAAATGCCCAACGATGCCCATAGAAGTGAGATATTAGGTGAATAGTGCTTCGTGTTACTTTGGCTTGGCATTGTTATGAGTGGGTGGATAGCATGGCTCGGCGTCTGCTTTGAGGAGCTTTTATACTAGTGGTGAGAGACATAGGGATTGCAGGTTGAAAGCAGCCACAAAGAGCCGGGAGAGAGCAGTCTTAAGGTAGAAGTTTAGGCCCTATTAGATGATAGGATGTTGAGACCTTATACCGGTATAAGTTATTGGATAAAGAGAAAGTGCTAATTTATCCTAGGTGATCCTCTCTCAACCCTATTTCCATGTTATAAACAATAACAGAATATGTGGTATACTAATACGACTTCACATATGTGCATATATCCCTCGTCCACTCAGATATAAAACTGTCCTTGCAGCGGCAAATCTCGACTGGACCTTCCTACATACACCTGGTATGTCCCAGATTGGAGCAACCACCCCTGCGCCTGCACATCCCAGGTACTCAGGTCCCGACGGCCCAAAGCAAACTCTACAGTCACGGACTGTCCAGCTGAGACGTTCACCTTCTCAAACCCACGTAGCTGCCGGATTGGCCCGTTCGGAATACCCAGATAAAGCTGAGCGACCTCATCACCATCAACCGAGCCACTATTCTTCACGTCTACCGAAACCCGGACTACTGTATCCCACAGGTGAGGATTCCCACCCTCTTCAATTGCGGCAGACGGAGGATATGGGGTAGTAGTCGCATTACTGACTTGATTGATGCTCAGTCCAGAGTAATCGAATGTTGTGTACGACAAGCCAAATCCGAATTCAAATTGCGGGGCGATCCCCTGCTGGTCGAAGGCACGATAGTCGATATATACGCCCTCCGTGAAGTCGGACTGCGGAAACAGCCCATATTGACCCTCGGGCTGTGTGGGATGCAGCAAAGCTCCGTAGTCTTCTACACGTTTGGCAACCGTGTAGGGAAGTTTGCCGGACGGGTTCGACAGACCGTATAGCAACTCCACCACTGCTCGACCGCTGTCCTGACCTGGGAGGTGCGCAAATATCACGGCAGTAACATTCTCATGGTCAATCCAATTATTGACCAAACGGATCCCCGCGTTATGGATGACTACAATTGTGTTATTGCATTTATCCGCGATGTTGACCACTAGTGCATCACTTTCCTGGTCGACCAAGCCAGGACGATCATAGCCTTCAGTTGCATAGCTATTGATAAATACGACACAGGCATCTGAGTTCGGGTCGACATCCGGGTCCTCGGAGGAAACATCCCACAAAATCGATGTTCCATCCTCGAACGCCTGAGCCTGAAGTGCATCCAGCGGTGCGCTAAGATATGCGGGTGAGTTGCCACCTGAGCCTCCTCCAACCCAGAGCGTGTGATTAGGTTGAATAGCTGGGCTATAACCCAGCCATTCCAAGGCATTGGTTAGATGTTCGGGCCCTTTCGCATCATATCCAAATACGGAGAGCAGGGTCGGCGACTGCAGAGGAAGGGCATTCTTCGTGTTTTTCACTAAAACGTGACCCTCAATGGCACTTTGAAGAAGAACTGGTTTTGAGTCTGCAGACTTTCCAATAACGGCATCGTGTGGTGCGTATATGTCCTTCGGCATACCTACTCCAGGGGATGGGAAGTCAGTGTCCTGGTTAAGTTGGTACCACGACGCGATGATCCTGATTCTGTCAGCATATGCGAGGATGCGAGGGCCAGGTAAGGATCCCTACCTTGTTGCCATGTCATCGAGTCTTGATGCCTCCATACTCCCGTTGGCAATAGCTGTGGTGAGATTTGAACCCCATGTGCTTGTTGACGGCATCACCATATCTAAACCTGCATTTGCCACAGCAATCCCACCATGTTGTGCACCCCAGTCGGTCATGACGTATCCTGAATTTCGTTAGCGAGAACGGACAAACCGGTCTACTCTTACGATGGGACAATTACATACCTTGGAATCCTAGTTCCGTCTTCAGCAGCCCGTTCAGTGTCTTGCTATTTTGGCATCCATAGGAGTTGTTAATGCGCTGATAGGAGCACATGATCGATACGCTGCCTGCGCGAACTGCATCCTGGAATGGCCAGAGGTACAGTTCATGCATAGTCTTGTCATCGATATTTGATGAAGCAGCTGCGATATCAACACCAACGCTTTCCGGGTTCCGGTTTGTCTCCTGTTCGTTGGCGATATAATGCTAGGGCGAGATTAGTACGGTTGCCATTTGAGTACCCTGTGTGGAACTTGCTACCTTGGTCGATGTACCGACACCGGCAGCCTGAATACCACGGATAGTCTCGTAGACTAGCAAGCCGCTGTGGTAAGGGTCCGTCGAGAAGCCCTCCCAGTTTCGGCCACCTTCTGCCACACGACCAAGGGGGCCTACCACGGGGCCCAGCAGTACGTTAACGCCCTTTTTATGGAACTCCCTCCCCATGTGGAGCCCTCTGTCATGCGCGAGCGCCTTGTTCCAACTGTGATATCATGCTCATCAGCCGATAAATCTAGAGAGAGGCGATACCTCGTCAGTTTATTTACCTTGCACCAGCATGAATACCACTTGACCAGGCGCTGACATGATCTGTTCCCCTCTAGGATATACATCAGCTGTCGATCATGACGCCCTTGTACCATTACTCACCAGACCATTCCCGGCATCGGACACGCAGAGACCTGGGAAGTTCAAACGAGGGATGGGTGGAATGTTCCCAGAGCAGCTGTTATCTGCATTGACACCCGCGGTGAGATTCACCTTCTCCTCAGGAGTGAGGCTGGCGACTAATTTTCTTGCTTTCTCGTAAGCAGGTGCCCAAGATCCGGAACCTGTGCCCTCCGCTGTATATGCTAGTAAGCATGAGAGACATGAGAGTTGGCGACGTGTACCTACGGGAAGGATAGACGGGCGGTGACTGTCCGAAGAAGTACGAGTCGCTAGTGATATTCTCCTGCGTCGGAGCGGCGTAAGAGAGGGAAAGACAGGCCAAAAGGCCAGCAAGCCCTACAATGGCATGCATTTTGTTTGATTGTGCTGTTGTTCATTTGCGGACCTTAGGATTTTAGTTCTATTTATGATTAGGAAGCCACGGCCCCGACCACCGGCATACGGTGACTTTCTATCCAACTTCACAGTTGATCGGCATTATTGTATTAGCCATCGGTTAAACATCGGGTGATTAATGCCACTCGTGATGACGGTGAAGGGCAGATTAAAAGCGAAAGCATGACTCGATTGCAAGGATTCTCCACAGGGAACTATGTTTATGTCTGTTTATCCGGGGAAACATGCGTCCCCGCATTTAACAAACCAACCCCACATTATGAATTCTGGAGAAGCTTCGACTATCCCGCACCGGCACAGAGCGGTGCTCATGAATGCCGTGCTATCCATGGTACTCCAGCAAATGGGGTAACCTTCGGAGGAAAAGCACCCGGGAGATGTCTATAACCCGCTCTCGGAGGACACTCTTCCTAATTTCCCTCCACGGCCATACATTTCTGCGGGGTCAATAGACGACCTCGTGCCACAACTGGCCAAGCAAAACCTCCTCCCGGGTGTCTCGATAGTGACCCATTGCCTAATACTCATCGAGCTTGCAGCGGATCGTTCCGTCTCTTTCCTTCTGCATGACGTGGGGTCCTCCATAGTCGGAGGCAAAGTTCGGCAAATACAACTGCTGCACGATAGTCCACCAAAAATATGTATAGGATCTGGAGCTCCAGTAAGTGTGGACAGAAAGTAAGCCCGATTGGACGCTTCAACGGGGAAGGAGTATTTTCCGACCATCGGGGTGTTTCTATAGTTTAGACGGAGATCCCCTTGCTCCGTCCTCTAATCCTTACTAGTATATGGCGGGGTAAAGCATGTCGTAAGGAGTGTAGAAATGGCATGGGCTATTTGTAAGAGAAAATTGATATTGGATGTTCAGATAATGAACGGGGACAAGGGAGAACAAGACTACTTCGTGAGTTAGCCTGAGTCCCACATGACTGTTCGAGTGGCCAAGTACGCACTCACCGAGACCAGAATGCCCTGTATAAGTCAATCACTGGTTCAGAGCCATGTTGGGTTTATTGTTCTGCTGTTAGGAACGAGAAAGGTATAACCATTCTAAAATTTCAAATCGGTATAGTAGTATATGCAACTATGCCCCAGGCACCAAGGGAACTCCACTTCCGGCATAACGTCTTTCACTATCAACAATACATTTCTTTCTCTATGCTGACTCGTGGCTAAAAATTGGCGAGCCAGATCATAGTGGCCGCCCCGACACTCTTCGCATGTTTCGAATTAGAAAATACCTCGGCCGGCAGAACCTAAGCGAGCGGGCCGTATGATATGCCATACATGAGAACATATATGTCTGGTACTATGTTAATTCGACCGCAAGACCGAAGTGAAAAAGGGAATATACATAAAATGCCACGCAAAACCAACCAACCACTTTGTGCGATGACCAGTCACTGCCGTGGCGGCCAACTAGTCCGGCCATGACCAAATGCGGTATGGCCAGTGAAATACCTCCGAATATTGCGAGCTTTCGTCGGTCAACACGGTCCAGATACATGAGGATCGGAAGCCCCCCGATAAGCTGGCATATGTTGACCATGCCCGACAGTATGAAGGTTGTATTGTTGTCTTTCCGAGAGAATCGAAGAACGTGGGTGCATAGGATATGAACGCATTGATTCCCGCGAACTACCGGTTGTTTAGGGACTGGAAAGGCAGAGCAGATAACAACTGATATATCCGCTGAAAGAAAGGGATCGTTAACGCGACAAGCGTTCAGCGAAAATAATTCAGCCGGAACAGAGCGGCCCACTGCTCCAGCGCGACATGAAGTGGGCAAGACTGATAATGGGGATATTGCTGGTCTAGGATTTGTCGCTGGCATCTCACTTCGGAGAGAATACCTTTCCATTTCAGTTGTACTTGCTCATCGTGCACATGCCGTCGGCGAAATTTCGGCGAGAGAGGAGAGGCTATCTTCCTCCCTCCCCCACATAGCCAGCCATTGAGGCGAGAACGGAAGTAAATGGATTGCACACCCGATCTCCAAGTCCGGGAAGATTTGTGGAAGGAAAGGCAAACAAAATGACCAATCACTACCAATCGACCTAGTTCAATGTGTCAGAATCCTTCTGGGTAATGGTGAGGTAATGCAGGTAGCAGACCTCGTGCTATAGGTGATCCGTATGCCACAATTGTGCCGATGACATTGCTGATAGATTCCAGTACAAGATCCCCTTCAAGCAGGAGGTGCAATCTTCAAGATGTACAAAGGTGTACCCATAGCCAGTGTACCTACACCGACCCCACCAATGTGCCATAATTCATCGAAGCCGTCTGAATGGCTGCGCCAATAACGTAGACCACGATGGCCACCGTCAAGCCCCCTTTGCTGGAAATGTGGCCCGCGATGGACGGGAGGAACAAACAGCCTATGAAAGCACCAAGCTCAAACAGGCCTGTCATGAAGCCAACGTGGAAGTCATACTATGGACTTTCCGGGGCTGTCTCTGGATACTGCTGTCGGACCTGCGTTATCACCAAGATGAGGGAAATAACACTTTGGTCTATGATACAGAATCGGTGAGGTTAGTTTTTATGTCGATCCTGCGCGTGTTGGGAGTCGGTACCACCGCCATACCGTAGCCAAAGGAAAACCCGCCAAAACGAGGCCAGAATCTCCGCTCCGAAGACATACGGCGACCGTAATATGTCTCGCAATTCTCCATTGTCATATCTGACCTCGACGGATAAGTCTACCGGGCTGATGGCGCCCATACTCATCAGCAGCAGCAAAAGAAGGCTTTTCAACAACTGGCTTTTCCATTGCGTTTAACCAGATGACTCTGGAGTACACATCAGGATACCGGGCTACGACCACATTCCGACTATGAATTTATATATTCAAGGGTCAGTATAAACGGTTCACGAAGACCTATCGTTGACATACCAAGGACTAGGATAGCCAAAGCTTCTCCGCAATTTCACTATTACCCCACGGGGAACCCTGAATGATCCGCGTCCACTCGCGGACAAATTTCTCTCGTTTGGGGCTAAAAACATGTCATTATCCTCAGCATTGGTTGCACAATCCCATTCCGCGGGCCGCTTTTACCTTTTCCAGTGATTACCTGAAGACGGTAATTTGCCCCATGGAGGAGCTTGAGCCCTCAGCTATCGAAACGCAAATGCCGTGAGAGTTATATCCCAATCATGAGCGCTGATATGACGAGATTTAGGTTATTGTCCGAAGTTTCAAGTGATGAAATCTATTCCGCATTGACTTGCATGGAGCTGATGAAAATATTTATATCCAAAAGAAATGCGTATCTTCCCAATGTCACATTTACTAGTCTTAGTCAGAGAATGAAGAAAACACTGTTCACACCATTGCCATCGCTCGCCCCGCAAAAATCGCCCATGTATTCGAGCCTAGCTACGATGACCAGGAGCAGATGATGTCGCAGACTTCGTGGAGAGACACCATCCTCATTCGCAGTAGTTGGAAAAGTCAAGCAACTATGTGCCACTCTAGGGTCGAGGGCCATCGACAGAAGCATCGGCCTGGGCATTCTTCATATCAATCTCATCCAGGGATTCTGGGTCGGTACTAGTGAGAGTGACAGCCAACACAGCTGGAATCGCAATGACAAGTGCACCCATACAGAGACCCCAGTCCATTGCTAGCTGCGTCATAGGGGGCTTCTCTTGCGCGCCGATTCGCCATGCCATCGCACCCCCCACACTCTGGAAGGTCTTGTACGCTCCAACCAGAATAGCCGCCACGGCTGGGGAGTTTGATTGGGCCCCCATAAGCCAATAACAGAATGACTGCCAGAATGCATCATACATGCCGTAGAAGATATAGAGAAACATAGGCCCGACGGAGATGGCGTTATCAGAGAAGTCAATGTCTTGCTTCTTTCCCTCCGCTAGACGCCGATCAAACCATAGCTGGAATGCGTATCCACCGCCCCAGATAGCCATGCCGGTGACAACGAGAAACAGCCAGTTGATCCGCGCTCTCCATTGGCGATTGAGGCCCGGGATATCGAGAAGAACGCCCATAATGAGGCCGCCGAACATCTGCGCGATCCAGTACAAGGCCCCATTAAGGGAGCGAGTACGGATATTGAATGCCATCCCGTTGACGATATTCTGCTGATATGAATAGAATACGTTGGCGCAGAAGAAAAGAGGGAGCATGCTGAGCACTCTCCAGTTGGCCACAGTGGTCACTGTGAGTTTAGCTACCCTCATCCAATTCTTGTCACTTTCCGGTTGGGCCTGCAAAGTGGAAATCCGGACCGACCTTGGCGGGCAGATGAGGGCCCCCATGAGCCATCCAATAGCCATAATAACTAGCAAGGCGATATACGTGCTGTCTGAAACTGTTGAGGTAGAGGAGTGATAATTGAGCCCGAAACTGGCCAAGGAGCCAACGCCCCCTCCGAGATTGAAGATAATCCAGAAGACTGCGATAGCGCGACCTTTCTGCGATTCCGGGACATACGTCGTCATAATAGCACCTTGAGCCACCCAAAGGAAGGAGGCACCGATACCGAGGATGGCTCCGGCGGCGATCACAAAAGCGCCGTTCCCCGTGGCTTATAACGACATTAGTCCAAACGTCAGAAGATCAAAGATACGGCTGCAACCTACCATTGAAGCACAGAAGACTTCCGGAATACAATGGATATGTCCATCCCCCAAGTAGTAGACAAACTCGGGGACCAACCCGATCGAAAATAGGCCCGACAACGAAGAGTGCTGTTGCCGCCATTGCAGAGAGTAGAGCTACATTTGCATTTGCGGCTACGGTCTGATCGACCTGACCAGAGCCCCCGAGGCCAGTCAGGGCATTATACATCTAGGTCAAATATAGAGCGTTAGCATCGTGACCCACTTATGTTTGCGACGTGGATAAAAACTCACACCAGGACAGCAAAAGCATATCAAACTTATTAACACTATCTGGAACCACGGATAGGAATATATGCGGTAGAGCTTGGAGCGCTGCGTGCTCCCCGGCCCTGAGGCAGGATTGTATCCCTCGGATATATCAACTGAATTGTTGCCCATCGCTATAGACAAGGGAGAACTGCAGATCGATTGGGAAAACAAACACAATGGGCGAACGAGCCGTACTTGTAAGCGAAGGAGATGTTGCTCATAAGCTACCCAAAGGGAACGCGATAGTGCGCACAAGCATTTTGTTGCTCGAGTCAGTGTCTTGGATATATCAATAACCATTGGCTGACACAGCAGATATGGTCAATTGGGCCATCCATGACTAGGGTCTTTTTCCACCACCGTCGCATCAAACCCCAGAGTATTGGCACAGATAAGAGGGGCGTGCGACCTTAGGAGGTAACCTTGTTGCGGATGGTCGATGCCGATCTTGCCTCGTATTCACCTCTGCTACCCGGCATAAGAGCCAATAGAATACTAAGGAATCCTTCGTAACCCTGCTGACATCTCCGAAATCTCTTGCTCCGCTGGAAACCTGTTGCAAATTGGAGTTGATTGGGCACGTCGGATATCGGGGGGCCTGAACGCGACCACATCCTGAGTCTGATAATCTTCATCCACCGCAAGTTGAGTGATTGCCCATATTCTAAATATGTAACTTTATTAATAGCATGGACCGTCACGGTGCAACATTGAAGCAACCATAACCAATTCCCACGCTAGAGCCGATGCATTAGCGCAACGTGTCTCGCGTGGTGAAAGTGTTGTTTATCTCGCTTGGAACCTGGAGAAACGGATGGACGGTCAAATCACCTTTAATTTGAGGCGAGATGACAATCTTATCATGAAGATACGCATTGGATAACATAGCCCAGGATCGGAATCCTCGATTGAGCCGAACCTTGATACAGTAATTTTGCAGCGCCACCAGGAGAATCCTGAGCGGAGATAAAGCCATTCACAGGGCCCAAGAGATTGCTGAGGGCATTCTGTCCTCCATAGAGACTGGCCCGGCCATGCATATATCAATCCACAAGTGAACAGTACCATCTGCATTGCAGCTTCAGGTGGTACCCTTTATATCTCAAGTTGCGTGACTCTCGCCAAGCGTATAGTTTTCCTTGCCACGTGTATTGTGAAATGTCACTTTCTCAAGAGGGTGGGTGTAGGTCTCGAATCACCTTTCATCTACTCAGACAAGTGACTCTCCGTCTCAACACACCTTTTTCCAGCCAGATTGAGTTCAGATATGAAAGTTGACCAAAGAAAAGATCCAACAAACAAGCATGGAAAGCACAAACTCACCAATTCATGCAATCCTATGAGACACTTCTGGGTCATTCCTGTCATTCCTGTGCGGAAAGAATCTCCAATCTTCAGACCCGTAACTCCTCCCGATTCGACATAAAGAACGAGAGAAAGATTCGATCCCGCCCTAGACCTAAAATGGTATTTATTGTCAGGTGCTTGGTCAGGCTATCAGCTATGTGTGCCACTGCGATATCAACTACAAACAACTACAGACACACTAGGTATACCAATAACAGAGCAATCAACGCCTCAACGCTATAGATTCATTTCAAGCCACCGACTTTGTCGCCCGGCCCATACTCATACCAACTTCAACATCCACCATAATCTTCTGATGACTGAGTTTCTCCAAATCCTCATCAAACTGGATGTGCCCTTGTTCAAATGCTACGATGATGCTCGACCCGCCAAACTGGAAGAGACCGATTTCATCTCCTTTCTTTACATGATGTCCTTCTCGAATATGTTGGTGGATCCTACACAACCAGTTAGCGAATGACCACAACCATCAGCGCACATAACACCTACTCCACAGTACCCACATCCGTGGCGCCGATAGCGACAAAGAGAACATCTCCAAACTCCTTACTTTCAATACAGACACAGCACCGTGCATTCTCCGTCAGGACATTAACCGAACTCTGCAATGCCAACGGATCCACCTGATAATAATCGCCCGAAATCGCTTTGAACCACTTCACCGTTCCATCCACGGGAGAATGATATCGATGGTAGTCTTGAGGACTGAGGCGAAAGCTAGCGACTGCACCATGGTCCCACCGCTTTGCACGGGCCTCATCGCGGATGAGACGGCCGATGCTAAACTCGTTTCCCTTGATCCACAATTGGCATGTTGCTTCTACGGTCGGATACACCACAACGCGCGAGTCAGCCACTATGATTGCTTTACTGGGATCCTCTGCTTCGTAGATCGGTCGCACGCCGGGTGCGTGCTTCCGGATGAAGAAGTCCTCAAACGTCTCGTAGGCCTCTGGGTCTGACGGTTCGAAGTGGGACATATCGATCTGGTAGAATTCGATGAAGCTTTTGATTTCGGAGTGTGACTGGGGCCTCCTTTCTACCCTGCCTACAATAACGTTAATAAGTGGGTTTGATCTCCCGAGACGCGCCGAGAGCCGACATACCCGCTCTTAGAGTTCTTTCATGTGTCCATAGCCGTAGAAGATGTGTGCGATCGATCCACTCGGTGATAGGATTGAAGAGCAGAAGTATCTTGAGCTTTTTCAGTAGCGGTTGCTTCTCACGCGTGAATTCGCCCGTCTTCCGGATGAGCGTTGGCCATCCGACATGGCGGTCCTGTAGCTGTCGGAAGAACGCGATCGCAGTGTTGATAAACTGCTGGACGAGATTTGGAAAGCCGGGCATAGTGGGAGTGTCGTATTTTCTCCTGGAAGCCAAAAGTAACGAAGTATCAAAGACGCTTTCCTGCGAAGAAAGTGGGCTTGAATGCGATCGTAAGGGTGATGTCATCCGAGTCACTCGCTCATGGAAACCCTAATCAAGGGTTTTTACTTCACTTCTCTCCTGTTCTAGTAATTCCAACAATTACGGTATCTAATGGGGCATTCAATGAGGCCCGCAAGCAAACTGCAGGTCAGGCTTTCCCGGGCAGGTCGGAATCCTACATTGTATAGGATTACATATGTTGGACAAATACTGAGGTCTTTGGAGATTACCAATAAGCGTCAAATCTCCTACACTAACGGTATATTGCTGTGAACAGAATGGCAAAAATGAAAAAATAAAAATAAAAATAAAAAATAAAATAAAATAAAGGGGGGGAAGTACAGTAAGGAAGGGGCATGAGGAGAGCCAAGAAATAGTAGTTAAAGAAAGTCCAAATATTATGTGTCTATATATTACATGTAACACATTCGTTCAATATTTACAATACCCCATAATCCAGTACTTTTAATCCCAATTCTTTCGCGTGAGTACCAACTCCGCCACCTCATAGATGCAAATCGGAAAGCAATTCAGCCAGATTGTCATACTTTTCGTCCAATACATTTCCAAACCTCACATCAGTACCCGTGGATGCTCGACGGTTTTGAAGAATTGGCAGATGCGCTTTAACCACTTTGTGGTGGCTTGACTGCCTCAACTTGACACAGCTCTTGTTGATAGTGAGGTCCGCTGCGAGCAAGCGCTGCGCCGCGCTGGGCATATCACTCAACCATTGTCTGAGAACAACATCATCGTGCAATCGAGATGGTGTCCGGTTGTCCGCAACGCTCGGCGGTGGAACTCGCGCGTTATCTAATGGTGGTGTAACCTGCCCGTGCTCGAATCGGTGTCCCGGGGTGCCTTGAAGCAGTGAAGCGGGAGGGATGTTGATATCGGCATCGAACTCGTCGTCCAGGAGAGGTGGGAGGAAGAGGGGCGGTAAGGAGCGGCGCACATGGAGATCCTCTTCATAAGCATGGCAGCCAACATTCTGCTGGACGCAGGCAGGGCTCTGCGACATTTTGCATCGGATGTAATGCACAAGGTGTTACTGTCAGTTGAGAGGGTAAGGAATGCGATTGAGGCCTTGTCAATTGTCAGATGAAAGTGGGGTGCTCAATTGAGTGATTCAGACCTGGTATATATCAGTTCATTGATTATATACTGGGAATCTGTTGTCTTAAGAGTGAAGGGATGTAAGCCATTGACGTGATAAGGTTTGCACAAGCTAACTTGGGAACATCATAATGGGCCATTGGCAGAAGGAAGAATAGGGATAAGCAACCGGCACTGAGAGCAGGCCTCCACAAATTTCCTGTCTCAGTGATTAGACAGAACCCAAGTCGATCCATCTAGTAGGGTTGGTTGGGGATACGATAACTTGGGCCATCGGTGATAGGTCAAGCCGGTACGGAGAAGTTACCCGTCGTCCGTTGACTGGTGGCAGTGAACGTCACGACTATGTCATCAACTGGAACACAACCTCAAGAACTCGAAGAATGAATGTGATGTCCAGCATCCAGTCAAATATCAGTAGAGGATTAGTAATCTATGGTGACCTTGGTGCTCCGGTCAGTGTACACTAATACACTAATTCTTCTTTGCTTCACCGTGAACAAAGCGATGGTCGGCGGTCGGGGTTATATTACATCGTGAGCACTCCATTTCTGGGGGGATAGGCACTTGGGATGTGCTATGTATATAAAGAAATTTATGGCCGAGACAAATTGTGCAATTGTCATATTGAGACTGTTCGAGTGCAAGAATAGGTTGTAAAAGGAAGCCCGTTCAGAATCTCCAAGTGACAGTTATAGTTGTCAACAAGCTCCCCACCCTATTGATTAATCCTTTCCAAGGTTCCTGGGTTATGCGCAACTCTTTTGCCGCGCTGATCATGAAACACCACCTTGAAAAATGTAGACCTTCCCGTCAGTATCATAGCTTCCATAACCGCAGCGTAGTCCTCTTACCTTAGGGGGATTTTTCACACCTTCCTCTTCGGCTTCTTGTTCATCGATCACAATCTTTTCAACCTATGTCAGTGAAATCATTAGTCTATTGGCCCCATAACTTGAGCTTGTGTAAACCACATAAGACCAAGGGCTCTTCCGTACCTCCCCTTGATGAGACCCACCACGAATTCGGGTGAAGACGTAGTCTCCCTCATGGATAGCATCACCATGTTTATCTTTCACGTCGTCCTTCTCCATGTTGGCGATATAACAGTGTCTTCGGCAACAAAATATCTTCTGGGGAACGTTGTTGAATAATTTGCCTTCACTATACAACATATTTATAGCCGGTAGTGTCGTCAAGTCAACGTCATCCGTCAAGGTTCGCTTATATTATGCTTATATTCCCTCAAGTTCATTCGATACAGCGATGACAGAGAAGGTTCTGAGTATCTGGTGAATGCCAAATTAGATGTTAGCCCGTCTTCAGCGATGTACTGTGTACATACATCCACGACTCCCGAAACCAAATAATGCTACCCTTTGCGATCGCCCAGTAATGATATTCACAAACCTTTCCGACATTCCCCTTAAAAGTCGTTTCAAATCGCTCCAGCTCCCTAGCTAATATCTCCCCTAGCAATAGCAACACCACAGCCGCCTCACTCCTCCTGAATGTCTCCCAACATGACGTATACTCCTTATTCAATTTTCACATTGCGGTACGTAAACGCACCCCTAACTTGCGGCAAAGGAGCACATTCGTCCGGCGAGATCTCCCGAATCGGCTACTTTTTCCAACAGCCCTTCCCAGAAGCCGAACAGTTTCCCCTAGAGACATCACCTCAGGCCTAGACAAAAGCACCACCTGGTTCAAAAATCGTAATATCTCCGGGCCTGCCGTATATGACACTATCATATTTGCGGTAGCTTCGCCAATCCCATTGCGTTTAGCCCACGCGATACCCAGCCCGGACCCTGACTGCGGGATTGTAATCTCCTCGACCAGATTCCGTTGGTCAAACAAAGCCAGGTAGATCGAGAATAAGTCGGAGTAAAGTCCCTCGCAAATAGCGATGTAGGTCAATAGGGCTATAGGGCGAGGGAGTTCTGTCGCTAGGTCGGTCTCCGTTGCGAGATGGGCGCCCATGACATGACAAAAGCTGGTTTTCTCGAAGTTCCCGCCGAAGACAAGGGAGGAATAGGATATGTTAGAGACGCTACTGCGGTGAGCTGCTCTTATTGCGTTTTTATGTGCCTATAGTGGTGTTGATGGATGTAAGTTCGTCTTCTGTTTAGAGGGATGGTGGTAAACCTCAGACCGGTACTCGATTTGGATCGATGCGTATGAAATGAGCATCAACACGTCGACCCCGGTAAAGCTTTGTTCAAACCTTCGGGCTAGTCATAGTCTGCATGTCAGACTGTTGCTCCAGCGCTAGAGAGGACTTCCAGCAATGGATATTAACTGTAACGGGGGAACGAGCTTTGCGAGGTGATTGATAATCCTGGTTCCTAACATTGGGCTGTGCCAGTATTGAATTTCACAAATGGACTAAGGAAACCAAAGTACCGGTAATCCTTAGAGGTGAAGGTAGGGGGTTGACATGAATTACCATACTTGTTAGGTGTTTGACAGATTATAAATTACCACCTGGGGGGGTAGAGATGCGGAGTAGTTGACCCTCTGAGTCGCAAAGGTTCCATGATGGTTCACTCCGTTGGTTATAACCTATGTACTAATTTTAGAAGCACGACCATTCCCGTACGGGTAGCTTAATTCTATTATGTGGAAGGATAGTTTCTCGGCCTAAACTATTATTCATTATCTCCCGCAAAGTCGCAGCGCAATCGCTGATATAAGTTGCAATAAATCTCCCTCAGCCTTGATAGTCCCCGTTGAGCTTGTAGTGCGTCCTTGACATAATCCTCGAAGGTGATAATACTTAAAGTCGAGGTACAAATCCTTCCACTCAGATAACCCAAGAGTAGAAGAGCTGGACATTTGTCTTTGCACTGAGAGCCTTGATATCTGTCGCGTTCTGCTTGTATGCCTCTCAAGCTTCCTTGACCTGAGCAGGAGCCTCCGGCTCGGACGATCATCAAGGCAAACTGGATAAACCGCTTCACACCGGCACCTTTGGTAGCATCGGCAAGAGTGTATTCGTCAACTATGCTATTGAAGTAGTGTTAGCTGAGGTGCCCATCGAGCTCGAAAAATTCTAAATTGTATAACCGAGTATCCCAAATTGGAGAAAGAATTGCCCAGTATTGTGGATGAGGAATGCAGGGCCTTGCAGGCTGCACAACGTCTTTGGGATAGTTGACTGGCAGGGAATGGCTATGTTCTGCTGTGTTTAATTGGATCTAGCTAACATGATACTATCGGGATTTGAATTTTATCTATCGCTGCCTTAGTACGTTGAGGGGGTTTCCAATAGTTCTCTTTGACAAGGGGTACTCTACTTTCCCTGGGAAACAATTTGTGTGGTCTTTCTGCCTCAGGTATCCGTGGTCCACACTTGGATACGACGCGGTGGACCAATCGGCGCACGCCTGCTATCTGATGGATGATCAGATTAGATAAAGCGGTCAGGATCACCAGATCAATATCATCGCGATCAGATAATACCAGCACATACCACAGCGGGACCTGAAGTTCTCGGAGCTGCATATTAATGTGATAAAAGATTTTCCGAAGCTGTACCTAGGGCTGTTGACCTCCCTGTCTTATTCCCTCCCATCCTGGTCGCTCTCTAGATCGACTATCATGCATTTTCCGTTGTGGGTCCACCAAGCCATTGTATGGCCTGGCTCGCCGGATCACGCTAGGAGGATCAGTCAGAGGCCCCGCTAGACTCAATCTCTCTTCTTTCGATCTCTTTTCCCTTTTGTCCCTATCCAATCTTTAACACAGCCATGCTGCTGCCAGGGTGGCTGTTGTTGGTGCTTCATGCGTCATTTACATATAGCAGGCCCCTTTCCGAGCGTTGCGTGACGGCCGTGTACACGGCATATGATTATGTTACGTTCACTACACCCGCTGAGGTAGCCCCAGGGCTCTGGGGATCGCGCTGTCAAAACACGTACAAAGTTACATCAATCTATGCCGCAGCGGACTTATACTGTGAACCATATGAGCGATCGGTGGGATTTGCTCAGTTCCAATCTTACTGCCAGCAGTTCGCGCAGGTTGACTTGATTCCACGAGAAGCGCTAGCTGCCAATCTAACTGAAGATTCGATTAGTCGGATGAGGATTGTTGACTTTGGAGAAGTTCCCCGGTCGGACCCAGCTGATTACCCCGTTCTCTTGTCAGCAACGTTTTATCGCCGCGTTTTCCGAACAATAGTATGTCTCTCCACGGCTTAGTCCAGGACCACCGATTAATACCGCGACTTCACAGGATACTTGGGAGTTTGAGGTCTGGACCCATACTGTATATGGGTAAGAGGTCATCCGCTCCATTGACTACCATCTCAGTCGTTGATCAGCATCAACAGCCTCGCCGGATATTCGTTCTGGATGTTCATTTTGGCGATTGGAATCCTTCACCGGTTAATCCAACAGATACTGCAGTCGAAGGGTATCCGTGTGAATACCAGCCAGTTCGTGTTATCATGCGTGATATATACGCCTTTGGCCGCAATATACCACTGGGTAGCGACCTATGTTCTTATCCCGAGTCCGCAGCCATCGCGAGGTCGACGTCTGCTTTGGTGGACATTCCCCACTCGTATAGAAGCGATCATTGTTTTCCTCTTCTGGCTGCTCAGTATAGTCCTGTCATCTGTGAGCTATCGGATATTTCCCGACAATATATAGTGCGTTTGCCAGGATGCTCCACTCTCTATCATACTAATATCTGTTTAGCTGGCCCATGATCTCCGCCCAACTTATACGCTATGCTGCAGACCGCACCGGTGTTCTTTCGTTCGCCAATCTTCCTCTTATTTGGCTCTTTGCGGGTCGCAATAATGTTTTTATCTGGGCGACTGGATGGAGCTTCTCCACGTTCAATCTTTTCCACCGGCACATTGCCTGGATTGCGACTATTCAGGCACTTGTCCATACAGTGCTATATCTGGTACTGTTCATCCAGAGTAAGCCCCCAGCCATGACAGTATCTCGTTTCAATCATTGACAGTACCCTGTATAGACGGAAATGCCACGAAGAAACTTCGGAAACCGTATCTCTTTTGGGGAACAGTAGTATGCATTGCATATCGTGGTACAAAGGACCGACACCAGTCTTGATACTAATTGTGACATAGGCCATGGTGGCAATGTTTTTGCTGGCACCCTTTGCCATTGAATGGCTCCGAAGAAGAACATATGAGACATTCCTCGTTCTGCACATTCTTTTCTCCATCGCAGCCTTAGTGGGTTGCTTTTAGTGAGTCGTACCACCTTCCCTACAACCTACTACTCAATCTAACCATCTAATCCGGCAGCCACACCGTCATCTTTGCAGACCACGAGTACTGGACATGGTTATGGCCTGCCGTAGCATTTTGGGCCGCGGACCGACTTCTACGCATGATCCGTCTCGTATATTGTAATCTCCACGTTCACACCAATATAGGTAAAAGCATCCAGTACACGCGCAGCTCAGCAACCTACGACAACGCCTCCGATGTAATCCGATTAGAGGTTATTCCCGGATCAGGGCGGCTTCAACCCACCCCAGGGCAATACTACTACCTCTACCAACCGTTCCGGCTTACAGGATGGGAAAACCATCCATTTACTCTGGGGTCATGGTCATACGAGACGAGACTTCCCACTAAAACGCAAACACCCCCCTTTACAAAGGATGATGATATCGTAGATGTAACACAGATCCCCTTACTCTCCGATAGTTCGTCCGGCTCACGAACTCCACCGGAAGATATACCGTCAGTTGACCAGGCACAAAAATTACGACTAATTTTCTGGATCCGGCCCTTCGACGGCTGGACGCGCCACCTCCGACAACAATGCGTCCAATCTCCCGGCCGGACATTGGATACAACGATCCTATTAGAAGGCCCATACGGCGAACAGTTCCCCCTATGGAATTACGAGTCCGTTTTATTAATCGCCGGCGGAACAGGGATTGCAGCAGCGGTACCGTACATCCAAGATCACCTGGCACGGTGCGCCGATGAAGTGGAAAGCCCGACTCGTATCCAATATATCCACCTGGTCTGGATGAGTCGGCAGGAGGCGTTCGTCCAAGACATTGCCGCCCGAGAACTGAGTTCGGCCCTCGCTCGTGATGATTTCCGGGCTTCCTTCTATGTGACCTCGTCCACGCCGGTGAGGGCGTCGGGCGAATGCTCGGCGCTGCGCGAAGGACTCCCCGGGAATGCTATTGAGGTTGGTCGGGGGCGACCTGATCTGCAGTCGCTTGTTTTGACGCATGCGCACGAAGCTCAGCTCAGTAGTTGCTCGGCGGCGGTACTCGTGTGTGGACCGCCTGCGATGGCTGACGAGGTTCGGGCTGCGGTATATCAAACCATGCGGCAGGGGTATCGGGGGTTGCGATATATTGAGGAGTCTTTTAGTTGGTGAGATAAGGGACAACGATCTAACGCAGCGTACAATGATCCGGTGCCCTCTTTTCTTTTTATTTCTGGGGTTTTTTGCCTTTTGCTGTTGGAGTTGGGGCCTGGGATATTTCGGGCTAGATGTCAACACACAAATAGAAATATGCAGCACAAATGTTTCAATGTCTATAGATAGATGAGATTGATCAACTATGACAATACATACATGTTTGAACTGATCGCCTTATTTAGATCCGGCCTATCCAGCGCACAAACCATGGAGCAATATCCGGCATGCAAGGGACAACGACCCGTTCGGAGGCTGGATTTTCCTCAACATTGCTATATCACATTTTTAAACCTAAATCTGTACTACCTAGCGGGTAGTTTCTCCTTTCGTACTTCCGTCACAGCCTCAAATCCCTTGCATGCATATGGTACCCAGAGCCACACACGCAAAACCAACTGATGCAGGTACATCTGACACGGCACATTTTTATTCATTGGAGGTATTTGTGTCGCGTAATGCCAATAAATCGATCAGCAACGTCCTAGCCCGACTAGGGCATGTCGAGTTCGCGTTTTACTAAGCTCGCATAAAATTGGAGGAGCAAGAAAACTATGTCCGGTTTCGGGGCGATCATCGTGTCAGGGTTTTGGATGCAGAATGCAGAAACTGTTGTGCTTTGGGAAGTTTCAGATCTTAGGTGCCAGGTCCTAGGATCGCTGTTTGAGGACGGGAGTTTCTAGTATCAGTCTTCGGCCATGGATTAGGATCACTAGGCGGTCGTCTTGGTCAGTAGAGCGTAGGAGTAGAAGGGAAAGAGGACAAGGCTTCCCCACTACTATTATAAGGGTCAAATGCCTTCTAGTTCGTCAAATCCAACTTCATGCTGGATCATCCATTCCTTTCAAAAAAGTGTACACTACAACATTTCCTTTTTGAATACGAGATGCGTCTGCATATGTATATATTTTTTTGACTGCTCTAAGATCTCATCGATCAATGCGAGATGAACACGCATGGAAGAAGCTATAGAGCGAGAAGTGTCCTAATGGCGTTCTATTATGGAAATTGGGTCAAGACGAACGTCACGTCCAAATACTTGAAACAGTGGACAGGAGAAACCATTATACAAGTAATAACACAAATAACACATGAAGTCGAAAGAAAGCACCCAAGGAGCTTTTCCTTCACCAAATGTTGTCGATCTCCAAAGCCCTATGCTCATGGAATCTCAGGTACCGGTTATCGTTCCAAATAGGATTACTTCGTCTCGGATATTCGAAATCGTACTTCTATAACGGAAGGGTGGCTCAATGAGGGTATAATTCATAGCCAGAATACCTGTGTCCTTTGTGTGGCTAAGTAATATCCTTTATTATCTGAGCTTATTGGGCAACCTGGGCGACGAGGGCTTCCATTGTTATGACCCGCTTTTACCTTGGTTGCAGACTATGCTTCCCAATATCATAGGGTTAATTGGAAAGGGAACTAAGTTTTACTATGCGCCATATGTACTCCATAATGGCTGTGGATATAAGTTCCAGATCTGCGTGGCCATACTATCACTGTTTGGAACGAGAGATTTCGGATATGTCGGTGTCTTTGGAGTTGTGATGCTTCAGTAGAAACATTGCCAGATCACCTAATCAATACTTCCGGTTGATAGTCTAAGCTCATCGTGATTCCGCGTCTCTCATGTATATAGAAGAATAACAGAAAGAACATGATCCTTTACTGGAAGGTGGACTACGAGAGTTGAAGATATCGCATATTGTCTCATGGGCATTTTTATGTGTATGTGCCGCTGCTGTATGGGCAGGTTGAGAGAGCATTTACTCAATTGCAGGAGAAAATCATAAAGGTGGATAACAAGACGCTCTTTTCTGGGAGAATGACGATGTTTCATTCGAGAGTCCTAGCGGTCTGCTGGTACAGCGTTTCGTGAGAGTCAAATATCGTTTACTTGAATGCATTCGATAGTCCCCGGTGCTATACATGTTTCTTGACTATGAAGTACATTTATAGTAGTCAATGATATAACTATATGATATACTAAACACTATGAAATATACTGGCATTTTAGCCGTCAATAGATACAGGTATAAATCAATGTGAATGCATAGAGATACCTCCTCAATCCGTTATGCAAATTGACTCGAGAGCATCATCAAATCCAAATACGTGGCATTTTCAGAATGAGAGCTTAGTATTCGTACAATAACGTGAAACAATAGAAATGGTCAATTAGAAGCAACTAAAGAAATAAAATCTGGGGTGTATACATAGACCTATGACCCGGTATACAGGCCGTCACACATCAGGTAGCCATGCTTATCCCAAATCGAAAGGTCTTGGGCATATTTGTTAGAAAATAACCACCTAAACTTCTATCACGGTAGGGTGCTCACTGGTATCATATTCCGCATTCACTCTTTCATCACCTGAGCCCAAGGACAATCACAATGCGGGATTGAGATAAGACACGGTTTCCTTTTCTTTTGGGGAGCATGCATGAAATCCTATTTTACCGATGAAAGCTACGTTAGCCTTTTACCCTAAATTGGGGGGCGGAGATGGGGAGGACGAGATGGCCACCTTTTTGAGGTTGAGAATATAAGAGGGTTCAAAGCGGTCCGGAACGAGGGACGAACTGAGACAGACTCTTTACATTCGCCTCGACTCCCGTGACTGGTACAGCCAGATGAGTCGCTGCTTGATTGTAATTGGGCGATATACATGGCCTGATTTGTCCTAATTTATATTGTTCTGACTGGAAGTACCTAGTATAAAGAGTAAATTAACTGAAGATAGAGCGGCGGATAAATCGATAAATAGTACGGAGAGTCCATTCAAACATCACCTCGATATCATGTCGCAGACATAACCTCACCTGTGCTACACAAAGCGCGAAGTACGTACGATGACCAATTCGAACAGTAAAAACCATCAAAATCCAAAAAGAAGAATTAAATCATCAGTCACCAACATGTAGTCCATCGGTATTAGCCGTCAACAAGTGTTCACGTCCTTACCAACAACCCCTTTGTCCCAGGCCAGAGACCATTTCTGCAACAGCTCATGATGACCTACATCCCACTAATATTATCGTCAACGAAAGACGGTAAGGTAGCTAGGATTATTGACTAGGGTGCAGCAGGGTACAACATTGCTGTGAGGGATTACTTCGGCTTGATTTGGGCGACACCGGGTTCACCATGGAGAAAATCAGCGTCTATCATTCTACCCCGATACAAGTATGACTATGGGGCTAAGGTGAATTATTCAATGGCTGACTACACGGGCGTCTAGGTGTATACATAGTTCTGCCGCTCCCTGCCCTCTTCCTCTCAGTCCGAACCGAGCTCATGGATGTCATTTCAGAAGCCAGTCCAATCAGGATATTGAAACAGGAGAGGTGAATCAGTAGTAGCTACATGAAGTTGGTGGCAGGTGGCAAGCTCATCCATGTGATAAGATAGAATATAGGGGTCTCATAGATCTACATATTTCAAGGCAATACGAGACGTAGAAAGGGTATTAAAATATAATTGATGGTCCGCTGACAATTTGCACTAGCTCGATGACAAGAAAGCCAATGGGATTTGTCGTCCCTATGTGAGCCATGTCTTCGGTTGCCTCAAGGATTGGAGCAGATATATCCCGCACCGTAAAAAGAAACCTTAACATGACTATAAGTCTCATGCCCCGCCACGCGCACCCTTCACCCCACGTGTAGCGACAAGTGAAGTATATCTTGCCTGTGCATGCCTTAAAGAGAATGTAGTCTCTCTCTTGCTCGGTCGTCTCGCCCTTCGTCTTCCAGTGCTTCTTTAACTGCCTTGTTTCGACAGAACAAGTGGTCCATATTCCCCAGTGATGTGGAAGCCTTCCCTCAACTTCATCACATTGCATTGTTAGTAAATGCTTTCCTGAGACGAAGAGATCGATTGACGGGATTCCTCTGACCCTGCAGATGCGTATATCATTACCCTGAGCATCCTCAGTCTGGCCATCATCTATCCATATGGCAACCTCCAAGCCATTGACGCGTTCTTCTTCGGCGCGAGTGCCTCGACAGAATCCGGGCTGAACACGTGGGTCGCCAGTCTTTGTTGATGGGGAAATACTGACGCGGCGTAGTGTTGATGTCAATATCCTGAAAACGTATCAGCAGGTCTACATCTATGTGACTCCTATCATCAGTAATCTTGGCTTCGTCAACATTATTGTGGTGGTTGTACGGCTGCGCTGGTTCAACAAGCGTCTCAAGGAAGCGGGTATGCATCTCCATATCCTGGTTACACTTGTGTCTGCGGAGCTAATCGGTGATACAGCCCCCTCTTTTCTCCGGCAAAGATGGATGAAAGATGACACAGAAGCGGAAGCAGGGAGTACTTCAAAGACGGCCACGACTTCAGAAAAGTGAGTAACCGTCCATGCAGTTACGCTGAATGACTCCTCATGGCGCAAACAGACAAGACTCTTTTCAGAATGAGTCGCAGAGCCAGCCCTTCAGCAATACAGGTTCCAGTCTTCCCCCTACCACCATCGCATTCGCTGACAATGTGGATGATTCTGGCCTGGATAAGGCGCTCTACGTTCCTCCTCCCTGGCAACGGGATAGAGGACAGCCAATTGTGGAAGTCAATAATATGTTGAGTGACTGTGGTAAGTCTAGCTCCAGCAGATGGAGACCGGGACAGGACTAATCACCCGTCACAGAGCGAACCAGATCTTTCGACACCCAGGCAGTCAAATCCGGCACTTCTCGCCGGCGGTTCGAGGATCGACTAGCTCGAACAAAGACCCTGGAGCGAGTTGCATCCTCAATGTTTATCATCAGTCCGTCCACCAGTCATGGCCCGAAGGCGCAGCCTCATTCCCTCAACCAGTCCCTTTCTCAGCAGCTGGACCTGCCTGAAGTATCGTCGCATGCTACGATCGGCCGTAACTCGCAGTTCCATAACCTGACTGCCGAGGATCGAGAGATGCTCGGTGGAATCGAGTTTCGCAGCCTGAAACTACTACTCAAGATCGTCACTGGTAAGTATTCATCCATGTGTCCCGGAGGGACAATCGTTTGACTGAAACAGTGTATTTCTTTGGTCTTCACCTCTTTGGCGCAATCTGCCTGGTCGGTTGGATCCAGCACACAAATCCCAAGTATCGCGAATACCTTGCCAAATGTGGGCAAGGCAACGTCTGGTGGTGAGCCCGTCTCTCTACCCTTTGGTTGCTACACATCACTAATCATATAACCAGGGGCTTCTATTCCGCGCAGACAATGGTAGATAACCTCGGCTTTACCCTCACACCCGACTCAATGATCAGTTTCCAGGACGCAACATTCCCATTGATCCTCATGAGCTTCCTCGCGTATGCCGGCAACACTTTCTATCCATGTCTCCTGCGGTTCGCTATCTGGACCATGTTCAAGCTCTGCCCCGACCGTTCCGCAGTGAAAGAACCTCTTAACTTCCTTCTTAAGCATCCCCGCCGCTGCTACACGCTCCTTTTTCCTAGCAAACCCACTTGGGTCTTGTTCGGCATCCTCTTCACCCTGAACTTCGTAGACGTCATCCTTATCCTCGTGCTCGACCTGCACAATCCTGCTGTGAACAATCTCCCCGCCGGCACGCGCCTTCTGGCCTCTATCTTCCAAGCCGCCTCCGCCCGACACACCGGCACGGCAGCCTTCAATCTTGCTAATGTCAACCCCGCCGTGCAATTCAGCCTGCTCGTAATGATGTACATCGCTATCTACCCGATCGCCATAAGTGTACGCGCCTCCAACACATACGAGGAGCGCGCCTTAGGGATGTACTCTGACAACACCACCATTGACGAAACGAACGGGCGATCATATATCCTCTCGCATATCCGCAACCAGCTCACCTTCGACCTGTGGTATATCTTCCTAGGGATCTTCTGCATCTGCGTCGCGGAGTCAGGCCGTATCATGGATCCCGACGAGCCAGTTCGTTGGCCCCTTATCTCCTGCTGGTTCTGAGACTGGGCTGATTACACTGTATATACAGGCTTTCGCTGTATTCCCGATCTTCTTTGAGGTCGTTTCCGCGTAGTAGGGTTTCCTTTCGTCCCTATCCTACTCTTTGACTGCGTACTGATCAATACAGCGCGAACGTCGGTCTAAGTCTCGGTTACCCGACCGTCAGTACCTCCCTGAGTGGGCAGTTTACCGTCTTCAGCAAGCTGGCTATCTGTGCGATGATGATCCGCGGTCGTCATCGGGGTCTGCCGTATCAGCTTGATCGGGCGATTGTGCTACCGAATGAGCGGCTGGACGATGCACTTGATGGATATGGCGGTGAGGATGCGAGGGTTGTAAGACGGATGGACAGGATTAAACGCTTTTATACTAGCTAGTATATAGTACACAGAGTATCTAAAAGATGCGTGCCAACAAATGATACTGTCATAGACATTCAAGTCACTTGTTCATCATGATCATATGCTACAAACGCTTGTAAAGACCTTATCCCGACGCTGGCTCCTTAGCAACAGCCAAAGCTACTTCTGAGCCCACCCAGGAGCTACATTATTTCTGACTCTGCTTTGTATTAACCCGCATTATCTTCTACACAATCCGAGACTGAAAAACACAAAATATCTCTTACTGTTCAATCCTTGAGACCATCTCCCATATTGGGTTGAAAACAGCTCTACCAAGATGACAAGTGATGCGGAACATTCTTCTGAGATAAATGGTAGCTGCCTTTGTGCGAGTATCCGGTACATATTCCACTTCAACGGAATACATGTCTGGCCGCCAAAGGTACTGCAACGTCCTGAAAACTTAGTTCCTATCTGCTAGCTGGAAACCTGCATTCCAAACAGTTAGATTCCTGCCAATGCACAATGTGCCGCAAGTGGATTTAGTCCACTTCCTTAATTCCTTTCCCTCTCACCAAACAGATCATTCCAGAAATCTCCGCATTTCCGACCTACACAGAATACCGTTCACCAGAGAAATGCCTCGGGGGATTCTGTTTAAGGTGTGGAAGTTCGCTGTTATGGAGGACTGAGGCGCGTCCGGAAGAGATTAATTTGTTCCTAGGAACAATAAACAAAAAAATGGCGCGGACGGCGCGAAAGTGGACAGTGGAAAGAGCACAGGAAATACTGTCGGACCTACGAGGAAAAGTGATGTTGGAGAGACACTGGGTATCCCAACAGACGGGCAGCATTATTATGGGAATGTGATTACTGGGATGGCCTTGCAGTTGCTGGGAAGCACAAGCAACCTGCCAATAGTAGTAGCTTTAACAGCAAAGCGGGTACAGACCTTTCCATGGGGTTTAGACAGATTGGACATCGCCCATCTACAGGGGCCAACCCAGGATAGTACGCAACTCTCTCAGTTGATACACAAAGGTTGACCATGTCCTTCAGGCATTGTCTTCCCACCTCGCTATCAAAAGACACTTCTTTGAACAGATTTTCGCGTACGTGGGTCCCAGCCGGCATATATTTTGCATAGGTCTCAAAAAGGATTGTTATATCACGTTCGGTAAACCTCTTTTTAGAGAGATATTCATCATAACTCTCATTCCACCATTGTGTACTATACCCATCTCGCTTTGCCCAAAGCTTCTTTGCTTTCTTGGTTCACAGCTTAGATCGTTCTCCCGCCAGTGATTTGTGGACGCTAGGCTGACCTGCAATCATCCGAGAATAATCTTTGCATTGAGATCAACGATCTCCTCATCATGCTCCCATCTTGAGGTGAACTGGTAAAAGAATGGCATGCTGTCTTCTGCGAGGGTACGCTATTCTTTTGTGTGGCAATATAAAGACTCCGCAAAAAGCTTTAGAATTTGTGGAGAGGGATCTGGTTCGTCCTTGGAGAAGTTTTTTGTCAAACTCTCCTTGCGAGAAAGTGTCCATCTGAAGAACAGTTAAAAGTTACCTGTGACTCGGTAAACTTAATAGGAATGGATCCTTACAAAGGCCACTGGAGTACTGCTCGTTCATACTTTTCACGAGACTCTGCTGCTAGTTTTGATTAACTTATAACGTTTTCTTTTCTTGCTCGATTTGATATTCGAGAATAAAGCCATGTGACAGCAAGTTCTCTGCTACTACTCTAACATATTTTGCAACTTAGCGTCTTGGGAAGCCCAGTTTCCCACACCCTATGGTCATATGTACAGTTTTTTTAAGATTGACAACTATATAGTGTCAAATGATAGAGCAATCAACTAATTACAACAAAGTCCATCAATTAACCTAATAATATCGTTCTAAAGTCCACATGTTATGAGCCTTGATTATTATCATTACACTAGTAAGTTTGTGTGTCCGTGCGTTAACCTCAAGATATATCCATCCACGTTTACAAGTTACTAACTAGCTAGGAGATGTGATTACTACAACTGGTACACATGATCATGTATATATATTTCCTTCTGTGTGCTCTCGCTTCCGCCAGCACGGAAATTATTCTGGACCACTAGACAGGTACCCATGTTAGGAGACCTCATTTGACACAATGTAGTCTTTGTATTAGTTGAAGATATATCTCACTGCTGCGTAGAGTACAACGGAAAGCTAAGGAGTCGAAGTAGGGGTCACTATGAACTCGAGCGCGTACGCAATATCAAGAGATACACTCCATAACATGGTATACAATATAGATCTACAAAAGTATAGTAAGCAGCGAATACGTACAGCAGTAAGAGTAACAGTGCGCTAAGCAGTAAAAGCTGGTATTCATTTCAAAGTAAGGTTTAAGGAACAGCAGAGCATCAGATAAACAATATAGTATTGAGGCATAGGGCGAGAATTGGTGAGCAAGCATCCATGATAGCTCACGCAAGAATCAGACCAGAAAAAAAAAGATCTTTATGGTACTCAGCTCAGACATAAATATGTACCCTTCTTAAAACGCCAGGACAAAAATTAAACACAACATACCGTAGATGAATGGATAGACTGGCAATCAAAGACGTGATGATGTATTTCTCTATGAACTCCGCTTCTTCATAATTGTAAATACACAAAGTATACCGCACCCAGGTCCCAGCCAAGAGCTCTAACCTAGTCTTGTGGGTGTAGTATCTTGTTTCGATAGAACTATTATATTGAAGACAGAGTCCACTGTCTCGATTTGTTCACCGCAAAGAGGGGGAAATTGATGATCCTTAAAATCTCCCGTTGAGGTGGTTAAGAACAAACCCTATTGATACCACAGTGAAGCCATATGAGCTAAAGTTTAGCTACATATTGTTTGAAACCCGTATTGGGAAATATAAGATTATCCCCAGCTTCACCGACCAGGACCGACGATCCTAAGGTTTTCTAGGGAGTAAACATCGCAGCGCCACCAGGTCTAGACTTCAGTCATGTTTTTGATCGACAAGATAGTTCGCAAACCACCAGCCTCGTCCATGAACAGGTTTCACATCGCTTCAGGGAGAGTTGGAGAATAAGAAATGAGATATCTCTCATTGTCGTATATACGGGAAGTCTTGGCATTTATGTGCCCTGTGTGGGGAAAATCAGCGGCGGCAAAAGTCTTGTTTCAGCATACGCAAGTACGAAGATCTGATCTGTCACATTTTACTCCTGACCGGTTTTCTAGCGATCGATGCAAGGTTTCCGGCGGCACCGACTGAGTACCTGGCAGACCCCTATGCGGCGCAACAATGGTCCATGCGGATATTGGATTCTTGCATAAGCCTCAATGAACCTACTGGAGTGGAGGCCGAGGCTGGCAATAGAGCTGCATCGACCCTAGTTCGTGGCTATTCTAAGCTCCATTCAATGCAAACGCCGTCAATAGTCCGCTCAATATTGAGCTAGACCCCTTAATGGCTATGGAGTCCCGCATGCAAGGGACGATGAGCCAAGGAAATGAGATGGAGTCAATCATATGGACTATGTGATATTCACGGCTCTCCATACTGAAAGTAGAAGCAAACATCTTTCCGTATGGTATTCCAAAAAGGTATAAAGGGACCGTCAAATCCCTCCTCATCTCGTTTATTATCACAACAACAATCAGCTGCTCAAGCATCCCTCAATACAGTCTCTTCTCCAACAACTCGCTTCACAGCACTTAATAACAGCCAAACCAACCGTCAAGATGAAGTTCTTCACTGCTGCCGCTCTCTTTGTTGCCACCGCCATGGCCTACCCACCTAACAGTAACAACGGTAACGGTAACGCTGTCTCCAAGACCGATGTCAAGCAGATTCAGGTTCTTGAGGACCGCTGCAAGCAACAGCAGAAGGCTACCATGTGCTGTGACGAGTTCACCCAGAAGAACACTGTCTCGAGCGGTGGCCTCCTCAACAACTTCCTCAGCGGACTCGACCTGAAGGACGCCGCCAACCTTGCCCTTGTCCAGAACCTCCTCGCAGGTGATGGCGGCCAATGCCGCGGTAAGTCTTTTTTTTGTGCCTATTCTAGGTTTCTTAAACCAGAGCTAATTAGGTTCACAGGCGTTGCCACTCTCCTCGACGGCAACTGCGCCAACAAGGCTGCCTGCTGTGACCATATCGAGAATGGTGATCAGGTAGGCGTTGCTTTACGTTCTCTGCCGAGTAGCCAGGTTGCTAACTGGAAACAGAACGGCCTCGTCAACGTTGGGGTCCCCATCAACTGCGTTGCCCTCCCTCTCTAAGTGCAACGCCGCAGATTGAGAGATAGCTTGAGACCTTGCGTTGGGGGATTGGGCTCGTTGCATATAGCGTCGGCTGTATGGTCCTTGTCTTTTCAATACGGATAAAGACTGTCTCCCATTTTTCGATTTCCGCTTGAAGGATATCAATTGTTGCATTCGTTTCACTCTTTTTGTATACTCTAGCCTGTTTTTGCTGTGACTACCTGTCCATACTAGAGTCGTTAGCTTGTTTATAATTGAGCAAAATTACCACTATGAGGAATTGTCTTCACCTATGTAGCACACATAAGTTAGTTGGCGGTTGATATGAGTCTGTTCAAAAGTGTTAAGATGGTAGTTGCCTCAGACCACCGCCGGAACCACATCCGAAGGAAGTCGCCCAACGACGACTCCACTCTTCGGGTACGCTTCCTTGCACTTCGCCTTTGCTCTCTCCTTTTCTTCCGTGCGCAAGTATTATCACTATGAATACTCGGAAATCTGCAAAGCCCCAAGATTCGGCAAAAGCGACTGACCGACCTTCTAAACGGCGCAAAGTAGCCGTCGCCTGTGATGAATGTCGTGCTCGGAAGATTCGCTGTGACGGCGTACAGCCCGGTAGGACTCATTTTTGAACTATACTATCGAAATAATGAGCGAATCGAATCGCACCACAGTGAAAACCGCTTTGCTAACCTTGTTCTCAACCCAGTGTGTGGCCCATGCAGAAAGAAGGCGGATTTAGGAGTGCGCTGTGTTTACACTGGAGAGCATGAGAAAAAGCGTGCGGTGCAAGAGTATGTGCATGCAAAACTTGCATGCAGTATTCTACATCCTTTGGCTTTCTATCAATATACTAACAAGCTGTGTGGTAAAGTTATATTGCTAGCTTGGAGAGCCGAATTAAGAACCTAGAAAGCCCGGGTGACATTCCGGCAAGGATAACGAGCGTTGTAGAACGTGAGAGGACAGGCCGCTTTCAGGTAAGTAAAGGACCGCAAAGTGTTTGGAGTATGGGCTCAACAAGAGGCATTCTTTGAGGTCTGACTGGCCGTATAGAGTTCCACCTCTCCGTATAGTCCTGTGTCATCACGTAATCTTCCTGCAGTGACCCAGTTAACCACATCGTCCGCCCCAGAAAATTATAGTCCGCTTACGAATGACACTCCAGAGAGCGCTAATAGAGATGATCACCTTCCGCCATGCAGTGCTTGTCGAAGCTCTTCTGAAAGGATTGCTAATTGTGTACACGAACGTGCCAAACCTCGTTCCCAAGGCTTTGTAAGACAGTCTCGAGTACAAAAACATACAGATGGTGTGAATGCGATGATGGGTGCCGCCTAGGAAGAGCGCCCGACACAAGGCTTCTTTGGTAGTTCAAGCGCGGCTAGCTTCATGCATCAGATAAAGATGGCTGTTGACAAAACAGTCGCCTCACCCCATCGACAGACATCTGACACCGTCCCGGGGGTGACATCTTCCCCAGCCCTCATGGAGACCAAGCAGCAAAGGCCCTCTAGCATACAGAGCTATGTATTGCCTCCAAGGAAAACAGCAGATAGCCTGATGGGCATTTACTGGACTTTTGTCTTCCCCCTTTACCCGCTTGTTGACAATATCCGTCTGAGAGCCGACTATGAAAAGATCTGGACGGGGGAACCGCTTCAATCTGATGAAAATATGCTCATGTGCACATTCAATATGATATTTGCACTATCCTGCCAGTTAGCTGACTTCATCCCCCACGGGGAGCGAGAAGTGTCGGCGGATGCTTTCTTTTCGCAGGCGAAGGATCTTCTCCAGTTTAATATCTGGGATGCAGGGTCTGCTGCCCTTATTCAATGTTTACTTCTGATGGCGCAGTACTTGCAAAGCACTGACTCGGCTCACCAATGCTGGATCGTCACTGGCCTGGCAATACGGAATGCCCAAAGCTTGGGGTTGCATCTTCCACAAACTATTGCCCGGCTTCCAAGCCCACAGGATCAACAACTAGCACGCAAAATATGGCACGGATGTGTGCTCATGGATAGGTATGTTGAGTATTGACATTCCTTCGATCGTTACATCTGACATCATTCAGAGTCATTTCCATGACATTTGGACGTCCAGCAATGATAACGAAAGCGTCCTGTGGATCGGTACCTTTGCCCGATATGGTGGACGAGGAGTATATTCCGACAGCTTCCGGCATAGAGGCTACACAGCCAGCTGACCGGCCATCTGTGATGGCATTTTATGCAAGGTCTCTTGGACTATACGAAATCATGAACGATATCCTACTGAGTTTATATAAGCCTGTCCCGGAAGATAATCCAGAGGACATGTATGAACTTTATTTCAACAAAGAAACTAGTGAGGACGAGCAGACGATCTTTGAGCTTGACCGAGCCCTTACCAAGTGGAGCCGGAGCCTTCCGCAACATTTACGAGGAAGCTCGCTCAGTGACTCCACAGATGTGGTCTTCTACCACCAGAGTGTAGTTCTTAGAGCAAGGTACGGCCACCCCTGTCAATTTTACTACCCGAGAAAATGATATGAGGTGCTGAGGCCCACTTGCTCACCTTCTGCCTTAGATTTTTGCACGTTCGTATGCTTCTATTCCGTCCGATACTGTCCAAGTACTGTACAGCTAGAGACACCAAAGCACCTGATACCCTTGTTTCACGAAATGACTCCTTTCCTCAGCGCATAGCATGGCAGTGGTCAACTATATGCGTTCAGGTAGCCCAGGAAGTCATTGAATTGATACATGGCAACATCCCTGCTGATGGATCAGCGGGTCCTCTCCCAGCTTGGTGGTACAATATTCTGTGTGAGACTTATGACAACGGTTTAAGGAGTCCAGTGAAGGCTGACGGTAATAGATGTCTACACTGCAGCCACAGTTTTGGTAGCAGGCTATCTTTGTCCCACTATTCTGGACGAAGTGACTGAAGTGGCAGTTACAAGGTCATGGCACTGCGCGCTCGAGATTCTTAGAAAGTATCAGAGTTACAGCACTTCTGCACGGCGATGCATAGCAGCTCTGGAAATTCTCTACGAAAGAGTGGTGTCGGTACCACCCCCATCTCATGCGCTAAGCACTAGCCATCAGCCACCTGGTAGCACGTCCAATACTGTGAATGATATGTCTCTTGGAGAGGGCATAGATGCAATTTTCTCGGAAGGCTTTGATTGGCCGGACTTCCAAGATATGTCATGGCTAAACAGCGTACCAAGCAGCTTACACTATGGCCTTCCCAATAAAGCCTTTCTTGGCACTATGAGAGTCCTCTGAGATAAATACCCGTTTCCTCGCCTAACAGAAAGTAAACAACGAATAACGTGAAGTCGATTATGACATATATCCAGTAAATCCAAGCAATACTTATGTGCTTCCTGACCAAACCCATGATAAAGGGACCGGCCGGAATCCCAAGCGTGGACATCAATGTCCACCACCCCAACTTCTGGGCTCTTTCCGCAGGCTCACAGAGCTCCGTAATGACCCAGCTGCCTATGCCGACCGGAGGTGAGACGAGGATGGCAGTGAGAACCCGAGTCACCATCTATGCTGCATATGTTGTGCTCCTGGCTCCTCCGATATAACATACGATACTTCCCAGCACGGAGATTAGCGACACGTGGTATTGACCGTAGATGCGCGTAACCGGTTTCCAAAATAATGGGGCAAGCCATATGACCAGAATCTATCATGCAGCATGTATCAGCATCTGTGTCTTGATTTGCCATATGGGTATAGCGGGAATGAGAATACCGACTTGTATCGATGTGAGATAGCTCGCCTCTGGCACTGTCACGTTATACTCTTTGACCATAGTGTCGAACTCTGGAATGATTCCTCCAGCCATGAAAGCCGCTACCATTGAATGGAAAGCGATCATTAGGATTTGAATGGTTTTCTTCCAAACAGACCAACTACGTGGATCTTCGCGTGATATGGATTGTACTTCCTCATCCCGTTGGCTAGACACCGATGACAATGTGCCCTCGAGTTGGAGAGACGGTTCGGACATGTTGTTGTTGTTGTTGTCCGTCCTTTCTACGGTTGAATCAGAGGTCGGAGTACTGTATGTCATTTTCTATGGAAGAATCCTCGACTTTGATGACATCTGAAACACGACGAAAAAGAGCATACTTCCGAGTTATAGCATCAAATACTGCATATACAGGACAACGAATGTCAACCGAAACATGAGGTGCCACTTCGCAGATACCAATGGCATCGGGATTTGTGCCTATTCGGCGTGAAAAGAAAAAGCCGATTTCTATATGTGCCAGCGTATACTATCTCCTTTGCTTTGTTGTCATTAAACTATTGTCATCTCGCAGTGTGCTGCAGGCTTGGTAAGCTATCACACAAGCCCTTGGTTGGTCTTAACGCTCCTTTCAGCCTGATCAATCTGAGTATGCATGCAAGGCGGAGTTACGTCTTCTGAGAGACTGCGAATCAACTAACATATCGGGTTTAGGTTCCTTAACTATCGTGCAGTTTCCTACTTCGGTTATGATGAATCCAAAGGTACCATTTGCACAGCCGTTACACGCTCAGGGGAGGAGGGCTATGCTCTCCACTCGGTCAGGTAGACAAAAGGCTATGACAATACTTCCAGACCGCGAGAAGTGATCTAAAATACTAGGGTCATTATATCTGTTGCAGATTCAATAAAAAATTTCAAGACGATGAAATCCTCACCGAATTGGAATCTTGCGGCATAACAAGAATGATCGTCGGTCAATTCCACTCTATGAACTCCGACATCTTATGCGTATTCGACACCCAGTTTTGGAAGCGATTCTAGGGCGTATCCGTTGGTCTCATGTTATAGTCATCCTGCATCCGAGTCACAGTGTCCTAAGGCTATCTGAAGGTCCGGTAACTGCTTATGCAACTTATTGGTCGACAGTTCCGACATGCATGTTGTAATTCTTGAATGGATAGGAATGTCGGAGACTGAAATATCGACGCTTCTATTGTGCCTAGGACATATACACTCCTGCACGATGATGCCTCGCAGAGACAACCTGTCCTGCCCAAGCAATGGCATGTACCAGGTAAACTATGTTACAATTTGGTTGAATGATCTGGTTAAGTTATAATGTTGAGTTGGCGGATGAAATGAAAAACACGCATGACTCTCTTCGACCATGAATAAGGCGAAAGTGTTCTTAGGCTGTCACTGAAGCTCTTTCTATTTTGCCAAGCGACAGGTGAATGATTGATGGTATGACGGCGATTCTTGAGTTTTAATCTCCTTGCAATGCATCCAGCCTCATGGTCTCGGGTGAATGCAGCCCGAGCGAGTTTTTCCATCAATCCGATGCACCGAAACCAGAACCCCCCGCATTTCTACCCGGATTACTGGTGATTTCTGGGGCTCCGCAAGCAACGGTTCTTTCAGTTTGGACAAGCTTTTGTGCCCCTGGTCGGAGTGGCGCTATGAGTCCTACTCGTAAGCTAGCTTGTCTCGGGATAATGACCACCGGCATCCTGGTAAACCTCTGTGGAGTTGCCATGATAGCTATAAATGTTAGAGTCATCCTTAGGTGTTAAAGAGTTGCTACCTGTTCAGCTGCTGTACACCGCGACATGCGTCTGTCCATTTCTCTAGGTGTGGCCTCGGTCTGGGCCTCCGTTGCATCTGCAACGCTGCAGGTAGCCGAGGACAACGACACAATCATCCTTAGCAATGATCGATTAACATCGGTATTTGCGAAAGACAAGGGTCGGGTGTCCGATCTCTTTCTGGATGGCCAGGACCTCCTTGGACCCATGTCGGGCTCTGCTGGTGTGGGTCCCTACCTGGATTGCTACTGTACACCCTCTGGCTTCTATACACCCGGAGCTACCGACCCTCGCATGGAGGTAGTCCAGGGGACCGACTCGACCGGCAAAAAATACGCCGGCGTTATCCTTAATGACACGTATACTCCGACAGGGCAGCACTTCCAGCAATATTGGTTCCTCCGCGACGGCGAAACTGGCCTACACATGTTTAGCCGCTTGGCATACTACAATGAGACGACCCCATTCTTGCGCAACCTACAAGAATTCCGAACACTTTTCCGGCCAAACACCGAGCTATGGACACATTTAACATCCAGCGACGTCCAGACGGCTCCGCTCCCTAGCAAGGAAGCAATTAAAAACCAGATTGTCGTGCAAGATGCTACATGGCGGTTCAACAATACCCCGCATGATGCATACTATACCCAGTTCTCTGAATATTTTACCAAATACACTTTCTCTAATCGTACGCACCCCTTTCGGAGAATATCTATGGAATACAGAAGTTAATTGACAGTAGAATGGAGAGACAATAGTGTCCATGGACTGTATGCTGATGGATCTACGTCGAATGGAACTACGTACGGAGCTTGGCTCGTAATGAACACCAAGGTTTGTAGGATTTTAGACCGTCTTACTTTAAAGAATATAGCTAACATACTAAAACCCAGGACACTTACTACGGTGTATGTCTTCGAAGCAGCCTGAATGAACAACTCGTAACTAACTAGCTCAGGGACCTCTTCACTCAGACCTGACAGTCGACGGCATTGTCTACAACTACCTAGTATCCAACCATCATGGAGAAGGAACACCAAACATCAGCAATGGATTCGACCGTACCTTTGGCCCTCAGTACTATCTGTTCAATGGCGGAAAGGGGTCTGGGTCTCTAGATGATTTGCGATCGGAGGCCGAGTCCCTCGCAGACCCCGGATGGAACGTTGACTTTTACGATTCAATTGCCAAGCACGTAATTGGCTATGTCCCCTCTAGCAAGCGCGGCAGCGTACAAGGACATATCAAGCTCCCCGAAGGTGCGAAGCGGCCCATCGCAATCTTAACAGTGGAGGGGCAATATTTCCAGGACAACGCAGTAGATGCTTCCTCCCATCAATACTGGGCCGACATGGACCAGGACGGAAAGTTCCAGTTAGATCATGTCAAGGAGGGCAAATACAGGTTGACAATCTTTGCAGACGGGATCTTCGGCGACTTTGTGCTAGATGGCATCGAGATACGAGCTGGAAAAGTGACAAAGGTCTCAGAGACCTGGAAGGCAGAGTCTGCAGGCGTGGAAGTTTGGCGACTGGGAACCCCCGATAAGTCCTCCGGAGAATTCCTCCACGGCGTCGCGCCAGACCAAACACATCCATTGCACCCTCCAGAGTACCTCATCTACTGGGGAGCGTACGACTGGCAACAGGATTTCCCCAAGGGCGTCAACTATACAATTGGCAGCAGCGATCCGGCTGTTGATTTCAGCACCGTGCATTGGTCGGTATTTGGCCCGACTCCGGACAATTCGGATATCGAGTATGACACCACACACGACTGGACGATCAATTTCTCTTTGGATAAGAAGCAGCTGCAGCGCCACAAGACGGCCACGCTGACTATCCAACTCGCCGGCGCGAAGACCGCGGCCGGCAATACGGACGTATACAACGCCACCGAACCTTATGCTAATCTTGCGTTGGAGAGCTACATCAACGAGCAAGAGGAGCCACTGACATTACTGGTCGGCTTTAACCAGTCTAGTAGCTGCATTGTTCGCTCGGCTGTCAGCTGCTATCAGGTACGCTCGCGGATGGAATTCCCCGCCGACTGGCTGAAGGTCGGAAATAATGTGCTTACTTTGCATCTTCCGCACAATGCTACGGATTATGAGTCGGCGGTCCTTCCTGGGACGGTATATGTGCAGTATGATGCATTGCGCCTAGAGTTGTCCTGATGTATATAGAATAGTCTTGAATTAGGTGTGCATGATTGATCTAGTATCTCAATTCCCATAGATACTAAATACCCGGAACATTCCAAATCTATTTACAAATGCCTAACTTCAGAGGACATATACAAGTGAAACTCTTCCAGCTAGATTCAAGAACAAAGGAAATCCGATGATCACCCTATTTCACCCACCATGCTCCTCTTTAGCCTCCTCAGCTAACTCCTCAGTCATCTCCATCACACTCAAGGCCCCATCCCCATCCCTCTTCATCATCTAATCCCGAAGAAAAGACACCAACTTCGACCCAAAAGCAATCTAGAATCCCTTAAAAAAGCAACCATTGGCAACTAAACCCTCGATTCAGTTTCTCGGAATGGCTTTCTTCGCAACAATACCTATTGACGCAGGTGTGGCAACCCAGAGTCTCATTCCTTTCGACCCAATTAATTGGGATGCTTAAATACCTGATCTCACCATGGGATGCCATCCAGGACCACGATAGTACCCGCTGATCGGGGGCATGAGGGCATAGGGGATAGGCTTCATGCAGCGCCCCTCAGCGCATCGCGCTTCTATGCAGATATACCTTCAGAATTACGTGTCTCCCATCAATTTTTAACGTCGTTGCCAGTCGCGTATGCAGTCCGTGAATGGCCGCAATGCGGTTAGTGGTCGCCGTAAGATCGAGTCCGGAGCATAGCTGGAAGAGGTATTTATAGAGTGAAGTTCTACCCCTCTCGGGGGTAGCTCAGTATGGTACTTGGGAAGTCAGGGTCGCTCAGAATCGCAGCCCTCATGCTATGCCCAAGGTTAGCGGGATCTTATATAACGGGCTTGTGAAGCATAGCGGAAGGCTACTGTCGTCATTGTAGAAGCAGAAGATAGAGTAGTGTATGACAAGTTACCTAGTTGCTGAATGTTGCAAGTCACTTTCTTGGACACCTTTGTCAGGTTCTCACACCGAACCCCCTTCCACATTCCCAATAAATTTGGTTTTCAGTTAAAATTTATGATCCGACGTGACAGGGCTCGCTCCTGCAACACCCAGCCACGGTGATTCAGTGCGCTTTTCACAACGACGTCGATGGGTTCGCAACGATAGACGTCTCCCTCGCAGTTTGGAACCGTGACATATTGCCGGCGAGGTCGAGGCCGAAGGTCTCCGTGGTCTCAGTGATCAGCACAGGTAGCGGGAATTGTACAGTACGCTGACCTGAAATACCTGTCTACTCTTTTAGACTCCACATGCCAGTCTTCCGTTCCAACGCAGTCCCTGGGGCATTCGCTTTTTGGTTTCTGGTGAGGCTGGATGATACATATCGAGTCAACCCACAGATACCTAACCCCCAGTTTTCGTGTAACAGTCACAGCATCTCGGAACAACCGTGGGAGAAAACCAATTCTCTCGTATCGCTTCTTGATATTGCAGTTGTAAGTGCAGATTTCATCTTTGCTCCTCACACTGTGGTTCCAACGATGGAACAGGGCTATATATTCGCCTTCTTCGCCTTAGGGTCTGTAAAGACGTAACCGATCTAGGTCGCTAACGTCAACGACTCTAGCTGACAATGGCTGGTTCATTGAATGTCTCTTTCCGTCTAGTCTAGGAAGCTTTGGTCTTCCACAACATCCAAGGCGTTCATTACAATCTCTTAGCCACTCTTCGATCAAATTCAGATAGCAGTATGTCAGATATCGGGCAATATAGAGAATTCAAATAGTATACCATCCAGGCACAGCAGATTACTGCTTCATACGTTCAAAACAGTCCGGTCGTCATCCTTTACACTCTATATCGATCCATGTCTATATAAATCAATGGTCCCTCGATCTTCAACACAATGCGTTTTCGACTGTTCGATATAATGATAAAGCATCTTGCGGAGAACACAAGACTCGTTCGTCTTGGCTTTCTCAGAAATTCGAAAGGAAAGCTAGATTTTACTAGGCTAAAACACATGAGACGGTATCTGTATACCCTTTCAGCGCTGGCACAGTTCAGGTGGAGAGATGTTTCGAAACGCAGCTTCAATCTCTGACTTGTCACATACCCCGGAGAATGGATCATACTCGGAGCAGGTCCAATCATCCTTCAGCTCCCACTTCGGAATGGATTCTTGGAAACGCGTGAGATGTGCCTATATTATTACGTAAAAGTCTGCTTAGTCTCTATTAAGGTTAAATGTTAGATACTCTTTCTTACAGCCCATTATACTAGGAGAAAACTGAACCAAAGCTTCTATAATGCAAAGCTAGGATTTCTCTGAAATGAGGTCTCGTGGATTGCACCAGCAATATTCGCCACTACCGGCTTGCTGCATTTTCGTCATGTTCCTATCGTAATGCACAGGATTGGCTCGGTGCCTGGCACATTCTCTTGTTGGCAGGTGTTTAATCACCTTTTCAAAATCCTTACGGTCATTCATACTCTGTACCAAGCGATGAAATACCCGAAATCTAGAGCTGAGGCTTGATATTCTGACGGTCTATTGTCGGGATCATGGTCATCGAGAGATTCCGCGGCAATGTATTCACCATAACCATGGCTTGTCACGATCTTTTTCCGGTTTTGGAAGAATAGAACCCGTAGACAAACAGTATGGTAAAGAAAGAAAATAATCTACAATGAGAATAGCAGAACACTTGAGTCCTCAACTTCCCCAGAAATTGGACGACCCAGCGCTTTTTGCTGTGGCTGTCCCCGATCGTGGCGATGCAATTTCTTACTGTGGCTTGATCAGAGCCAGTTTAATCAAGGACTTCATCTAAGATCAAGGATCAAGTTACCCTTCCGAATACAGATCCACCAGAAAAACGACACCAGGAATACAACTCTGCGTTACCACCCTCTCGAATTCGCTGCGACGAACGGCCTGTCAACAGGCAGGAATAGACACGAGAGGGCGTCTGTGTCTGTTTCCAGAGTCTTTGAGAGACCCTATGAATCTCACGGAGGGTTATCACCCAGCCAATACGATGACTTCCCGGGCCTCGATCGCTGAGCCATGCATCAGTGTAGCTTTGTAGCTGCCAATCAATTGGATGGGGTTTTGTGTGTGAGACGTCAGCATTGCCACGCTGGATTTCTAGGCGATATACCGAGTTAGACGTGTCAATTTATATGTTTTAGTTGTTTGAGGCGAGTCGTTTGAGATGAGTAGGAATGGGCAGGTGACTGAGAACTCGGCACATGATGGCCTGTACCCTACTCCGTAGTAGACAAAGATATAGATCGGTGGAGACGTGGCACGATGGGGGACTTGAGATCGCGCCCGTAGTACAGTAGAGTAATTAATACTCTGAGACCCGAGCGGGAGCTTAAGATTAGTGATCAAGTTGAATTCCCCCTTTCCAAGGAACGTGAAGAGAGCCACATTCAATGATTTAACCGAGGTAGCTCAATCCACGACCAGGATCTCTCTGTTAGCTGACGACATTTGTATGAAGAATTCATGCACTATCGAGGAAATAAGAAGCTTACCCCGCGCGTCACATCCAGGACAAACAAATTAAAATCAAGCATATTCTAATAATCGGGAGGTAGTTCGTCCTCCGGAGCAATCTCGAGTTGCGTTCCACCGACCACGGATCGGTAATCGGCTTACCGCAAGAGGCAGAAGCCTCGGTAAAAAGAAGAAGAAGTAGGCACTCCGTAATGAGATCTGCATGATTGGCGCACCTCACCTTCGAACCCCATAGCAATCTATAAAACTTATAGAGACGGAATGCCTTCCCCGCAAAAAACAACTCCTGTTTCCCCAAAAACCAACTGCGGAGAGTAAATCATCATGTCGAAAACATTCACCCGCGCCGAGGTCGCCAAACATGCCTCCGAAGACTCGACCTGGTGCATCATCGACCACCGCGTCTACGACTTGACCGATTTCCTCGACGCCCACCCCGGCGGCAGCGTCGTCCTCGCCCAAGTCGCCGGCCAAGACGCGACCGCCGAATTCTACAACCTCCACCGCCAGGAAGTCCTCGAGAAATACCGCGATGAGCTCTGCATTGGCACAGTCGAGGGTGAAACCCCTGAGGTTGCGCCCCGCGAGCCTGGCAGTCTCAGTGCTGTCCCGTACGCCGAGCCGCTTTGGTTACGCCCGGTGTTCAAGAACCCCTACTATAACGACAGTCATCGGCGGTTGCAGCGCGCGATCCGCGAGTTCACGGATCGTTACATCTATCCCGAAGCGCAGGAGAAGGAGAAGGACGGCACGTATATCAGTCAGGAGTTGATCGATCGCATGGCGGAGGCTGGGCTCTTGGCTATGCGCCTGGGTCCCGGGAAGCATTTACATGGTCGGAAGTTGCTGGGTGGCGCTGTGGATGGCAAGGAGTTCGACTATTTGCATGATTTGATCGTTTCGCAGGAGTTGAGTCGTGCTAATGCTCGGGGTGGGTTTACGATCTAGTCTCTATTTGCGCGGGTGGTGAGGTACAGTGTGCTAAAGTTGTTGCAGGCTTCTCGGACGGAAATATGGCTGGTATGGCTATCAGTTTGACTGCCGTGCAACAGTGGCTGCATAATGTCCCTCTTCGCAATCGGGTCACGGATGAAGTCTTGTCTGGGAGGAAGAAGATGTGTCTTGCCATTACGGAGGCATTCGCCGGTAGTGATGTAGCTGGACTCCGCACCACGGCGGTAAAGACGCCGGATGGCAAGCACTACATCGTTAACGGCACTAAGTACGATCTCTTCTATCAAATAGGAAGTGGCGCATGGCTAATGGCTACATAGGAAGTGGATCACGAACGGGATGTTCGCCGACTACTTCGTCACCGGCTGCAAGACCGAGAAGGGTTTCTCGGTGCTTTTGATCCCTCGTGGTGAGGGCGTTGAAACCAAACTTATCAAGACCTCTTACTCGACTGCGGCCGGTACCGCATACATTCAGTTCGAGAACGTCAAGGTACCTGTCGACAACCTGCTGGGTGAGGAACACAAGGGCTTCATCGTCATCATGAGCAACTTCAACCACGAGCGTTTTATGATGGCCTGCGGTGTGATCCGCATGTCCATGACGGTGGTCGAGGAGTGCATGAAATGGTGCAACCAGCGCATTGTCTTTGGCAAGAAGCTGATCGAACAGCCCGTCATGCGACAAAAGTAATTTCCCGTCCCTTGACTGAGTGAGATTATCAAATACTGACCAACCCAGGCTCGCCCGAATGATCTCCCTCTGCGAGTCCAACCAGGCATGGCTGGAATCCATCGCTTATCAGATGAACAACATGACCTACAAGGAACAAGCGACACACTTGGGCGGTCCCATCGGCCTGCTCAAGTCGCACGCCACCCGCGCTGCACAGGAGATCGCGGACCAAGCGACAAATATTTTCGGTGGTCGTGGATTGACCCAGACTGGTATGGGCAAGGTCATCGAGATGTTCCATCGGACGTATAAGTTTGACACAATCCTGGGTGGAACGGAAGAGATCCTGGCCGACTTGGGCGTACGACAGGCGATGAAGAAATTTCCCAAGGCGATGTTGTAGACTTTGTACTTACGTTCTAGATACCATCCATATTTTCTGTATTGTTAGGTATACTTTTATATAGGGTGCTGTGCCGCCTCTTTGCATGAGGAGCCCTTTTAAAAAATATCATGACTTAGCGTTTAGTTCGTCGATAGGTTTGGACGTACAGTAGCATGTAATTCATGGCTGTATTTCTATCAAAATACTCATCGCTCGGCTCAATATAGATAATACTGTTCTTCGGTATCATAAGCTGATAAATAGTTCTCTCATATATTGCAACACCAATGAACGTCCTTCCATTTATTGACTCGACCGCTGCTCCGGATCCATACTCGTCTCAATCTTTCTAATAATCCTCGCTGGGTTCCCAGCCACAAAGTGGTACGGCGGTACATCCTAGTAGGTCCATCAGTCATCAGGACCAGGCCGAGAGCAAGCGTCTGGATAAGAAACGTACCTTAGTAACAACACTCCCAGCCCCGACCGTACTCCCCCGTCCAATCCGGACACCGGCCAAAATAATCACACTTCCACCAATCCAGACGTCATCCTCAATATGTATTTCCTTTCCTGCCTCAGGACCCTCAAGTCCGCGTCGCACAGCTGGATCCATCGGATGCGTCGCACCATAGAGGCTTACATTGGGACCAAAGAGCGTTCGTTCCCCAATGGTCACGAGACAAGTATCAAGAACAAGTAGGTTGAAGTTAAGGAAGGTTCCCTTTCCAACTCTGAAGTTTAAGCCGTGATCGATTGAGATGGGGGGATCGACAAAGGGGTCCGTGTCTTTAAATTGGACTTCGTCTTCTTTGGGATCTGCGAGAGGGGGTGGGAGGGGACGGGTGTCTCCGATTATACTTGAGACCTTGTTAGTATGTAGCTATCTTTAAGTCTAGAGGAGGACATACTCTCTCCAAAGTTCCACTCTCCGCCGTCTAGATACTTGCCCCGCTTCGTTGAATCGTTGACATGCTAATTTGCACCTTTCGCGGTTGGCCTGCAGGTCCTCGTCCCAGGCCCAGTATAGCTCACCATTGAGCATTTTTTGCCATTCTTTAGAGGTGGCCATTGTGAGTGCATATAGTAGGTGGTAATGTTGGTATTAGGTTTATGTTGAGGTACAAAGGAAGAATTATTTATATCCAATCCAAACCCCTGGCCCTCCCCACACGGGGTTTGCGTAATTGCTCGGAAGGGCAATTCATCCTAGTTGAGTTCATTACCCAGTTAGGAAGGTGAGGCAACTTGGGCGATTAAGGTTTCGAGCCTAGCCGGAAAGAGTCTAGGGTGGAACCTGCTTTGTTTACTCAAAGGAGTATATACGATCCAAGTGTATCCTGGATGCCTCTCTCGGCCTCGTATGACCTCGTTCTCTCAATTTCGTTGTACTCTCTGTAATGGCTCTTCACGCCATCTTTCTGAGTCTTGGCATGACTCAGATGAATCCACAGGGCATATAAAGTAGGGGTGCGCTCTGGTCTACCTTCGGACGAAGCCCATACCTAGTCTCAAGTCTGTACAGCCATGTATGCCCCAGCCCTTTCGAACTCATCCAATAATTTTCTGTGCTAGGTTGGTCAATGTTTCCGGACCACCTTACGACACCTTGCATAGCCATGCTCGTGTTCATCCACCGCTGAATTTCACACGAGTGCTATACATCCCTCGGCATGACTCCATGACTTCTCATCTCCCCCTATACGACGTCGCGGAGAGATATCAAAATTCGATTAGAGGTTCGGTTTTTGGCAGTTATCTGCACTCTGTCAACCTGAGTTACATGGAGAAACCACGTGGGGACAACATGAGCGCTCGAGTAGAATATCTAGTCGATTCCAACAAGGAGATGGAAAAGTGTTCTAGGCTGCAAGTTCAGCGTAGAACCCTAGAGCATGGCAACAATATCGCGGCAACAGCGTAGGTGTTGTGCCCGTAATCATTGAAGATTCACGATGCTAATCATCTCAGTCTGGTCTCCTCATTTGGTATCGCCGAGTGTCACCTTCGGGATGAACCCAGTAAGGGTCCAATGACGACATCCTTTCCTATCGAGCCAAGTATCAGGGGAGAGTACAAAGTCCCACGCCCTTATTTCACTTTCTGCCTCCCAGCGCGGGGAGGGGAACCCGAGAAAAATGGTCCAGTGGCAAGTCCATCCTGGGCCTAACAGCCTGTTTCGTTACACCTTGGTCAATATGTTCGTCGGGAACAAAAGAGCCTGAGATCCTCGCAATCTATATACATATTGGTATTGTGGCGTAGCTGCCTACGGACTTCAGCGAGGGCGTCCTCCTACTCCCCAAGGGCGGCAGCCAAGAAGAGGAAGCCATTGTGGTAGCCAGCTTACTGGCCATGTTGCACCAATTACGCGATAATAAATTGATGCGACCCAGCAGAACCAGCTCGACCTCATTAAAATTAATGAAGAGGATAATTTCCAAAATGCGACAGCATTAACCACTTGACCGGGATTGTGAAGCCGCAACGTGAAAGTAAGGCTATACGAGAGATAGGCGTGGTTTAATTCTGTCTTGGCCGCGTTTCTTTCTTCTTTTTCTTCTTTTTTTTTTCTTTGTCAGAACTTCCGGGCCAACATGTGGATGAGTAACTATAAGATTCCATGCGCTATTTCTCAGCCCTGCATCTGCTGATATTAAATAACTAATGAAAATATTCTGCACCCTCATATGATAAGATAGTCGTGTTGCCGTGCAATCCCAGGACAATGTGTCTGCGTACCGTCAGAGGAACTTGAACGACTAGATTCCATTAAATTAGCAACTTACAAAGTTTGTCCACGAGATATTCTCATCTTCGTCAGGTGATTGAGCGGCGCGAGCAGCCCATACCTTCTCTAAAAGCTCGCGCGGAACGGGGTTGCGAAACTCAGACCTCCTTTCAATCTCCTTGAACCGGGCTAGAACATAATACTGGGAATGCGGTGACAGAGAATCTGCTCCTGCGATGAACAGCGGCAAAATCAGCAATTCTAGCAGTGAAAATTCTGAGGATATGGTGGCAGTTGCATCTAAAATCCGTGCCACACAGTCTTGTATTTCTGGATCTTTGGCCGGTCGCAAATGGTCAAGCAGTCGAAGAATGCGCAATATACATGCGAATTGAAAAGCCTCCGCCACAGCCAGCCAACGATGGTCAGCGCTAGGGTATATCTTCCCTGTCCTGTCCCATGAATATAGCTTGTGCTTTGCCACGAGCATAGCGATTTGATATTCATCCCATGTCAGCCACCCCAATGTGTACTCTTTAGCTTTTTCCAGGACACTACCAATGATCAAGAACACCTCCCGATGGCATCCGTTAACCATTTCGAATGTGTTCTCACTTGCGCAGGCGACTAGTTCTCGGATATCCTGAGAGAAACAGAGGCGTTCTGGACCGGCAAAAGCGCGGACAATGTCAAGCCTTCGAGCCATCAGTACGTACCAAAGATAGGCGGTCCAGATACCCTACCAGGCAAGGTTACCCAGGAAAAATACAGCCCGCTGACGGTAGCCACTTAGTCCCTCGGAGATCAACAACCGCTTACAGACGGACATGGCTCCTGTTATGTGAATACCATGACTCGAAACTCCAGATTCGGATATCTGCGAGGGACGGTCAGGCCAACAAATGATAAGGGATAATACTTGTTGCCATCGGCTGCACTCACGTCATGAAGTAATAAAACCTGAATGATAGCAAGAACAGCATCCTGCTCATCCTCCAGCAAGGTGGATGCTTGACTCCTACGGATCTCTTCGCTAAGCGCCCGTATAGCTTTCATACGATACTCTACTGCAGTGGCTTCATACATGGTTTGATCCCCTGTTAAGCGCCCAAGGTGTGAAGCGGATAAGCCAAGGACGGCGTATAGTAAGCCAATTTGCTGTCGGGCTAAGGGGATGATATACAATCGATATGGATTGGTGCTATTATACCCAATCTCGGAGATCTGGTGGGGACATATATATTCGTCATCTAGACGAGAATATTACTATATTTGCTAGAAGCAATCATACAGAGTTTGGACTCACAATGAGCAAGAAGGGTTTCGGTCTCGGGCAGCCTGAGTATCTTTGCGATGTCGGGTGGTATCTCCTCGGTATCCGCAGTGGGCTTCTCCGGATGTGACAGTGAATCAGTTTCCCCTGAAGATCTCTGAGTATCATCTGTACTTTCTGTAGCCTGTTGCCGGCTGTTGTCTCGCTCCGATTCGACTCTTTCTGAAATATTTCTGGGCCGTTGAGCGCTCACTGGTATCCGGGCGCCTTTCCATTTCCCTCGACTAGCAATACCACAAAACCTAAATTGTTCCGGATAACCTCCACACACTAGACCCTTGGATATACAACGATGACAGTTGGGACGCGCACGATCACATCTTCGGCATTTTTCTCTGCATGTCAAGCATGCGGGCCCTACTAGACGAGTCAAGCTTGTCGTTTGGGACCTGAGGACTATTGTTACGTACCTTGACGAGGCATTTTCTGCTAATCTAGCAGGATATGTGATTGGGTGACATTAGAATATTCTGCAGAGTGGAGAGGCCGACGCGACGACTTAAGATACCAGAAAGAGTAAAGAAATGATGAAATCCCGGATCCCATGATAGGTCGAGATCACATGCTGGCCATTTATCCTGATCAGGCAATTTGTGGATCCACAAGCAATTGGTACCTTAATAGGTAGGTAATGCCATAGGGCATTCGACTTTATGTAAGTTCTCTGGGAATGTCAATGAATATATGTGGAATGGTATTCAATTGCTAGGCCACTATCTGTTTCTGGTCTAATCAAGCCGGGAGGACTTCATCTACCTTGCCTACAAAGCGGCAACGTGTCCAGGCCATAAGATTGTAATGTATGCATTTCCAGGAGCCATTCTCGATACAAGATGACAGATCTATGTACGTCGATAGTGTTCCAGTGACTATGGTCCCCAGACCTAAAGTAGCATGTCCTACCCGCTGCCTCTAAGAATCTATAGTACGTTAATGTCCAGGATGAGGGTGACATACTTTATGTACGAAACCTTTACTGGCGGGGCCGCGGGCCCCGACCTTACCATGTGAGGATTAGGTTCATCGTCTATAGGCACGTGCTTGCTCCGATAAGCTAAGGAAGCTTCAACCATCCCCACTTCGTCATCATTGCGGCCTCACGCTCAATACCTCCTACATCCTCTATGTTACCAAATTCACAACATGGCAGATATTCTAAACACCGAAAATGTTCTGGGGATTGCCCAGAAAGCTCTACAGGGAGACAGGAATGTTGAATTCAGCCTCAAGACTACTTACGAAGCTATCGCTCTCATCGGTCATGCATGTATGCTGGCTGTGGACTTTCGTCTAGTCGGCCTTAGCGAAGAACACAATATAGGTTTGTGACCCTTTTCCAGTCTCCCATATTCTCACCACCGTGCAAGTCGGTGCCCCTTTGCTGACAGATCGGGAACTACTAGAAGGCTCATCGGAGAATCCATCCCTCCCGCCGGAATGGAACGCAAACGACACCTTCTCCTTTCGATATGCCCACTTGCAGTCGTCCATGCAATATCTGCTTAAGGTTAGCCGGATAGGAAACAATGCCGTTGTGTTTGCCCTGGCACTAGGCGATGACAGAACCACCTCCTTTGATATTCCGGTCAAAGACTTCATTTCAGCATCCTCTTTACCCCTGTCATCAACGGAATCAAGAACCAGTCTCAAGGATGTATTCATTTCTACATCCCGTTTGGCCGATTTGATTGGGCTATTCAAGATCAACGTAATCCAAAAACTCGCCCCTGGACTATACAAGGAAGGATATGATGCTTCGAGTCAGTCAATCCGGGAACAGCCGCGAGAGGGGCCCCCACGGCGTGATCCTTTGAGAGATGATACACTCCCACAGCCCGCGCGCCCGTACCCGTTCGACGACCCCCTAGCGGCAGGCCCTCGGCGACCATTTCCTCCGGGTGACTTTGCACCACCAGGATTTGAAGATGAATATGAAATCCAGAGGCCACCTCGAGGGTTCGCTCCCGGTCAGGGAGGCAGAAACCCGCTCAGTATAGGAGATCGAGATCTGTATCCTCCCGGGCTAGGTCCTCATGATCCTCTACATGGAGGTATTGGGCCGGGCCTCGGCGGAGTCGGTGGCGGAGGTATGCACCCAACTTTTGATGATCCTATATTTGGCGGTCAGGAGGGAAGAGGATATGACCCACAGGCACCTCCTGGAGCACGGTATGATCCTGTAGGACCCGGGGCAGGTCCGCCATTTGGACGAGGGCGCGGTCCCTTCGGCGGACGTGGCGCCGGCGGAGGCGGAGCTGGCGGGTTTGGGTTCGGCGGTGACATCATCTAAGCGCGCGGTTAAGCTCCGTCGGTTGTAGCTTAGTTGGGCAGAAACACATTTCTTCCCATAGACGACGTGATGACAGATTGGGAAACATAATTTCCTCTGATAATGGCTTTATGAAGATGAAAAGCTCTTACTATATGAAGTTCTAACTATAATTAGTGGACAAGGCCTGTGTTTCGAGATTTCCGCCAGTGTCGTAGTCCATAATAGAGCATGGTAGAGATTTCGAGGTGTGGCGGGGTTTGGAGATCCCGGGGAGGTGTGGCTAGTGTGGCGCGTGTCCTGAGTGCGGTGTGGCGCACGGGCCAACCAGAGCGCAGAAAGGCAGCGACCAAACCTGCACGGCCAGCAAACCAAACCTCAGTTCAAACCTCCCTTCCACTCTTCCTCCTTCCCCTCCAACCCCCATTGTCAAACCTCACCTCCATCGACACAACCACCGCCGTCGCAATCGGTGTTTGTTATATTAGACCCTTTTCTTGCTGTTCAATTTAGTCGTTTCTTTTAATTTCTTTTATCTCTATTACGCGTCACCCTGATCGACAGCCTCACGAGACCCTCCCACTCTCAGTGTTCCGCCCCGCCCACAACCATCCCGATCTACCTACCCCTGGACCCCGTTGTCTGTGATCACTCTAAATGGACAACAACATGGAAATCGATACCGCGCGGTCCCCCGAACCTCACCGCCTGTCGCCAACGTCTGACCCTGGGTCGATACCGACACTGGATGGATGGATTGAAAATTTGATGACCTGCAAGCAACTAGCGGAGGAAGATGTGCGGAGACTGTGTGACCGGGTGTGTTGCTATCCAGGGCTCACAGACTTTGGTGCAGGTTGTGGGTGTAGCTAATCTCGGGATACAGGCAAGAGAGGTGTTGCAGGAGGAATCCAATGTGCAGCCAGTTGTACGTGCTTTTATTCTGATTTTCTTATTTTGACTCTCCCCATTCGTTGCGATTCAAACGACGCGACCGGTCGAATGCTGACTTGCCGATTGCAGAAATGCCCAGTGACTGTGTGCGGTGATATACACGGCCAGTTTCACGATCTAATGGAACTTTTCCGAATCGGAGGCCCGAATCCAGATACGAACTATTTGTTCATGGGTATGTTCCCGTGTCAAATGTCTGGGTGAATTCCTCTCCCTAACCCTTTCCTCTAGGTGATTATGTCGACCGTGGTTATTACTCTGTAGAGACCGTTACTCTCCTTGTTTGCCTTAAAATTCGTTATCCCCAGCGCATCACCATCCTTCGTGGAAATCACGAGTCCCGCCAGATTACTCAAGTCTATGGCTTTTATGACGAGTGCTTGCGTAAATATGGCAATGCCAATGTTTGGAAATATTTCACGGACCTTTTCGATTACCTCCCCCTCACCGCACTCATTGAAAATCAGATCTTCTGCCTGCACGGCGGCTTGAGTCCATCGATCGACACGCTGGACAACATTCGGTCCCTGGATCGGATCCAGGAGGTCCCCCACGAGGGACCGATGTGTGACTTACTGTGGAGTGACCCCGACGACCGATGCGGTTGGGGAATCTCACCCCGTGGTGCTGGATACACCTTCGGGCAGGATATTTCAGAGGCATTTAATCACAACAACGGCTTGACTCTGGTTGCACGAGCGCATCAGCTTGTAATGGAGGGATATAATTGGTCGCAGGATCGGAACGTAGTCACTATTTTCTCAGGTAGGGTCTCGAGATCCGATGCATTGCCCCCGAGCCTTCCGCTAATACACGTTCTAGCCCCGAATTATTGCTACCGCTGCGGTAATCAAGCCGCGATTATGGAAATTGATGAGCATTTGAAGTATACATTGTACGTGATTGCCCCGTGAACCTCTAGGGGTTGGGCCCTCCTTTACTGATTATGGGATGTTTTGCAGCCTACAATTCGATCCCTGTCCTCGTGCCGGCGAGCCAATGGTCTCGAGACGTACCCCCGACTATTTCCTGTGATTGAATGTGATAGACTTCTCACCTCTGGCAAGATGAGGTTCTCTGACCCTTCGAGAGGGCTCCTGGGATTTGGAACAGCAGACGGGGCAGTCTGCTTAGATAATTGTATGTCTGTTTTCTGGCCGTGTTGATACCATTCATGAAAATAAAAAGACATTCGCAAGAATTTTTTTATTTTATCCTGCTTTTTGCGGTGGCTCTTTGTCTAATAAGAGTAATGGGCAGCTTTTTTGGGTGTAAGGCGGTTATGGTTCGCTATTAGAATTCTTCTTCCCCAAATCTCTGTTCGGTCCATTTCAGGTTCTTTTCCCCTTTTCTTTCATAGATTCTCTATTAGGCGTGGGCCAGATGAATACTTCTGTGTGAAATTCCACATCTAGAAGTGGCTGAGACAAGCCATTCCAGTCTATTTAGTTATTCCACTATAACACAAGGTCGCCCATACTCGCCTCAGGCCAGCGTGGTCGTTGCCTTCGAATTATGGCTCTCGTTGTTTATGCGCTTATATATGTTTCGGTCCCGTCGATATATATTCAGCTGACCTACTTCACTCCATATTGATCTTAAAATCTTGGATACAACCTAAAAGAACCAAAATAAACCAATCTACAAGCCATAGCAGAAAAACCGTGGAAAAGACAAGCAGTCAATATTAACTAAACCCAATAACCGAAGATGAATCCCTCCACAAAACAACATCGCACTATCCAAAGCGGCCAACGACCACAACGTTACGCTCGTACACCCATTTGCACTGCCCAAAACAACAACACACCAAGAACAAAAGCACCATCGCTTAGGAAGAAACATGAAGAAGAAATGAAAAAACTTAGAGCCCCATCTTAAATCCTCAGCCCGTTCGCCTTCTTGGCTAAAAGCTCCTCCACCTCGTCCTTGTGCGTGGAGAAGTTGTCGACCAGATCATCCCACATTGCGGGCTCATGCTCGTGTCGCTTCTCACTGTTCCATGCATAATCTGTGATAGTGAAGGCGCGAGAAGACTCGAACATGAACGCGATGGATGCTTCTGAGATGCGTATTTCCGGTGGTGGGGCTTCGGATGCGGCTTTGAATTCTTCATAGGCAACGCCGTGTGGGACCACTTTTCTTTTTGTTAGGGCCGTTTCTTGTATGGATGATACGAGGCAGGGCTAAGATAGGGAAGGGGGACGGAGCTTGGGGGACCTACTACCGCATTCGAAGGAGATGCTCCCTGGTTTGAAGGCGTCGGATCGGCCGCCATATTCGCCGTAGATGAGGCCCATTAGCTCTGAGGCGGCGTTGCGGTGGTAGTATGGGGGGCGGTAGGTGTCTAACCGTTATCCGCGAGTTAGTACGATAGATCTGTTGAGCCGGACAGGGACACATACGGGACGCGACATCCCATCTAGGGGAGAAGATGAGGAAGTCCGCGAGCGGCGCAGTGAGATCGCGAGATTTTGCCGTGAGCACGCAGAAGATCGAGGGGTCAATGTGGTCTACCGAGATCGAGCCGACGTTGACGAATTTCGTCAGGTCGTATTTGTAGGGAACCTTGGTTTGGGTTAGTTGGCTTGGAATTACCGTTGAACGGGACAAGACGTACATAATTACCATGCCAGGCCACCACATCGAACGGGCTGTGGTTTTGCGTGCAGGCAAAGAACTTTCCTCCGAGCTTGTATACAATCTCCCATGACCCCTGGAGAATTTCATACTTGGCTACTGGTGCCAGGAAGTCCCGCACGTTGGCTAGGCCGTTTGCGCCCAGCGGGCCCAGCTCAGGGAGTTCATAGAAAGATCCCCAGATTTCGAGGATATAGCCGCGAGAAGGGCCGTCGGGGAGCTGGACACGAAAGCGAATACCGCGTGGAATGACGAAAATCTCGCCCGGCTGGACGAAGAGTGGGCCGAATTCAGTTTGGATGTCTATGGCTCCCTGCTGGGGGACGATGAGCATCTCACCGTCAGAGTTGACAAAAGCCTTCTGGCTCATGCTGGTGTTTGCAGCATAGACATGAGTTGCTAGGCCCTCTCGGAGAGTCGGGTCTCCGGACCCAGCGACGGTCTTGAGACCGGAGACAAAGTCCACTTGTTCGGTGGAGGGAATCTCAAATGGATGCCATGCTAGCTGGGTTGGAGAGATGTGAACCCGCGGGTTTAAAGGCAAGAAAGTGGCCTCTGTATCTGGGTTATCCGGTAGATTTGTCTAACCGCGCTTAGCAGGACGTGCTGATTTGCCCTTGGATAATATTTCAATTTACATACGAATCCTTGATGAGCAACCGCCGGACGGGCACGGTATAGCCATGCCTTCTTGTTCGTTTGTCTTGGTGCTACGAAAGCAGTGGCCGTTACTTGCTCTGCGTACAAACCAAAACGCACCTTGCGGGGATTATTCTGCCCTTGAGGAATAGTTCCGGGCACTGCCTCGGAGACAAAACTGCTCAATGTAACCCATCGACATTAGCCGATTGATCGTCGGGCGTCGGAAACTTGTTGCTTACGCGTTACCAAATCCAGCTTGATACTATTATTGAGTGTCAGATTTGACAACAGAGCTGAGAGGACGAGTAGTCAACATCGTATATAACACACCTCATAAGGGTCATTCCGGCGGGTGGGAAAGGAGGGAATTTCACCATCCTTCTGTGTTTCCGCCCAATGGAATATCTTCTGGTATTCTTTGGGGTTGGAGAGTTTTCCTATTGATCCCATGGCGGGTTTTAATAAATGAGAGGGTAATGTTGCTGGCGGAGAAAGCGGTATGCTCTAAGACAATAAATATATGCGGTTCCACTGTTAACAAAGGGATACACTATTAGGGGACGGCAACTCTCATATATCCATCATGGTGGGGTCGCATTTGCCCGAGAAAAAATTAAAAAAAATTATAAATATAAATAATGTGAGGAGGATTTACACGCATGGCCAAAACCCAATCTTCAAGACAACATCACCTGAGGCCAAGTACGCAGTCTATCCCACTATTCGGTAAATCGGGAAGCTCATCGTCTGCCGAGCGTGTCTTCTGAAGGGCAAGGTACCAAGTGGAGACAGCCAACAGATCGCCTCCACGGAATGATCTGGACCTCCACACACTCATGGGAGGCCTGTATTGACCCCACATGAATCAGGCTGAGTAACAGTTGGCAGTTTATCGGGAATGTCACGGAGTAGCTCATTACCGAACCAAAGCATTTGGTAGAAGGGGACACAGTATACGCAAAGATGGGAAAATGGGATGACGTGAAACGCCATTCCTAATCCCCGATATATGCAGTAAAAAGAAACCTGATATTGCGAGGACTATACTTTGAGGCCCCTATCTCCATGAAAACACACCGACTCAGGGGTTTGGGGTCTCTATAGCAAGTTTTTGTTACTGTACAACCAACACCAAAAAGATTCACTGCAAAAAGGTGGTCAACCTATTGAGCTGGTTCACAATCGTGTCACGATATGTCTAAGAACCGGTTAGTACGGGATGCACGCCAATTGCGAGGGGTTCTTACAGCAGCTTGAGTCCAATTCCCAGCAGTAACGGCTTGCGAGAGGCCAGGGAACGGGGCGGACTCAAAGTAGTAGGGAGCAGGCTGAATGATAAGATGATGGTATGGGGAAGATGACGGCAGGTCTGGATCCGCGAGAAACCGCTCGAAATTAATATACCGGTGGTTGACATCCTGGATCTCGGGATGAAAGCCGTTGTCAAAAGGCTGTTGCCGTGCGCGATCGGCGAGAGTGTCGCTACGTGCGTCAAACGCCTCCGAAGCCTCCGCGAATTCGGTAATTGCTACCTCAAGTGGTGTCAGATCAAGGTGCGATGATAGGTTTTCAGTCAAGGAGATGGCTTCAAGACCGTCCCGGAAGACGGGCACGTAGTCCTGGGCTCGAAAAGGCAGAATTAGTTCGTCTGCGAGCGATGACGCCAGCTGCGACCAGACCCTACTGGTCGCCAGGTGATGCTCCCAGCCGGGGTCTCCATATTTTTCCATCCAAATAACCGTGTCGAAAAGCGAATGATAAGGGAAAACAGGATCTTTTGGACCTCGTGTGAAGCCAAAGTCCACGACAGAATACATATACTGTAAGAAAGATAATGCATCTCCGCCGCTACCTAGACCATACTTGCCTCCCCAAGCATCTAGGACGGTTCGCATACTGTTGCCGTCATTCCCAGGTACATGGACTTGGCTCGTAATGTTGCGCATGGCTTGCGCTAGCAGTGGGCTTCCATGGGCATGAAATTTGGTACCTGCGCCCGCCACAACCACGTTGAGGTAAGCAGCAAGACTACTGTTCAACCAAGACTCATTCTCTTGGATCCAGCCGCGTGCTCCCTGATGCCTTGTTTCCTCGCTATCCCAGCTGGCGAGGATGATCGTCCGCAATGGTCGCCACCCCTCTTTGAGGGCTGTTGCTAAGCTTCGTGCCACTTCGTTCAGCGCCGCAGATCCGCTATTTCCATCCCCAGCACCGGGACCCCAGGAATCATGGTGGCTTCCAAGAATAATCACTTCCTCTGGAAAGACGCAACCTGGAATAGTCCCAATGACATCATGGACAGGACCAACCCATTCATATGGGCTGTTATATACGTTCAACACGACGTTCCCGGGCGAAGGCCCTACATTATACTTAACGTTATGGGAGGTGAGCCCCCCTCCTTGCCATCTGTCGTTGAACTCTGATGCCAGAGGGCCATGGCCATTGAGTGCGCGGAGCATAGGAACTGCATCTGCGTAGGAAATGGGAATAGCGGGTATTGAATCCCCACCTGTGGTTAAGAGAATAGAACAGTTAGTCAACTCAAAACAAGACAAGGGCCAGAGCTGAAGAAGGCATACTGCAAGTACCAACCCATCCTCTCTCTATCAAGGATGGGGGCCGGGCGGGCCCATCCGGATATGCTTGATACCCATTTTCTACAATAATCTCCCCATCCATTTGTGGGTCTGTATAAATGAGTAGTCCCGCGAGGCCCATCTCCTTTGCGACCGTGAACTGATTGGAGCGATGATATACTAACCTATGCTTCTTCAAGATCTCGGACTCATACGTCGACTTGACTATGGCAATCTTCCCAGCGATGTCGACGTTTGCCTGCAGCAGATCGCCATAATCGTTCCGCGTTCCGTAATTGGCGAATATGTACCGTGCAGTGACATTCCCCTTCCCAGCACAGGCAAAGAAAGCCGACATAAATGATTGCTCCCCATCAGCAGCCTTTGGGGGATTGTCCTCAATCAACGGAGCTTCATACACCACTTGATCTCCCGAGCGCTCTGTATCGAGCAACGCTACTCGGTGCTCATTGGGAAGAGTCAGAATCCCATCATAGGATTTCAAGCTTGTGTTAGGGATCCCAATTTCATCCCACAACTTCTGGGTCCACTGCGCGCGTCCAAGACCCTGTCCCGCAATATGGGACCCACTGGTATAACGGCGAGCTGACTTGCGTATTTCATCGGCATCAGGGACAGTTTGTAAAAGATGCTTGAGCGTTGCTGGCGCAAGACCCTGTCTGCTCTTACAATTTGGGGTGTCCTCGGTGCCTATAATCCTTCCATAGGCGCCCGAGACAGCTAGACATGATATAACAAGGCTTGTCCAAGGCATTCTTCACTAGATGGGCCTTTGGGCCTTTGGACTAGAAATCAAGCCAGAGCGCAATGGTGGGTCGATCAGTTTATGAAAGGGGAATGCAAAGGGGGAGAGGTGAATACCTTCCACTGTCCTGCACGCCTTTGGGCCTAGATTTTGTTTCATACTATATTTACATTCCTCTTCGCTTTCAAACATCTCTATTTTGCAATTTGGCAAATTCTACAACCCTACCAGATGCTACCCGGGTACGTTTTCAGCCAATAGATCTTCTCTCCATTGATTGGATTGGCTCTGGTCCCTACCATGAGATCTCGGGTAATGGAATAAAAATGGGTATGGGGGGACTGGCTGGTAGTGTGAAGATCATAGCCTTATTCTTCGCTATGCGTGACAACTGGACTCGGCCGCAGGCAAGGGATGATATGCTGCAGATACCGAAAACGGAAATTGAAGAAGAAGGGGAGATAACACATGGGTCTCCGCGCCTCATAAAGATTCGGGATACATACATACTGAGCGAGAATCTAATATTTGGAAGCCATCTTGTTCTTTTAGAGAATGGTGTCTCCATCTACTCAGCGGCAAGCCGCCGATAGAGCAAGTGAGGGGACTCCTTTGCTCCAAGATTTCGAAGATCACCAATCTCATATTTTACCGCGAAAGCAACTCCTGAAAGTTTTCCCTGCACTAGCACTGATCCATTTTACCTCGTTTCTAGACCAGACCGCTCTATCCACCTCCCTACCTGCCATTGCGGCGGGACTGAACACCGGATCATCCATCTCATGGGTTAGCGCCAGCTTTCTCACGACGAGCACGAGTATCCAGTTAATTAACGGTCGGCTGTCGGATATTTTTGGTCGCAAAACATGTCTTCTCGGGGCACTGGCGATCATGGCGCTGGGGAACCTGCTATCCGGGTTCTCCCAGACGCCTGCGCAACTATATGCCACGAGAGCGTTTAGTGGCCTGGGAGCCGGGGCTATCAATGCGCTCGTACAGATTTCTATCTCCGACATCACCACTCTGGAGCAACGGGGATACTACTTCGGAATCCTGGGGGTTGCGGTGGCACTGGGAAATGGACTGGGACCCGTCGTGGGCGGCGTGCTCACTGAATATTCCTCCTGGCGCTGGGCCTTTTGGTTCGTCTGTCCGTTGGCCGCGGTGGCAGCAACCTATTTTGGTCTTGTATTTCCATCCTCTGGTATAGTGGATAATGTATGGATGAAGCTACGGAGGGTGGATTGGTTCGGCGTGTGTACTAGCATGTTGGCCATTGTGTTGATACTGGTAAGTGCGTTAGTCCGAGGAACTATGGCGTCGCAAGACGGATGTTAATTTGATTTAGATCCCCGTTTCGCAAGGAGGTTCCGCCATCCCATGGAATTCACCAATAGTTATCACTATGCTTACGTTTGGAGCGACGCTTTTCGCGGTCTTCTTAATGGGAGAATGGCGATGGGTGAAACTGCCCCTTCTGCCCAGTATGCTATCCTATCATCCATTTGCCTGGGTCGTACACTTACAGACTAAGTGCGCTTATTCCAGTACAACTACTCAACAAATATCCTGCTGGGCGTGAACATCTTGATCGGCTGGGTCTTCTGGGGCAACCTTTTCTATATCCCGCTGTACTTCCAGAACGTCCGTGGCTGTCACCCTGGGGTGGCTGGTTCCTTAATCCTACCGATGGTCATTGCGCATGGCGCGACCTCGGGATTAACTGGAATCATTATGTCCTGGACCCATCGATACAAGGTAGTCATAAGCACGGGCGTTGGCATGTGGGCAATCGCAGCAGCGGCAAAGTCCTTCTATACGCAAAACACTCCCTTATTGGTAATAGGATTGGGAGGGATCTTCGAAGGGATCGGAGTAGGATGCTCTCTTCAACCTGGTACATAGCCCCCTCTACTGCAGTCGAATCTGACTAACAAAAAGATGCAGTACTGGTCGGGCTGCTCGCAGGCTCAGATAAAAGTGACCGCGCGGTGGTGACCGGTCTTCGCAACTTCATTCGCGACATGGGCGGATCTGTCGGTGTCACAGGTACTATTTCTCCAATCCTTCTATTTACAATACTAATAGAAAGTACTAGTATCTGGTGCAATCCTCAACAACGTCCTTCAAAACGTTCTGAGAGGACGGTTCAGCGCTGAACTCATTTCAAAGATCACATCGTCCGCCTTTTCCCTGTCTGATTTCGACCTTACCGACGAGGACAAGAAGCTGATCTCCGATGCTTATATGCGTGGCTTGCGGGATGTGTTTACCGTGTTCGCAGTTTTGATTGCGCTGTACTTTGTCTTGACTTTGTGCGTAAAGGATTACGGGTTATCTAGTAAGGCTGAGCCGCCGCCTGCTGAGATTGAGGGGCGCTTGGAGGAAGAACCCACGGATTACGGATCTGAATAAACTGGTTTTAAAGAAATGGTGATATTTTCTTGGTTAGGGCGACTTGCTACTCTTACGGGAGCGAGGATTGAGCTACGAATGTATGGATAAACGATGTGCTACGAAATGTGCTATAGGTGGTTTGAAGGAAGTTAGTCTGTCGATGTACGCTGAACAAGCCGAGTTCATAGGTTTCCTCTCTACATATCTCACCAGTGGATAGGCTATCTGCTATCTACAAGAAACTAAAGGCACGTTCGAATATAGTCCAGCTCATAATCATTCAACTAGGGTAGGATAGTCCTGCTTAATCCAGAGCTCTCCCGGATGCTCCAAAGAAAACACCAGGAAAACACGCCAAAAAAAGATCATGAGAAATAAATATAAGAATCGAAAAAGGGAAACGAAGAGTGTATCGACGTGTTGAAAAGAAAAAAAAAAGCCCTTCTATCTAATCAAGACCAAACTGCTTCGCATCCCATCTTACACGTTTCAAATGCCTCCGCGGATCCTTAACCTCATTCCGCCCATGTAACCACCGCCGATTATCCATGATGATAATTGACCCCCTGGGCATCATCTCCGCAGTAAGATATACAACCTCAGCCTGCGCCTGCGGACCCAGCAGGACAGACTTGAGTTCCTCCAGCGCAATTCCCGCCTCCCCCGTCAAGGGCGTGAAGATATCCTCTCGGAATCGCAGAGCGAGGCTCCCTGATTCCCGGTCCGGGGCGAGCAGACTACCAATAATGGACTCATCCTTGCTGTCTGTTTTCCGGAACTCAGGTGGGACGGTAATGAGATAGTCCTTCCTTGCTAGGGCGGCTCTAGTCGATTCTGAAAGTAGTTTGAGTAGGTTGTCTACTTTCAGTACGGATAACGTGCCGCCGCCACAATTGTCCGGGTGAAGAACTTGGAGTGCGAAGTATCGCGGCGGCGATGCCTCGTAGCTGCAATCGGTATGCCAGGGGAACTCGTTCATGGTCTCTGATCTTGCCTGATGATCCGGACATTGGAAGCCTGTTTTACTGGGTCGGATATCCCAGTACCAACCGCGATGAGCAGAATGGGTGATGGGTAGGCCATGGCCGTACCATTTATGCAGTCCATGAATGAGATTAGTTAGGTAGTGGGAATCATTGTCATCGAAATTGAGGCTAAGTTTAAGGACGCCAGCGTCCCGGAGATGGCGTTGAACGTTGCCAACGTGGGCTCGATCATAGGCCGAGTCGAGACTCGGGGCTTTAAGGTACGGGATATTGGCTACTGGAATAAGCCTTCGTTTGCTCTTATGCCGAAAACCTTCAAAGTATCAATAAAAGCTTACTTACTTAATGCCGAGACCGCTGGAGCTGATCGTATCGATGAAGTCCCCACGGAAGTAGAATACGCTCTCACCAAGGTACGCAGCATCTTGATCCGCTATCTGATATCTGATATATCTCATTTGACGACAGTTGACATTGTGGTGTTTGTGCGAACAGGCTATATAAGATTGTTCTCCTTCCGCTCACTCGTTTCATTCCAGAGCAATTCCGTCCCGCCTTCTCCCCTTGCTTCATGCCGCTAATTGGCTTCTTGGCTTAACGCGATGGCCTACGTATACACCGACGATTGAGCAGGTAGGAATGTCTTGGCCTGATGTCCGTAATCATAAGATTGTCTTGGCTGGCTGTGGAATATCCCTCCCAGAATGTCTTTGCCTAGGCTCTGCGACGAAAAGGGAAAGATGAGCCATGCAAGGGGATCTGATAAGGTGAGATTGACAGTCGTATAAGGTGAGCTTAGGCCAACCTTCTTAGGCTCAATAATGAGGACCGAATATGTTCTATGAGATCATATGATTTCTGATTGCAATCTAGAAGGTTCATAGCGGTATGTGCACTCGTCACCCATGCATTAAGCATCCGACCCCCTAGCCTTGTTTCCAATTAAAACCGATTCTCAGCTCGAATCAAGCGCTTGCCGACCTCCCAGTACGCATCCTCGACCTCAGTGATCGTCTGACCCTGCACCCAAAATCCCTTGGCGTTGGCCCAGCTACCTGGAGACGCCACTGCCGCTGCAATGGCCCACGCAACATCCTCCGGCGAACTCTTAAGCGTATGCGGCTGGGTCGTGGCTTCCAAGCCTTTCACCATGGAAGTCAGCGTCAGCCAAGGCGCGATCCAAGAAATGACGATATTGGCTCGGATAACCTCCTCGATTAGAGCGGTGCTGCGGACGAGGCCCAGGACCGCGTGTTTGCTGGCGGTATAGAGCGGCTGCGAAGGCACAGGGATGTATGAACCGGCGGAGCCGACGACGACGATGCGTCCGCCCGATCCCTGCTTCATGTGGTGGATGGCTAATTTTAGACCAAATACGACTGAATTGATGTTGACGTCAAAAAGCTGTGTGGAGGGCTGTTGGAGCTCTCCGTCTTTTGTTTCGTCTGCTAGATAGTTATGGCTCGTCTGGCAATTCAGCTGAGCTTTTCGTTCGGGGTCTTGGGTTTGGAGAAGTGCAATTTCCGGGTTAATGGCTGCGTTGCACACGACGAGGTCGATGGGCCCCGTGGTGTCTACGACCCATTGGAATAAGGCTGTCTGTTGAGCCCAGTCGCTGACATCGCAGCTCTTGTATATGGCTTGCGTGCCGATGGTTTCGACTGCGCTCTTTAGAGCGTCCTCTTGCAAATCAACAAGGACTACGCGAGCACCATGGTGAGCTAGAAGACTGGCCGCTGCGAATCCGATGCCACGGGCAGCGCCGGTGACAATAGCAACTTTGTTGGCAACACTCTCCGAGAGAGCTTCTTTAGTTGGTGGTGAAATGGCCGTCATAGTCGTTGCGTGATAATTGGGGCAGAAGAAGAGTGAGGAGTCCCGCGGAGGAGAACCATGTCTAGTACTTACGTCAGGTACTTGTGCCAATGCTATACACATGGCCCACTCAGTATCCTCGTATCCGATACGCGTGAGAGCTCGGCTAAAGGGGTTCGCTAAAAAAGATGGTCCGTTTTCATGTGTCAAGGATATTCAGATATCTGCAGTAGACGAGAATCCACTTGGTCCCGTAACCGGAAACTAGCCTCCACACCCCTACACGTAGCTTCTATCTATGTTTCTTTTTCTCATATCTCCCTCATCGCTCTGCAGCGATTGTCCATCGCCCTCTGCGCATAGCTAGTCGCTGGCGCCAGCCCCTCAAACCCATGCGGTACGCCAGGATACACATGAAACTCCAGCGGAATTCCCGCCTTCACAAACCGGAGCGCGTACTCCATATCCTCCTGTACAAAGATATCCAACTGTCCACAATCTATATACGTAGGCGGCAAACCTTCTACAGATTCCGCTCTCGCCGGCGCCGCATACTGCGATACACGGTCCGTCTGCACATCCTCCCCCAAGTAAGCAGTCCAACCGGTAATATTATCATCGAATGTCCAGAACGCGAAGGCCAGTTCATCTCCATGATGCTTGGCCAGCCGATCGTCAAGCATAGGATACACAAGAATCTGCTTAGCCAAGGGGGGGGAGAGGCCTCGGTCCCGGGCTATTAAAGCGAGACCAGCCGCTAGTCCTCCACCAGCACTCTCACCCATGATCCCGATGCGGCTGGTATCAATAAAAAGCGTCTCCGCATTGGCATATACCCACTGCAGAGCGGTCCAGCTGTCTTCTATGGGAATCGGATAGGGGTGTTCCGGGGCTAGTCGATAGTCGACACTCAGCATCTGGACCCCGGAGTCGGAAACGTACCAAACCAGTAACTTTTCGAAATGTACGGGTGATAATGAAAAGAAGCCTCCGCCATGGAGATGGATGACAGCCGAGTCTTTGTGGTCCTGGCCTGCCTCTGAACGAGCTGGTGTCTTGCGATAGTGGTGGATGGCGATTTGATGATCGCCCGTAGGGGTAGGGACATGATATACAAGGTACTCCAGGCCATCTGGCAAAGGATTCTTTTGGAATCCTTTTGCAACAGCTACCGACCAGTGCCGTCTGGCAGCAATATCATGGGGAGCCGGTTTTTTGATCTTTGCTAGTTGCTGCAGCAGAGGACCCGCGACTTCGGCAAATTCGGGATCGAGTTGAAGAGGCATCTTTTACTGTTTCTCCTCTCTAATTGAGTGTCGTGCAAAATGTAACATAGGAATAATATGTGGTGTTTGGAGTGAGAGGTTCGGCATTGGGAAAATGAAATGTTATTTGTGCTACCCTCCCCTCTCTGTACATTCCGCGTCAGCGGGGCTTCGCTGGCCCATTTCCGCTTTATTGTTTCTTCACAGGAAACAAGTTCCAGCCTAAACAGTTTTGTCCACAGGTTGCACAAGTTATTGGCGCTCCTATACCTCGCGTAGTACGCGGCAAGCTAAGGCTAAGTGCTGATAGCCTGGTACTCCAGGTGGGATCCACAGTGGAGCACGATTGAATGTGGGGAGTAATGTGGATCTTTCAACCTTTTAGGAAGTTGACGGCGAGGTGAATATAGCCGAACTGTTGGAGTATCGAAGGGCTGTGTGGAATTATGGTAGAGATGTAGTGGATAGAGAATAATGAGGGGTCTGGGATTAAACTGATCAAGGCAACCCTAAACATCATCATCGCCATCGCCATCTGTCCATCAACATGATCCAGGTCAACACCAAATTTGATCATGTCCACTATCCCATCCTTTGACGATCTTCCCCCAGTCCCAGGATATCCTGATAGCAGGTGTTCCTGGGGAATCTTCGATAGAGATGGCCAGAAAGACCTCTACGGAACACTCAATTTCATCACCCCTGACATCGTGAAGTCGGCTGCCGCACAGATCCGCGACGGTATCTCCATCTCGCTGAAGTACGTTGTATCATCCTTCCATGCAATATGTAATAAAAAAGCACAAAAACTGACTAAGGCAATTCAGCTGGCCGCTCGGGGGCATAAAAATTCAAGGATTTTTTCGCAAGCGACTTGCTCACAGTGTGAAGAAATTGGACGACCCAGCCGGGAAAACTTTTGCATTTGACGATGAGGTGTGATATCTTTCTAAATACCTTCTATATACGACGTATCTCCTGACAATCTACAGGTAGAATTCAATACCCAATCCAGCAGCCAGTGGGACAGCCTTTGTAAGTCCTTTCCCCCATTTATCACTGCAATACTCCACTAAAAGGAAAAGGTCACTTCCAGCACCTCCCCTCCGGTCTATCGTATAACGGCAGCAAACCAACAGTTGAGGCCCTCGAAAGAAATGACACGCTTCCCACCCTAAACCGTAAACTACAATCTCTCCCCATAACCAAACCACACACTAAGCCAAAGCAGACTGGCACACCCGCGGCGGTCTCACCGGTCGAGGCGTCTTAATCGATTTCAAAACCTATGCCGCCGCGAAAGGAATTGAATATTCCCCCTTCTCAGCATTCCGAATGAGCACCGCAGATATCGAGGCAGTGGCATCCTACCAAGGCACCACCTTCCACAAAGGCGATATTCTTATAATCCGCTTCGGATTCACAGAGGCGCTGGGACCAATGAACGGAGAAGAACAAGTAGCCGCGATGAGCACACACCAGGCTTGCGGACTCGAAGGAAGCAAGGATGTGGCGCGATGGCTATGGAATCGACAGTTCGCCGCCGTTGCTACCGACAATCTAGCTGTTGAGGCTATCCCGCCTATTATTGATGGGGTGGAAGGGTCGCCGACTGAGCTTGGTGAGTTAACTATTGTGTATTGGTTGTGGCTAGTAGCTAACTTAGGTAGTGCTGCATCAGTGGTGCCTTGGTCTGCTTGGGATGCCACTTGGAGAGCTGTGGGATCTCAAGGCTCTCGGGGAGGAGTGTAAGAGGGCCGGGAGGTATAGCTTTTTCTTGACCTCGGTGCCGTTGAATGTTCCCGGTGCTGTGGGTAGTCCGCCAAATGCTCTGGCTATTCTGTGAGTAATACTTTTAGGAGAGTTAGTATCGAGCTTGACTCGGTCGAGATTGCGTTTGGACTTGTGCCTCTCCTTGTATAGGTCGTCCTTCTATCTGAATGCGCTGGGGGATTTTCATGGTATAAAATGTAGAGTAAGCAGTTCTTTTAATACGCTAAAAGTGTGTAAATGTATAAGAAGAAGAATACCAAAACATAATAAGTTTTTTCCGCATAGTTGAGTCGAAGTCAGTACTAAGACCTCTCTTTAGAAGGAGTAATAGGCAAAGGTCGGCCTCGGCCAATGTGACTGAGAGAACCGTTCTTTTCGAAAGTACTGGCAATCTGCCGGATATTTCCATTTCGTCTCGGGACTGCCGGTGCTTGAGCTCTATAGCTGATCTGTGAGGCATTAACTGTTATTATAGCATTCCACCTCTCTCCACTACTGCTTTGTGGAGTGCCAATTCCCACATGCGGTGGCAAGGAGAATTCAGTAGTGGACTGCCATCTCGTTTTAGGAGGAGGCGGCGGAGGCGGACGCCTGTTAGAATCTTCCGTAGAACTGAGGCTGCTTCTTGCTTCTTGTATGTCCGATATTGTCGATACTGGACTGAGTATAACGGCCTCACTGCGCACCCATGTCTCTGTCAAAGCCTCGCGTGAGTATTCAGTGGCCATGTCGCTGGACCCAGGTGTTCCTCCTTGACAGATCATCAGGTCATCGGTGGTAGCTGTACTTATGCTTCTGACTTCCAGATCAATGGCTTCACTCCCTTGGTCGGACTGTTTCTTGCTGCTTGTACTTGGGGATTTAATTTTGCCAACGTAACCTTCAACATACCGGCGGCCAGTCGAGAAGGCATTACCCAGTCTCCTTTTTCCTCCACTGACTGACAGATATGGAAAAGGCTGACTCACGGGTATCCTTTCGGTATCTGGAGTAGCCTGCTTTGTTTTTTCTTGTTCCTGGTTACTCTTGTTGATGGTCTTACCCACAAGTCCGCTGATGGCACCTATTTTATTCGTGAGCGTCCCAGCAATACGAACATCGATATTGCCAGTCACTGCTCCAATATCATTTAGAGCCTCCGATGTCAAAGTTAGGGTCTCACCCATAAAATCAGCTCCCCTCTGAATCTTTTCAGACCGAGCTGTCACAGTCTGATGCAATTTACTCCATGCTTGTTTTGTCTCCTAGGGCGAGCTCTCATCCTTTTGTCGGAGAACACTCTCCGCGAGATGTTCAAGTGCGGCTTGGAGCTCGCTGCGCGCCAGCTCAAGCTTCTTTAATCGACCCGCTGTGATGGTGGTGTCACTCATGGAGCACTTGACTGAAACTGCAAGCTGATCCAGGAGCAAGAATCGCTGATCGACGTCTACCAAGGTATCATTGATTTTCGATATGGCTGCTTGTTGATCCGCCATGGTAATAGAGCCGACAAGATCTCCCTTGACCTTACTAACAGCAGCCTCCACGAATCTCTGTAGCTCCTCCTCGGTGATCTTCAGCCCGCTTTTAGATACATCGGCAATGGGGATCGTCTTCAAGAACTCCGTGGCACGGACTGTAGCGGTCATTGCAGCAGTCATTGTAGCGTAGCCGTGCCATTGGTTGTTTTGTGAGAGTCTGTATAATCGCAAATTCCTCGGATCACTAGGACGCCCATATTGGTCGGACCCGCAGACTCCATGTCAAAGCAAAGCGCATCCAGCTTTTTTGCCAAATCATCGCGGGTCTGCACATCCTTGATGACTTGATCTCCTGAAGCTATCGGGCCTGAATGGACCATGACACGCGCCCCCTTTCCTCGAGGCTGACGAGTAACCAGAGATGCCGAAGGCCGAGGCGTTGGGGTAACAGTCACAGGCGTCCTCATGCAGGTACCCCGGTCTGTATAAACGATCAAACCTGTCATCCGGGTGTGCAAACATCGCTTGAAATTTCCTAGGCAATTGTGAGCAATTTTGCTCCATGGCGCTTTCCAGGCTCCAGCCAGTAAGGGCGCGATACTTGATTCCATTCACACGACAAAGTAGGATCTCAGGCGGACGAAGGATATATGGCCAGTGCGTTGAAAGCCCTGCGGTGTTGTTTTGCCAAACCTGTAAGGCACAACCTGCGTCCCAAGGACTACGTCATCCAGCCGAATGTCATTATCAAAGCGCGCAGAGCCTCCAGCGATTCTGACCATCAGCGCAAATCGGATATAAGGGAAGGTGCTTCGCATGCTCGTAAAGACCGTGGAGGCTGACACCAAGCCCACCGACTCCGTGGGTAGACACATAAGGACGACAAGATGGTCCCCGACACACCCCCGAGTGTACTCGTTATGGTCATCTTTGGCTCGTAGCAGTCCAGTGTCATCCCCATATATCTCGTCCAGTGCTTGTCGGGCTGCGATGTACTCGATCAATAAAGCAGGAATCCAAGCAACCGTGAAGTCATGAATCCCGGGAGAGGGCGGCTTTGTCATTATTTCGTACGAATCTTAAGCAGGAGGGTTGTCAAATGTCCGCGACGCGGCGATGCGGATTGTTCTTTGAGTGTTTCATTCTACCTGGGGCGCTCAACCCCCTTTATGAGCAATTCCGTGGCTCGATGATATTAGGTGGCTAAATATAAAGGAGTGAGGGAAGTGGCTACAGCGCTGAGCGCGCAGCCTTGTAGAACAACCAGCCCTAGTGCATCCAGGTTACAGGGGCAGATGCAGCTCTTTCCACTTTGAGTAAATTAGTCGTGTGCAACCCTTCGTCTAGTGGAGAGTACTGAGACAAATAGCGTCTCTCCGGGCTTCGAGGGTCTTGCTTGGATTGGTCGGGAAATCTCAGCCTTGTCCTCCCCTGCTTGATTTCTCACCCCCACCATAGCAGAAAGGATGGTCAGCTTGGGCAACACCGATAATGCAGGTGATGAACAAGGCTGTGCTAAGTTCTTAACGGCATAAGGAGCGTAGCCCTGACATTCCTCCCTGCTTGCTGAACAGCACACCACACACCTAGCACTGACATCCCGTCCAATCATTTGGTCAATAGCACCCTCTAGTCTTCCCTATTCGTCGTCAGGTAAAGCCTGCCCATTGCCAACCCTGGCCTTTGACAGTGCACCAAAGTTCTCCCAGTTCGGATGACAATCCGGCGGGAAAGAGGAGAAAGCAAGTATTCACCAGTCTCGGCATACTGGAACATACGGAAGGCAAGGCAGAGTTCACATCCACCACTCTGGACGAGCTGCAGTAATTCCACGCTGGAGATTCACCGGTTGCGTTAGGCAGCGCTGTCGGTTGAGACTGAGGATCTCGACTCTATGTGGGGTATATCTTTCGAATGACCCCTGAAGATAGACACAAGCATGGCGGTGAGCTCGAAATTTCTGAGAGTGAGGACTTGTCTAATCGCATCTCACCATCTTAAGGCAATGTCTGGACTAGAATTTTTGGCTTTCAGACAACTTCCGCGATTCAAATTGAGACGAGCGGTTTAGTAGACTGTCGTCTTTTTGGCCCTACGTAAGCACACTCAATGTATGCGTCGAAACTAAAGAAGTGGAGATCCATAAGCGATAAAATGTAGTCGAGAGGGATAACGTTTCACTGCCGGCCAAAGTATATCGAATCGTCACGTATAAAAACACCCTCACGTGCTTGCTATACTAATACGTTATACTTAAAGGGTCGAATCAGACATAGTGACTAATTAAATCCATAACTAGTATTTCTTATAATTGGTATATTATACTGTTGGATAGGATGTAAGTGTAGTTGATTGACTGGACATAATTTTTTGATAAATTCTGTCCCGATCCTGGCAGCAACTAGAGTTTTATTAGATTTTCTAATTTGCCATTCCTGTGAATCGAAACTATTTAAGATAGAAAGTAATTTCGATATACATCTATTATCTCTTTGTTCCACGTGATGTCATTTCGGAATCTGAACTTGACTTCGAAGGTGCAGCTACAGAAACTCTGTATACGCAAAGACTGCGAGCAATTTCTACTTGCCTGTGTTTATGGGATGGGAAAACGAGAGGAATTACGCGTATGAGAACTTGCACTTAGGATTGAACCGATGGCTAGCAGAAAAAAACACGAAAAAAAAAAAAGAAAAAAGAAAGAAAGAAAGAAAATGCCAATCTGTCTGCGAAAGGTGTCTGCTGTCGAATCAGGCTCTTCTCTTCGTTCATTCGGCATGGACTGCTACTCAAGAAAATGCGAAATATCCACGTCCGGAAAAGATTGGACTTCCTGTGTAACTAGTTTACTGCCCATTCTAAATCCCCTATACCATTTTGGTGTTGATGTTACACTCGATGATAGGTTGGGCGACTCAGCGATTTGACTATAATTCCGACCTCCACATAGAAGCAGGATCGTCAATCATGGGAGAATGCATCTTGAACAGTAGTTGCCTCCAGGGTTAGGGTAGGCAATAGCATGGGGTTCTTCAGCTCGAACTCCTGGGTAGATTCTTATCCGGACGTGTGATGTTCTTTCCGGAAAGGCCTTTATCAAGTTTTGTAATGCACCGTTGTAATGTTGAGTTGTAATCTGTAAGCAGAGCTTTGACCTCTTGGTTTCGTCTGTGCATATCGAGGAGCAAGGGAAGATCCGTTGAACTATCGATCAGGGAGCTCTCTGTTGAACTGGTAGCTAGAGATGTTGTCTGCTTCGTATTCATCTTAATAGCGTTAATACATGGTGGTGGCACTCGTATATCCGTGCTGTCTCACCTCTTTTTGAGCTGGATTCATCTTATTCAGAAGTATGGTTTGCAAGTATGTGATGTGTACTGCCAAAGATGAGCTGCCCTAATTTCTGGATAAATCAATCTGCAGGAAGAAAAGATGCGATCTACGACCTAGATATAAATCCACAACAGCTGCCCTGTGTTGATGCATTGCATGGTGACTGCCCAAAGGCGACGGGAGCAACCTAAATTCGTACTGCATTAGAAAAAGATACCAGAAACTTTCATCCTATGCTACATCAGGGTCAAATGCAAGCTGTTGTAACCTGCTGTGCATGTTGGCACACCAATGCGGTTGTGCAAACGAATGCCTGCTGTGTCACTTCAAGGACTCTAGAACTCGAGAACCGGAGAAATTTCGGGATCTTACCCTCTTCAGACTTTGACGATGTTGTGTGCAATCTCTCATGTAGTACCAACGAAAGTTCTGTGCATGCATATTATAATAGTCCAAAGTGCAAATTGGATTGGGGTTTATTATAAAGTGTATTCCACTGCTTTTGTCTCCGGTTAGCCTTTGAGATGTTGTCGCAGGTGATCATAGTAAGGCCCCAATGGCCAGTTACGTTACTATATATATCGCCCCTGGGGAATCGACACGGGCTGGAATTGGTCATAGTGGGTCTTTCTAACCTAGGTGAATGGCCTTGTGAACCACCCAGGGGCAAACCCTTCACAGGAGGAAGCAACAAAAAGCAAAAAGCAAAAAAAAAAAAAAAAAAAAAACATGCAGGAAGAGGGGGCTGGTAGGGTCAAGTGGCAAATTTTGATGTTTTTGCTTAGAAAAGTGAGGCTACACACAGCATCTAGGAAAGTGAACCGCTGTGGGACAGTTGATATTCTAGTGATCAGATAGAAAGAGTCTACTTACGTGGACGAACCATCTGGTTTGTTGTCTGCTAGGTTACAAAATATTAGCCCTAAATTTGTCTTACTTTTTACCTGAGCAAGGGATACATAGACCTAGACCACTTTCTTTGCATACAAAGAAACCATGCTCTCTGTATTTTCATGCCGAGACAGATGGTACTTTTGATACAAAAAGTACAACCCAACATTTCTGACAGCCAAATTTTACGAGAAACTTGTACCAAATAAGTACTCCTGCACCTTAAGAAAAGCAAAACATGAACGACGATATGCAGATAAGAATGCAGGGGCCCCTAAAAAGGGAAAAGCGAAAGGTACCGGAAACCGTAGGCTAACCAGCATCACATCCAACCGTCTTGGCGCTTTGCCTCATCCCCCAATCCCAAAGGGTTAACGTTGATTGACTGGGGTAAAGCCGCCGTAACCGCCAGCTCTCCGCGAGGAATTCGCATAGAACCTTCTTTTCTTTCTTGTCTTCTCGCCCTTCTGTCGATGTAACCTTTGACAGGCGTTTGATGCTTTTTGTCTAGAAGCTTGCTGCCATTGGGTCGACCGGAAGTAGGGCTGATGTAGGGCGAAGAGCATCTTGTAGTAGCACATCTTCTGGCTCATTGTGATGAAACTAACCCCCTGGCTCGACCTCGGTGGGGTATTTCAGTGGATATTTCGTTGGTACATATGATTTCTACCTCCTCATCTAGCTCTTGGCACGACTTGGCCAGATACCGTGGATGTTCCAGGAGGTTGCTGAGATCAAGGAATTCCGAATGCCCTACAGGGCGGTTGGTGTGGGCGGCAATAACAGCCCTTATATCCATCCGTATATCATTACCGTCTTCTTCACCTGGAAATCACTTCCAATACATTCTATTAATTCAGTATGCTCCCACTCTGGCGGCGGTTGGGAGTTTCACCAAACATTCGAGTCCCTTTCCTTCCAGCGAAAACTGTCCGACATGAGAAACAAACCTAGCAAGGCTCCTGACCAGTATTACTAGTCCGTGGCGATTAACAACGAACTCCGAAGTCACCACGATGACATACTGTAAGGCTGATCTATATACATAGCTGAAATATTAACTGAATGTTTCTTAGACCGTACAATCTAAGATCTCGCTTCCGATACTAGAAGTTTTAGATTGGAGCGATGATTCCTCAAATCCAATCTGCACAGAATAAATCATCCACGAGCATGTCGCGGGTGTTTCGTCGCAACAAAATGTGGCCCAAAATGGACTCGGAGCAACACATGCTGTACATACACCGATACGCTTTCAACGGCCATTAAAAAGATTGCATCTTTGGACTTCCCCGCTTATTACAGTCTATACTTCTCAGGTGGACCGCTAGACTCGCACTTGAAGATTCCCTTCGAAAAGGGCTCTGTGCTAGTCCACATTGCCAGCCCAGTTTCCTGGAACCGAACTCCGGGGGGACTTGATATCGACAGCGGTCCGAGTCCTATTTGTAGTCCATGCTAGTTTCGCCTTTTCTCTGTCCCCTTTTGTAACGTCGGTTCTAATGCGACGGGCTTACGATTAGGTGAAAACCTCACAAGCTATTGCCTAGGCCTTGTAGAAACCGGTTTCTCGCGTTTACCGAAGGAAGATTCTGTCAATCGCGAGCTTCTCCCTCATCAAGGATCTACTCAAAGCCACATTCGTCTTTTAAATATCAGACAAAAAGTGATGGAAAAGTTAGCTCAGGACACGCGCATTCAGGATGCAGCTACTCCGGCTCTGCTTCACCCCGATGTTAACAAGAGGAACATCTACGTCTCGACGGAGGAACCAAGCATCATTACAGGCTTGCTTGATTGGCGATCAGCAAGCATTGAGCCTACATTTATTTACGCCAACGAGACTCCTGATTTTGTTGGACTTCCTGAGGAGCCAGAGGAAAACCCATTCGAGAAGACCAACTCAAGGAACAAGGGCGAAAAGATGCATCGATCTGCTACCAGACATACGATGTGTGCATGAATGGCCTTGTTCCCAAACTACGGCCCGCAAGGTTACTCGATCCGACTTTGTTTCGACTCTTCCACCATTGCCATACGACGTGGAGAGACAGTGCCACGGCCGTCCGCCAAGGTTTAAATCGAACTTTCAGCCCGCTGGACAGAACTGGGACTGCAGGGCTCGTACCCATATTCACCAACTGAAGAAAAGCTGAAGGAGTACGTTCGAGACTATGACGACTTTGAGCCTCTCCAGAGACTCAAAACTATGGCTTAGAAGCCCTCTCCAGACGAATTCTGATGGGTGGGTTCCGAATGATGTATGGAACGCTGCGAAAGACGCTCATCGCGTGGCGTATGGTAAATGGATATAAACGGCCAGAGAATCTGAGTCTCGTGGTGAGGATCGCACAGTAGTAAAAGCGGACAAGTTGTGGCCATTTGATGCTAGATAATAAGCGGGAAAGGCAGTTGCCTCGTTGCGCCGAAGAGATTTAGCCCCGATATCCAGCTCCAGAGTGTTGTGCGCTATCTAGCACGCCTGCTACCGGCCATAGGCATTGATTATGACAACGAATGGGCCTATTCCGTATTTCTTTTCTTTTAAAAAAAAAAATCCTGGCCAGCGAACATGATAATAACATCTACCCTTCCTATTTGCGCGAGATCAACACAAAGCCTCTATCTGTGGGAGTACTTTATTCGACAGCAGGTTGACGGGTTCCTGACCATCAATTCCTAGCACTCACCGTGTCACTGAACGCGACAGGCATCAGAAGATACTGAAGCTTGGCCTTGATTTCACTTACGGACCTTCGAAGAAGCCTAGCAGACAACTTCTTTTATATCTAAAATCTAGAGTGGGTTCTGACCTCAAACCCCAAACTCAACCCTACCTCAGCTTCACCTCGAGACACACAACACGATCCAGGCTCACCTCCCCCAACATTGGAATGCAAACGATAGACCCCCGCCAAATGATTGGACCTCCCCTCTAAACCCTTCTAAAATATCAAAACCCAGTATAGCCGAAGAATGTCCCCAAGAATGCCACCAGATCCTCACCAGCATTAACAAAAAGCTCTTATTTTCTCCCGTCCCGTCCTCCGTATTAACCCCAAACTCCAACCCCAACTCATCCAATATATTTTCCATGTTCGACTACCCATAACCCCACTACCGCTACGTTCATGTATCAATAGCTAACAAAAGCGCCACAGAATACCTATTCATACCTACTATGAAGACTTCGTTGCTTTATATCCTCCTCGGTGGTGCATTAGCCCTAGCTGCTCCGTCGCGCAGGCCCCTTGGGGAACCGAGTCCTTACCGCACTGGACAGGACAAATACCACCATAGACGGGCAGATCCGGTACTTTTGCAGTCGGCTGTGAATACTACAACGAGTATTTTGGATACGGCGGTGGAGGTTGTGGATGAGTATTTTGGGAGTAAGAGGGTTTTGCATAGTTGATGTTGTGGTGGGATCGCTTGTGCTTGGGGATTGGGGTTAGAATGGTTCGAAGTAGGGCGGGATAGAGGGAGTGTTTTGGGGGTTGGAGAGTGACGGGGTTAAGGAGTTCACTTTTTTTATTGGGCCTGATTGGATACGATGCTATAATCAAGTGCATATGTTAACGTGGTCTCTTTTCTTCTGGCCTATTATATTCCATTTGTCTTCGGGGGGAAATATAAGACGTGTATAGACAAGTAGACTATGTCCAGGTTGCATATAACGTATTCGGTAAGCAAGTCACGCATGTACCGTACGCGATGCGCGCGCCCCACGCGTTTTCAACGCGCCTCAATTTCTTCGGTGATTCGAACATCAGCTACGCCACCAAAAATGCCGAAATCGTCAAAACCACGCGTTGAGCAGGAAGGCAGGATCCTACTGGCTATATCAGCCATAAAAAATCACGAAATTAGCAGCCTTAGAAAGGAAGCTGGGGTTTTTAATGTCCCTCTCGCTACACTATGTGATCGCTTAAAAGGAGCTTCTTTGAGAAGCAATACTCGAACGAATGGCTATAAATTGGCTACTGGTGAAGCGAAATCGCTTAACCAGTGGATTATATCGCTAGATAAGCGTGGAGCACCTCCTCGACCTGCATACGTACGAGAAATGGCCAGTATCTTGCTTTCCCATCAAGATACTACTTCTACCATTACTGCAGGAGAAAAGTGGGTATATAACTTTACCAAGCGTACGCCTGAGTTGAAAACACGCTTTATACGCCGCTTCAGCTCTAAACGTGCTAAAGCGAGGATCCTAAGACTCTAGGTGCTTGGTGTAAGCAGGTAAATAAAGTGATTCGGTAGTAAAGTATAGCCTCAAGTGATATCTACAATTTTGATAAAACGGGGTTTGCAATGGGTCTAATAGCTACAGCTAAAGTAGTTATTAGATATGACACACAGGGCAAGCCATCTTCTGTGCAGCCAGGGAACCGGGAATGGGTTACTTCCATAGAATGTATGAGTTCCAAAGGATGGGTTCTACCTCCTTGCATTATCTTGAAAGGCAAGGTAGGTGTATATGGAGGCCTGGTTTAAGGATTGAAAAACATTTCCTGACTGGAGGGATTGAAACCAGCTCTAATGGTTGGACAAGCAATGAGATTGGCCTACACTGGCTGTAGAATCATTGTATACCTGCTACTACAGACCGATCTATGGGGAAATATCGTCTACTTGTTCTAGATGGCCATAATAGTCATCTAACGCCTCAGTTTGATCAGGTCTGCTCACAGAATGGTATTATACCAATCTGTATGCCTGCCCACGCTTCTCATAAGCTTCAACCGTTTGATGTTGCTTGTTTTGCGCTTTAAAAGGCACGTATGGAGCCTTGATTGAACCCTAAGTGCGCTGTGGATATAGTGATATTGATAGAGTTGATTTTCTATTGGAAGCCTAGGTTGAGGTACACGCGCAGGCCTTTACGCCAACATTCAATATATATAACACTCTTAGAGCCATTGGCCCGGTTTCTCTAAATCCTTAACGCATGCTTTTTCAGTTGACAGTTCAACTAAATACTACTACACCTTCAGGGTGTAGGCCAAGCAGCCATGGCAGCTCAGCACCTAGAACGCCTCATACAATCACGCAGTTGAAAAAATTAGAATCTACGCTGAAAATGCTGCTTAAAGATCGAACCTAAAGCCCTACTTCGCCTCTGAAAAATGGCCTAAATTAGTCGATTAAACGTGCTGAACGAGCTTTAAATGATGCGGCAATATCAAAGCATCACATTGAGCAATATCGGGCCGCACATGAAAAGCAGGCATATCAGTACAGGAAGGTCGGATCTCAATAGAGCGCAGAAATCATGCAGCTGAAGCTATACAGGCAGATAGGGCCTTACCTGCTGAATCAGGTCCTAGACGCGCTCTACCTTGCTGTTCTGGCTGCAATACAACAAGGCCATAGAATCACGAACTGCCTGAATCAATAGGACCACTCATTGTTTTCATATAAATATAAATTGAAGATGCTTTGATCATTTTAATTTTTAATATGGCGGGTAGTGCGCAGCTCGCTTACATGCGCGACTCGCTGACCGAATTCGTTACCAGCTGTGGTTAATCTGTTGAAGTGCTGAGGCAGTATAGATATCTATAAAGACTCAGTATGAAACCCCTCCCAACTATCCAATGCCTCATTGCACTTCTTCCACCACCTCGGCATGCCACCGAGATAAACCAGCGGCTCCCGTCTCTTCCCGGGAATATTACTCCCCATATACCATGAGTCCGTTTTAGGATACAGTGTATTCTCGCTCACCTTCCGAACCTCCTCCTTCCACTCCTGTGCCGCATCCCCCGTCGGCACCACGGACGCCAATCCTTCATCCCGCATCTTCGCAATCGCCCTGCAGATCCAATCGACCTCCATCTCAATAAAAGGCGGCCCATTAGCCAGCGAAGTGGGTGCCTGCGGACCATAGACCAGAAACAGATTCGGCGCATCAGGAATCATTATGCCCAGACGAGTAACGGTCCCATCGTTCCATTTCTCACTCAAAGGGATCTGATTCCGATCTACGATTCCCAGATCCAGCAAGCTGCCCGTGATGGCATCGTACCCCGTCGCAAATATAACAATGTCCAGATCGCGATGGCCCTCGACTGTAACTAAGCCGGTCTCGTCGAACTGCAAGATCGGGGCTTGTTTCAAATCATGCAGCACCACGTTCTGCCGATCGATCATCTCATAATAATCTTGCTCCAGACTGGGCCTCTTCGTGCCAATCCAGTATTTCTGTTTCAATGGCGCGACAAGGTCCATCTTCTTGCGATCTGTCATACGGGCCCGGACTTGCTTCACCCAGTACTCGTAGAAGATCGAGTTCGCCTCGTCATTAAGTAAGAAGTCATAATAATTTGAGACCAGAAAACTATACCCACCACGCTTCCAGAGTTCATCGAAAAGAGCCTTCCGCTCCTCAGGCGTAGCCGTATTGGCCGCCTGCAGCTTGATATTATGCGGGAACCCCGTGGTCGATTGATAACAACGGTCGAAAATGGCATCGTAATACCCCTTCATCATCTCAGATTCCTCAGGCGAGATCTTCCGCTGTCGCATGGGGATCGCAAAGCAGGGCGTTCGAATAAAGACAGTCAATTCGCAGTCTTTCTTTGCGAGTTCCTGGACGATCTGAAGTCCCGAGGCGCCGTTGCCGACAATAGCGACTTTCTTCCCGGTCACGTCGAGGGCATCAGGATATGCCGCGGAGTGGACTAATTGGCCCTTGTATTGATGCAGGCCTGGGTATTCGGGAAAGTATTTCTTGTATGAGGAACCCGTTGCTGCGATGAGATACTGGCACGTTGCCTTGAGGCCTGTTGATGTGTGGACGGTCCACTGCCTGCTTGCCGAGTCGAATCGACACCTTGATACAATTGTGTTGAAATGCGTATCCTTGCTTAGTTCAAGTACGCGGTCGACATGCTCAAAGTACCGTCTTAGCTCCTCGTCGCCCGGAAACCGCTCACTCCAATGCCAGTCCTTCCAGACGGCGGGGATATTGAATTGGTACGATGGCATTTCGGAGTCCACGCGGGCCCCAGGGTAGCGGTTCCAATGCCAGACGCCGCCGAAGCCGCTCCCGGCTTCGAGGAGCTTCGTGGTGAGGCCCATCTGGCGGAGGCGGTAGAGGGCATTGCAGCCGCCGAATCCGCCGCCGATAACGATTGCGTCGACTTTGAGGTCTGTTTGGGTCATCGTGATAGGGAATTGGGGGCCGGGGTCATGAATAAGAGTCTTGATGAAGTGATTGATTGGGCTGGTTGTGAAATTGTACGTCACGACTAGGGGGTGCCTTTTATCACTGTAGATGTGAAGTAATACTAGGGTATGCCAGGAGTTCCATATTGTCAGCATAAAATCCACAGATGAGTATACGGGAGTTAAACATCCGGGAGCCGAGAATCATCAAGGTATCATATCAAAAATGAGTGAGTACCGACCGAAAAAGGAAGGTGACGGCGAGCTCCACTCACAGGGGATCGACATCTCCTTGAACTGGACCCACTGGTGATCCCAACGGTGAAGAACTTCAGGAGTGCCGAGAGTACTCTATAGAAATAGGGATAATCCCGGTAGAGCGATCAATTGAACCTCCGAGAGTGAAACAGTTGATTCACCTCGGACTGTCGTCTTTCCGAGGTTATGTAACTGATCTTCGTACAACAGTGGCTTGACCCCGCTCGCGGTGAGGGGACAAGAGAAACCATTATCAACCTCAGAGACTTTCCAACTTGTAGCCGTGGAGCATCAAAGTGAGACAAAATTGAGGATACAGTGGACTAAGGTCATGGCGTGCAAAGTTACAGGGACCGCATTCATCACTGGCGCCGGATCAGGTACGTCTATCGGTGTCCGATTATTTAGGCTTGGGAAGGGTCACATAGATAGACTAATGGATGATTCACTCAGGAATCGGCAAGACGACAGCGCTGAACTTTGCAAGACACGGCATCACCTCCTTGGCGCTTTTGGATATCAATTTGGCTCAGTTGGAGAATACCCGCAATGAGCTCCACATCGCTTTTCCTCATGTTGAAGTCGAGGCCTTGCATGTAGACGTCACCGACGAAGCGTCAGTAGACGGAGCGATCGAGATGGCTGTGTCTCGGTTCGGACGCATCGACATCGCTGTGCATTCTGCAGGTATCAGCGGGACGCCCACAAAGACCCACGAGCTGCATCTCTCTGAATGGCAGAAGGTCATCGACATCAACCAGACAGGGCTGTGGCTGAGCCAGAGGGGAGTGGTCCGGCAGATGCTAACACAGGAGTGAGATTGATATACCACTAACTCGGTGTTGGTTGCTGACTGTTTGGGTAGATCGCGAGGTGTCCGTGAAGGCCGCGGAGTGATCGTCAATTTGTCGTCGATGTATGGTGTTGCTGCTCCTCCGGGAAGCTTCGGGATCGTCCCATACACCGCTGCTAAGCATGGTGAGTCCTCACGAAATCTGTAGATAGATAGTCTCCGGGATATGCTAAGAAGACAACCAGCTGTCGTGGCAATCACCAAATTAGTATATATCCTGACCTTGATCTCTTGACACCCACATTTAACATTCACAGGACGCCAAGACGTACGCTAAGGAAGGAATCCGTATCAACGCCATTTGTCCTGGGTATGTAAGACCCCCAATATTTGCATCCAGTGCTAATTGTCCAGATACGTGGACTCCCCTCTTATACACGCGGCTATTGAAAGCGGCGGTCTGAACAGCGAGTTTGAGAAAACACCGATGGGTCGCCCAGCCAGCCTTGATGAGATTGCCGACTCTATTTTATTTCTTGCATCACCCATGAGCAGTTACATGTGTGGTTCTGCATTGGTAGTAGATGGCGGATATACCGTGTAAAATGGACGCATCCTATGCCAGGTAGAAGGGAAATTCTACGTACACATTTAGTTGATGGCCATCTGCAATATATTCTCATACGAGCATGATATCAAAGTCAGCCTCATTAACAATCTCTTCCCAGTGGATATTTGCCCCAGGCGCAGCTGCTCGTCGATGCCATAGAGTTGTAATGATTTCACATAGTGATTGGGTGTTTTTAATTCCGTGTCGACGTTTACGGTCAAACAGGGCGAGCATCCTTTCTTGGAGATCCGGCCGGCTGCATTCTGCGGCTACCACAAAGCTTGCCCAATTGTAGGCACACCCTCCTCTCTCATATGTCAAAGCCTCGGTAGCTTCAAGGTCTCGTACTGCTTTCTCCACGAGATCCTGAACATCTGCCACGGGAACATGGCGAAGAGTGCGGCGAAAGTAAACGACTGTTGCGTAGTAGAAAGAGTTCAGGGCATGCTGGATGACAGCCGACTCGGGTGTTTCTTGAGGGTGAAGGCTCGGGAAATGAAGATAGAGCTGCAACTCCAGGAGATCCAAATCCGCAGCCGTAGCCTGACCAGGCGAATCTCTGAGGACAGAGATTTCAGCCTGAAATTGCACAAGTGAATGTGAAACACCGTGTGATCGCTCTAGATAACTGTGTAAGTCCGGGAGTTCTTTGAGGAGCGCCACTAACTGAGTCGACATTCGAAAGTTGCACAGTGACGAGAGAGACAAGTAACTGTGGAGTAAGCGTGCGGCTGTTGGCGAACGTATCCACTCGCCATCGATTCCATTTTCCAGCATTCCTAGTCCGCCAACAACATGAGCTCTCCATCGACTGCGCCGGCCGGACATAGCTTCGGCGGCGATACAAGTCAATATAGCAACAAGAGTTGTCTCGTCTACTCGATTTCCCAGGTGGAGGTTCTGACGCAGATGTTGTAGGGCATTTTGATCATGTTGGAATGCAAGAGACTGGTACTTTGATTCGTTACGAAGGTGGTAGAGACTAAATGCGGAAGCTGCGCAAAGGGCATGGAAGACGGCACGGTGCATGTTTGACTCTGATGGGGGAGTATTCAGCCCCTTTAAAGCCATCGGCATGAAGACAGTACGACATGGATTGTCAGCCAAGTCAATGAGAAGCAAGTTTCCACTGAGGAAGACGACCCAATGATGGATCAATTCGATCTCAGGAGTCGTCATGTTGGTGGTATTAGATGGCAATGAAGGATGCATTATCGCTGGCAAGCGCTTCCGACTCGTACTATTTGTGGCTACTATCCAGCCATCAACCGAATGTCTACGCGCCATATGTGGCGTTGTCTCGTCAGTTTCGCTAGGTGACCCTTCACCCAGTACGCATTCCGGGGGCTCCGGAATAGGCGATTGTTGCGCCGTCGATGATACCCCTAGTGATGCTGGAACAGAGACAGCATATGGATTTGGGAGACTACTTTCGTTGCTCTCCATGGACCACTCACGGGGGCTTTGGGCTCGACCGTTTCGGCTTGAATCTTCCGACACAGAGACAGAAAATACAGAGAATGGCCCTCGCTGGGCGATCGATGTCCCAGAAGAATTATCTAAGTCACTCAAAAGAGCCGTCACAGCCGACGGCGACAACTCTGAAGCAGTCCGAGTTGAAGAGCGTAGTAACCGTCGCTGTGATACACTCCCCGTGGAATTAGTCCATCCCAACCGCACTCCGTATCCTTGGCATGATCGCCCGCTGCGACAGCACCGTAGGCAGTAGGGACGCTGTTCATCGCATTTGACACTGCGGGAACGGCATGTCCAGCAACCTGTAAATGTCTTAGATCGTGGTTTAGGGGTCATTGTTGTATGCGTTGTGATATATGTGGAGGTTCTTCAGGGATGGAGGCGGGGATTAGTTCTACTCTCAAGTGGATCTTCAATAAGTTCCCCACACTCTTGGCAGGGACATCATTTACAACATTTACAACATTAAAAGGTAGAGTATAGATAACTTCAACCAAGTGATCGCACTTTATACCAGTAGATTGATAATATATTCAAAATATATTCAAAATATAGTCGTGTCATGAGATAACCCTCTGCGAGGGTTAGACTTATATACGTGCAAGTACCTTTATACATGCCATCACTGTCGCTTCTTCGATTCCGGTTTAACTGTCAATGCACGGATAATGGATGTACCGACATACGCCGATTCCTTCCATCCCTTCTGACGCATCCAGAAACGCTCTGCGGGGTCGGTGCCATGTCGGGACCATGCGCGAGCATCATCTTCAAGAGTAGCTCGCGTGATCTCGGAAACCTCTTGGGATTGGTCATCGTAGGGGGTGGTTTCCTCTTCGGTTTCATCATCACTGCTCCGAGATTGCAGAGTGGACTCGAGAAATCTTTTCCTCAGCAGATAGCGCTCTGTTCGTTGTTGGCGTACATTGGGGGGCTCCATTTTGGCAATGGTGGCTCGCACGGCGTAGCGCACCAGCAGGTAAATGTGCTCGCAGAAGAAGATCGTGAGCAGTAGCGCCCATCCTTTGATCGATGTTGGCTGTCCGTTCGGGCCCTGTTGGCCATTGCTGAACATGTAAACGAGAGCCGCGCTAGTAATACTTCCAACCCAGGATAGGAATCCTAAACTGTCCAGCCAAGGGCCAATAGTATCTGCACGTTGAGGCGATGGCCTCTTGCATTCCATGCAGATCTTGAAGAAATCGGATCGAAGCTCAACCCAATTGTTGACCAAAAACGAGACAGGCACTAGTGGCCAGATAGGAGAAAACAGCGCCAGGTACCCAAACTGAATACACATTTCCCGGAGATCATCAGTCACGTCATAGTCGTCTAGCTCAGCTTCATTGCGGACCCGCTTCAGAAACTGGGCTTCCTCGGGCGCGTCCTTGAATGAAGCCTCGGTCGCCTTTTTCTCCTCCGTATTATTATTGTTATTATTGTTATTATTATTATCCGGCTCTACCTTTCCGTGGCGTTTTTTGTACTCCTTGTACTTTTGAAGAAGGCGCTGCTTCACAATTGGGACTATTGCTTCCTGGGCGAAATTGACGGCCTGAGCTGTGACGGTGAAGTAGATAACCTGCTTCCGTAGGCGACTCGGATCGATACTGAATTCCGCCCGTGTTGTTGTCGCATCCTTCTTCGAGACGAAGGGCCGAACAGTCAAGTGGAAGATGTCGAGATACGGCACGATACTGTGAGCGAATGGGACATAAACAAATGCTGTCAGGAAAATCGGTAGGTAGGAAGTAATAAAGTTGATCACAAATATTTTCTGCGTCAATGCCACATCGTACGCGAGCTGAGTCTCATAGTTCTCGTAGTCATTCAGCCTTGTCGCAACCGACACAAGTACAGCGCTCATAGTTGGTATCAAAGCAGAGAGCAGGATGGTGGGAATAAAGACCTAATCGATCAGTTGATGATACTATTACAGGCATAGCATGTGACTCACCAAGTACGTCTTGAATGGTCCGTTGTAGATCTCTGAGATGAATATCTCAATGGCGAAACAAGTCGCAATGATCACTCCTAAGCCTGTAGCGGCAATGATTGCAAATGGTACCTGAAGAAGCTGCCGCTGTAACCGCTTCGTCGCGGGATATACACCTCGGATTTCGCCCGTATGCTCATCCCGGACTTCCTTTTCAGGTAGAAACTCTCGTCTCTTTTCGCGCAAGACCGAGACGCCCTTAGTCTGCCAACGGCAACTGAGATCCTGTTCCTGGTGCTTCCAGTATTCAATGAAAACAACACACCATAGCGCATTGCCGATCGTGTAAATTATTGAGAAAGACCCAAGCAACAGCCAGCAAGAGAACCCAAAAACGGCGGGAAACAGCAGGAACTTGAAATACGACTGCAAGAACGCGAAATAGAAGCCAACCTGCGCAAGCCCTGTTAGTATCAACAAGACAGGACTAAGCCAGCCCCACGTACACTTTCTCCAAAGGTGTTCCGTATTTGATCCAGGTCCTCGTTAGACAGAAATGTCTTCTTGCTCCAGTCTCTCATGCACTGCTTGTTTGTTTCTTCGTCGTGTAGCGGAAAAATAGCAGTGACATTCTCCCATTCCCCATGTTTTAGGGTAATTCCGGCCCCACCCGCTTCCCGGGGCACGGTTATCATATGGTGGATGACACGCAAGCGCTCAGATTCCGATTGCGGCTCTGCAGAGGTCTCGGATTCGGGTTCGGTATTGCGGACTCCGTAGAGCCAGTCGCGAATGCTAGATCACAAGAACCAGTGAGTAATGTGTATAACCCACTACAGAACGCGTGGGGGTACATACCGTGACTGATAAACGGCGCGTTGCAGTCTCTTCTTCCTAGAGGCCCGAACAAAGACCAACACCGACGTTTCATCGCCCTCCCTTACCTCCGTCTGTAATCCTACTTCAGAAAGTCGGCGGAGCAGCAATTCCAGCTGCTGGGACAGTTTATCGGCATCTGTAATGGTCAATCCCGCTGCATCGGGTGAAGCGCGGCCCACCTACCCGTATCAGTGAAGCTGTAGCGGATGACGTAGTCCACATGGTTGTTGTGAGGCACCTCCTTTTGAGGAGGATGGAAAGCCATTGGGGTTTGCTTGTAGCTTATCGCACTGACATCAAGCTATGACGCGCTCGATCAGACTGTCCGAAGGACAATTGCTTCGGGAGAAGTCGACAAGGAGCGAGAAGGGGGTTTTAAAAGGATCTTTGTTACGATTCGGGGGTCGGTGATGACGACGTCACGGGTAAAGCTTGTTTGTAGGGTTGAAACCCTGAAATGTGTGGCTGAGCCCAGATTAAGTATGAGATCTGCACAGCCACTCAATCTAACTTGGTAAGTACTAGTTACTGTACTATGTGAGGTACTAGCTAATCCTGCTTCATTTGTTGACTCCATGACTAGTAGCGACAGTCAACTACGTATTCTCGTATCTTCAGCTCCACTCCACACTTCATGCGTGTCCCGATCATTGTGCATAAATGATTCGTATACGCTCCATAATAATTGCAGACTGCAGTCTGCAGCCTGTACATACGCCAAGCCTAGTCGTCCTACCAATTCGGGGACTCCTATACGCTGAAGAAAAAGCACGAAATCGAATCTCTTATTAATATTACGTGGACCTATCGAATTTAAACATGTCTTGGAATCAGTGGAATGATCTAGCCAGCGCAGCCCGGGAGTTATCCACCACTCCGGTGCCCGCTTCCACATCATCTTTCTTCGGCGCCACACTGCTAACCTCGGACCTAGATTGGCCAAAGCGTTTAACTCCGGTGACCGTCACCGCGTCGGTTTGCAGCAAGTACATATACCAGTAGTAAACACCTAGTCGCTATCAGTACGGGATTCCCAAAACCTGAACCAGGTGGGTTCACTTACCGCAGAATAAGCCTCCACCCAAGATATTGCCGATCAGGGTCGGAATGATTCCTTTCCAAATGTACAGGCCCACGGTGATTTTCGGGGCTCCGACCCAGATAGCCAGCGGGACAAAAGTCATGTTGGCAACGACGTGATCGAACCCGAGAGATACGAATGCGAAGATGGGCCACCAGATGCCGATGATCTTCGAGGTGAGGTCCCGACCCTGGATGCCGAAAAAGCAGGCGAGGCAGACGAGCCAGTTGCAGCCAATACCACGAAGAAAAATCATATGGAAGTCAGGGGTGACCTGCTTTTTCGTGGCGAACGCGATCACTTGGGACTTAAAAGGGTCTGCGGAAAAGACGTTGCCATCTACCTGCGTGTCAGCGGTGCTACTTCTTCTTGGGGTTTCATGGCAATGACTTACACCCAAAGATGATTGCGACAACGAAGAGCGACCCAGCCAGGTTACCAAAGAACGTGACGACCCAGTGAATCAACATCTTGTGCCAGGGCAACCGACGTTGAAGAGCAGCCACAGTGGTGAACTAGCCATCACTTAGCCATCACTCTGCCCTAAATGAAAAGCTGGAAAACTTACCATAAAGGAACCGGTGCAGAGATCTGCCCCGGTTAAGATAATCATGCACAAGCCGTATGGGAAGACCAAAGCGCTGATCGTGCGAATGAGGCCCGGTGCATTTTCTTGGAACCAGGGCGTTGTGTTGGTGCTAAGGACCGTCCCACAAGCGAAGGCAAGCAGACAGCCCGCTGACACCGAGCTGAGAAAGATTTTGTCGAGCCGCATGTTGCCCTTGGCGACTCCTGCGCGCCCGACATATTCGATCACCTCCGCCGGGGTAAATGCATCCAAACTAATTTGCGACATGTTACTTCAGCTCCCTCGCTCTAAAGGGGTTCCCAAAGAATAAGTCTCCAAAGACTAGTTGCGTGATTGTAGGGAAGTTCGGTGGAGAAAAGAACAGGGATACTTGGCGATCCCGGCTGGGTGGGACATGGTGGCCACATATAAAAATGGCTATATGGGGTCATGCAGAACTCTCTGCCCGGAGTATGGAGGATCTACCACCGGAATTGAAATTTAAATACATCCTTATCGGACGGTCGTCACTGGGGGATGAACACGGTTCCACTTAATCATATGAATTATTGAAGAGACCCGAGCATAAAGCTCGGCATATTGAAGTAACTAGGAAGGAAGAAGCTCCGCCGATCGAGAGATAAGAATGAGATGGAGCGGAACCCTAAGTCTCTCGGGACGAACCATATCCTTCCCACTTATCAGGCCTGCGATAAGCCATGCTACGCCATCTCCGCGGGCATTCTTCCTTGACTATCATTTAACAAGTACTTCATCAGACTATTGGCATGATAGATAAGACGTAACTCGGAAAACATAGCGAAGAACCAGAGACTAACCCGTTTCGCCACAATGCCTTGCTTACTGGGTACTGTTTCCATAGGTCAAGTCTTCATGTAATTGTACCTTAAGAGGGTAAGAAAACCTATATCATCCGAGAAGACACTAGCCCTTTGAGACTCTTCCCGGGATATTGGCCGATGCATTCAGATACGACCGTGGATCATGCGGTCGGACCGAGTCGAGCAAGAATTCCTGAAAGAAGTCCAAGCTCCTTGCACTAGTCGTCCTTAGCCAAAACCCTATGCCATGCATGCATTCAATCCAACTGTATGGTCCGGGTTGTAGCCTGCAGGGCTTCAAGGTCGGTAGGGCTGATCGGATAAGGTGGATTGAAATATCACTCACTTGTGGTGAGAGTAGCTAATCCTGCTGGTATTCTACTGGGGCGAAGACGAAATAAAGAGGTCAGAATATACCATTTTAATATTTGCCCAACTTACCCATAGAATGATACTAGAGGTGGCATGAAGGGGCTGTTGGCGTCTTGGATACTTCATAGTACAATGCAATGTCTGTCCATAATCTAATACCGATAGGTTCTTAAAAAATGAATGAAAGAAAGAAAGAAAGAAAGAAAGAAAGAAAGAAAAGAAAAGCCAAACCCAAGATATGGGCGCAAGTGGAACGCCTTCATTATTCAATAGGAGATGACAAAAAGGGAATACAGCCACCTTCCAAAGCCATATCATTAGCTACCAACAGTTACATATATCCTATACTCCAACTCGATTCGACGTACAATGAATTGTACTTATCATATTCTATATGTTGTCAGTTCAAATGGATAGGTAACAGAAAATAAACACAGGAAGTCCAGTTTGTATAGAAGGCCATTAGTCTACACTTTATAGATTAGGCCCAGTCTGCTTGTGGTCAAAATTACGCTCATTCGTATCGATCCACCTCAACTCTATTCAATGCTTAATCCGGTTACCTATAAAATGATATTCTTCAGTATAGAGTAATAACTTACAATTTATCTTATTATTATTGTCATCATTATTACCATAAATCCTAAGCTCTGGTCCGGATGATTCCGAGCCGGGAGAAACGCCAAGCCCCTCGATATTCACCCGCTAATGTTGAAAAAACGCAGGGATATTCAGACCTTAAAACAAAAGAGGGGGAATATAGGAGAAGATTAGGACTGAAGTCATTAGGGTCACTTTTCCCTCCTCGGTTTCCAATGCATCTGCATGTCTTGGATGGCCATTTCCCAAATGGGTGGTTGTCATCACATCGTTGTCTGTCCCCCGTCTGAATGAATTCGCAGATAGCCCGCTCTGGCAGAAGTATTGCACACTAAAAATAAAAACCCTCAAACTGAAAAGACTCAGAACAGACTTGACCACTCCGATGCTCATATCCTCACAAATGACCTGTGTGGTGGCGATGAACCATGACACGGCATAGTCATAAGTGCCATACCCAGGGATGTACTCTGGAGTATACAGACGTATGTGGGTGATATTTCCAACCATGCAGCATCTCCGCGGCCTTTGTGATCAACATATAGTACAAGGCTTTTCTCCTCTCGTAATAATATAGCACTCCTCGAATGACGTGCCGGGGTCCCCCGCAAACGGGCACAAGATGAATCTCAACCGTGGAATCGGTTGTCTTCCCTTCTCCCCTATTTGACGGATGTGGCAACAATCCTTATAGCTTGATTCCAATATTATCGGTGGGGCAGTATTGCGCGCGTGATGGGGAATGGGGAGTCAAAGGTGAGGAGTTGAATTTCTTTCTTGGGGATAGGTGGCTGGAGTATATCATGGCGACGGAGAAGCGTGGGTTGCTCTCTCTCTCTCTCTCGCTACACATAGTTTATTCTTCTTATCTCCTGCACATACTTATGAACGCATATTATCATCCATCATGGATGCTATTATTAAGTCTATATACCGAGCCAAAAGTCGCTACGTCGCAGTGACTTCTATACGAGCAAGCAGAGGGCTTGCATCTCCGCGGCTTTGCGGCCCACCACTGTTCTATTTTCTACGAGGTCCGCACCTTGCAAGACAGATCTCAACTGCTTCCAAGGAAGAGTCATCCAGTGGTAGAAAACACGTTACGACTCAGTATAAATACCTCTTAACCCTCTCCACGTCCGCCGCACTCAGCTGGCTCTTCTACGCCCAACAGCAAGGCACAGTCCAGCTAGACAGCGGCGAAAAGTTCGTCCAGAAAAAGGAGGCCCCGGTTTCGTCCAAGAAAATGACTGAGGCCGCTGAATCACTAGATACAGTGAACCTCCCAACGGAGAAGGCAGTTCTCACCACCGCACCCAACATCCCGCCACCGATCACCCGAGACTACCCCGTCCTCTTGGACGTGGATCTCGCCACGGTGACGAAACTCGAGCAACTGACCAACCAATACAAATACGAGAAATGGACGTACAACAACAGCGTACCGGGCCCGTTCATCCGAGCCCGCGTCGGCGACGTAGTCAACCTGAGAATAACAAACCACGACGAATCAGGTATGCCGCATAACATCGACTGCCACGCCTTTTTCGGACCAGGAGGCGGAGCACCCCTAACGACTGTCAATGAGGGCGAGACCAAGACAGCGAGATTCAAGCTCCAACGACCCGGTCTCTACAACTACCACTGTTCGGTGGGGCCAGTGGGAGTCCACATCGCCAACGGAATGTACGGACTCATTTACGTACAGCCCGAGCAGGACCTACCCACCGTCGACAAAGAGTACTACGTGATGCAAAGTGAATTCTACCACGAACCGCCAGAAAGGGATGACAACGGTCAGCTGTCATCGACGGTTGAGTTCTCGTGGCCCCATGCGCTGCGCGAGGCGGCCGACGTGGTCGTTTTTAATGGGAGCGAGGCCGCCTTGACTGAGAAACCGCTCAAGGCTAGACTTGATGACACCGTTCGCATCTACTTTGGCAATGGAGGTCCGAATCTGACCAGTTCGTTCCATGTTATCGGCAGTTGTTTTGATCATGTGTATCGCGATGCTGATGTGCTGAGTCCCCCCGGGCAGTGCGTTCAGACCGTTAGCGTTCCCCCGGGCGGGTCTACTATTGTCGATATGAAGATGGTCGTGCCGGGGACGTATACTATTGTGGATCATGCTATTTTCCGTCTGGAGAAGGGTGCTAAGGCTTTTCTGAATGTTTCCGGCGAGCCCAGACCCCAGTTTTACCAGAGTAAGCAGCCGGCACAACCCTGTGAGGGATGTAAATTGCACCCATGATAGGTTGGGGAAAACTTGGACACATACACAAGGTAGTATTAGCCAAGATTAGATTTAACTCCAATGCATATAATTATATAAGAATTTCAATCACATCATCGCATATGTAATCCCTTCCAAATGGCAGGACATGGAAGACGTCACCAGCTCAACCCAAACCCTAATTTAATTAATAACCAGACATCAAACCTCAAATGGCACAGTTAAGGTAAATAAAAGAAATGGCCTCGCCCTCCAATTCCCATCCCAATCAACAAGAGATGTAAAACACCAACCTCTTCAGAATGCTCTTCCAAAGACTCCTTATCCCCCGCCTTGCGCATCGCGCATTCCCCCTCCTCCTCCGGCTCCCGCTCTCCAAAGCCTACACAACAGCCCCCAAAACCAAGCTCACCCCCCAACAAATCCAAATCGTAAAAGCCACAATTCCCGCCCTCCAAGACCACGGCATAGCAATAACAACCCTCTTTTACACGCGCCTCCTCGAAAAGCACCCCGAGTTAAAGAACATCTTCAACATCACCCACCAAGCAACCGGCGAGCAGCCCGCCGCCCTCGCCCACGCCGTCTGGGCCTACGCTACCAACATCGAAAATCCGGAAGCCCTGAAACCAGCCATCTCGCGCATCGGCCACAAACACGCCAGCCTGGGAATAACAGCAGACCAGTACCCGATCGTCGGCGAGGGCCTCCTCTCCGCCATCAAAGAAGTCCTCGGCAGCACGGCCGACGAGCGCGTCCTAGACGCCTGGAAAGCCGCCTACGGCCAGCTAGCAGAACACTTCATCGATTTCGAAAGTGGCCTGTACCGCGCGGCGGAAGCGACACCAGGCGGGTGGAAGGGATGGCGGAAATTCTTCATTTCGAAAAAGGTGCACGAGGGGGAGGAGATTATCTCATTTTACCTGACGCCTATCGATAAGGGCCCGCTGCCGGCGTATAAACCGGGACAGTTTGTTAGTGTGAAGTGTTTTGTGCCTGAGCTGGGGGTTTATCAGCCGCGGCAGTATAGTTTGTCGGATGTGCCGAATAAGGAGTATTTTCAGATCTCGGTGAAGAGGGAGTTTGCGGTGGGACAGAAGCCGGCGGGGAGGATATCGAATGTGTTGCACGAGGCGTTACCGGTGGGCGCCGAGCTGGATGTTAGTATGCCGTTTGGGGACTTCGTGCTGGATATTAATGCTACGACGCCTGTTGTGCTGGTTAGTGGTGGGGTGGGGCTTACGCCTACGATGTCTATGTTGACGACGGTTGTTGGGCAGGGGAAGGCGAGGCGGGTGGTGTTTGTTCATGCTGTGCGTAATGGGCGGGTGCATGCGATGAAGGAGAGGCTAGCTAGGATTATCGAGGAGAATCCGCAGGTTCATCGCGCGGTGTTTTATGAGGAAGTTAATAGTCGCCGGGATAGGCAGGGCGTTGACTATGATTTCAAAGGCAGGGCGGATCTGCGTAAGATTAGGGATTTGGCGGTTTTGCCGGATGCGAATTATTATATCTGTGGTCCTAAGCAGTTTATGGACGCTCAGAGCAAATCGCTCAAGGAGATGGGTGTGGATGAGACCCGGATTCATATGGAGGTGTTCGGTTCTCCAGCTGAATAAAGAGGGAACACAGGATATACACTTCTTAGAAAAGAAATCGGGATGTAGAGCAGAGTATATATTATGTGATACGAGTAGGGTGCGTGTTCTCAACATTCTGAGTCATATCACGCACCATGGATGGTCGTTAATCTTGCCCAATAATTCTTAATCTCATTGTCCCTCCGCTAACTTCACCAAGGCATCTCCCTCGACCATCATCTTCATCCACTCCTCCATACCTTTAGCTCCAACTTGTTCGTAAAACTTGATACTTGGCTCGTTCCACTTGAGCACACTCCACTCTAACCGCCGTCCCTTCACCTCGAGCACCTGAGCTGCCAAGTACTTCAGCAGCTTGAACCCATAGCCTCGGCCCCGGGCTGCGGGCTGCACATAGAGATCTTCAAGGTAGATGCCTGGTGCCGAGCGCCACGTCGAGTAGTTATAGAAGAACAGGGCCATGCCGACGGGAATGGGAGAGTCATTGTCCGGCGTGGCAGGAGGGGTGATGAGTGCGGTGTACACGGAGCCTCGTTTGGGAGGAGTGTCAGGGAAAGAGAGGGTTTCGAGGAGGGATTCGTTGGTGGCTTCTACTTCATGAAGAGCTTTTTCGTAGTCTGCCAGTTCGCGGATAAATTGGAGGATTAAAGGCACGTCTAGATGGTCTAGGGTTAGCTCTTCGGCAGTTGCAAATGTGGGGGGCGGAATTTGTATATAGGAGTGGATTTAAATGTCCAGTTTGGCACTCACCCTCTGGCGTGGCAAGCCTAATGGTCGGTTGTCCAGACATGGTGTCTTGTTATTTGTTCTTAATATTTGCTTCGCGTAGAGCTTTGCTCGCCAGACGTCTAGAAATATAGTGATGGGGAGGGGAAGAAGATTGGATCTTCGCAGGGTTAACTGGTTCATTGAAATGCTTGGATCGCTTGCCCCACTGTCATTTTTTAGTGGCACGCCTTTTCAGTGACATTTTATTTTACTTGCCAGTCACAGAATAGGAAAGAAGTAAATAGATGTTATGTACGAATGAAATATTATATATAATACATATCCTCAGCCTCTCGGAATACTAAATCCATAGGAATTAACAAGTCTATCGAGACATAATGGCTGACATCCACTTTTGTTCGTCCGTCCTGTTCATGATTAGCATCACATAGAAATAAAGGGCAACACTAGGTAATAGCTTCAGACGTACCGATCAAAATGCAACAGCATACCCAAAACGGGAATGAGTTGTTTTTGGTAATTTTTATCTTTTTGCTCCAAGAACTGAAGGAGAACGTTCTTCAAATAAAGATAGTCGATAGTGGCACCCCCGGTAGGTGTGTCACCTCCCCGAGTCGATGGGCTGCGGTCTTTAGGCACCGGAGAAGTAATCGCTCGGCGGGATCCAGAATCGATCGAAGACCGCGACGACTGGGGGTTTGTACCAAAGCGGGCTTCATCGGACAGAGCTTTGTTGGTTCGGCGCAGCTTGTCCAGTCGAGCGCTGGTTTCTTCAACGGATCGGCGTAGTTCCGCCTTTTCTTTCTCCAAGTCTCGAACTTGCTTTTCACTTTCGTCTAGCGCATCGCGCAAGCGTGCCATGGCCTGTCGGACATCGTTGAGTTCTTGCGTTGCATGCTCAGATTGCTCCTCAAGCTGGTCACGTCTGCGCTTCCAGTCCTTCTGTGAAAGTTCGAGCTCCTCTTTGTCCTCCTCGGCACTCCGCAGCGCTTTCTCTGCGTCCCGGACTTTGTTCTTCAGTTCCTCCAGCTCGCGCGCACGACGCCGACCCTGGGCGCTAGCCTCGTCTTCAGCACGGTCTCGCTCCTCGATGGCTGCTTCCATGCGCTCTTTGAAATCGCGAACTTTAGCTTCGGAACGGCTCTCAATGTCGTTCAAGAGGCGCCGCATAGTTTCGCCCTCACGGGTCCTTTCGCTTAGCAACCGATGTGCATCTGCCAGTTCCTCTTCCAAGCTCTCACAGCGTTCGCGGGCCTCTTTCATCTGCATTCCTATCTCAGCACCCTGGTCGCGCATGCTGTTCATCAAGCTCTGCGCGCTAGCGTGCTGAGCGGTCTTCAATTGGATCTCCTCCCGCAACCCCTCAAGGTCCTTGTTTAATTGCGTTACCTGACTCTGAGCTTCTCGTAGCTGGTTCCGAGCAGCCTTCAAGTCCTCTTGAGCCTTGGAGAGGTCGTTCGAAATTCTTTCCTTCGTTTCCAAGGCTTCTTGCTTCTTGCTCTCCGAGTACCGTAAATCTGATTGAGCGACGGTCAATCTTTCTTCGGCCTTTAGACGGCTGTCCGTTTCTTGTCTAATTTTTTGATTGAGCGTATTGACTTCCGACTCTCGTTCCGATACCGTCGTCTTGAGGCTCTTCAACTCTGCACGTAAATCCTCTTGCTTGCCCTCAAGGGTCCTCAAGTCAGCTGTTTTGCTTGCCAACGTCTCCTTGGTGGTTTTAAGCTCAGATGATTCAGCTCGGAGTTTCTTAAGCTCAGGCTGCAGCTTCTGAAGGGTCTCCCGCAAGTCGGTAAGGTCCTTGAACCGAGTAGAGGCCAACTGTTGTGCGGCAGATAGCTCGGTTTCTAGGGTAGTAAGTTTGATCTTGAGGCTCTCATATTCCTCCTTCAGGTCACTGTGTGCCTTCTCGGTGTCAGCATCCTTAGTTGCAGTGCTCGTGCGCAATTCGATCAACTCCTTCTCCAATTTAGAGATAGTTTCCTCCAGAGCTTTCTTTTCGGCAGTTAGCTCCTTCAGCTTGTCCTTTGACTCAACGTGGTCTTGGCCGAGGTTAAGCAAGTCATCCCGAAGAGATTCTATCTCCTCTTTCAGGCCTTCCTCTCCCTTGAGTTTCGAGCTGAGGCGATCGATAGCAGCATCTTTCTCTTCCACTTGGCGCGTCAAGGATTCGATTTTCTGCTCGAGCTTATCCGTGTTTGAGGACTTCTGTCCTGGCTCCGGTTCTGATGTCTGCTTCTCTTCGAGAGCTGTAGTACTTGTAGTTTTGCTCGTATCATCACCACCAGCCTTACCACCTTTCTTCTTTTTCTTGTTCTTCTTCTTAGAACCTCCCGCAGCACCTGTAGCGTTGGCCGCCTGGGAACTGGCTTCGGGCGACTCGTTCTTCACCTCTGTACCATTCTTTGCGGGTGCCAAACTCTCCCGGAACTCCTCAAAATTGGCTTGGTTCCCGCCCGCAACTTGTTCCTTAGCTTGTTTCCATGTCGCGTTGTCTTTCAGGTTGCTATCAAGGAAGTTGACAATGTTCTGCAGCTGATCCTTTTGGTCCATATCCGCCTTGAGGTTTTTCATCGTCTCCTCCATGTCCTTGAGCTGAGATCGAAGGCTATCAACCAGGCCTTGGAGTACTCCGAGTCGCTTCTCATTCGCCTCCTTTTCTTGCTTGGCTTTGTCCAGCTTTTTCTCAAGTTCCGACTGCTCGTCAGCATCCTCGAGTTTCGTAGCTTGCGACTGAAGCTGCTCGATTTCATCCATTTTCTGTTTCAGCTCGCCCTTCAGCTTGTTCACTTCCTTTTGAGTGTTTGTAATAGTAGTATCGGAGATAGATAGCTTAGCCGTGAGCTCGTCAATCTCCTCCTGCTTGCCTGTCTTGAGCTTCTCGATCTCCGAGTCTTGCTTATCTTTAATGTCGCGCAGCTCTACCAACTCTCGAGTTGCTAATTCCAAATTATGGACCATGCCCTCTGTTGACTCCCGTGCCACCGAAAGGTCCCGCTTGAGGCTTTCCGCCTGAGACTTGAGGGTTTCAATCTCTCCCTGTTTTTCCTTCAGCTCGGACTCTAGACGTGGGATCTCGTTGTCAAAAGAGAAGAACTCTTCGCTTTCCTGTTGTCCTGCATCCTGCTTCACACCGGTGGAAATGGATAATTTCTCATTCAAAGTTGAGTCATCGTCGGCCACCTGATCCCTTGTCTTCGAGGTTTCCTCCTCCTTTTCCTTTTTGAGGTTAGCGACCTCGTCGTATGCAGCCTTGGTGGCCTTTTGGGCTTCCTCTAGCTTCTTTTTGTAATCGTCCCTGTCCGTAGTCACACGCTTCAGTTCCTCCAAAACCATGTCGCTTTTCAACGAGATCTGATTGAGGTATTCAGTCAATGCCTTGGGGTCGCCGATCGAAGTCAGTGGGGTATTCTCGCGCAAGGCCGCTTCAAACGGTTCGATGGAGAGGACACGTGAATGTGCCATTCGATAAGCCTTCAAAAGCTCTACCGATCGCATAGCAATTAGTATTGTTGCCGACTCCACCGAATCCACCGCAACGCTAAGAATCCGTACCTGAATACCGAGACTCCAACTTTCCCAGTCTTCGCAGCTTCACCCGTACGTCGGGCGGCAACTCCGAAGAGGACTGTTTTGTCTCCGAAGCATTCTCCTGGTCGGCGGACGACTCCTCCGCAGATGGTTTGGCCTCGTCCTCCCCGGCATTTTCCTCCGAGCCTGCAGCTTCCACCTGGGGGGTGGCTGATCTACTCGAACCCTCATCTTCTCCGATGGCGAACTCGGGCTCGAACTCATTGGGATCTGGCCCACGGACGGGGGTACCGGTGTTTCGTCGGGGTCGGGTGGTTCGTCGGCTAGGGGATGTGTTGCGGGTGGGACGACGAGCGGAGTTGGACCGGGCGATCGAGTCCTGGGCGGACTTTTGCCGGGCTTGTTCCTCTGCGATCCGGGAGTCGATCGCGTCACGGATACGCTGTCAGGAGGGAAACGGGTGAACGTTAACATATCAAATCCGGCGAATTTGTCCAACACGTGAGGGTTGCCCCAGAAGGTGTTCCATAAATAACCGATCGGAAATACTGTACCTGGAACATGACCGTGGTGGGCCTGTGAGCCAGGGCCACAGCTTGATCAATGAAAGCGAAACCGAGAAGAAAGAGACGAGAAATTGATATTAAGGTAAGAAGGAGAAGTGTCAGCGTGGAAGGAAGCATGGGGCAGATAGGCGGTGGTGATCATTGGAGGAAAGAGTTGCCTGGATTCGGCCGCCAAGACATCTGCGCCGTTGGCAGAAAAAAGGTAGCCTGAGGTTGTAACAATCAATCAACCCTCATACGGATCGGTAGCTCTCGTTTTTACTTTATGACAATTAATTAGTAAGTCTAACCTCTACCATTTTAATTATACTGGCCATTAGTTTAACTAAAATCATCCAGGATTGGTCCATTTTAGTCATTCTTTCTTACTAAAATTAGTAGATTGGCACGTGGATCTATGAAAATAAAACAGAGTATCTACACAAGCTATATCAAGTAGCAATGATAGTACCAACTTGAAGAAAAGAGTCGTATTAAACAAGGATGAGTGGGAACAATGCCTCAAGGCCCATGCATATTGCCGAATAGCTGACATAACTGACTAACATTCGGCATAACTTGGAGGAATAAAGAGATGACGTTGGACTCTGTTTTTCCCAGTTTCTTTTAGTTTCCTTAGTTTAGGTTACGGAACAATTTCACTTGTGGATCCTCTGCTAATTCTATCCACAGTCAGGCACATCCATCGGACGTTTAGTAGAACACTACGTATTCCATATGGCAATTGTTTTCTCTATTTTTATAATAAATCCTTACCTTAACTTGGATTTTTCCTCCTTTTTAAGTCTGTACTTTATTTTTCTCTTCTAAAGTGTCACTATAAATTCGTATCGAGACTCCAGAAGGAAAAACCAATGACAGAAGAGCAGAAACTCCCGTGATAGAGCTGAAGTTAATACTAGGTGGTCCGTGACCCTTTTCTCTTCTCTTCCCTTCTCCGCTTCCCGAACGTCCATTCTACGAACTCAAACAAGGACCCCCATTCCTCACGACCATCCAAAAGGTCATCTGAGAGCACGTTGTGCGTCACTAGTAGGGGGCTGGTTGGCTATATTATCGCACCTCATCCCCTTGGGGTATAGTTCATCAGTCTCCCATACCTGGGCCGACGCTGTCATCTTATCTCCTTGCCGCGGGCAACGATTTCATGGGTGGTATTCTTTTGGATTCCTTAATTCCCACAGTTCTGGTTTAGCGGCCTTATCCACGCCCCATCCAACGTTCATTCGACGTAATCACAACCATGGCCGACGGCGCACCCCTCGCCGCCTCTTCTGCGTCGCTCGATCCAAGTCTAAGCCCTCTTCATGCGTCTCCCACTCGTTCCTCGACCTACGCTGCCTCCTCTCTGGCCCTATCTACTCCCGCCATAACCGCCAGTTTCTTCGTGGCTTCGACCTTCTCCAATTCTCTTCTTCCACCCCCACCGTTGTCCCCTCCGACGCCTTCAACCATGGTGGGATGGATCGGATGGGTGTTTTCCTTCTTCTTCCAGATCATTCCAAGCTTCCTCTACTGGGTGATCACTTTTGCAACCATAACCCTACCCACATGGCTGTTTACCCTCTTTTCGATGAGCTTGACCTTTACCATGAATTTCACCACTCTGTAAGTTCTCTACAATTCCCATCCTCGCCAATTGAATGCTGTTCTCGTTGCGCGGTGAGAGACTGACTCAATGGCTCAATTGATCCATAGTTTGTTGATCGCCCTGGTGATCGTATCGACCATCAGTTGGTTCATTCGTTACCGGTTCATGAATATGTACAGTCGCCTGCCTCCGGAGCCGCAACGCAAAGAACCCCATCTCGATCTCTTCCCCGATGTCCAGGAAGGAGATTCCAAACCCGGCCTCGCCAATTACCTAGACGAATTCCTAAGTGCCATCAAGGTCTTTGGCTACCTAGAGCGACCGGTGTTCCATGAATTGACTCGGACCATGCAAACCAAAAAGTTAATTGCTGGGGAAACGCTAATGCTGGAGGAAGAGAAAGGTTTTTGTCTGGTGGTGGATGGCTTGGTCCAAATATTCGTCAAGTCCATGCGGGACAGGAAATCAGGCGTAGACTGTGATTCAAACCATGTGGAGGCCGAGTCTTCAGATGAGAGCGATCAGGTGGATGGAAAGCAAGGCTACCAGCTGCTTACGGAGGTGAAGAACGGCGCCTCGATGTCATCCTTGTTCTCCATTCTGTCCTTGTTCACTGAGGATATTCAAGTGCGAGCCAGCGAAGGTTCGTCTTCTAGTGCATCTAGCGTAGCCCCCAGTACTACTGCTCGGGTACCCGACTCGTTCCCGGCGAGTCCTCGCGGCTTAGACGACAGCCCTCGTTCTAATATCATTAGAGATAGCGGCTACTCCGTCGCCCATATAAACAACAGTAATGGGGAGCTTCTACCAGCGGTGCCACCGCTGAACTTGGGAGAAAGCCAACCTATTCCCCGCCAGGAATCTCGCCCGGACCCGAGGGACCAGCCTGGTAAGAGGCGGCGAAAGTCGGTCCATCCGGATATTGTGGCTCGAGCCATGGTAGATACGACCATCGCCATCATTCCTGCCAGCGCTTTTCGCCGTCTGACGAGGGTCTATCCGAAAGCGACCGCCCACATTGTCCAGGTGATTCTGACACGGCTCCATAGAGTAACGTTTGCGACGGCACATTCTTATCTAGGTCTAAACAACGACGTCTTGGGTATTGAAAAGCAGATGAACAAGTTTACCACTCAAGATCTGCCGAATGAGATGCGTGGGGCGGCTTTGGATCGCCTCAAGGACAAGTTCATCAAAGAGCGAGACCGTCTGGGCCCGGAAGAGATCACCAAGGGCATTGCGCTCCACAACCCATCTGCGGGAAGACGACGCCGGTCCAGTAGCTTGCTGAGAAAGGAAGCAGTTCTTCATGCAAAGATGGCAACACAACCGAAGCGAGCGGCTGCCACCACTAGTCCAGAAAATGTACCGGGTGACCGCGAGGCGCCAGGGCCGAGTCCCGGAGATCTATTGTCTACCATTCAGCTCTCTCGGTTCGGTCCCAGATACGAACACCTAGCTCCTAAGCTGCTCAGTCCTTTGTCCGACAAGGAGCGCTCCCCTTTCATGGCTCCCGTTATGCACAGCTCGCCTTTCCATCGGAAGAAGGACTCGGTTGACGAAGACGCTTTATTCAGGGAATCCATCCTGGATTGCATCATGAAGGGTATCGGCCTCTCTGGGAGTACTCGCGATGTCTTGCGTAAGGGCAGCAATACGTCAGGTGACATATCCCCAAAGCTTCTGTCCTATGATTCTCGGCGCCAAAAGGCTGTGTTTACCAACAATGCCTTTGGGTTCATTGACCCTTACGACGGATCGGCGGATGGCGAGACGGAATCAATGATGTCAATGTCCATGACCAGCGCCGGCGGAACGTCGCCTATCGTCAACCTACGAGAGGAACTTCGAAACGACATCGAAATTGTCTATTTCCCCCAGAGTTCAGTTCTAGTAGAGCAAGGAGAACGCCATCCAGGCCTGTACTACGTAATCGATGGATTCTTGGACGTAGGTATTCCTGTGTCCGACAAAGGGGAGGACGTCGTGGGCGGTTCGAGATCAGCGTATGGGCAGCCGCATGAGCAATTCTTTCCTACTCTGAAACGGACAACGACCGGCTCCTCTCGCGCTTCGGTTGCGACGAATACCACGAACGACCCTAAGCGGAAGAAGCAGTCGCGGAAATCACTCTACCTGATCAAGCCCGGCGGAATTCAAGGATACGTAGGATCCGTTGCATCTTACAGATCCTATACAGACGTGGTTGCGAAGACAGATGTGTATGTCGGATTCCTTCCCATTTCATCCTTGGAGAGAATCGCAGAGCGGTACCCGATTGCACTCTTGACGCTGGCAAAGCGACTGACAAGTCTTCTCCCTCGCTTGCTTCTTCACATCGACTTCGCTCTTGAATGGGTGCAGGTAAATGCAGGCCAAGTCATCTATCATCAGGGCGACGAGAGCGATGCAATCTATCTTGTCCTGAATGGACGTCTACGGTCTGTTCTCGAAGGTACAGATGGCAAGATTACGGTCGTTGGCGAATATGGCCAGGGAGAAAGTGTTGGAGAGTTGGAGGTCATGACTGAGTCGACCCGCCCGGCAACTTTACACGCCATCCGGGACACCGAACTGGCTAAATTTCCCCGATCCCTTTTCAACAGTCTTGCGCAAGAGCACCCGGGGATTACTATTCAGGTTTCGAAGCTTATTGCCCAGCGAATGCGAGACCTCGTGGAGCTTCCTCTTTCGGAGAAGGGATGTGAGCATGCGAACGCCGGCAGCGTCAAAACCGCCGCGTCCGTGGTAAATCTTCGTACCGTTGGTATACTCCCTGTAACTGCTGGGGTTCCCGTGGTAGAATTTGGCCACCGCCTGCAGAACTCCCTGCACCAAATCGGCGTGACGAACGGTGTTACTTCCCTCAACCAGGCGGCTATCTTGAACCATCTAGGACGGCACGCTTTTAGCAAGATGGGGAAACTGAAGCTGTCCCAGTATTTGGCCGACCTCGAGGAGAAGTACGGCATGGTGCTCTACATCGCAGACACCAACGTTAACTCCCCTTGGACACAGACATGCATCACGCAGGCCGACTGTATTCTGCTCGTTGGCCTTGCCGAGTCATCCCCCAACATAGGTGAATACGAGAGATTTCTACTTGGCATGAAAACAACAGCCAGGAAAGAACTGGTATTGTTACATGCCGAGAGGTATTGTCCTCCTGGGTTAACACGCCGCTGGCTGAAGAACCGGATGTGGATCAACGGCGGTCACCATCATATCCAGATGGGTTTCCGGCTGACCCCTGAACCCTCACACCCTCAAGCGAAACGGCTTGGGGCCGTTCTGAAGCAAAGGGTCCAAGTCATTCAGGCAGAAATTCAGAAGTACACCTCGCGGCGGATTCATCAGACGCCACTCTACTCGGCACAAACTCCGTTCAAAGGCGACTTCCATCGTTTGGCCCGCCGACTCTGTGGCAGGTCTGTTGGTCTCGTCCTTGGTGGCGGAGGAGCTAGAGGTATCGCCCAGGTGGGCGTCATCAAGGCACTTGAAGAGGCTGGAATCCCCATCGACATCATTGGCGGTACATCCATCGGTGCATTCATTGGGGCATTATATTCACGTGATGCGGATGTGGTTCCCATGTATGGTCGGGCAAAGAAGTTCGCCGGCCGCATGGCTAGTAGATGGCGATTTATGCTTGATCTTACTTATCCTACCGTCTCTTACACCACTGGTCACGAATTCAACCGCGGAATCTTCAAGACTTTTGGAGATAGCCAAATCGAGGACTTCTGGTTAGAGTACTACTGCAACACTACCAACATCAGCAAATCACGGCCTGAATACCACTCATCGGGTTATACCTGGCGCTACGTGCGCGCGTCGATGTCATTGGCCGGCCTTATTCCCCCCATTTGCGACGAAGGCAGCATGCTACTCGACGGCGGGTACATCGACAACCTTACGGTGGCCCATATGAAGGGGCTTGGGGCCGACGTGATTTTCGCCGTCGATGTAGGCTCCATCGACGACAACACACCTCAAGGGTACGGCGATTCGCTGTCCGGACTCTGGGCCGTGGTCAACCGTTGGAACCCGTTCTCCGCAATGCCGAACCCTCCCACGCTGTCCGAAATCCAAGCACGACTGGCGTACGTGTCATCTATAGACAATCTAGAACGGGCCAAGAACACCCCTGGATGTTTGTACATGCGTCCCCCCATCGACCACTACGCAACCCTCGACTTCGGCAAGTTCGACGAGATCTACCAGGTGGGATACGCGTATGGCAAGCAGTACCTGGACAAGCTCCGAAGGGAAGGGTCCCTACCATTGCCAGAGGAAAGTGAAGAGAAAAAGAAGCTCCAACGTACCTTGGCGCCTCGGCGAGCGAGCATCTAAGCCCTTCTACAGTGCCAATTCCACTACAAGAATGACGCACCTTGAAACAGCGAATGGAGTTTTCAGGATAATATTTCCGGCTAAAACATTCTTTGTTATTGGATCCATAAATCTCTTGTATCTAGAATACGCGCCTCGCATTATACCAACAGCGTTCATATTGCATAGCAGATAGGCTTATGCCAAAAGTATACAGTCCATGTCCATAGAGAGTCAAATCCACTGTACATACATACATTATAGCGGCATTAAGCTCCTTTCCATTGTTCCTATAACCCAGTATGGAATGTCTCAACACTTTACCTAGAACAGATCATAGTGACATCACCTCGGATATCGAAATCGCGGTGGCTTAAGAAAAGATCAGAGTTCGGCCGATCTATGACAGCAGTATGCCCGAAGACCTTCATTTTGGATCACAGGTCCACTTGAGTCTGTACCTACAGTTGAGGGATGAGATAAGCTTCTTTGGCTTTTTTCACCTTTAGATTCGTAATTTCTAACTTAGGCATATATAAATAGGAATAATTCTGTTCAGTGCCTGTTTGCATAGATAGAGGTAGTATCCAAAAGTAGACAGAACATGAAATAATCGTTCGTACATAAATATAGGACATTACCGGACTAGACAATTAGTGATCTTGATCGAATGGTATAGGGGTTCAGTAAGGCAAGTTGTCGACGATTGGAATTGACATAATAGGTATATACCCTATATGATTAATGAGCGTTGATCAAAGACAAGATATAAAGTATGTCACATGAACTATACGGATATCGAAATTACAAATATTAGTATACTCCCACCACACCCCAGCATCTATAACCTCCTCCCCCTCGCCCCTACCAATGCAATTGCAAGTAGATTACATATGCTTGGCCATCTCGTCGCTCATCATCAGAGGTATCTTATTAAGTATGTGTGGCACATGCCATGGGAAACCGTTCAGTCAGTGGTATCGTGAATCGTTCTCGTGGGTCACCTTATCCGTTCGTCATATCGTTGATTGATGACAGGATAGTTGATGCTTAAGCGGTGGAAGTGACGGGGGCATCAGCGGGACCACCGTGGGCGCCACCGGTCTTTTCACGGACAGGAGTATTCTCACGGCGGTAGGCCCAGAGACCCAGAACCTCGAGGAACATGCCGAAGAAGGTGAAGATACTACAATATGGTTAGTATGTGGTAGCATGGCTAATGATAATATCGAATGCTTACAAGGTCAGGAAGATGAACGCTTCGTTAGCCTTCTTCTTGGAACAGGAGATACCTGGGGGAGCGTTGAAGCGGCAATCATGTCGGTTGTAGTCTTGGGCGGCGAAGATGAATGCAGTGAGCCACCTAGGTCATATAGTCAGCATGTTGGATCCAAGAGATGGAACGGGATAGTACGGCGTACAGATACGAGAAGACAACATCGATGAGCAGAACGAACTTGCCAAGAGCCGTAGGCAAGAACGGTGATACGAAAGCGGGCAGGAAGAACACGACCGACATGACGGACTATATAGATCGTAAATTAGCTAATAATCATAGATCAAGGATTATGTTGATAAGGCATACAATGATTTCCTGGTAGGTAATAGACAAACCACGAGGACCCTTGTTTATGAAGTAAGAAGTGATACCCATCACGATGACAGCGCTAGACCACTGCAGCACCCGAGTGAGGAGCTGCAGCGGGCGAGTGATTGTACTCGATAACATATCTTTATGTTGAATCGGACTGTATATGGACGTATGTGTTGCTTAAAAAGTAGAGCTGGAGTGGTAGATGGAACAAGGTATATAATGGTCGAACCCCGTACACTGAATGTAATTGATGGACAAAGAAACTATAGGTTTGGAGCGATCAGAACCAGGCTTTATATTCTCAGGGCTACCACATACTGGGCATCAATCACATAACATCACATCCGAACCAACCGATGGGCTGCATACTTTTGCGTCAGAGTTCTCGAATCGTGGCGGCGGCAGCAATCAGGGATCCACGGTGGGTAGCTTCATTGTCCTTTTTTTTCCGATCCTTTCGAAAGGGAGGGTAGGGTGTGTCCGTAAGAGGGGACAGGGGGGGGGGAAAAGGTAAAAAAAAAATTTGAAAGCGCTCGCTGGCAGCTGTTTGTTTTCCCCAGATGCGTCATAATTTCCTCTGCATGAAGTAAACTTTTTTGGCCAGTGGATATCATGAATTGGACCGAAAAACCAGTCCACGGTCGATCCACCGAACTCGCCAATCAGAGCCCCTATTGATGGAGTGACACCGATAGCTTGAGCCAACAACGAAGGACTTGCAACTGATCCCTGTATGGGCGAGACCTCCCCGACGTCGCCTATCTGTATCCTGGCATCACGCAGGGAGAGTCATCACCATCACCCGAGGATGGTGGGGCATTAATTAGTACATCAGACAGTGGGTTAGGATCTGCAGGACGCAGAAAGCTGGAGCAAGGGGGTGCAGGGCATCAGTCCATGGTTCGGGAGGGGAATCATTGCATGACTTCTATGGCAGTCATTATAGTATAACTTCAAAGGGAAAAGTCTCATTTCGGGTGGACTGAGCCAGTCGGCAACCCGCGGAATGTACGTTGAGCCAATGGAACACCCACCTTAGATAATACATGAGGTAAAGTTCAAATAAGAAAGAAAAAGTTTAAAAACATTTTAGCGAGAGAAGTCAAGTGTTGAAGTTATTGTTCTCGTTTGTTGAAGGTCGTCGTTGTCAGGTTACTTAACTCCCTAAACTACTTCTGGTCTAGCAGGGCAGATGACCCTCCCGTGATACGGTCTCGATTGGTCGATTGTCGGATGATTGGTTTCCTTCCTCTTCCCTTCTTTGAACTTCGTCGCCTCTATTAACTTCTATGATTCCTTTGACTAAAGAGAATCAATGACTCAAAATTAAGGTCCCAGGTCCAATCCCAGTCTCAAATTACGGCTAACCTGCAAATGTCCTGGATACATACTCCGGCCGTGCACAGCACTGTGTACATGCGCACGGGTTCTGATAATCCTCATGCAGCATGTCGAGACGTTTTTCGTTCCCAAAATGGAAGGACTACGGGAACAAGAAAGAGTGACATTACACAATAAATGCACCCCCGCACACAACATATGATAATAGCGGTGGGCTATAGGGTGCTGTTGTCTCTGCGCAGTACTTTTCTCCATCCTCCAGAGTAGAATATTCACCATTTCCCTCCGGCTCCCTTTCCCCATGAGGTGCATCTATCCACTCACTCTCAGCCCTAGACAGACCAATATTGACATAACATGATCATGTCCACCACATGACAAACGTTCTACGAAATGCACGGCCCCCAAGCAGGGAAAACACTTCCCTGTTCCAAGGGATTGCCGGAGTACCCAACAAGGATCGTCGTTTGCCAAGGTTCAACCAAAAGAAAAGCCAGGGCATCTGACTTGGTCCTGGTCTTGGTCTGGTTTGGCCGTGTCCGTCCAGATCCCGAGGACCGATTTCGAAATCCTTCCATGCTATCAAACAAGTACTCAGTAAACAAATCGGATTTGAGGACTGTAACCACGCCACACGCCCAATGCGTCATAGGAACCCAACCCACTTAACAGGCCGGAGCTATTGAAGCTTCAAGCGCTAAACTGCTCCTGAAGATCGGCACTGGTCGATGCGCCAATGCCACTAGTATCAAAGTCTACCCTACCCGGCTTTAGTCATGGTTATCTGCTTACAAAGTACGGAGTTACCGCGTACCTGTGTAGTCTTCCTCCTCCCTCTTGAGATTTGTATAGTACAAGTCGGAACAGTCGGCATGCCTCCCATCCTTGTTTGGGTAACCCCCTCCGAGCGATGTCGACTTTCATCACTCAAGACCCACAAGGCTGAAGGATATTCCTTTTCGTGCCATGTCAATCGACTTTTGCTTGTGAATCCACCTACTTACTGTTATCAATTAGATATGACTAAAGTACGTCCGACTAGTTATCCTTATTGTTCCGGGTGCTGCTCTAGACTCTAGTCTATATGCCATTATTGTCGAGCCATCAATGACGTCGTTTCTCATGTGGCCTCGCAATTTTTTTTTCCCCTTTCCTTCTTTGTTTGTCCAAGTATCACTACTCTATATTTTGATATCCGGTTGTTCCATAAGGCAACTGCACTGCGGCCTGAGGCTGTCGACCTGTCCTGTCAGCTCATTCTTCCCCCAATAATATCATCTCCTCCTTACATCAGGAAACATATTTTCCCGACTAAATTACCCGATTTGTTTGAGACAGACACTCTTTCTAGAATTTAATCTATGATCAATGTCTACTGAAGGTTTGACCGAAAATTTGGTCCTTGCTCGAAGTTTCATTACTACTAGTAGTTCAAGGGCGTCGAGGTAAGGGGATCCATATAGACGGGTGACTTTATTTCTGCTAATGAAAGGGATACATGATATGCTGATCTACATTTTAAAACCTAATTAGCATCCCTTGTGCCTTAATATTAGGGATATGGAACAGTTTCATAGAGAGGACTTCATATGCAAGGAGGGATTGAAGATGATTAAACAATACAGAGGCTCTAGTGAGAAGTAACAGCAGTGCATTGAAAATAACATCACAGGCCAACCCCATGCATACCGGCTCCGATGAATTCATATCTGTACATGTATTTGTTTTCCCTACGCCAGACTCCTGGGTTCGTCACGGAACCCATTGCCCTCTTTTTTGCCTCGCGCCATGGATATCAATGTCGCTATACGAGCGAACCGCCCAATGGTGTAACAGCCTGAAACGTACTGGCTGTCAGATGATGCTGCTGAACTTATGCCGCACGCCAATCAGCTAGGGCAACTCGACACCACCGTATAAGCCATGCCATTTTAGAACACGTCAACGTCATCTTAAGGCGCCGTAATCATACTTCATCTTTGTCGGTGTATTTACCACGTGGTGATGTTCCCCAGATCATGTTCCTAGAACTAGTTAGCCAATGCGAATAGGGTAGATTAGCTTGAAACGTACCTTAAGGTATTCGCTGCCCTTCTCAAGATACTCTTGCCGTGTGATAGATGATTTGGCCAGCTCGGCACTGGAAGCCCACTGCGCTGCTCCCTTCCAAGCATCAAGGACAGGATCAGAAGCACGACGCACATTGAGTTCGGCGTCCAGAGGCAGGAAGGCCCGGAAATCGTTGCGGAACCTCTCGTCGAAGCCTTGGAAGAGCGTGTTGCCACCGGTCATGAACACATCGCGCAGCAATCGAGATTGATCCTCCGGGTTCGTGAATCGTTGGTTGACGATGTCCGCGGCAATTTCGACCACACCTGCCTGATCAACTCCGGCAATTGATGGCTTAAACACAACCTCGGGCACTCGGATTCGCTCGACATTCAGATGCAACTGATGGGCCTCTCGTTGACTTTCCGGATCAAATGGCCAAGGTCCTCGTAGGAAGACATGAACAAGGCTCTTAGTCCAGTCCGACTGTGCAGCGAGGGTATGGTTCTCCGTGAATTCAGGATCATGTTCGAGTAGCTCCTTTTCAGCGGCATCGAGCATTCCGCTAAGGTCCTCCTCTTCCTCCTCATCACTCTGCTCCCCGGTAGCCACAGTACGGTATACACCCCAGTCTTCGTCATTCGCGCCGAAGTCGTCGTCGTCGCCTCCTCGTCTTCGTTTCTTGGGGCCGTCGGAGGCGAGATTGGCAAGAGTTTTCATGCGCATCTGACTAGCCAATGACTTACGGTTGCCGAGGTCTGCCTTTAACCTATCACGTTCTTTGATCCTTTGCAAGATGACCTGTTAAGCAGTTAGCAACAGGGTAGCAAGGCCTTCTTTGCGCATCCCTACCTGTCGGTTAGCCCTGCGTTCAGCGAGCCAGCCTTCGAAGTCATTCTCGCGCTTCTCCCTATCAAGGCGTTCTTCTTCCTCCCGGCGGGCCTTCTCCCGCTCCTTCTCAGCCTTCGCACGCTGTCGGGCCTCGACATTAGATTTCATGAGTCGTTGGTGGCGCTTCTCCTTCAAGCCAGCCTCGTCCAGTTGCTCATCCGGTACGTCCAGGAGAGGGAAAGACATTTCCTCGGTAGGCTCTTCGCTCTCTTCAACCCCAAGATCCCTATTCCTTGATCGCTTTATAGAACGTTCCAGATCGCGGATGATCCGTTCGAGATGTGCTTCGTCTTTCAGGTCCTCCGCTTCCAAGATGCGCCTCGCTTCTTTCTTAGTTTCTGATTGAAGGCCGTTATGAAGATCCTTGTAATACTCAAGCTCCTGCTCTTTCTTCATCAGCTTTTCCAGTCGCATCTTGGCTGCTTGTTCTTGCAGACGACGTCCGCTCTCTTTCTTGCGCTCCGCAATGCGCGCCAGTTCTTCCTCCGACTTCTCTACCACTACATGCTCGGTAAATGGGTATTGAACAACGTGGTCTCTATCTTCAAGCCCTGTCCACTCCAGGTATCTACTCAGTTCCTGATCGTACTCAGTCGACACATAGCAGTGCTTGTGTACCAGATCCTCCATCTGGGTTTCGGTCATTCTGGCAGGGAAGGTTGGGTACTTCAGCTTCATTAACTTCAGAAGATACTCCGATGTCTGCATGCCGCCCCAATTGAGTCGTGAGCAGTTCGAGAGCATGGCCTTAGAGTTTAGCACAGGGATAACATGCGTAGACGTATGAGAGGAAGAGATGATCAAGCCATCCGTTCCACGATTATACCGGTAAGAGAACAAAGAGTCAATTCCATACGCGACGGAGGGGGCATTGTAGCACTCGAATAGGATTTCGTTCATCACTTAATGTTGTCAGCGACACCATGTGGGAGTAGTAGAAAGGCCTAACTCACTTTTCCTGGGGTAATTCAGGTTCGCAATCGGTTCTGTCATGACTATGGGTCGATCGACTCCGCCGTTCGCCCCATCGACTCCCAGTTTGAGGAATAGATAGTCTAGCACCCCTTCCATAACGTCCCAGTTACCGACAACGCTATTGCCAGGGTCAAACGCATAGCGCAGCTGACCGCGCGTAGTGGCATCAACATAAGCATCATATCCGATGAATTGACACGCCTTGTTGAGCTTCCGGTCGCGATACCGGCTCATTACTGGGGGGATGACGAAACGAGGGTTCTTGTCGAATGACCAGCCGGCTTTAACCAGACTTGAGCCTGTGAAAAGAATTAACACATCAGTATGCGTAGATACACCAGTAGGTAGATACATATGTCAACTCACCATTGTCAATCACGATAGCGTTCGTGTTGGGTTTTGACCTGCTCTGCTCATAACCATCTGGCTGTGGCGGCTGGTAGCCTTTGAAAGGAGGGTCTTGGACGTTATAGATTTTCGGAGGCGGTTTCGCAGCGGCTTTTTCCGATGAGGTGATCGCAAAGCGGTTGGAAGGCACCGCCTGCACTGATGTGATAGTCATGGCGACGTGAAGGTGGAATGGACCAGCAGCAACGTACGAGGGTTCGGGGTGCGGTTCACCGCATTGCAATCAGGCGCAAGCAGTGGTACGACAGACCAGGAGAAGGTTTCAATAGGAGATTGGCCTGCACTTGATTGGGATGTTAAAGTCCCAGACAAAAGAGTTATTGGTGACCGTGCCCAAGGATGGAAGAATGTGAAGCTTAAAAGTCCCCCGGTTTGAACGGCGGCGCAGAAGACGGAAGAGGGAGAGCCACCGTCGGTCGGTCTTTGTATGGTGCCAAGACTATCTATCCATCTCACTCTATGATTCTCCCTTCCAGGTCTATTCTATCCATAGGGAAAGAAAATTATTCCAAAATATACCGTGCAAAATAAAGCTCACGTTCGAATTAATCCCAAGATCCTTCTTGCCAACATATATTCCTTGTGGTATCTCATATCTTCATGATTGATCTCATATCCCATCATGTACTATAAATACACTGAACGACCTCACTCGCCTTGCGCCGGTTCTGTCAAGTTCTCCGTAGCTAATTCTGTCAGTTGAATCCTGATGTATACAGAGAAATTGAGTAATCTACCTTCCAAATGAAACAGCACATTGGACTGGTAGTTCTTGAACATTTGCGCCACAAGCTCCACATTCATGTTCTGGATATTGACCTCCTGCGATGCGTTTATTAGTACGTATTAGTCTATTATATCGATTTGACATACCTGAAGGCTCTTGTTCATAGCCATAATAGATTCATTCAGTTTTTCCTATCTGGCTGTTAATGTCGATGTACTTAAGTTAACCACAGCCAACATACAATGTTATTGATAATTCGCGAGAGAATCACTGCCTGCTGGTGCTCGTGTGGGCTCTCCTACAGATTCGGTATTAGTACTTTAGTACTGCTTCCATCTGTATGGTTTTAGCTTGATCTGACTTACCATTATTCCTGGTATTGAATGGGCACTGTTATGGATAGAATGCTATTCCGATCTTTGTTTGTTGCTTCACTATCCAATACTGCCCAATGCGGTGCATCACGTGGCTCAGAGTTAATTCTAAATAAGTTACTGAAGCCATACTCCAGACATTTGTCATTGCCTTTCACATTTCTAAGGAGATTACCTATTCGTTCTTGTGTTGCTATACTATCACATAATCAACACTCTCTATCATAATAGTTTGGTGCCTTGGTTCACCAACTTCCTTCAGTCTAGACTCCGAACCATTGAAACCCCGGTGCACACTCCGCACCTACCAGCAACTTCACATCTGACCCCCAACCCACAAACCAACATTTCAAAGAAAGATCCAATATCCAAATACAATAATGGCTCCCCCAACGCCCGCCGAAAATGAAAGCCACCAACAACTCCTCAACCAACTCGACATCGCGCACATCGCCCGCCCCTTCCGCAATCCCCATTGGAAGCCTTCCCAACGCCGCAACAAAAACGTCAAGCAGCTGATCTCTGAGAGCTCCCGGAAAGAAGCCTCCCAGATGGCTACGCAAGCCAACTCGGGCGCAACAACGCCCCTCCCGACCACGTCCGCCAGCACAGATGGCAGCCAGACCCCGGCCGAGGGAACTCCGCGCACGAACATCGCGCAGGCGGCACAGAACCTCTCTACGCTTGTGCTGGAGAAGAATGCGCGAGCGACGTTTCCGTCAGGACCGGCGGTAACGTATACGAACATTGAGTCGGCGCCATCACTCCACCCGTCGCAGCAGACGAAATACTGCGATATCACGGGGTTGCCGGCGCCGTATACGGATCCGAAGACCAGGCTGCGATACCATGATAAGGAGGTCTTTGGGGTGGTTAGGTCGTTGGCGCAGGGTGTGCCTGAGAGTTATCTGGAGTTGAGGGCGGCGCATGTCGTTCTCAAGTAATAGGTCTAGGGTTAGAGACGGAAAGTTATGTTTTACGTGAAATTTGTTTCTCGGATGAGGTGAGCTACGAAGGTGTTTGTTTATTCAATGATTGAAAGGTGCTAATGCATTGTAGATACTATCATTTGGTCTAATTGCAGAATGTCCGGCCATCACAGTCAAGCCCTTTCCACCCACCGTGCCCCTCTCGAGACAGGTTCAAGAAAGCGCTCCGGCTTAATCGTGACCTTTATATAAGTGTCATTCTTCGCCTTGTGCTAGTTGCACTCGACTACTACCGATGCTCCACGAGCAAGAGCATCAGTTACAGCATCCTGGGGATGCTGTCGCCGCGGCGTATGAGCGAACCAGAAGACTGGCAGGGAAATAGAAGCGGGGGGGAGAAGCAGAGCTGTCTATGTGTGATCGTATGAATATAACCCAGTTCCAAGTCCGAATTCAATGCTGTAGTGGTACATCGCTATCGTTCATTAAATAACGCGTATGTAAATATCAGACCGGTCTAAAGTCAACAAAACCATTGTAAGCAAATGCATGGCACTAGTCCATCATAAAATCGAAGCATTGGACAAAACAAATAACTGTGCGTTATACAACCGCCACGACATGGTCAAATATCATTCCTCCAGTCGAAGAAGTGACAGAAGCGAAAAATGTGCGGTTAAATGCGTCAGGAGCTAGTTATCACACCGCCTCCCCAAACCGCCTAGCGCCAGACTTAAGACAAAAGGGGAGACGTGGCAGAAAAGGGCAAGCAAATCAATCGCCATCAGCAATCAAAATAATGATCAATGTCTATTATCGAACCTTTGCCTATGAATAATGACTCTTCGACACAAATGAACCCTATATAAAACCCCTGAGGCCCTGACCACTATTCCAAATAAATTAAGCAGCGCGGTCTGAGCCCACGCGATCAAAACACACTCTCCAAACCAGCCAATACAACCCATGTACAGTAGTATCTTATCGCGCACTTAATTTCGACCACCCGACGCTCGATCTCAATCTCCCAAAATCGCCAAACAATTGATTCTTCCAACATACATAAACGGCCTCGACACCCTTACCTAGGAAACTGCCCCTTCGCCTTTTGTTCATACCCTCATAATCGCAATTTCAGCCCAAAATGCCCGCAATGTGGCTCTCTGATAATCAAAGTAAGAAAAACATCCAATTCGCGCGCACAAAAACAACAACCACATTTCTAACATCTTCTAGAAATCGGAATGATCTTCTGCTCAGGAGGTACGTCCCAGATACTCCAATCTCACCATCACCAGCATGCAATCCCACAACCCCAAAATAACCACCGTCACCACCAACTAACCACCTCCCAAAAACCAACAGGAGCCCTCTTCCTCTTTGGAGGAGTTCTCCTCTTTTTCGACCGATCCCTGTACGTTCCCACCCCATACTAACACCCCCAAAAAGAGAAAGAAAGATCCAAACTAACAAGACCAAACCAACCAGCCTCGCAATGGGAAATGTACGCTCCACCCCCATCAAAGGATCCCAAACCACCCACTCTAACCAAAGCCTAGATCCTCTTCCTAATCGGCCTAACCCTAATAATCGGCTTCCAAAAAACCCTCGCCTTCTTCAGCCGCCGCCAAAAACTAAAAGGCACGGCCGCCTTCACCGCGGGCATCCTCCTTATTCTCCTCCGGTGGCCGCTAACGGGCTTTCTGATCGAGCTATACGGACTGTTTATTCTCTTCGGCGATTTTCTGATCACGATTGGGCAGTTTGCGGGCAATATTCCGGTTGTGGGGCCGTATTTACAGAGGGGGTTGGAAGTTTTGGCCGGGGGGAGGGCTAGTAATGCTGAGCTTCCTGTTTGATCTAGGGTGTGAGCGTGAGTGGTTGTGTATGGGTATGGGTATGGGTTTGAGTATGGGGAGGGGGAAGGGTTGGGATGATTATGATGAGACGGATATGAATTATTCTTTTTCCTTTTCCTGATGGGATCTGGACGGGAGTGCGGTTTCCTTTTCTCTGTTGTTTTGCAGGGAGGGGGATGCTGTGGTGAGAGTTTATATTGATGGAGTGATATATATTGTAATGCTAGACATGTAATTATTATTCTTTGATTTTCCTGGCCGTTGCGTGTCTATGATTGGATTAATGGGTAAGTATGTTGGATGGTATAGGCAACCCAATTTAACGCTTTTTGATACGGATGTATGAAGACAAGTCTATACTTGTTGCCTTGCGACAACGCAATCCATCGTAGGCGACGGAAATTTGGAAATCTTTCTTGCGGACTAGATCAGAACCTATTGCACATATCTACGAGTGACGATGAATATCGAACGGCGAACAGAAGGAAGAAGAAAAGGAGGTAGAGTAAACATAGAAACGAAGAGGATGCGCCAGTAAATCAATTCGAAGCAGACACAGTCCTTTTTAAACAAGTTAAGAAGACACGTTCATTTCGTTTCCACACAGCAGTCTAGTACTTGTTGATGTAATCAACGAGGTTCTCGACAACGGTGGCGGCGCTGGGGGTCTGGACAGTCTCGGGGTGGTGGGCGATCATGACGCAGGACTTGGCCTTCACAACGACGATACCCTCCTTGCCCTGCTCAGGGGTCAGTATGCATTTCGTATTGAGACTCCAGATGAAGTCTCTAGTATGTGAACGAGTGGTTGTACCTTCTTGCCATATAGACTGCGGTCGTCGGCTCTGATAGCGACGAACTTCTCTCCACCGACAGTGAAACCGTTCTGCATCGCCGAGTTGCTATCGGCGAAGGCGGCGGCGAGGGCCTTGAGCTCGTCCACGGTGATCTGTCAATGGCCGTTAGTGGTTGGATCATACTATCCGGCGGGGAACGGAATCGGGGGGTTTCCAGTCGCATACCGAGAATCCGGGAGAATAGGCCTCGGTGCCGGAAAGGTCGTGGCTCAGAATGGCAGCCTTGTCAAATTGGCCGGATCCCATCAAGCTGTGGCATGTTTGTCAGAATATACGACCTGCTAAGGCGAGGGCGGGAGGCTATCGGGGAGAGCTTCGGATAGCGGAAGTGGGGTAATAGGGAGCAAGTGATAGGGGATAGACGGTACCTGGAATCGACATATCCTAGAGAGAGAAAAAAGAGACAGGCAGTTAGCTACATCATTCTACAGAAATACTGGCCCAGAAGAGCTTCGGACAAGAAGCCGCTAGAACAAAGACAACCAAATCAATCGCACCTTGCCAAACAGCAGAGTGGGCACCCATGATGATCGATGAACGGAGAAACGATTACGGAGAAGGGTCGGATTAAGGGGTGTGAGAGACGTGAGGATGATGGTAAACCGCAAAGGGGGCAAGAAAGTAGATGGAAGGTATCAAAGTTGTTATTGTTGTGTGGGATGAGGAAAGAGGGGGGAGAAGTTCGTTGAAGTTGATTATTAGTTTAGGTAGAGCCGCGCCGACGAGGTGGGGTGGCCTGGCTGCGTTGGCAACCAAACGGGAAAAAACACACTGGCAGTGAGCGATTCGCGTGCCCCGCCCTGCAGGACTCAATACTAGCGCTCAGGGAAAAAAAAATAAATTATAATAATAATAACATCAAGGCTTTTCCAACCTCAGCATTCTTTCAATGCGATTAACTACCCCTAATGTGCTCTCTTGCATATCAAGTCCACAAAAAATAACCATACAAAACCATCTTCCCCAATCAGAATCTCTTATCCCGACCGATAGATAGTTAAAGTATTTGTCGAGTCACCGCCAGATTCTCAAGCTCAGAGTATTGAGGCGGTGGAGGCACGAGAACAAAACGGTATCCGGAACCTCCTTAGTCTGGTTCGGGTTTGGTGATCTGAGCAGGGCACCCACTTGAGTATAGAACTAGTCACTCAACCATCCATCTCTTAGGTGATGTGATTCTTCTCCCAGTTTCTTTCTTACCGCTTGTTAGAAAGAAGGCGGTACGGCTGCAAGGCACGTGCCTGTCATATATGACAGGCCAAATGCAGTCGTGCAGATCATCTGCCTGCTGCGGGCAACCCATTGTGGATTGATTGGAATGTCAGGTGTTTAACCCTAACTACTAGGGGATACAACCACTCAAGGCGAGCTTTGAAAACAGATGGCGGAAGCCAAAGATAATGAAATCACACCGATTTATACAAGGTTTTATATCTTATTCAGCGCTAGAAGGGGCTGTGTCACCATGTATAATGGGCAATAGTCCAGGATATATCGTAAAGTCACCGTAAGATATATTGTATACACAGAACAGCAACGGGAGATTTAGATTTTTTTTATTGGAAAACGCCCTTTATGAACCCACCTAACCAACGGCAGATCAACAAATCTAAAGAGGCTCATATGCAATACGATCCATTTAGTCAATTCGGACAGATTCCATACCAGCCACCCAACTCTTAGTATACTCCGCTTCTCCATAAGGGGGTTGGAGAACCCACCGGATGACAGCATCCCAACAGCCTGGGCATAGAAAAGACGTAAATCAATAGATAGACCGGATGCAACGAGATTGACCTTCTATCTGACTCGACATCAAAAGTAGCGGTCAGCGGTCGACTCGGCGACCAAGTCATCCCATGAGAATGATAGAATATAAGCAACCCGCGGCCCAGAAAAGGTTCCTGAAAGGCCAACGCCCCTCGTAGATACGCAAAAGAGACAGATAGCCAAGTAAACACCATGCTAATGAGAATATGGACCCTTTCAAGGGGATATTGTCACCTCCTCGGCGTACCCAAAATATCCATCTCCATCCATCCATTCGCTCGATGCCCCCGACTGCTAGCTGACTCCGCCCCTATGTTCATATCAGTCGGTCTCACCCCGGCTTCACGGCCATTTGAAAGTCCAAATCTGCTGTTCGCCGGCAACTCGAGCCTCTGATTATCATGCAATTTCTCATGGATGCCGCCACGCCCATTGTGGAAGCGTCTCGCGGAGAGCCGCTCTTTGCGGGAGTTTTCTCTGTGTGCCTCACGGCGTTCGAATGCTTTCAGGGGACCCAGCACTCAGTAAACCTTTCGCGGATATTTGTATATAACAGAAAGGAGGAAGCTAACCTCGCCAAAAGTAAACATACACACCAATGATCAGGAAACAGGCCGCGAGAAAGATGAACATAATGCCCAACTCGTGCCCGAGCGAGGACATTGGCGTGTAGGGAGGGACGTTCTTTGGATTTTCATGCATAGTTCCTTTGTTCCTTGAGTCCCTTTGACTTTCTTAAGTTTGGAGATAAATGGCGCTAGGTGAGTAGGGCCAAAAAGTAGATCAAGGGGACAAGGTGGATGAGATCAGGGGAACCGCCCCCCCAAGGATTCAAAAATGAAACAACCAGGGAAAGCGTCGGTGACATTTAAGTTCGTTCTCTCAACCTGCCAAGTCGCATGCGACAACAAGGCTGATCTTTGTTTGTCTCGTGTTGCCCGCATGCTGTTTGCCGGCGCCCAAAGAAACAAAGAAGTCAGACGCCGGAACTTTGTTTCTTGACCCCTGCCGTCCTATTGGCTATCGCGTGTTCCGCCATAAGAAATAAAACGAAAGGTGCCTGCAAGGAACCATTCAGTAATAAAAATGTAATAGATATATTGGTTGGATCATCATGCATAGTAGATACATCGTCGAGTAAATCCGAGTATATCAAGACAGAAGCGGAATCTTCAAAGAAAAGGTATCATGTACACGTATAAAAAAGCAAACCCAGTCTATACAACAATTGGGTATGAATGATAAGAATAGTACGGCCAAGAGCAATGCAGCACAGAAGGATGAAAAAAAAAGTATAGAACAAAGAGGCAGCGCCCATATACTATCCACAAAGTATTATAGGGCTATCTGCTGTCGGATGCATGAATGCAAATACGCTCGTAGCAAGTAGCAACCCATGCTGGTTGCTAGGTCGTAGAAAAGAAAAGGTGAACTCCATATGCAAAACCCATGAAATGGGCAATGAGATGCGATGGTCGCTAGTAAAACTTCAAGCTCCCAAGGTTCGGCGTCTGATAATTACCCCAGCATCACGGCCGCAAGCGCCGTGCATGTGAGCCCGATCGCCATTCCTATCCATGGGGTCTGGCCGAGTGTGCCTTCACTCCGCGCACGCAGTGATTTTGTCACTCCCGCGGATGCGGTCAATGTTCCCAGTCCGATTGATCCACTCGAGGGTTCCGGCCATTGATCTACAACGGTCGTCGTAAGAATCTCTTCCGTGGTAGCGGCAGCCGGGGGTTTGGCTACACCGGGGTTGGCAATTTGAACCATTTGACGGGCGTCCAATGGTAGCTTCGACTCCTCCTCTTTGCTTCGGGGTGTTTGAATATTTGGCAACGGGACCGGAGAAGTAATGTTCGGTAGCGACGGACTGGGCGCGACAGCTGAAGGGGCCTGGTAGCCCTCTACAGCAAGGGCTACTGCAGAAACCAGACACAGAAAATTATTCGAGGCCTTCATGTTGTATATGTTCGAAGCGGTTTGCGATAAGAATAGGGGGCTCCACGGAATATCGTGTCTTAGGGCGCAGTGATCGGACAGAAAACCTTTCGGAGAAGGGCAGGTAAACAGTAACGACAGTTCGTGACTCTCGACCAAGTATGTCGAGAGTGGAGATCCAATCGGGGTGAAACCAAATCTCGAGGCGTCGCGTCGCAACAGAAACTGAGGGGGGTGTCAGGGGAAGTGAGGCTACCAAGTGAGACTCCTGACAGGGGAGTACGGGGACACGTTTCAGAGGATAAAGGCGAAGATAGCAACCGCGCGAATATAGACAAAGGAAGAAAACTACAAGCGAAAACCGAAAACCAACAACCACGACGGGGAGGGAACAGGAAGAAGAAAAACAAGCAGCGCAGAGATGGAGAAAGCCGATGCAGTTGAAGGGAGAGAAAACCCGGCCAGACGCCCACAGACTCCCGTTGGCCCTGGAAATTAGTTTATTTCCTGTTAGTGTTTGGCTTCCTTCTGTTCGAACTAACAGGCACGGCCCCATAACGGCTCCACTTCTGCCTCTTTTGCAGCTTCTATGATTGGTTGCTGACCGGCCGCGTCAGCACGGGCTGGGACTAGTGCTAGTCGATCGATGTCTCGTGCCACTCACAGAAGCTTGTCAAGGCATCTATGGCGGACCCTTGTAACAGGCCTTCCCCAGTTGGTACCATGGCTGGGCATTGGTTGTCCAGTGAGCGTGCCTGAAGGCTCCACGCGAGGGTGATGCAATTTCCTGTTTGATTGCCTGAGACAAATCATTTAAAGAGCCTTATCTACTAGTAGAATCTTCAACGGGATTCGTGCATAAAATTGAAGAATTAAAGGAAAAAAAGGAAAAACAAGGACTAGACGATCCCATAACGTGGTGTGTGTTGAATGTTAGACCCTTTCATAGGCAAACAGATATTCATGATACATACGCTTTCTTTCTATCCACACGTCCCGATACTAATATTAGGATCGTCCCGAGACTATCTATGGAACTGACTCAAGCGCATTCATCGCCGCAATGCACATCATCGGACAGATCGTCCTAAATATCGCTAGATATATGTACAGGATTCATGTGTCTAGTCTTGTCCCTCCACATAGTCATTCGCTCTCGTTGATCTCGTTGGCCACTATTTCTAGATGCATCAGAAGACCCATAGAACGGCCGCTAAATAATGCCACAGTCGTAGATAGAATCGGGTGGCTGCCGTACGGAGTATGCACGTCGGGCGGAAAAGCCTCTCTCATGACTTAGCGGTCGGTATCTCGTTTAGGGTTTGATGTTTGCAGCACGATGGCTGTCCTTCCCGTTTCATAGCATCTTCTCCCAATCGGGCGTCACAGTAAACTTGCCACTGAGCTGTCCCATAGCCCATACTCTGTTTTCTTCTTCCGGAACTCCCCCTTCAGCAGGATCTGCAGCCGCCGATACAATTAACGCCTCCTGGAGGAAATCCACGGCGGTGGCTCGATCCAATTCAAAGCTGATACCGCCCCAATCCATCGTTATTTTCCCGGATGCATGAACATTTAACTTGCCCACGCGTCCGGCCTTCAGCTGCCAATCTGTAGCGGTGACCACTTTAGAAGGCTCCGTGGGTTGGGATTCATCCGCTCCATCAAGAATCTCCCCTCCATCTTCGTGTTTGACTGCCGTTTGCTGTGGTGGTGGCTGCGGCTGATTGCTGCTGTTACTGTTTGTACCGTTGGGGGTATCCTGGTCCTGGATTTCTATAGATTCCGCGCCAGGGTTATTACCGCGACCCCCGGGCACTAGATTGGGCGTCATAGGTGGAAATTGCATCAGGAATAGTTGACCGGATAGTTTGTCCTTAGCGGATTCATCTTCTTCCTCTTCGGATATCTTTTCCTGTTCTTTCTCCGCACCGTCTGCGGCCGCCGTTTCGGCATCCTCCGCTGAGGACTCGGCTTGTTCAGACTGCTCGGGTTGTGGCTTCTCTTCTTTCGTGAATAGATCCTTGACCATCGCAAGGTCCTGCTCATGTCTCTCGTACTCCTCGACATCCTCCCTTGTGCGTAGTAAGCTTTTAGGGTCCTTGACAGCGGGTGGCTCTCGAGAGATCTTCCGGCGGACCTTCACCTTTTGCTCAGGTAACAGCCCATCATCAGTAGTCAGTCCCTCATCCGCATGGGGAGCGACATCCGCCATGGCCTGGTCGTCATCCGTAGGCTCTTGCTTCACCCGAAGCGCATTCTCTTTTTCAGTGGCCGATCCATCGTCATCTTGGACAAACAGAGCATCATCCTCCCCAGCCTTCGCCTGCGCTTGCTGGCGGAGTTCGGCCGATTTACTCGAACTAGATTCCATATTGACACTAACCGCCCGCTCCTCATGCTCCTGTCTCTCCACACGGATCGGCCGCAACCCTCTCTCCCCAGAGTCCGCATTCCGCATCGCAAGCTTGCCCTTCTTCTTATCCACCATCTGCTCCGCCTCCTCCTCCTCGTCACTATCAAGATTGATATGATCAATACTGACGCGAATCTCATTGTCACTCTCATCAGACGACACATCACGACTAGCCGCCCCACTCGCAATATCAATAACCGACCGACTCCGCCTCGACATAGACGATGCCCTGGAATCCTGACCCCCAAACCTCGCCCCAAATCCACCAGGACCACCACCCCGACCCCGCCGACCAGCCATAGATCCCAAAGGGCCACTAGCAGAACCAAACTGCCCTCCACGACCCCTTCCACCGCCGCCCCTTCCGCCAGGCCCATGATTTCCCCGTCCGCGCTGAATCGCCGCCGCCTCCGCCAATCGCTCTCGATGCCGCTCCGCCTCGAGCTTCTCGATCGCTTCTCGCTCCTCTTTACTGCGTCGCCCGACCGCACGCGGCTTGTACTTCAGCGTAGGCTTCGCCGGTTCGCCAGGCGCGCCCGGACCGGGTGGTTTCGCGGCCGGTCCGATACTACCGGACGGGGTCCGTTTCTTTAGGGATTGAAGTCGTTGTACGGGGGCTCTGGCGGTGGATGGTCGGGCGCTGGGGGTTTCGGCTGCGGGCGTCGCGGGGTTCGCGGCACTCTCGGAGGCATTTGTTCGACGGTTTGCGGCTGCGGTGGACGCGCCACGGCGGGGTGCGGCCTTGGGGGGCATGATGCGTAGCTAGTTGTGTATGTAGAGTGCGTGGATTTATTTTGAAGCGGAGAAGAGAAAATGGGAGATAGAGTATTTCAACAGGACATTGAGTTGAAAATTTTTGTACCGACTGTTCGCTAATAGGTGTTGAAAGAGAAGGATGAGAGGGGGACGGGGATAAGCGAATGAATATAGAGGTGAATAAAGGGACAAAGGAAATGAGAACCTCTCAAACAAAAGGCGTGCGGGGAGCGTCCCTCGACAGGCAAGATGTAGATATTCACGTTGGGAGTGAATACCGGGAGGTCTTAGGCTTGGCAGAAAAAATTAAGCGCGCGGCTAAGCCGATGCGGGGCAGTAGTAAAGTATCCCCACTAAACTCTATTCGGTAGTGAGCATTAACGGCCGACTGAAGCCGATAAAACAAGGATTGGACTCAGCATTGAACCATGTCGATGAGTCATTGATAGCAGTGGGGAGGGAGTGGTTTTTGTTGGAACTCACTAATAGAATGGAGAGAAAGCTGCGGTCAATCAAGGATCTCCTAAGGCGCACTACTCACAGTATTGGAATCTTAAAGATCAAAATATATATTTCCTATTCGATGACAAAAAACCACACAAACGGCAGCCCAATTCTGACAAATCGAAGACAGGTCACTCGAAAAAAAAGGATCAAATATAAAAGACAAATTTGCACTTCAACATAGGCTAATGAGTGGAGGGGACACTGGAAATTTTGTCCGCTTCAATGGCAGCACGCAACGCCAAAAAACAACAATGATCAACCCGCTCAGTTCAATCGCTAGACTATCCATGATAAACAGCAAGCACAGTAGAATGCGGAGTGTAACATGACGAGGATTTCGGGACACAGGAAAGAATGTAAATAGCACAGGGCTCATGGAACATAGACAGGAGTGAACCGGAACCAAACATTCAAAAAGAAGCATTGAAAGATTTTCGAGATCCCCCCGGTAGTTATCTCTCCAGCGCTATTGCCTTGGAAGGAGCATATGAGTATTGACGGCAAAATGAGAAGAAGACATGGCATTTTCAAGAAGAGGAGGCCAAATGTATGTGATCAAGTTTATAATAATGGCACATATGCGGTGGTTTGGAGGAGGTAATACGACTCATCTAGGGACAAAAGGTGTAGTGTTGGAGTACCGTCATCCATGTATGTCATTTGACTGTTTTGAAAGTGAGAGGCAGGTGCCAGAGAGGAAGGTACAAAGGGACTTGGAGGCCGGGATATACTCTAACGCTTGCGTTTCTTGTTCTTGTCAAGGGCTGTAGATGATAACGGGGCCGCCGCCACTATGGGTAGTGCCTCACCGCACACTGAGCCCCCCTCTATTGCTTTCTTGACAGGAACTCCCATATGACGACCATAGCGGCCCTTGCGACCGTTTCCTTCGTCTTCGCTAATGCAGCCTTCGATGCCAATACCGGCATCCTTGCACCGTCCGCAGGGACGTTGCCTATCGCAGCCCTTCTTGCTCTTACGGCAGCGTTGGCAGCGCGGTTTGGTTGATAAGTCTTCTTCATCGGCAGCCAACTGGTGCTGAAAGTTGACCGAGGAAGTTGAGGCCTTCCGTGTCGGGGCAGGGCTAACCATCTGCGGTGGCACAACGGCTTTTTGACTAGTAGCAATTGGCACCGACTTCACCTTACGAGCAGCAACCGGTGCAGCCTTGTGGACTTTATTTTGTCGCACAGGTGCTGACTTGGTTCCTCGGGCCTTGCTAGAGGCGGCACTGTTTGCCCTTGTTTTAGCCTTCTTCGGCTTGGGTGCTGATTCTTTGTAAAGAGAATCATCATCAGCCTCGTTTTTGATCGGGCTGTCGTGGCAATCATCGTGCTGGTACTCTTCATCACCATCACTTCCATCGGAGCTGTCAAAACTCGGAAGGATGTCGTCCAGCCGCTTGTGTGTACGCTTTGTAGTACCCGGCGGAAGCATCGGACTCGAGTCCAGCCTGTGTCTGCTCCGCGCGGGCAGGTCATCATCTTCTTCGCTGAAATCTTCGCCGTCACTCGTCGCCCCTGTTGAGGAAGCTGCATCGGCAGCGCCACTGAAGGCGTCATCAAGGGTCGAAGCCGATGTTCGTCCATGAGAGAAATTGGAGGCATCGCCCAAGCGGATTAACTGCATCGCAACATCCTCGTCGGAAATGCAGCTGGCGATAGTAGGGTCGGGGGTAGGGAGAATGCCAGGCCCGCTACCATTACCTGCTGGGTTGCTGAATTGCCCTGATGACTGGGTCGTGGTCCGCTCCCGCAGGCGGTGTCCATGTTCAGGAACCACTGGAGTGGCATAGATATTATTCCGTACGGAATTATACCCATATATCTGATCACTATGTCCATAGCTTTGCGGCGAGGGTAATGGTTGTTGATAACTGTAGGGCCGCTGGGTGGGGCGTGCGAATGGCGAGATAGCCCCCTCTTGGCCGATGGATCGACGTTGGGGGGAGATCGACGAGGTAGAGGTAGTGAGAGGCACCTGAGGGGGAGCGAACAATGGTAATTCCTTCAACGTAAAGAAAAAGGCAAGGTTAGCACAATGCTTATCGGTTGATAGGAAGTCAACCAGGACAAACTAACCGAACTCTCAAACTTGGGCCGCTTGCGGCGGCCATCTTGGAGAATATTGTCCATACTGATGTCCGAGCTGCCTAACTGCTCACTACGGGACTTCTTACCCCCAGAGACAGACCCATATCCGCCCTCGCTGTCGCTGTAAAGAGAGGCCCCATCGTCATGAAAGCTGCCATGTGTGCTAGAGCCCCTGCTCTTGTTACCCGCTCGAGAGAGCTGCTTGTGTTGAGAAGCGCTACGACGGCTTCTCCCGGACGGTGACATACTGCGCTTCCGAGCCTGTCTAGAACCTGGCCGGGAGGGTGGTTGCCCGTGATCTGTGATTTGCGCCGGCTGCATTGCGGCTGCCATCTGGAAAGGCTCGCCAAGACTTGGGCGTTTGCGAGCCTCGACCGGCATATGGCCGTAATAACGCTCTCCATAGCCTTCTGCATATGCCTGGACGGGGATCACCCGCACGTACACAGTCATGTTATTTCTCAAGTTCTCGTACCTGGCAATCAGTGTGGTGCCGTGCTCATCCTCAAAACTGACACCGCTCGCGGCGCCGTCATAGATCCCGTAGAAGTTCTTGACTGTCGTCACAATCGAGTCCGTGGTGTCATGAGGATATATTTGCACTCGCATGGGAATACGAGCCCGCACCTTGGAGTTCTCATCAAGTAGGAGCTCGAAGGCAACGTTTTTGGGGACGGGGTTCTTGCGGGGGGGGTCCTGGGGCACATGATCTGTATAGGTGGGCGACCCGCCAAGAGCAGGGTGCCGTTCATACTGGACGGCCTGCATGATGGGATAGTCCAGGAGGAGAGGCTACCACAATTCTGCTACATCAAAGATTCGATTAATCGAATGTCCGAATAGGGTGGAAAGAGTGGACCCGGCGGCGAGGGTGGGGAAGAGGTGAGAGGCAGAGAGAGCGACCAGGAGGGAGGGAGGGTATGGGCAAAATCCATCCAAACCTACCACAATGAGGAAACCAGAGAGGGTTGGCTAGAAGATGGATCACCCGCGATTATTCTACTGAAGCGATGGATGAGGAAAGGTTGTGGATGGGATGAGGGTACCCCAAGTCGCAACAGCCGAAAGCGACTGACGAGGAAGAAAAAACCGTTGAAAACCTAGGCGACAACCACCCTCATATGTTAGCACAATCTTCTCATAAGAGGTTTCAGTAGATCCGAGGGGATGCTAAAAGAATCCTGGGATGGAAATGAGATACCCCGTCCTGCCCGGTTGAGTCCTGATGGCTTGCAGAACTGGAGGTTCTGCAACGACCTGAACCTCCCGGAAGAAGATGGAGAGTGTCAAAGCCTCACCTATCGCAGATTCAACTGTTTCATCCGGAGTCGCACTTGTAAATTTTATTCGAAGTCACAAGGGAGGAATATTAGCGATGTCGATGGTCGAGGTTGCAGTGGTGGTAAGGGAGTGTGTGTGAGTCGTCTACGAAGCGCTTGGGCTATGTCAGCGGTGGCATCACAGCAGTTGACCACAACCTAACGTTGTTTCAGGGGAGATTGGGAGTGGGAGATTCTCAAAAAGGGAGATCAGCAAATTAGAAATAGAAGGAGAAACTAACCAGGACAAATTTGATCGAAAATGAAGGGTAGTCGGAGGGAATTCTGGGCGAGGAAGAATAGGTTGGGTTGACGAGAGCAGGTTGAGGAGAGGGAAGAGGAGAAGAGTGAGTGGGTGCAGATCACCGAATGGGTTTCACCTCAAGTCACTGGTCTGGGAGTCGGTGACAAGAAGTAATAATACTACAACCATGACCTTACCATCCCTCCAATACCGACCGATTTCTTACTTTGCAATCATGAATTAAAGCCTATGAATCATTATCGTTCTCTCCCTCAAGCTGGATTTGTGGATTGGTTCTCCTATTCATTTGTCGCATTTGCGCTTCTTCTGTCGCATTTACCGAAACCAATCGCATTTGTTACCAAGGCTATTTTCAAACTCTCCCTCGGCCACAATGAGGTCAAGACCGGCCAATTTACATGATTTTGGGTCGCTAGCGGTTCAGGCCAACTTTTACGTGGTTAATGGGTCACTACGAGTCCGTAACCCCCAGGTTTGATGGGTTTGTGTCGCTTGTCACAAGCTGTTTTGATGCGACCAACAAAGCTCTGATGGCGATTGAATGCCTCGACTGACCTCTGCCGCAAAGACTGACAAAAGCAAAAAAAATAAGGCAGAAAAACAGTTTTAGGGCGACGAACCTGCCATGTCTTTCTTTTTCTGTGGCAGATGCTTTTCTGGCGTTCGTTGTTGATCTGTTTCCCATATCTTGCTCTCCTTTTACCCAACTATTCCGGTCGGACCAGAACAGACGTACAGGAAGTGGCGTAATTTGGCACATCCTCAGCGTGGCCACGTCGAGTGACCCCCAGATCACATCCCAGCCAACTGCTGAGGAGAACGAGGGTCCATTCCGTCATGATCCTTCCCTACTGGGCCATCTAAAAAGACCCGGCCCAAACAGCTTCCGGTTGGATAGAATAGAAGTGACAACGACTACTCTTGGGGGATGGACGCTAGAAACATAGTAATTGGACTCATTTTCACTCAGCATTGAAGCTTGCGATCATACTGGAAGGATATCCTCCTGGCCGGTCGCACGTCTCTTGGAGGAGCTACAACCTAATCCCGTCCCATCCCATCTAACGGCGGAAACAAACGTTGGCGCTTCGACCAACGAATTCGCCAGTGGAAACCCGAGTTTTATAGAATAGATCCAAGGAAAGAAGGATCGCATCCTTTCTACGAATTATTGCATGCGACAAGAAATTCAGCGGCCAAGCGGGCGACAGCGCCCAATTGTTGCCTCGTTTCATGATCTGCGCCTGTCCAGACTTAGTTGGAGTCGTCGTTGTTCTTTTACCCCTCCTCGGGAACGGTGGACTACGTTAGTTCGACTGCCTATTCCATTAGGATGGATCCTCCCCGTTCGCCTGTTGGGCGCATATGACAAACGATACGTTCGGCAGGGATTGTAAGTTGGAGCTTTTTGACTACTAGATATCTTTCTTACATTATAATGTGTGCGGGTTGCGGCGATATCATCTTCCCAAGGTCCTCATATCATCTTCCAGAGATTGGATATCCATAGAGAGCGGTAGTTCCCCAATCAGGTGGAAGTTTGTCGCATTGAGGAAAGAAAGTGGTTGCACTAAGAAATAAAAGGCGGAAAACGTAGAGAGACAGCCCTTGCGCAAAGGCGATCAAACGACAGACCAGCTGGCGCAAAGATACCGTTGGCGCAGTATTAATTGGACGAGTCCGTTTGAATGACCCGACGGAGGACAGACCCCCATACAGAGTGGTATCGATCTCTCAGATCACATTGCCACCGTCTGTATGTATGTACGTTTAGGATCAACACCTATTCCACGAAGAATATCCTTGCGACGGAAAAATGAGATGGACGAAGAGAATAATAGGATTTTGACATGGCAATCCCAGTAGCCATTGGGAATCCAAAGCGGGGCCATTTTACCAGCCCATCATTTGATTTAAATAGCACTATTGACCCAAACCGATGGTTGTTGTCAGCGTATGGATGCACACCGAAAGTTTAGGTAATTCCATAACCATCAATCAGACGGCCACTTGGCGCAGTGCCCACTGTTTTACACCGGCTGTGGATGGAAAGGAAAAAAGGTAATTCTTGAAGCGAAGAGACCTGGATATAAGATGGCTCATTCTCCTCAGCCGAAAGAGCCCAAGAATGTGCGTGGACTGACCTGGTCCTAATTGTTCAACCAGTGGGGAGGGTTCTCCCTTTCATTATTGTGGATGTTTATGCTGAAGACAAGTCAAAGCTACGAATCGCGCGGCTTCATGATAGGTACCGCCGGATCCGCGTCCCACATTAGAGGCCAGTGGTGGCTTTTTTTTTTCGGCGATACGGGTGCGAACGGGGAAATCGAGGAACCCAGACGATTTGGTCGCCAAAGCAAAGAGGGAGATTCTCAATCTCTGTACTCCATAACCACCAGAACTAACCATTATTGCTTGTTCTCGATGAGAGACCGATTCCTTCCAGTGGGCATTCATCACACAGCTGGGAAATTACTTAGATCTTGCCATGTTAAGCGAAGTGGAGTGACCGATCGCAAGCTGTCCAGGGAATTGATGATCAATCACTGGGAGAGAAGACCAACAATATAAAACCACCGTAGGTAACCCAGCCCATCCCTCCAACTGACTACCAAAAGCGTCGAATCTCTTGCCAAAACGGTGGACGGTAGCAAGTCTATCGTATCACGTGAACTCGTGTTTAATAAGCTTTGAATTCGTGTTTCCCGGCGCGTCCAAAGTGCGGTGAAGCGATATGCGTCCGACATTACCATTCGAAGGACTTTTTCTTAAAAACGTAACCGGACCTGAATCGCATGATTCTGTAGAACCCACGAGTCATTTTTCAGACAACGATGCTTGAAGTTGGTGACTTGTTTGGCAGTGAATGCAAATGCGAGTCCTGATGGGGAGACGCGACTTCTGATGTCATGACGGCCTAGACACGCAAACCATGCAAACACATGGCTGACATAAGCATGCCACAGCAACCCTGGAAACGGAATAGTGTGCCTGTTGTTGACGGTAACCAAGTAAGGCAGTAACCCGTCTCCAGTAGAGACGAAGGTATTGTTTGTCGCTCTCCTTCTCTTTCTGCAATAACATCAATCCCTCCTCCTCCCTCGAACAACTCTTTTAAATGCTGCGCTGGGTGCTCCTCTCAATCAGTTAATTTCTGGGGCGTGGTGGATTTGCAAATTCTTGACCAAACTCTCCCTTGTTCGAACTGTCGCAAGTCCTTTAGCGCGGTTGGGTTGTTTGTTTAGGGTGGTTTTAGTATAACTTAGCTGCTGCTCCTACAACCCCTTCGCAGCAAATAGGTAAACAAAACCGCCCCCCGGCCTCCTCCCAAAACATCAACTCCCACAGTCTGGCGAAGACTTCAAAGTCTTCTGGTGCATCAAAATGGATGCAAAGGTATGTTTCCGTGTCTTTCTTCTTCCCTAGTCACTGTCCACCAAAGATACCCCTCTAGCCCTCTGCGACCATGTTTACGAACTTTGACGCGCTTGGTGCTCCCCCTGCATGCCTGAATTCGGGCATCGTATACTATTACGAGATTGAATGCTTACATGGAGTTGATTGTAGCCTCACAGAATTCGCGTCCGTGGGGACGAAAATGCGCCTTTCCCTCACGCTGCCGGCAAAACGGTTCACCAGAAAAACAAGTCAACCCCCGCCTTGTCGGCTCTGTTTCAAAATGGTGTGACGAAGAATGGTCCAAGAAGAGCTGCCTTCGGCGACGTCAGTAATACTGCCAAAACCGTCCAAGGTGCTCGGGATGACATTTCTGTTGCAGCCAAGAAACAGACCAAGGTATTGGAGAAGCCTTCCGTGCAGGTCGCGGAGAGGAAATCTTCGGTGCTGGCACAGCCTGCCCAGCGTCCAATGTCAGTGTCGGGCGTCAAGGGCCTGCTGAACAACGCCTCAACTTCTAAGGCCCTGGAGCCCATCGGAAAGCCAATTGGCGTGCCGCAGCATACTGCCAACTCTCGCAAGGCCCTGAATAAGCGAGGAACCGTCTTTAAGGATCATCTGGAACCATTGAAAGAAAAACGCGAACTTACATCCAAGGAAACAACTGAAACCAAGGAAGGGACTACTGGGGGTCAAGTTGCGCATTCATCCACAGCGCCCTCGCAGCTGGACAGCCTGAAGGACAAGGATGTGGTTAATGAGATATCGACCGATGATCTCGAGAATTACGAGGAGCATTCGTTTGTCGGCTCGGAGGTTGGTGGAGAGGAAACGGTAGCGCCCAAAGTTGATGAGGATGTCTGTAAGGTTCAGAGTATCAAGGAACTCCCAGAGAGCTCTGAAGCCGGACCAGTAGTAGAGGACGACAGCTCTGACCCCATTGTGAGGCCACAACGTGGAGCTGCCCCTGGTTCTCATGCATACCACGACCACGTGCCCGCTCACTCCGAACCTGAAGAATACTGGGACGATGAGGATGACGAAAATGAAGAGGATGATGGGTATATAACAGCCCGCTCCTATCGATCTCGTGGCGATAATACGACCGGCGCGACCACTACCATGCTCTTTCCCAAATACACGCAGCAAGTGAGACGGGAGTTGGCACTCGCAAAGCAAATCGTTGAGGCAACACGGACAGTGGAGGATATCGAAGATGAATTTTGGGATACAAGCATGGTGGCTGAATACAGTGAAGATATCTTTGATTATATGCGGGAACAGGAGGTATGTTGATGTGTCTACTGAAATCTTTTCGCGAACAGTTGCTCACTGCACCTAGATCAAAATGTTGCCGAATGCCCATTATATGGACAATCAGGCAGAGATTCAATGGTCTATGCGCTCCGTCCTCATGGATTGGCTTGTCCAAGTCCACCATCGGTTTTCACTGCTTCCTGAAACACTGTTCTTGTGTGTCAACTATATCGATCGCTTCCTCTCATGCAAAATCGTTTCCTTGGGCAAGCTGCAGCTTGTGGGAGCTACCGCAATCTTTATTGCTGCCAAATATGAAGAGATAAACTGCCCTTCCGTACAGGAAATTGTTTATATGGTCGACGGAGGCTATAACGCCGATGAAATTCTCAAGGCTGAACGCTTCATGCTTACCATGCTGCAATTTGAGCTTGGGTGGCCGGGTCCGATGAGCTTCTTGCGGAAAATCAGCAAAGCTGATGACTATGACTTGGAGACCCGGACGTTGGCCAAGTATTTCTTAGAGATTACTATCATGGATGAACGCTTCGTCGGGTGTCCGCCAAGCTTTACGGCTGCTGGTGCTCATTGTCTCGCAAGAATGATGTTGAGGAAAGGGAACTGGGTAAGTCTGCAAACACTGTTCGTGTGCGCCTCCGCTGACCTCGGAACAGACACCTGCTCATGTCCATTATGCGGGATACACGTACTCTCAGCTTTACCCGCTTATATCTCTTATGATGGAGTGCTGTGAGATCCCTCGTAAGCATCATGCGGCTATCTACGAAAAATATACCGATAAACGGTTCAAGCGGGCCTCGCTTTTCGTCGAAGCCGAGATGAGGAAAGGGTTTCAACTTCCAGAGGTCACCCGCGAGAAGAGTCTTTGCAATCCGACATCTCTTGACCCAGGACATTACTGGAAGCGAGCGTAGCCGCCATCAGGCGTTCCGGCAATCCTTCGCCAGGATTGCCCTTGGAGGACAAGTGACGATTGGTAGATGTGCTGCCCTGATATTGATAGCCTCGTACCGCACGATTACTTGACACGCTGGAGTATTACCCGACTAAGACGAAAAGCGAATAAAACAAACCAAAAACAAGAAAAGTAAAAAAAGGAAAGAAAAGACAAAGGAACGAAAATTAGCCGGCGAGGAGACCAGAGAAAAAAAGAAGCGGAAAGTGAGTTTCTGCTTCGCCAAAGCACTTTTATCACGACACTTTCTTTTGTCACGGACTTTCCATGCCATTTTATGAGTTCTCAACTTGCATTCGTCCGTGCCATTCAAGCACATTGGGATTTAGAACACGTTTCGACGGACGGGAAATCGGATACCACCAATGGGCGGAGTTTTGCTTCTTTTACTAATGAAAACGGATGACATGAAAGCCATGCGATTAATCCGGAATTGGGAGTTAATGGTCGATGGTTCCTTTTATTCTCTTAATTAATCTGCACCCCTTTTGTTTCCTTTGTCTATTTTGTTTTGCAGACCATCCAACCTACTATCACGAATGAAACATGCCCCCTTTCCCGATATGTTGGTTTTACGCCATGGGACTTCATGAAAATGCCATCAGCATTAATGCTTTTTTATTCCCTTTGTTCCTTTTTGGACTTCTGTTCTTATTTCACAATTTCCCTTTATTCTGAGGGTTATCATCCAGGCTTAGTACACAGGAACTGGTCAATTGGATCTATCTCTTCGATTCTGCTCTAAATACTTAGAACTCGGAACCAATCCCCTGTACAAAGGCGTAAAAAAGTTCTATGTTTTACTCTAGAGTCACTTTCCTCTTAAGCTCACCACTTCTCAACCGAAATTATCTACCAAAGAAGTTCAAAATACCAAAATCCCCACCAAAGGGCCAAATATACTCACTAAACCACTCACTCCACTACTGATCTAACCCGTTGAATTCGATCAACCTCTTCACAACCTCAATCACCCGACCCGCAATATCATCCTTCTCATCCCCTCCCTTTTTGAGCGACACAGACCCAGAAGTAGGATTATCAATCCTCGCCGCAATAATTTCGTCTACCATCATACGCAACCGAGAAACAAGGGCACCGATTCGTGCCCAGCCACGGAGCCGTAACCAGCCGTCGACAATGAGGCCTCGACCCGTCGTATCGAGATCAACGGAGCCGCAGAAGAGCAGGAGAGAGTAGGCGTTGAATGCTTTGGTTTTAGACGTTAGTTGGGGGTTTATATCCAGCGTATTATCTTTGCCGGATACGTTTGTAATAGTGATGCTATGAGACTTACGTGTTAAATCACGGATGAAGACCTTGCTTGTGGCCATTTTGGTGAAATAGCTTAGATACGCCGCCGAGCCAGGGTAACTTTGGGCCGAGAACAGAAGGGAGCTTGGGTGAATGAAGACGCGGCCGTTTTCCTGGTTGAAGTATTTGATGGTTCGGGCGTCTGGGTCGACTTCCACTGTTCCTGTGACGGAACTCATGAATTTCTTGTCGGGGAAGAAGATCTGCGCGATCTGGGGTTGGAAGGCGCCCGCGATTAGAGCTCGAATGAGGCTTCGGTTCCCTGCGTTGCGGTTCCAGCGGGGGTCGGCTGGGTCGGAGGAGTAGTCTACGGGGAGGAGGCTGGCGTCTTTCAGGGAGGTTAGAAGTTGGGCTTTGTTGGATGAGATGTCGCGGAGCGTTTGATGGGAGAGGAAGTTAGCGCTACACCATGATTGCGTCTGCCAGTATCCTTGGACTTTGGCGCGGTCTGACCATTGCTGGTAGGCTGAAAGGTCGGTAAGGAGGTCACCGTCCCCGCGGGAGAAGGATGCTTTGGCGGCATCTGCTTCCTCGCGCTTGTCGCGGGGTGAGACAAAGGGACTTTTCACGGTTAGGATTGCGGAGATGGTGATGCAGGTGTCTATGCAGCTGAAGATGGAGCCGTAGACCATGAGCTTGGCGCATCGCAGATCAGCAGGGATCATGGATAAGTATCGTCCAAGAGCAGTTAGCTGGTCATGGTCAAGGGCTCCAACACGATGGAGAAAGCTTAAGGCTCCTTCAACGGACACGCTTTCAGGAGGAGTGATGGTGTTCGCCAGGAATGTAGCAACATCATTGATGCCTTGCATAGACTTGACGGAGAGACATAGTTGTTCCAATGGCACTCGTCGGATTTCGGGGTCCGGTCGGGGTGCCATCTTCATTTCTGCTTGCCGGGTATAGAGCTTGTAGCATGCACCGGCCCTAACACGACCAGCTCGTCCTCGTCGTTGCTTACAGGCAGCTTGCGACGCCCATACCTCCTGGAGTCGGACCATGTTGTCTTTGGGGTCGTAACTCGTTTCCTTGACGCGGCCAGTGTCGATAACCGCAACAACATCCTCAATCGTAATTGATGTTTCCGCAACGTTGGTTGCCGCAATGACCTTTCTCTTCCCTCTCGGAGGGCTCAAGAAAACACGCCGTTGCTCAACAGGTAGAAGAGATGCATGTAAAGGAAGTGGATGAGTATTGGGAATCCTTTTCACGGTGTTCAGGCACTTTTCAATCTCCAGGGTACCAGGTAAGAAGATAAGGATTCCTCCTGGTTGATCCCCCAACTGAGCATCTATATATTGGACAGTGGATGCGATCAGGTCGTAATTTATACCCATTCCCACGCTACGAAGAGCCTTACCGAGAGACTCTTCACCTTGCGGCGAAGAAACCGAGTCATCATGAAGATCTCGCTCAGCTAACTCCGGCGCAAATCCTGTGAGACGAATGACATCGTCCAGATAATAGTCATCCACAGGGAAAGTACGCCCAGGGATATTTACCAATCCAACATTTTTGCGTCCACCAAAGTAGTTGATGAAAATTTCTGCGTCAAGGGTTGCACTCATTAGTATGACCTTAATGTCTTTGCGGTACCTAAGAACATCCCGTAGAAGAGCGAGTAGGAAATCAGTATCAAGACTCCGTTCGTGAACCTCATCCACTACGACGTGTGTGACATCCGCAAGTGAGCTTGCGACATTGCCATCCGCACCACTTCCAGTCTGTATACGACGAAGCAAAACACCAGTCGTGACAAAGGTGATCTTTGTCGTCCCAGACTTGATCTTGGAGTCACCCCGAATAACATATCCAACTTCATCGCCTACAGAGGTGCATCGTTCATCGCTCACACGATCCGCAAGACCTAAAGCAGAAATCCTCCGTGGTTGTGTGCAAATAATGTTCGCAATAGCACCGAGATCTCGTTTGATCATATCATCTAATATAAATTGGACGGACTGGGTACTTTTACCGCTACCTGTCTCACCAGAAATGATAGTAACCTGATGCGAGTTCACGGTCCGTATTATAGCATCCTGGATATTCCAAGCAGGAAGCGACTCTCGCTTTTGTGTCATACCCTGCTGGGCTGGAGTTGACTGCCTAGCCTGCCAGGCCTCACGGATAGATAAGCTCTGGGGTGAGCCTGGTTGCCAGCTAATCTCCTTATTTTTCCTGCGAATTTGGCGCACAGGAAGCTCTGAAATACTTTCAGCAGTAGATGGGGATGCGGTGACCGTTGCGATATCTCGTAGCTTGCCCGGATTTTGCATGATCTCCGGGAGATTCATCTCTAACCAGTCAAGCACGTTAAATACCATTGGCTCTCCCAAGAAATTTTCCTCAGCATGCTTCACCGCTTGACGGATCGCACTGAGTCGTATATAAGAGGGAATGCCTTTCGCTTGTATCGAAATAATCGGCACCGAGGATGGATAATGACCTGAAGGTCTTTGAAATCGGAATGATGTCGACTCTGGTAAGTCCGAGGCTTCGCTCTTGACTTCACACACCTTAGAAGATATCCGACAATATCGCTCCCCGAAGATAGCCTCCAGGGTCTCTTGCTCTTCCGCCCAAGAGTCTTCGCCCTCGGGAGATGTAGAAACTGCAGGAGAATTCCCATGTACTAAGGTGTTTTGCAGCATCTCAGCTGTTGCAAGCTCGTCACCTTGTCTGTTATCTAAAGCCCGCGAGCAAAGATCTGCAGGGTAACCGATGGTGGCTAGCCGCTTGATTTTCGCCTCTTTTGCTAAATCATCACTCACTAGACTCACGCCAGCAGAATACGATTCTGGTAGACACCACGACGGGAGGTCATCTTCTGGGACGTAGATGAGAAGCCATTCAAGTACCTCTTCTCTATCCTTACACGCAGCAGTCGCCTCATCCACATGACTGCGCCGAAAACCCAAGCGAGTGAACTCCTCAACGACGGAGTTACGTTCAGATTGCGGGATCTGCACATTATAAGGGTTCCAAATCGTATGCTGTTGAAGTAGGTTCTCAATCTCACGGCGCACTTTGCTCCCCAAATCCACTTTCGGGGCGTGTGACCAGATCTTCTTCCCTCTATTATCGCTACTGGACCCCAAGCCCAACTCTACCCCAGGTTGTTCTTTCGCTTTAGCTTGAATCCTTTCTCGCTCCTTCTGCTTCTTCTCCAAATCGGCAGCGGCGCTTTCCCGCTCTTGTTTCGCCAAAAACGGGTCTGCTTCGTACATCCACCCTTTGCCCTCTTTGGTATCAGCAGTCTTAATATCAGCAAAATCCTCCTTCCAGAGCTTCTTATAAGTCGGCGGAAGCATCATGTGGATATTCCTCATATTACAGACACGATATAGAGCGTACGCAGCACCAAAGTGACGAGCTTCCAGAGCCGTAGGTTGCGCAGCCAAGTGCTTATGAGACGGAGGAAGTTTCATGGGAGGAAGGGTAGTCGTTTCGCGAGTCTTAGGGTCGACACGTTTCAATATAACCGCAGACATAAATCCTTCTGGAGTTTTCGTCTAGTATGCAGAAGTGGTAATTAGCACATGATACTTGCGATAAGAGACCACATGCTCTATCCAAGACCCTCCTATCGAACCATCGCTCACCATTGTATACTCCGGCTTCTCCCACTTCTGCTTCTGACAATGCTCCGAGAGCATATTAACCGGCAGCTTCCCTGTCCATGATGCGCCCCCGATCACCTGTTTCACAGAAGGCTTTTTCTGCTCATCTGGTGGAGGCTGCGCTTTCTTCGCAGCTTCGGCCGCCGATTTCTCTGCGGCGGCTTTGGCCTGCTTGGTGCCCGGTTTGGGACCTCCTCCACGGGCGTCAGCCTTCTTCTTGGGGCCCATCCTTCCGCAATTGATCTTTTTCTTATAGAAGACGCCCGTGGAGCAGCTATACCCTCTGATAAAGATGTAAAGGCGGGTGTAAATTGCTGCTAAAGCAGAAGTTGGCTGTGCCCGCACTAAGGCCGCTTTTTTTTGGACCGACGGGCTGCGGGGAAGTCGCGGACAAACCGCCCTCTCCTCCGCATCTTTCGTTCACCTTTACCTACATACAGCCATGACAACCTAGGCACACCCGACGACCAAACAGGTCTTGTATAACTATCGCAATCTATATCACCCCAATGGCAGGCGATGCACCAAGCCTCGAAGACCAGACTGCCGCAGCCGCGACCGTCGCATCGGAATCGCAGACAGGGAAATCAGGGAAGAGAGACGCTTGTATGTATGCCACCACCCATGACGCATGCGATGCTCGCCCATTCGGAAAAGAAAACTTTCCTAATATACGTAGTCGCCGAGCTCCTCGCCCCTAAACCCAAGCAAGCAAAGCACGGTCCATTTAAAGACCCATCGAACAAGAGAGCTATCGGTGGCCCGCGAGACGCTCTCGGCGCCTATATCGCAAGTCCGGAATCCTTTCCTTCCAGTATCGTGGTATATCACAATGATGACTTCGTCGCGATTCACGATCTCTTCCCTAAATCAACGCTTCATCTACTTCTCCTCCCTCGTGATGCTTCGAAAACTCGCCTTCATCCCTTCGAGGCCCTCGATGACCTAGAGTTCCTAGGTAAAGTGAAGGAAGAAACAAAGAAACTTCGCTCTTTAGCGGCAGCAGAGCTCAGACGAAGATATGGGAAAGATTCCGCTCAAGATAAGAAGAGGCAAGAGGCGCTTAATGCAGATGATCCTCCAGATACTCTTCCACCAGGAAGAAATTGGGAACAAGAGATCATGTGCGGAATCCATGCGCATCCGTCTATGAACCATCTACATGTCCATGTTATCTCGGTGGACAGGTACAGCGATCGGCTGAAACACAAAAAGCATTATAATAGTTTTTCCACGCCATTTTTCGTTCCTATTGATGACTTCCCTCTGGCACAAGACGATGTCAGGAGGCATCCCACGCGAGAAGGGTATCTACGGCGAGATTACATATGCTGGCGCTGTGGGAAGGATTTTGGAAACAAATTTTCCGAGTTGAAGGTACATTTAGAAAAGGAGTTCGATGATTGGAAACGCCTGTAAGCGGGAAGAGTCACAACAGGACGAAGTAGCCTTTGTATTGATAGATGAAGCATCGATCCCGGTCGAGTATAGAAGTACCCATGGGCCGACTGTTCCATTTGAGACACAGCTGTGTGAAATAAAATGAGCTCCTAGAAGCTACAATTACTAATTTCAGTCGTCATAAATATACACGCCCCAATCAGCGAAGGCATTGACTTGCGACCGATCACATTCTCAGCGATCTTTGACCTCAAGTTTGCCAATCTCACGTAAGACTCGTTGGCACAAGCGCACGAGGTCCAAAATATTGACTAGACGTCACGCTTTCCTCTATAGTTTCACAAGATCGCTACCGCTACGGCCTTTAGGCACGGGTCTTGGAGCGGGTACTACCCTTCACCTTTCTGGCCTCAGGACGGTTGATGTGGTGGGCAGGGATCCAATCGGCGTTGTACGTAGTCGCAGACGAGGCTGCTGGGCTGCTGGGCTCAGCAGATTCAATCTTCTTCGCGGCGCTCGAAGACTTCTTAATGTACTCAGGACCCTTTCCGCTCTTGCGCTTCTGAGGAAAGTACGGGGCGATCCAGACAGTGTAGAAGAAGTAGACGACACCAGAGAAGCAGGCCAGGAGGAAGAAATACAGGAAGACACTAAGATTGATAATTAGTGGTTGGTCGCAAAACGCATGAGACAATCCATCTTACATCTGAGGGTCAAAGATGCTGGTTTCAGGTTCCACAACACTGACGGTACCATTATAAGCGTAGACGGTGTAGAATTGACCCTCACTGTCAGAGATGATAGAGGCGAGGCTGAGCCTAAGGTCCTGGGGATGCATTTCGGTGGTAATCTGGTAGCTTAAAGTCTCCTTCTGGCCAGCTGGGATTTCCAAACTATATCCGGTTGCAGTCAAGTTGCGCACAATCTTGCTATCCTCTTCATCTAAGGTGGACAAGGTACCACCGATGAAGTTTACCTTCACTGGGGAAGGTTCATCATTGGTGAAAGAGACCAGCGCCTGGGTCGGGTAACCGTTCACAATCTTGATGCCGAAGATCTCAGAAGCAGGGAAAGAGGCCTGGGCAGTCACAGCGAGCTTTGGAGTCTCTACGGACTCTTCCACCTTCTCAGCTGCATCCTATACCAGAAAACCTCGAGTTAGCGACTCAATTGTCATCATTCAGTAACTGTCATTTGTCACGAGGGAAGCATACTGCCGCCAGACTGCCGCCGATCAAGGCTTGGGCAGAGAGCAAAGCCAACGACAGGAAGCTGAAACGAGCCATTATGACCGAGCCGAATGTCCAATAGGGGGGAAAAGGAAGAAAAGAACAAAAAGAAAGAAGTAGAAGAAGGAAAGGATTGAAAGGGTAAAGAGGAAAGGAGTAACGTAGATCAATTGGGGGGGAGGACAGAAGGGGAAGTGAATTGAATGTTTGCTCCACGTAGGCGTTTATGGTCACGACTTCCCCAAACGCTGTTGCGACCCCCGCTGAGTCAGCCCGCTAGCCTGTTTCTTTTGCCGCTGCCTCAGCTTATTAGTTCAAAAAAAAAATAATTTAATCCCCGATTGCTACTGCACTTCCAACTGGACTGTTCTAAAGAAAGAGAGATTCTTTCCCACTCCAACCTTATGGTGAATGTAAATTCCGTGAAGAAAAAAGGTGTCACACGTAACAATTCACTTTCCTTACCCCTCCTCCAATCTTATAACAGGAAAAAAAAAGGAAAAATCATCCAAATAAAAGCAATATCTTCATTCCCCCTTTTCCCCCTTCAAACTGCGTTCCTCTCTCCTAAACCCCGTCTCCGCAATTAACTTACTTTTGACTTTCCCATCTCCACATCCATACCTAGCTATAATCAGAAAATCCCAACATGACTGCCCAAGCCTATCTCGAACGATATAAACAGTTGACGTCAATAGAAGACATAAAGAACAACTTGATTGAGGTAGCCTCTCCCAAATATGGCGCTGATCCGGTTCTCCAACATGTCTCTCTTTTTAACATTCCGTTTCGGGCACTAGGAACTATTGCAACGTGTAACGGAGCTGGAAGATGCATATCAGCAAGAGCGGCTGGACCATGAGCGCGAGACGCGCTTTAATCGGGACATCCAGCTCCACGAGATGGAGTTAATGGATCAGATATCAAGAATTAAAGCTATTATGGTGAGCGCCGCTAAAGATAGATCGCGCCGTCGAGCTCTTAGCTAACGATAACGGTCGTGCCACCATAGGACCGGGAACCTTTCATAGTTGTACTCCTCGACGGGGGCGGAATAATCTTCAAGGACGAATATCTACAACAAGGAGAGCAAGGTGGACAAAATGCGGCGGAGAAACTCCATTCAGCCTTGCAGGACTATGTCTTCGGCAATTTCCCGACTATCAACTCACCTAAGATTATAACAAAGATGTATACCAATGTGAAGGGGCTAAGCGATCTCTGCCTTCGGGGCGGCGTCACAACTGAGCCTTCTTTGGTCGACGATTTTGTTAGGGGCTTCAACGCTAGTTATCCACTCTTTGATCTAGTCGATATCGGGGCTGGGAAAGAGAGTGCCCACGATAAGATCGGAGGTATACTGAGTGAATTTCTTGTCTGTAGGGTGTCACATGCTGATACTTTTCTGCAGAGGCTTTCAGATTAAATCTATACAACTGCCATTGTCACCAGATTTTCCTCGGTTGTTCGCAGGATAGCGCATATGCCCAAATTCTGGAAGACACACTGGCCGATAGAGACCTCATAGGACGAGTTTCACTGATCGAGGGCCTTCCCTTGGCAAGTGACCTCGACTTAATAAAAACATCGTACAGAGTGACCAGATTCTCGGATCTTTTTCGAGATACGAAGATATCTGTATGGGCCCCGTGGAAAGCTACCGTGGCTAGCAAACCTCGTTCTCTCCTCACACCGTCGCCCATTCAAAATATAACACTTTCGCGAACATCGACCAACACCACGACAACAAGTAACAGTGTGCCCATATCTTCTTCTACGAATACGCCCTGCTCCGGGGAGTTCCAGGTTGTACGGTCTAAATCCTCGGCCCCGGCACCTCCTAAAATCGTGGGACGAAACAAGTACGGCCAGCGGGTAGACCGGCTTGACTTCAAGAGCATCCCTCGTGATGAGGTAAATCGCATTAAGAAACTGAAGCTGTGCAACTTTTACTATTTACAAGGCGAATGCCCTAATGACAACTGCCATCACGATCATTCACGAAAATTGACTAGGGCCGAACATGTTGTGCTGACGGCTATCGCCCGCATGACTCCATGTCGCTATGGGCTGGAGTGTGATGATCCCGAGTGTATGTATGGGCATCGCTGCCCTCAGAGTGAACCTGGTAGGAAGGACTGTTATTGGGGCTCGAGTTGTCGATTCGACGCTTCGGCGCACGGGATCGACACCAACATTGTCAAAGTGACAAAGGTCTAATATCACCATCTGTCTCGCTCATGGTGCGAATCCCGTAATATCAGCAGTCCTTGAGTTGCAGGGCTCACCACTCTTGAGACTAAGCAGAAATTGCTCTGGGGCACTGAGAGATTATCATTAACTACTCTTCCCTTCAGTGTCGGCGTTCTATCTCTTTTAGTCCCCCTGCATCTAAGCCTATTTCCGGCCTATAGAGATGAGTTTCGGGATTGATATATATATATATATATATATATATTGCCGCCTTAATTGGACGGACTGTATTTATCCAAGAATGAGTTTTTCTACGTTCTGCATTCACACCAGGGACGACGTCGTCATCTGGTAGATGCAGTTGTATTCGCGAAACTGTATCAGAACCAGTAATTTATCGTAGAGCCAGTTGCAGGAACAGGCTAAGCCAAGATGAATGTCACCTCGAAATTAACGCAGAGGGGTATAGGAGTACACAGTGCTAATTCATGAATCGATAGTCGTCTGAAACATGGCAAAACGCCGTTCCCAACCAAAACAGTCCTCCTGGCTACAACCAGACGTGTCGTCAGACCTTGCGTCCGTGTCCGAGACGTGAGAACATTTGACTCCATACTCTTGTATGCAACAATTGAAGGGCCTTGAGGAGGCGTGCTCTAGCTTTGGAGGGCTTTCGCTGTTTTGTTTTGCAATATTTTTCTTCCGTTCCTCGAGATCACCCCAAAGAATGAAAAGCCGCTCGCTGAGGATCGCTAGCTTTCTTAGGTCTTTACGCAAGCTGGGTGGAGACATCAAATTAGAAAAAAGGGCAAAAGAAAAGGAAGGCCCTGACACTTCAGTAATGCACTTACTCTGCGGCACTCATTTGCAGCAAAAATTCTGCGTTGGCGCCAGACACGAAAAGCCTGATGTGCGCCTTGGGGTGTCCAGGAGGAGGCGATGCATCCTCAACTAGGAGACAAAAGCGCCACTCCCACTGAGTGATGCCACCGTCCTCCTCATTGTAATGCATGTCGCTACCCAGGCGACTGTTCTTGGATTCTTGAGGAACCGCAAAGTCCTCAAGATTTGGAGGGAAGAAGTCGACAACCCGAACAGTAGCTCTATAGCAGAGGTTTTGGAACGGAAGACGATATTCAATACCATCATGGGACTCAAAATCATGGTATTCGCTTGCAATAATGTCCCCAATGCTGCATCCACGGACGCTTTCATAGCTTGCTTTAACTACAAGCGTAGTTTGATCAGCGGTTTGTCCATTAAGCCTAGAGTGGGATCCTTACCGTGCTCATTAGGTCTGTTTCGCTGTCTCATTTGTCGCACTGTTTCGCTTACTTCCTTTACACCTTCCAACCTTTTTTTATTGCGAGTTTTCGGTCCCTTCGCTAGTTTAACTTCCTCCTCAGCTTTCCACTTCCCAGTATTGATTTCCTTGTAGTAATCTTGCCTCCGACGTCGAAGCTCTTTGGCATTGACATCCCTGTCAGGATCAATGGAACGCAGATTATGATAACGAGCTGAGTGCATGCTAGCCTCGAGCGTGAGATTATGTCGGTTCGCCTTGATGTGAACATATTTTAAAATGATGATATCGTTGTCCTTGATATTTTCTCGGGCAAAGCTCGCATGTGGTTCCCATAGTGTTACTGGCAGAGACATCTGGCCGGGTGGGCCTGTCCACTTCTTCCTACTGCGATAGTAGAATGTATCAGGGTCATCATCAAGTGGTGTATGGTCCTGTAGGTTCTTATTTGTTGTATAGTCGCTTATGTAGAGAAGCACTTTGTCGCTGTTCCGGGGGTATATCTTGACCACTTCGCCGATAAGGTCAACAATTGTCCCCTCTCGAATGTCCTTTATCAGGGTCAGCTTTCTTTGCGTTCGGGCACCCTGTTTCGAGCTTGAAGCCTGAGCCGAGATGGATTGGGAGGTCGCAAGTTGCGAAGTCGAGACATTGCGAAACCTCGTAATCCCAGAAATACTTTCTAGTAACGTTTGGCATCGTCTCTTCTCCGCATACGATGGTTCAAAGGGTGTTGGACCACAAATGGGAGCATTAATAGACAATGGATCTGGGTCCGAGCGGAAAATAGCCCATGGGATGTTTGCATTATCGGCCGCCACTCCTAGTGGTTTGCCGTTAAACGCCCTAATCTGTGGTATGTCTAATCAGTATAGAACGAGGTATCATGGTCTGGGCAACAAACCCAGAGGTGCCGTAGAAGGATTACATCGCCTTCTTGCACAGGTGGTAGTTGGGACTCGTTGGTTTTGAAGTACTTGACTTTCAGTCCGTCCCACACATGGCCGTTGTTAAAGTTATCTGACTTGAGGGTGAAGGTTATGCATGGTGAACCCGCCGACTTGAACACACTGTTGAAAACGTCGACAACTACCCCAACTACATTTACATTCCCCTGCGTATTGAGCGCCGTAGGAATATCGATCAACGTCGAAGATGGTGACCCATTGACCATTGTCAGGACTTAAGCTATAGTTGCAAGTGACAAGCTCATGGTTTGCCAGAGCAGGATGCTAGTATGTATGTAGCGCTACTATCACCAGCCCGCAACTTGTGATCGCGAAAAGGCACAAATCCCTGGGGAGCAAAAAGCCCGAAATCGATACGATAAGGTCAAGCCAATAAGAACCAACAGGAAAAACCCCAAGTATGGACTAATCTAGACGGCGACACGACGCCTTCAACGCGTCTTAAGAGTACTGTTGCTGGGCGGTAAAATCGCTTAGGCGGGTGTGGCGCTTACCCTTGGCGGCCGCAAACAGCAAATCAGCGGGCTATCCCGTGACTGAGCAATCCCACCTCCGGGCAAAGCAAAGCATCAACACTTTTTTCCCCTCCTTCGTCTTTTTGCCCGCGTATCTTCCCCAGTGAGGCTGTCTAGTCTTTCTATCTTATTGGCTTTGGCTCATCAACTCGTGGGCTGCTATATTTCTCTAATTCTTCTTGATCCTCTTTCTTCTTTTAAATTTTCTTTCATACAGAACCTCAGTGGTTCGTGCGCTTTGTTTTCACCCCTCAGTGTCCTAAGCAACCATGGCCGAGCGCTACATCCCAGAGCATCGTCGCACCCAGTTCAAGGCCAGGAATCAGTTCCGGCCTGACGAGCTTCGTCGTCGCCGTGAGGAGCAGCAAGTCGAGATTCGCAAGCAGAAAAGAGAAGAGAATTTGGCAAAGAGGAGAGGTATTCAGACTCGGGATGGTGGGATTGGTGTGGGAGGCGGCATGGCCGCTGCTACCGAGAGTGACGATGAAGCCAGTGCCATAGAAAGCGAGGTATGCTCAATCCGAGATAAAATTTCTTTTCTGTCTTCATGTCACTAGGTGCCTGCTTGCTTTGTTTTGGTCTACGTTCTTCTGTTTTTTCTTTTCCCTTCTTATATGCCCAGCGACGAGGTTTTCACCGCCCGGTTATTGGCTGCGACCTTTAGGATGAGGAGTTCGCGATCACCCTTTATTCATCAATCTTGTCGATATGCATGCCTCTAGAACCCAAATAGCTAATTAATTGTCTTGCAGCTCAATGTCGAACTTCCCGAGATGGTTAAGGGCGTCTTCTCGGATCAGATCGAGTCACAGATTCAGGCCACAACTAAGTTCAGGAAACTGCTCTCTAAGGAGCGCAACCCTCCCATCGAGCGTGTTATCGAGACTGGTGTCGTGAGCCGTTTTGTGGAGTTCCTCCGGTCTCCTCACACTCTGGTTCAATTTGAGGCTGCTTGGGCATTGACCAACATTGCATCTGGATCTGCCCAGCAAACCCAGGTGGTCATCGAAGCTGGTGCTGTACCCATTTTCGTCGAGCTTCTGAGCAGCCCGGAACCTGATGTCCGGGAGCAGGCCGTTTGGGCTCTCGGTAACATTGCTGGTGATAGCCCTCAATGCCGTGACTTCGTCCTCAACGCTGGCGCCCTCCGTCCTCTCCTGAACTTGATCAACGATGGCCGGAAGTTGAGCATGCTGCGCAATGCTACATGGACTTTGAGCAACTTTTGCCGTGGCAAGACACCCCAGCCTGACTGGAACACTGTATGTTGCCTCACATATTATACAAGACAGTGCACTTTGACTGATAGCTTTGTAGATCGCTCCTGCTCTTCCTGTCCTCGCCAAGCTCATTTACATGCTTGATGATGAAGTCCTCATTGACGCCTGCTGGGCCATTTCATACCTCTCTGATGGCGCCAACGATAAGATCCAGGCTGTCATCGAAGCGGGCATCCCTCGTCGCCTTGTCGAGCTTCTTATGCATGCCTCGACCTCCGTTCAGACCCCTGCTCTCCGCTCAGTTGGAAACATTGTGACTGGTGACGACGTCCAGACTCAGGTTATCATCAACTGCGGCTCTCTTCCCGCTCTCCTCTCTCTCCTCAGCTCGACCAAGGATGGTATCCGTAAGGAGGCTTGCTGGACTATCTCCAACGTCACTGCTGGGAACTCTAGCCAGATCCAGGCTGTTATTGACGCTGGCATCATCCCTCCATTGATAAACCTGCTCGCCAACGGCGACTTCAAGACCCGTAAGGAAGCTTGCTGGGCTATCTCCAATGCCACTTCTGGCGGTCTGCAGAAGCCTGAGCAGATTCGCTACCTCGTCTCTCAGGGATGCATTAAGCCCCTTTGCGACCTCCTTGCTTGCCCCGACAACAAGATCATCCAGGTTGCTTTGGATGGTCTGGAGAATATCCTCAAGGTTGGTGAGATGGACAAAGAGGCGGCACAGTCTGGCGAGGGCCGTGTCAACCGTTATGCCCTGTTCATTGAAGAAGCCGGCGGTATGGAGAAGATCCACGACTGCCAGAACAATGCCAACGAGGAGATTTATATGAAGGCCTACAACATCATCGAGAAGTACTTCTCCGATGAAGAAGAGACCGGTGGTGATATCGATGAGCTTGCTCCTCAACAGACCCAAACAGGATTCACTCTCGGCACTGCCCAGCAGCAGCCCGGTGGGTTCAACTTCGCCAACGGCGGCGACTCCATGGATATGTAAAAGTGGGATTTTATCTGGAATTAATTTGACATAATTGAGATTCGGGCTATCTGATTCGGTTCTAATTCCTGCAAGATCCTCCGTGGTGCAGTGCCGGTGTGTAACGAAGAACAAAAGGCAACACCTTCAACCTCGCAGAGCGATTTGGCCTTGTAGCTTTCAAGGCAGAATCTGGGTTACGTTCTTTGCTTTCAAAACAAACGTTTCCAGTTTCTGCAGTGCCTCTTTTTTGTCTCGGCCTTGCAACGTTTAAGCACGAGTCAACGTTTTCTTTCTCCCCCCTTCCCATCCTGTTCCCCCTTCCCTTTCGCAACGATGTTTCTACCCCCATTTTTGTTTACGATAAACCACAGATTCACCGTCATGTACCCCTTTTGCACTTTCCTATTTCCCGTAGCATCCCATACACCGGCGTAATTGTTTGTTGATTCGGTTTATTTTGTCTATTTCCTATCTTTATTTTTTCCGATGGGTTTCCCTTTGGGTGTGATCTCCATGGCCTTAGTGCTATCCGTCGCTTCCCAAGGGACGAGTAAAATACTCAAATTGTTCTCCAAACAATGGTTATCATTTACCGGAATTCGAATCTCTTTTTGAATATTGGAGTTCAGGGGCTCATATCGTTAGAAATTCGACTTCAATAATATAGTCAAATAGGCCCCGAGGTGACGGATAGTTCGATAGCCAAAAGATACATCTCTTTTTCCCACCTTCTACATTTATATCTACTTTCGTGGCTCACGTAGTAATACCGCCAGACATACAATCCATGCCCTCATTTCAAGAAACTAGAAACTGAGACACCAGGGAAGAAAGTCCTAAGGTATATACAAGACCATAAGTTACATAGCAATACATACATTGCAGTCAAACGCCAACAAGCACGATCTCACATTACGGCGGACAGAAAAGGTTAGGAAAAGAGAAGAGAAATTTGGGAAAAGGAGATACTCAAGGGGGGAAGAAAAGAAAGAAAAAAAAGCTAAAACCCTAGTAGAAAGAGCTGACAGTCATCATAGGAATAAGCAGAGATGAAGGACAACCAACACCTTTAACAAGGAAAAAAAAGATAGAAAGCATCCGTTTGAATAAAACAGCAGATTATCCCTTTCCCCCCGAAATCATAGGTATATTATTCAATCGCAATCAGTCACCCATAACTTCATCTTCATCTGGATCGGCGGCAGTCGGATTTTCTTCTTCCTCTTCGTCATTATCTTCGATGTTATCGTCCTCTACGAGGCCTCTTTCTCGCAGGTCTTCGTCATCGTCTTCTTCAAGATGGAGTTGCACGTCCTCTTCATCGTCATCCTCTACTCTTTCGGCTGACTTGTGCTTGGAGCTACTTTGGTCCTTGTTTGCCTCCTTAGTGGTGGGCTGTTGCTTGGCTTTGGGGCGGGGGTTCCTGGGTTTACGCTCGTCGAGGAAAGAGACTACTTCACGGTAGTTCTGGCCTAGTTCCGACTTGCGTTTGACCAGTCTTTGCTTCAGCTGGCCGCGCTCTTCTCCGGAGGCGTCGAGGACGCGACCGACAATCGCAAGAACGATCTTGCCCGTGAGCTCGCAAAGGCGCTGTTCGGCAACGATGGTGGACCGTAGACGCTCGTTCGCGAGAGCTTCTGCTTCAGACCCAGACTCATCTTCATCATCGGCAGGCTCTTTTTCCAGTTCGGGGTCGGATATAGGTTCGTCGTCTTCTGCGGGCTCGAAGGATAAGCGTAGCTTCTTAGCATAGGCACGTTCTGCTACACCATGGATCTTAGCAATGAGTTTCTGCGGTTCGGCTCCAATCTCGTGGACCAAACTCTGGGTCTGGAAAATGACGTCCTCGTCGTTGCCAGCATTCTGTCCCGCATGCCGGAGTGTACCGAATAGGGTCTGCAGATCTAAAAGTGTTGTGACTGCTGAGAAGCGTATATCATCCAGGCCTGAGCGCGCCTGCATGATAGCGACAAGGGTCGAAACAAACAACTCCCGACTCTTCGTCAAGACCTCAAAGAACTCAGTATCCAAAGAGGCATTTCCGGTGTCAAGAGCGGTAGTCAAAGACTGGACTTTCCACATGAAGTAGAACAGCAATGTGCGTATGCTGCAGCTCACTAACTCAGTCTCGGTTTTTGCTGATTCTTCGTCGTCTTCAGTTTCGCGCAAACCACGTTCCGCCAGGTGCATCAGAATATTGAAAGGTGCTTCGGCAGCGTCTTTGCTCTTACCCTTAGACCGTGAAGGAGTAGCTTCCAAGATCTGTGTACAATCGGTTACACTGGCAATGTTGGAGATTCTCATCACAGTGTTGGTAAGCTGATTGAGAGCAGAGTCAGGTATTGATCTGCCCTCGAGAACTTCCTTCTTTCGAGCCAATGTGCTGAGAGTATCAATTATGTCATCCCACAATTCCTGCACCTTGTTGTCTAACGCCTCTCGCATATCGTCAGAGCTCTTAGCATGAAGAAAAGCGACACTAGCCTCTGCAAGGACATCTTGATCAGAGTGTGTCAAGAATTGTTTATTGATGTCATTCAGTAATGATGTATAGGCAGTAGCGTCCTTCTGTAAATTTTGTATCTTATCAAGATCGACGAGGTGTTCAAGTCGTATAACAGTAGAAGCAGCTTCTGGCAGAGAGCCGAATTTATTCAAAAGTTGCGGGATGATCTGCGCAAGGTTATGTGCAATGTCTTCCTGAAGTTCAGGGATCTTGTCAGCCAATGCCTTGACTTTCCGTCCTCTTTTATCAATGTCAGACTTGGCGACTTCGAGAACACGCAATTTAACAGCACAACATAGCACTTCCAAGAGGATAACTTCCTGTCCTTCCTGCATCTTGTACAGATTTTTGATGGTACCAGGGGTATCATCCTCGGACGGACTATCCGCGATCTGGGAATGATCGTAAAGCAAATATCCAGCCAAGGACTGCCACTGGGCTAATTCCTTAAGGTACGGATAAATAGCTTCGGTAACAAGAACAAATCGCGTATTAACTGGAGTACCTGAGAGAATGTCCTTCGTCGTGGAGGTAACCTGGTCGGGCTTATACTCATTTTCAAGCTCGTCGTAAGACTGAAGGGTGTCAACCAAACACTTGAACTTGATCCAGGAACGTTTAGGCGACTCGAAGTCATCTTCATCCTCTTCGCCAAACATCTCATCAATCTCGTCCCGAACTTCTTCAATTGTGGTATCGAATACATCCTGGACGTTAGCAACAAAGAAACGACCAGCTGCTTTCCGGATCGATGGCTCCTGGTCAAAAACAAGTCTTCCCACTGTGTCGATATCGCTAGGTTCAATTAGTCCGCCATCCCGAAGGAGGTCCACTAATTCAATCGCAGATGCGCGAACCCCAATATCAGCATCATGAGCAGCCATTTCGACCATTCTCGAATGAAATCGCCCTGTATATTGATTCATGCCTGCAATGTTGTCTTTGTTGTTTTCGTAGAAGCTTCGAAGCTGGTTTACAACGACGGAGCGTACCTGGGCGACGGGGTCGGATAACATCCAGCCAAAGTATCGGAGGAACTGTCCCTCAAAGAAATATTCTCGGTAGGTACGTATCCATTCTCCCAGTGCCGCCATACATTCTGCACGAAGGATTGGATCAACATCCCGATAACGGTGAACGAAAATCACATTGACGCCGTCTTTGAGGAATTCATCGATGATTTCTAGCTTCTTTTCGCCTTCTTTGATAGCCTTCTCGATAGCCGTTACTCTCCCTTGGTTCACAGATTTCTTTTTTTTCTCACTTTCAAGCTGCTTGCGAGAAGTAGAGACCGATGTCATCAGTTCTCGAGCAATTTCGCAGAGAGCGCCCATAATCGCCATTACAATTATGGTTGAAGTGTGTCTGAAAGGCCGACATCGGGAAGTCGACAAAGCAGAAAGCCATATTTCGATATTCTCGAAAAGGTTTTGGTCGTCGTATAGAACCGAAGAATGGTGCAGAGTCTGGATCAAGGACCTAAAGAATTCTTCCAACACAGGCTGGAAAGACCTAAACTTCCTCGCTCTGGAGATCAAGGGCCACTCGCCAATCCCTTCCTGTTGGTATTCGTTTTGCAAGTCCGTTACACAGCGCGGCGCGTGGTCGACATCCTTGATTTGGTCCTCGTCTATTTCGATACCGGTTCCTGTACACCTAAGCACCATGTTAATCAATTCACGCACAGCGCCACTTTGATCTTTCTGGTATCTTGAAAGCCACTCCGCAGCGGTAGTGTCAGCGTTGCGCCCTTTACCAAAGACCTCCGCTACAAAGTATATCGTTAGCCCCAGCGCAACAATGTCTAGGCGTTAACGGCAGACATACCATAGAGACCCCGTTCACCGGCAGCCAAGCTGGGTCGCACCTTCGGTTTCCTAGGGCGGGATGAAACAGTCCTCTTCCCATTCGTAGCAGGTCGGAACGCCAGTTGGCTCCCAATGCCACTGCCAGCTACCTTCGGTTTCTTCGCACTGCGAGGCTTCGCCTTGGCCTTAGATTCAGACGTCGCTTTCTTAGACGAGGCTTTACGCGCAGCACGTCTCTTCTCTCTAAGTTCTTCTTCGTCGGGTTCTTCATCAGCGGACTCATCGACTTCTGGTTCCGACGCGTCCGCATCCCCCTCTACACTTTCCTCGTCGTCATCGCCGCCGGTACGCTTGCGCTTAGATCGCCCTGGAGTGGCACTGTCGTTGGCGCCAAACTTCTCGGCGTACAGTTCAGGCTTGCGCGTCACCCGACCGGACTTTCTTCTGTTTGTTGATGAGGATGCAGCATCTTCAGTTGGCCCGAGCTGAGGGCTTGAAAGCGGTGGTTCAGTCTCCATTTTCGTCGGGGTTTTTAGAACACTATATATAGTGGAAATCGATTAGTTCACATTGCGACCGAAATTCCGCGAGTATTATGTCTATCTTTCGAGGATTAGGCGTACTTGGATGTGGGGTTTTGATAATGGAATTCCTCGGGGTGGAAACGCGATTGCTCGTTTTCCTAGCACAACACCTGCGGATTTGCGCGCGCGTGTTGCAGCTGTACGCGGTCGGACAGGTAACAAAAAACAAGTGGGAGCTAAAGCGTTTCAAGTCTCAATGGGAAAGAGGTGCATCGAGGATACTATCGGATGCGTCGAGAGTGGGACTCCAGAAGGTCGAAGTGAGGGGGGTGGGAACACGGTGAACTGTTCTGGGCGTCGACGGACGAAGGACGCGCTTTGGTGCCTGGCGATGACGGGCTCCGACAAGAGGGTTGATGCCTCAGGCATTTATCGACCGGAGGGTGGTTGGCCTCAGTCATCCAACGGAATGACCAAAAACGGTCGTGAAACAGCACGTTCTTACTAGTGCGTAACGATTGGCATTGCCAAGAGCCCGCAGACCGGGGCAAACCCTAAACCCTCCTTCATCTGCGGAGAACAGCAATATTCATGCCGTAATGAAAACCTCCTCCTTCATCATCGTGGCATGTCTTTTACCATCTCCAGCGCAACATTGGAGGAGCCAAGACTGCAAATTCAATGGTCGACACACAGCCGTGAGACCCCCGCTTCTCAGCAATCATTCAAGGGGCCTGCAGGATCAGCCGATCGGACACATTGGCTGTTGTTTGGCTGCCCCGGAAAATCAGACGGATCCAAAAAAATGTGTCCATTCCCCATGACGCCATTTTACAGATATTTCTATTGATCCTGTGTATGGGGGTATATCATGCCGTGAACAGCCACATCTTCGGTCTCCTTTCCTCCCTCCACTCTCTTATTACCGTCTTACTTCCCTCTCTTTTTCTTGGTGATCTTCTTTCCCGCAGATCACTTTCTAAAAATGCCCATAAAATCACCCTTCCAGGCGTCCATCGCTAAACCTGGCCAAGGCAATGTCGTCCTTTCATTACTGCCTCCTTCGAACCCTACCTTGACAACTCTGACTTACAAGTACCCACTCAAACTCCTCACAAGAGCTCCCGGCTATGTACCTGTGTCCTCAGCGCTGTCATGTCCTGTTTCGCGACCAGTCCATCTCTACCTTCTCACCTATGGCGGAGGTCTTCTCCCAGGTGACCACATCGACGTCTCGATCAAACTGGAGCCACAAACAAGAATGGTCGTAACAACACCACAAGGAAGCACCAAGATCTTCAAAACAGAACCCAACTCAAGCATCAAGGGACGGCGAGCCCCAGGACGAGTCCTATCAGACAAGAGCCGACAAACAATAAACGTACAGATTGAACGGGAAGCGGCGCTATGTTACCTCCCGGATCCAGCGGTACCATACAAGGACAGCCGGTACGAACAAGTCCAGACATTCACAGTCGACACGACAACGAAGGATTCGCAACGAAGCAGCCTCTGCATGCTAGACTGGGTAACGCAAGGGCGCACATCACGAGGCGAGAACTGGGACTTCCACCTCTGGAAAGGCAAAAATGAAATCTGGACTGTCGACGAATCAGGCAACAAAAGGCTTCTGCTCCGTGACTCGCTCATCCTCGACGAGGAGCTGGACGAGGGCCGCTTAGAGAACGGGGACGAGACGCTAAATCGCAGCGGCCTGATCCGAGAGCGTACTCGGCCCCATGGGATTGTGGGCACACTGATTCTGTACGGCCCTGTCTATGAGCGCTTAGCCTCTTTCATCATGGACCGGTTTACGTCGCAGCCACGGATTGGAGGGAGGGATTGGTCGTCCTCGGCCCCCGCGGCCGTGGAATCGCCCCCGAACTTCGATTCGAAGGTCACATTCACTGCCGCGCGCGTGAGAGCCGGGTTTGTCCTAGTCAAGTTTGGTGCTGGTGATTTTGAGACCGCTAAGGACTGGCTGGGTAATATTCTCCGCGAAGAGGGGACTGTCCTTCATGAATTTGGGGAGGAGGCTTTGTGTTGTTTATGATATCACTGGCTATTTTTGATTTACGTACTTGTTCAATCTAAGGGCAATAGTTTTGGCCCGTTGCATGCAGATAGACCGCCAGAAAGCGACCCAAAAAAATACTGTGGAGGTCTACGGCCTATCAGATGATACCCAAATTGGATCATGTATGATCTTATTTCTTTTACATATACGAGTACAACAAATTCAACCATGAGTCGCCTCGCGATTAACACATTTTATTTCGTTCTAAGATGGGAAACTATCTGAAATAGCTCCAAAACTCTGCAGGAAACGAGCAAGACAACCGGCAGGGTATCTACCCGAAAAGAACCGCAACGCCGTGTGAGAAAAAAAAAATCGTATAAATCCCTGCCAAGCAAGGCGCATGAATCGTATCGGGCGTCTTCGATCTCTGTACAGCCACATCTAATCTATAGAAAGGCAGGTTAATGCCACCAATCCGAAAGCTTGGGTCTCCAATCCTCCCTCGTCGCACTCTGGAGATCATCAACGTTGAGGATATCCACCCCTTCGCGAACCAGGACAGTCCAGATATGATTCCTCAAACTCCTCGGCCAGCTAGGCAGCTCCCAATACCGGACTTTAAGCCCGTGGCGGTGCGCGCCGCGGACCTGTGCTCTGATCTTGTCCATCTGTCCCTCACTAAGGCGGAACAACCAAGGAAATCCGATCGATTGCCTAAAGGAGACAGACGCGTAGTAGCTGTTCGTCCAGTTGAAGGTGCCGGGGCCGATATCAGCACCGGATAGGCCCGAGAGGCCCTGACCGACATTTTCGGTCGACTGGCCCGCGATCACTCGTTCATCATCCGGAATGCGGTCTCCGGGCTCATGACTCAGAACGCTCTTTGTGTCGTCATGGTCGGCCAATTTCTCCAAAGGCGCATCAAAGAAGATGTCTCGGTAGGTGCTATTCGCTACCACCATGTTGAAGGGGGTGTTCCCCGTCCCCACGACCGTGATGGGACCTTTGGCCACGTCAGTGCCATTGAAATACGTAAGATAGCCACGGTCACGAAGGGGCAATAATTGCGCAACTACTGCATCCCATGTCGCTTCTCCGTCGGTCTTGAAATCGATCAGTAGAACAAGGCTCTGGGATGGGTCAGTGTCGAACACTCCCTGCAACGGCTGATCTACAGTCGGGTGGAGTTCAGTGATTGGGTTTTGTTTGTCTAGCATCCTTGTTAGGGGATCAATGTACAGATTTCTAAATGTGCGTTGCGGCGTGAGCGACGAAGTGGTGTGGCCCACGTAAAGGTCGTCGTCGAAGAGCCATACATCGGCTTCCACGCCGATACAGCCCGCCTTTATCGCTGAAAATAGGGGAACCGGTCGCCAGTAGTCATTATGTGAATGGCATCCGACTGGAATAATATCTCTAGAAAAGTCCGTAGGCCAATGCGAGATATTCGCGCCCAATCTCTCCTCATGTTGCCACCGGAGGATTGACAACCGGTCCAGGTCATCCGAGAAAAATGAAATAACGATGCCACAGGCAATGACAATGAACTGAATGATACCTCTGTAAGCGTAGTGAGTAAGCGGAACCGAAGCGACAAGTGTACGGCTCTTTGCGACTAGGGACACTCACAGCATGATGAAACATCCCAGTACAGGGAATAATAAGCAACGGGATAATCTAGGCTTCCTGCACCGTCTCCGACAACAGTTACTAGTATGATTGTGGGTGGTAAGCAATGGCAGCGCATCATCAACTTCTTTGTTCCTAGGCGCAGTGAAAGGAAAGATGGCGGCCAGTCCACGTCTCCATGCTGGTAAAACGCTCAGTTGGGCAGGACCCGTCAAGCGGTGCTGCTCGCTTCCCACACTGCTCGCCGAATCGCCCACAAACAGTTTGAATTCTGCCTTGAGCTCTACATCTTCACTATCGCGATAAGGGTCAAAGGGTTGAGAAGAAGTGGGAATGCGGGCGGAGTTGGAGACGAGTGGGGAGCGGAAAGGGGATGACATCCTTGGCCATCAGGCTTGCCGATTTCCCTCCCCCAGATACTGACAGATAGATAAGGAAAAAACAGTCAATCAAAAGAATCTCTCTCTCTCTCTCTCTGTCTTTCTCTCCACGGGACGAGGCCCTCAATATATGTATGACCAATTCTCTCAGAAAACTTTATATGCGTGGACCTTTTTAGGGGAACGGTAAGACAGGTTTAGGCTTCTCTATTTTCCACGACCCAATCAGCCATGTGCAGTGTTGGTTCTCATTATTGGATCAGGAACGAAGCATCGGCAGATCTTTCCACCGTCACCATGCTAGAGGGGTCGGTCACCTCTCATTCGCTGATGTGCAGCTGTTGGTTGGGAGGTGGAGAGCCGAGACCCTGATAAGTTAGCAAGCTTAACCCTGGGTTGAAGCCTTCTTTTACACTTAGTTTAGACCATGGGTTGCCGCACTGGCACCCTAGATACTACCACCAGGCGTAGAAGTCAACCATTTATATCTTATATATGAACTCTTTGTTTTACGGTAGTTGGAGAAAGAGAAGATAAAAAAAGAAAAGAGAACGGTAGCCTGGAAGGGTTGGTCCATACTTGGGGTCGAACTCAGTATGAGTAACTATTAACGCATGTCAGGGTTCACGTAGACACGGGGTTGGTGAGCCTACAAATGCTGATGTGTGGATTTCAGTAACTAGTACTAGTACTAGGTAGTCTACTCATGTCACGCTGAAGTTTTTTTTTTTTTTTTTTTTTTTTTTCCGAAGGTCTCATTTTAGCAGTCAGCAGCCACCACCAGAATTTCCCCCACTCGGAGCACATTACAAAGAGACGGCGTACCATTCGTAACCCTAGGCACATATTCGATGTTACATCCATGGCTCTGAGCGTGACGCGTAAAGGAACCGAGTACACAGGAATGGATGCCTGTGATCAATAGATGGAGGAGGTCGGTCATTGCATATTATAAGTAAAAACAATAAATATATTTTTTTGTTTCTTTTTTGCTTTTCTCCTCTTGTTCTCTTCTCAGACCTTATAGTCCGTAAGCTCATCCGATCAAGTCTTGGTGAACATGATCGACATTATACAACTGGGTCAGAGTGAGCTTGTTTTCTCGTACTCAGATCACTAAACCCATCTCCTTACTACCATAGTCCCCCTCATGCGCTCATCAACTATCAACATAGAATAAGCTTAAACAACCTGGCAGCGACACCTAAATTGACAAGGATAGGAAGGCCTCTGCACGTGACTGTGACACTGGGTAGATAGTCCAAGTCAGAAATAAGATTTGAGAGAAATTTTGCCCATATATCTGTTCATGTCCTCCTACCTAGTCGAATTCGTAATCTCTCATTAGTGAAAGTGAGGTCCATAGTATCTGTGATACATTTACGTAAATTACAAGCTTAGAGCCAGTTGTTCACTAACAGTTAAAAGTCAGCAACTCGCGAAGGCATATAGAAGGTTATTACTAAATATCGCTGTAATTTTCTTGTCTTTATGCTAGTATCAATCGTTACCTAGTGAAAGGGGGCCTGTACGGCCTTGCCTATATAGAGGGTCTCACCTATCCCCTCCCTCAGATCGTTCTAGTTGAGCACCTAAGGTAGTTAACTTATTGCTTTCTAATTTCACGGATATTTCTACGAGTATGAATGGTGCTGAATTGATTCTCTTACAGCGCTCTTACTTAGGACGAAGTGATGCGCATGTCCTGTACATCTACTAAGGCTGCGAGAATCCTGAAATATTTTATGGATACAAAATAGGTCCTAGCCATACTGGTTCAATATGACCCAATAATATTCGTAGAACTGAGAATAATTCTGTAATCATGGAGTAGACCTAACTGATTGCCTCAAGGGTCTCCCTCTCTCTCTCTCTTTGTTTTTTCCGAAGAAAAAGAAAAGTAAGGCTAGTCCGTAAGTCAGTCGCTAGACTATATAGCCTGAGCTTGCATGACCTTAGTATTCTTAGTATTCCGCAGCGCATGAATATACATCACATAGAAATATTTTCAAAATAGCCTGTACTCTTAAAATTGAGACCTTATTAGATCTCAAACTCTACAAGGAACTAAAATAAAATAATAAATTTTAAAACCGAGTTAAAGGTCTTAAGCCGTAAAGCTGCGGACAGAAGTATACATTAGCAGAAGGCCGATCTTATCAGCCGCGATTAGATACGCCGCCCGAAAGGCAAAAAAATTTATAAAAATTAAAGTTCTCCAAGTCCACCTCCGCAGATTCTCATCACGAACAGCTCCAGACCCCAACATATTCAAGATGCCTCACAAGCACAAGCGGAAGCAAAACGATGCGAAGTAACTTTACCTTCTGCTCTCTTGAGCCAAACCGTACGCCCGCTGACTTGAACATACTAGTATCTATGATCTTCCACCTTCTATGATCGCAAAATCTCTCCCGACACGCGATCCTAATGCCAAAGACAAAAATAAGAACTCAAAAAAGAACGCCAAAGTCAAGGCGCAAGACCAACTTCAAGCTCGTCGCAAAGCTGCCCATGACGATGACACCCCCAAAGCCTTTCTCCGCTTGATGCAATTCCAGACAAAAGGAAAGCAAGTGCCAGCGAAACCAGACGCAGGCGGGAGTAAGAAACGCAAAAGAGGGCTAGACAAATCCGATGATGTGACATCAACTACACGAAAGAAGTCTGGCCCTGCAGCTGTAAAGGAACAGAGTAACGATGCCGAATCGCAACCGAAACCGAAGATCCTTCCGGGGGAGAAGCTGTCGGATTTCGCGGCGCGAGTAGATCGTGAAATGCCGATTTCTGGGATGAAGAAATCTGGGAAACCCGCATCGTTGGATGTTCCTAAGATTCGCGGCGAGCACCGAGTTACGAAACATGAGAAACATTTACTCCGGCTACAGAAGCAGTGGCGCGAGGAGGAGGCAGAGATCTTAGAACGTGAGGCTGCTGAGCGGGAGCAGCGAGAGGAAGAGTTAGAGGATCAGTTGGAATTATGGAAGGAGTGGGAAACGGAGGCCGGCAAGGCAAAAGCGAAGAAGAAGGGAGCGGGCGCAAGGAAAGGCGGCAAGGGCAATGGTGACCCAGATCCCTGGGCTAAGTTGAAGACCAAGGATCGTCTGAACAAGCCTGCGAATCCTTTCGAAACCGCCGAGGCACCACCGCAATTGACGAAGCCAAAGGAGATCTTTAAAGTCCGAAGCGGCGCTAAAGTTGATGTCGCTAACGTGCCGAATGCTGTCGGTAGCTTGAGGAGGAGAGAAGAGTTGGCTGGTGAAAGAAAGAATATTGTGGAGGAATATCGGAGGCTGATGGCCGAAAAGAGGAAATAATCTGCTGACCAGGCTCATGACAGCATGCAATCTCCTTTTTCTCTCCATTTTGGCGACACGGCGTCTTGTTATTAGGCTCTCCTTCATCTTTGGTTATTTAAATCTTACACTAACGAGGCAATCTCGCCAGAACTCGCATGGTATCATACTTGCTTGTACATTTTTGGAGAATAAGATATCACAGCTCGAATGCTTTTTATATACAACATCTATGACCGAAACACCAATGCCATCATAAGATATTTTCACACAGGATGCGAAACCTACTCCTGTTGCAGAGACTTGACATACTCTGCTGCCTTCGCTTTAATATCCTCCACCATCTTTTCATTACCACCATCGGCTGCGGCGAGCTTCTCCTCAAAAGCAAGCCATTTCTTGAAGAAGAACCGTGCCTGCTTGGGTCGGATTTTCTTGCTCGCTCCCACAGATACGGCGCCCTTCTTGGAGTCCCGAATTCCGAGTACCCGCTCGAATAGGCGCCGGACCTGCTCAGCATCGCCATTTTTGATCTCCAAATCCAGAAGGATGTTCCACAGATCTATCCGTTTAGGGAATGAAGAGAGAAGACCCTCGAACACAGTGCGACCGCGTTCAACATCTCCATGCTCAGAACGGAACTCTAGCTGTCCGAACTTAGATGTGGTCTCGACGTGAGTGTGAGCAGGAAGCGACTGAAGAGCGCGAGGCAGTAAGGCACGTCCACGTTCGGGGGCAGCCATATTGTCAAATAGGAAGCTGGCGTAGTTCAGGAAGAACTTGGATGACTGAGAGATCTTCTTCTTAAGAGCGGTCTGGAAAAGCTCATCTGCTTTCTGTACGTAATTGTAGTTAGCCATCTGAACAAATGTGTGAATAGTGTCAGAGAATGCGGGCCTTACCTCATTCTTTGCAGATTGGATGTAAATGCTGATAAGACGCTCGTAGATTTCCTGGGGTTCGTTGTACTGACAAGCCCGCTTGAATACCTCCTCCAGAGTATCATCGTTGCCGTAGGTATTTTCTAAGTTGAGCATTGCTATCCAGATGTTCAGCTTTTCAGCATCTTGACCAATGGCAATGGTGCGAAGGGCACGCTCGGCAACCTCCCTTGCCTTCTCGACTTCGCCTAGCTCTAGCTGGAAGGCCATATATTGCAGCCAAAGGAGTGAAGAATCGGGTTCACCAAGCAAGAGTCGCTCGTAGTCCGCCACTGATTGGGGTCCATTAGCGTCTAATTCGCCAGTTCGATCAACTTGGATCTCTGGTTTGCGATGCTTCTTCCTCTTCTTCCGCTCTGACTCATCCTCGTCATCAGAGTCAGACGAAGAAGCTTTCTCGTCGTCTCCCATTATGTTGCCACTCCAATCGAATCCGCTCGCCCCGAGTCCGCCCTGTCTGTTTGATGAGGGTTTGGCCATAGATTCATCATCACTTTGCTCGGAATCACTTTCACTGTCTTCCTCAACATCTACTCCTCCCATAGAGACATCGCTGTCGTCGTCGCTGTCATTTTTTTCTACATTCACTCCACCAAAGCCATCTAGACTAATACCTTCGGAATCGTCATCCTCATCCTCATCTTCGCTGCTTTCAACGTCCTCGTCTTCATCCTTGAAGTAAGATGCCTTAAGACCAAACGATATTTTCTTCTGTTTGCGATCAATCTTGAGAATCTTCGCCTTAACGACATCTCCCTCTTCATAGAGCGTCCTGGCGTCCTCAACACGATTCTCAGCCATCTCGCTGCGGTGGCAAAGACCGCTGATATTCGCAGAGCCGTCGACGACGATGAATGCGCCGAACTCCTCGACTTTACGGACCTTGCCAGTGACAATCTGGCCGGACTTGAGGTCATGGAGTGTTACCGGAGCTTTGTAGTTGGGGTCCAATACAGACTCCTTCAGACTGATTTGTAACCTGTTCTGTTCCGGGTCTACGACAGTAACTCGACCCTTAACCAATTGATCAACTTGGAAAGCATCCTTCCACTCCTTGAGATAGGAGTCTGAAAGGTCAGAAACACGGACATAAGCAGTAACACCATGGCCTAGTGTCACAAAGAGCCCACTGTCAGCCACTCTCCGTACGAAGCCTCGCACAACGTCATTTACTTTGACTTGCTCCATTGAAGAGATTTCACGATCCTCAATAGGAAGTGACGAGCTTAGGACCTTTGATGGGCGGAGAGACAGAGAGATCTTTTTGTTAGCTCTATCAACCGAGACGACGCAAGCGCGGAGCACTTCGTTTTTGTGGTAGATTGTAGGGTTTGCTTTAGAATAGTCGTCTGCCAGATCAATCAGTTCAACTGCACCGACTATGGTGTCGGTGAGCTGCACAATGACTTGTCTCTCAGTGACCTTGGTGACTCTTGCTGGCAAAATCATGCCCGTGGTGATATCCTCCATGGTGAGAGCGTCAGAACGCTGCTTAGCTGTAAGATCCAAGCGACCCTTCTCAATATCCACTGCGGAGACGTTGACTCTCACGGCAGACCCTATGGGGAAGTGCTTTTCCACATCGGCTAGCAGAGACAAGTCATCAGATGCATCCATGCAGCGCAATCTTCCACGAACGTTAGGAGACAAGTTGACCCAGAGGCAATTTTCGGTAATGTTGTTGACGAAACCCAACCACGATGAGCCAACTTGAACTTGTTCCAGGTTCAATGGGGTAGGATCAGCGGCCTGGAGGAAGCTTGGCTTCAAGGAAAGTTCAAACACGGGGAATTTTCCAGTCCGATGACTTATCGGGAGGAACTTGTGGTTACGAGCGTCATGAACACCTAGTATTCTCGCCGAGATAAGCTGCTTGGGACGGAAGAACCGCAGAGGCTGCTTCCGGTCTTTGATATCCTCCCATTTATCAAACACTTCGGAGATATCAATCCGGCCCTGAATGTTGTCGGCAAGCTGCACATTGATTTGTGTTGCCTTGACAGAAACAATCTTGCACTTTGTAATCCTTCCAAAAGTGAAGTCAGACATTGAGTTGATATCTCCGTCGATAGCGTTGGTAATAGTATCATCAGATGGAACATCCTTGGCAGCGGGCTTCGAGGCTGGTTTTTTCGGCCCGGCTTGGGTTGCCTCGGCGGGATTCCTGCTCAAGATGAACCTCTGGAATTCAGTATCTATAGAATGCACAGTTGCCGAGACTACTTGAGATTTGGTCAAGCCGAAGCCCGGCTTGTTTATGTTTTCATCGCCAATGAGCCGCTTGGGTACCATGCCGATGACGCCACCTAAGAATTCAACGAACACTCCCGTCATGGTTATGTTTCGGATGAAGCCAGTGACTTCATCACCTTCGTGGACATCCTCAAAACTTGCTGGGATAAGTTTTTGCTTGGCAGCTTTTTTGAGACTTGCCCTAGCTGTCACTCTAATGAGCCTGCGAGTTCGCTGGATATCAAGCACAAGCAGTTCATTGAGCTTCTGACCAACGCGAATCTTCGACAGGGTTGAGCTCTGTTTAGAGGGAGAACCATCGATCACATGATCAATATTCAACCGAGCTACAAGGCCAAAGTCATCTAACTTAAGAAGAAGGTCGTCGCTTGATTTCTCAAAGACCGTGCCAGTAACGAGCAAACCAGGGTGGATGCTTTCAAAAGATTTCTTGTAGGTTTCGGTAAAGGTGGAGGGGTCTTTGCAGGACACAGCAAGCTTTCCAAGAGATGGATCCACACTGAGTGCGTGGACATTCACCACCTGGCCTAACCTGAAGTGCTGTGAAGGGTCCTTAATGTAGGCCTCGCTCATCTCTGACACGGGAAGGAAACCTCGGACTGTACCATAGAACTGAACCACAGCACCATGCTGTTGGATGCTCACGATAGTTCCAGGAGACTGCGCCCCGGCCACAATGCTGTCGTAATCCTTCCAAATCGCGGATTCGCTGTTGAGTAGACTCTTCTTCAGAGTAAGCCGGATCTGGCGTTTCTCTGTATCGACCGATAGGATTCTAGTCGAAACGGTCATGCCTTCCCGGAATTTCTTTTCAGGGAATTGAAGAAGTGTATCAGCAAAATGCATAGATGGAACAAGACCGGTGATACCATCAGCCAGCTCGACGATCAAGCCATCTAATCCGGTAGGTCCGATGAGTAGCTTCTCGACTTTCGCTTTGACGACTGCACCCACAGTGACGTCCTCGAGACGAAGGAAAGGCTGGTCAATGACTGACCTCTCGAATGAAAGAAGATACAATTTATCAAGAGCGCTGTAGCCAACGACCCTTCCCTCGTGAGTGGAATCCGTCTGGAATGGTCCGTATTCGGCAGAGATACTTTCAACCTTCCCGTCTGCTAGCCGCGACACATGGACGAAACCCACATGTTTTGTTGATCCGATTTGTACGTAAACTCCGAGACCAGGATCAACCTTGATCACCGTAGCCTCAGGTACGATAGCGGATATGGCTGGTGCATCTTCGGAGCTACCAGGTCCTTGGGCTTCGGATGTAAATTTGCAGACGTGATCGAGCAATGAAAAGCCAACCTTGTATGGCTCCGAAGCGGGAAACGTGGAGATGAGGCGACCCTTGACTTTAGCACCGATTTTGTATTTGTTCGTCAGATCTTCTTTTCTTAAGTTACCGCCGGACTGCACCAAATCCACAGTTGTATCCAACATGCCCATGATCTTTCCAGTGGCTCCGTTTGGTGTTACTTCGGTCAAAAGGATCTCAGCTGCAGTTCCTGGGAGAAAAGAGTTGATGGTAGGTGCTGTGCTGAGATAATGCGACTTTTTAATAGACCCGGAAGATTGTAAGTTGGCGGACAGCTTCAAAACGCTACCGTTGGCGTTCTGGCCAGTGACCATACAGAGAAAGACCGAGCCTTCCTTGATGGTCGAGTAGTCCGTCTTGGGATCAATTTCCTTCTTGGACATGAAGCCCTTGATATCGGCACCATCAATTCCCAAGTCCATGACCAGACCGTGGTCCTCAACGCTTGAAACCGATGCTTGGACGGCAGAGTCGACGACGAGGTCGGATTTCAAAAGCCCGAAATTAGCCTGTCTTGGATCAACCGCGAGCTCGATACGCTTTTTACTCTTGGAGCTAGCATCTGCCGCATTGTTCCCGACAGACACAACGTATGCACGTAGGTATTGACCCAAATAGAAATAATCACTCAAATCGAGAGAATCCTCCTCTGAATCCTCATTGTCATCATCACTCTCATCTTCCTTCAGAAGACTTTCGATCTTCTCTTCTAAGCCCTTTGAAACTGCTGTTAAGGGAACGTAGCCGGTAAGGTTGTTTGGTAAGGAAAGCCCGATATCGTGTGCATTGATGCTCGAAACTTGACCTAGCACCATGGTTCCAGGTGTAATACGCTGATTACATTAGGAACCTTGCCCAAAACTATAAGAGGAACTCTCGCGAAGCTTACCTTGAAGTTGAGACCTTCAATTCGCACACCCTTTTTGTTCTGCGCCTCATCTGTATGCTTCTTGCTTTTGGTTTTGCGTTTACGAGATTTCTTAGCAGCTGTCGCGGTATCGTCATCCACGTCTTCCATCTCTTCATCTTCGTCATGCTCGCCATTTTGGAAAGCTTTGGAAGAACCCTTAGTCGCTTTCTGCTCGAAGAGGACATCTTTTGTTGCTTGAATTTGAATTTGCTTTCGTTCAAGAGGTGTCAGGACGCTTCCTCCACCGCGTGGGAAAGAGGGCTCATCCTCGCGCAAGACTGTAAGTTCCGAGGCTTTGGGGGCAGAACTGGTGTCAGGTTTGGACTTGCCATCCCCAGAAGCGTCTGTCTTTTGCTTCTTCTGATCTTTGCGTTCTTCTGCTCCAACTCGTACACGTTTTTGAGGTTGACGGGTAGGCGCTGCCTCCTCTGCTGAGGCGCCCTTGCGCTTAATTGGAGCCATACTGGCGAACTAGAAGTAGTCCGGGGCTGAAGCGCAGACTCGTTGAGCTGCTCTAAAGCTCTTAAATCCGGACACAAATTTGGCGGAGTAAAAAAAAAAATATAAAGTAAAATTTCTAGACCAGAAAGCCGATCGCTTTGTAGACCGCCTCCCGAATGCAGTAACTGCGCTCTCTTTAATTGGACGCCTCACCGCCTGCCACAACCGGCGACTCGCGTCACGAAAAGGCACGTTGACACGAGACTCGATCGACTTTTCCGCGACGAGCATTGCTGGGCCTCCTGCCAGCTCCACTATGTTTCTTGTCTTCTGCCATTTTGCCCCAACACCCTCTTTTCTCTCCGCACATTCATGTAAAATGCCTCTGTCTGTCTGACTGATTTCCTTTATGGCACAATGGTTGGCAGTCATGATCTTCCCGAAGTACCACGATCTGAACCCGTCTTCCCTCCGTTATCGCAGGAGCTTCCTTCCTCTCCACCGTCAATAGTATCAGATGCTGGTGTCCGACGCAAGCCCAAGAAGCCACCCCCCGTTACCCCACGGTCATTCAGAAAGTTCTTTACCCCTCGTTCCATGCTTAATGGAGGGAGCAACACTAGCGATGTGAGGACGAACCGGCAGGCCTTGAAGGCCTTGAGTTCTCCGGCTGTCAATCGCTTGGGCCCAGCTTTCACAAGAACATTAAAGGCTGTTGAAACTAGGCCTGAACCTTCAGATATTCTGCGCACTCCTAGTAGGAAGCGGAAGTTTTCATTTTCTTCGATTAGCTCTCCATTTCAGTCATCTCCTTTGAGGAAGGTCCGCGTGAGACATCCAATTCAAGATAATGAAGAGGTAAATGTCACTGTTCGAGATCTCGAAGTGGGAAGCGAGGTACAGACGAGCGAATTGAAACCACATGATACTGTGAAACCACTTCGTCAAGTATCACCCATTCGACGATCGCAGGCACTGCAGACATCTGGGCAGCTTTTCATGCGAAATGTTACAGGCGCACGGGCAAATCGGGTAACTATTCGAGCTAATTCCGGAACTGGTTGGTATTTCATTCACAAAACATCGTATAGCCCATTCTCACCCGTGGTTAAGATTGGCAGAATTTGACATCAACATTCTACTCTCGGCCCTCTGATAGTCATACCTGTGCCAGCTCTACCGGGGATCGACTTGCTCTTCCTTTTTGCACTGCATCTTGTAACAGTCAGTCAAGCCCACCCTATTTCTCTCCCTTTCTTCCGCTGACTGTTTGATAGCAAACACCCTCGTTGCGGTGGGCGATGAAGAAGGAGGCATTCGACTGTTGGATTCTGCCAAAGATGACAAGAATGGGTTTTCAAAAGCCTACCTTTCATTTCGGCCTCATATGAACGCCATCATGGACCTTGAGTTTTCATCAGACGATATGTTACTAGCAACAGCTTCCGGAGACCAAACAGCCTTGGTCATTGATATGACTACTCAGAAACCGATATACTGCTTGTCAAACCATGTTTCTTCCGTGAAACGAGTGCAGTTTCAACCATCAGCCAACAACAAAGTTCTCGCAACTTGTAGTCGGGATGGGAATGTTAATATTTGGGATCTACGCTGCAAAGGTTTCGAGAAACCTTCCCTTCAAGTTAGATGTTCGCTCGAATCCGACTCTGAGCATTCTGCTACTCCCGTCACCTCCAAAATGACTTATCCTCAAGTTTTGAACACAATACATGGCGCACACGCCTGGATGCCTCAAGTGCCCGCTTCGGAGAAGCTAGAGCCTCAAGTAGGGCGTTCCGACATTACTGTAACTTCTCTGGCCTTCCTTCCACCTGGACGCGAAAATTTATTTGTCACAGCATCCGAAGCCAATGCCTGTGTCAGGCTATGGGATTTGCGAACGGCACATAACAACCGTCGTGGCAGACCCGTCCTTCCTCTTTCAACTACACGAGAACCTGACAGTCATATTAAATATAGGCGCTTTGGACTCACTTCCATGACGCTAGGTGGAGATGGCTCAAGACTCTACACCTTATGTCGCGATGGTACTGTATACGCTTATTCGACATCCCATCTGATTCTTGGACATGCACCAGAGCTCTCCTTGAACAACGATCGTCCTCGTCGTTCCGGTGGATCTGATAAAGAAGGTCTTGGCCCCTTGTATGGTTTCCGTCACCCCCGATTGCAAGTTGCATCGTTTTATGTTAGGACAGCGGTCCGAAAGGCTGCCAGCGATAAACCAGAGATGTTGGCTGTTGGGAGCAGTGACCACTGTGCTGTTCTGTTCCCCACCGATGAACGATTTCTTCATTCCGCTCCAAAGCCAACAGCGGAGGTGGATCTTCCTCAGAACCCGATGCACCTCACTCGCTCTGGTTTACGCCGTACAAACTCTGGGACTGGCTTATCTGGACGGCTGGAAGATACTATCCCAATATACCAATCCGGAACGCCCTTGGTCGAAGGCCACAAAAAAGAGGTTTCGGCTGTGTCGTGGACCGTAGATGGTGAGCTCATCACAGTCAGTGACGATTACTCTGCCAGATGTTGGCGTGAAGGGCCTGACGCCAGAGACCTTCGAGAGGGTGGTGAGGCAGAGGGTAGACGATGGCGCTGTGGATGGGCTGATACGAAAGACTTCTATGACGACGAAGATGAATGATTTTCTTAAGGGGCTAGGGATTTATTGTTTGATATTTGCTGTCTTTTAAGCATTTTGGCGTCATGGCATATTTCAGTGGTGGTTAGCGGGCGTTTGATTCCCTTGGAAGAGGGTTTGATGTTTATTGTTCGGCATTGACTGCAGAGTACATGGTAAGGAATGGGGAGCTATTTACTACTTTTTTCTGGAACTTCTGTCTATAAGAATTACAGCGGTTGGATGCATGTCGATGGTTTACCCAGTGACAGATTGGTGTTCAAGCAATTCATTGGTGATAGAATCCATAATAATGGCTATGCAAATTACTTTATACTAAAGCTGGGAGTAGACAAGCTTGTCCTGCCATGAGAATATGTGCTCATACCATCTTATTATACTTTTTCTTCATACTTAGTCTAAAAACTCCACGTGGAGACTAGTAAACAACCCTAGAAGGTCAAATTAGTGGCCATGCCCGTCATCTTCCTTTCTCTCAGGGTCCAACTTGATCATGGTGTCAATACGCATGATAGCAATGCAGGCCTCAACAGCACTCTTAAGCTGCTTAATCTTGCCCATACTAGGCTCCAGCACACCAGCCTTAAGGGTATCATGGACCCGGCCCTTCATGAGGTCAAGTCCGTAGTTCCGGTATGTCTTCTTCTTAGCAATAGCCTTCTCTTCCTCGTTGGCATCACCGTCCTGCACGCGTTGAGATAGAGCGTGGCGGACACGGAGCTGGGCAACAAGTTCGGACGAGTCCTTGGCAGCGTTCACAGCCAGAGTCTTAGGGACGGTCAGAAGAGACTGGGCAAATTCACCGATGGCGAGCTGCTCCCGGGAGCCCTGTTGAAGGAAATAACGTTAGCGAAGATTGTTCATACATAGATCCAAGGTCAAGACTTACTACTGTGACAGCGAATTCTTCAAGGTAAATGTGAAGGGCTGTCTCAACGGCACCGCCTCCAGGAACGATGCTACCACTCTCAAGGGTACGCTTGACGGCGCACAGGGAGTCGTGTACCGAACGCTCCATTTCGTCCAAGCTAAAGTCGTTAGGCCCACGGAGGATGATAGAAGCCGAAGTGTGAACCTTGGTTCCCTTGACAAGGATACATTCATCATCAGATATCCGCTCCTGGACAACTTCTTCCGCATGGCCCAGGTATGAAGCTTCGAACTTCTCATCTCCGTTGAGATCAGAAAGTGTGCTGACCAATGTAGCGCCAGAGGCCTTGGCAATCCGGCGAAGATCTTCCTTCTTGCAGCGCCGAACGGCCATGGCTCCCTTCTCAATGAACAATTTCAGGACCATGTCATCGATACCCTTGGTAGTGAAAACAACATTTGCACCGGACTTAAGAATCATCTCAACACGCTCAAGGACGATACCAGATTCTCTCTCACGGATCTTTTCTAGCTGATCGGGATCGTCGACCGTGATCTGTACACCAAGCTTCATTCTCTCCTTTTGCAGATTCATGTCTAAACAAGCAATCTTCGCATCAGCGATACGGGTCTTCATAGCCTGAGAAGCCACAGTGCAGTTGAGAGCATAACCATTGACAAGCACGGATTCCGCGCTGCTCTTGCCGTGGGCTTTAAGGAGGTTGACTGCCTTGACGGGGTACTTGACCTCGTTCCTTTGGTTTGTAGTCTTCACCTGCAGCATCGCGTCGACAACCATGTTTGCAAAGAAATCCGCATCTGAGCCGATAATTTTGCTAGACATAGAAGTCTTAGCGATGTTAACCAGGCTGTCCTTCCCCAATGTCTCAACCTTTGTAGCGATGTTCTCATTCATATACTTGACAGCTTCTCTGAGGGCGAGTCTGTAGCCGTTGATTATAGTGGTAGGATGTATCCGGTTCTTCATCAATTCGTTGCCTCGTCGTAGGAGTTCCGCAGCGATCAGGACGACGGACGTGGTTCCATCACCGACCTAGATGGACATGAATATTGAGCTGTCAGAGACAAGCGGGGTGGGTCACTCACCTCCTTATCCTGCTGCTGGGCAAGATCTACGAGGATCTTACCCGCAGGATGTTCAATATCAAGAAGACTGAGAATCGTGGCACCATCGTTGGTAACAGTGACATCCTACAGCGCTGTCAGAGAGCCAGTCGAGGCACGTGGGGTTGAACAGTGCATACTCCTATATCATCCACCATCATCTTATCCAAACCTGAAGGGCCGAAGGAGCTCTTGACGACATTTGCAATAGCCTGGGTCGCAAGTACTACATACAAGATTAGTACCAGCGTGCAATCAAAGCTAGTTAGGATGCTATAGCATACCGTTCTGCTCCCGAACATCAGCACCAGTGATTTTCTGCCCGCCCAAGACTGTGCGAATATGGTTAGCTAATGAATAGAACGGATGGAGAGTTCAGAGGAGGGAAACACACAAAGGGTGTCCGCATTCCGCGGCTGCTCAAAAATGCCTGCCATGATTGCGAAACCGAGGAAGAGATGCTGCTGGCAGATAGGTAGAGCTCCGACTCCAGTTCGTCGTTGATGTTCGTCGTGTTTCCGCTAAGAATTCTGCCGGTCTCGGGCGGTGTGGATTTTCTAGTCGCATCCCACTTTGACGAGGGGTACCTTTCCACGGATCTATAACCTCGCCTCCGCCTTCTTGACTCATTTTGCTCCTTACTCCTCAGCAGCTCCTCTACAGCATGGCGAGTCAAGCTCCTGCTGATACCCCGGTCGCTTCTGACGCGGCGGTAACTCAGACCCTCCCTGACCGCACCCAAATCCCCGCTGATAAGGATGCTCCTCAGGGAGATGTCTCGAAGAATGCTGCAAAGAAGGCTGCCAAGGCAGCAGAACTCGCCGCCAAGAAGGCTGAGAAGGCTGCTAACAAGGGATCTGGAAAGCAGGAACCCAGGAAGCCCGCTGCGAAGGCTCCGAAGAAGAAGATTGACGGTGCTGCGCTGATTGGCATTGATGTCTCCAAGGAAGAGGATTTCCCAGGATGGTATCAGCAAGTTCTTACAAAGGGTGACATGCTCGACTACTATGATGTTTCGGGATGCTTCATTCTCAAGGTGATATGCCTTCATGTGGTAGTTGTTTGGCCGTGTTTACTAATATGACTCAGCCCGCTTCGTACTTTATCTGGGAAGAGATTCAGAACTGGTTCAACGCGCGCATCAAGAAGATTGGCGTCAAGAACTGCTCATTCCCTCTTTTCGTCTCCGAAGATGTCCTGAACAGGGAAAAGGATCACATTGAAGGCTTCGCTGCTGAAGTCGCTTGGGTGACACATGCGTACGATCCCCTCCAAACCTTCTACATGTGTTTTACTTCCCCATACTCCAGTTGCTGATATATTCTCTTATCCTATAGCGGCTCTACTCCTCTTGAGAAGAAGATCGCTATCCGTCCGACATCGGAGACTGTTATGTATCCTTACTATGCCAAGTGGATCAGGAGTCACCGTGACTTACCCCTCAAACTAAACCAGTGGAACTCCGTCGTCCGGTGGGAGTTCAAGCACCCCCAGCCTTTCCTCCGAACCCGTGAATTCCTTTGGCAGGAAGGACACACGGCTCACTTGACAAAGGATGCTGCCCATGATGAGGTTATGTACATTCTCGACCTGTACGCCCAAATCTACGAGGAGCTCCTGGCTGTCCCCGTGGTCAAGGGTCAAAAGACAGAGAAGGAGAAGTTTGCTGGTGGTCTGTACACTACCACGGTTGAAGGTTATATCCCGGCTACTGGCCGTGGTATCCAAGGTGGTACATCCCACGGTCTTGGCCAGAACTTCAGTAAGATGTTCAACATCACCGTTGAGGATCCCTCCACCAAGGGCGATGAGAAGAAGCCCCCTCTTCACGTGTGGCAGAACTCTTGGGGTCTGTCCACCCGTACACTTGGTGTCATGGTCATGATCCACAGTGATAACCGTGGTCTGGTCCTCCCTCCTCGTGTCGCAGACACTCAAACCGTTATTGTCCCTGTCGGTATTACAGCCAAGACCAGCGATGAGGAGCGCCAGAAGTTGTACGCCGAGGTCGAGGGCCTGGTCAATGTCCTCACCGCTGCTGGTGTCCGCGCCATTAGCGACTTGAGAGAAGGCTACTCTCCTGGGTGGAAGTTTAACGACTGGGAGCTCCGTGGTGTGCCACTGCGTATCGAATTCGGTCCCGGTGAGTCCGCCGGCCAGTTCGTCACTGCTGCTCGTCGTGACATTCCGGGCAAGGACGGCAAGGCCAGCATCCCTATTGCCGAGCTTTCTACTGCAGTCCCCGCTGTGCTGGAGCAAATCCAGCAGGATCTGTACAAGCGTGCAGATGATGAGTTCCGCAGTCACCGCAAGCTTATTACCAACTGGGACGAATTCACCCCCGCTCTTAACGACAAGAACGTCTGTGTCATCCCCCACTGCCTCACCGAGGAGTGCGAGGACCAGATCAAGGAAATGAGCGCACGCAAGGCAGAGGAAGACTCCGGCGTTGCTCAAGATGCCAAAGCCCCCAGCATGGGTGCCAAGTCCCTGTGCATTCCCTTCGAGCAGCCTGAGGGTATCACCGCTGGCGAGACCAAGTGTGTCAACCCCAAGTGCACCCGGCTCGCCGAGAAATGGTGCATGTTCGGACGTAAGTTGAAGCAAAAGCTCCTATTTCCGGACAAAAGAAATGAACTAACCTCCCATCATAGGTTCATACTAAGCGCAATAGATCGCCTTGGTCTTATCTGCATCAATGTCAAATAGCACCTAGCAGGCGCATTAGAACAAGCACTATGAGTTTGATGACAACATTTTCTTTAAGTCCCTTTTTGTATCTCAGGTATTCGATTTGTATTGTGCCCGGCAAACAGGACATCGTTCAAGTAAGACAGACACATAATCAAGAAAAGAGGAAGAGACAATTATATCCGACGCGAGTTTTATGGAGTGTGTGCGGTTAAAAGATGATATACCTTTGCAGTTTACAGGTTGGGGTCGGGGGTTGTCGTTTTGAAGCTAGTTAGCGGGTGGAAATGAAATGAGCTACGACTAATTGACGTGGTCTTGATCTTCTACTAGTTTATCATGGTATAATTCAAGAGTCTTGATCTCAATTGATAGTTTTACTTAGATTCCGGACTGATTGAAGTTATAGACATGGTATGCTAGCAACGCTAATATGCAAGATATGCAGTGATCAACAGAAGGAAATATTCGGACAAATGCCAAGTAGGAAATGCGACGCAAGGATAAGCATAGGATATCATTAGATACAGGTCCACAAAAAGAGAAATAGGTCGGCTAGGGAATGTATGCTCCGGATGATTAAGACGGGGGCAAGAAAGCAAGGGTAAGGAAGCTATTCGCAGGATTTGCGGGATTTGCAGAGTTGAATGAATGTAAACAAAATGTAGCTTGACGTAAGACTACATTGTATCGTTAGGGAGTATAAGTAGAACTGTGAAGGAATGGAAGGGTAGGGTAGGGTGGGGTATATTAGGTCGAGTTCAGTTGAAGCCTCGGGTTGTATATTTCATGGGAGGTTCAATAAGATGCTACTGAACGAGTCGTGAGTTCGCCCCTGGATGAAGAGCGAGAGGGGCTGCTGTTGTTCTCGTTTGAAAAGAAGTTGCCTCTGAGGCTTAGGCTCCGGCCTGACCTCTGTGGCCAGCTCATTAATCTGAAGGCGTTTCGTGGAGTAGTATTGTCGGTGATGTAGGTCACGTTGTTCTCGTCAACAGCGTGGATTTGTAACTGGGGAACCCCGACACTAGGAAGCTCGATCACCTCTTCGTCGCTGTCATCCGCAGAGAAACTGATGCGACTCGTGATAGATGATGGTGATGCTTGTGCGCGCATGTGAAAAATGGAAGGTGCTGGGTTGGAACTCTCCGAGAAGCCTGCGAGAGGCACAGGACCCGGCGACCGGAGGTTCCTACCCATTTTTGGTACATCTCCTGAGCTGATACTCGCAGAGGACTTTTTTGACTTGAGGAGATCCACGCATGTCACTTGTGTTTGAGGTGTTTGGCGGTTCTGCTCTAAGGTATTGAAGAATCCGGGTGACGGAGGAGGTGCATCAGTGTGTCTTCGCCGCCTGGAGGCTTCAGATGATCTCCAGAAGACTTTTGAAGGCACACTAGTGGATATGCTCTTTCGTGCCTCCGACCCTCTCCTGTGTTTCTTGAAGGAACCTCGCCTGATTAACTTGGAGATCTGACCTTCTCTCAGAGACATGGTACGATTCATGTCTGAGCTCCTTCTTGGTGCCTCAAGGTCTGGAGAGAATACATCCTGAGAGGGAGACGGGGTAAATGGAGGCCCAGGCTCAGGATGTGGTACACGTCGGAATGCCTCATGGGAATTAATCTCTCGGATGATCGCATCCTGAAGAGTCTCATAAGTAGGGTGTGGAGAGATAGCCGTCGACGAAGTATAAGCCTGTCGGAACATATCCATTATTTCCGCGATTTTCTGGTCCGACTGAAGCGCTGGGGATGGAGAGGTTGGCGTCGCTGCTGGAAGAGGGCTGTTCATAACTTCTGCAATACTAGGGGCTGCTTTTATCCCGAGGTTACTCGGAGTAGGTGGCTGTATGGCGCGATGCGTTATCTTCGCCGTCGGTTTTCCGCCAGCTGCCAATTTTGTATCAATTGAGAGGTCCCGGACATTCTTTTTGGACTTCGATTTCATAGTATTTGGCGGAGTGTGACTATGGGATGTTAAGGAGGAGCTGCGGCTCCGGCTTGAGCCGGAAGAAGGGTCTCGCCCTGGCTGGCGCTCGTTCGTCTCCGTTACTATGGCGGGCAGCGTTGGGCTGTCCGGTAGAGGAGTGTTGCTCCACGTATCACCTTGTTTATAAGCAGGGGGTACACCGAGAAATTCACTCGATCTTGACTCAGTTTTCCTAGGAGAGCCATTGGTTGTTTCGGCAGACATATTTGGCACTGACCTTTGCTGTCGGAGAGAGCCTTCACTAGCGGAAGACACACCTTGTGGCGAAGCGGTAGCCTGATCGGTATGAGGAGCCATAGACCTCGGAGCTTCCTGGGACATCGATCGAGTCAGTCTGCATTCAGCCTTTGAGCGAGGACGGCAGCGTGCTTCATCCCGAGGACTCTGCGCATTCCTTTGAAAGGAGTTGCCACGAGATCGTGTAGCGTCATTACGAGAAGACTGGCGACCACCATTCCTGTTTCTGGCAATGTTCCTGTCCGCCACATCTTCTTGATGTAAAGCAGAGATGATGCGCGAGTATACAGTTGGTTTGCCTGACTGCCCTTGAAGGAACCGCGTCATGTTTCGTTCTGCGATATCTTCATTATAAGGGCTAATTGGTGACAACGTCTGCACACTCTGGATATGGTATCGATGGGAAGAGAATAAAGCTTCCAACAAGTCGACATGCCGAGGGCTTTTAGCTGTAGCACGACTCGAGGCCCTAGATGGCGGAGCTGGTGAGCGAGGAGACAGCGGCCGAGCCTGGAATTGATCATGCAAGGATTCGAATTGCTTCTCAATTCGCTGAAACGGATGATCCATTCCTAGGTACTGCGAAGTCCTCGCACTCGAGGACACATCACTATCTGGTGTATTGGTTGCCTGGGTAGTGCTATCTCTAGAGTTTGTGGATGGGGTTCTCTCCGCATGGAAAAATCTCTTCAGAGTAACCATATTGGGCGAATGTAGAGCAAGCAAACTGCCTGAATACCGCTCAATCCTCGATCGCAACACCGCCCTCGGTTATCATGTACAATCAGGCACGTTCGGCAAGGAGATACTTCAATATTATATCTTAAAGAGAGAATAAACCGAACCTCAGGGCGCAAACGAATGTGAGGGAATTTGGGAAATGAAGGACGACGGAAAAAAAAAAAAAAAAAAAAAAAAAAAAAAAAAAAAAAACACACAAAGGGTCAGATGGGAAAAGAAGTCAAAGCGGGCAACCTCTTTTACATTGCTTTCATGGCGACATCGATGTGCACTGAAGTTTCTCCTCGAACCCTATCGATATTATACTGATCGCGAGTAAGTAATGGTTTGGGGAAAGAAGGAATCTCCAGCGAAGAACGACGGATGGAGGAGACCGGGAAAGAAAGAGTTTACTCCATACGCTCAAGATTTAGTGGGTTTGCAGATCCCATACCTGTTCCTGGATCCAGGGGAAGTACATGGGTCAGTCTCCAGGGCCCATCGACCGACGGACAAAGCGATGGGGCTGAGGTCTCTGTCCGCCGACGGGGAAGTAAAAGACTAGTCAGAGACAGCCCAGCGTTAAGACCAACGCCATGTCCAGGGTCCAATGTGATAGCCCACTCGTGGCCAACCCAATTGAGTCTTTCCTTTCACTGGTGGCTTTGTCATAATCACTAGCATTGCCATTGTCATGGCGTTCAGCCGGCCGTCGAGGAGACTACTCTGTACACGAACTGTCAAAATCCTTGTGTAGCATGTGCAGGGACCCTTTCCGTCTATGGTTAAGGTGCATACACCATCATACATGACCTAAAAGCAGAGCATCCACTCCACTTGACAGCAATGCCACTCAAATTGGATCTCCACGTTCTTCCACCCAATTAGGGGGCGTCATGGCCCTATGTAACAGTGGAACCGTGAGGCTAGTGGCATAGCTTGGGAGGGCTAGGCTTACGCCTTTACGGAAAACAGTCGAGCGGAAGTGGGAACATGGGAAAACTCATTTGCACGCGCACACATAGGATCAAAAAAAGAAAGAGTTTGGGGATCATACCATCGGTCATTATGGTTCTCTTGGTTACCGACCGGTACGGAGAAAGTTCACCAGGTACGGTATGAAAAAGAAGTTTGGTTTGAAATATGGGGCTCGGGTAGGAAAATTGTGGGCCAGTCAAATCCCGGGAAGTTGTGCTCTACAGTTCATACTAGCCTCATCCAGGTTTAGTAGATTACTGAGCCGAGGGCCCCATTGGTGTATCATCGGCAGGGGATCGTCAACAGGTGATTCCAATAGGCTTAAAAGGGGCACTTTTGTAGAAGCCGAACTTCCACTGGATTGTCTTCGTTTTTCCCACCAATTTCCGACGACCAAACCATTGGGAAGGTTTTTGAAATTCAGTAATTACGGAGCAAGGAATCCTTGCGGATTACTTCCGATGGTTTCAACCCGTTTCAATTCCTCTTTCGAGATCAACTTCCGAGGGCCGGTTGTTGATCAAGGAAGACGGTAAGAACAACAAGCAGGACTTTCCTTTTCCTTCTCCTAAGGCCCTCGTGTCAACCGCCATATTAAGCTAGTACTCCTGGTGGCTCCTCCGTGTGTGTGACAACCTATGCAGATAACATTAAAATCTCTCTAGGGCTGTGAATGATTAATAGGGAGTTGTATACATGTCTCAGAACCACTCCATGAACACCAGTTTGGCGGAGGCCCTTCGAGGATCTCAAGGCGACGAGATCATTAGATTACTGAATAAGGCACGGCTGGATCTTGTAGAATAGGGCCGATGAGCCTAGGAAAACAATCTAGATGTGGAGAATGCAGGAAAGAATAGGAACACTGAACTACTTAATTAATTATAATGATTTAGTCCCTTTGGTTGCCTACGGAAGAGCTTCCGATTGCTTTACAGAGCTATCACCAATAATAGATCTTTTAGTAAACGAAAGTCAAGGTCCACACTGTTCAATTACCTGACAGTACATCCCTCCCCTGAGTATGGAGTATCTAGGTATCTATCAGAGTGGACTACTGTACTCGACCCTCGGAACCGTTGAAGCGGCACTACCACTAAATGCAAAATTTGAGTCCTTCGGTGGAACGGCGAAAGGAAGACAATTGACTGACAACCTGACATCCTTGGGACAAAAATCGCAGTTATGGCAGAATGGATGTACAGTACAGATGAAGAAAGACCGAGACCACCTCTCCTTGACATGAGTTCTCGAGAAACGAACTATATCTATCCCAAAGCAAGATTGGGCATTGTTCCTTGAACTTTACACCAAAGCACTAATCCTATTTCACGGCGATGCTATTTCTAAACCGCCCCGAAGCACCAGACTAACAGGATTAGGTATAAGCATCAACGATCCTCATCAGCAACGGAATCATCGCCCACAGCACGGAGTACACTATGACCATTTCAGGTAAATAAGACGGCGTCTTCTGTTGATCCCTGCGGGTCCAGAACGTAGGCTGATAACTTAAGGATCTTATTGATCTTTCCTGCCCAACGGGACGTTTACTATCATAATCCTGATTCAGATGAGAATATCTATCTATCATAATCAACCGCAACTGCCATGGCTCGCTAAAAGCAAGCTAGTAAGATTAGCGGCTGTTGGTCTCCTGAGATCTTTCTCCATACGGCTAAGAACCCATGTGATTAGCACATCTCCTGGCAGATATCACAGTGTCAATAGCCAACAAAGGACGCGTGCCATATGATCTTTTCTGGATGATCCCTTCAAGCACTATTGCAATCATGCACCATTTCTTCGGCAGAAGCTGGCTGAACCGTGCATTTGACACACTAACGGTCTTTAGTCTCAGTCAAGGAAACTCATAGCTAGCCAAAAAAGCAAGGGACCGGAGGGTGGCTTGGATTGATCGATAGCCGATCTGTGAGCTATAGAAAAGACGTCGGTCGACTATGGGGTATCTTCAACGGTCTACGTTGCTTGCATACGCATACCGTCATTGCGGTCGCCAAGGCTTTCAATTCTTCACCTACTACTTCGTAATCCAGCTAGCTAAGCTTCATCCGAGACCATACTACCAGTCAAATCCCACCCATTTTCATAGCCTCACTTACTTGAGATCGTCCCGTGCTACCAAGGAATAACAGCTTCCCCGAATCATCCATCATATCTCCCGGGTTGACACCTCATAGTCCCTTGCAGGTCACATGTGTGCCGGCGTGAGCTAGTTTGACTGCGCGGGAACCTTGTTATCGCCGTCATTTTGAGCAACACCGTCATCTTCAGGCTCGTTGATCTTCTTCCACTTCACTCCGCGTTTCTTCGCAGGCGATGCGGTCTTCGCGGGAGAGGCGGCAGGTGTGGACGCAGCCGATGGGGACACGGCAGACGGTTCGCCCGCCTTGGTATCCTCGGGGCCGATTGCCATCTCTTTTTCAATTCTGGCCTTCAAGCGAGACCAACGCATACGCGCGGCAGGGACGTTGATGTGAGTAGCCTCGGCCACGGCACTGAAGTCGATCTGCAAAGTACTTGTAAGCTTTACGTTTGCCGAGATAAATCATATGCTAAAGGATGACTGTAGGGATATATGTGGGGAAGACTATTGTTGTCTTGGATGCCGGTTTCCTTTGGGGCGATATGTGAGAGCTTACATTGTTGACGCCTGCAGAGTTCACCAGACACAGGTAAAGGAACACAAGGTGGTCATCAGGCTTTGATTTGGGAGGCATGGCTGCAGATTTCACGATAGACTTGTCGGTGTGGTCAATGTTATTATATTTGTAGTGTAGTGAAAGCTGACCGAAGTATATAGATAGGGAGGTGGTTTTGTGAGAGTTAATATGTTCTTTGTGGGTGAGAGAAACACAGAGCTTGCAGCTGTGATGTTTAGGTGAATCAAGTGAATACAAGCTCTCAGTTACTAGAAGGTAAGCCTATCAGCAATGCAGGCTCGACAACTAATCAGTTCATTCTATCACAGGGCAGATGGCCACATGAAGTCTCAGTTCAGTCTAAATACAGAAACAAAGTATACCCAGAGCATGTTGAATATGTTGGTAATTTTCAAGCCTTTTCAGCTTTTTATATTGTTGCTCAGTAACAGGGGGCCTGTAGGACCTTGAGGACCTTTGTATGGGCTTGCCTATATAGAGGGCCTCACCTATTGTTCTTGTTGATCATCAGGCTTATGAAAATTATTGTTTTATCATTTCAGAGATATTTCCACACGACAGAAACCAACTACATTCAATGCTAAACGAGATAGTTGATAAAGGATATATTAGACCATGCAATGTCATTTCATCTTGGCTTTCAGCCTGTAACTCATTGTGTACCACCTCCCCGAGGAACCAGACCAGCAAAGCGCTCTGCAGACTCCCTTACAGCCTCAGCCAGAACGGAATGCGCCCCCCGGGCTGCATCCACAGCACCATCTAGCAGAGCTTCACTTCCGGAGCGCTTATCATCGGACCCTAACAGCACTTTGGAGGTGTCGCCCTTGAGCCAAATCTCTGTGATTTCATCTCTAGAAGGCATATAAGCGACCACACAAGCGGACATTATGGCCCGGTGCTCCGCTGGATCTGTGTCTAACATCAATTTTGGCTTGGGTTTACCGTCTTCCGATTCATCGGCGACAATAGCAGCCACGCCTCCAGCAATGAGATCAAGGCAGTCAATCCTAGCATCGGCAATGGCTGCAGATGCAGCAGTGACACATCCAGCAAGAACGTTCATCATTCCCCACGAAGCATCATGGGAGTCTGGCGCATCGCCCCACCAGCGGTCGTCTTCTGCTTCTAGGATGGTGATAGTGATATCCAGTCCACTCTTCGGCCACCGTTCAGCAACAATGACACCTCTTAAAGCGGTCTCTAAGTGTACACCAAGATCGCGTTCGCTGGCATCGCGGATATGCCCTTTCCTCTTACGGCCGGCGAATGGAGCATATTTGACGTGAGTTGTGAGAACTAGATTTGGAGAGAATGTAGCAGAGCGAGGAAGTGGTTTCGGCCCATGAACTGTGCAAGCGAGTTTCAATGCCGATGAAGGAGGAATTAGAGACTTGGGAGACGAGCGTGCGGCGGCGAGTGAAGCTGAAGGTTCATATTCAAGGTAGGCGGATCCAGATGCAGAAGGAATAAGGCCGGTTTTCAGAACTAGATTGAGTCTATGTAAGTCAAAGAAACTATATGAGATATTCACATGGGGGGTTATAGAGCGTACAGATTTTTCGCAATTCATTCGGCTGTCTCTGACGTTGTGGTCGCGCAGTCGCAATATCAGAGGCGGAGTTTCGAGAAAAGGAAAAGACTGCAGACCTCGTGCCGCTAGGCGGCCCATTGATTCTTCTTCGGTCAGTCATTACACATTACTTGGTATACCCTGGAATAATTGATGAGGGAAGCGACGAGCAAATACTTTGCAGAGACTGAAGACTTGAAGGCCGTCTGGAAGCTGGCTTCGAATCCCAGAAACGGAAATCTACAATTTTGGAGGGATGTTTGTTCTGTTTGCTTAGGTGGAGTCGGCGCCAAATTTTCCTTCCTTTTCTACCCTTCTTCTGCCCTTCTCTTCTTCGCTTCCTCTTCTCTTCCTTTCACACAACATTCAATCCATAGGTTGTTATGCTTAATGATGCAGTTCTGTCGAAATGTGTGATTTTCTTTTCTTGCTTCAACGCCAGCATCTCAGTAACTAACTATACTATTGTGAGTCTCCAATCCCCAATATCCCACCACAATTTGTATGAGGAAAACTATCCAAAATTTATGTTCGGCGACAAACGAATGGGCCATTGAACAACATGCACTACCATCTGACAATAATTCTTCCCAATTATTTATGTTATGATCAACATGCTTGGCTACATGCTTACGATGATCATTAGACAGGAATACAAATTAGCTACAAACCTGACCTGAAGGTCTAAAACTAATATGGTATGTTTATTTTTTTTATTTTTTCCCTGGCCTGCTTCCATGATGTAAAAAAGTTTTATTCAGTTCTGCTTCTGCAAATATATTGAAGAAAACCTAACCATACCAAACCTTCTGATCCCTTTTGGAAGTCTCTCTATTATTGTTTCTACTTACCCTAGCTGTACGACAAGTCGCTAACAGCTACAAGGATAACAGGAACTGTACACCACACAACAAACACATATCAAATCCATCATTCCCACTAGGTATGCAAATTCTTATCTCACATCCACTTCACCACTTAGTCATTATGATGACAACAAGTCAATCCATTCAATGATCTCCTTTGGAGAAACCTCCCCTCGGGCTTGTGTCGATCTGACAAGCAGTGTTTTGGTACAATGATCTACTCATCCATCTCCCTTATACTGGACCATCTGTCTGCCGTCTTTCTCTTGGAAGATGGTGACGATTGGGAGGAAGGTTGTGGAGCTTCGGATAGTGGACTCATATCGTTGTATATCAGCACTGCCGCTGTTGGTTCTGTCTTTGCTTGACTTGTGTCAGTTTATACCTTTCGCCTTGCTGTTCGTTTTGATCGCTTGGAGTTGGGTAGCGGCTGGCAGGGGATGGGATGAATTAACCGGCTTGGCTGATCAATCCATTACAACTGCCCTGTACATGGGCAGTTTCTTGCGACGTCACACTCCGCTTCTTTGATAGCACATCGTGCTGACAGCTGGATAGATTGTAGGCTTGTACACAGACTTGGGCATGGTGATACTTCAGTCTAGTTCATCAGAAATAATCTTATTACCTTTTCTATATCGTGCCATGCTGTTCATTGTCGTACTTTTCACTGTAGAGTGTAGTCGTAAAGAAAAATAATATATTCATTTCTATAATATATACGGGAGTCGGAAAACCTATCACCATTAGGTAAACACGTCTTGACACAAGAAAGACGGGCCGGTTAACTCACTTCCTCAACCATAGTAGCTTTTCAGCCCTTTTTGTTTTCCTTAACGATATTCCGCTGCTGCGACATACATCAAGCAGCAGCGTCCATTTACATAACAATAATTGCATCGGACAGGCTACTCTCAAGTTTACCGTCGAAGAAACCCATATCGTGGCTCATAAACAACATATAATATCATCGACCAGCTGCCCACTTGGCATTTTCTATGCTTTACTCCTTCCTCTCGGTTGGAGTTGATGCGCCATCCCTTGACATACTGTAAGGAGCCTGCATTAAACGATTAGCGTTGAGTGGCAATGGATTTTACATTGAGATATATACATACCAGGACCCTCTTTGCATTGCATATCCTCCAGGCGAGGTTGCGAACAGTTCCATCAGCTCGAACAACTTCAGGCGCGAATTCAACACCAAACCTATGATAGAGTTAGCATGAATGCGAAAATGAATGCCGCTAAGGGGGAAAAGGAAAAAGACAACTCACATCTGGTGCAAGGCAAAAACAACGCGTTTGGCAAATTTACCATCGCGGTCCACAAGGCTTCCGAACTGCTCCTCCACGGTCTCCGGTGCGATTTCTGGGTCCCGATCGAAGCAGTTGCGAATAACAGGTAACAGGCTCCTCTCAACAGACGTTTGCGTAATATCATGGTCATCCTCCTCTTCATATCGACCAATGCGAATTTCAAATGGCCTGGAGATAGCCATGACATTATGCTTGGAATTGTGATGATAGCGGAATTCGAAGACACCCTGTGTCCAGAAGAGTTTATCGCCAGAGAAGATAACCTCACCAGTCGCAAGATCACGCTTTTCGCCGCCCTCGTTTTGTGTAGAGATAACGATATCGCTCTTAGCAATTCCCTTCTCACATGTCAAGTTGTCGTAGACGCCTTCGTTGACAGCAATCCATCTGCCTTGAGAGGAGACCCGGGAAACTTCGCGAGATGTATTATCAGTGACCTTGTACAAACCAATCCAATCCTTCTTGCTATGGTTGAGGGGCGCAGTCCACTTGACTTTGATCGGTGCACCATATTCGAACATGAGGTTTTTCAGGTCGCCGCGTCTGTCAAGAGGCATGCGAGCGTTAGCGCCCTCTCTACCAGTACCCTGGTCATATCCAGCTAAGTAAGACAAATCAGTGCCTTCAACTTCTAGAGAATAGTCTCGCGAATCATATCCCGCCAGGTCTGCGTCAATGCGTGAAATAGTGACACGGGCGGGGTAATTCTGGAAAAGAGCAGTAGTATCCTTAACAAATGTGTTGACACCATCAGCGAGCTTCGGGCGTGCTGTCTCGAGGAATTCTTCGATGAACTCGAATGACTCATCGAATATCTTATCAACACTTCCGTGGAGCTGCCTAAGAGGGGATGGCAGGGATTTTTTCAGGCTCTTTACAAGCCCCGCATCCTGCCGCAGACTCTGGCCATAGAGCTTTTGCATATGCGGACGCTCGATGAATTGGATGAAGGCCAGACTGAGAATGTGACTGAGGAGTGCTAGGAAGGTTATTGCTCCGCTGCTGGTGATAAGAACAGCTCCCCAGACACCGGCCAGACCTAGGACACGCTCTGGGTTGTTCAAAAAACGGTATATTCCATTATACGTCAACTTTGAAGACCCATCAAAGAAGAAATCGCCGTAGAACCAGCCAAATTCACCGAGAGACTCATAGATGCTGACTGAAGTCCAAATCTGCAAACTAATAAGGCCAGCTCCCATGACATGTCGGAGTAAGACGAGGCCATATCCCCAATCAGCAGGGAAGGTGTACATCTTCCATACCGCAGCAATAAAACTTGCGTAGCACATGATCATGCTCAGATGATATGTACCTTTCCACTGGTTCCATGCTTCTTGAGGAGTTTCACCATACTTGACAAAGTGTCGGGTCCACGTCTTATAGTTCGATTGACGATGGAGCATGTACCCAACACCGACTGAGAACCAAAGCCTCCATACTGCAGCGTTGGCTACGAAAAGAAATTGGTACCACGGTGTAGAGGGTGTCAACACAGTGAGAGAAAATACGAGAAATTGGATAAGGACAGAAGAGGTATCCGTTATCCGATACAGATCCAGATTGTGGAGCCCCAATAAATTGTGGACCGACTGCGGTGGACTGCTTGAGAAGGTTGGCGCGTGGGGGGCTTGTTCATCAACCGGTGTTGGCGCAATGGGCGAATCCGTAGTGCGGCTCGAGACAGATACAGTTTCCTGCTCTGCTGGTCGCTTGCGGGGGGGTGGAGGGTTGTACGTCTTGTCAATATGTGGGTTCTCAACAAGCACTAGAAAAGCGAATTGGGCCGCATGGGCGATTATAGAGATAAAGAGAACTTTGTAGCTCGCTGCCATCAGGGAAATCCCGTAATAGCCAGCGTAGCCAACCGAATACATAGGATGGGGTGCCATCTCGAAGACGCCATCAAACGTCAACTCCTGGTCAATTAGGTAAAAGAAATCACCCCAATACCATGCGAAATCTTTTACCACCCGATGAGCGTCGAGCTTGACCCAAAGGTTGAACAGCACCAACACAATGCCGGCAGACCATCGCAGAACAGTCATCAACAAGCTCTCGTTGACGGGATGGTGACTACAAGCTATCGCGAAGAGACAGTACGACACGAAGTCGCACATCAGTATCAAATCCACAAGCCGTCTAAAGACGAGCCACGTGTTGTACTCAATGGGGGCTTCATCGAAGGAATAGTCGTTGGGGATTTTAGTTTCCAACTCCCGCTTAAGAAAGTTGTACAGGTTAGCATGGGGGTTCTGGCCCGTAGTGGGATTCACGAAGACCTTGGTCTGCTCAGCCCAACGGACCAGTGTTTTGTGGTGAGATTGATTGTGAAGAAGCCATCCAATGCCAGCGTTGTAGGCCACACGCCAGAAAAGGTAAATGATGGCAAAAACAGGTACCTTAGCACCGGCGGGAAGCTGCCATAAGAGATATATATGAGCACCAAGTATTGCGAGAACAATAACATCAGAAAGGTTCTTTGGTTCTGAGGGCGACAGGAGTTGAGACACCATGTCGTGGGTTTGCGGCACCGTGAACACTGCGGAGTGGCATAGAGTTAGTTTATTTCCCGCAATAATAAATACAGGGATACACGTTGCACATGTTCATTTAAAAATCTGTCACCAATGCATAGAGTTGAGCTCAATTATCAAGGAAGATATGTAAGACATACCGGTACCATCAGATGTGCGACCGTATGTCTTGCAGTCCTTGCCAGTCTTGTCCTTGAGCTCTACGTCACCAGTGGCTGTGAGAGTCTCGGGACTAAGAGTCGAGGTAGTCTGAGAGGCCACATTCCTCTCACGAAGGCCTTCATCATCGATCCGGGTGCTTGTTGAAAGTCCACGATCCATGATTGAGACTCAACGGGCAAAAATGTTGAAAGAGTGACGGGGATTCAGTGTAGGGGCAAAAAGCATGTGAGAGGAAGTAGGGGTGGCTTTGCTATTTAAGAGACTCAGGATCTATGATTGGTCTGCGTCATGTGAGGCGCAGATCCACAAAGAGAAGATGAAAAACAAAAGGAAGCGAACAAAAAAAAAGAGAAGAGTTGACTTGGCCGGAGCAATTTATCCCTTTTCTTTTCTTTCTCTTTTTGCTTTTCCTCCGTTCTTACGGGGAACCAGGCAGACCGTCTTTAATTTATTCTTTATTCTCTTACCGAACCGTTGAGAAAGAGAGGAGAGACAGCAATCGTACAAATCCTAGAGTGGAACCGGCGGACTGGGGGAAAGCAACATCGGTCACAGCTAGTGGCCAAATTGAGGCCAATCATGACCATGGTCGGGGCTCCAGTTGGCAAGGGAAGAATGGGCCGGAAGAAGGAAGAATGACCGCTTGTTACCATGTTCCTCTCTAGTGTCATCTAGTTTGCCCTCTAAATCCTCAACAAGATGCCTCTGAAGGCTTGGCATTACTTGGTTGATTTTGTTAACCAGGCACATGGTTGTCTGGAACGTGCTACTAATCAATCACCCTCAATGTCAATGCACAAGCGTTATATTTCCACACAGTAAATCCTCACCCAAACCGTTTTACACCACATGAATGGACATGGTAGGAAGGCAGATCTACTGAATGATATCCTGTAGCGGTAATTGCGAGCGAGTAATTTCTAACCCTGTACTGTCGCTCACTCTTTTCTCATTGATTGAGCGAGTGATTGGCCTATTATCATTAAGGACATGGATTTTAGGCGCATATGCGTATGCATCTCCTTATGCACGCACGGACGTGACTCTCTGTATGGGTGCAACAGGCACAAGTCAAGGAGGCTATGCGTACCAACTATCCTGCTTTTTCTTTATTAACTTATATTATCCATATCAGATATATGTCAAGGTGTGCCTGTGTCTGAGAACTCTCATGCACCTAGACATGCATGCATCCTGAAACCCGAGGAATGACTGCAATGGATTGGAAGGGAAGATTCGGGTTCGATTGATAGCGACCCGATCTCTGGGTCACGCCTCACATTTTGAATCGTCGAGGAAGCCGATACCTTGCTTATTCGATCACCACCCTGACTATAACTATTACTGTCACGGAGATCATGATAATATCATTGATATAACTTACTTCTTTTTTTTTAAAGTTCTGACACTGCATCTCTACCCCTCTCTGGTATACCCCGTTCGAATGAACCGGGTGATTCTTCCAAGTACTATCCGTGTCCCACGACTGGGACGTCGGCAACTCCATTGGATATCGCCTTAACCGATGCTTTCATTCGACGATGTCTCTGCATATTTAGAGAATTATTCCATTCCGAAGATTCCGTCAGACGCGAAGAATGATCATTCAACCCTCGAGTTGGTGTGTCAGTCTACTCCACATGCACCGCGGGACAGCCTCTGCCTCACAATGAAAGTTGACTAAAATGTCTCTTTAACAGCTCGATGACTTTCCCGCAGTAGATATCCCTGTTAAGAAGTCAATGGATCCATCTTATTGAGCATAGTTTCCGTGGAGTTCATTGGTGTTGATTCATAGATGCTAGTGCAGCCAAAAGAGACGGAGTAGCTCTTGCGAAGAGACCACCCATACTACTACACGGTTAGTGCTATGGAAGGTAGCTTAACGATGAAGGCTTGACGGAAATTACACTGAATTATCGAGAAAAATAGGCTGTACATAGTAGTCTTTTTATTTTATTTTTGGATCGTTTTTCCTTTTGTTTCATAATCCAGGAACATATCCATTTTTGCGCACGCTTTTTGAGTCGTGCCCCTCTTCTACCCCTCAGTGATTTTCGCATAGGTTCGGATGTGACATCTCGACTGAAGTTAATCCTTACCCGCTCGTTCCGGAAGGTCACAAAGATCAGTACATCGTAATGACCAAGTTAATGTCAACAAAATTATTTATTTATATTTTTTTTGTGAATCTCCGTAAGGACAAAATTTCCAATGAGAATCGTATCGAAGACTTCGACACCGCGCAAGTAGGGACTAAGTATCCAATCGCCACGGGAATGTTTGTAATCCCAATGTCCTTAACCTTATCTAATCAAATCGATTATCAAGCATTTCTTCCGCCACCTTTATCTAACTTTCCATCAAATGCTGCATGTGCACGAGATCTTCATTCTCATTTTAAATTCAGAATCATAGCAGGGTGATAATATTACAATATGTCGCCGAGTCTAGTCGCTCCAGAGCCAGGTATGTGTGTGTGCCACTAGTATTGTCTCGACAGGCTTTACTAACCGTCTCCAGAGCATTGCCCTGGCCCTGAATCGGAGCAGGCAGGTCAAGGTGATGCTTGCGCCGGCTGCCCCAATCAATCGATCTGTGCCTCCGCTCCGAAAGGCCCCGATCCCGATATCCCCATTATTCAAGAGAGGCTCTCCTTGGTTCGACACAAGATCCTTGTACTATCTGGGAAAGGCGGGGTCGGTAAATCGACCTTTTCCTCCCTCCTCGCCCACGCGTTCTCCGCGAATCCAGACTCTATGGTGGGCTTGATGGACACAGATATTACTGGGCCTTCGATTCCGAAGCTCATGGGTGTCGAGTCGGAAACGATCCACGTGAGCAACGCAGGCTGGAGTCCGGTGTGGGTGACAGACAACCTAGGCGCAATGAGTGTGCAGTTCATGCTTCCTAATCGGGACGATGCAGTGATCTGGAGAGGTCCAAAGAAGAATGGACTTATCAAACAATTTCTAAAGGATGTGGACTGGGGTGAGCTGGACTATCTCATTATCGATACGCCACCGGGAACCTCTGACGAGCATCTGTCCGTTAACTCCCTACTGAAGGACTCCGGGGTGGATGGTGCAGTCGTTGTGACTACGCCTCAGGAGGTTTCTCTATTGGATGTGAGAAAGGAGATCGATTTCTGCCGCAAAGCAGGTATTCGAGTCCTAGGGTTAGTTGAGAACATGAGCGGGTTTGTCTGCAAAAATTGCAACACTGAAAGCCAAATTTTCCGGGCCACAACGGGCGGCGGTAAGCGACTCGCGAAAAAGATGGGCATCCCGTTCCTAGGGGCAGTCCCTCTCGACCCTAGAATCGGAATGGCCTGTGACTACGGTGAAAGCTTTGTGGATGGTTTCCCGGATAGCCCGGCGGCGAAGGCGATCAAGCAGGTCGTGCGCGCAGTCGGCGAGTTGGTTGGAGAAGATCCTGATTCTGTGCTACCGGATGATACAGTAGAGTGATGTCTGCATTTCTTCTTTCGATCCATCTGTTTCAAGCGTGGTTGCATTGGGAGTTTTTGTTAAATCTGCAAGGGTTTTTGGCGTTTCTCTGGCATACAAACGATTTGATACCACTACAGATCATTTGAAGATACCTAAAACACACAATGAGAATTCAGTGCATTTTGCTTAGTGAGCATCAGCTTCCAGACCGATACCATCAGTGGCGAAGACAGGCGCTCGTATCAGTATGTAGTACATTGAAAGGAGCCAAGCCTTAGAAATGTGTACAAGTCAGTCCCGTCTGTAACCCCACCCCGAGATACTCCACGGAGGATTTCACTGGTAGGCAGTTACCTGCCCCATGAGGAGAGAATCGGCACTGCCAAGCACAACTATACTGGCAAAATTGTTATGTGTAAATTGGGCATCCTGTTGATCAACGTTATCCAAGCCGTTCCACTTCTTGGCCCTGGTCAAAATGGTTTTTGTCACATCCTAGGCTTTCTTGTGAATAGGTTATGGGACTCGACTCGTCTTACTATTCCAAATTCCTCCGACTGCTGATTGGACCGGCCACTGAACTGTATTGTCAGCTATTCATGACTGCAGAATTTTATCCACAATGTTGACGCAACCCAGACAGATAAGTAGTCTTGGCTCTCGCCCAGTTAAGATCCCTCCGTGACCAAATGAGCTAGTAAATTATATCTATCAGATTCTTGTGAAAAAGCTGATCATATCGGTGCAACGCTAAGTGGCTCTACCTAAATTTAAAAAAGAGCCAATAACAGCTTAATCTTTATAGCTCTTTCTGGGGAAAATCCATCCATGCCTGTACCACGTCTTTATACCCAGATCACACAAGTATAAAAGCCGTTGGCCGAGTCCGCCGTGAATGGCTAAACCGTAGAGACAACGCCGCTTCAGGTCTTCAAGCTGAAACGATCCATCGAGATGCTGATTGGTCTCTAAATTTGCCGCCGGCGGGCCACAAGTTCGGGTGTTTCAATTTCTCTTAAGGGGTGCCTTAGCTTCCCGGACTTTAAGTGGTTCCGGCGGCTGCCAAATCCAATACCAAGGTTTGCCATGCCGACCCAAACACTGATCACTCAACCCACTGTGTCAGCCATATTGACCAACGGGTGAGGAATCATGGCGATTCTCAGCGTACGGCCAACGCCATGTCGCCATGGATTGGCTCCTTTTACTCTTGGACCGGTGGACCCAACAGAGTCTACAGAGAACGACGGATGATCTATTGGCCCCTTATGGGTGGACCATATGAGCGTCTCACAAGACTTGGACGATTGCACATAGAGGAATAGTATATCTCTTTAATGGCTCCATCAGGCTGCTGAAGTCCATGCTTTAGCTGTCGAATTTTTTTCCCCTTCCCTTCCTTTTCTGTTTTGGTATCCGTACTTTTAATTCCTCTCTTTCTTAGATATATCCAACTACATCGTTCTAATTCATTCATTTGCGTCTTGCGAGCAAGACGCAATTTTCCTTCTCAGGACTTTTTGCTTTCAGACCATATACAGGCATCCAAGTCAGGCACTTGGCTCTGGTATATACCTTTGTTTCATTCGTATAGTCTATCCTTGCCAAAGAAGGAGACCTACCTCTCTCGACCCCTTCAAAGAGGGTTAATATCGCTCCTTAGAATTTTGAGAAAGTACAAGATAGCCATCATGAGATTTTCTCCGTCTGTCCTAGCCGTTTTGACTCTCACCGACGGCGTATTCTCGTTTCCAGCGTCCTCAAAGTCCCAGCTTCAAGGCAGGTCCTTTAAGGTTGAGCGAGTACGGCGCGGAAACGATGCAATCCACGGCCCGACTGCTTTGCGCAAGGCATACGAGAAATTTGGCATTGTCCCGGCAGATCTTGGGATTGATATGGATGACTTTGAACCTATCACCGCCAGGCATGCTGTTGCTTCGAAGGAAGATGTCTCCGAGCCCGACCAAAAGGGCGCTGTCAGTGCATCCTCGGTGCAGGGGGATGCTGCTTTTGTCTCTCCCGTCACCATCGGTGGTCAGAAAATTGTTCTGAACTTTGATACTGGCTCTGCTGATTTGTAAGTCCAGCTCCACAGATTCTGTAGATCCTGCCCGCTGACAGGTAATCTACAGTTGGGTGATGAATTCGCTACTTCCAGCAGCTGCTCAGAAGGATCGCACAGTGTATAACCCGTCCAACTCTTCTACTTACAAAAAGATGGAAGGGGCCACGTTCAACATCTCCTATGGTGATGCCTCGTATGCGTACGGTGGGGTGGGCACAGATACCGTTAACGTTGGGGGTGCTGTTGTCAAAAACCAAGCCATTGGCATTCCAGATACAGTATCCGACGCGTTCATTGAAGACACAACCTCAAGCGGCTTAGTCGGACTGGGCTTCTCGTCTCTCAACACTGTCAAGCCTAGGCAGAAATCCTTCTTCGAAAACATCGCCGAGAGTCTCCAGGAGCCCATTATGACTGCGACCCTCAAAGCCGACGGCGTTGGCGAGTACGAATTCGGTATGCTTGATCACGACAAATACCAGGGCGACATTGCAAACGTCAGTGTGGACTCCTCTGGTGGGTTTTGGCTATTCAAAGCGGCGCAATTTGCTGTTGGAGATGGGCCCTTGCAAGACATTAAGGAGAACCCAACTGCCATTGCGGACACAGGAACTTCGCTTATGCTACTCAGCCAAGAAGTGGTGGATGCTTACTATGCGGAGGTCCATGGTGCAATCTATACTAGCAGTGCCGGTGGTTACATTTATCCCTGCAACGTCTCCCTTCCAGGTCTTTCAATTGCTGTTGGTTCCAACCATCTGGCCACTGTTCCAGGCAATCTGATCAACTTCTCCGAGGTTGGCGTCAACAAGACAACAGGTGGAAAGGGTAAGTCCTCATATGCCTAATATGCTGGTCCCATTGCTCACCAAACCATTTCTAGTTTGCTTCGGAGGTATTCAATCCAGCCAAGGGTCCTCGATGCAGATTCTTGGCGATGTGTTTTTGAAGGCCTTCTTCGTGGTCTTCGACCTGCGCGGCCCTTCTCTCGGGATTGCCTCCCCCAAATGATTCGAAAATATTTAAAATTGGTCACATCGAGTGGCAAATATTGAAGATAGAGCTTCACAGAATACAACATACCGGTACATACATCCTATCTTTCTCCCTTATCTGCGGATCGAACCCAAGATAAGATCAGATCTATGGACCAAAAAAAGCCAACACTACCTAGTTTCAGGACCATTCATCAAGGGGAACAGTAGTAGAGAAATGTAGGAGAATAAAGTATAGTTCACAAGGTTTCAAAGGATCTGCACTATGTCAGAACAGTGAAATTGAATATTATGCTTAAATGGAGGTTGTTTTGGAATGCTGAGTCATGTCGATGCACTGGGGGCTTAACCCGATTTAGTTAGAAGCTTAAAAGGCTTAGAGTGAGGGAAGAAGGGGAAAAAAAAAAAAAGGAAAAAAGGGAAAAAACACGCCCTTTAACCCGCTGGCAAGAGACGTCGCGCGTTGTATTCTCCAACTAGATTAGCTTTATGAAGACTATTTAAAAGGGAAAACCCATTACGTATTTTCAAAGATCCCATTTTTCTGGGATCTTTGTGGGAATAAGCCAAGTTGTCTCCCCTTCAGGCTGGCGTGACCCTTCTGCGGGCCGCAAGAAGAACCCCGCGGTTGGTTCGGCCTTTGGGACTGCATTTGGGAATCATTTCTGTTGCCCCTCCTCACACAACCTCACCTTTGTTCTTGACTCGCGTCTGCCCATTCGCAAAAATGGCGATTAATTCTGCCCCTGAGTCCTCCCTCCTCTCCCTCATCTACCGCTCTTACCCCACCGCTGTCTCCCCCGATGCCACGGAGACCGACCTCTTGACCGTCTCGCCCAAGATTTTCCCGCAGACCACCTTCTCCGCTCCGGAAGAGGCTGACATCAAGCAATGGCTGGGAACTATATCTGGTCTCCAGGGCGCCCTTACTAAGGATGACAAGCCCGTGATCACCAACATCCTCGGACAGCTGAATGGCCACCTGGCTACGCGGACCACCATTCTTGGGACAAAGCCTTCCGTTGCTGATATCTCGGCGTACGCTCTTCTGGCTCCTGTGGTGGAGAAATGGAGCCCGGAGGAGCGCACTGGCGAGCAGGGCTACCATCACATTGTGCGTCACATCGATTTCGTGCAGAACAGCCGGTTGTTCGCACTGCAGATTCCCGAGGAGGAAAAGATTGCCATCGATGTGAACGATGTGCGCTTCGTGCCCAAGCCCGTGGACCCCAAGGAAGAGAAGGAACGCAAGAAGAAGGAGAAGGCTGCTGCCCAGAACGCCGGCGCTGCGGCTGAAGGCAAGCCCCTCATCGTTGGAAAGGGTAAGCCCGAGGCAGCGGCCAAGGAAGAAACTCCCACAGCTACCCAGGCTGAAGGCAAGCCCAAGAAGGAGAAGAAGGAAAAGAAGGAGAAGCAACCTAGGGCTAAGCCTGCCCCTGCCTCTGCTTCTCCTCCATCTCCATGCGTCATTGATCTCCGTGTTGGTCACATTCTTCGCGCCGTCAACCACCCAAATGCCGACTCCCTCTACGTTTCGACTATCGACTGTGGTGATGCCCCTGGCTCCAATAACACCTCTTTGGACGAGGAAACTGGCAAGACTGTCCGCACCGTGTGCTCGGGTCTGAACGGACTTGTTCCTCTGGAGGAAATGCAGGGCCGTAAGATCGTCGCCGTCTGCAACCTTAAGCCTGTTACCATGCGTGGAATTAAGTCCGCAGCTATGGTTCTCGCCGCCTCTCCCCGTGTCGCAGAAGGTGAGGACTCGCACAGCGGTCCCGTTGAGCTCGTCACTCCCCCTACTGATGCCCCCGCCGGATCCCGTGTATACTTCGAGGGATGGAATGACGCTGAGCCCGAGAAGGTGCTCAACCCTAAGAAGAAGGTCTGGGAGACCTACCAGCCTGGATTCACAACGACCGAGAACCTCGAGGTTGCCTTTGATGTTAGTGCTGTTCCTGCTGTGCAGGGTCAAGAAGGCAAACCTGCCTTGGGCAAACTGGTTACTGAGGGAGGTCTTTGCACTGTCAAGAGCTTGAAGGGAGCTACTGTTCGGTAGAGAATAATCATTGGATATACTGTGTTTTTTTTTTAAAAAAAGAAAAAAAGAAACAAGAGCGTGTTCAGGTTAGACAAACAGTCCGGTCACTAATTGATGAATGATATGGATATAAACTACTTACGTGATTACTTAGTATGTCTAGTAACCCTATCATTTCTAACGATTAATAAGTTCTCTGTCTTGCTTAGTCTTTCGATTTTAATTTGCCATATTATATATGTACACTACGAACACTGTAGTTCCTTTGTAACTTCCAGATCATGGCATTTTCCGAGTCGCGAGGTCAGCTCTCGATCACACTAACAAATCCAGCGAATTTTGACTCAGCCAGTAGTTTGGGACAAAGTTAGCATCTCGCTCCAATGCACCCTCAATAGCTTATTCAGCCCATAGATGAAATAATCGCACCCTTGGCCAGCTTCGACGTTCGTGCCCCATTCTTCCGTCGAGGTTTACTACCTAGCTAATTGACGGCGACAGGCTATAAGAATAACAGCTTTCTTTATTCCAGCCATCCAACGTATGTACAAAGAAACACGTCTCCACCCTTACCATCCATCTAAGGCTACCATGAACTTAGAAATATCAATGTCTGTCTCTTCACTCCAGACCAACTTAGCGACGAGCCTACCGCTCCCTTCCATGGACCGGCGGCCAGGACTATTTTCTGGCAGGGGAGAATATATGTCTTGTCCGAGGAGCATTTTGAGTCTTCTATTATATTCTCACTTGACGGGATTGCTGCGCTGACGGTTGTGGAGGTCCGTATCTCAACTCCCATCTGCCAACATTACGCTCTAGCCATCTCGCGATACTGCGGGGGGTTTGCTGTGTACATATTGAGTATCACCGAATAAATAGAGAGTTCACGGCGGGTAACAGAACTAGCACCGCAGCACAGAGGCCCCCTCAACTACCCCAATCTACATCCCACCGCTCCTCTCCTGCAAGCCAGTTCGGGAGAGCTTTTACATCCCGTCCGAGGCCAGGTATAATGGGGATGAGAGAATCTAGCCGATAACCCAGTATCAGTTACGAATTAGGCGTCATCTGGGCTACGTGTTGCCACAAGCCAAAGGAATAGTTTCCAAATGCTTTGAGATCTTCTCCAAATGATTCTGGGAAGTAGTAGTGTAAACAGCCGGCAAAAGTCTGAGGGTCCAGACTCAAGCAATATAATCTCTTGCATCGCTGGTGCTATGGCATTCTGGTTCTCGCGTGCCAGGTTGTAAGTCGGACATAGTCAGATGATTCCCCCTCTAACGATAGCAACGAAATATACAAGCCCCGTTGGTCTGGCCTTTCGGGGGTGTACAGAGGTAGGGCTCTGGGTACTGTTATTCACTAAGGGGCAAGGCAACAAAACTGGAGTATGCTATCACGTTCATCGATTAAAATCGATTAAAATCGAACAATTTTGTAATTATCAAGTGAAGAATGGATCATCCCTAGAAGAGCGCGACGCGGTAGTAATAAGGATATATCATTATGTATTATTTCTTCTTTGTATAAAACCCCTGTTGCCTACCAGTACCCGCAGGAGGTACTACTGGCACGAGCTCCCCAATCGACAAAATCTGCAAATTAGACAGGGACAAAACCCAAGGGAACCCCGACAAGCGTAGATACAAAGACGGGTCGATCCCGAGAGCTTTCTTTCATGAAACTTCAATAAATAGCAAGTACATGCAAAAGAATACCATCCAATGATAGGGGTAGCTTGGTAGTCAATATGGGTACATTAACGTGACCAACTCTCAGTTCCCACAGGGATCTACATCTTCGAGGCTAGAAGAATGAAAATCCGTCTAAGCATCAAGAGAGCGGAACCCTGTAACAGGTCAGTCCCTAGACAAACGATGACTCTAGTTCGGCCACCGGCGCACCCAATCTCTAGTTTGAGTTGCCTTGCCCACCCTCGAAGTCAGCGATGAGCTGTAGCGTCATGATTTTTCAGACCATGGACCTGTTAGAGCGTCACTGCTGTGGTCCAAGTCCTCAAAGCCTGCGGCATGGGATCCATAGCTGTAGCTGAGGTGTCACCGCAGAGGGCAGAGGTAGGCTGAACTACCTGGGGCCACGGATGTCGTGGGCCCTCGCACGGAAGACGTCAAGACTAGAATGCGATGCGGGGGGCGGATGTCGCCATTGAATTTTCCGGCGTGCGGGTCGGATTTGATACTGGACTGACGGGATCCGAGCCCGGGGCACGGTGACGGTCGTGTCACTGTAAGAGACGCCGGTGATGGATGCTTGGGAACTGGTTGGATCGGAGAAACACGTCATTGGTTGGTAATTTGTGGCGATGGCGATTTTGAGGCTGTTATTGATACCATTTGGTCGGGTATGTGGTGCCAAGGGACTGAACTAGGGTAGAGTCTCTTCTTTGATAACTTAGCTTACTGACGATGTTAGTTAGCGGTACTCGATCTTCAGCCTATGATTATGTGCAAAATCCGTATGGAAAATATTGTGGAGAAGGGATTCAGGGCTCTCGTCAGCGAGCAAGACAAGCATGTCAGGATACTAAGTGACATATCCGCATGATAGGTCCGGAGTCCCATTATTCAACGAGCTGTTACACAACGTAGGGATTCATAGTGTCTGCATGTCAAACTGTACACGTCGATTCCAACCATGCTGGGCTGGAATTAGACTATTCTCCAGTATAGTCGTTTGCCGACTGGTTCGATGCCCTGGACGGCCATTGTACGACCTCTCAGCCAGGCGAGCTCTCGCCGAGTCTATAGCGTAGAATAACGCCCGTCTTAGCTCACCTCGCATGAAGAAAACCCATGCTACAGCACACACAGCTGGCTGCAGAAAAAGAAGCAGAGGGAAAAGTGAAAACGAGACAACCCTACTAGTCCCAATACTAGTACTCAGCTGTGTTTGCCGACAGTCAGCAATTACCCCCAACCTGATGCTAGCGGGAAGTCATACAATATATCAACAGCGCAGTATAGCCAAACACGTGTTGGAATACGAGACCAAAGACGCACTGTTTCAAACTAAGCCAATGGAAAGCACAACAACCACGACAGAAAGCCCGCCCCAAGCCATCGGAACGAGACCAGGCTGGTAAATAGGTCTCGTAGTCTGCATAAATGACACCATTTAGCGTCTTGGTCAGATCAGGTAACGAGTACAGAACAGGTAAAGTGAGGGTGGTAATGTCGCTGCGTGTGATGTCTGACAGGCTTGGACATTGAGGTCTAGCCAGGCCGAAATCGCTTGAGTTCACCAGGTTAAAATAACCTCATAATGAGCCTCGATCGGACCAATAAAAAGGGGGCATACGGCCATTCCGGCAAGCGGAGTCAAATAGTTGGCCGAAAGCACTTTAGGGAGGGCTGAGATATCACTCGGTAGGGTTAGGGGGTTTCTAGCTCCGTAGTAAATCTTACGGTTCGGCTCCGAGATCGATCCTAGGATTGTCCCGTACTCCGCTTAAAACTCGTGTGTCCATGGAAATGGGAAGGAAATAAATATTCCTCCATTTCCCGGGGAGTTGTGGCTGCAGAATGAACAGGCGTTCGGTCGCGCTATTCGTTCGCTGGCAGTAACGGAACGCCACTTGCGGGATACCTCCTACTATAGATAGATCCGAGATGATGCGTTGTAAGCTTAGTTCTGTGCAAGTCTCCGAGTGGCTTTGGCACTTTTCTTTTTATTCCCTATTCACCTTGGTTTAGTCAGTAGTCTATGGATACATTTTAGTCAACAGCATCGAAGATTCACTAACTTAAGGAGACACGGGGCAGTGTATTAAAGGGGGAATAGGGGAGAAACGGAAATGAAATAATGAAGTACCACCTTCGAGGCAGTGAATAATGAAATGGAAGTCTATGGAATTAAATCTAAGACACCAGTGCAACAGAAGACTCATCCACTTTCTGTACGGATCTTGGCTACTCATATTTCGCCTCCACTACAGCTGTAAACAAACTTTAACCCGCTGTTTCCAGACTTCTGAATGGCCCATAAGCCGCATGAGACCATTCAATCCAGAACTGATCCCATCTCATGCAACAGATACAGTGCCCTAGGGTTGTACTTTGGAGAACAATCCGGCTTTAAATCGCCAGTTAGGAACAAAGCCCAACCGCTTATTGTCTCCTGCTTATTCTCCCCTCTCGTCGCTTTTTCTCCTAACCCACTTTTGCTTTTTCTGTGGTTCTTTTTCTACTACTTTTTATTGCTCCCCAAGTGGACCTCAAGCCGAACGCTCCCCACTTGAAGTTTCATTGCGGTTGGCTTTCTCTATTGCCTCGAAGGGTCTGAGTGACGGGTCAGTACCGTAATTGAGTATACCCGATAGATCGATCGCCTTGACTCTTGGTACCTTTGGTATCTTGGAATACTCCATCGTTTCACTCTCTAAACTTGGAATTTTTATTTTTATTTTCATTTTTATTTTTATTTTCCCCCCTACGCCCCTAGGCTGTACACTCGCTGACATGGGCTTGAGGCCCAGAGGGTTCTAGGACCTTGTTGGGACCCGATGCTTTGATCTAATCAACTTTTGGTATAATTTTTCTAGCCTCTCTAGTATAGTCGATCTTTTTTGGCCTCTTTTCCTTATTTTTATTTTATTTTATTTTATTTCACTTTTTTTTTTTTTTTTTTTTTTTTTTTTTTTTTTTTTTTTTTTTTTTTTTTTTTTTTTTTTTTTCAGATCGATCTTTCAGCTGCCGGTCGGGGGTGCGGGTCACATCTGGGTTTTAAAGCATTTACAAAGCATGTCCTGCTGATATATTTACTTTCTACTCCGTTCGGTTCTTCGAATTTCTTGGACAACAACTGTTTTACATATCCACAAATAGGATTTACATTCTCTCATGGCGACTCCGCTCTCTGGTACAGCGATTATCACTGGAGGAAGTGGCTCGCTTGGATCTTCAATAGCCATTGCGATCGCCAAAGCACATCCATTTGTGCATCTCTTGCTGCTGGCGCGGGACATTCGCTCCGACAGCATCAAAGCATTGAGGGACAAGATCCGGTTGGTCGGTCCCCGGTCGATTGAAGTAGCACGAGTCGATCTAGCAAGCTTTAACTCCGTCGTCAGTTTTGCGGAGAATACGGTGGAAAGGATCCATACTAAAGAGATCCCTCCAGTGACACTGTTGGTCAACTGCGCTGCTGTCGCATCTTACGTTGCCGACCAAGTGACCCGGGATGGGTTCGATCCTGTTTACCAGACCAACTGTATCGCCCCATTCCTCTTGACAATCAGTCTGCTTGAGGCGTTCCGAGCTGGTGATGGGACACCGAACGGTGGAGCGCGGGTGATCAATATCGGTTGCTCTTCCATGTCGAAAGGCTCTTTGGATTATTTCGACAAACATGATTTTAGCAATCAACAACCGGGGACACCGTTGTCCTCGAAGGAAGGATATGCGCGCTTCGGAAGCAGTAAATTAATAATGAGCGCGGCCATGTACGCCCTGCGTCGGAGTCTGGTACTCGTAAGTCTTCGAGACCTTGTTATTGCCTTGAGAGAAAATCCCGACTAATCAAAGCCCGATTCCTAGAATGGCAAAATTTCCTTAAACATATATACCCTGGATCCGGGCGGAATGACAGGAGGAAGCCTTCTCACGGAGAACGCTCCTCGGTCGGTTCGAATGATACACCAGGCACGGTCTGGACTCCGGCCATTCCTGCGGGTATTCTCTAAAAGTGCTATCAACACCCCTAGTGTTCCAGCCAAGGTGATAACGAAAGTTGCATTCCAGAGGAATACGGTGGAGCAATGGGGAAGAGAACGATATTATATCTTGGGCGACGTCTACGAGGCCGGATCCGTCATCCCGGTGTTGCGAGACCCGCCCCAAATGGAGGTGCTGCTCAAGAAGCTTATGAGACAAATGGAGATTGGAATCAAGGGGATGGGTTCTCCCCAGTCAAGGATATCAAGGATCAATTGATGATGTGCGAGTCAGTATATGTGTTTTTCTTTGGGTCGGATAGCGATGGTCAGCATTCTTCGGAGTTTGGTTTTTTTTTAGTTGCGTTGCTTTTGTTCTTTTTGGGAGCGACAGGGTAAGATCGATTCGGATTTCTGTAAATAGACTATTGGCAGTATAGATATAAAAGCACCAATCATGGGAGGAGTTTGCACAATCAGAGTGGAATCTTTTTGATATTGATAAGATTATTTGCGTGTCCGCAAACGGGGTGATGTTGGCGACCGCCGCCGGATTCGGGGGTCAGACTGGAGGCGAATCACCGCCCGAGCACTACGACACTAAAACCACCTTAACGCTTGGTTCCAGCGCCTTGGACGTTCTAGTTAATGCTACATAGACCTTTTCCAGTCTCGACGTCTCCCTTACTCTTTCTGTCGACCCTTTTTATTTTTCTTTACTTGTTTCAGTTCCTTTCTTCTAAATTTCTTCAGGGGTCTGCGATCCTTTATTACTCTGTTGTGCAACAAATTTTTGTCCTCCCGCTCTCGCTGTCGCATTGGTCTAGGCGGTAATAAGGAACCTGTGGCTGCCTTTAAGATCTAGGAGCCCCTAGGTTCCTTTGTCTCTGGGGCGCTCTTTCTCAGGCTACTGATGCGATTAGCTTCGGAGAGATGAATAGGCATCACGCCTTCACAAACGGCTACGCTGCCTACCCCCGCGGGCAGGGCAGCACCTTTTCCATTTCTCCCCACCGGTAAGCGACGGCAGCTGTCATCGCATTCCGCCCATTAATATGGGCGATGCGCAATATTGCTGAAACCCTCTTAGCGATGGAACAATACTTTACTGACTTCTCTCCATCGATTAATAGCTTCCAACCGCGTTCACAACCTGCTCTGCGACGACGAAGACAACTTATTCAGCGACTATTCCTGATTGGTGGCGTCTCTTTATTGCTCCTCGTCCTGATCTTTCCTTCCTGGAGAGCTGCGATCCTCCCAGTAGTATCCCTGGGGCTTCTTTCTTCCACGGAAGACCTACAATTACAAACTATCCGATATTATGACCTCTCCGCAGTTCAGGGTTCCGCAGATGGATGGGAGAAAGAGGAGCGTGTGCTTATGTGCACGCCTCTTAGGGATGCGTCGTCCCACCTGCCTATGTTTTTTTCACATCTTCGAAACCTTACCTACCCCCATAATTTGATCGACCTAGCCTTTCTCGTTTCAGATTCGAAGGACAATACGATGGAAATGTTAACCAGCATGCTAGAGGAGCTCCAGGCCGATTCCGACCCGACGATGCCGTTCGGTGAAATTTCGGTTATTCAGAAGGATTTCGGACAGAAAGTGACACAGGATGTAGAGAGTAGACATGGGTTCGCTGCGCAAGCTGGGCGGAGAAAGTTGATGGCTCAGGCAAGAAACTGGCTGCTGAGTGCTACTCTCCGGCCGACTCACAGCTGGGTCTATTGGAGGGATGCCGATGTGGAAACAGCGCCATTTACCATCATAGAAGACCTTATGAGACATGATAAGGATGTTATTGTGCCGAGTAAGTATACTAGTCTGCGTACCTGGCCGTTTGATAATTAATAAATGTTTTATCAGATGTCTGGCGGCCACTTCCGGACTGGCTGGGTGGGGAGCAGCCGTACGATCTGAACTCTTGGCAAGAGTCGGAAACTGCTCTGGCCCTGGCTGAGACATTGGATGAGGACGCGGTGATTGTTGAAGGTTATGCTGAGTATGCAACGTGGCGGCCTCATCTTGCATACCTACGCGACCCATACGGTGACCCTGATATGGAAATGGAGCTCGATGGGGTCGGCGGTGTCAGTATTCTCGCGAAAGCGAAAGTGTTCCGTGCTGGAGTTCATTTCCCGGCGTTTAGCTTCGAAAAGCATGCCGAGACCGAAGCATTTGGCAAGGTATGTCCTTCGCGTCGGGAGTCTGTCTGTCGTTACAGTGCTAAGTATACATAGATGGCCAAACGCATGGGATTCTCGGTCGTAGGCCTCCCGCATTATACTATCTGGCACCTTTACGAGCCCAGCGTGGACGATCTTCGACACATGGAGGAAATGGAGCAAGAACGCAAAGCACGCGAAAAAGAAGAGAGAGAGCAAGCGGAGCGGTCAGAGCGTGTCAATGCTATGTTCCGGGATACCAAAACCGAATCGGAGATCGACAACGCTTTTATTCACGACGACATGGAAACAGAGAAAAAAGAGAAGACAGCTGCGGAAACGGAAAATCCGAAGAAGCCGGAAGCTGAAAGTGTTGAGGAATTTCCTGCCGCTAAGCCTTTGAAAGTGCCAGGACAGGAGGAACAGAAAGCCCCAGAGTCTCTGAAGGGCAAAGACTTGAAAGATGCTGAGGAGGTCCCTGCAATAAAACCAGCTCAGGAACACGCTGGGGCTACACACGATGAGCAATTAAAGCAGAAGGAGTAATGATGCAATGCTCACTTTTTCTGTTCTTCGAGTATCCGGTAGCAAAAAGCCTGAGACAAGAGTCCGTGAGTAGCGGGCAACATTACTGCCTCTTGCACCTCACCAGTCTCTGTGCTGGTCACAGTGTGGCTTTCTCATTCTTATTTAAAACATGCTGTCAATCATCAGCGCCCTACTGTATATTTGCTTGAGTGTTTTGGGGCTTGGCTTATGCATCTGATTTTGGATTGATTTGTAGGTCTGATATTGGGAAGCACTCCGTTTATTTTTCTTTTTTTCCTTTTTCCTTTTCGCTGCCTTCATATGTACTGATATAAATGATCCTATTACGTTACTCCAGACGAAATCAGTTGCTATCTCTTTCCGGATGATCGTAAATCCAAGCTACTATCTCAAAAGACTGATTGCATTAAGCAGTGGTCTGTGCGTCCACCATCGAGGATCGGGACGCGTGCACCGCGTTTGGACGTATCGCTCCAACCATAATATTATTATATTCCCTTTGTGATCGCACAGCCCATCAAACATTGATTGATATACCTCTTCCAACCACACTGCAGAGAGAGCCTTCCAAAGGCAACAGACATCCACACACCACAATGTCCACCCAAGCCGCATCCAGCATTCTCTTCACCCACACAACCCCTCAGCAGGGCTTCAAACTCTTAGAACTCCCCTCCGAACTGGCCGATCTCCTCACATCAAAAGAAGCCCCAACGTACGCCAACCTAACCCACCAAACACGCCCCCAAAGCCCCTCTACCCAACCCCCTCCCCCCTAAAACACCCCGAGAGATGCAAAACCTAACAAAAATCCCAGCCTAGAACTAAAATCCCTGAACCCCTCCCCCTCCCAAAGCACAACAGACCCCGAGAACCACGACTACGTCAACCTCTGCACCGCAACGAAAACCTACCGAGTCCGCCAAGTCCACTCCTCCAACTCGATCCACATAATCCGACCCAGCGACTCCGGCGTCCAAAGAGGGGATATTAATATCGTCGGCGGCGAAGACGAACTAAACCTCGTTGAAACAGTCACTGCCATCGCGAAATGTGGTTCGACGCTGGAACTGCATACGCCGCCTGAGGGATTCTCCGCTGTCCCTGTTTTGGAGCGGATACTGCCTGTGTATGAGGATGTGGAGGAAGTGGGGAAGGAGGTGGACATAGACGCGGGGGATGTGATTCGGAGGGTTTTTGCTGATGTGCCTGTGTCGCAGGCGCAGTGTGAGAGGGGGTGGATTGAGGTTTGTGGGTTTGTGTTGGGGCGCGGGGATGGGGATGTTGTGGGGTTGTGTCGGAGGCCGTCGGCGAAGGTTAAGTTGGGAGTGTGGAGGAGGGTGTTGGAGGGGGCTGTGTTGCAGGGGGTTGATCTTGAGAGGCAGTTTTTGGTGTGGGATTTGTGGAAATCGGTGCTTGAGGAGGACGGGGGGAGTCCTTTTCCGAGGGCGTTGTTTGAGGCCGTTGTTCGCAGGGTCTGTGAGGGGGATGGGTTGTTTGTGGATGGAGGTTTGAAGTGTGAGTATTTATCTGACTGGGGATGGAGTGATTCATGACTGATGTTTTGATGGGTGTAGGGGCTTCTATCGATAAGGCAAGCTGCACGCAGTGGGTTGGCGATACTTACTTGGAGGCTATGGCGCCAACTGCTGCTTCTGGTATCGGGAGAAGTGAGTTCCTGAATGCTTGGAAGGATCTTTTGCCTGAGTCCTGGCGGAATGATGTCGCATTCTCGAAATTGACAGTAGGTGAAGGCCAAGTGTTTGCTACATGTGGATGCACGGTATAGCCCGTAGTTATTATGATGTCTGACATTATACGCAGGAAAATTCGTACAAGCATCCAGATCCGACGACTATTTGCTTCGTCGATGGCGCTGATCGCCAGAAAATAAAGAAAAATGTCTCAACAGATGCGAGCGCCGCCACGGCAGCCAAAAAGACGAGAAATTGGCACGAGCTGTTCAAAAATCAAAAACGCCAGAAACGCTAAGCTAGGTCCGCAAGATGCTCGAGCGTCGCATCTATGATCAAGCCGGTTTACTCTAGATAGCCAAACCCTCTATTAATCAGATAGCAATACCCACCCAGAAACGCAAATCTCGCCGGCGTTCAACACCAAGCGTACTTCTCATTCCAGAACCATTCCACGTCCTTGGCTTTCTCAGCGCCAGTCCATCTCAAGCAAGCTATGCTGTCTTGCTCCCGATGGATGACCCGTGCCGTAGGGTCCAGGATGGCAATGGCCCTCTCCAGCACTGGAGTTGGGTTCCAGAACTGGACCTTCGACATATTCCATGCATGCGCTTCGAGTTGGGCGCGTTTTATAATTGCAGCGATGGCTCTTGCGGTTTTCTCTGTCTCCTCGGGCGAGGTTGGTTCGTCGTACACCCACCTCAGGATGTATAGAGTGTTTTCCTCTGGTGTGCTACCAAAATTCCTGTTCCACGCACAGAATACCTTAGACTGTTCATCGCCGGCACCTTTTATCAGTGGTGATGCTCTGTCTTTGAAAAGAATCCTGGTATAATATTCCTCCCTTGCCCAGTGCCATTTAAAATGGTCAAAATCCGGAACCACTGCTACTTTGGCACTTGGGGATTTCTGAGATGCGACGCGGAGGATATCTAGCTCCTTCTGAACAATGTCATCGTTACACATGAAACGACGCACATCGTCTGCAACCAAGGTTCTGGCCTTTGGGAGGTTGCTTCGAACAATAGCTCGGTCATATTCATCCTTGGACGCTGGTGGGAGACTGAAGTGTGCAGAAGGGTAGGGATTCCATCCAAATTGAGCATAGAATTTCTTTCCGATGTCGGAATATAACAAACTAAAAGGATATTTGTTTGCTGCCTTGGGCTCCGTTTGCCATGTATCCATCTTCTTGACCAATTCTTGCATCATTCTTTTCGCATACCCCTTGCCTCTAAACTCAGGCCGCGAGAAAACGCTGCCAATGCTGAGGGTGGATACAGTTTCCACCTTACCGTTTTGCGCCAAAAGTGCCTTTTTCTTGTAAGTTTCGCAAGAGCTGAGGATCGTCCTTTTGCCTTCAGGTTGGCCTCGGACGACCAATAGCCAGCTAGTCAACCCATCCTTGGTCAATGATTGCTGGGCCAAGTGATCTTCTCGTGCGATATACGCCTCAAGATCCAAGGGACCCTTCCAAGCTGGGCTGTTCAACGTTATAGCTGCAACACGTTCCTCCGGGGTTGCTGGCACTAGAACCAACTCTGGAGAGTCCCCTGATGGCAGAGTCGCGTCGTCGACATAAGAGTTGTCAGCAGCAATCATAATGTAGTTCACTTTCTCGCGCAAGGGGGCGCTTAATGCTGGAACAAAGCGGGATTGGGATTATGGAGGAGCTTCTTAAAAGGCAGGCGCCAGGGTTCCGTTGTGATATATGGATGAGATCAAGCGTTGTGATAACGTATCTAAAATTGAGAGTGGGCTCTTAAGGACAGATATATGTCTCTCCAATTACACTAAGACCGGGGGAGGGTAGATATAGTAGAGATGTAGTAGCGCGGTCCCAGGATTCCTTTCGCCGGGGGAATGTTTCTATTTGTCACGACTGCCGAGGACAAGCGATGCGAAGCGGTACAAAGTTGACTCAGCTGAGGATGTACTTGCCTCTAAAGGTTATACGATGAGGACCATGACGTAGTGAACTATGAAGGGATCCAATTGCAGCCTCAGGACCAGGTATATTCCATGTATCATATGCGGCGGACACCTGAGGAAGTCCGTTCTAGTTCTCCTCGCTCTCTTTGGTATCTTACAATACCGGACACCGATGTGGTATCTTATCGCTTCATGTCTCAGATTGCAGTCCACTTCAGCACCAGACAACATCCTTGGCGGTAAATTACCTCTTGTCCCCGTTGGTTATCAATGAATGCTTAGTCACCCACTACTGAAAGCAGCAGGCGGTCCCTCGATACTGCCGGCCAGCACTACGTCCGATCCCACCACACCACCTGATGAAGAATGTTGTTAAAGACCTTGAGCGGTTGTTTGATGGGTGTGATATATTTAGACCCGGATGTTGCAGTGAAACTTCCAGCCCCTCTTTTGTGTGGTTGTCTTTTCAATGATCATCTTCCCCGCCCTTACCCTCCTAAGACCTAAGATGAGACAATAAGTCTGGGGTAAATCCCTTTCATCCTTGAGCCCCACCGCGACATTCTTCCCGGTTAAACTTCCCTCCCCTATTTACACTTTTCCCACTTTGGCCGATCTTCTTCGATAGTATACAGATCGGTGCTAGGAACAAGGCGTCAAAGCTTATTCTAAGACAGCAAAGATCTGAAAGAAGGAAAATCCGTGGGTGATAGTCTTAACGTGTGGATGCTTCTCACTTTGAGGTGAAGTATGTCTCGTATACAGCTTTTTTCGATGTCTGCCATACACCACATCGTTTCACTGTGTGGGAGGAGTTCTATATCGAGTTGGACCATGTAATTTCACTCTGATCTTTCTCTTGACGTCGTCTTACGTGGGAAACCTAAGCTGGCCACGGATCCCATGGTTTTGTCATAATGACCGTGGATCATTATATTCCATCACTATGATCCCCTTTGGGGCTCTATGCCTGGCTTTTTTTCTCGTTTGACCAACTAATCATACCATCCTATCATCTTAACAAGACCTCTCTTTCTAAACCTTTCTGTACAGTCTTGCCAACGTAAACACGCCTCAATCGTTCGAAAACGCCCAGCATGGACGGAGATTCTATGGGGTTTGGCTACCCATGGAAGGACAATGTTAACGGTGTCAAAGATCCTTTCAGCAATGAGAGACTGCTGCTGGGTGAGATCCACCATATGCATTGGGGACTCAACGGGCAGAACGATGATCTAGGCTATCAGTTGAATAAGCCTCTTCTTCCCGTTGCACGGCCTGCAAAGAAAATAAGAAGCCATAATCATAATGCGGCCGCGGATACTGCAGGTTTCATTAACGAGTCTATTCCCCTAGGCCTTCATGACATCCGAACACCACCACGTCATACCACAAACCCCGCACAAACGGTCTTAAATGACCCTATTCCCCCATCGACTGCTGAAACACATTTGCTTGCTCAAATTTTGGAGATCTTCCCAGACATCAGTCACCAGTACGTAGAGGGGTTAATTGCTCGTCACAAGAAGACGATATCAGCTAGCGGTAGTAATGCAACATGCTCCGCTTTCGAACCGTTAATGGCGAAAGAGATTATTGTCGAGGAGATTCTGGAGGGTCCGTCGTATCCAAAACAGGAGAAGCTTAAAAGAAAGACAGGCGAGACAGATGAGACAGACAAGAACGATGATCATTGGACAATGCCCAAGGCACATCATGGTGCCCCTGATTATTGCAAACAGGCGTGAGTCCCTTTCCGGTCTATGTCTGCATGTACTTGCTGATTGTCAATAAAGATGCGATATCGTGGCACAGGAATTTCTCTATGTTCCCATTCCAGCTATTCGACAACTCATTGCCCGCAAGAAAGGACTGTATTCAACTTACCTGACACTCTTTGCGCAAGAGAACATCCACTCCGAGTCACAACAGCTAGGCATACGATTGAAGCGGCCAAGACCAGTCGTGAAAACAAGCAATACTTGGGACTACGACCTGATAGTGGAACTAGATGCCGCAAAAAGGAGGGCCGAGAAGGATGCCGGTAAACTGATACCACCACATATGGTTTCTTGAGATCTACTAACTGGATCAAATTATAGCTGCTTGCCGCAAGCAAAAGGAAGAGGAAGATGCGGAGAGGCTTAACGAAGAGGAGCACTCTCGAACAGGCAACCTTGTGGAGTGCCAATGCTGCTATTCTGACGTCCCCTCAAACAGGGCAGTCCCTTGCGAAGGTGCAAGTGTCCATTTTTTCTGCTTCACATGCATCCGGAAAGCCGCGGAGACCCAGGTCGGATTAATGAGATATAAGCTGCAGTGTCTTGACACGAGTGAGTGCAAGGCAATATTCTCTCATTACCACCTGAAGGAGGCATTGGGCCCGTCGTTAATGGGGAAGCTGGAACGCCTTCAGCAGCAAGATGAAATCGAGCAAGCCGAATTAGAGGGGCTTGAAAACTGTCCATTCTGTGACTTCAAAGCTATTTGTCCTTCGGTGGAAGACGACCGAGAATTCCGTTGCTATAACCCCTCCTGCGAAACAGTCAGCTGTCGCTTGTGCAAAGACAAGAGCCACATTCCAAAGACGTGCGATGAGGCAAGAAGAGAGAAAGGCCTTCCTGCACGCCACCTCGTTGAAGAGGCGATGAGCGACGCTTTAATACGTAACTGCCCCAAATGCAATGTCAAGATCATTAAAGAATCCGGATGTAACAAACTGGTCTGCAGCAGATGCGCGTGTGTGATGTGCTATCTATGCAAGAAGAACATTACACGCGAACAGTACGATCATTTTGGCAGACCCCCGACTTATTGCGAGACTCGTGATGACAGCGAGTCGAAACGCTATGAGGATGAAGTTGAGCAAGCCCAGAAGTCAGCCGTTAGAAAGATTTTGCGTGAGAACCCTGGCTTGACCGAGAAAGATATTCGAGTGAATACCGGAAAGAATAACGCCAAAGCTTCTAAAGCTCACCGAAAACGTCCACCTTTTCCGCCGCTGCCTCCTTTGCCGCCTCCTTTGCCACATCAACCTCGGCGTCGGCATACGAGGCGCACACCAAGACCTTTAGCCACTCAAACATACAATCAAAATCAAGACGTCCTTCCACAACTAGGCCAAACAAACCCGTCTTTGTTCCCTAACGCACTGCAATATCCTCCATTTGTTCCCCCACTCGAAATGCCAGATTTGCAAGGACTTGGTTTTACTGCCATGTCTGCATTTGAAAATGACCTGGTTTCGCATGCTGCCACGGCTATGCCTGATGACCCTTTCATGACCACTTTTCAAGGGTTCGATGGAATTTTTGCACCTCATGGAGAGTTCTTCCCTGATACTCTTTCTTTTGGGTTGAACATGGATGATGTCACAGGTACAGAAAATCCACAATTGCAGCCGCTTCCACCGCTAGGCGATTATGATGCCGGTGTAATGCCTGGCCAAAACGTCATTAAGCCCACATGGCTGGACGGTCACTTATACAACTTCTGAGGAACCGATGCAAACCCACTCTAGATCCGACATTCAGACACCACCACGACCAGGCTAACAGCTATTGCCCAGACCCGCCCGCACCTTGTCAAGTGGCCCCCCATGCCCCCCATCATACCATGACGAATCTTGTGCTTAAATTTTAATCCGTTACCTCCGGTTTAAGAGCCTGAATTTAGTAATTTGATACGTACGCCTTCAGCCATACCAACCCAGCAAGTATAGGGTACTGAATGGATGACGACTCTCATACATGCAGATCTCCGCATTGGTTAATTTTAATTCTTAGCTTTTGAACATTGACAATTGGAAAGGCTCAGTAGAAGTCATTTGGCCTACTCTTGAAATCAGACCATCATCTATCTTGAGCTATATCATATCTTACCTAGTCTTAATGGTTTTAAGTTTCAGCGGCCCAACAGCCACGCACTCTTTTTCATTCTCCACCAGACTATTGATCACCCAAAGTCAAAAATAACCCAATCACTCACGAACACCTAGATAGACGGAAGAAATCCTCACCAGAATAGTAACCTGAGGACGGGAAGCCGTCCGCGTCAAAAGGTTTTATATTCCGTCTTATATATATAGCCGGCCCCGTCAGCCGTCAACCGCCAGCCCTTGCGGCTCTTCACTTAGTGCTGTCCTTGTTGTTTCAGAATGTTTCATTTACACCTATAGTATCCAGGCTATACTTACGCTAGCATCTTCTATCCCTTCTAGCCAGATTTTTAGCCTTTTCTTATCTGCGTTAGAGTTTATTCTTTATCCTCTTGAATCTGCGAGTAAAATCCAATATATACAGAATATGCACATGAGCTAACCCCAACAAGAACATTCTGCCTCAATTCTGTAGGGGAAACGACAATGAAAGCAAAGGCACCAAACTACGTCGTCTAACTCAATAAGTTCATTGCCATCAATCATCACACAATAAACGAGAGACAGAAACAGGTGGCAGAAAAAAACTTGAAAACAATCAACACACTCCAATTATATCAAACATGGGTATTATATAAGATCGAGGAAATGGGGATCCTTTTCACGTATATAAAATCTCTTGTTTGAGAATTGGATTTCAGGCATTCTTTTTCTGCGAGAACAAGGAGGATCAAATTGGAAACCCTGATACAATCCAGTCAAGGTACCTTTCACCCGTGGTTTCACATTCAATCAATGGCAACAATCGTCCTCGATGTCTCGTATCAAGGCTCCCTGCTTTGAAATTCTGGGTGCCTGCATCTCATTATCAGCCGTATTCAGGCATCAAGACATGCCACATGTATGAACAAAAACACTTTTTCAAGACCAAATGTGACAGGACCAGTAAACCAAAAGAGCAAAGGGAAGATGGGTAAAGCACACAGCAGATGAGAGCGAGGAACAATAACATGCCAAACCGCCACAATGAAAAGGATGATATTATCAATTACGGACAGGACTCGAAAGATCTTCACTAACGGCGGTGGTGACGAAGTTGGGGGACCGTTCTGGCTAGTGGCTAGATATTTGAATTTGCTAGGAGCACGTAGGAGAGTTCGACAAAGGAGACGAGAAATACAGTAGGAATGGTATGGAAATGAAACAGTCCGAAGAAGAACCCTGGGAGTAAAAGTGGCCCAGATGGAAAAGAAAGGTGGGCGAAGAAAAAGAACAGAATATAGAAAGTGAAGATAATGGAGAAGGAACGTGGCAGAGTGGAAAACGACGGAGTAGTGGAAGAAAAAAGAACCAGATCTATGTAATGCCATGCGAGTCCCAAAAATCGGCCGCTCCCCATTTTATGTATTTGCGCCGCTCAAGTCGGACGACAATTCCTAATGCCCTCATCCATCATGTATGTTCGATCATTGGTCACGCTAAAACAAGAGTGAGATAAACGGGAGAAAAGATGACAAGGCGCAAAAACATGTCTGAAGGGGAAAAAAAAAAATGAAACGACTAGATGAACAGAGACAAAAATATAAGAAATCGAGATGAACACATAGTCAGATTCATGGCGGATGTTCCGAATCCACCGGCTCATTAAATTTCTGTCGTGCCTCTTCCACCCATAATTCCAGACGAAGCTCACCCGCTTCTACACGTCGTACGGGCACCGTTTTGGCGCGACCATTCGATACTCTGGGAGGAGGCTGCTGCGGCTCGCCGTTTCGCAGTTTGGAAACGGAATATGGTGCGGTACACGACCGGAGATGCACCTTGCCCGGTTCTGCCACAATCCACGTCTGTTCTTCTGTCGTAGTACCAGCCGGGGGCAAGGCATCTTCCCGAACTTCGATGCAGACGGTGAAACTGAATTCGTCGTCCCGGGGCAAAGGAGTCAGCCGGGCACAAGCGGAGGCCAATCTGGCGAGGCAGGCCCGGAATTGCGCCTCGAGGTCGACTGTCGGAGGAGCGGAACCCCGATCCGGCAAGGGGGCACCTGGCTTGGATGAATCTTCCTTTCTATCTTCAAAGGTGGTGTTGACCTCTCCAGCGGGGACGCGGGGGAAACCCGACAAATCAAAGGCATATCGTTCGAGGGGCTGGTTGGTGCGGAGAGATGAAATGATGATACTGACTGCGGTGATTGTGCCCTTCAAGATCTCTGTCCCGACCGCAATTGACGCGTCATTGATATAATCACACACTTTCGGGTGACGGGACTGTCGGACAGGGTAGTTGTAGGCCCGGACGGGCAAGAAAGTCGCTCGCGGGTAGACCGAACGAAGAAAAAGGATCTGGTGTATCGAGACGGTGAGGAAATTGGTGAAGGATGCGGCCAACGCAGACTGATTGTTGGGCATCGATCGAGGTGCAGTGACTGGGGCGGAAAATGTTGTCATGGTGGTAGTAACGGCGGAGTTCAGGGTGGTGCTCTCACTGGCAATCGGCATTGCCGTCGAAGGCTCTGGTGTCGTCGGTTCCACGGGAAAAATGGTCTTGACGGGATCTCGGAGAATCTGAGTGTTGTTCCACCCTGAGGCTAATCATCGCTCTGCCTTTTGGAGCCGATGGGTCAACAACTGTGTTCACTGCTACGCATGAAATGGATTTGGAGTCTTCTTCTTTCTCGTGACTTCTTGCTTCTGCGACAATCAGAGGAAAAAAAGAAACGGGAAAAAAGTGGGGTGAGTGTTGGGGGTCGGGAACGTTGAGTGTGATCAAATGAGGGAGGGGATGATCGATGAGAGTTTATTCTAGAAAAGAAAAAAAGGGAAAGAAGAGAGATAGCAAAAGATAAGAAACAAATGTCAATCAAGTGACAAGTATAAAGGTTTTTTTTAAGAAGGGGGAAAAGGGAAGAACACTAAAATTAGGGTGAAATTTGTGGAAGCCCAACGGGGATGCAGCAGTGACAGTGATGGAGAGGAAGAGAGGGAGAGAAGAGAGAGAAAGAGGGGAGGGGTGTTGGTGTTGGTGGATTGTGGTTTGTAAGTCAAGTAAGGAAGCGCTTCTCGGATTATGGAACATACGTTGGGTGGACAAGACGAAACAAGCAAACCTCAGAGCATGGATGCAGAGTCGTTGAGGTCGTGACAATCGGCGATAGAATCTGAGATGCGTTTAAAGAAGGAAAAAGCCGTGGATGATAAAAAAGTTGCTGATAATGGGGAATATTATTTCCCTTATTTTTTTTCTTTCCCTGGTTTTTTTTTTTTTTTTTTTTGCCCTGTCTGGAATTTATTTCTTAGTCTCCCCTCTCCCTCGGAAGTTTTTGTTCCTGAAAACCTTCTTTTTAAAAATAAATTTTTGTTAAGGGAACTAGAAAAAAAATATATTCCTTTTTTTCCTTCCCTTTTTTCCCTTTTACCCGTCTGGGGAGAGGAGAGTGAGTGTAAGCGGGCAGACAACAGAACACCAACCCTTTGGGGGTAGGGAGAGAGGTGGGTTGCTTGGGGTTCGACGGAGTCGAGTACGGTAAGATTTGCTCAGTCCCAAAAGCGAGAGAGGGGCTAAAGAGAGCGAGATAAAAATAAAAAAATATAAAAAAAAAAAAACACGCCAGCAAACCACAAAAATTGAAGGGAGAGAAAAGAGGAAAAAAGAAGAGAGAGTCAAAAAGAGTCAGTAGGCAAAGAGCAGTCCTTCGGAGGGGAAGGCTTGTCGGGCGACGGTCAAGAGTCGTCAAGGAAAAGGCGCCCAAGTCACGACTCCAAAATGGTCACGTGGTTGCGTCATGGGTGTGGATGCGTTGCAGAATTCCTAAGCAGGACAAATCCTCCAAGGAGAAAAAGAAAAAATCCAAATGGGGAAGAGTGAGTAAGGCGAATAATGTCATAGTACATGCATGCCTATGGGGGGCGAACCCGAGGAAGGAGTCAAAAAGACCAAAAACCCCCATGAGAAAGGAAGTCTGAATTATGCATCATTATGACAATTGATGGCAATAGTACTAGGAAAACTATTTTATTTTTATTTTTAATTAATTAATTAATTAATTTTTTTAATAAAAAAAAAGCGTAAAAATGAGCAGAGGCTCCGAGAGACTCAAATTATCTTCAATATTTCCTATAGTGCTATACAGCCATATCCTAACTTTACCTTCATACTCGTATCCAAGACGGTAATACCATATGGAGTACACGGTGACACACACATCACCTTTGTACAGCATGCTGACTTAAATATTCACCATGCATTGGTACACTGGCCTACCCTATAGCACTAAGTACTTCTAAGTGCTTCTCTTCATTCCCCACCAGCCGAGTTCCTACCACCTAGTGAAAGTGTAGTGGGTAATATGAGGCGCTCCAGCCCACTTAGCAGATCATCTTGACTATGGTAAGCGCGAAACCTGAATCGACACGTACTTATGTATGTATGTATGTATGTATGTATGTATGTATGTATGTACAGAGTACAACAGAGGTATCAACGGAAACATTGGTAATATTTTTTATACCCTTACTCTTATATACTTTGGTTTTGTTTAACAACCTAGGGAAATTAAAAGTCCTTCTCAAAGTGATACCAAGAAAATTTATCATTATTATATAACAGAGGATACCGCACAAGGTATTTTACATAGCTTCAGGGAGAGTGAGCCCCCCTGCCCCTTGTTTGTATTACCACAATGTGCTTGAAAAGATATAGATAGCTCCAGAGTACTCAGCACGACTTAAAAAGCGACTACTCGTGACTAACTAGTACTAATGCTGACTAAATATACAGCGTGTTAGTTACCTGGGTTAGTAGTGGTTTACGGTTTGGCAAATGTCGATAGATGTCTCATGCAGCCTGAAAATCTCATAACACTTCTTCTCTGATTTGACCCTCTTGGCAACAGAGATAAGAACAGGAGTGAAGGCCACGAAAAGGCAATTACTATTGCTCGAAGAGTGAGTGAGTTTCTATTTCCGATAGTCGATTGACTCGTACAGTACCTGAGACAAGTGTATGGTACCCCATCATACTTAACATGGGATCGACCAAGTACCTTACCCAAGTATGTACGGTACCTGCTCCGCACATCCATACTTCTACTAGCCAAATTTCCCTAGGAATCCGCCCCTCAGTTGGACGAAGTACTATCTAAGTGGAAGACAGATACAGTTATGCCAAACTCCCCCTTCGATGACCCCCACTACAGTCGCCTATGAGAATGGTTAGTTACGTACATACTATCCCTACCCCCCCCAGGTCGGAGGAGCACAGCGGTAGTACAGTAGCACTGTGATTATGCCACTTCCGATTGATCTTCTGTCACTTTGCCAAGTACGTCTGGAGTTGCAATAAAGAAGTTCAGCCATCTACGTCAGACAAGCAACGGATACACTTTTTGAGGTCCATCACATCTTCTAACAGCTAAAAAAGATAAAGAGAAAGAAAAAGAAAATAAAAAAAGTACAGCACATAAAAGACCAGGTTATTCCTCTACATTCCAATGAAGGTGCTTTCACATTGTGGACATGCGTTGGATACTACGTCTGTGTGACTATACTCCTTCCTGTCCTTTCGACCTTCTCCATCCCCCATACATTCTGGTACTCCCGATTTAAGAAAAAAAGACAATGTTTGTGATGAGTATGATAGTACGAAAAAGAAACTTTGTCGCTTCGTTTTCTTTTTGGATGAAAAGAGAAAAGAAAAGAGCAAGGTGAAGAATAAAGTAAAAAGTAAAAAAAGGAAAAAGAAAACATAATAGAATAAGAAATAATTCAAGACATCCGGATCCCTTAAAAAAAGTTTTTCTTTTCTGTGGTTGTGAATAAGGAAGCGGTTCCGTTCCCATGGTTCTTTGATCGCAGTCCATGGGCGGGTACTGCCTTTATCGCAAGCTAGTTTGCTCCTCAGGAATTCATCTCACCGCCTCTTTTCTGCCCTAGTCTATCGTCTGCCCCTCTTTACTGCCCCATTACAACGCGCCAATTCGCGGTCGTGTCGATTGACTGGTAGTATTTTCAAAGCTTATCGGTGTCACAAACAAGGACAAGGCTTTGTATACCAGGGAGTCTGCTTTGTATTGACAATTGGCTCGACACCCCGTTTTCCTTCATCTTTTTCAGCAAGTTCTGAGTGGTCTTCCGCCTCGCTACCAGTCCCTCCCACCATGGAGCAAGAGCTCCTATCGTTGCTTGCGGACACGCAGTCGCCGGTCGCCGATACAAGGAAGGCCGCTGAACTTCAACTGCTGCGTCTCTACCCCAATGAGGGCTTTCCTCTTTCCCTCGCGGCTATCGCTTCTCACGATTCCGTCCCTACAAATCTCCGCCAGTCCTCCCTCTCCGTGCTGCGCACCTTCATCGCTGCCGCCTGGTCTCCGAATTTGGATGAGTTTAAGGGCCAGATCCTCATCAACGACGTGAACAAGGACCAGATTCGGAGGGTTCTCTTGGATTTGGCTACAGTCACAGAAACCCCGGAGCGCAAGGTGAAGTCATCCGCAAGCTTTGCAGTCAGCAAGATTGCCAGCGCCGATTTCCCCGAGCAATGGCCAGAGCTCCTTCCTTCACTCCTTCAGATCATCAACGACGCCAATAGCACGGCTAGCGCTCTGCACGGTGCGTTGAAGGTTCTACTGGACCTTGTGGATACAGGGTTCAACGAGGAGCAATTCTTTAATGTTGCCAGGGACTTGGTTACCTCATTGTTCAACGTTGCAACCATTGAGTCGAGGAAGCCTATGCTGAGAGCCCTAGCTGTCGCAGTGTTCCGCTCGTGCTTTGATACCTTGGAGATGGTACTCGAGCAACACAAATCTGCGGTCAAACAATTCATGGACGAGGTGCTTGGTGGCTGGTTTCCTTTCTTCATCTCAACTCTGAAGGCACCCTTACCACAGCCTCCCACCGAGGAAGAAGAAAGCAAGGACGGTGAAGTACCCTCGCAATGGAGGGGCGTTATCGGGCTTAAATTACAGGTGGTCAAGGTAGGTACCCCTAACGCTCTTGTAATCCGAGAGACCCCTTTGCTAATCATACGCCCTTTCATTAGACTCTGATGAAGATCCGAATGGTTTTTCCGGCCCTCATGACGGGTCAGAGCCCGGTATTTTTCTCAACTATATGGACGGAACTATCCAATATCCAGACTGCATACCACGACTTCTATATCCACGATGAGAGACAGGGTCGTCTAGAAGATGTGGATGGGCTTCCCTATACCCTGGATTTCTTAGTTCTAGAAGAGTTGGATCTGATCCAGACATTGTTAAAGGCACCTCCTGTAAAAGCAGAACTGCAGCAGCAATTGCAGAACGCTGGGCAAACTGTGACCAGCTCCAGTTGGCTGCCCGAGATCCTGAAGCTGGCCGGGTCATATGCTCAGATCACCACAGAAGAGGAAGGGCTGTGGGACATTGATGTGAATCTCTTTCTTTCAGAGGAGACCTCTGTCACCGCCAATTATACCCCTCGCACATGTAGCGGTGACTTGGTGGTCAAACTCGGTGAATGGCTGAAGGCTCTTGCGGCCGAGGGCTTACTTGTTTACTTGAACAATGTATTCGCTGATGCCTCTTCTACGTAAGTACTCCGAAGTGCTAAGAGAAAGAGAGGGTGTGCAACTAACTTTTTTTTGGTTGATAGTTGGAAATCCCGTGAATCGGCTCTTTTCATTTTGAACCAACTTCTGCGTGACTTCCATGAGGTGTCCCAGCCAATTTCCCCGGAGTTGGCCAGCGGATTCAGTAATCTCATCCAGTTTTCAATCCAGCAGGAGCATGACTTTCTGCGGGCGCGTGGCTACCTCGTGGCCGGAATCTTAGCTCAGGTTGCAGGTGAAGCATATGGTGCAACAGCTGCTTCCTATCTCGAGGCTACTCTGAAGGCAATTTCCGAAGATCCTTCGGAAGTTGTTAAGGTCGCGTGCATCAAAGCTCTTCAGGATCTCATGCCTTCCCTTCCTGCCAGCATGACTGTTCCCTTACAGATCTCGGTTATCTCAGCTATATCGGATTTTGTCTCCGAGCACGACCTACGTGAGCCGTCTGACAGCGATGACCTTAAAGTTACACTCGCAGAAACACTCCGTGATACAATCATGGTGAATCCTAGTGTCGTTCTCTCATCTATTGCCATCGACGTGCTTTTCAATATTGCCAGCAACGGGGCTACCAATTTCCAATTAACAATGATTGTAACTGAGGCATTCGAGGATATCGCGGAAGCTATTGCAGATCAGGGCCATGATTCCTTTGTCCGTCTCTGCGAGAAGGTGTTACCCTCATTGACAGGCGCCATTGATGTAGGAAACCTCACGCAAGAGAATGCGCTGACAAATTTCGCTGCGGATCTTCTGCGAGCACTTGCTGAAAGAGCCCTTGAACCTCTCCCTGCCGGGTTCGTGGAGGCCGTTATGCCCAAGCTAAACCGATTGTTGTTAGATTCGACCGACGCGGAGCTCATTCGCCCGGCAACGGAAGCAGTCAGGCATATGCTTTCGCACGACTTTAACCAGTTCGTCACTTGGCGTGATCCACAAAGCGGAAAGGATGCGACTGAAGTTGTTTTGGTGATCATCGATCGGTTGTTGGGTCCTGCCGTCGATGATAATGCTGCAACGGAGGTTGGACAATTAGCAGCAGAATTAGTAGAGAAAGCAGGATCGGAAAGACTTGGACCTTACTTACCGCAACTTCTACAGGCGGTCGCTCAGCGACTTGCCACGGCCGAGCAAGCCCAGTTCATCCAAAGCCTAATTCTCGTCTTCGCTCGACTGACACTCATCAGCGCGCGGGAAGTTGTGGATTTCCTGGCGCAGGTGGACATCGGTGGCCAGAGCGGGCTCCCCATTGTCATGAGCAAATGGCTTGAGAACTCGGTCAACTTTGCCGGTTATGATGAAATTAAGCAGAACATCATCGCCTTAGCGACACTTTACAACCTTGAAGATGCGCGGATAGCTCAGGTGCAGGTCAAAGGCGACCTTGTCATCCAGGACACCGGACGCATTAAGACGCGATCCCAGACTCGCAACAATCCAGACCGATACACAACTGTGACAGCGCCGCTGAAGATTGTCAAAGTACTAGTTGAGGAGCTGGCTGCGGCTTCAGGGAGCAAGGAGATCGATGCGGCCACAGCAGCAGCCCTAGAGGAAGAAGGTAGTGACGATGATGACTGGGAAGATATTCCTAGCAATACCCTTGATCTCAATCTTGGAGTCACCAAACAGGAGCTTATGGCATTTGGAGAGGGTGGCACAGAAGGAGTGTTTGGTGTGCGCCAACGCGACGATGAGACGCAGGCTTTCTTGTTAGACTTTTTCAGGAACGCATCCACTAAACCAGAGTTTCAACAGCTTTTTGCGGCCTTGACTGCGGCCGAACAGGACAAGCTTCGGAGTTTGGGATGAGCGTTGGGCCGCTAGCTTGATGCAAGAACGCTGTCGATATGCTTGGCCTCTCCCCACCTGTTTCTTTTTTTTTTTTTTAACCTGTTTTCGCTTCTGGTCCGGCCCCGAGATGTGGAACATCGTATACGATCATGGCCATTGACAATATTAGTCGTGCGTATGTATCTATGTCCAATATATGTACATACAATATGACGAATACGATTATGGAGAGGTAGGATAGGGTTTATGGCTTGGTTGTGCGGCCCCGAAACACTCTAATGAGTGACTTGATGGTGCATATATTAAATAGAGCGCTCAAGTGGCATGGTCCCGTGGTGCATGTGCATTGCATGAACATTAGGTCCCTGCAGACGCAAAGGAAAGGCCCACGACCTGCGATCACATAAGTATTTTGGTTTCCCTTAGGGCAGATTGTAGGCGGATGTCACATAGAGAGAATAATGAGACGAAACTTGAGTGACACCAGGGCTGCTAGCAGTGCAGCCAACTTAGTACTGGTGTATTAATTTTACGAATGCACCTGCTATGGCGGTTGGAGGGAGAAGTTGTTCGCTTGGCGCAGGTGAACTAGCTACCAAGGTATACAACGTTTCAAATGCAGGGGATATTTTCCGTCTTTTTTAATTGGCCCGTCTCATACAGCCTCTTACCTACATTTCCCAGTAATCAGTAGTTTTGGTAGTTAGTAGAACATGCTAATGCTACCGGTTCATCTAGACTGGGAGATAGGCATGAGGGAGGTAGTAGGCGAAATGAATTGGCTACGAATCAGAAACATCCCCAAGATATTAATTGTTGAACTAGATATGCATGGTCTCCTGTCCAACCTTTATTGAGCCGTACGAAGGACGAATAACCGTATGATCCATTTTTCTCGAGTACGCCAAGCTGACTGGTCATATTATTTATGGAACCACACAAACCTACTTTGTTGCTTTAATATCTCAGACGGTACTACCATCTAAACGAAAACGTACAGGACATTACAACCGTTACAGTCAAGCCGTGCAATAGGTACGTTAAATCACTCAATATGGAGGGGTAATACATACAAACCCGGAGAGTAGATTGGCGATAATGAGCAGGGGTTTCTAACAGGGGACTTTTGGAGTATGCCTTATTGCTTGCAATAGATTACACAGTACTACCTCACCCACCCGATAAAGTGGCTGATCGACTGAGCTGATATCTTTGATTGGCCCTTAAGCGGATCCAGACATGCGGGGATTCTATTTTTTATATATATAAAAAGTTGTGGCGTATTTCCATACCCCAAGCATTTTGCCGGTAATTATCAGGAAGTTTCTGGTGCACAAACACCTATAACATGTGGAGACCTATGACACCCGCTACTGTATATCTGATCATCAAAAGTACAAACTCTGGTTTAGACTTTATCGGCCAAGTAAATCCAGGCGCGTCGAAGGCGTTGAGGATGTTGCACAAAGGATTCGGCAGCACAGCAGGGGACGAATCAATGCCCGTCAGACAATACCAAGCAATACCCAGAACCAGTGCCCTGGTGCACACCGCCACCGTCAACGAACCCAACATCCTCTCTCTTGGGTCCAACACCCCTGCTGCCGGTGGGTTGCAGTTTGGGGTCCCCCAATATCCGTTCCTCCATATATTAAATTACTTTTTTACCCCTCTATATCAGTAGTGCTCCTTTTCCTTGGCTTCAGTTTCTCCCCTTTCTATTTTATCATAACTGTCAAGCTTGATTCATTTTTCCTTCGTCGTCCCTTTCCTTACCATTCTTCTACCTATCTCTACACCACAATCCCAATTAAGCAAGTATGGCGCACCAGCGCAATATTAATGAGCATATTGCAGTTGATGTGAGAAATTTCCCCTGCCTAGCACGCAAGCTTGATTTCCTCGTTTTCTTTGTTCCGAGGCAGGAGAAAAAGCAACATAACTGTTCCACGCCATAATATCAAAATGCGTCTCTCTCTCTTATTGGCTTTCTTCCCTTTATTTCCCCTCTCTTTGGGTGAATTATGTACACAATACATTAGATGTCTTCTTCGTCTTTGAACAGACCAATTGGCATCTGTCTCTTATTTAAAGGAAAGTGATGTCTGCACGGGATATGGCAAAGATTGTGCTATAGCTGTGTCAGTTGATGTTTTATTCTTTGCTTCAAGATCTTGTCCGTTTAGAGTGGTCCAGTTATACAGATCTGTCTTGACGCTCTGTTACCCCTCCTACCGGACCCGCCGCGTTCTTGCTTTTCTCCAGCTCTCTCTTCTGAGTACAATAGTTGACCCCACTACAAGACTAGTGACGAAGACTCCATCTGTGACGCCCAATCCATAATCGACTCCAACATAAGTCTTCACTCCACAGTCCGAGACTACTGCTACGAAAATGGCCGTCGATACCACGCCTACCGAAACGGCCAATACCCCATGCCAAACGACGAGGAAGAGCAAGACCGTCTAGCATTCATGCACCATCTGTTCAAACTGCTTCTAGGTGGAGACCTGTACTGTGCCCCTATAGCTCAAGACCAGATGCCCGAGCGCATCCTCGACGTCGGCACCGGTACCGGCATCTGGGCGCTTGAAATCGCTGAGGACTTTCCCGATGCGGAGATCGTCGGCACCGACCTGAGCCCTATTCAGCCTCATTGGGCGCCTCCCAATTGCACATTTCTTGTCGACGATGCGGAGAGTGAGTGGGCGTTCAGTCCAAGTGAGGCTTTTGACTATATCCATGTCCGTAGTTTGGGCGGTGGCATATCTGATTGGGAGCATTTCCTGCAACAGGCGCACGATCATGTCAAGCCTGGTGGCTGGGTTGAAATCCAGGAGTATGAGACCTGGATTTGCTCCGATGATGGCACTCTCGAGCAGGCGCATATGATTATGGATTGGCAGAATAAGATAGATGAAGCGAGCAAGCGCTTTGGGAGACATATGAATGTTGCTGAACGCCTTGCTCAGTGGATGGAAGATACTGGGTTTATAAATGTTCAGGATGATGTCTACAAGGTACGTAGGAGCTTTCTGTTTTTGTTCTTTATCATCTAATAGAGCTACTCAACCCTTGGTTGTATCGCGTTTTGGGAGAAGCATGACTGACAGGATCCAGGCTCCCGTGGGTTCATGGCCCAGAAATAGCCGATTGAAGGAAATCGGAAGAGTGGGCAAGGTTACTCTATACGAGGCCGTCGAACCATACACGCTGGCTCTCTTCACCCGGGTCCTCGGATACTCGCCCGAAGATGCCCGGGAGTATGTGGACAAAGTGCGCGCAGAGCTGCTCGATGGTTCCTATCACCTCTACGTGCGATACCACTATGTGTACGGACAGAAGCCATTGGCAGGATAAACAAACAAGCAAGTATCAATGAATGACGACAATGAGGGACGCCGCAATGCATATGGTTTTATCTTTTGTCTGTGATTTTACTCTAATACCCATCAATGTTGGTCAGAACATTGGAATTGGAATACATAGGAAACAGAACGGCAGACTATCGCATTTATCTAATACAACTATATCAACACGCACTCCTTTCACCTCATCCTCATCCCTGAAGAGAAAATCCTACACCCTCACCAGTCCCCATACTCACCAAATTAGCCCTCATCCTCTCGGCCCTCTCCCCAATCCCAAACGCAGCATCATCCCGATGCACCCAAGCCCCAACCCCATGCTGCAAAACCGCCGTAGCCCGCACCTTCCCATCCGCCTCATCCCCCTTCAACCCAATACTCCCATGAAGCGTTAGCCTCGTCTCCTCCCCACCCTCCGCCTTCCCCCTATAAATCCCCCGATGCAAAATATTACTATCATAGAACACCGCATCACCCGGCTGCAACTCCACAACCAACTGTCCAGGCAACTCCGCCTCATAAGGCCCCGCCTTCCTCTCCGCCTCCGTCCTCACCCGCCGGTGCGACCCAGGAACAACAATCAGCGACGCGTCCGGACACAGCGCCAGATTATACTGCGCATGACTCTGCTTCCCCTGCGGACTCTTTGACTCCAGCAACCTCAGCTCTTCCTCCGGTCCCACCGTCTCGGGGATATCATCGCGGTGCCACCGCAGCTCGAAATCCTTCGTCTCTGGCGCCACGAGCAGGTTGAATAGTTCCATGACGAGGGGTTCGGCGCCATTGCTGTCGCGCTTCACGCCGAGCAGCTCCTCGGCGACTGTGAGTACCTTCTCGGAGAAGTAGAAGCGGGCGAAGTCGGCGCGGTTGGGCATCTCCGGGTGGAGGAGGTGTTGGACCCCCCAGATGCCGCCTTCGGAGGCCGGTGGGGGCGTTGTTGGCCAGGGGGGGAATTGTTTGGGGACGGTGCGGAAGTGAGGCCAGCCGCCGGTTCGGGTGAGGGTCGTGGCTTTTGAGGCTATGGCGCGGAACTGGGCGACCTCTTCGGGGGTTAGGAGGGAGGGGATGCGGACGAAGCCGTCGCGTTGGAGGGCGTCGAGGTGGGGGGTGGGTTGGATTGTCATTTTTTCGATTTTTGATTTTTGATTTTTGATTTGTCTGGGATTGGTTTTGGTTGTGAGTTATGTTTGTAGGATGTTGAGATTAATTGAATAGGATAATTGAGTTGAGGTGGGGTAGGGGAGGTGGTTTGGAACTGAAGATGGTTTTTTTTTATACGTGAAAAACCACAATAGCTTTGTGTAGTATTTCAGACTCGAACCCCATACAACTATATTCTATTACCAAACAATGTCGTATACGGAATACTACCTCGGGACATAGCCCCATACGACCGTGAATGCTTGATCTTCCGTGCCAGTTGTCGGGTCAAATTACCCCGCGGCCATCTGATCGATAAATAAAGCGGGGTTCTCGCTTTCCCCCAAAGTTACACTACTATCCCCTATGGTTACATACACGCGTGGTATGATCTGGATGGACTTACCTATTACGAAAGGTGAGCTTTCTAGCGAAGTCCCCATTGCTCCATTAAGAGTATAGATATACCTAGTAACCGACCCCGGAACGTTGTGTAGGGGTCGGTTAGTATATAAATGGCATCCTAGGCTTGCACGGTAGTCAATCTACCTGAATGCGCCCATTGGCGCCTTTTGCGTCAATCGCTGTCGGACTCCTATTACCTCTTCTCGATTTGACACAGAAATGTCAATGAACCCAAAACGGGTGAGAAGAACACAACGTCAAAGATTTTTTCTTCAACCAAACGAATATCCATCTCCAAAGTCCCATTACAAAAGGTCAGGATCACCTGTCATCCAAGGTTCGTCGGCGTAAGGGTCGTGGGGATCTTCCAAAGCGTCTGGCGGGAGCCCAAAAATAGCAGCCGTGCTCTCTCCAGCACGGTTGACATTATCATGGTTGCGATCAACTCCGTCCTAGAGAACTCTTCGGAATAGCCATTGTCTCTCACATCAGCCGACCTAACAACCGCAATGTCATCAGTAACATCTATCTTAAGACACGGCGTGCAATCGGATTCACCTGTTGTTCCGTCTTCTCGTACCGCTTGTAAACATGATAATGCCAGCTGTCAGTAGGCCGGTGAGAGTATATTTTTCCGGGGTTCGAGAATACCACCCCATCTTGTTTTTGGTACCACAGTTGCTGTATGAGTCCGGGTGGAACGGCTCGATGTAATCCGCGTCGGTGGGGTTCTCTTTCATCGGGTCAATGGGAGTCGCCCGGATGAGAAAACAATTGTGTTTCTTCGCCCTGGTGCACGTCTTCTTGTGTCTTCCAGTGATTCTTTTGACACGTTGGAGAGTAATATGCTGCTATTCTGCAACCAGTGCAGCGGCGCGTGGCGGGATTCTGGCAGCTCGTAGAGGAGCAGGTTGCACATCATCTTGGTTTGTCATCTTTCCGATGCCCCTGCCAATTGAGGTAAGGTGACTGATACTTGATTCGTCGGTGCAATGATTGAATTAAGGTTGCATCTTCTATTTCAACGGTAGGTGTCTGCCAGAGATGGCGAAAAGAAACGGACGCTACACCTCACAATGGGATAGATGTTGGACATGGCGGAAACTCTAGCGTGAGTGTATTGACGGCTGTCTCACAGACCGTGAGTACTAAGTAAAAAGCCACAGCAACGAAGTTGAAACCCTGCAGCGGTTAATTAGAGAGGCTTCGGTACATTATATGAGGAGATATAATGCGGGCATATCTATATTTCTGAATCTAGGCATAGCAGAAGGTTGAGGTTCAGGTACAGAAGTTTTATTCCTTACGAGCCCGTTACTCACTTGGTAAGCGTGCTCTAGAAATGTCAGATTCAATCGATCCAATGCATATCATTGCCGCTCTATGATCGTTATGAGTCAATCTCAATCGTCCGGGTCCCACTTCCCATCTCCCGGAAATGGAGATTAAAGGTTCCTGACCAATATCTATGAGTTGTTGAAGATCTTTGGGGGTCAAGAAGTACGTTGGAGAGAAGCTTGGTACAATAAATACACTAAGCGGCATGTATGACATCAGGTGAACCCTGTCTGTTTGTTTACCTCGTATTTGGGGTAATCCCTTTATTTACCATAGTTGCACGCTGTACAGTGGGTAAGTCTGTGTGCTAAGTTACTTACCCCTCCATTTGATCCCTCCCAAGGTCCTTGATGGTGCCATCAGACTAGCTCCATCGAGAAGAAGTCTTTTTAGAGTGCTTTAGTTCCCCATACTGTCCTTGGTGGAAAACCTTGGGCTTGTGAGATACACCAGAGTTTTTTCGCCTATACACAGTACAGTCTGTAATACGGACACTAGAAAGTACATACGTACATACTGTACATACAAGGATACATACAGTACAGAGCTACTGCACGGATCGTCAGCCTCACAAAGCTCAGCCAAGCAACTAATTTCTTAAGTGGGTTATGCTATCATTGATGGTGGCGGGGCACTGAAATCATCATGAAGAGGTGGTGCTCTACCGTGTCTTGTAGATCGAAGTTAAACAGAAACTAGCCAAGAAAAGAAAAAATCTTTCAGTGCGTTAAGTATTTTCTGGACAACTTTTCTTTCTGGTCACAATTTTCTTTGATTATTCAGAGATAATTGGAGAACAAAGACCCTCATTCAGATTTTGTGCCTTTTTGACTTGCTCTTGTGACGCCAAGCTCGTCAGCGTATCTTGTCTCCGTGTCTTCACATCGATTTTTACCCCTCCACAGATAACCTCCAAACAACGTCAACAACAGCCCCGCAGTCACCTTCCTGATGGCCTCCAGGACAAATACGGGCTTCAATGCCCTACTCGTTTTATGTCTAGTGCTAGTCTTACTCCCCTCTCAGGTCCATGCATTTGGCGCTGGAAGTACGTGCGACACTGGCAATATTCATTGCTTTTCTCCATGATCGCTGACGCAATTAGATATTGCTTCTATCTCGGCCGTTGAGGGAAAGAACTGGCGTCATGGCGATATCGAAGATATGCTCAAGACAATTGCCTTTATTAAAGGTCACAAATGGACTTCCACCATGATTAAGCGCGTCTACTTTGGAAACTGGTTGCGTGATTAGTGGGTCCTCTCTCTTACGAAGCTATTTACGACACGAGCTGACCTCTTTTAGCTCTCAGGCCATGGATGTCGGTACCCTCAAGAGTCTCCAGGCTGATACTATCCGAATCCTTGTTTGGATCCTTTCTTTCATGACTTTTGGTTACGCGACGGCGGAGTTCGAGGTCACCGCCGATAGACTCGGAACTTATCGTCCAGAAGAGCATATTGAGTTCGTCCCTCTTTCTATATCTCACTAATATCTCATATAGCTAATCATTGTCTCTCAAGCAACCCCAAGGACTATGCAGATAACCAAGATGCACGCCAGTTTGATTCTCGACTGCGCGGCCCTGTTCGACAGATTGAGCTCGACATCGATGCCGAGACCGGTATGAAAAACTATATCGCCAACGAAAGGGGCGACTGGGCCACAAGCGCTGGATATATCAAATATAGCTTGGCTCGTAGTATCCACTACGGACGGCTTTATACAAGCGGGCATAAGAAGGGAAATGAAGAGGACCTTTGTGAAGCTTTGCGATGCCTTGGCCAAGGACTTCATACTCTCGAGGATTTTGCGGCACACACGAACTACTGCGAACTTGCACTGCGTGAAATGGGCTTTCGCAATGTATTTCCACACACCGGCACGCGAACTGAGATGAACATCCGTGGTCACCGCGTCTTCCCGCTCGTGACAGGAACATTCGGTATGGTCGATTTCTTCCATTCTGTGCTCGGAGAAGCTACCGATCATTTCACCCAGTCGGAGGTCAACGAAATGGATATCGCTCTAGGCGATGCGCAGACGAATACATCCTCTGGCTCTGCTAGTGCGTTGACGAGTCTTCTCGGCAAGATCCCGGGAACAAAGGATCTTGTTACTGAAGCCGAGGAGCTCAAGCGTCGCTCAGATGCACAAGAATCCGCAAACAGACGGGGTGGTGGTGGTGGTGGCGGTCACCATACAAGCTATTCAGGTCGTGAGACTACACGTTCCTTTGACGACTTTGACTCGGGCAGCAGCCGAGGTTTTGGGGATGATCAGTACGGCTCTTCTAGAGCCGATTCCAACAAGCCTTCCTCAGAGGGTCAGTCTGGCTTGCCAGGACTGCCTGATTTTGATGCAAACAAGACCATCTCTCAGATCTACCCTATTCTGCAGTTCCGTGACAATGTTGTCAGGAAGCTGTCGTCGATCATTGAGAAGATCCCCGGTCTTGAATCACTGGTCGAGACGATTACTGAAACCTTAACCGTCTTTGTCATGTCTCTGCTGGCGCCGTTCATTCGTCCGATCATCAACGCCGCCTCTAAGTCACTCCAGTCTGGCTCCTCCAGTGTTATCGATGCCTCCGGAAAGCATCAATATGAGCCATGGACCGACCCTTCCTGTACCGACCCCACACACTCGTTGCTCTCAAAGGATCACTTCTCCAACATTCTCAATGAGCCCGCCGGTCAAGTCGCTTCTGCTATACTCAAATATGTGGCACCTCGCGTCCTGTACGCTTGGGAGAACACCAACATCCCTGAGCAGCAGGTATTGGACGATTGCCTCAAAGTGTTCCATCATCCTGCTCTGCGGGATATGCGCAATGAAGCACACCGAACTATGTATGAAGCAGTCCAATCTTGGGTAAACTCCAGGTCGGATCGCGGGTCCAAACTTAATGATATCCTTAGCGCTGAGGGTGTGAAGGAGGGAAAGAACCAAACGGGAGATGGCGGGCACTCCCACGGCCACGGTCATAGCCACGGCCATGCGCCTCAACAATCACAGTACCGCCCACCCCAACAGAGCCAGCAACAACAAAGCTCGTCCAGCCCCCTTGACCAACTTTCCAGTCTTCCTATTCCAGGCATTTCCAACTTGGGCAAGCTTAGCAGCACTTTCTCCAACCTTGGATTAGGCGGCTCCTCGAGAAGTAATGAGCATTCTCCTCAGCACACCCCGCCCCCACCTGAGCCCCAGCATCAACACTACCAGTCTCATAGTCAACCTCATCAACATCAGCACCAACATCAACGTCTTGAATCTCAACACCAAAACTACCAGTTGCATTCCGGAGGCGACTACAGCAGCCACCAGAGTAGTCACCACGGTCAAGGTGGACACAGCGCAGACTACTACAGCCAGTCGTCCTCCAGTCATGGATATGGTGGTCGCTCTGAATCCCAAGAATACAGCCAACGTCCCCACCACAGCAGCCATCACAATCAGGGCTATGGACAAGGTCACAGCTCAGGGTATGGTCATGGCTCTGGACAAGGCTACGGACAAGGATACGGTGGTGGGTATGGATCGGGTGGATCCAATTGGTAATTTCATATGGTGACAAAACTTTTGCTTCTTTTTTAGCATTAGATTTTGGGGGTGTGTTGTAGGCATAGGTGGTTTGCTGTTTGAAGCAAGGAAGCATGTGGTCAGCTTTATAAGAATCTGAATATGAAGTCGAAATGGTCTCAAATTCTAACTTCCAAGCATGCATACATTGGCTTTCTCTAGCTGTATTTATTTTATTCTATGATTGAACACATATACCTTCCTTCGTAAATAGAGCGATGAAACCAAGCCAACTGTTATCAGATATCGACCTAGTCTTCAAACATAGCCATCAACGCATCTTAACCAAGAGGCCCTAAATCACCCTTTATGGACTATACATGCAGTTCGAAGCAAAAAGGTCAATATATTCAAGGTTTAAAATCCATCTTCAAAATTTGCTACGCTCCTGTTCTGGAATCGGCGTGAGTAGCTTACCCTTTTTCCGGGGCATTCTCTATACAACGACTCCATCTCACGCTCTCACGTGTTGTCCCAATATGAGGGAGGAACATAACTGTTGTGCAGAAGGCCGGATGAACAACTGGTTCGTTTTCAAAGACATCTAATCCGGCAGACGCCACCTTTCCTGCTTGTAGCGCTTCTACAAAGGCTGCTTCATCAAGCAACGAGCCTCGCGCTGTATTGATAATGACTACATCATCTTTCATTTTTCATCTTTTCAAATTCTGCTTTCGAGATGATGTGTCAAGTTTCTTCTGTCGCTAGTAGATTAAGGCTAATAACATCAGAACCCCCCAGATGTTCAACAAACATCTCATATCTAGCATCTCCTATTGTCAAATCAGTTCACTGATCTACTCATAAGAAAACAATATCAAAACTCCTACCCTCCTTATCCTCGAGAAGCCTAGGCCGATTATGATAAACAATACTCATCCCAAAAGCACGAGCCCGATGTGCAATAGCCTACATTCATATGAGCAATTAGAAACCACGTACACCGGACATGAGACATTAACCAGCCCAATAGCCGCCATCCCCAAAATCCCGAGTACTTTACCCTCAGAATCTCGCCCTAAAGGCGTATCAGCTTTCCCATTCTCCCCTCCTAGCAGAATCAAGGCGAATCAAAGCCGGCACAATGTGCCAAACATTAAAAGCATCGCCACATCAGCCGTAGCCTCAGCAACGACTTTCGGGGTTTTCGATGCCCATATCTCCCTTTCAGTACAGGCATCAATATTCATCCCATCATAGCCTGCGACATTGAGACAAATATACTTCTACGTGACGGCAGGGCGTTGATGAGCTCTCGGTCCAAGACTCCCAGTTCGAGGGTGGAATTGGTTCGGTACAGTGCGGTAACGTTGTCCCAGGTTCCAGATTGACAGTTTATATAGGAATTGCTGCCGGTTGCCGGTGAATTGGTAGGCTTTGTAATTGGATTGGAGGCGGGTCCACTCGGTTCTGCTGTGGTGGATATGGCCGATTAGCACAGCGTCTGTGTGTAGGGTTCGGTCCACTGGATACCGGTTAAAGACATGCTCTCGCTTGATTATAGCGTCCTCGTCGTCCACCTTTTCGACGTAGTGCCAATTTAATAGAAATAGTTGGAGTTGTCCGCTCTCATCGATGTTCTTTTGCAAGAGTATGTTGTCAGGCCGGATATTCTTGTGAACGAGACTGATGTGTGAGTTTGAAGTACTGCCTCTGCAAGCTGGCAGCAAAGGTTGATGCGCTTCTTAAGTGTTAGTCTCTCCTTATCCTTTCTAGTAAAGAGTTCCTGGAGCGTAAACAAAAGCTTGTGAGGTGGCGGCAAGGTAAAACACATGAAGACTGTGCAGGGGGTCCTTCCAGAGACCAAGTACTGGAAGAATCGCACCAGGCTCGTCCGTAACAACTAATGTTTGTGATAGCTTATGTAGTTCTGCTTTATGCAATTCCCCCAGATCTCGCGTATAACGCGTGTCTTCTAAAAGGAAATGTTCTTATAGTGATCCAGCAACAAGAAGCGAAGGCTGTACCGAGCCCTTGGCGAAAGATCTGCTGCAATTTACCTTGTATGGATTACCATTGAAGTTTACTTCGCCGAGTAGCTTTGAGCGCTTCAATACTTTGAAATTACGCAGACTCATTGTGAGCTAGTAGAATTCAGTCATAGAAATCTCGATGCCTATGAATATTTTCACCAGTCATATTCGCAGGGTTTGATGACTCGAATCACTCGAGCTTGTAAACAAGCAAACTAGTTCATCAACATGGCGCAGTTGTACTAAAATATTGTTCCAAGCTTCGTTTATCCGGTTTTTATGGCTGGTTCGAATTTGCTTATCCCTCTGCACTTCTTTTGCGTGTTTGAAGTCTCAGGTGGTCTGTACCCTACTTTCGCCGTGGATAAGCTTGTTAGTAGTTTGTAAAAAGCCTCCAATCTCTTATCCTCCTTCATCTTCTTGAGAGTCTCAACACTTGTTTGAAGGAAATGGTCTTTTTCGGGCAGGACAAGTAGGCGGCGCTCGCTTTCTACTGACATCATGCATGATGTCTTCGAGACACTATGAGATAAAAATAGCAGTCGAAATATCTTTAATCTCAGAGTTAGATCCTGTAATATTCTCTAAGCATCGGGTATACTGCCTTGTGAGACGAAAAACAAGCAGATTGAGGTTTGCGGAAAGTCTGAAATCAGTACGATACGCTCCGAAAAGACGGTTTCGAAGTAATGAAATTGAGTAGCCTAGAGAAGCATCTGCAATAGAGCTTATGAGCCTTTTCTTATACCGGGCTATACAAAGAAGACATGTCACTCACCCCCACTCTAGTTATTTCAGGCTTAAAGACGATCGTGTGTCTCAAGATAAAAACAAAGATCTGGATGCAGATATTATTCGTCTTATTTATGAGGTCAGGCTCCTAAAAGTCTAGATTGTCGATAAGATGGGTTTGAAATCTTTGTCCGCGGCCAGTCCTCAACGATTCATCTAACGACGATAAAGGCTGGCGGAGAGATGGTAGGTTTGAGTACAAATTATCATGCTTTATCTCAAGACTCCCGCACACATGGACGCTCTACAAAGTCATCTATCTGATACGAAATAAGGCCACTACAATATGTACTATAGAGGTTCTCTCTTGGGGTTTTATAATACAATATCGTGAACTCGACACCACCCTCCCAAGGGTCGCCGAGGTCCGCTCCGCCTAAAAGAAAGCTGAAACATACCATTGAACCACCTTGCCAGTTGTGAAACGTTTCAAGGGTCTATGAAAGGATTGGACGTCATCCTTTATAATTAACTTGGTCCGGTGATACTTACAAAGGTAATCTTAAGAGATTTGTGTCAGGATGTTTTAGTAGCGAAAATAAAGTTCCCATGAGTGATCAACACCCTAGTTAGGGCTCGGACGACATCCTTACGGTATATAATGATCTTCTAGGCAGTACACTTCAAACTTTCATTACAACGCTAAATTCCATATGCTCATCTTTATTCAATTCTTTGTCATAATGCTGCAGACAACACTGTAGTTTATGGCACTTGTCTCGGTAGTTATCTTACACCTTTGAACGCACTGTCCAGGATTGAAAGGTAAGTAAGTCCTAACTTCTGTATATGACGCAATTAGGTTCTACATCTTTTGCGGGCTTGAATGTGGGCAGAACTACTACGAAAAGTAGCAAGCCATTGGCTCAACGCCCATGTCCAGGCGGCTGCCCCAGGCTTCTTCGCAGTGGCACTGGGTTTTGTTCAGTTTATGAAGTTTCTATGTATATCCGCCTAGAGTGTAGCCTTGTGTCTATGTCATATCCGACTGCACTGATTTACCCAGCAAGTAGTCGCCTATCGTTAATATTTTACCCATGGGATTCTCAAACGTGCTAAAAATACATGCCAATGAAAATAGGGGGAAGATTTTGATAAACCTGCGCTTGTCCCTTTGGACCGGACTTCACGGTAGGGTACTCTGGCGCGGCTACCCCCATTTCCTATAATGGATGCGGCGCAGGCAAGTTGCATGAGTTCCCAGTCACTTTAGCGCCCTCGGCCCTCCCACCTTCATTCCAGCGACACCATTGACTATTTATCCCACCCTGCTTGAGAGCTTCTAAAATATCCTAGCTTATCACTCATCACTCATAACAAGGATTGTTTCAGCAGGCGAGTCTCCGGCCTATATTTCGAAGCATGGCCAATCGCCATATTGTCATCTTCGCAATCACTGTACCTACTGCAAGGATCCGAATATGGAGAGGCCAGGTATCCACTAGAATGTGTACTAAAATAGCACTTGACAAGGGTAGCGAGGCTATGTTGCGCTTCGAAATCACGCTGTTGGTACGGGGAGTCCACATAGCCCCAGACAAGGCACTTTCGTCTATCGTTTAAAATCCTACGTTGTATTCGTAGGTTCGTTTTCATATTCTGATACTTCTTGGATCTCATCAATAGTGACGAGAAGGAACGCAAATCGACAGTCCCAAGCCCAATGTACCAACCGTTCTTCTTCGGGGCGACACCCCAATCATCCATTTCATCTAGCCAAGATTTCAACTTCAGGGCTATCATTCCTACAGTGGAAGTTGCGGATGAAGATGCTCCTTCGTCCATAGGAGGCGAGCGAACTCCTTCTATGTCTGACTCGGAAGATTCCAGTCACCGCGTATACACCCCAAGTCGGAGCACGGCGACTCCACGCTACCGTGAAAGTCAAAGCGTAGGCGTCATCGAGTCTCTCCGGGCTTTGAATTTTCAGGAAACTCCTCCAAGCCCATCGCACCGATCGCGCTCATGGCGGAGTGATGCTCGGGGAGAAAGCACTGGTTTGTCCCCAGGCAGATCTACATCCACATACGCAGGCTTGTTTAATGCGACTCCGGAACCCACGCCAGAGCCATCACGCACACGACTCATTTCGCATCGCGATGAGACTGTTGACGACTTAGCGAACGACCTAGGGAATTCTCACCTGCAAAATGGTGAGCCCCACACGGACAGTGATCAAAGCAGTGAGAGCAATGATGAAGAATCCGACAGCGATGATTCTTCATTGTACAATATGAGATCTGAACGACTGCCTCGCGCCCGTATATACAATACTGGCTTACAGAATATCCTGCGAGACGTCAAAAACCAGCTGTCAGCCCTCCACGCTGATATGGGCCGGTATCCATTGTCTCATGACACTAGCTCTGATCTCTTTCAGGTACGCGAGAAAGTACGCGTGTTGAACGAGCAGGAGTCTCCAGAGGCACGCACTGTGGGGTTTATTGGCAACTCCGGAGTCGGCAAGAGCAGGCTTATAAACTCACTACTAGACCAAGAGGGTCTCGCCCGTTCGGTAGGTCAATTGCTCTCTAGAAGAGCCTATTTGAGTTCCAATCAATCATCTTCTAATACTATATGTCTAGAGTGGCGATGGTGCAGCATGTACTTCAGTAGTAACTGAGTTTCGACATACGGATGCGCGCCGTCCAAATCGGTACACCATCGAAATCGACTACATGGACCAGCAAGAAGTGAAAGAACTGCTAGAGGAGCTTGTCCAGAGTTTTAGAATGTACTACACTGATCTCTATCGTGAAGTCACTAGTATAGAAGAACAGGAGAAGATTCGTGACCGTTCAAGCAGAGCATGGAGTACACTAAATTCATTGTTCAAGGACCAGCCAGACCTCACACACGAGTTCCTTTCTAACCAGGCCGATGGAGCATTACCAAGAATACTAGAGCAACTTGGAGAATGGGCAACTCTGTCATGTACGCGACGCCCTGGAGGCTCGGTGCTTCAGCACACTATTGTTCCAGATGATGCTCAGGCATGTAGGTCTCATCTTGATATGCTTACGATGGATCCACACGATGCGACGGAGATTGCTGTTTGGCCATTCATCAAGCTAATCAAGTGAGTAAATTATGTGCAATCCTGCTTTGACCTACTGACGTCTATAGGGTATATCTTCGATCGCCTGTCTTAAGGACAGGGTTGATATTGACTGACTTGCCTGGTATGCCCTTCTCTTTCTGAGCCTAGGTCCCCCGTGCACTAATATTAGCGGCTAGGCTTTCGTGACCTCAATTTTGCAAGAATCCGGGCGACGGAAAGGTACCTGAGACATTCCTGCGACGAGGTTTTCGTCGTAACGACAATTTCCCGGTGTATTTCCGATCAAAGTATCGAAGAGATAAAAAGACGTTGCACCAATGGACAGCCATTGCGTATAGTGTGTACACGCAGTGAAGTATGTCTGTCTTCTCGTTTTATTGCGTAATTAGAGAATGTTTACTTACCGAGCTCAGGAGGTTAATGCAAGCGAAACGGCACGCGACTGTCGTGACCTCACGGCTCGAATCAACCAGCTACAAAACAGAGTCAAGTATGTCAACAAGAGGCTTCGAAATTCTAGACGAACACAGCGACAAGGCGAGATACTGCAACTTATGTAAGATCTTTCCAAGTACATCTATGCGCGCTATTTCCACAATACTGATAGAACTCCATGTAGGCAAGATAAAGAAGACGCAGAACTCGAGTAAGTTCTAGAATACAACAAGGATAAATACAGAAACCATCACTGATATTATGATAGTCTCGACCGATTCCTAATCGAGAGCCGGAACCAAAGGGTCTCAGCACAGCTCCTTCAGAACCACGGTGATGGGGTCCGAGTATTTTGCATCAGCAATGAACTGTATTCGAAACACCGCCAGAGTGGAATGAGACACGCCGACACCTATATCGAACTTAGCGGTATCCGGGAGCTTCGACGCTATTGTCAACTAGTCCCGGCGGAGGCCCAGTTTCGGTTCGTCGCTGCGTTTATAGAGCATCGTGTACCCGCAGTGGTGAGATCCGTGAAACAATGGACCCTTGCTGGTTCGGACAATGTTACCGTGGAGAGAGCTAACGCCCTCCGGCAAACCATGCTGGACGTGGAAAGTGTCTTTCGTGAGGTATGAACATCCCTTGCAAAACTGCATGCGGCTGACCTCGAGCAGCGGCTTATATTGCGAACTTCAGAAGCTCGAAAGTTTCCAAGAAGACTTGAAGATCGGTTCCGTGAAGATATCGTCAGCCTGACAAGTATGTGAACTCTACTAGATGCCAACCCGAAACATATTGACCAACGCCCTTTCAACGATGCAGGTGAGGGCTGTTCTAGATGGAAAAGCAGTGCACTACAAGCTAGCACCATTTGGGCCGGGGTAAGTTTACCTTGCTTTGCGTTCGGATAGAGCAAACAACCTGACGTATCGCAGTGGCATTATAGCACATATGCTGCCTTCTGTCGAAATTATGGAACATATTCAACACGCGCTGCTCGCGGTTATCATTGTTGGAACGACGAATTGCTGAAAGGTATGCAAACTGATCTGGAAGAAAGATGGGTATCTATAGAAGAATGGGTCTATATGCAGAAAGCAGCATTGGGAGAGATTGTAAGAAACACATTCCAAGAGAGCTCGGCCCAAATTGGGAGTATGTCACCATCCTATTCCAATAACTGGGGCCATTTGGCTAATATCCATTCTAGATATTCTGCACCTGGCTCCTTTGGCTCTGGGCAATCTTATCGACAACATGAGTGACTGGGAAAGCTGTGTGGTTGCAGCTGTTAACCAGTCTCTGGACAATTTAATTCAAGGGCTAAGGTAAGTCTCTTATACCTAAGAACTTAAGTGCCTTGGGCTAACCAAACGGTACACAGTCGAGTAGGGGAAGACACTCTCCATGGTCATGATAGCTCTTACATAGCGGGCCTGATGCGCCCTGTGTATAACCAGTGCAACAGCGAATCAGGTAACATAAAATCCACTAGAGTCTGGCTTATATTCTATACATGGAATTGTGCTAAGCTCTCATACAGGAACAGGGTCGGATTCTCGGCGGAAAATGCAGATGCGTACCCATCTCACGAGATCTGGGATTTTCCGAAATCTCGTCAATATCAGTGAAGAGAGTCGCCGATCTGTTGTCGAGGAAAGTTGTCGGGATCTACGACAAAAGTTAGAGGAAGAAGTAGGACATATATGCAACGATCTTCATAGTATCGTTGCGGAGGAGGGTGAGGTTACTGAGGCAAGGAGGTTCCCAGAGGTCGCTAGTATGCTGCAACGCAAGGCCCAGACGGCTCAAGAAACCCTCGAACGGGCACAAAGAATTGTAAATGAGTTGAAGAATGCGCCGGAATGACACAGAGCTTTGATTACAGCATATATCTCCTATTATGAAGATAATGTCATTCTATATTCAGAATCCTTGTGCAGATTCTTTCTATTCTTTTAGCATTCCTGTTTCTATATTCAAAATTTGATAGGGATTCCATCTAAATTTACATTAAAACTCACTTTACCAAAGCATTTACGAACGTTTAGCCAGCACCTCAATCAATCCCCTCTCTTCCTTCGTCATCCATTGGACCCCCTTCAACAAACTATATAAAACAAACAAAGTAGGTATCCAAACCCTCTTCGCCCGACCAACCCGAGGCGGCTCGCCAACAATACTCTCCACTTCAATAAGGTTCCCCTTCACAAAAGATCAGCCAAACCAACCCAACCTCTCCACAAAACAAAAAGAACAAGTACAACCCTTCCTCACATCCTCCAACATACTCGGCGGCAAATACATAGTCACCGGATACGCCCCAATAACCCGCTCACAAACATACCCCGACAAATCTACCCCCACAGCCGCGGCCGCAGCCCGAATTTCATCCATAGCAGGCCTAACAAGCGTCTCCGCCATATCCCCCTCAAGCCTTATCCGCCCCGTGTCCAGCCCCGTAAGCGCACATATCGAATTCAAGCACGCGTTGAAAATTAGCTTCCTCCACCGGCTGTACGCAACATCAGGTGTCAGAACACACCTCGTCTTTCCAGATGCAGAATACAGCGCCACAAATCGCGCCGCGGCGGCCTGTTCAATAGCGACATCTAAATTGGGGTTCGGGAACGCGCCAATCACAAGATCGTCTGCGGAGCTGTGCTCGGTTACGCCTGGTGCGATCTCGTGGGAGTCGATCATGCTGATACCTGAAAGGATTATGTTGTCTGGGAAGGCGGAGAGGTAGGGTTTTTCGATGTTGAGCCCGTTTTAGATTAGTACAATTACCGTGTGACCTGGTGTTAGGGGTGGTTTTATTAGGAGGCTGTTGGAGGGGCTGTCGGGGATGACTTTTGTGGTGATGATTATATAGCCGTATTTGATGCGTGTTGTTGTTGTGTTGGGGATGTGGTTTGTTACTGGTTTGTGGTTGTTAGTGGGATAGTTTTATTGGAACGGGGAAGGGAGCGGTCATCATACTATGGGAGGGCTTCCATTCTTTTATGAGTCCGTGGTCGCAGGACTAGATGGTGAAGCCATTGGAGTACACAGCTTGGTAGTTTGAACGTAGGACGGCGGTTACTTGGGCCTGGTTTCCTGCTTCGAGGTTTAGAGCGGTGATTGTGCCGACGCCGCCGCTGCCGATTAGGAGGATGTTGGCTTTTGGTGAGGTGGACATGGTTTGCTTGGTTTAGTGGGATATGGGTGAGCATGCAGATTTATGTACAATTGTACATGGCTAATACGGCGGGTGTTTGAATAGGCTAAATTAAAGTCGGGGCAGGAGCCATCTACCATATCAAGACAATTTGGACATTCTGGATTTATTGTAATCATTTAATTATGAATACTATCCTCTATCCAGTCTTGACTAGTTGAGTTGTTTCAAGGTTTTATGAAAAGAGGCCTTGATGTTTGCGCAACGGTGTCTATCTCAATCTATAATCAGAGATGATCTTGTTGGATCGATATTGGGTTGAGCCAGCTTTATACCTCCAAGTGAGATCCGACACCCTCGGAGTATCAGGGTGGTGCTCAAGTCCATATACCTTGTTCTCGAGCCCGAACTTGCATTCTCGATAGCATCCAAGTGGTCAGATGGGGCAGTTCCTTCACCACTCTTATCCGGGCGGATCGGGCTGCATGGCATCGTTTGCAATGGAGAGTGGTTCTCAGGAGCATTTCGAACCATAGAAGGCAACCTATTGTCACCTGTGTCACAGCATATAGCACTCTCAGCATTCACCTTCAAAACGGTGGCAGGCAAGTATGATAGCCACTAAAAGCAACTGGGCAGCTGTCAGATTTATCATACCGATATGACATGACATCTTTTTTCAGGCAAACCCGCAGTTGGGGGGCCATGAGGCCCCCCAACTGCGGCCCCTGGGTCTATGCTCTTATTCACAACCTGCGTAATTTCATAATTATAGTGGACAGATATTTGTTCTACCTGACAATACTACCGCTGAGGCTCCCGACAGTGCAGTAAGTAAGCTGAGGACCACCCTGATTTCCGGGGTCCTCACGAGTCGCATCCTTGCTATAGGATCAGTAAAACCCTCGGGGTTTTGTAGCCCTCTCTGTAACGCTGGACGAGAGGTCTGGGGACGTAGGGTGAGCTTTTCGCCACTGAAAATTATTTTCTTTATCTACTCTTTTAGTATTTCTTGTATTCTTTCATTTTTCTTTTCTTTCCGTTTCTTTCTACTGTGGTTTTTCTTTTTATCCAACTTTCTTCATCCATGCAAAGTATCGATCTATATCAAGATGAACATGTATTTGGCCACTAAAGCTAAAGAGCGATAGTTCAGAACGCTAGTGTGGCTACCTAATTGGAGGCTTTGCCCAATCAACTTACGCGTAGTGGGGAAGTGTCGAGGAGTAAATACTGCTTTGTTTTCTTCCCTCACTCGTCACCTCTTCTTGTCATATTGCAATTCTCCTCGGTAGATTCTACTACGTGCTAGTAGAACTACTAGATACCTCTGCTCCAATGCCTCGCAGAGCCCCACTAACCAAGTATGGTAGTAAAGCCCTTTGCCCTCCATCCGACTAAAAATAGATGATACGTACACGTTGCACTAGGCCAATAATGGAGCTAATACCCATTTCCCAGAGCTTTGGCTTTGTCTACCAAGACAACACACTCTCCGTCGGGCTGGATGGCGACTACCTCCTGTCTACGTGCAGGCAATCCAAGATAGCCACTCGTCACGCCAAGATCCAGATAAGAAAGAAAGTATTCCTCGGAAATTCCTCGAAGCCTCGGTCACCGCATTCACATCTCTATTTATCCTTGCCCTGGGCGGCTACTCATACCACATATACTACAAGAATCTAGTCCTCCGAAAGATTGACAATGCATTTTCAAGCGGATATTCCACCCTCGAGCTAGCAGCCTTGGCTCAGCATGGTGTTGGGATTGACTCCAGCACGTCGCCTACCAGCGATAAGCATCGGTTCTATGTCCTGAGACCCGAGCAAGCAGTCATTGACGGCATCCTCTCCGGCAATATTAGGCATAACTACTACCTACTCTTTGGTGAAAAGGGAGCCGGCAAAACAACCATGTTGCTCGAGTCCATGCGTAAAGTGCACGGTAGCGGTGTCGCAATGCTGGAAGCTCATGGGGACTTGGAGTTATTCCGACTTCGACTGGGAAAAGCCCTCGACTACGAGTACCATGAGGATTATATGGGGAGCCTGTTCAATTACAGGGGCCCTCGCGAAGCAACGCCCTTGTTGGATATCGAGCGAGCGTTGAACAAACTTGAAAAGGTTGCATTGCAGCGGAGAAGCAAGCATAACCGTCCCTTAGTGTTGATTATAAGCAACATCCATCACCTGCCGGATAACCCTGAGGGGCAGCATTTGCTTACTCTGCTCCAGCAGAGGGCGGAGTTGTGGGCGGCAAGTGAACTTATCACGCTAGTCTTTACGAGCGATCAATATCGTACTACGGAACAGCTTCGACTGCATGCTACCCGTCTGCAAGTCCTGACCGTAAAGGATGTTCCTGAAGATATTGCCCTGAAAGCTTTGCGGGAATATCGCGAAACAAAATTCGGCGAGCCTGTATCGGCTGATATATTGAGCCAGGTCTATGATAAAGTAGGGGGTCGATTGATCTTCTTGGACCAGATCGCAAAGTCCAAAAACATGCTCGAAATGTGCCATTCTATCTGCGAGAAGGAGAGGAAATGGCTGCTCTCCAATTGCTGGATATTGGGGTCAGAAATGGACCCCAAAGCTGAGGATCAACAAGATTACTGCGTATGTTCTCTCGCTTTGTGTTAAACTCTTTGAAGGTATAAACGGAGGCTAAATATAGATAAGGCCGCCGCGATGATTTTAGCGCAGGCTCTTGTTGACATTGAGAAAGAATCTGCCGGAGGAAAGAGCACTCCCGATTTGCCTGGAATTCCTTTACACAAGGCCCAGGAACTAATGACGCGAGCAGACTTCATTCGGAAGTTGGACCAAGTGAACATCGTCTCAATAGACGCTGACTCTATGGTCAGGGCTGATTCGGTGCCGATGCAGAATGCCTTCCGGACGGTCTGTAGTGATCCCCAGTTCACTAAGCACTTGGAGACCACCATTGAGCGGCTGGATGAATTGGAAAGCCTTGGACGAACGAGAGAACTGACAATGAAAGATCTAGCCAATAACCAATATGTCGCGACAGTGGATGGTATGGGGAACAATCAAAGCACCTCTATACGATTCAGGAAGCTTTAGGTCATTCATTATCCTAGGGCTGGCTTTCTTCTGCGGTCTATGTCACGATGTTAAAATGAACTTATATAGGCGCCAAGATACACACTACTTGAGGTCAAGCCGGTGAGGTCTGGAGTTAGGATGTTGTTCCAGCTGTGATTACTGGCGCCCCTTGTCGCCCCAATTTATATATCCATAATTCGAGTGCTCACAGCGCCTTTGAGGGCAGTATTACCTTCAAACTTCCCATACTCTACATATTGGCAGCTCTTAGAGAGTGGCCGAAAGATTCAGGAGGAGAATAAGCATTCTCTCCTGTGCCAAAACCAGCGCTGCCACATTCTCATATGTCATCACTTGGTGAAGACGAATGCTGTACTGTAGACGTGTACCACTATTCTCAAGGCATCTCTCAACAGAAGCCGGGCTAGCTCAATCGGTAGAGCGTGAGACTCTTAGTCATCACGGTATCTCAAGGTTGCGGGTTCGACCCCCGCGTTCGGCTTTCGTTTTACTCCAAATCATGTTGAAGTTGCATTCCTTTTTTGTGGGACGTTTTTTTTAGGTCTATCTGAAGCGAAAGGATCTTTTGCCTCCTCCAGCTCTGATTGGTCGATATATCCCATGTCGGGAAGCACGTGCGCCCCACTGGGCGTCAAAAAGTATTATGCAACCATATGATATAGATGTAAAGCTTACAGAAGTCATTCTTGTCCCTGGAGTTTAGTCATGTCCGTTTTGTCAGATTCATAGAGCACGACAAAAGCGATATGTTTCGGACGCTTAGTATAGGTTGACTGAGCAAAGCCCATAGATCATGATTGGACAGTTTGAAATCAATGGCTGGGCTTGGCAGTGCAGAGTATCAATTCGAAGTTAGTTCGGATGACTAGATTGGTTAATCTCAAATTACTCGGAGCTGCTTCTAAATGACTCTGAGAACGCATCTAAGTCGGTCACTTGAGTTTGATGAGTTTTGTTTGCTTTCTTTCCTGCCTGATGAAGAATACCGCACACGAACAAGTCAGAGGGTATGGATAACCCCGTCGTTGCAAACGTCCTAGGTACAATGGGAGCTGTGCTATGGTCGCTCCAGGCGAGTACAACTCCTTACTCTCTCTCTTTCTTTATGAAGACCCGCGAGATCAACGACTAATATAGAAAATAGCTTCTACCGCAAATATGGAAGAACTGGAGACGTCACGACAGTGAATCGTTATCTGCCGCATTCTTCCTATCCTGGGCCATTGCCGGTGTGCCCCTTGGGGTATACAACATTGCAGAAAACTTTAATATCGCCCTGCAGGTCCAACCAAATATACTAATATTCCTAAGCCTCTGCACCTGGTCTCAATGCAAATATTACGGAGTAAAATGGAGTCGAAAGAAAGTAGCACTCATTGCTACAGCCATAGCTGCAGTACTTGGAGGTGTTGAGACAGGACTTGTTTTCGCGCTCCGGGCTGCACGAGAACGGGGTCAAAAGTGGGCGTTAACGCTCATGGCAGTCCTAGCTGCTATTCTACTTGCGGGTGGCGTCCTTCGACATTATGTTGATATGATTAGGACGCGATCTGACGCTGGCTTATCACTTAAGTTTGCGGTTTTGGATGCTAGTGGGGATGTGGTTTCGCTTTTGTCGGTGGTTTTCCAGCCTAATCTAGAGATTCTGGGGCTGGTAATATATGGTTCGGAGTTAGCGATATGGCTGGGCCTCATGACTATTGTGATTTATTTTCGGGCTGTAGATCAAAAAAAAGAAAGGGATGTTGAAGAGGAGACTGCGACATGTATGTGAGCCGTTGTACTGCTTCATGTATGATATATCCACATTACTAAAAAGTCATAAGTTTCCTGGTGAAGGCGAGTTCGGAAATACCGTACTCCCTATTAGTTTATCCATAATGCTAACAGAGGTACATGTTAGGGTCGAGATACATCCTGTCAAAGTAGCATACAATCTCGTTCATTGCCACAGAACGGGAAATATCTTTCGATCTCACAGTAAAGCCCTAGGAATGAAATGCCTCTTGGTAAACCGAGATAGCAAGAATTGCTTCATGTAGCCTAAAGCTTGTGACGGTAGGATTCTATAGGCTGGTTAGATCCGCCTGACCGTACCGGCCTAAGTCTACTTGACTTTAAAGTGCTAGATTGCTTCAAAACGTAGCAAAGAGTAGGAAAGGGTTCCATTTTCTACTTGAAAATCGTCTGCATGTAGTAATTATCTATAGGAATCTCTGTGGAGTATGAAATCAATCGATTCAGTACTCCACTTCAACTATCTGAGGGGGAGTAAGTAGGCAAGCCTATACAAAGGTTGGCCGCTTTGGGGTCTTTCAGCCAATTGATGCTCTAAGTTACAGCCCCGGTCATAAAATATATCAGCCCGGCGGACACAAGGTCCCGGGCTCAATATTCTGATTTAAAATCTCTAATTAGTCGGAATCGAGGGCGGAATCGTCAAACAGCCTGTCGTCTTTTTAGGGCAGGTTGTTACGAGTTTCTACGGCGCTTTTTTTAATGAGATTCAAAGAGGTGCATATCTACCCTGGCTTGACTGGCACCATTTTCTGGTCAAACAAAATGTTGAATATGCCCATGAAATTACCTAGTATCGCAGGCAGCCGACATATGCCTAGTGAATAGGGGGTTTGTGAATCCAAGTGGAATATTGAATTCCATTGAAATAAGGCCACATATAAAAGTGGTCATGATTTCCACCTAGATCGGCCATCTTGATAGTTCTTCAGGATCATTAATACAATCGTTTTCTGTTCGTCACATCCATATTACGATTCTATCAACACCCACCCATGGTTTCCCGCTCCCCTAAACGGATCTAGCCACGGTAGCTAGGCATAACAGGGTTAGCGGGCTCTATCATCAGGGCCATCCATTCGGTCCCTTGGGCGGTTCTTTTAATAATTCCCAACTGATATATCGTTCGTTTTTTGGGTGGCTAGTTTCAAATCCCACGGCTGACTATCATGATTGTAAATAAAGTTGCTTACGAATCAATCTTGACAGTGTGGCCGAGTGGTCTAAGGCGTATGACTCGAACTAAAGCGAAATCATATATCTTCGGATGCGTGTGTTCAAATCACACCGCTGTCGTACTTTTTTACTATTTAGTTCAAACTAGATAGTCATCACTCATTATAATTTATTTTCCCCTCCATCTATCGACTTCGACAGTGTGGCCGAGTGGTCTAAGGCGTATGACTCGAACCAAAGCGAAATCATATATCTTCGGATGCGTGTGTTCAAATCACACCGCTGTCGTTCCATTTTTTCTCGCTCGGATTCAAATCTGACAGCTGTAGTTTAGTATACCTACACACTATATATATATATATTTTTCTGCTGTTGATGCTCAAATCCGGATTGTGACCAGGCCGCCTTGTGTAGAGTATCTTGAAGATTCAGGAACGTCGGATGCCACCTGATGGAGTTTCCAAAACTTCCAGGAATCATTGCTAGTGAAATCAGCTATAAAGAAAGGTTCGAGCTGCTTAAGAAGGCGAAGGACGCGTCTTATGTCATTAAGGCCACACGAATGGCCATGCGGAAGAGGAAAATGATCTCATCGAGTACAACTGGCAGCAAACGCATTCTGGATGAGAAGGTGAGTACCGAAAATGGCCGTGGGAGCACTCGATCCCTAAGCCACACACCTATGCTACAGTGGTGGTGGTGGTGGTGGTGGTGAATTCATACCCTGACCCCTCGCTAGGCGATATGCAGGATGTCACTATCTAGTCCTTATATATGCTATGTACAGTAGTCCATTACTTAACGACGAACTTGGAGCCTCGTCACGGCCTATGGTGGCCTACATGCCTAGTGTTCCGTTCAGCGGCCCTGTGGCGCGCGGCTTTAAAACCTCTTTGATGCCTCTGTAAAGTCTAGTACTGCGCCTAAGACGCTACTGTCCTGCATATCATCCTTCTTACCTTTCTTACCTTGTGGTCCACCTCCCAGCATACCTGAAATGTCATTGAAAGCAGTTCCAATCTTCCTCCGTAGTTCCTATGCTACAGTGCCGACCGTTATTGCCTTCCATATCCGGAAGCGCAGAGATACTCTTTCAAACCCTAATCACATGACACTCTAACCTAATATGAATTTCGCGTAAATTACGAATTTGTATATACGTCGTAACAATACCGGATATTGTACAGTACTTAGCTGTATAGATACAAGGCTCAAGAGACCCCTGGACAATTGAGAGGCTCCATGCAAACCGAGCAAACATGCGACTGTTGGCAATCTGTCAACTTCCCTCCTCCATCTCTCAGTTGCACTGGCAGAGGGCCTGGTGCTGCCCTGAGTGTCCATCGCGGATCAGGTTGATAGGCAAGGCTTGACAGTAAGATTTGTTTCGTGATCACTGTCATTTATCGCCATGTGACAGCTTCGGGTCTTTACTGGGCATCAGATATTACCTAGCTAGCCCCTTAAGCTCAAGGCTATCCCTTTCCCAGAGATATTTCATGATGGCCCATAGCTCTTTTGGTGACGATGTGATCAACCCCGGACACTTGATCCATAGAAAGATACTTGGCAGTGTGCCCCTGCTCCTGGTAACTTCTGTAGTACACCTGCAACCTTGTACTCCCCTAGCCCGTCCCGTATCATGCCACGGATCAGCCACACTCGGATCAACTCAATTTTCTACCATTTACCAAATGCGAAGAAGGTGGCGAATAAGATGAGAAGCCTCCGAGATACGTACTACACAATCGAATGGAAGCTTATACTCAACCGTAAGGCAGTAGATAGAGTGACAGAAGAAGATTTGGTTGTAGCTCCTAGCAAGTATTGGAAGAAGTCTTTAAAAGCAGATGTTGAAGACATGCTACTAATAAAAAAGAAAAGTCACCAGAGAGTTCAATCAGAGGGCATGGCTGTTATAAAAGTGAACAACCGGTCCCAGAGGAATCTCAAAAAATTCCACAATTCTACTAACATTGACTGGAAACCAGTGGAGAAGCAGCTGCATAAATGGAATAATTTGCTTCATATTGGCAAGAAGCTCACTATAGCCATTCCCTTTAATTACAGGATTGAAGATGACGATTATTCTGCGTCAGTATCAAGAAAAGTTAATAAGAGAGGCCGTGTCTCTGCAACAAGCAGAATATGTAGAGGTGAGCAGGATAGTGTATTGCGGTGACATAGCAATCACCAGGGGACATAACTTGATTTAGTGGTGGTGCAATAACAGGAGAGAGTGGGGGATGCAGCCACAAGATTCGGAACTATAAAGAGAACCTGTATCAGATACTAAAGTATACTGAAAAACGAATGCATGTTTTCTTGGACTGAAATTTTCGGCTTGCAGTCGATGAAAAAAATGAAAAACAAGGAAAATGATTAACCGACCGATCTAGCCTTCTATGCCAGATCAGGATAAGCCTCGTCTGAACCCTATACACATAATCCAATGGTTTTTATTTCATCAATTCAATGACGCAGATCGGTCGACTCGTCCCGGCAATCAATCTCCAATGGCCCTATACCTATTTGTCTGAACTGTGTCTAGTCTAACTGTTGATATCACCAGCTAGATACTGTGTTTGTGCTCCTAAAACAAAAAGTCCCGTACAATCACAGGAATGCTAAAGACCACCCCAATGGGTCTCTTGAACCAGAAGGCGGGCCTGACTCCGGCCAAGGTCCTCCTAGAGGGCCGTCAGCTACGGTACACGGTTCGGCTTCTTGGCCTACCGGAGGACAGTCCAGCCAGATCAATCCTTCCGGTCAGCTTTCGGGAGGGCGACCAACATGTGCAACCCGGGGAACACACCCCTGGAAACAGACTCTGGGCCGAACCCCACAGCCGGGGACCATAGTCGTTAGGACAGCACCTAGCTCGACAACTAGCCAATATCCTCCCAGCCGATCCCTCTGCAGGCTTCGAGAGCGCTCAGCGTGGCGATGGCAGCGGCTTTCCAGAGCAGATCATCGTCCAGGCAACGGATAACACTCTCACTGCGGCGCGGACAATACAACCAGGTAGCGCGATCTGGTCAGATGAATCAAGGCTTGAGAATGGCCGAAGCAGAGCCGGGATCACCTGGCAGGAGCCTTGCGGAGAGTGGAAGGCCCGGAGCTTCCCCCTCGGAAAAGGGCGAGAGGTCTTCGATACAGAGCTTGTGGATGTTGTCCAGGTCCTTCAGGCCGCACTGAAAATGGATGGCAGCCGCCCGATCACAATCCTCTGCTAGACTCTCAAGCTGTGATTGCGAGGCTGCGACATACACAAGCAGATTCCGGTCAGGAACTGACGCTTCGAGCCTATGCAGTAGCCAGAGCTCTCCAAGAGAGAGGCCGAGAACCCATAGTTCAATGGGTGCCCGGCCACGCCGGAATTGAGGGAAATAAGAAAGCTGATGAGGCGGCAAAGCTCGCGGCCAGTCGACCGGGATGCCACCCAGAAGCAGTCACAGGGCTCTCACTGGCGTTCATCAACCGGACGTGCACCGAGAACATCCAAAACCGCAAACAAGCCTGGCTTGCCCAAGATTGTGCAAAGCGTTCCCGCTACAAACAGCGAACCTATCGACCGTATCGAGGCTGGGCACTGGACCCAGTCGCCTCACAAGCCCTAAAACCTCTGGCCACCCGCTTCTTCCAGTTAAAGAGTGGCCATGCGGCTATCGGGGCTCACATCCACCGGATTCACGCACGGGAAAGCCCAGCATGTGAGAAACGCGATGCACCAGCAGAGACCGTACACCACATCCTTTTTGAGTGCCGGGCGTGGCAGCACCAGCGGGCCCAGCTCTACCGAGCGCTGGAGCTAGCCGGGGTGGCCAGACCCTCCGCGGCAGAAGAATGTCCGGAAGGTAGACTATTGGGGGAACCGAAGGCGACAGCCGCCATCTTACAATTTCTGTCAACAACAAGGGCAGCCCTGCCCCGGCACCACCACCAGGCCCTGGCCAAGCGAGCGCGACAAGATGATGAGTGGGGATTGGAAGACTTGGAGGAAGCTGAGAGAATGGGGGAAGGATAGCAAGAAGGGTAGCCTAGGCACTCAGCCTGGGAGACACCCGAATCGCTTGAGACACCAAGGAGAGCCAGGATGGCTCAAATGCCCTGCGCAAATAAGCGAATCGGGGCGAGGAAAAGGACCCGACAGTATTTACATGGGGCTCGCGCCCAGGAACCCAGAGGAGCAGAGGTCTGGGAGCCGCTTCATCATGCGGCACCAGACCCTGTCTCAGATTCACAGTCTGTCATAGCTTTAGGGCTCGATATGGACAATAAACTTGATTAATAATAATAAAAGTAATAAAACAAAAAATGATTAATTCACATACTTTCGATATAGATATGTCTCCTCGTCCAGTTGGAAAGCATTTTTAGATCCTATACGCCAACACTCGGCGGTCACAAACTCGGAGCCTAAGCCTACCGCAAGAATGCGTACACCAAGCTCAGGAATGCTATCTATCGGTCGCTTGCGGTAGATTACCGCTAACTTGTCTTGACAGAAGGATATGTCCCACACTAACCATTGTAGTTAACGCGAAAATGAAGGGTTGGACAACAACCGTTCTTCGCCTAGGTCTATTAGAACCTCAAGTCCCATCCAATTTGTGGTCCAAGTCTGGGTAGTTCATCCGCTACGCTTTGCACATCCTTGTCACTGGGATACAGGTCAGTTGAGAGCACGAGATACATTGTGGGAAAGACATACCCTCTTCCACTAACACAGATCACAACATCTTCGTCTTCCTTCATCGTCCTGGCCATCTCAACACCGCCATAGATAGCATGAGCAGATTCGAGAGCGGGAATGATCCCCTCCAACTCACTGAGCAGCTTGAACCCCAGGAGGGCTTGAGCATCGGTAACGGCAATGAATTTTGCGCGTCCCGAGTCTTTCCAAGAACTCAGCTCCGGCCTGTTCAGATGGTTAGCAACACGTATCCCCAAAGTTGTGGTATTATTGATCATGTGGCACATCAGGGAAATACGCAAACTCTACTCACCCAACGCCAGCATAGTCCAGACCAGCTGAGATGGAATGGGTATCTTGGATCTGTCCGTGCTTATCCTGCAGCACATATGTCCTACTCCCATGCAAGACCCCCTTACTGCCGCCAGTTAGACTAGCGGCATGCTTCTTCGTATCAAGGCCGTCGCCCCCGGCTTCGACTCCCAAAAGCTTCACGCTTGGATCTTTAATAAACGGATAAAACATTCCTATTGCATTACTGCCCCCGCCGATGCAGGAAACAACCTCATCCGGTACTTTGTTTCGTTGTTCCAGCAGTTGTGCCTTCGTCTCCTCTCCAAGGACAGTCTGGAACTCGCGCACGATCGTGGGAAAGGGGTGTGGACCAATTGCTGAACCGATAATGTGATAGGCGGTGTCCACCCTTGTAATCCAAACTCGGAAACTTTCGTTCACGGCGTCTCGAAGAGTTCGTGAGCCTTGCTCAACAGGGATGACCTCAGCACCAAGTAGCTTGATCCGGAACACCTTCAGTGCCTGTCTCCTGACATCCTCCTATAGAGCTGTTAGATATTAACTTGCAACGGTGTTCCGAGCCTGTGGACTCACTGCTCCCATGAAGATTGTGCACTTCATGTTGAATTTGGCACAGACTGTGGCAGTTGCTACGCCGTGCATGCCAGCACCGGTTTGAGCAATGATCTCAGTCTTGCCCAAGCGGCGGGCCAGCAGAATCTGCCCTAGAGCGCTGTTGATCTTATGACTTCCAGTGTGGTTCAAATCCTCACGCTTTAACCAAATATTGGCTCCGCCAACATATTCAGTAAGGCGGTCTGCGAGATGAAGATGCCCAGGCCTTCCAATATAGGAGTAGTATGATCGCATTTCTGCCCAAAACTCGGGGTCATTCCGAATTTTATCAAATCCTGCCTCCAATTCTGAAAGGCATCTCATTAGTGATTCGGGGGCATATGAGCCTCCAAATTCACCAAAGCGCGCAGAAAAGAGTTCTGGATCTCCTCCCTCTGAACCCACCATTGCCTCCATTTTATCAAGCACTTCTGCCTTTTCGCCATTTGTATGATTGGTTCCATTCACCTTCACGGTACCGTTTGGCTCTTGGACTCCATTCGCTGGCAAGTTTCTCCTTCCACAGATCGCGGCGCAGTATTCCTCAGCAGCTTTGGCCCGCTCTCCAGGAGCGGCCTCGGTCAAAGTTGTGATAATTTGACTGCCGATGACGACACCATCTGCGATACTGGCTACAGTCAAGAAGTGGTCTCTTGTGCTGACACCGAAACCAACTGCTGTGGGGACATTGCCAGAGTATAGCTTGATGCGCCCCAACAGCTTGGTAGACCGGAACTTAGAGTACCTGTTGCACCCGTGACGCCCATACGTGATACCACGTAGACGAAGGAGTCCGCGAGCTTGCAGAGTAATTTGAGTCGGCTCTCGGTAGTGACTGGAACAAAAGCGTTAGAAGCTAGACAAGTCTGACGAATCATGTAAGAAGGGCTTACAAGGAGCGAGGAGAGGTACGTATGACAGTCTGTATGCAATTGTCAGTGAGGATCTTATCAACGAGGTATTATGACTTACCCGCCCTTCGCACAGTAATTCCTGAATTTGACAGCCTCGTGCGGGGGAAGGTCCACCACGATGAAGCCATTTACACCACCCTCACGACAATCTTCCAACAATCGCTCCTCGCCATAGCTCAGGAGTGGGTTGTAGTAACCCATTAGTAACACCGGTGCTCTGAGACCTCTTTTCCGAGCTTCGCTTACCAGCCCTAGGGTTGTGTCTATAGTGACATTGTTCGCTAGCGCTTTCTGTACATCTGATTAGCAAATGCATAGATACCATATGAGGATCAACGGACATTATTTGCGCTCTGAATGGTAGGCCCATCCGCGAAGGGGTCCGTGAAAGGCTGCATTGATGTTAGAACGATCGGTGGGTATCAGATAAACCAGTTGACTACAGTACTCAACAACACCGAGTTCAATGATATCTACAAAAGAGAAGTTAACATTGGAGCACATGGTTTAATGGAGTCGACATATTGCATACCTGCACCCCCAGCTTCCAATCCCAGTATAACATCTACAGACTCTTCCACTGTGGGATATCCAGCTGTGACAAAGGTCACAAATGCAGGCTATATATTAGAAGTCAGCAATGTCTTAAAGTCCTCGGGAACCTCATGTCAATTCACATGGCTTCCGTCAAAAGAATACATACACGGCTTTCAGCTTTGCATCGCGCAAATGTTTGCTTAATACCCTCCGACATATTGAAAAGAACGAAGTTTCTTTGCTGACCGACCGATTGAATTGGAAAATACTCAAGCTCAGATGCTCGGAGACTCAGAGCCAGCTGTTGCGAAACATACTATATATAGACATTTGGATGTACCTAGGCAGTCGACCACCTGAGCCTATCGTGCCGCCAAACGACTCGAGTTGATCATTTTGAGCTAGGTGGCCTTTCGATCAAGTGGATAAGGCACCCCACACTTGCGCCATTACGCCAGCGAGGTATTTATTCGATGATGTGAGGCTTGCCGAAGGGCAGGGATTACTATTCACCAACTCTATCGATGACAGGAGAATAAGCAACTCCACTCCAATACCTGTGCCCTTCGTCCTACTCCAGCGCCCCGATATCGCTTCTCTCTGTGTGGGGGTGCCGGAGTAAGACAAAGGGCACAGCTACTCCCTGCCTGAGAGGATGGTGGCTTAATCATATAATCATGTTGCCTTTCTAGCTTCCGAGACTGAAGATACTTGAGTCGCGAAAAGAATTCCATAGGTTTGAAGGATTCGAGGTGCTTAGAGGATTTGAGAGATTGTGCGTTTTGTAACGAATATTTGCGCCGCATGGATGGAGTAACTCCCTCTGACCATCGAATTGGGTTTTCCGGCTAAGGAGAATCGCCTGGGTGGGTGGATGATTCCCTTTGGTGTATCTGCCCCTGGACCCTGATCAACCAGACGGGGGAGCGAAATACCAGGTGGAGTGCGGTGGCGGCCAGTGAGTACCAACAAACAGGACGGAGAAGAGCAGGCACTACCTACGAACCGAGTTTTGGCCCCTCACGAAATGAGTCGGGATGAGGCAGATAAACTTTCCGCGGGTAGCGGGCCGGGCCTCGGACCCACCGAGTGGAGTTGACCCGACGGGCCAAACTAGAAGCTGGGAATTCGGGGTTGCAAACGAGTGAGGGCGACGCGACGGAAGCTGACTAGGCGCCACGCTACGAGGCTTCTCAGCGCAACCAGTGCCTTGGATTTCGACAGTGCAGCACAATTCATCTCTTTGTTGTACACAGTGCCAGGGCGCTGGGGGAACTGAGCCATTCTTTTCTTGTGGGATCTCGTCCGTTGGGTTGGGGTGTCAATGCGCTGGGGACGAAGAACTGGGGAATCAGTACGGAGAAGAGAACCGAAGAGACACCTAACCACCTACCTCACGACCACTCACTCCATCTGGGAGTAACGTCGTGACCAGGACCTAAAGAGAATTGCAGACCCAGACGGTCCCGCCTTCCGCCCTACCAGCCCAAAGTGGAGACTCGTCGATCCCGTTGGAGCTCTGTGGCGCCGGGCCCAGCGTCCCAAGAGAATCTGCTATCTCAGACCAACCAGCATTCTTCCTGGGCCTTTTATCCTGCACTGACGTGCACTGAGCAGGGCCCACGAGAGGGAGCAGAGGGTGTGCGAGACACACCCGACAATTTTGCATGTCACCTACCCCTTAATCCTTTCAGGCTTTGGAGACCCGAAGGCGATATGATTGGCTGGTCTGGGCTTCGTCCCTGGAGATAGGAGGCAAACTGGAGTGGGAGTCCTTTAATCGTCCAGTTATCGATAGATTTGACACATTGTAACTCTTAATCAATTACTTTACTACATCTCACTATGCTGATACGACCCCCTCGACAGAGTTGCGCGTATTCAATTTCTAATTAACTTGGATAATGATAAAATATGACCAAACAGAACAGGTGATCGCACTGTTAGCCTAGGTCGTGAAGGGGGAAGACGGAAAACGGGAGGATCGACAGCTATCTGGAACTGGGAGAGGAAGCACGAAGGAAGGCGGCACCCAAGTAGCGCCAGCCGAGACCGAAGACCGGAGACCCGTTTGACTCATTCTTTTGTAGTATCAGAGCCACGGAAGTCATTTGTACTCCGTAAAGGGTCTTGGTAAACTACCTAGGTGAATGCATACGAAAACCTGGTTCCCCCCGAGGTCGGGAAGCTACTAGGTACATAGATTGGTAACCTCATGCACGCCAAGCCGGGGGACGCAATTTGGTGGCCAAATAGGGACAGAAGGAGAACAGAAGACAATGATCCGCTCTTGATCACCGGGAAACAAAGAATGTACAACTGGGGGCAGAAAGTAAGGTCGAATTTTCTGGTCTTATCATGCACTGGCCCATTATTAAAAGATGTGATGAGGAAAGGGAAATCAATGATACATGGAGTACGACGTACGACTCAGCCAGCGTGGTAACTTAGTTAACTAGTTAACTATTTAGCCAAGGTCTTACAGCCCCGGAGCTGGAGTATAAGTGTTTCGATCACCCCTTATGTAGTACACCAGTTAATAAGAAACATTTCGCATCGGCCCTGACGCATTTCCCTTCGTCCTGGATCGCAATCTTCCCAAACCCACCTGCTTGCGATGAACAACGAAATGCAGTTTGAGAAGAATGATGATTCGAGTCACACGATAACAACGACTCCACCGGGCCACGACTCCGTTCATCCTTCTACTGACCTTTCAGAGAAGGCGCTGTCCGAGAATGACCTGGCCGACGACGAACCGGCGGATCACAAACCAGCCGACAACGAACCGGTCACCACGGACCCCGAGCAAGCTCAACCACCAGCACCCATAGAGATCGACGGTGGTTATGGCTGGATCTGTGTGGTGTGCGTCTTTCTGGTCAATGCCCATACTTGGGGAATCAATAGTGTAAGTCCTCGTGACCTTCGCACAAGGCTTGATTTGCTAATTTTCGTCGCAATTAGTCCTATGGTGTCTTTTTGGCCCATTATCTGGCCACAGATACATTTCCGGGCGCATTAGACCTCGACTTTGCCTTTGTCGGAGGTCTTTCCCTCAGTATGGCCCAATTCATCGCGCCGGTCGCAACAATCACGACTCGAGTATGGGGAACAAGGGCTACCTTGATGATCGGAATTACATTGCAGACAGCGGCATTATTAGGAGCGTCGTGGGCGGGCCAGATTTGGCAGTTGTTTCTCAGCCAGGCTCTGTGTTTCGGATTCGGGATGGGGATGCAATTCAGTGCTACTGTTGGTATCATCCCTCAGTGGTTCACTCGCCGACGTTCCCTTGCAAATGGTATTGCGACGGCGGGATCGGGGATCGGAGGCCTTATCTATTCGTTGGCTACAAGTGCCATGATTCAGAGATGGGGTATTGGCTGGGCTTTCCGGATCCTGGCTATTGTCTCCGCTGCTGCGTGCGGCTTCTCTGCTATTATTGTGAGGGATCGGAACAAGGCCATTGGAGCTGTTCAGATCGCCTTCCACACAGAGCTTTTAAAAAGACCAGAGTTTCTGCTCACTTTGGCCTGGGGTTGCTTTAGTGTGTTGGGCTATGTGGCCCTTCTTTTCTCAATTCCCGACTATGCAAGCACCGTAGGCCTGACCGCATCCCAAGGTTCAATTCTTGGTGCTATGTTCAACCTTGGAGGAGGCCTTGGCCGACCTGTTATAGGTTACGTCAGCGATAGTTTTGGACGGCTGAATACCGCCCTCGCTTGTACCTTCCTGGCTGGCCTCTTTTCTCTTGTCATCTGGATCTTTCCCAAAAATTTCGGGGTCCTCATCTTCTATGCTCTGATTAGCGGCCCTGTTGCCGCAACCTTCACGACTACCGTTGCTCCAGTAGGCGCGGAGGTTGTGGGATTACAACTCTTACCGTCTGCGTTGTCGATCTTCTGGCTTTCGGTGGTTATCCCGAGCACATTTGCTGAACCAATCGCCCTTTGGCTACGAACCGACAACGCAACCAATTTTCTGCATGCCCAGATATTTGTCGGCTGTATGTTTATGGCAGCATGCATTTGCCTCTGGCTTGTGCGAGCGTGGAAGATCTCAGAGTTGGGAAAGGCTGACGCTGACGGCGATCCTCTCAAACGGGAAGCCCAGATCAGGGACAATGATGCCGCGCCTCAAGAGCCCGTGGCCAGGACAGCGAGCAGCGTTCCTAGTGTGGCGAGCAAGGCAAAGGCTGTGAAGGGATTATTCACGATGGCGAGGGTATAAAATGCAATCGGCTTAAATAGTTCGACCAGTCCTAGTTTGATGACGAAGGCGCATTCCGGAAGGGTGACTATGTTCAAAAATATTTTAGAAAGCGAAATTCCATGGTAAAGAAAAAGGTACTGGATAAAGGCTCGAAATTATCCAATCATGAGCTGTAAATCGGATTTATGCCAACATGTATCCTCTATATATCGTCTATCGAAGAACTCTGATGAAATAAAAACCGGGAGGCAGACAATCGTCTACCAGGGGACTTGACGTCCCCTTTGGTGAAACCCCTGTCCCGGGGTAACCGTCAACGTAAAGTAAATTTGCGTCGCTTAGCGATTAATCTGTGTATAGACAAAGACTCCTATGTCGTCAGGTCCGTGTTCTGTATCTATTTAATTTCTATGGTGGAGCAGTAAGCATTAGCCGCACGGGATCTAAATTGTATACGCTAGGACTCCTACGCCGTCCTTAGGGACCTACTGCCAATGATCACGTGTTGTTACAAAAGTTGGCCAATTAGAAGCGAGAAAAGCTCTCGAGGGCATCTAGCGAATCAGGAGAGGGGAAGGTCGAGAGAAGTCTCCATTTCATTTCTATAGGAGGTTAACCAATCATATCGTTTACGGTGGGCTCCTAAGCCAGAAGCTGCATTAGCAGATCACGTGTTGCTACAAACCTGCACCACTCATAACGCGTACTTTAGCAGGAGCAGTGGCCAATCAGAGCTAGTCTCCGAGTTTGGCTGACGCCAATTAGCTAATATATTATGCTAACATAAGTTAACTACGCTTCGCTCCGCAATTAAGAGGACAACCTGGCCATGATTTAAAATCACGTGATGATAGAACGAAAACAGGTGAATGATGTTTAGACTTTTACATAACCAGTGGGTTTCAGCAATGTACAGTGACATGACATTAATTTTTGCTCACCTGGCCCCACACCTAGTAACAGTACATGGCCATACAGTTTTATACTTTCATTCTTGTTACCATGCATATCTGGAACAAATTTTAAATACGGAAGTAGCCATATAAGGTTTAGCGTATCATGTGATTAGGGTTTGAAACATTATCTCTCTGTTTCCTGATATGGAAGGCAATAACGGTCGGCACTGTATTATCTTCAAACAGGGAAGAGTCTGGTGGCAAGCGACAGGCACTCTATGGTAGTGGCTAAAGCGCACGCGTAATTCTTTCTACACGTGTGCTGATAGTAACAAAGCTTATACTATAAAACCCACCTATCCCGTGGTCAACCGAAGGTGTACATGACTCATTCAACTCCATTGAACAATCCTAGAAGATCTACGAATTATCACATGGTTTAATTATTTAATTACAATTCCACCCATTGACTAGTTCCTCCGACACCTGACGGGGTGAAATTGCTTTTGCATTGTTAATGTTGAGCCAGCTGCTCATAAATTGTTCACTATTATAGAAATGCATGGATAGGTGAGACAAAAAGTCATCACATAACTATAGGGCTGACAGGCCAGTAGAACAGCTGAAATTTTCTTGAACTCGTCTAGTTAACTGCTCCAAGCGAATACTGCCGTGGAGATTAGGCCTTTCATTTGTTATGCTGCGTATAAAATGCATCAGGCCTCCAAAAAACCTTTTTCTTCTCGAAAGAAATGTCTTCCTCGCCTCGGAAGACGGAATCTCGGAACTCACTAGCTTCTTCTCCCTCAATGCATGGGCGTTGGTGCGTGCGAGGGTCCAATAATTCTCCAGAGAACGATGATCCTCCTCACATGAGACATCCATTGACCTGATCCTTTATTACTTGGCAGCGGGATTCCCCTGTTGGGGTAGTCATACGCAGTGGGATATACATCACGATCGATTAGAATCTGTTCGAAATCCTAGTCATGCCGAGGATCTCCATTGTGACGTATTCTGAGTTGATCTCTTACTGAATTTTGAATGTGGAATCCCAAATCCCTCCAATTTTGGAAAGTCGCCGTTACACCCAAAGGCTTATGCACAGAAGATGTGCGTTGGATTACATTGGTCAAGCTCTCGAAGGCTCGTTATAAGATGGGAATCCTTGATTGAATTGGAATGGAAATTGCTTGTGATACCAGGCTCTTCTCTTAGGCTTAGAAGTTTCAATGTGCTACGTCCCCCCTTCTCGATATACTGTTAAATTCTGATTCCTGGCACTGAGACTAGCGGCTCGGGAGAAACGTCGAAACGTTGGTATGCACTATTATGTGCCTGCAATGGCACTGGCCTTGCTGGTAGCCAAATCCCGAGTACACTTTAAGATACTTTAAGATACTACTAAGATCAGTGTGTATAAGCACTTGCCGGTAAGAATGTTCATCAAATAAAACCTCTTTCCCATGAAAGAAGCTTGAATGTTCGCTACTAATGGCAGACATGCCTCAGCTGTAATCCTTGTTTCTAACCCACCTTCAGACAATATACATTGTTAAGTCGTTTTTAATTTGGTTTTCCTAGCTGAAGCATCGACTATCTCCTAAAGACTGTTTTTACTGCGAGGACTTTCAATGCATGAGTATCTTTTGTTTATTGAGAAATAAATTGGTTTATTATGCTATTTTCTTACCAGTCCCTGTGTATGTTGTACGCAGAGAGAGAGAGAGAGAGAGAGAGAGAGAGAGAGAGATGGAACCTCTCTCACCTGTAATTTGCGCTACAGGCGAGAAAGAAAGGAATAATTACAAAAAAAAAACCTATCAAATCGTTGATGTCACCTCGTGAAGGACAATTCAATGCAACCACAAGGGAGGATTTTGGTATTTCAGTGAGGCCGCCTTATTAAGGGTTACCCTTGGCTTACCCTAAGTCTCTGGATAGAACTCAATTTCAAGACCTCATCATGATCCTGGCTCGAGAATGCCTTGGCTCCTAAGTCCCGAGTCATCTGGTGCCTTTCATTTCTTTTTATTTAGTAATTTTTATTTTTATTTTTATTTTTTCGACTTAATAAAATGGAAGAGTACCTAAGGTCTTACTATGGAAACCCACCCCCGGACTCACCTATCAGCAGTGTCTCGCAACCCATGCCAGACCTGGAATAGATCCTCCCCGCAGAACCACATTATTCCAACCCCCATAGAATAGAACAAGTCTGCATGACCATTCAAAGTAACCAAGTAAAATTCAACTGGCTCAATGCCTGAAACCCCCGAGGCATATCTGTGCGGGGGTTATCAAGACTCAACAGGAGGCTACTTCACATGCACCGATCTGGGGTTATAGTTTGATGGACCTTCTACCTTAGTCTACCAGGGGCTCCAAGTCGATTTTTTGTTGGGACAAAAGATCTACGGATGGTGATCTACACCCCAGTGTCTTTTCTTCATCAGTCATAGATAGCCTCTTTCTGCCCTCATTTTCACATGTAGAAACACCATCGCCGGCACTATCGATGGGGCCCTCCACCGACACCTAAACAATGCTATAAAATATAGATCCTCCCTCCCCAGAAGATGGCGGCGCATATCCAAGTCACCAAGATCAAGACCCAAGGTATCATCCACCATGACCAACCCTAAGGACTCAATGAAGTCCACCTGGCGTCAAGCCCCCCGCGACGAATGGACCATCCACCACTGGGCCATCGAATGCCTAAACGTACACCCAACAGACCTAAACAAGGAGATCCCCATCCACCAAAAGGATGAAAAAGTCCCCTACCTCCCGCAATGGTCCATGAACCTCTGGGTGCTCTTCTACAGCGCCCTCCCCCTCCTCATCCACCAAGCCTACACAACCTACACGGGCCACCACCCAGGCCCCATAGCTGCCTTCAACTTCTACTTCATGGCCTTCAACGTCATCGTCATCTACGAAGTCCACATCCTCCGCCGAATGGGCCACATCCACGGCTTCCTAGACGGCGACAAGCACGAGCGCGACGGCGTCCCCGACGTCGGCATCGGCAAGGTCGTCACCTCCCTCTACAAAACAACTGGCTCCCGCATCGCCCTCGCCGTCTACCTAACCTACAACCGCAACCAGCTCCCGGCAAACCTCAACTGGCTCTACCTGCCCCTCCACATCGGGCTCTACGGCATCGTCCTCGACTTCTGGTTCTACTGGTACCACCGCCTCATGCACGACGTCAGCTTCCTCTGGAAATTCCACCGCACCCACCACCTAACCAAACACCCTAACCCGCTGCTTGCCGCCTACGCAGACCACGAACAGGAGTTCTTCGATATGGTCGGCATCCCTACCATGACTTATTTCAGTATGAGAGCCATGGGCCTGCCGCTCGGTTTCTACGAGTGGTGGGTGTGCCACGCATACATCGCTTTCACGGAGGTGCTGGGGCATAGTGGGCTAAGGGTTCATTTGTCTGCGCCGTCGACGCTGGCCTGGCTGTTGAGGTTCTTTGATGCGGATATCACAATCGAGGATCATGATCTGCATCATCGGAAGGGGTGGCGCAAGAGCCACAATTATGGGAAGCAGACGAGGCTCTGGGATCGGGTTTTTGGTACTTGTATTGAGCGGGTTGAGGGTGGGGAGGGGAACGTCGATTATGCGAATACGGTTCATATACCCCTTTTTTGATCTAGATGCCGTTGGATTTTTTTTTCTTTTAGACATTGATTTTTAGTTAGTTGGGTGGGTGAAGGGGTTGGGGTCTTTGATGGTTGTGTTTCGTGAGCTCTGGGTCCTTTCTTTGGGGAAGGGGATTTTGCAGGGGGGCGTGGTGCGGGTGCCTGGATGCTGTGAAACAGGGGTTGTGAGCTGGTTTCATATATGACACTTGACTGTTGGAAAGACTCAAAGAGAAAGGGGGAGTAGAAGGACAAAAGCTTGCGTTGGTCAAGGACGGTTGAGCTGCCGTCGTACATAGATAGACATGCCCCTGTACGAATTCGGAATATATATGCTCTCTTTATTATAGCATAGATCTATATACTATATGTCTTTGTCATGGTGCAGATTTAGTCTTGTCAAAACTAACAAAGCGTGGTTGTACTCGTCCTACAGCCAACACGTAAGATGGCTGGGTAGTTCGTTGAAAAAGAGCACTCTATATACTTAAACAAGTCATTAAGAAAGTGAAACAGTGGCATAGAGAGTCTAAACAAACAATTATCACCAGGAATGCACAAGGCACAAGGCTATCTATAGACTACTATATATTTCACAAAAGTGGACGCTGGGTATCAAAAAGTCAGCCGAGGAAAACACAGCGCCATCCCGTCAGACCCGAATCTAGTAGAGTAGTAGAGTAGATATCGTTATTCGTTGAGTCGAATTAAGTAGCGTGTATACACACCGTATCAAAGTTTGGTCCCTTCGCGTCCGCTGTCGCTGAGTCGTCGGGGCCGAAAAGATCCCGGAGAAGGGCCAGCAACATTGCTGGGTCCTGATGCCGAGGGGCCTAGCTGGCCGGCTCGCGTTTCATTGCCGCTATTGCCGCTATTGGTGCGAACCGTCCGTTGACCTTGGTGGATGCGAGGGTTCATGAGCCATTGCACCTGCATTCGAACGCTACTGACAGCAGCGTTCGTATGAGCCATATCCTCCTTTAGTCGAAGGCATTCGTTCATAATGGCCATGCTGGCGCGAGCATCTAAATCCGTGATTGCATGTGACAACTGCCCGACTTCTTCCCGAAGAGATTCATGGAGGGCCAGTAGGTACGTAGTCGCATTGGACGAGAAGTTATTGGCATTGTCATATTGTTCATTCAATAGCTCTGATGGGTTCGAGGGCCTTTCCTCATTGCCTGACTCGGCCGGAATGTCTGGGTTTCGTCCAGAGATTGCACGGGACGATTCGACAAGAGTAGAACGGATATTTGCAAGCCCATCCTCGAAGATCTCATTTCGCTGCTGGAGGTGACGGATAGTCAACTCTAAGGAATCGAGTCGCGCATTCTGAGCTTCAAAGTATGGCCCCATGGTGATCAATGGGCAAGTCTGCTCATGCGTCACTAGTTCTGCCCGTTTTAATTTGACGGGACACCCGTATTTAGATGCTGTACAGCTATGGATGGCCTCTGGACATGAATCTATGTGCTCTCTCAAAGCCTTGCGAAATACCGTAGCCTCACAGTCAGGGCAGGTGGTTTTCAGACTTGGGCATAGTTCCTGAGCGTGCTCCTACAGTTCGAAGCTTTTGTTAGTAGGCGGTCTGTTTGGAAGAGGGATACGAGACTCACCTCATAATCTTGTTCCATGATCTCCTCATCACAGCGTAAGCATCTGTGTAGTTCATGCATGCATTTGTTCTCTGTGCTCAGGTCCTTCTTTCGAGTCTTCTTCCTGCAGTAGACGTCTGGGCAGTCCATAAGTCTGTAGCCGCAGTACTTGTCGACATGGGATTGAACATGACCTCTTGGGACGACCTCCTTGCACCCTTCAGCCTCAAACGGACACTTTACCCGTATATCATCGCACATATTGATCAAGAATCGAGGGACGTTGAGGAATATACCTCTCGCTGGGGTTCGGCAGGTAGGGCATCTGAACTCGTCCCGACCGGTGGCGAAGGTAGTGATCGCTGTGTTGAGACATTTTTGACAGAAGACATGGTCGCACTGCAGTCTAACTGGACGTATGTAGGGGCAATGACATATTGCACACATGAGATGGTCATCATAACTGGAGACGTATTCCAGGGAGCGGAGGTCGATAATCCCGTCTAGGTCGCAGTTCGACACCATCGCAAGAAATTCGTCTATGTTCATATTGCGGGAGTTTCAAGTGCCCAGATCGCGGGGCACTGAGTTTATATTTTCAAGGGATCTTGGCTCTGTCGCACAAATGGCAATCAATGTAGGGGGTGTTCGAGAGGGGATCGTCTGTCGAGTTGCCGTAGGGATAAGAGGATGAAACAATAGCCCCGAGAGGCACGCATGAGTGGTTACACGGTAGCTGAAGTTCGTTAAGAATGTGGTTACCCGACGGACAATTGCGACCAACTTGACAGAGAGTCATGAAGGAGGGGTGGGAATGTATAGGAGAGGTGGAGTTGGGATTCGGAGACAAGGAAATCGGTAAGACTTATTGCGGGGGGAGAGTTGAGCGGACGATGATCGATAGCGATTTAATTGAACGAACAGCGGCAGATCGATCCCGCGACCGGCCGAGAACACCGTCTCACCCTTCTGGTTACACCTCATCCTTCATCTTCACTCCACCACCACCACCATCATTGTTATCCTGGGATTATCGGTCGCCGTTGATCTGTTCAACAGGTGTGAGCGTGTCGTCCCTTTCCCCTTTCCTGGATAACAATCCCGACCTTGTTTTCTGAAGCCCACGACCTTCCCGAGTTCTTTGTCTTCTCCGCATTGCCTCTTCAGTCAGCCTGAGACTCACTGCGACCGTTCAGCCGCCAATCCGCTACATATCAATCCCCTTTCCCCCGGGCCCACCATCTTCCCCCCCAAAATGCCAAATCCATCACAGCTCTTTCTCCTTGCAGATCACATCAAACTCTCCCTCCTAGAACGGCAACGAGCGATCTCGTTGGATCTGGAACCCAACAGCCAAGACGGCGAGATCTCTCGCTCTTTGGAATCTTTGCAGGACGGTATCGAGGATGTGGAAAGAGACCTGGCACAGCTTGAACAGGCAAACGATGATGGAGCTGCCGACTTGAAAGACCAGCTATTCCATCTGAAATCGCAGTATCAAGATCTGTCCTCCCAATTCGGCGGACATAGCAACTCAGCCAACGCCAGCGGCCCCTCTCAGTCGCCTGAATTTCCCAATATCAAATCATCCCCTGACCTTAAGCAACCGGTCCCGCAGCACCCGCCTTCGAAGTCAGTGCGGTTCATGAACTCGGCTGCGGAAGAGGCCGATCTCGAACGACAGAACCTTTTCCAGCCATACCGCGACTCACCTTCCCCTCCCGGTGTAGACCAATCTGACATGTCGAATGAACAAATTTATGACCATCACAACCAAGTCATACGCGATCAGGACGAGCAACTAGATCGCCTCGGTGAATCCATTGGGCGGCAGCACCAGCTCAGCATTCAGATCGGGGACGAGCTAGAAGGTCACGTGGCACTGTTAGATGGCATGGATGGTGATATTGACAGGCATCAACATCGGTTGGATGGGGCTAGGCGACGGTTGGACAAGATCCGGAGAAGCGCGGGTGACAATTGGAGCTGGATGACTATCGTCGGGTTGATCATCATGCTGGTCATCCTTATTGTCATTTTGAAATAAACCCTAGAGCGTATAGAGCCTCCGGTCTGGTTACACCTCACATTCTTGTCGTGAATATTAGTCGAGGGACGTATCCCTTTTTGAAGGCGCAGGGCGTTTCATCTTGGACTGGAGTGACGGATTCCCCCTATATAGTTTTTGTCGGATTGTCTCGATGGTTGAACCTATATGGTGTCTGGAGTAATTATTCAGCTACAAACATGTTTCTTGTTCAACAGCAATTCTTGTTTCATTACCACGGAATTCAGGAGTCTACCATTAACCCATCCCACAACAATCAACATCTTCGATCTCATATAAACACACCCAATATCATTCCTCAGGAGTAGTTTGCAGTTATACATGACCCAATAAAGATGAACAAAAGAGAACCCAACCTAATTACATCAAGTCAAGCACATCCCTTCTCTTAAATTTAGAACTTCAAATTGCACCCTAAGACCCGGACCCGCAAAACAAAACCAGAAAGAGAGTTTTTCTTTTTTTTTTTTAAAAAAAAAAATGGTCAGCACAAAAGGAAACCCATCAAGTCATCTTTTCACCGATCACTTCTGATTCGGCATATGCTTCGTCTTCTCCTGCAGATCTCCCACATCCTGCCCTTCAGTGTCGGCCTCTCCCCGATCCGCCTTGACCTATTATGGGACATTAGCATCGGGGAACGATCACTTCTTCCTTTTATTTATTGGAGATGGTAAAGAAAACTTACGGAAGCTTCACTGTTACTAGCCAGTTCTTGCTTCCATTTTGCCTTTCCTTCCTTGGTGCTCTTCAATTGTTCCTGCTTGGCCTCTTCGTAGTGGTTGGGTAGGTCGTCTCGGTCTGGGTGTTGACGGTTAGATCGGCGTGCTCTGAAACGGGGAATTAGTGGAGGGGACGGGAGGGTAAGACGAACTGTGATCGGACTCTTTGAGGCCTGGACGAAGGGAAGAGGTGTGGAAGGTTGAGGTGAGAGCGTATGCTGGTCTGAGGGTCACACGGGGGGCGAGTGATGAACGGATGGTGGAAGTGAGGAAAGACATGGTTGTGGGAGGTAGAGCGTGTTGTTATTTCTATGCGTATGGAGACGTCAGTATTAGCAACGGAGAATAGAGGTAATTGGGGAGATTACCTTACCGATTCAAGTTCAAGGAACTGTACTAGTGATCTATGTAGAATGATGAAGGGTGTCTATTGTGCAACTTCAATGCGGCACAACACGTTGTATTTATAACTGTTCGCAACAAAGGGAGAAGAAGTTCCGAGGATAAGTTGAGATTCTCCATCTGCCTTTGTAATTCCATCCGAGCGAGTGGGTTTCTTTCAATTCAAAAGTCCAGTGTCACCGGTGACGTCATGCATACTGCATCCCTGTCTCTCTCTCTAGACGACACGCTCCGTACCTTTTCCGTTGGACTTTTGCTAATACAGGAGCTTAATATTAGATCATTTCAGTATGGTACTATAACATAGTTCCACTTATTCTTCTTTTATGAAACGTGTCTCTTGGACGGTGGTAGATACCCTATCTTCTGTTGTTGATCGTCAGAGCAAATGACATCACGCGCAGGGGTTAACTTACCGTAAACCTCGAAACCTGACCAGGTCTTGGCTAATGGGTTTTGTCGCCTCGACCGTGAACATGTTAAATAAAGCTGCGATGGTTACTGAATAGCATTCAATTGACTCTCACGGTTCTCAACTCACCTTTTCACCCAGTGGTCTCGTACTCTTCAAGTGACTGGATGGATAGATCGCCACTTTGCCTCCAGGATATAAATCATTCAATCCTCTGCTCCTTCCACAACACCAAGCCCCTAGGTAGCATCAAATCAATGAACAACAAGCTGATCATCAGATTCAGGGCATGTTTGTCCCAATGTCTGCAAAATGAAGCAGGCAAGAGCATGGAAACGTCTAAGCATCTGTCGCCATGAATCACTGCCCGCCCTATCAACCCCATCGACATATCCGTTGTGCAATACTACAGCTTCTTCGATCCATATTGCACTGGGTGCTTTAATGTATAGCTTTTCTTCTTTCCTTCTTTGTCATGCGGCGTATTTTTCTTTTCTTTTCTTTTTTTTTTTTTGGCCGAAGTAATCGTGCGTAGCTAACAGAGGAATGTTAAGATCGCGGCAGAATCCAGACAAATATTGATTTAATATACCGAGACGCTCCTATGTGTTACCTAGTCTGGAATGAATTACTGATAGGACATTCTAGAGTTCAATACCTTGAGATCCTTAATAGCTTGCTCTTTTATCTATACTATCGAGTCCTGTCGACAAGGGTCTCCACCATATAGATATATAAAGACTTGGATACACGGGTTTGAACTACTCCGTAGAGTTGCCCACCAAAATAACCATCAACAAGTATACAGTGACACCAGGTGAATAGAAAGATTACTGACGTGGAATATCGATTATACCTCTTGTTCTACGCTTTAGTGAACACTGGCTGTGGCAAAACTCGGCTACGGTGTCCTACAAAGCTAAAAGTTAAATAGAGGGCTTGACAGAAATAGGACTGTGCCCAAAGCTATTCTCACAATTATGTAAAGGGATTACCCACATAGCTTAGAAGGGAATAAGGCATTATAGACAAAGGAAACTGGATGGGATGACGGTGCCCAAAAGAGAACGGAAGTACAAGATCATACACTGCATCACTCTCCGGGAGTTCCCCAGATATATCGAAATAAAAACATCCCGACGAGTCAACGTGGAAGCAAAACGAAGTAAAGCGGATGGCCGATTCACGACACATAGAACATAACATAGTTTTTCAATGAAAACCAGTCTATGTCTCCCAGACCGCGAGAGACCCCGAGATAAACTCCTCATCCAGTCCATGGATTTTCACAGCCGTTAGCCAGAAGCAACGAACATAAAAATGTCACCCATCACCAACCCATATACACGAAAGAAAATGGAGAAAAAAAGTAATTGTTAAAAGCACAAATGTAAAATAAAAGCAAAAGACATTCCGAACAGTTCACAGGCCCAATCAATGCAGACATATATCGTTTCCACCTTTCTAGAATCCCTAAAAGCATGAAAAAAAACCCAACCCACCCAAAACCAACCAAGGATATCAGAAATAGATGGTAAACCGCTGAGTATCTTGCATAGTCGCCATGAGACACCAAGAAAAAACTCCGGACCAAAAAAGATGCGCGCCAAGATGGCAGATCGCCGCACTTTCTATACATCACCGCGGCCAAAACCACGAGGTCAAAAGGACGTATTTTCCCTAACCGAAGAATAGAAAACAAGGTATCGTCTGAAATGTGAAATATGCAAAAATCGAATCGCAGGCGCCGTCGCTCGCAGAAAGTCGAAAGCATCACTCTAGATAAAAGTGCTCAAGATCGTCATCGGAGGAGGGTGTATATACAGGAGAAACTGATTTAGCCTTTTATCGCAGTGTAAAAAAAGGGGAAATATCGGTTTAGTCGTAAGAGATGCGATGGCCATATCAAAAAAAAAAGTAAAAATAAACAAGGCAATGAAAATTAAGACCCGCGGTTAGGGAACCCGATGGTGCAGAAGCCGGACGAAGTGGAAGACATGTGATGGGCGCAGCCCCTTGGCTAGTGACATGGCGACTAGCGATATAGCGGTCCTCACCAGCGACGTTGAGCATTCTGCATCGAGGCGGGGGAGATAGACGTAGGCGGGCTTGTCAAGGTCATGCCAGTATGGGGGTTGACGATAGGGATGACCTTGCGGGTGCGAACGGCAGATGGCTGCTGGAAGTTCACGTGATTAAGATTACCCGAAATGCCGGAGTGAACATAAGAATTGGTAGATGCGGGAGACAAGGAGATAGACGGGGTGACCTGCTGAACAGGCTGGATTTGATGCTGGAGGGGGGAGGTGTCGGGCGAGCCACTGGAGAGAGACGACCGATCTGAGGAGGCGGAGTGAATTGAGTGAAGCTGGAGAGGCCGGGTCCATGTTAATACATTGTCCTGCTCTTCGAATCCAATCCGAGGATAGACGGGCCGAGTCTTAAGAGGGTTCAAGAGAGTGTGAACAAACGTACATCGTCCTCGGTCAGGAGACTGGGGCAGAATTCCAGGTCATCATCCAAATCGAAAGACCTTCCAGCCTCGAACCTTGCGCGGAAAGCAGTCACTGCAGGAGCTTCGGCGAGCTCCCTCATGCTTTTTACACCTCGGAACTGGCGCTGGGCGCTTTGAGCAGCCATCTTGGGTCCTCGCCGAGAGCGCCCACCATGGTGGTTATTGGAGGATTGCATATGGGCAGCGGCGCCGTGGTGAGTATGCTGCTGTTGCTGGTAGAAGAATGTCGACATTTTGGCGTGGTCGTGGCAAATAAAACGGAAGAAACAGAGCCGTTATATCGTTGATATTTCAAGGTGGATAATAAATCAAGGGACCAGCACGCTGGAATCCTGGTAAACAGACTTTTGAAAAAGGAAATGGTATGAAGAATGACAAAGGGTCGGTTGGAATGTAATTCAAGAGATGACGAGAGGGAATAGAAATATTACTGAAGGAGACGAGACGAGACGAGACGAGACGAGAAGAAAATTGAAAGCGAAGAGACGAAAAAGCGTTTAGTGGTTGTGTGGGATGGGGAATCACTGATCGATGGCGGGACAAGAAGTTGAAAAAGAAGAGCGGGAGCGAAGAAAAAGAGCCCGGAGTGGACGGAGGCAAAACGCAAGAGGGGCTGCAAGTGTGATTCTGATGGGGCTGAGTTGAGTGGAGCATTGCAAGGGAATCATTGTAACTTACCGTACTAGTACCTACCGAGATCAACAACTTGACTCCTTTCCCACCCCGTAAGTTTGGTCACCACCCTGTTCGGCTGCTCCTGCACTACTCACCAGGTCACGCACCAGTTTTAGGGCAGGAGGCCACCCAACCAGAGAGCTGTTGGCGGCAGCTCAGTGGCAATCCTAGGTGTGAAAAGCCAATAACCGCTGTTCAAGCGAACTCTAAGTGGGGATATTACAGCCACTGGGAATGGGCGACCAATGAAATAATTCCAGAGCGGCTCGAGGTGGTTACGAAAGTAGACTAGAGTAACTCTGTAGGTTTGGTACTAATCCTCATCAGTGTAGCAGAACTCCACCATCTCGAGACCCGATATCTGGGCATTACTTGATTGAGCATAGGTTGGTTATCGGCCGATGCCCGGCTCCTAGTGTTATCCGCCATGTCTTTTAAGGCTAAATAATTCCCTGACGAACAATTACAATACCGTGGTATGATGGTTGAGGCAGGCATGTTGTATGATCCATAGGTATATAGTAATTGACCGTTGAGTTCACAGAGGTCCTACTATTGAAAACGGCTGTGGATCTACCCTAAGTCGGGGATCATGGCGAACACGCATAGGAATGACGAGAAGAATACATCATACTATTACCAATAACGAGGGAACAGTAGGATCTGTCCGTTTCGCTTTCTAAAAAAGGAGTATGTTGGATTGTAGGAGGCAGGCGGGTTTCAAGACATTTCATGAACATTGATGGAGAAAAGAATGTGGTACCCATTTCCGAAGACAGCCATGATTTGTGTGGCTAAAATAACGAATAATTAAAATCAAAAAGGAAAGGAAAAAGGAAAATCCAAAACGCCTACTACGACATGTGCGGGTAATGATTTGCAACACTTTTGTGCAAGGCCCCACCCCCTGTGTGAGGGTGATTTGCTGCCATCATTCTCGGTACCTTTCCATTGAACCGTGCCACTTGGTTCGGCGGATCCTTCGCTTTTTCTCCCCCCAACCATCTAAAGAAATATCCTGCGTTGGCCCTCTGACATCGCCCTGCGGTCTTCGCGGCTTCGACAGTTTTTCCAAAGAAAAAACTTTATCCTCCACCTGATCTGAGAATCTCCGTTGATATGGAGAAGAGGAGAGACGGCACACTACGTAGACTAATTTATCGGGCGTGTAATTACAATTACCCTTAAATCAGTTCATATTTATATCTATATACGGAGTCGAATGCGTACGTGGAACTATTCTCCTAGGAAGAGAATGGGATGAGAAATTAACTAGTTTGATTTGATTTGATTTGATTGATTTGATTTGATTTGATTGATTTGATTTGATTTGTTTGTTTGTTTGTTTTTCTTTGGGGATTTAAAGACTGCGGAGTAAGTACACACATCAACCAAACCAGGGTCGATCAAATTAAAAATAAAAATAATACGAAACACACAAATGTGACGAGGCTGACGCCCCATGACATATATTAGCGATTGTAATCCCGATATTTCCCATGTTGACGGAACGGATCTCCCTGAGTATCCTCTGCCGCTTGCAAGGATAGTGCTACAGCCACAATGTGGTCTGCACGTCCCTTGGAAACAAACTAACCCCGTCATAATAAAGATAAGAATAGACATAGGAGACATATCTGCTGTCAAATGTCGCCGATGCATGAAGTCGGGTACATACTCTACTTTGATCGCCTAGACCCTCGTCAATTCCATGGTGGAGTTCTCTAAGACTCGGAGCAATGGACGAGTTATTGAGGTTAACAGCAGGATATCATGATGCGTTATGCAATTAGTCAACAGAGTAAGCTGGCGGCTACTGGAACAGGTATCAACCCTCCGTGTAAGCCCTACACATGGACTCCTGGGGATGGGTGACCACCCTTTTCCCGATTCTCTCAGGTGCAGCATTGGGTATTCATCCATCATTGGACCCTCACCTGTATGCATGAAGTGCTGTCCATGAGCCTTGAGGGTGCTTTTGTCTTTTCTTTTCTTTTCTTTTTTTTTGGGGGGGGAATGGGACTAGCTTAATGCTGCAAAATGTTCCTGAAAGGCGGCACTCACCGCCCCTTTCATAGTTGCTGAAATGCTTGACTCCATCTCTCCATAGCCATAGACCTGCCCCCCCTTTTGGACTCGAAACACTCGAAACTCTGTTGATAATGCTATTATTAATGATATGTTCATATATTGATTAATTTCTGTCATTACAGGTCTATCGTTCTAAGGGTTTTCTTGGTGACACTATATACTATAACGCTCAAGGAAGTTTGTATAGTATATAGTATATGATGTTTGCGGGTGATAATGAGACGGCACGGCTGGAGGTGCGAGCAATAGATAGGGAGAGTTCTTGATACTGTTGTACAAGAACGTCGTTAACCACAAGCCATGCTGCACTCCAGATGCTGCTTGCCGGATTTCTTGTTTGCTTTCTCTCCGGTTGATTACCCCGAATCAGCGACCGAGCGAGTAAGCGATCTAATAGGTCACCCCATCGTCGGAGTACACGCGAAGGAAAACCTAACGTACCCCAAAAAGCAAGGGGGTTTGAAATACGATCTACTCCCATTGTACCTGTCTTTTGCTGGGCAAGTCTCAGAAAGCGACCGTGTTCTAGTTGCAATTGAGTTTGTATGTCCAATCAATCAACCCCTTGTCTCCCAAGGCAAGATCCCTTTACACGGACGTAGATGGTCAAGGGAGGTTACGTATACTCACACCGACACAATGGCACATACATCTGTCGAATTCTCCACTTTTAAATTTCCGATCTCGTTGTAACCGCACGAGTGGGCTTATCTGAAGGAATGGTTGGTTCTCGTGTTTTTAGATTCACCGATATCTGGAACGCTTGACGATCCAAAATTAAGTCGCGCTCCCTCCTAGATATCGGGGCAGCCACTATCCCCTTTCTCAAGGCACATTTGAGTCGTCATGACACATTACTTGGCTTAACAATCCAGACCTTTCCAAGTATTCGCGCTTGGATTGTGGATAGATCTGAGACAACTGGCCCAGGCTTTTTCAGGAAGCTCATCCCTGCGTTCTGTATGCTACCTTAGTGTGTACAGTACATGCATGCTGCATGCACGCGCTGTAGCCAAATACAGTTGACTGATCGATGCAGTATACAAATCCCTCAAACTGGGGTACCGTTCAGAGATTCCAGGCCACCGGGCGAGCCATCCCCCTGTGCAGCAAGGGGGAAGACTCTACGTATGTCCTATGCATGCATGTGCCTTAACTGCTTTCTAAGCTGATTATTCATCTGAACTTGGCATTGAAGCCCACGAGTAACCTGTAAGCCAGTGAGTGGTACCTACACATGGGCCCGATCTAAGCTTATCTCCCAGATGCGTGCACCTGTGGGTTTTGGATGTCTGATAAGCACCACAAATCTTTTTGATTGATACTTTTAGTAGAAACATTGAGCTGTACACGGTGTAACCGTTAGACATATGATTGATTGACTTCTTATCAGCCGTGTAGGCGTGAAAGAGGGATGTCAAAGTATATTTTAGGAAGAGGGAAATAAAAAAGTTGGGTAAGATATGATTCACCGTTATTGATAGCCTAAGTCTAGAAACTCAAGCGGGCTTATTAACTTACAGTATTGACATGGACCAGAGGCTACTTGATGAATATATAACCTCCGATATCACAGGAACGCTGTTCATATTTCGTATGTCATGCTAACCAAACTCCCGAAATGCAAAGAAAAAGCCAAACGCCGTGGTCCACTAGAAACGCAAGTCATAATGAATCCGCTAGGTACTCTCACTTTTCCAGATTCTTGCTCTTCACCATTCGGCCGAGTAGCTCCTTGCAATGCTTTTCGCTATAGTTTTCCCAAATCTCATATAGAGATACCAGCTCTTGGGTGCATTCAATAACGGCCCGGATATCAACCTCACTCTCGGCAAGCCAGCCGACGAGTTTTTGGATTCGGGGAGGCGGACCAGCGCCATTCTTATCGCCTAAAGCGGCAAGAATATTCATCCCACCGTCCCGCATCGCTCCGGCTAATGGAGCTGCAGTTCCATGAAAACTCGTCTGACTTGGTTTAAAGACGACGGCAACAATGATAGCCATGACTGCAATCACGTGAGGCGGGTATAGTAAAGGTAAATCGGTCAGATAATGGTCGTTAATCACTGACCACGCCAGAGCTACCTCATCTGATGTGAGAGACAGCTCAGGTTGAAGCTCGGACAGAGTCCGATATGGATGATGGACGATCAGCTGGGAATGCATTTCGGATATCAAAGCAAACTCGCATTCGCCCAACTTTGACACGTCTGGGGCAATGAACTCTAGTACTAAGTCAGTATTACTGAAAGGAGGTTGTTCTCAAGACTGTTCATACCCGGCCAGAAATTTCGGGCTTCAGCGACCACAAATCGGATATGCTGAGGACATTCCTCCATCTTACAGGCGAGATAAAAAGCTGTGGTGAAAACCAGATATGGATTGGTGTGCCTTATCTCGTTCTTGGTATAAAACCTTTTGATGTATACCTGGGCCGTAGCAAGCGCTTGCTGTCTAGTTGACATCCTCTTTCCGAGTTTATTGAGTTCTGTCGAGGATTTAGTCTAGAGGATTAAATGACACAGATTATCGGATCTCACGTTGGCTAAAGTAGATATTGAGCAACCTGTGATCCGGCAAAGGAAACTGCGAATGCGCGGCCTTATCACTCTCCCTAAAGGACTCCCGAATGTCCGCCAACCTCTCTTTCGTAAACAGCCAATGTCGACGTTGAGTCGATGCCCAATAGTTGGCAGCCATGGTAGATGTCCAACAGAGGAAAGCTAATGTATACAAATTCCGAGTTCCTTAAGCATTTATGATTGGAACCGTGGTCATCATCGACGATGATCAGGTTGTATGTGTCATCCAAAAGCGCTCCGTGAACTTGTAACGGCCGGGTGAACCCGACGTACTTTAACGGCCACAAACGAAACCCTGGAGACGAGAACACTAGAGCCAACCCTTTTTGTTTCTTTTAGGTCATCGAGGAGTTTGGCATATGTATCCTGATATCATCGACATCCAAACATTCGTGACAGGTGACCTAATAGATTTCCCAAAGGGGGATAGTAGGGCTGGGCCCTCCAGTCCCGTGAGCCGGACCGGAGTCTAGGTTTAATCCGGTATGTCGTAAGAGAAGCAAATCATCGCGGGTTGATTTCTCACGGCTAACCGGAGAGCCTACAATGTATGCTGCCAAACCTCTCCCCTCCTTATAATCCCAGTGCTACAGATTCGATGCACAAGTTATTATCGCAGTTTACCCTCTTGCCCTGTTCTAACAGGGATATATCTCCGTGTCTAAAACCCGTGACCCCTCCTGGAAAATAATGTCGGATAGCCGATAGTAAATTATTTACAACCGAAAAATGGCACCCGGCGAATCCAACGATGAACGCGATGAAAGAGTTGCGAAACTCTGGCAGAGCCTAGGTGTTCGTAGGGACGGTCGTCTCGATCTCAATGGGTTGAAAAAGGGGCTGAAAAAGATTGATCATCGTGAGTATATCTTGTCTTTATGACCGGGTCTCGTGCTTGTTGCGCACCTGACTGACCCGCCTGCCTCTTGTTCTGTTCTCCTACAGCCCTCAAAAATGCGGATAGTATGCTGCAGAATGTCTTGAAGGCGGTCGATACCAACGGGGACGGGTATATCGATTACTCCGGTAAGATCACACGCATCGGATCATGACCTGTCTTCCCGGCGCAACCTTTACCGACCTAATGATCATCAGAATTCCGGACCTTCGTCGATCATACCGAGCAGGGCCTATGGCGCCTTTTTCAGACCATCGATCGCAACCACAATGGGGAGATTGACAAGAATGAGCTCAAGGCTGCCTTTTCGAACGCCGATGTAACTGTCTCGAGCGCTAAGCTGGACGCATTTTTTGCGGACGTGGACACGAACAGCGATGGCGTCATTTCGTATCCCGAGTGGAGGTGCGTGCCTTAAAAGGTCAAGTGAGCCTCCTGGGCTATGGCTGATATCGGTGATATATAGGGACTTCCTCCTCTTCTTGCCCGCCTACTCGTCCTCAAACTTGCGCGCTGTCCTGTCATACTACACGGCCACGGGAAATCTAAACCCGGAAGGAGATGTCCACATCAATGATCTACAGGGTTTAGGTACAGACTACTCGTTTCCTAAGCGTTATATTTTGGCCATAAAGAACTTTTTGTACAATATTCTCCCAGTGCATGCTTTGGCAACCTTCATCCCGTCAGCCTATGCGGAAGTCGGCGAGGCACTCAGTTTCGGGGTCGCGCTCGAGAATGATGCTGTATCCTTAGACGAGTTGGAGTGGCTTCCCGTACCCAGGACTGTCGCCATGTGGATGTCCTTCCGATCTTTTGAACAGAAGTTGACAGAGAACACTCCTCACTTAGGTTACTTCATTGCCGGCGGGATTGCAGGGGCCGTGTCCAGGACAGCAACGGCGCCCCTGGATCGGCTTAAAGTCTATCTTATTGCTCAAACCGGCTCGAAATCCGCTGCTGTTTGTGCAGCTAAGGATGGCGCTCCGTTGCGAGCGGCAGGAAAGGCATCAAAATCTCTTGCCGATGCTGTCAAGGAACTGTGGCGTGCCGGAGGTATTCGGAGTTTATTCGCAGGTTTGTCGAATGAAAGTCGAAATTCAGACTTGCTCTAACTTTCCATAGGGAATGGTTTAAACGTGTTGAAGGTCATGCCTGAATCAGCCATTAAATTTGGAGCATATGAGGTTAGCTTGTCACCCTGATAAAAGATTATTGGGCAGGCACTGATAATAGCTATAGTCTGCCAAACGAGCATTCGCTCGTCTTGAAGGACATAATGACCCAAAACGACTTGCACCAACGTCGCAGTTTTTGGCTGGAGGGTTTGGTGGAATGGTGGCCCAGTATGTTATACAGCTTTCTGTGCATGGGACCTCTATCTAACAAATTGGTAGATGTTTTGTCTATCCTCTTGACACTCTAAAATTGTAAGTTATTCGATACATCCCATGGATGGCGTTGTCTCAGCCGACGCTAATGAATATTCACAGTCGGATGCAGTGTGAAACTGTGGAAGGTGGCTTGAAAGGCAATAAACTTATCGCAGCCACTGCCCGAAAGGTTTGGAACAAGAATGGCTTGTACGGCTTTTTTCGCGGCTTGCCTCTTGGCCTTGTTGGCATGTTTCCGTATGCAGCCATCGATTTAACGACTTTCGAATACCTGAAGCGCGGATTGCTAGCACGCAAAGCTCGCCTCCACCACTGCCATGAGGATGACGTCCCTCTAAATAATTTCACTACGGGAGCTATTGGTGCGTTAAGCGGAGGATTTAGCGCTTCCGTCGTTTATCCACTGAATGTCCTTCGAACACGACTTCAGGCGCAAGGCACTGTTCTCCATCCGACAACCTATAGTAGCATTGGCGACGTTGCTCGAAAAACAATCCAGGCTGAGGGATTCCGCGGCCTCTATAAAGGAATTACTCCTAACCTCATGAAGGTTGCACCTGCCGTGTCCATCAGCTATGTCGTGTATGAGAACTCAAAACGAATGCTTGGTCTGAGATAGAGCCAAGAACAATCTTGCGACTTGGGCCCAATCCTCAGAAGCCCGACAGTGGCCCGGAACTTTACTTGGAATACGTGCGCATTCCGGTTGCTTTTCGATCTTCCAGCTTATTTCCATTGATCTTTAGAACACTTGTCAAGATACCCTTTCAAGCCACTCGCTCTACGCCACCGTTATCGCTTTTGGATGGAGACTAACTACCTTTCCACCTTTTGCATACTCTGTTTTGGATAGCGGAAAGACCTTTACCTTTTTTTTTCCTTCTCTTTTCACAGTCTCCTGACGACTGTGCTGTTCCTTGTCCGTTTCCCACATCAGGAGGCCATTGCTCACCCTCTAGGTCTCATCGTATCGGCCGGACTGCATAATCGACCCCACTAGCATGGCAAGGCGTCATGCGATGAAGCATATCACGGAGTTTTGTTGCTGATATTTGTATACCTATTGGATTCCCCGACTGTCCACACATGGATTGTCCATCATTCAAATATATTTAGACCTGCGGAGAATTCCGGTTCATGCCATCTACCGCTGTGACATTAGAACATATACATACTAAATAAAAAACATAATCCTTCTCATTTTACAGCAGAAGGCTTGTCATGGCCCGACACGCCATAGTTACATCACGTAGGAAGACCCTCATTTCTTCATAGCAGCAACAGCCCTGACCTCCTCATCCTTGGGCAGAATATCCGGCACCGGCCCAACAGGCGTGATCGCAAACTGATTAATTTGCGTATGACTTTTCGTATAATGAAACTTAATATGCTCAAACTCTGTCGTCTCCCGGAACGCCGGAATCTCCCAATACAAATGCCTCAACCAGCGATGAATGGCGGGATATCCAGACCGAATGTCCCGAATGTTGCACTTAAAGTGCTGCACGTAGACGGGGTCAAAGCGGACGATTGTCGTGAAGAGCCTGATATCCGCTTCGGTGAGCACCGAGCCGAAGAAGAACGGCGAGGCGATGCTCTGGAGGTGGGCTTCAATCTTGTCGAGGGAGGAGAAGAGCGTTGTGACGGCCTTCTGGTAGGCTTCTTGAGTGGTTGCGAAGCCGGACTTGTAGACGCCGTTGTTGACGTCGTTGTAGATCCAGTCGTTTGAGGTGTCGATTTCGGAGCGGAGGGATTGCGGATAGAGGTCGAGTTGTTTATTGGGGGAGGGGAGCAGGTCGTCGAATTCGTAGTAGAGCATACGGATTATTTCGGCGCTCTAGGTTGGGGCGTTTTCTTTTGTTAGTTTCTTGGGTTCCAGGTGTTGAGGGAGGCGGGAGATCTGTCTAGATGGGAGTGGGGAGCCGTCGACGTTACCTCATTGCTGACGATCTTTTGGGTCTTTTTGTCGTAGAGTACTGGAACGGTGAATCGGCCCGTGTAGTCTGGGTCATTGGCGAAGTAGATGTCCCGGAGATGGGTGACATCCGAGTGCAATGGGTCTGGGGTGGTATTCTCTCCGGGCAGTTTCTCGTCCGGGGTTGCGAAGCGCCAGCCTGTAATAAATAACTGATTAGTGGTTTTTGTAGGCGGTTAGAGGGAGGATACCAAACCTTTCTCGCCCAAATGCCAATGCACAGATGTGAACGAAATGATATCTTCCAGACCCTTGAGCTTCCGGGTGATCAAGGTGCGGTGCGCTAGAGGCGGTGATTAATAATTGTAACCGACTGGACATAGAAGATATCACTCACCCCATGGACAAGCATATGAGACATAGAGATGATAGCGGCCCTTTTCCGGGGGGAATTGTGCGCCTGGTTTCCTGGAAATCCAATTGCGGAAGGCCGAATTCTGGCGTTTGAACTCTCCCGACTTGTCATTGCGACTGACCCAGTCGGTGACCTTATCAGCATTGCCGGTCTGTCATTATGGGATCTCAGTAAAGATTCTTTTTGATAACTCAAGAGCATCTGATATAATCTTACCGCCATGCTGCGTGTTGAAGAGGGGAGGAGGTGTGCGGAGACGATGGAGCTTCTGTAGGGAGTAATTGATCTGGGTTGAGTGATAAACTGCGAAATCTGTTGAATTCGACGCAGTGCAGGAAAGGTGCGAGACATGGGCGAGCTTATATTTTTGAGATGGAGGGGCAGTGAAGTCGAGGATAGTAAAGTATGAGTATGCAATGAAGCCACAGTGTGCTAGAGTGTGGGGCAGCCTATGACGTTTGATTCCACTGCTTACGGCGGAATCACATAACGCCTGACAAAGCAGTCTAGATCCCTCTGCGCTTACATGTTGATTACGGGAGGGTTAATTATTCCTAGATTCATCTTCACTATTTGGCCTTTGGAAACATCGGTTCATATCATATGGACATGACTTTTTAAAAAAGAAGAGAAAATATCATATATCGTTGTTTATAACACTTGATGTATCAGATGTCTAGCTTTCAATGGAGTTTTAAGTAGATCCCGTAGTTTACTTCCTCAGCTTCACCATTACATATGGAATCTCTACATCCTCCTCCGTTTGGTCTTCGGCCGTGACTTCAAAGATGATGTTCTTTTGGTGCTCTGGAACAGGTTTCTTGCTGATATGCTCCACCAATTTGCTCATCCTGTGTAGCGACGTTAGTAAATAAGTTCATCAGATAATGTGTGACCAAGGGAATACATACGTTAATGGGAGACGGTCCTTGACCTTCGACGGGGGATAGAAACTGGCATACAGCAAGCTCACCCCGGAACTAACCATGCTGATTTCCAAGCCCTTGTCGGCGAAGTGCTTGAGGAAGTCCTGCAAAGGAATGTCCTCGACCTCAAAGCGATCCCAAAGTTGATCAATGGTCACTTCGCCATCCTTGCCCTGGTATTTGCCCTTGGGACTAGGGATAGGTTCACTGAAGCCAAAGAACGGAAGTGCAAGGTTTACGAAGCCGTTCTTGTACTGTTCAATATCATCCTTGCCGTCGATAATCTTGTAGAACTCCAGGGCAACCAGTCCAGTGACCAGCGCGGTAGTCGTGGCAATAGCAGGAATGATCTTGCCAGCAATGAACTTAGTCTTATGACGGTCAGCCTGGGGAATATCGTAGTTATCGGCACGGAGATTGCTAGCCGCCGTAATAAAGTCGATATGATGGTTGGTGTCGTCATCTTTCTCAAACTCGACTGGGTTCAAGCGGAATCCAGCAAGTGACTTCGGCGAAGGCAGCGAATCAATCAGGCGCTGGATCTCCTCGTTATCATCAAAAGATGAGCCGGCGTTTCCAGCATTCGGATCAGCCTCGTTCTCATCGGCCTGGATTTTCACGCCGGACTTGGGAGAGAATTCAGGGATGATCATATTGTCGACAACCTTGCGGTAGTAGTCCTTATCGAATCCGGGGTTTTTAATTCCATAATTGAAAGCATGGAGATTTGCTCCGGCGACGATGAACCCGAGGTGGGTTGGGTTCGAGCTATCAAACTTCAGAGGTGTTGGGGCACGCTTGGGCCCGGACCAGAAAGGCTGACCAGAAGAAGTCTTGGAGTCCCGAGGGAAGTTGTACAATAATTGCTGGATTGCATTGTTGTACTGAGCTTCAAATTGCTGGCGAGCCCAGACAATGCAATCGTCAAATGTCAATGGCTTATTGGCCACCAAGAAATCATGCAGCTGCTCCAGGGTTTGCTTTTCATTGCCAGCCTGCTTGAGCGTTTGCTCAATGTAGTTTGGCTGTGACAGATACATATTGACAGACTCAGGAGGCCCAACAAAGTAGGTCTGGAAAAGATCCCTGGACCAGGCAATGGTGTGCTCGATCCGGTTGGGGAAACTTCTTAAAGTGCACATGGGGAAGGACTTCTCGGGAGGATCTTGAGAGCTGGAGTAGGATTCTGTGATATGCGGAAGGATAACTTGGGTGTTACCCTTCGTGCCGAGAGTGCCACTCTCGAGGAGAGGCTTACGGAAGAAAACACATCGACGATCAACGTAGGTTCTCGCATCAACGTTGTCCAGCGCGTTAGTAACTCCGTCCAACCCTTCCCAGAACTCCTCGTTGAAGATATGTTCAGTGTCTTGCCCCACACGGTCCCGCAACGCGACGATTTTGCCCTCTAGTTCAGGGTTCATGGCCTGAACTGCAGCAGAGGCACACTCACTCTTAAGCTTGCCCACATCCTTACTACGGAATAGGAACTGGCGGTTGAGGTTGCTCTTCTCAATCTGATCCATATCGGTAACATAGATTTTGCCCTTAGGACCAGTTCCCAAACCCATCATAGCCCAGTTCTTTAGGGTTTCACATCCGATAGCGCCTGCGCCAACAAGGAACTGGGTAGTGTTGGCAATCTTGTCCTGGAACTCCTTGCCAAAGACGGCAATCTGGCCATCATACCGAGTTCCAAGTGGTTTACAGCTCTCTTCAGACCGTGTAGTAGAGGCTGGGAGCGACTCGAGCGAGTCCAAGTACAGCCACTGATTAACGGGGCTGAATTTTCCAGAAACAGCCTTGAGAACTTCCTGTGCTGTGACACCACCAAAGAAGGCGGCCAAGGGGCTGAGATCTCCACGTGCCTGATAACTGAGTTCTTTAATGAGCTTCTCATCCAATTCGACCTTATCTTCTTGGCTCGAGGCTAGGTCGTTGGAGATCTTGAGAACCTCCTGGGCATCGCTCTCGTTGTGAGGACGAGGCAGCTGGCCATCATGGCCCTCCGCAAATTTGTGAAGTGCCTGGATACCGATGTGTAGCTGTTGCGGGCGGTCGAACTTGGCGAAGTCCGAGATCATAAGCTCAGGCTTCTTGAGCTGCTCCTCCAAGCTCTGGAAGTCGACAAACTTAGGCATCTTAACTTGTGTGAAGATGCCGCCAGACTCATATGTACCAAGGCCAGAGACATCGCCGATAGAAAATGTGTAAGGACCCTTAACGGTAACCTTACGAGGGGCAGAGCCATTCAGACCTTCCATCCCCTTCACCTCGGTGAACGTCACAAAGTCACCATCCTCTAAACCATGGCGGCTTTCATCAAGAGCAGAAACCAGACCGTCCTCATCAATGCTGGCTACAATGCCGCCCACGGCCTCTTCACCTGTAGCATCGCCGATGGTGAAGTTCTTTCCAAAGTCGTTGAATAGGTATCCGAAAAGACCGAAGGTGTCGGCAATAGTGACGTAGATGCCGTTCTTGTGGCAGAAGTCCGCAATAGCAAGTTGGTCCTTCAGCGGCGTGAGGGTAAGTACTACTGCCTGATAACGCTTCAGTTGCTCCAGATTATCGACAAGGTTACCACCTTCGTGGACCGTTACGGGGACGTATGAATTAAGCTCCGCGACCTTGGGGGCCGTCACTTCGGCACGTGGTTTACCGACATCCTGGGGCTCAAGGAAGAACTGGGAGGAAAGGTCTGAAATGGCAACGGGCGCGGGATCGTACAAAGTAAGGGACTTCACACCGGCGAGAGCAATGTTCTTGGCTATTTAGCCTGTTAGAGAGGTCGGCTGTACTGTATCCGGCTATCAATATGCTTACCAATCTCAACACCAAGACCTTTAAGTCCGACAACGAGAACGTTCGAAGTGCCCATACGCTTCATAGCCTCATGACCAAGGACATATCTGCAAGTAGGAGAGAGGAGCGATCAGCATAAATCTTTTTAAGTTCAAGCGTGAAGCCGGCCAACGGGAAACTCACAGCTGTCGACTGTATAAAGATTCATCAATCTCCCCCTGCTTGATCTTTTCCACGGTTTCCTGAGGGCTATCTACCTGCATCTTGACGTCCTACATCTTGTTAGTAATGGACTGATTGGGAGATTCGGGTAAAGGATGGCTGATAAGGCATACCGTCATGATCTTTTTCTCCGGTCGAGTCGGTGGTTTGTCGCCAGACGCTCTTCGCTTTCCCAGCTTCGCAGCGTCGCGAACGGGAATTTCTGAGGGAATTGTGACGGCCTGTAATCCGAAAGCCTTGCCTTCAAGCAAGACTTTCCAACAGTGATTGACTCGTGTCTACAGCTCCTGGCGCGGGCTTAGGAGGGGTAGCGGTCAAAGTACCGGACGACGAGTGGCGAGTGCTGTTTTCACTTTAAGGTACTGTACAAAGAGATGGATTAATATGAATGAGGGCAAAGTTTTGAAGAGATTCGAAACTGAAAATGGTAAACCGACAGAAAGATAGAGAAAGATAGGGAAAAGAGACCGACGTCGTTACGATGGAAACAGTAGCGACGTAAGAGGGGACAAGCTGTCGGTGGCTGACTCAGCAACAGAAGCACGGTGATTGGCCATTGCCCCGCGAGCGGAAGATGACTCGGAGATGACCACCAAATTGCCGAACTTACGGATGAAAATACAATACATGGGTGTGAGATAGTGAGGGGAATATCAATGGTGGGTTTATCATGAGTATAGTGAGTAAGTATTTTCCAAGAAATCTGAGATGCGAGGAAGCTGGCGCTGACTACTAATCACAGAGTTGATCGTCTGAGATTACCTTTGAAGTCAATACGGAGATACTCTGCAACTCCGCACCCACGCGACGCGCCGCAATATCGGACTGGACGAAATCGAAAAGGCAACGCTCTCGACTGCCATTCCTGTCGGCCACCGTACATGTGTCGATACGAGCTTCTTGGACGTGGACTGTTATATTGGCAGCGTAAAAGGTCCAGCGTGGACAAGGACACCGCTTTAAGGTAGGCTGGCCTTGTGTGTTACGTCCCTTAAATCCCTACCTAAACGGCTCTCCATAGAGAGCCCCGAACAGAATGCTCCACGAAATCCTTCTCTCCCTCTCAGGCCAACCGTCACAACTCTTCGATACCCACTCTGAGCAAGATGCGGTCTCTGAGGATGCGTTTCCTCTCCTGTCACCTCCGGAGAAAGCCCTCCTCACCTCCCTTGCCCGTCTGAGCCGACTCCACGCGAAGCTACGAGCTCATACAGCTCTGATCTCTTCCTCACACCATTCTGTCATATGCCGGGCTGTTTCAACTGCAATTAGTACACAGCACCTGGGGGGTTTTCAAAGAAAGGTATTGGAAGTAGAGAAAGCAATCTTGGTGGAAGATAGTGGGTATGTTGGGGGCTACGGAATTGTACCGTTGTCAACGATAGTCGGCGAATTTTCTCCTTGGACCCGGCGGCTCGAATGGCTCTGGGAGGTTGCTCGCTTTATTCTTCCTGACCGCAGGAAAGGCAATAGCCAATGTTGTACGGGCGCGGCACTGATTGACTACCTTCGGGCGGAATCGCAAACAGGATATGTAGACATTGGAGAGATGGCACTGCATCTAATCAGCGCGGCTGAGACTGCTTGGATGAGGCAATTATCCACGTGGCTACTGTATGGGAATCTTCCTGTGCTGGGCAAGGATGATTTTTTCATTCAGGCAGAAAACACGGTGGAGGGCAATCGCTCTGCAACCGTGGCAGATTTTGTCTTGCGAACGGACTTGCAACCAAAATTTGTCTCCTCTGACACGGCGTTATCCATCCTATTCATTGGGAAGACATTGAACCTTCTTAGGGCGAAGCGTAGTCCTTCTACCACCGACTCCCCAACAGGTCTTCTAACATCGTCAGTCACTATACATGGCGAACATATCGAACATTTTGCTACTTTGAAGTCTCCCATATCGACCTCCAAACTTTCTAATACTATAAATTCCATCCGATTATCCTTGTCGCAAAGTACCCTCTCTAAACTACTGCCACTTCCAAAAATTCTTGAGATCTTGACTGTCCTGCACGACTTTTTGTTGCTGAGACGCGGCGAATTTGCGTCAGCACTTGTATCGCATGCTGATGCTCGTTTGAATGAAAGACATCGACGGCCTGGGACTTTGGCCCTCAAAGGAAAGTCTTCTGAGGGTCTACAAGGGCTTGCCATTAAAGAAGGAGATGTTGCGAATGCTCTGTCACAGGCGTGGGCTGAGCTATATTCTTTGCAAAACGAGGAAGATCCTGTAGATGATGAGCTTGACCTTGCCAGGGACCTACTACGGTTATCAATGAATGATAAAAGAAATGGCCACTCAGTCGCGGCAACACCCTCAGCGGCTGGGCTCGAGCATATAGCCAAAATCTCAGAGATCCCTTTCGATGACCTTCTCTTTCCAGCGCCAACAGTCCTTTCAGCACAAGTGCAACCCCCCTTAGATTTATTCCTCTCGGCCTCTGATATCTTCATATATTCAAAGATTCACTCCTACCTTCTAGGTATCCGACGCGCACAATTGCACTTGGGGGACCTCTGGAAACATACATTTCTGCGAAAGAGCCACCCTTCCCCATGGGGCCCACCCCGGAGCAACTCCGCTTTTGGGCAGGACAAACTCAGAATGGGGAGGCAAAGAGACAACGCCCGGATTAGTCAGATGAGGCCTGTCTGGGCGACATGCAGTGCCTCCCTGTTTGTGTTGTCGGAAGTCGGCAGCTTCTTCCAAGGGGAGGTTATCAATGGCTCTTGGCAGCACTTCCGGGAGTGGATCGGAGGTGCCCCAGCCTCGTCTACAAATTCCCGACCGGGGACCTCGTCATCGTCGTCAAAGAGCAAACACAGCTATAACAGCATGGTCTCTGAGGAAACGCCCGGAGCTGGCTCCGATCGATTCAGTCAGGGGCCGAGGACACCGCTTGACCCTGAAACACTGACGGTTGCACACCGTCGATACTTGTTTACCCTGGTGCAGGCGCTATTCTTGACTGACAGGCCGTTCACCAAAGCCTTACGGTTCTTACTTATGAGCGTTGACCATTTTATCGCTCTTGTGGTTCGTCTGGAAAGCATTCAGCGCAATATGGACTTGGAGACAGACGAAGGTGTTGTGGATGCCTTGATCGATTACGCTGGAGAAGAGAGGGAAGTATGGCAAGCACTTGGTGCAGCGCGAGGCGAAGTCGAGACGGGAATCAAGGTTCTTGTGGCACGACTGAAAGACATCGATGATAGCCGGTCTGGTGAGGGACGGACCATGTTCGATGTGTCGAAAAGTCCACGTGAAAAGTGGCCAATATACCAACAAAATGGCACAGGCACTGAGACCAATATGGGCCACTATGTGCCTAGGAAGGCAGCCGGGGTGGACCGACTGCTTATGAAGTTAGACTTCGGGAATGCAAATGGAAGCCTCAGGCCCGGAACCGTTCAAGTATCAGGTGGATTTGGCAACTACTAACCTGGTAGTGGGAAATCCGACCCTTGGTTGGGCTACCATAAAGAAACGATTTTTATGATTATGGTCATGTAATATATTTTTAGCATAAACTTATAGTTCTTCAGAGAGAAAAAAAGGCAATGCGAACCCATTGATATATTAGGATCCTCTAAGCAATGCTTTGCGTAGAAAATGACCTTAACCTTGAGTTAATGAGCTTCGGCTAGGCGAGATTTGGTTAGCTGCAGGCATGACATCTGCCGAATTCAATCACAAAAAGCTTCATGTTTATCTATCCTTATCTTAATCACTTGACCTATCTCTGCAAGAGGTTCTAATCCCATTTAGGAATGGGATTCGATGTCGGATTCTAATACCATTCTAGGACCAATTCTCTATGTACCTCTACTCATGGAGGCTGACCAAGCTTGCAAGAGGATAATGGCGCCTTACGCAAGTATTGTAAGTGTAACCCGAAATGAAAATCAAGACAGCGGACGGAGTAGTTCTACAAAATAATGGAAGATTTCTATCATCTCGAAAAGATCAGTGTGAAACAAGAGCAGGGACAATCACGACATAAACCGGTTACCCCCAACCCCCATCGATCAGGGACAATGTCAGCGGTCAACAAAGCAAACCACTGTCAAACGGACAGTATCTAATCTTGCGTGGAGACCTCCATGCATACCTTCCTACAGAGTACTCCGTACATGCAGATTAATACACGCCGTTAGGTGAGCACTAACGAAAAAAATCTGAGAGCGCACATGACTCAGGAGTTGTCTTGTCCACGGATTACCCAGATAGGCAACCGATATGATCGGGGCCCTCGCTCCAAGCCACAAAGGGCCGAGCTTAATCCATCGGGAACTCAATAGCCAATGTCTATTTTGATGCTTATTCTCCGACCAGTCGGATTAGCAATGAATAGTCTCCTCTTTCTTTTTCTTTGTTTATGAAATTTATGCGTGGACCCCTGCATCCCGTTTGACTGTGACCGGTTGATATGTTGAGCATACCCCGGACACTAGGGTGTTAATTGGCGCAAGGGGGCCCCAAAGCCCCACTCGGGGAGACGGGAGAGATACCAAGGGGCTGGATTTACTATATTCGAGGAATCCTGGGTTCCTGTTGGAATGCCCGATCGTACAGATAGTCTATTCTATCGGCTCAGGCATGGCCTTTCGGGATGTCATTTTTCGGAAGCTTCAACGTACAAAGTGGCAAAAGTACTTTCGGGGGGGATCCTTAGCCAGCTGACAACAAGGCCTCGAAAGGAAGGGCTGGCAGAAAAACGAAAAGAAAAGGAAAAGGAAAAGGAAGCATGGACAATTAAAAAAATTCAATCAGTGGAAGTTGGTTTCCAGGCCACCGACAATTGGAACTTTTTCGTAATCGAATTAGGCCTTATGGAGCATGTTTCTAAAAACATGCAAAGCGTGGGGAAAGAAAGAAGGGAAGAAAAAATCTGGAAGGAAGAATGATCCAAAGACTGGGTCTGATACTGTAAGGATCGTCCAAGACCGGGTGTCTAGAATTAGAAAAGGAAGCCATGTAGTCTTATCTCGCTGCGAGGGCGGATTACACCACCACTTGCGATGCCGAGGCGGCGATTGGAGGACTGGGCTCCCGACTGGAAAGGAAAGCCGGGGTAAACTCCAGGCTAGTGCTCTCACCCCAGGATTGGCTGGGAAAAGCACCCATCGTGAGCTCATCACTAACGCAGGCTCAATCGAAAAAAGGCAGGAATTTCTTGAATAAAACCACCTAAAGAACAGGTTTATGCCAATTGGACTACATACAACTGATATCACTGCCAGTCCCTTATTTTCTCTCCATTTTTTTCTCACCTCCTTTTTTTTTTATTTTTATTTTTTATTTTGGTTGACCGCTAGTACTCCTTATTGTGAGCGACACGTTGATACAAATCTGATCCAGCATCTGCCAATTCTCGGTCCCCCCGTACTCGGGAATCCCGTTCTGAGTGGGCCATTCCACAAACCAGTGATCGTCATCCCTCGATCAACTGACCAAGTCGTGTTACCGTTCTCGGCCATGAACCATAGTACCAAGAAAAAGTCACGATGTTTTCTCAGACACAATCGCACCCACAGTTGTACTTCGGGGTTATGTGTCCAATGCCTGTCCATGCCGGTTCAGCCCCTCATCCCTGTGGCAAGCTTCTACCAGCGTTGCTTGTGCATGGACTAGACCCTGTACCGTGGATGCTCCCGGACGATGAATTGGCTCCGGGCCACTGCTGAAGTCACCGCGAAAGCAATCTAGAATCCAATGGCGGCCCCATCCAGGTATCACGCGGTCGTCTTGTTTTTTCCTGTTGACCTTGATTCGTGCTCGCTTGTGCAATACCGACGATGTTCGCTTTCGGTCGTTATGTCTTACTCCTATGCGGTTTGCTCTCCAGAGCTATAAACCCTAGGCCCTCCTACGTAGGTAGTATGATCGCTAGCGATTGAGATTTCTTGAATCTGTGGTAGCAGTTATTCTTTGTTCTTTCCATTTCTATCTTTTGTATTCCACTCCCTTAATTTTTAATTCCTTCTTAAGCATCACATCCGTAGCCATGCGCTCTACACTATCCCAGACGCTGTTCCAAGCAGGCCGGTCATGGCAACCAAGCACAGCACTCCGGCTACTCACACGACTATCATATTCCACAAGTACCCCTACTCATGGCGCACATCACATCCAAACACGAATGCCCCCAAAGGAGACAATCAAGAACGGACATCGATTCAAGGAATTCGACCTGAATGACCGCGTCTATGCCATAACCGGCGGTGGAAGAGGACTCGGTCTGGCCATGGCCGAAGCCCTAATGGAAGCCGGCGCCAAAGGTACTTCCCTTTGCCCCCTTTCCCACCCATCGATTCCCCCAACATCAACCATACTAACCAGCCCTGGTTTCCAGTATACTGCCTCGACCGTCTCGAAAACCCCCACCCAGACTTCATGGCCGCAAAAGAGCATGCAGAAACCAACTACGGCGGCAGCCTAGAATATTACCGAATTGACGTCCGCGACGACGCAGAGGTAAACAACGTGTTTGCTGAAATCGCCGGCCAGAACAAGCGTCTGGACGGCCTGATCGCCGCCGCGGGAATCAACCACCTCCAGAGTGCCCTGGAGCACTCCCAGACTGCCATGAACGAAGTCATGCAAATCAACTACAATGGAGTCTTCAACTCCGCCACCGCCGCCGCCCGCCAGATGTTCAACTACCAGCAGAAGGGCTCCATCCTGCTCATCGCGAGCATGAGCGGCCTCATCGCCAACAAGGGGATGACTTCCCCGGTCTATAACTCGTCCAAAGCGGCGGTCATCCAGCTCGCCCGCTCTCTGGCTATGGAATGGGGCCGGCACGGCATCCGCGTGAACAGTCTTTGTCCCGGCCATATCATTACCCCCATGGTCGAGCAAGTGTTCCAGCAGAACCCGGCTTCTCGGGCCGTCTGGGAGGCGGAGAATATGCTCGGGAGACTGGCGTATCCTGAGGAGTTCAGGGGTGCGGCCCTCTTTGCTCTCAGTGATGCTAGTAGCTTTATGACGGGGAGCACGATGCTCATCGATGGTGGCCACACCGCGTGGTAAATTCTGTGTATATTGGTTTGCACAGGGAAAAAGGGTATATACATAGGTGGTTAACAAAAGTTGGCCCGGGGGGATATAAATACTGAGATCAAACGGACACCCCAGATGGCTATTTGGGAATGAGAGGGACTATATATAGCTTTGTTGTTGAAATCTTGAGCACGCCTGCTTCTTTCTTTCTTTTTTTTCTGGGTTGCATTCTATGCTTTCTTGTTGGATTGCATTGGATGATGAGTCGGTCTTTAAACATACCCTTTTTCGTGGGCATGTATTTTGCATCTCTATGCATACAAGGTTTTCTGATGGGATGTTCGTCGTTGGCTTTTTTATTTCTTAATATTCTGGAATTCAATGGCATGGTTATGATTCGTTTCTTTTTCATTATTTATTATCTGCTAGGTCAACAAACACAAGTAATATCCAATATGGAAGGTAGTTTTATCCTATCCATCAATATAGTCACCCAGAATCAATATCTACGTCAGATGATATACGTAAATTTCTCCTCCACATTGCGCCCGACATTTCGCCCACCCATGAGCACCTCACTCTCCTCCCCACCGCCCGCTCTCTCCATCTCAATCTCATCCTCCTCTTGCTCGACCGTGCGACATGCCCGCAGCAGCATGACCCTCAACACAAACGCCAAAACCGCCACAACAACCATGAAAAACGAACAAGCCGCCATACCACGGATATACCACGGGCGATCAACACTGGGGTACAACCTCGTTCCAAGCAGGGGTCCACACTGACCGATGATGTTCATGATGGCGATGCTAGCGCCCTTACCTTCTTTCGCGACGCGGTTGTCCATGGTCCAGGTCATGATTAGCGTGATGGCAGAGAAGAAGCCGGCTGTTGCGGGGTAGACGCAGAGGTATCGGATGAGGATATGGGCTCTGGAGGGGAGGTGGTCGTGGAAGTAGCCGGTCAAGGCAATGATGAGGTAGGAGGCTGATGAGAGGAGGGCGTGTGTGATGAGGTATAGACTCCTTTTGCGGTTGCGGTCGGAGATGTAGGCTGTGAGCAGGACTATGATGAAGGCGAAAAGGAAAGGTGGTGCGGAGAGGGCTTGTGAGGTTACGGAAGAGTAGCCCATACTGTTTTCGGGGGGATTTGTTAGTTTTGGTCTTTGGGTTTGGGTTGATGGGAATGGTTAGACATGTGTATGTACTTACTCTTCTATGATGGTGGGAAGGAAGACGGGCATGGAGCTGAATGCTACATTGCAGCTGAAGAACATGAACTGTGGTACGTATTCTCGTTAGCGACGCTCTTTCTTTTTCCTTTTTTTTCTTTTTTCTTTTTTCTTTTTCTTTTTCTTTTGGTTTAAATCGATGAGAGGCTCAATGGGGGCTTACGGCCGTCAGGTAGGATTTGGGATCGGTTAACGCGTTCCTGACTTCCTTCCAGTTGAATTTGCCTCGGCGTAGCTCATGGTGATTCGGTTTGCTTTCTTCCATTCGTAGCTCGGCGACCATTCGCTGTCGAGGTCCTAGAAACCACGCACTGCCGGGTGAGTCCGGGATCAAGATCCAGGCGAAAACTGCAACGATCACGCTTGGGAACCCTTCCACCAGGAACAGAGTGCGCCAGGGCGAGATTGGGCCGTTATTGCTCATTTTGACTATCCCCCAAGCGAGACTACTTGCAAACGACGAAGCCAGGGGGGCCGCGGAAATGAACAGTCCATTTCGAAATGCGAGTTCTTCGCGTTTGTAGAAGAGTGATAGGTAGAAAGGAATACCTGGGCCAAATGCTGCTTCTGTGATCCCAAGCAGAGCACGCAGAAAGACCAATGTCCCGAATGAAGTAGCTAAAGATTGAAAACATGCGACCAAGCCCCATCCGCATACACAAAGTGAGATGTAGATGTGTGGCGGCACAAGACGGTACATTAAAGTCATCCATTCGAAGAGGATATACGTAATGTAAAAGGCTGTCAAGAGCCATTCATACTGAGAAGATGAGAGATGTAGATCGTCTGTCATTCCAGCAATTTTGGCATTTCCAATATCTGATTCACTGTTAGCTTGCTGCATATCAATGACATGGTTTCAAGGGACGTCAACGACGGAATCTCGCTGCTTTCTAACACAACGCGCCATAACTTACTAGATCGATCAAGAAAGGAGAGCAGGTAAAGTAACGCTAAGAATGGGACTAGCCGGCGATCGAATTTCTTCACAATCTGCTGCTCTTCTATGGCCGTATACTTCGGGAAGCCGGTAGTACTATTGGGTTTGTCTTCGGCATCTTCAAAAGAATCATATCCATCATCACCATCGGCACTGAATTGCGTTTGCACTGTCAATGAGCCGGGAGGTGGGCGAGTTGGTGGGCCGGATTCATCTTCGGACCTGTCGGAGACGGGGGTATATTGAGGTGTTGTGTTACTAGACGTGGAATACGCGGCCTCCGTCGACTGAGGAAACAAGGAGGCCATGTCTGGGTATTCGAAAAGCTCACTATTTGCAGCTCAATAACGCATGTCTTCTCGAGAAGGATTTAACCAAAATTGCAACAGTAGAGTTACCGTCCCTGTCCTGCATTTAGCACTCAATAAACTCGTGGTATCGTGTTGGAAGGAGAGATACAGTATTGCGTATGTATGGAATTCCCGATCAGGAGAGCGCACGTGGGGGTCCACTAGCGCTGTGATTTGCGCCAAGACGGAGAGAAGTATTGAAAATGTTCAAATAAATTCATTGTTCCTCCGCTACAATGCTTCGTCGATTCCTTCAGCTCAAACTATTGTACAAACCCGACGAATGGTGAGACCAGCCCCCGTAACAGACAACTCCGAGCAAACCCCAAACTTTCAGCTATCAAACCCGACCCACAAAGATGCATTAACCCCAAACAAAGCTGGAGGCAAAAGTAATTGGCCTCTGTATCATTTCTTAGGACGATACGAGTCGACGGTCCGACGCTTCCTTCTACGATATAGTCTCTCAGCACCTTCATCGAAATGTCTCTTCCGACCGCCGGTAAGCTCTGTCGCTTTGTCCCTGGCAGTCTTGAAGATCTGCTCCAAGTCCAGGACAGAAGTATGGTCAGACATCCCGTTTGCCTGAAGATATCGGAGAGCGTTTTCGGCCGTGTCGCGAAGAAAACGGGCATTGTCGATGCTAACGTACCCCTCGGTTTGCAAAGCTTTGTAGTACTCGTCTTTAGCGCCGTTGTAAACGTCCAAGAGCCTACCAACTCGATCAAGGACTTGCTGCGTGTGGCTGATCGAGCCCATGTTCCAATCAGGATCTTCCGGGACAAAAAGATCATCGGGATCTCCAAGCTCATACTCAGATTGAATCGACATCTGGCCATTAGAAATTGTCTCAGGCGGCTCTTCACGCTTAGGAACCACCGTCTCTGACATGGTGCTGGGCGCGGAAGCTAGCAAGCTATGGTCAGGGGAGCTTGGTGAATGGAAAAGTACATAGTGACACACCTTTTCTTAGCACACTTTCCAATTCGAGGTGTCTAGCGAGTATATCCTTACCCTGGCAAACCGGGGTCATAGGGACAATTCCAAGATATTCGGTTAGGTAAAGCTCAAGAGCACCCGTATCAGTCAGGTTCTCTCCGTCTCTGCTAAGTTTCACGAGTGCCCGGTCGTAGGTTGTTATCTGACCATCCTCAAAAGCCTGCGAGCGGCACTTGATCAGAGAGACCTGGCGGCGAAGCGCACTGAAGAGAAGCGATGACTGTTCCGGGCTTTTGAGGATGTCACGGAGGATATCGTTAGTGTTCGGCCGGCTGATTTTGTAGTATTTGTACACTAGCTCATCTACCCTTTTCTCTTGCGGTGCCCTCTTCCCTCGGTTTTCTCTCCTGGGAGACGGGAACCAGGAGGACGCCATGGTTGTTGATTGACGATGAGGCTTCAAGCCAGGATTGAAGGCCAGGGATGAGGATCTCGAGACAAGGGTTTAGAGAGGAAGCAGTATCAGTGAGTCAAACATGTATTAAGCATGAGAGAAAGCACAAAAGGCAAACCATCTGGGTTTGTCAGGAGCATACTAGAAACACGGCCAAAGTATGTGTTTCTCTACAGTCTCATGAAACCGGGAAGCATTTCAAATTAGTCAGGGTGAATGGTTGCCGTGAACGAAATGCACAATGGTTGATCAGTAAACGATGCGATATGGAGAGGGGTGTTAACGCATAAAGTATGTCTTTATGAAATATACTGGTATTAGTATGAACCCCTGCTTTGCATTGTATTGAGCATGATGAAAGGTAAAGTCTTGACCAAACAAAAAAAAAATTCAAACATTATGAATTAGCTGGGCACCAATATCTGCAATAAATAATGCCTATATATAAAGCGAATATAATCTTGGTAGTGTTTCCTGTAGGAACGCAAGCAGGAGCATTGACCAGCGCTCCTTGAAGACAAACATCATAAATCATAGCAACCATACTGTCATTAAAGATCGATCTGAAAGCTTAGTTTTTCGCTTTCCACAGCCTTTCAACTTCCTCAACGAGCACCGATACTTGACTTCCCTTCCCTTCTTTAGCACAGTCCCTCCATGCTGCACCATCGCGGACACACCAGACAGAGTCGTCCAGCCGGACAGTGCAACTGGTGGAAACTCCAAGTTCCGCACTATGAATGGCACTCTGACGCAACAACGCCAGACCACTAAGGGCGTCATTGACAGGATCATCCTCCTGCTTGCTGACACAGCTGTTCAGGGCTTCAAAATCGATACCATGCCTCAAGGCGCAGTTGTGGACCAGCGTGCGGTCCGGAATATGGGCGTATTGTCCAATAAGGCAATTGGCAAACCCTAGAGAACGGATGGTCGGCATGCGAATAGGTTTCCCAGTTTCGCCTTCAGCCGAGAAAGGTAGATCCTGAGCACAAAGCATGACCATATCACCAATGCATTCCCCAGGGCCGTGTTTGCATTGTATATCGGATGATTGGTTAGAGACGCTAGGTTCTGGTTAGCTCCCGTAGGCTACAAAATAAATCTAAATCGGTGTCTGCATACCTTGCAATGAAGGACAACTCAAAATCGATTTTCTCACTGATCCGCTCCATAACAGGGACGACCAACTGCTGGAGGCAGTCCTGAGCGTCTGGGCATTTGCTCATGATATGCGCCTCAAACGGAACCTTGTTACTTGATGCTAGCACCGGTGTCCCGTCATTCTTCGCGGGGGAGAGGAACCCCTTCAGCTTGTGACAAGGAGATAAAATTATGCCGGGAAAAGATAGAATCATAGAACTTAGCATGAGCAACGAGACAAAGCTCATGCCAAGTGCGATCCCAGTGATGCGACCGCGTCGGGCACGCGTCGGGGTCGCTTCGGGAGAGGGTGCGACCTCAACATAGCAATATTGGCCATAAGGCCGAGCTTCTGATTTCTCCATAGCTATAAACTCACTGTCGTTATGATACGCGGTGTATAGGCCAAGAAACGAACAGTTAGTCAAAAAGATGTGGAGAGAATCTCGGGGCAGATCGAGTCACGTCAGATGAAATCATGTTCCACTGACTGGCCAGTCATTACACCATGAGTACCCGACAAAGAGCTCCTTACCTATTCAGGAGAGCCTAAGGGAAATTTAGGCTAAGCCTATTTGGGAAAGCGGTCCTTGACTGATGCTCAAACTACAATACTAAATATCTCCCTCAAAAAGCTCTTTACTTTTCCAGAATTAGGTCGTAGGACTTGCGTCCTAAGGGGCTATCTAGGGGGATTTTTTTTTACCGAAAATAAATCGCTTTTGACGGTAATTTGAGGCTGAGATTTGAGCCCTGCCCAAGACACAGCATCTGATGGGTCCACCTGATATAGTGTTCAAATTATTCTGCCAGCGAACACTATACAATTAAATTAATTAAATAGCTGTCGTACTGCGGCGGCTGTCCGTTCATTACCTTTCTCTAACCTTAGGGTTTACTACATATTTTACCCGCCAACATGTTAACTCCAGCCTTTCTTCTAGCACGGTTTGATTTTGACCGGATTTTCAAGAGCCGAAAACTCAGGATGCAAAGTGCTCTGCAGAGGATTATTATCCACTGTCGGTTTTGACTCCAGAGCCACCTTGGCAATATTCAACAATGTAGGTGTTCATTCAATCTAAACTGTGTACTGGGGGAAATCTTAGGAGACAACATGATAGCGTCCTTTGTATTGCAACGTCAGATCTCGTATAGTATCCACACGGCCGCCCCGCTTGTTATTTGCTTTTTTTTTGACACAGTTGTATCCGATCATAATTTTGTCAAAATTAGGTTCTTCAGAAAGAGAATCTCAAGAGGCCAGTCGAAGGCTAAAATGGACAGCATGCCTGACAATGTATCTTCTTTATCCCTTCTCCATGGGCCTTCCGAGCCAGCCCTTAAAACATACTCTATCGGCCATCTTCTCAAACAGCAGGCAGCCCAGCTCCCAACCCAGGAAGCAGTTATCTTTCCAACGGAAGGTGTTAGACACACCTACCAAGAGTTGAACACGAGAGTGAGAACTGTCTCCCGGGCACTGATAGTACACGGAATTAGAGCCGGTGATCGTATCGGAGTCTTCTCTGGTAATTGTGCGGCGTATGTAGAGATATTTCTAGCAGCAACAAGCATTGGTGCGGTTACCGTATTGCTCAATAATGCATACTCAACTACAGAATGCCTCAATGTACTTAGGACTACCGGTAAATGCAACTTTTTTGATATATATCATGACTATGACCGGACTAACTGTATAGGATGCTCGCTGCTCTTCACCGCAACGCATATCGGGGAGCGCGACTTGTCATCTTGCCTGAGAGCTCTCAAGACTTCGTTAGATAGCAACGAGCTCCCATGCTTAAATCAAATCATTCTCATCCAAACAAATAATTACTCCTCGGGGCAGTTCGCATCTTTCGAGACCTTCCTTAAACACGCGAGTGTTGTACCAGACTCAACACTCTCTGAGATGGAGCAAAAAGTCCAAGATGACCAGATCTGCACATTCCAGTTCACAAGCGGCACAACTGGAGCGCCCAAAATCGCCATGCTAACCCATAAGTACCACCCCAGACCAATCTAATCCCATCCCACGATCCTAACACATAAATAGGAACGTCATCAGCAACGCCCACCTCATCGGTCACCGTCTACTCCTAACAGAGAAAGACGTGATCTGCTGTCCCTATCCTCTCTTCCACATTTCCGGACTTGTAATAGGCCTTCTCTCATGTCTGACGTACGGCGCAGCAATCGTATATCCGTCGCCAACCTTCGACCCAGTAGCGGTCCTCCATGAAGCTATGCGAGAGAAATGTACGGGTCTTCACGGCACGCCGACCATTTTCATTGCTCTACTAGAACGATATCGTGAGCTCAATCTTGGTCCATTTCGCATTAGAACTGGCCTCATTGGCGGTGCGCCGATTCTCGCAGCTTTGCTAAAGGATATGCATGTGGCATTCGGGTTTGAAGATCTAATGGTGGCTTATGGTAATTTTGTTCCCATGTACGCCGAGTAACGGTTGCTAATACGTTGGCTAGGAATGACTGAGACATCTCCGATTAGTTTCATGTCTCGCTCGGCAGACCAGCCTTTTGACGGGGTGTTTCATAGAAATATACTCCCGCACACTTCTGCCAAGATCATTGATTCGTCGGGGAAGATCGTGCCTCAAGGTGTGCGCGGTGAACTCTGTATTGCCGGGTCTGGTGTTCAGAGGGGATACTATCAGAATCCGGAGAAGACGCGTGAGGCGCTGAAGCCAGATACTTCCGGGGTAGTGTGGATGCATTCGGGCGATGAAGCGGTTATGGATGTACATGGACATTGTGTTATCACAGGTCGGATCAAAGATATCATCATTCGCGGTAAGTGCATGTAATTTTCTAGATACTTGGCTAGTGACTAATGTCGAACAGGAGCGGAGAATATCTATCCGGCGGAAATAGAAGAACATCTGAACAAACACCATTCTATCTCTCAGTCGTGTGTCGTCGGAGTGAAGCATGAAACATTAGGTGAGGAAGTTGCGGCTTTTCTTCAGGGTACTCTGGGACAGCCTCGTCCCTCCAATGTGGAAATCCTTGAGTGGCTGCAAATAAACCTGGGGGCGCAGAAGGCACCTGCGTGGATATTCTGGTTGGGTGATGCCAATGTGCCTGCTGTATTTCCGATTACTGATAGTGGGAAGATCAAGAGGACAGAGATGGTGGAACTGGGAAATCGGTTGGTGGGGGAACGTAGGACACATCTCTAGTTCGATAGTGAAGTTAACTAGGCGGTAGTATAAACTCTAGCAAAACATATTCTCTACATGTATAAACTTGGCAGAGGAACCACGTTGCCGGTGAATCCGCAGTGGCTCCAGAATATGTGGAGAATAAAATATAGTAGAGATCCATATGAAGTTCTAAAAAGTCCTAACGAAGAAAGGAGATTGGACTCTAGTTCATTTATGCCGTCATCCCCAGGTCCGGCAAAACTCCGCCACTGCGGCAAAACTCCGGACTGCTCCAGAACTATATAGAGCCCTATATCTCCATCGACAATGAAAAGCATTTCTCTCAATTCTTTCTAGATCTGGGTTCTCATATCATACAGCACCGCACCTCACAATGGCTGATCTTCCCAAAACAAGTATGTCCTAACCAATACCTCACAAACCCCATCATCTCAACATTAACACACACGACCAGACCCATACCCAATCCCTCTCTCATCAGAGAGCTACCCCCTCAACTCCAAAGAGCAAAAGCCAGAATCAGAGATCCCCACCAAACCCCCACTAGACTCAATCCTCAATAGCCACGACTTCGAAAAAGTCGCGTCGCAAACCCTAACCCGCAAAACCTGGGCCTTCTACTCCTCCGCAGCAACAGACATGCTCACCCTCTCCGCCAATAAAGCCATGTACGACCGCATCCTCCTCCGCCCCCGAGTCCTCCGCAATGTCAGCAAAGTCAACACCCGCACCACCATCCTCGGATGTGAGACCAGTCTCCCCTTATTCGTCAGCCCCGCCGCCATGGCCAAGATGGTGCATCCAGATGGCGAGCTTGCAATAGCACGGGGCTGTGCCAAATACGGCGTCGGGCAATGCGTGAGTAATCAAACCAACCAATTCCCTGTATCTAGCATGAGGAAACAAAACAAAAACAGGGGGGGCTGATTGAGAGGTCCATACATAGATATCGACGAATGCGTCGTATCCCGTGGAAGTTATTACGGGGTGTGCGCCAGGTCATGCGTTCTTTTTTCAGCTTTATGTTAATCGGGACCGGGGGGAGTCGGAGCGGTTGCTGAGACAGGCTGAGGAGAGTGGGATTCGGGGTGTCTTTCTGACGGTTGATGCGCCGGTTGCGGGGAAGAGGGAGGCAGATGAGCGAGTTGGGGTTGATGGTGAGGAGGTTGTGCAGACTGCGCCCATGACTGGAGCGCAGGGGGTTAGTGATGCGAAGGGGAATGGGTTGGGGAGGACGATGGGACGGTATATTGACGCTGGTTTTACGTGGGAGGATCTGGGATGGCTTCGTCGGGCAACAACGCTACCCATTGTGTTGAAGGGAATTCAGACGGCCGAGGATGCTTTGATGGCGATGAAATACGGGGTTGATGGGATTGTCGTGAGCAATCATGGTGGAAGGAGCTTGGACACGTGGGTATATGATTCATTTTATCTTGGAACTGAGACTAACTGGATTGGACAGGTCTACGTCATCAATAGCAGTGTTGATGGAGATACGTCAATGTTGTCCTCAAGTCTTTGAGCACCTTGAGGTGTTCGTGGATGGTGGGATTCGGCGCGGCACGGATATTCTCAAAGCTATTTGCCTAGGTGCTAAAGCTGTGGGGATGGGGAGGCAGTTCTTGTACAGTCTCACGTATGGACAAGAAGGTGTAGAGCGCTTGATTGAAAGTATGTTCCGATCATTCTTTATCTACCTGGGTACTCGTGCTGATAACTACAGTCATGAAAGACGAATTGGAGACAACGATGAAGTTATTGGGGATTACGCACCTCTCACAGGCACATGCAGGGCTTCTTAATACGTTAGATGTGGACCATCTAATTCCAAAGAGGCTTGGGGCATCATATAGCGGGCCGGTAGTAAAGGCGAGACTGTGAAGATCCGCACGGCTCTTCAGGGAAACGTTCGCTGGATTTTGCGGGTTTCGATTTAACTAATAATTTCCAGTATATAGACAATAGACATGACAATCTGATTGCGTTATTATATACCCAACTCAAAGTTATCCGCGGCCATCTGACCCAAGAGTGTCTCATCGAGTCCGAAACCAAACGTTCCTCCAAGATCGTAGAAATTATAGTCGCCCGCCCAGAATGCATTAGTGTCATTGGAATCGGGGGGGATTGTAGGGAGCCGGTCTAGTTCCTTTCCCTCTATCTGATCCTCTGCGTCTCTTGTCTCATTCTCATCCAGAGCATAGAATTTCTGTAGCATCTCCAGCATGCCTGTTGCTATATGTTTTGCAATATGTCGCTCATTGAGGCTCATAGCAACATTAGCCAGCATATCTGCGGAGCGCTGAACGAGAGAGACGATATGTCTTGTATTTACAGCTAGACCGAATTGCGTGGAGCTCTTTCCCCACGTGGCAGCCATCTTCAAGAGAAACGTGGCGCAGAACGCAACCATAGTATAAGTAAAGATCGGGACGCCAGGAAAGGCACGTCGAAGATCGCCATCCTCTAAAATCAAAGTGAGTGTACTTGTAGCCGCCGCGATAGCTGCATTGGCAGCTTCACGGTGTGCCAGGGATAAGGAATTTCTAAAGACAAGTCGAGCACTAGATTCCAAGCCGGAAGGGCTAATACCACGCAAAGAAAGGGAATTTAACTGAAAGCGAGCAAAGTGATAATATAGTACCAAAGCTTTCGATGGATACGATCCCAAGGTCGTACAGTCCTTCGAGCGAGGCTGCCACTGGAGTCGCCACTGATCAATTGCCACATTAGAAACCCATAGCTTATCGAAGTCTTTACCTTCTAATGGTCGATCAGGATCATTTCCGAAGGCTACGTAGGCCTCCGTCAAAATAGTGAATAGTGCGACCTGCGCAGCTAGTCTTGCATCGCCGTGATTTACCTCTTTCATAAGCATGAATCGCTCAATATTCCGGATTGACTCATCATCGACGGCCGCTGGTGGTCGACCATGGGCAATGCTGAATTGGTGGTCACAAACGTATGTCGCATACCAGAGGCAGACATAATCATGTTGCTTGTTATCGCCTTGGAGAAGCTTCTGGTACGACTGATGTAGCCCAATCTCGGCAGCGATCCGCGTGGCCTGTCCTGATAGTTTCCAACTGAGATTTGCGAGATAGAACGCGCCGATGCATAGTGCCCGCACGTCATCAACGCTGTGATTGCGAGAGAGGGATGAGCTACATACAAGCGAAACAAAAATATCGTAGCACTGGTGGAATGCTTCGGTTTTGCCAGGAGCATGCAAGGCACCGATGGTAAGAACAGCTGCTGCCAATAACGTTGAAGCACGTCGGATAGAGCCTAGCGTGCGATGAAACAATAGAATACCATCCCACAATAATCTATTGTTGATCTCCATGAAACGATCGAAGAGGTATTCGGCCTCTTTGAGGGGGACCACACCTTGAGAAATAAAGTCGTCATGTATCAAGGATGAGTTTGGCTTCCACCCTGCATTGACCCGTAGATTCTTCAGTCTGGTAAGCTCGTATAGGTTGCGCATAGGCACTGTGACAAGACCGGACGAATCGTCACCCTGAGGCTGGGGGGAATTTTCTTTCGACATGTCCCTTGGAACTGTCGACAACTGGGCCACATTCTGAGACTCCAAAAAGGGGCGAGGTGAATCGACTGATTGGCTATTCGAAAACGTCTGCAACTCTGGTTGCTTGGTATAATGTAGTAAATGATTCACTGCCGCTCGTAGAAGGGCAATATCTGCTGTTGTTTGCATTTTCCAGCTAACTGCATGTTAGAGATGAGATTGACAGGCTGAGTCTAGTCTAACTCACACTGAGTCCTCCTGCAAAAACTGCTGAGATATGTCATGCGATATACACTCCAGATTATGGTGAATGCATCTGTTACACGATGTTTCACCTGGCTTTGTTTCACATTTCGTCTTTTGCTTTTTACATTCAACACCTGTAGGTAGGCGTCAGCAGTTAGGAAAGCAGATAGTTTCCGTGACTTACACACTCGGCTGCGCGTTAAACGTAGGCCTTTATGTGTTACTCGAGGACTTAAATATTCATCGGATCGCTGTCTTTTTCTCGGCATGATGGCAGTACATTGTAATTGATAGATTATGATGAACGGTTATGGCACAAGTCAGTGGACGGTGGGTATGGATGGTTTCCTAATATGGACTAGCGCCATATAGACGGTCTCAATTTTGTCCAATTATGGTAGTGTATAACTGAATTGTTTTTCTGCGAGTTCCGCCCAGTTACCCAATACAGATACCGCCGCTTTTATAAGGGCAGCATGTGAGTGTCTTGAGCTACTCACTGATTGCTCACAGAGCACGCACCGGCCGCTCCAGTAGCTCGCGAATCCCACCAACGGGCTCAGTGAGTGATCCGGAAGCAAGCTCCTTCTTCGTCATGTCATTCTCACGTGAGTGCTACAAGAGCCTCTAAAGCTCGCCGTAATCCACCGCAAAGAACGGCAACCTGTGTTGCAGCTACAGTGAGTGCTACCGCTTTGACGTAGGTTGGGCGCTGCCAGCTATCATACCACCCCTATACACGTGGATGAAGGCCGCTGATGATGTTGATGTAGAGAACGGCGATTGCGGCCCCATCGTGCCTCTTTGCGGAAAAGGCCTTCTTGCCCAACTCTCGTAGTTGTTTTCCCATCTGACGATCTTCTCGTAATTTGAAGGTTTTTGCTGGAATTAGGTAGATAGTATGAGGTCGGAACTCGTTGGGGTGCTGCCTAAGATTTCTAAGTACTACCAGGCATAAGGATAAAGCAAACGTAATGAATAACTACCGAACTGTTCTTCTGCGGAAACTGGGACGTTTCTTTTCCGAAATGGAACTAGATCAGGGCCGCTTTATGCTCAGTGATTGAATATATCAGAATAATCCGGAAGAAATTCCGGGGTAATCTATAATTGTTTGGCTAAGTTGTTTGGTTGGAGTTTGAGAGAACATAACATAGGTGGCTTTCCACACCCTTCCTCTGAGAGCGGCCGGCGTTCTAGTATAGAAAAACCTCTTTTGAGATGACGACTGGGCTTCACTTTCTGTGTCCGGCAAAGTGTTCTGAGAGACTTTGTCGTCTTCTGAGACTATATATCCAGTGTTTGTAAGTACCCTCTTTTAGAATATGTGGGGTGGAAGTGACCATGTTAGAGTATATTAAGCAATCTGATAAATACAGAGGCAGCTTAACAGGATAACCTTTCCTACTATTTCTTTTCTGGTTGAGAAAAAAAGGTTCCGAAAGTTCAATCTGAAACGGATTCTCGATACTAGCCGTATGCCCTCACCCTGACTCCGAAAATTTCAATTCTTCAACCCGTGTACCTCTGCTATAGTCTTCGTCATCTGCGCTAAATCCTCCTTGTGGCCCTTGACAACGCTCAAGTGGTCCGAGGTTAACATCAATAGCTGAAAGTCTTCCAGTCATCTATTAATGATACTAGCCGCCTTACAAGGCACCACCGCCAACGGCTTCCAATGCCGCCGTGACACGCTCACCAATCGATCTGTTGCATCCAATATTTTGGATCTTCAGGGTCGCTGTGGGGGGCAACGCATGGCAACTGGGAGGTTGCCAGCCCCGAGCATTAATGTTTTTCACGCCGGGAACTGTGGCGATGGCGTCTGCGTTTTCTGGGGCAAGCTGAGATACGCCGCCTTTAGCCAAACGGGAGAATAACCAGTCTAAGGGCACTGGACTTACCGGACTTTCGATCTGCACGATCGTCGCGATATTATTGTCCACTACGTGCGCATGAGACAATCCCATCGCGGTGGTACCTGTAACCCTAGGAACTAATACTGCTGAAGCTAGAGATCGGTGGGCCGTCTGAGTATGCATATCGACACTTGCTAACAGCTTCAGCAGCTTGCTCTGGCATATCAATATGCGGAAAGAAAGTCCCCCCTGCTCCTATCTCAATAATATACTGTCTAAAAGAATAGGATTAGAGCAATATGGTGGGAATCCGAACTCACCCGCGTCAAGAGCATAGGTCAATAGGTGTGATTAAGTGGATGGCACTTGACAGATCGGGACGGTTCTTCTCTGACTGGAGAGGCTGATGATCTGATTTAGGCCAACGAGGTTCTCTCCGTCGGTAGGTCTGTGAAGCGAAAAAAGTCCTGACCAAACAGACTCTGGACCTGTATATCACCGCGGGCGCCAAGCAAAGGAGGGCGAACGTACGTATGTTGTGCATCAACCACGAAATCATAGCCCAATACTGCAACAGTCCGAGCGGAGACGATGTGCGGAATTGAGACGATGGTACCCATTAGGTGTGTAGAGTAACCCGGTGGCGGTCTCGTAGTATTCTCGAGAGCCTTGACCAGGTTCGACGGCTGAAAGAGCTACTCTGCACAGTAGTTTTCCATTTGTCCTTTAAACTGCAATCTCCATTTACCACATCTACTATGAACTACCATCAAAACCTAGTTTGTCTATGTCAGGGCTGCCCACACCGCCATCAAAGGTTATTGGCACGGTTCTCACTCCCTGTGACCTGTACGACCAGCGTCTAGTGGGAGGTGAAATTAATAGGATCGCCCGCCTGATTGACAACCACAGAGTCCCATTCCTTCTAGAACTCTCCCGATCAGCTTCTGGACTAGGCGTGTTTAAAATCCAAACGGATGCCCAACGAGCAGATGTGAAGGCAACACTCACAGCGCAGCTGGGGCAGATGCTCCGGCAAATTAATGAGTTGAATCACCACATACATCTATGGACTTTAGTGATTCAGGAGATTGTCCACGGTATAACAGTTGCCTTATCCCTTTTCGAGACCAAAAAGGGGCGGCCCATCCCTATAAGATGCTGTGATCAACAACTTGACGAACGTGGGCACTTGGATAGGTGCTTGAATCTTCTACCAACGGCAGCCAGAATTCAAAGCCACCAATCGCAACATATAGGAGAAGGCCGTCACTTTCCTGCACCAGAAAGGCTATTATGTCCCAGCCGTGGTAGATATCATAACAGGTCAATGTTGAAACCATTACATTATCGACCTCAACGCTCGTGTCACTGGTAATTACCATTTCTAGCCGCTCAAAAGACATTTCATTCAGCGCGGCCTGCTGGAAGTAACTACTTTTATTCAGGGCTACTTTTCATGGGCTAGGGCCACATTTGAAGTTTTCTCAGACGAAATAACTACAGAAGGGTAGCTTGGTAATCAGCGGCTGGGTATGCGACGAATCAGCTCCACTAATAAGGCTGCGATCAATATAGGAGGCCGAGAGTCTGCAGAAGTGGAGGAGACACTAATGAGAATCAAATCTTTTGCTGCTCCTAACAGACTTCTTGAGATAAGACGCTTATATTGAGCTTCTTTCAGCAATATAGTTAAAGAATGCCTTGCGGCTAAATGCCTGCCGGCCCCCTGGAATATAAGTAAGTTACACCTGGAGGCCATACATCTCCGGTTGACCATCATTCATTGCGCAGCCATTTTATTGTTATTTCACGGGCCCAGGATTACGACGACCACTTGCACGCCCCGAGAAACCATCTGCCAGAGGAATAGTGGCGATACGCAGTGGGCCCTACTTGGTCTGCTTGTAAAAGAATCCCAACACATACAGATCATGACTTTTTGGCCGGTTGACGTAGTATTAGAAACAAAGCATTATCAGTATGTCATCCCATTGACGTTGAGGACTTTCGCGAGACTCAAGGAACGGATGTAGCAAGCGCCATTCCAGGGCCCCTGTGGCTGTCCTGGGGAGGTACTAACCTATATTTCATTGCTAGTTCTTGTGTAGTGGCGGTGGGTCTGCTTACCAAAGAGGAAGTTATGCCTACCTAGATTTGTGCGAAGAACAATGCAGCGGCAAAATTGGTAAAATAACTGCCGACAGCTTTGCGACAGTCACAGACAGGGACGCAGAACAGTAAGGATTACATCGTCAGTCAAGCGTCCGAAATAATTTTCTTCATCAGGAACAGTCACAACCCAGTTAGCGGACGACGAACCAATCTACCCGATCACCCGGTCACCAGGTCAAAAGTGTGCCGTATTAAAGAGAATAGAAAAGACATCACCGCTGTCAGTACTTTGGTTACTTAGTATTGTTTTACAAGTTAAACAATATAGAGGTATCGTACCGGCGATTATAACCATCAGCGATGTGGTAAAAACTCGACGTCTAGATCCTAGTGGAGAATATTCCACTGGAGACCGTCTTCGCCCCAGCAATCCTATCCTTATAATGATATCGGCACACCTCCGCTTGCTATAGTTAAATATTATAAAATCGAAAACGGGAATGGAAGTGCTCGTCAATGACTCCCAAACACAATGCCTCGATATGCCTCGATATGCTAATAATCTAAGAGCCACCGGTAGCTGCATACCGCACACATATCAACCATAGTGCGTGGCAACTCTACCACCAATGTGCACGGATAAATCCACCCAATTCCACAGCCTCCTTTTATCTCAATGAGAACCTCAACTTCGTCCCACCCACAAATCCACTGCAACCACCCAAACACTATTTTCATGTGCGAAAGACAAGGAGTCGACTGCATAAACTCATATCTTCACAACGTGGGGTTCATTTCTGTACGTAGGTACGAACTACTGACCTTGTGAAGAAGAGCGATGGTCGCAAACTGTTAGCTACATGGGGCTTCAGCCTGGTACTATCTAACTAGAGTTGCAAGGTGTGCTCACTAGGACTCTTGGCCCATTTGAAAATAAATTACGAACCGAGGCGATAATTGGGCTACAGCATATTGAGCACTCCCGCTAGATCTGATAAGGCGAGCTTTAAAATGAGATCCAGATCCGGATATTCAGATCTTGATATGATCTGTAATTGTGCAGTGATTATGCCTGGTGTCCTTAGAATGTTCAAAATGAACCCCGTCCAGGTGTCTGGGGCCTTGGATTCTCTAATAACCCTCAGTGAAGAAGCGGACTCACTCAAGCCTTGAAGGATAATCAATCAACGCTCTCTCTCCTCTCCACAAATGGAGTTAGCGGGACTTTCGTGGAGCGTATATGTACAGCAATGCAATAGAGAAGAGGCTATATCCGCTGACCCAAATCTTACACATCAAAAGGATGATTATCACCGTCTCTTAAGGCCATGGGTGTCGCGAGTTTTTCCGAGCCAACATCAAAGTACCGTTGCGGGTTGGGCGGTGATTGCGTGGGACTACAATTCTAAAGAGATGTGCTACACGCTAATGCAGACTACTGGGCAATAGCATCCTCCTCAATTAACCAGGTGGGTAAGAGCAACTCGCCCGAGTCATCTACATCGCCAGGAGGGGGCCCTTGAAGGTGGCTTTCGGTGGGCTAGCGTACTACTAAACGCATTCGATCACCGGCTATATACCGGGCCACTCTAGGACTGCGTAGATCGCAGGGCCTCATTCTTCTAGCCAACTCTAACCAAAGACTCTCCGACGTCGGAGACAGACCGAGGTCTATGTAGAACACACCATCTGTTCTCACAGACTTTCAGTCGGATCGCGGATGGTGACGAATATTTTCCTGGAAAGCTAGCAATGATCATGAAGGTTCCTGGTTCTGCCGAAACATGTCCGGGATTTAACCACGAATCTCTGCGGCTTGTTCCATGACCCACACGATACGATGGCGAGCACGAATTTGGCGATATCCACGAGGATTCTGGTTTTTATGGCTCGGTAGAAGAGTAGAACTGTAGAAGATAAAAGCGTGCCCTCGTGTTCACTATCTAACAGGGCCCTTCAAGCGATTCTGGTTGGCTCCAGGAAAGCCCAGCAGGGCGACAAACCTCAATGAGGATGGTGTTCCCGAGCGTGCTTTGTTTGGTACAGGTGTACATGAGAAACCTTGCAAGAAGGGTCATGGCGTTAGTTGGTCCATGCGAAATTAGAAAAAATTAGGAATTTTTTGACAGGATGAAAGGGTTTGAAACGCGCGGCATCTAAACTTGACGTTAAAGTCAGTGCGTTAGTTATAATAACAATACCGGACTCGGTAGAGGGTTGTCCTGCCCCACTGTCTTTCCACATGGCCTGTTTAAGTGTCGTCTAGCCGTTTTTGCAAGATGTTTTGTGGCGAGGGTTTTTTTTCTCTCTCTCTCTTTTTTTTTCCCCGGAGTAGGACCTAAGAAATCCCGGTTCAATTAGTATTATTCAAGTCAGTCAGTTCATTTTAATTGGTTGCTAAGTGAGTCACTGTTTGTAGATCCATGAGGATGAGAACCAGCAAGTTTAATTAACATGGTAACTTGCATTGTCTGGATTTTATTAATGTCTTGAACGTGACCAATTTCAAAGAGAGGGGAGGTTACTGAGGTAGCATTGAAGATAAGTATGAGACATCCAATTGACCCGAAATGGTCAAATAGGATAGTAAGTTAGTATGGGAAAAATAAACAAATGGGTTGGGAACTGACCAAAGAGATCATAAAAGATGACCCAAGAAAGAAGCTTCCTCCGAGACGCTCCGCGATGGATAGAAGAAGAGTAATGGCCACCATCATAGGTGGTACCAGTAATACCTGCGATACAGCGTCACATCGTTTGGAACCAAAGGTCACATTCGCTCCATCCAACAGCAGCTCTTCTAATGATTTCTCACTTGACTATCGCCTTATTTCCCCTTTCCCTTCCCCATTCCCCCATTATCCTTTTTCTCTCCTTTTTTTCACTTCCTCTTTGGTTTTCTAGGCCTCGTCTCCGATGTGGAGACATGGCTGTGAATCTCCCCCGGGTCCACTGGCTGGTCTTGTTTGTTCGTTTTTAATTGCAGTTTTACTTCTCTTCAGTTAAATATAGTACTTAATTGACTCCTTCCCTGTCTTCTCCGTCATACTCTCGCTCTGTGCGTGTACCCACCTTGCCTGTAACACTCACACCTTATATATATACACTCCCTACAGCTGCCACTGTTACTACAACTTTTGGCGTGTACCACACCACCTTGTGAAGAGGTAAGTAGCTATGATTTTCTTCTGGGTTTAGTCACCCTCCCTGATAAGGTTTATTACTTGGTGCGTGCACTGAAGCTCCCTGCATTATGATCGTCGTGAATGTGCCTTTTTCTTGTTGCCCCCTCAAGATTTCCTTCCCCATCATTGCTCTTGCAGACACGCGTCACCCACATTGAAGAAGAAAAGTGAAATTCTAAGTTTTTCGCGATTACATTACCACAAAATTGGGACTGACCATGGAACCTCATCTTCTAGTTCATAGCGAGCTACTACAAGAAAGGCCCCACACGTTTGACCGCGCTCCGCCTCTTCCTCCTGAATCGCAAGTGGAATCCCAAATAAGGTTACTCCATACCTCCCCCGGATTCCTTCGAGGCATGCACCTTATCGCTCATGCCCCAGTCCTCATTCCTGTCCCTTAGATCCGTCCTATTCGTAAACATTCCGCGATACAAGAGCAAATAAATACGAATTCTTGTCCCCCACGGCTATTCGACTGGATACTACTACTGGTGTGCTCGCAAGTTGCACGCAAATCAGCTCTCCTCGGTGCGCACTCATTTTACGTTCTCGCTCTCGGTGAAAGTTCCCCTTTTCTTCGAGGCTCCATCACATAATGGCTCCAATTAATAGGGTGGGCGCAACAAGGGGGGCTCAGGAAGAACATGACGACATACTTGAGGATCCCATTGATTTTGAGGAGGATGAAGGCTCCGATTTAGATCCTTCTCAGAAAGAGTACCAGGAGCATCATCGCAGGCTGGATCAATTCCTATCACCTTTGGCTCTCGATGAAGCGGTTCTATACAAACTTGCGCGTCGGTTCTCAACTGTGTATCGCGACCTGGCCCTAAACTCAGAAGAGCAGTTTCTACCTACACCGGTGACCCAACTACCTACGGGCTTGGAGTCAGGGCGCTATTTGGCCATTGATGTTGGAGGATCAAATCTACGAGTTGCGTTCATTGAGCTATTGGGGGATGCTGCTGATTCTGATGTCGGGTCCGCGGATACCTCGGAGCAATCAAACACGATTCGCAAGGCACAAAGACAGCGCGTGAGGCGAACACTAGAGAAAGCGTGGCCCATTCAGGAGCATCTCAAGATGGACAAAGCGGAAGACCTTTTCGCTTGGATCGGTGACCGCATTGCGGAAGTGGTAGCCGAAAGCCTGACGTCGGATGCTACAAAAGGCACGGTCCCAGAAGAGTTGGAGATGGGCATCACATTCAGCTTCCCGATAATGTAAGTTCTTACGTGATAGCCGTCATACATGCTAGTCAAAAGATATCGCAATGGATGGGACTTCTAAAATATGCTCAGCTAACAACTATTAGGCAAGAGTCATTGTCAGAGGCTACACTGATGCCGATGGGTAAAGGTTTCGCCATTACGTCGGATCTGAATCTTCGTAAGATCCTGCTAAGCGGCTATGAGAGGCATACAAGGCGCCCAGACGATGAAGATGAACCTTCCTCCAAGCGCCGGAAACTTTTCGCATTACCAAAACTCAAGATTACTGCTATTACGAATGATGCCGTCGCTACCCTCGCCTCTTTGGCTTATGCTGTGAAGTCTTTGCCAAATAGTCGGGTGGCTATGGGCATCATCGTAGGCACGGGGTGTAACGCGACAATTCCAATGAAACTGACCTCTTTACATAAAACTAAGGCCCACCATGTGAAATCAAAAGATTCAGAGGCTGTCGAAACGGTTGTCAACACCGAGTGGACTCTTGCCGGCTGCGCACCCCCCTTGAAGGAGCTCGAGATCATAACAAAATGGGATATTGAACTAGACAGAGCATGTGCACGACCTGGTTTCCAGCCATTTGAGTATCTGACTGGTGGTCGATACATCGGTGAACTTGTCCGGCTTATCCTTTTTGACTACCTCATCAACGTCGTCGGGCTATCTTCGAAGGAATTGCCTGCAAATCTCATTCAAGAGTATGCACTGACAACCACATATATATCGGACAATGTTGCTCGCGCTCGGTCAGACCAGGAACTTGTTGATGTATTGATTCGATCTTTGCCCTCACCGGAAAGTAGTGAGTGGCAATGGGATGTTGCCTGCGCCGGTGCCTTTCGCAAGATTGCCCGGACTGTACAAAGACGAGCTGCTGGTCTGATTGCTGCGGCAGTAGTAGGGCTACTTGCCTGTGCCAATGAAATCGAGTTGAAAGTGGACAGCACCGAAAACTCACCACAGCCCTCCAGCGCTGCTTCACCCGAGCTTAATGGCAGTGCTGACATCTCTACTATAACAAACTATAAATCGCCATCTACACTAGAGGTGCCAACAAACGTTCGAAAAGGCCACGGGCCGATTGTTCCTGTTTTGTCGCCCACGCCCCCGCCCCCGGATTGGCAATCAGGTCCTGAGGAACTTGTTGTCGCTTACACTGGCGGTATAATCCAGCACTATCCTAACTTCAAGAACATGTGCCAGCAATTCATAGATCGTCTCATCATGAGAACTGGGCCGCAAAAGAGCGGGAAGTCTGTTTTCTTACGAGAGGTTTCAGATGGTGGTGTCATCGGTGCTGGAGTTCTAGCCGGAATGGTGGCTAACCGGTGATTTTCCTGGGGAAAAATCCATCTCTCAAATTGACGTGATATGATTTTTTTGCATTTTGTAGGATGTGTCTGGATGAGCACTGCGGTCCATCGGAGTTCACAAGTTTGTCTTCTGGGTGATAGAGGCGCTTGTTTCTTTGGTTGAAGGCGTTCTATAGTAGTCCTTTGCTTCCTTGTTAACCTTTTCCCTTTTTCCTATTCTATTGGGCTCCTTGATCCCCAAGATAAGTTTGCGAGATTGAAGTACATAGCTGATCAATAGTTACTTGTTGGACACTAAAATCGGGCGCCTCGACCAGTGCTTCGATCCAGCAGTCAGAGAAGGTCGTTCGGTACAAAACGGTTGTCCGCAATCGCTCAAAATCAATACAATCCACAGTGACTGGAGTAAGCTGTTAACATCACATAATATTCCGTGGCACCGTGCACAGTCTAGGGTACCATGGGCCTTTGTTCAGCGTTCATGTATGCCCTCAGGCCTCCTCGACTGCCCTTTGGCGTTATATATTTTAGTATGGAATGGACTCCCAAGATAACATTTGATTGTCCGTGGAGGAATTCTTTCTTTCCGCTTCAGCTTTCTATCAAGCTAGAAGTAGTTTCACTTGGAGGCTGGTGTGTGCGGATGATTTGTGGATGGTCATCAAATATAGCGAAACATGTTATTTCGGACACTGCGCTTCATAGTACTAGGTTTACCGTCCTCATACTCTATCCCAGCGGCTCCTCCCTCGCCAGACATTTGTTCAAGCTTTTGGCGAAGCTCCTCATCAGCTTGTGAAACAGTTTTGGCCTTTTCTAGTTTCACTTGCTTGCCACTTTGAGATGTCGAATTGCTCTTCGCCATAGTCTCGGGCTCCCTGGCAGGCCAAGGTGGAGACTTATCTGTTCATTTGCTTAGAATGACCCTCAATTAAGGCCCTTGGTAGTTTCTGGACAAACCTTTGTTGGTATCAGATAACCTTGGCACAGTTGAGGATATCTGTCGCGAAGGAGGGTATATAGATTGCGTCGGTAGGATCCTTGCAGGAATCCGTAATAGTGCAGCTTTCCTCATCTTACCAGCCAAAGCAATACCTTTATACATTATAACTTTTGAAAAAATTTTCACAAACTAGACTTATATTTTAAGTATATCAGGTTGATGTAATACCCTGGGTCTCGATCACATGATGTAAATTTACATATCACGTGCAGATACTCCCCGCAGCCACCTGCATATCACTCAGGCAACTCTAGCCAAGTCCAATCACTCCAACTATCTCCCTTCATCGCTCGATATCGGCACAATGAGCAACGCGCAAGCATATTACGAGCTTTATCGCGGGAGCAGGTACTGACCAGTCAGCCAAAAGTATCCATCCACCCACTAATCCGCGTCCTATTTGCAGTCTCGGTCTGTCCCTGACGGACACCCTCGATGACCTGATCAACGAAGGCCGAATCGAGCCCCAGCTCGCCATGAAGATTCTTTCCACTTTCGACCGAGTGATCACCGAGGTTCTCGCCGATAAAGTGCGCGCCAGGCTTACTTTCAAGGTATATAGGGACCCTTGGGCTTCCAGAGCACGGAACATCCGAGTTAGAACACTAACACAGCTCCGCTCCCACAGGGCCACCTGGATACATATCGCTTCTGCGACGAAGTATGGACCTTCCTCATCAAAGACGTCACATTCAAGCTGGACAACCAGACGAACGTCCAGGCGGATAAAGTGAAGATTGTGAGCTGCAACAGCAAGCGACCCGGCGAGGTATAGCGAGCGACCTATCGTCGAAACTCTTTTTATGGCCTTCTTCTGCTTTCTCCCTTGGGTCGTCTTTGCTAGACCGGCGTTATTATAGTGTCAGCATCGGGCTGGCTGGGACATGGACATGTTGATATTGGGCTTATTTTATGCGGCGTTCAGGACTCAAGATCGACCGCATATGTATTACAAATCTGGCTGAAACAGTATTTAGAACAAAATTGATACCCAAGATGGACGCGGGTTTTTCTATACAGTGCTCTGGTTATAAGATAGAACCGTAGCCTTCAATACTCACTATTCATTGCAACTGTGTTCTGCTTTCTATATGAAGGGAGCGATTGACTCCAGCTGACTGAGAAGAGGATATTACCTTACTACATTCAGTAAGGAGATCATGCGGAGGCGGGGCGGAAATCCTCCCGCGTCTCGTCCTCTTTATCGCGCTTCATTCGCGTCATGCTCCTCCACACTCACATTTCAGTGCAAGATCAAATAAAAATGAAACAAGGATTGAAAAGGCGATTGAACTTTGCCTAAATACAGCACAACATCACGGCTTATAAGACAGCATGCCTCGCACACTACCATGGCTCACCGGCTCCGGAAATAGCAAAAACAGCAGAGACTCCACGCCAAAACGACCGGCAAGAGTGAAAAGCAAGAACAACGATAGCGATGCGACTCCCAAGGCGAAAGTGGCCGATTCACCTCTCAAGAAACGAGATTTCTTCAGATCATGTAAAGTATACCGGAGAGAAGGGGATGGGGACGGGTTGCGTTGCAGAACTAACATTGTTATTTATCTTCTAGCCCCGACACCGCCGTCGTCTCCTATTCACCGCTGCCCATCTGAAGAGTCCGTTTCCCTTTCCAGAAAATAGCTAAGCTCATGCGAACCACTACTGATGTGGGAAAAATTTTGTAATAAATAGGTTTCTGGTCGAGGGTCTGTCGCACGATGACATTTATATTATGGTCGAGGATGAATTCTACGCCATCGCACAATCTTTTACGCATCATCTTCATTATGCCGAATACGCGAGGCGCAAGAAAGAGGTTAAATTGCAGAATGCTGCCGCCATTCGGAATCTAGCTCGGCCAACCGATGGCGTGACGCCTGTCAGTGAGGATACCAAGCGGAGGAATGCTGCTGATGCGCTTTCCGCCCGTCAAAAGGCCGGCCTTGAGCGGATGGGGAGTAAGCGGCCGCAGGTGGACTCGGACGAGGAGAATGACGAGGTTGAAGAGGATGACACGTGGGCGGGGACATCGTTACATGATCTGATGGTGAGCCCGAGAAAGGCGAGGTCATTGGTGGGTATGCAGGGGATCAAGTCATCGACGAGGGCGGCCCAGGGATTTTCGCAGTCATCTGGACGAGGGAATCTTAATAGTTCGCCACCCAGGATATACGAAGCAGCCCAGGGTCATGATGTTGAAACAGCTTCGGAGGACGATGACCTAGATTTACAGCATGATACGGCCTCCACAAGGCCCGCTCAAAATGCACATCTCATTAGTTCAGATTCGACGTCGTCAAATTTTCGGAATAACCCTTTGACCCCTACAAAGGACCGGGGAAGAAAAAGGCAGTCTATGAGTACTAGATACAAGACACCAACCGCTACCCAAGCCAAGAGGAGATTGTTTTTTGATGATTTTGATGAGCTTCCAGAGCTACAAAATTCAAACGTACAAGTACAGGGTCGAGGACCTTCACCGTCTATCAGTACAACCCGACAGGAAAGCCCACCCTGTGGGAACAATCCGCAGTCGAAGAAATCGCGTCTCAACGAAGTTCCAACATTCCTGCTCTGAGTCTGCAGATGGGTTGGGCGATGTGATCGAAATGATTTAACGGCCAACCTGGCACCCATTCCTCCTCATCCGGCGGCACAACTTCTAAAATCCCGCAAGCCACACATTCCCGTGGTGGCTCCAAGCAGAACAACTTCAGGCTTCATGTTCGGAGACCGGCCGGGCCACTCTCACGCTCAGTCTTCTGACGTTGTTCTTGATTCGTTGGCGAGTTGAGGATTCATGCTCCAGAGACTTGATCATTGTATCCTTCTCCAAGGACGAGCTGTGGCTATGTAATGTTTGAGCACTGTGAACGACATTGTTAGAAACGGTGTCTCGAGATTGGGCGCAAAGGTGTACTGACTCGTCATCTGGGAAGAAGCTCGGCATTTCCTCCTTTCGAAAGTTCATCGGGGGTCCCTGAGTCCTTCGTCAGTCTTGTTCTCCCTAATACGTTTATCTGATAGGCCTCAACTTACAATTTCCAATCCCCGTTGCGGAGGCGGATTACGCTGAAATGGGGCCTTGACCATTCGACCAATCTGGCGGAAACACTCCATGGTCTGCAAGATCGAGCGTTGGAATGATGGGAAAGTCGTAGTCAATTAGGGTCGAATCGAATGAAGATGCAACCAAAAAAAAAAAAAAAAAAAAAAAAACAGAAGTATGCCCGGTCGATCGCTTTCTATCACAGGATCGAGGCAAGCAAAAGGATTAAAAGCGATATTGCAATAGACGAAGGGAGTGGACGCTCTCTGCGAGAGATGTTCTATCAAACGAAGGACACGGTCAGTGTGAAAGAGAGACAAAGACCCGAGAAAAGAATGCTACTAAAAACAGAACGAAAGACAGACTGGCGGATGTTCTATGACATGGAGACGCTGGCCAGAGGAAGAGACTAACCTTTTGACATGAAGAGGGGCGGCTGGACATTGATATATACCAAGAATTTTTTTTCTCTTTCGAAGGAGAGAGGTTTCGCCAGCTGGACGAAGTAACGGTTTTGCCCGTGCAAAATGCAGGCTTAACCCGATCGGCACATTCTATGGCATGAAGCCTACAGTGACAGCCTTATGTTCCTTTCGTACCGCGTTATGTGACACATTCCTTTGGCAGGTTGTCCCCTCGCAGCAAGAAAAGCGGGTATCTCTCAGGGTCAGGGTGACCTGGCCGAATGAGATGGCGTGGATGGCGTTTCTTTTTCTTTTTCCCTTTTTCTTTTTATGGGGCGATAGGCCCCCCTTCTTGCCTCATTTAACCGTTTGGAATACTGTAACATGCATGCAAGAAATGTTGGCGCAACACTTGTCTAAGGCGACAATTCTAGACTATGGACGGGACGGCACATACGCGCCCATACATGCATTGCATCGCAAGGCGTCCAGAGATCTAACACAAGTCTCCTATCTGGCATATGCACTGGTTGGCAGGCCACGTCAGATTTACTCCAGCAACCTGTAACTACGGGCAGCGCCTAATCTGTACGATGTCTTTTTTTTCTTTTTTTCCCTTCTTTTATGGTTTCCATGCATGTTTCCCTTGAGTTGGCTGGCGTTCAGGGTCCAGATTTAGGGACGTCTCGGGAGGCGGCAGTGCACAAAACAATCTCTTGGGGCGCGTAATCGCTGACTTTCCCTTCAACATTCCATAGGAGAAGTCTATCCAATCAATAATTCCATAGTAGCGCTGATATATTAAAGACAATTGTTTACTATAATAAAGCCCCAAAGTAATTATTATCAAAAATAAAAAAAAAAATAAAAAAATTCAATCAACACATAATAGAAAAATAAGCCATATGGAGGAATAAACAAGATACCCACTGCCCTCCCTATATCCCCCCAAAACTCCCCCCGCAAATGAAACCAAAACATTAACCAAAAATATACAAATATAATATAATAGAAAATAGCAAGACACTCATTCCACAAAAAAAATCCCCAAGAATCCCCATCAAATATCCAACGCGTCCAAAAAAAAATAATAATACTAATATAAACCACCCCCTCTCCCCATTCCAACCAAAACAATAGAAGTACCTAGACTACCACCAAAGGGCCCCATTCTGCCTCCCTTGCATCAGCAGACAACTAAGTAAAGTAAAGGTAACTCACTCACTCACTCACTCACTTATTTATGCATTCCAAAACGCCCGTCTTAGTTCAATAATACGCGCAACAAATAGCATAGACTAATCCCTTCCGTTTCCGATCTGATCTTCAATCTCTGTATTTATTCCCTTGCCCATTTTTCGCGCCCCTATTTCCGTCTGGAAAATTCCTCGAAGGGTAAGGGGAAGGAAGTTAAGTCAACCTGACCTACAGAGTTACTGCTACTACCTCTACCTAGTGTCCTATGACGGGACTTACGGGGATCAGTGGATCAGTCACGTACTCAACTGTTACCCCGTTTACCCCGTTAGGAAGGAATCATATTATCTAGGGCTTAGTATGGTATGTGTATCTATGGGGGTACTCCTAGAATGACTGGTCGGATGTGATGTGATGTTATTTGGTATGGCTTGGTTTGAGTATGTGCCTGGTGCGTTTTGAGTGGTTTCTTCTTTTTTTCACTTTTTTTAATAGTTGGTTCTTTCTGCCTATATCTGCCTCTCTATCTGCCTAAGAGGGACTTTAGATTGGGAAGGGGTCTGATTAGGTAGGTAGGTAGTAGAATGACTCGGTGCCCGGGCGACGTACTGTATGTACCTAGACTAGGCATGGTATGTGAGTTGGCGTTTGAGACAAAGCTAGGTAGGTATGTATGTACATGCCGCCGGCCGTTCTCGGATCCGTGGAAAGGAAAGAAAAGAAAAGAAAGAAAAAAAGAAAGAAAGGGCACCGTTAGGAAGCTGGGCAACCTGGATCTTGGTCTACGGAGTACTCCGTAGACGGATACGGTGATCCTTTTTTTAAGGTTGATTTTCATAGGATCGGGATTTAAGGGGATTGGGTGAGGTTCAAGTTCTTAGTTCCCGGCGTTGCTTTTCATACTGTACTAGTGGTTTGGGCGGGCGTAAAGAGTTTTTTTTTTTTTTTCCCCTTAGTGAGTGACATGTTGTTATGTGGATGTTCGTCTAAGGGGGATTTTCGAATAGATCTGGGTCTGATTCTGATTACTGTACATGTAGGTCGAACGTCCAAAATAGAAGTGGAGTACTGACTTGGACATACTCCGTCGGCCGAGTTTGGATCTAGAACAGTCTTGTTGGGGTGACAATCGGTCGAGCCTGAGATGTGCTGCGGTCTCGGTAGGGTTGGAATGAAGATATTCGCCGGGAGAAGACAGATGTGTGTTGGGATGAAAATGAGCACAAGGGTTCTTTTCATAATGGGAAAATAATAATCGTCATCATCATCATCATCATCATCATCATCCTACTGATAAATATATATGTATACGTACGTGGTTGTTGTGGAACAAGTAAAAAAAATTAATTTTAATAACAAAACATTGTGCCTCCAACGAGAATCGAACTCGTGCTTGCGGATTGCAACTCCTTTAGATAGGAATCGTCAAGTAATATGAGACCGCCGTCCTAACCACTAGACTATGGAGACTGGTTATTGAATGCTTTATCTTTGCTTTGCTTTATAAGCTAATTTATACCTGTAACCATATGTTTTCGACCAGTCTCTTTTCGGGTTTCTATCTGTAATCAGCCTAAATTATACAGCAGGCGTGTGGCTGAGTGCTATTTATTATTGACATTATCATCCCGGTCCCTGGCGTTGTTTGGTCGGCATGGCGTTCTTTGCTATATTTATGCCTGCGGGAATATATATGATACGGCTGGGTAGGCTGTATCATGGTATCCGTTTGTAAGCCCAGTTGAATATCCAACAATGGTGAGGGCACCTGTAACTCGTTTGCTTATGGATCCTCAATGCTCGAAAAGCTGAGCCACTCATTAAAATGTCTCATATATCTCCAGGGAGTTTGGCCCCGCTCATGGTAAATAGCAAACATAATAGGCTGTGGATCATTCACTTGTCTATCCTACTACATATTGGACTTTGACATTTTCATAATTCATGGCAGTAAAAGAGATTATACACCTATTTAGGATAAGCTTTGATGTGATGGCTCTTAAGCTTGACGAATTGCTCGAATCCGAATCGGCTCAGGGTTACACCCCGTCCCGAGTTCTTCCAGCCGGTCCATGCAAGATCCTGAAACAAACAGTCAGCATCGATCTAAACCCACCATGGCAATTCGGATCTCGGTCCATATTGAAACTTACCGGACTGGGATAGTCGGATCGGTTAATGAAGACAGTTCCCGCCTCCACCTGTTCAATCAGTTCCTCAGCCTTAGCCACATCCTTGGTCCAGACACTGGCAGTCAGCCCAAACTCGCTGCTGTTCATGAGCTTGATAGCCTCCTCGTCGCTGTCAACCTTCATCACGGGAATCACAGGACCAAAAGTCTCCTCCGTCATGACGACCATGTCATGGTTCACGCCCGTCAGGAGTGTAGGCTTGACGTAGTTACCGTCAGCAGGAGGGTTCTCGAATGACTCATTAGCAGGGGTTTCATCCTTGGCACCCTTCTTGATTGCATCGGCAATATGGGCCTGGATGGTATCTTTTGCGCGCTTCGAAATAACAGGTCCGATCTGCGTCCGCTTGTCAGACGGATCTCCAACACGATACTTGCTCAGAACCTTCTTGACTTCCTCAACGAAGGTATCGTGTATATTCTTATGCACGTAGACCCGCTCGATGGCGCAGCAACTCTGCCCACTGTTAAAGATAGCTCCGTCTACAACCTCCTCCGCGGCCCACGCCGCATCCACATCGTCCCGGACATATGCTGGATCCTTGCCTCCGAGCTCCAGCCCAACGTTGACGATGCGGTCTGACGCGGCCTTTTGAACGGCCAAGCCGCCAGCCACCGAGCCTGTGAAACAGATATGATCGACCAGAGGTGATCGGACAATGGTTTCAAGTAATGTCGGGGATCCACAGTGGAAGTATTGGATGACGTTCTGAGGCAACCCGGCCTCGGCGAAGGCAGCGGCAAACTGCTCCACTACCGTCGGGGTTTGCGGGGACGGTTTCAAGATGACAGCATTTCCGGCCAGAATAGCAGGGATCAAACTGTTGACGAGGATCAAGTAAGGGTACTATTCCACAAATTAGTAATCAGTTAGTATATGTGTTTTTTTTTGGAGGGCAACTTAAAAAAAAACAAGAATGTTGCGGCAACATACGTTCCATGCGAAGATGATAAACGCCACACCAACTGGCCTCCGCTTGATATAGCGTCTAAAACCCTTCTCCTCTTCCCCAGGAACAATCCCCTCATCACCTAGCACTGAATCGCTAATCTTGGTTAGGTAGCGGCTGCGCTTGATAGCTGTCATCACCTCGACACCGGTATAAGCGATGGGACGACCCATTTGCTCGGTCAGCTCTTGGGCGAGCTCATCTTCCTTTTTCTCGAGAATGTCCAACGCACGGCCGACGATTTCTTGTCGCTGTTTGAGAGTGGTCGACTGGGAGAATGATCGGAAAGCTTCCTGCGCGACCTTAGGGATCCGCTGCAGCTCCTCGGGGGAGACGCCCGTCCGGGTGAGGACTGGGCGATTGGTGGAGGGGGAGATGGTTGTGATAGTTTCGAGAGACATACTGAAGCTTTCCGTTTATGATCCTTGGACCTAAACGGAGCAATGAAGCGTTTATCTGGGTATATAAGAGTAGCTTGATAAGTTGGAGGAGGGGCATCTTCGTCACGTTATCGGCTGGAGCTTCCCCGCTGTGGCGGCACCCACTTATACTATGCCCTAAAGAGTAATCTACTGGCATGCAATCTATAGAGTACGGCACTACTCTCTTAATGAAATATAATAAGAGCTGATTTTTAACAATCTCTCAACAGAGCTCAAGTAGGTTATTGAATAATGTCGTCACAGATGAGAGTGATGTCTAGATAACAAGCATGAAGTTATGCTCAAGACTAATCCCCACTAAAGATCACGAACCAAACGTGCTCCTGCCCAAGTGTAAGGGTAGTTGTGCTGATACCAATTGACACTGGAGGTAATGTTAGCGCCTTAAATAGCACCAAGCCTTCATATCAGTTGACTTACAATGTAGTACGCCCAGCAACTCGGGGATGAGTAGCCCAAGAACCACCGAGGATGACGTTGTGCTTGCCGTCAAAGAAATCGGCTGTTGGAATTAGTTAGTACCTGATAGGCTTTATTTACGGCATACACGCCATCCTGATGGTACTTACAGGTATATCCTGGGTAGATTTCCATGGCCTTGAAGCCATCATGTGGCGTCAATGGGGTGCTAGTCCACTCCCAAGCGCCTCCCAGTTCACCCTGACCGGCTAGTCGGTCGCCGTTCTGGATGACTGGGGTAGGGTGCCAGTGCTTGAACCCGACATTGCAACCGTCGAGATCAATGAACACTGGCAAGGAGCTCCGGGAAGGATATTGTACTGGCTGGTGGTCCGGCATGCGAGGCTTGCTAGGATTGATCTTGTTGTATCCATTCCCATTCACGCCGTTCGGGTTACCGTTCGGACTGAATACAGTCAGTTCTGTCACAGTACCTTTAGAAAGTGGTGTCATTCTATAGTTGCGCTCACCTGAGACCATTCAATTCCTCATGATGTTTTACGCCGCTCCCCTCCTTTAGTACCGCAGAGTGTAGATAGATACTCTTGGCTTCTTCAAAGGTCGGGAGTCTGAAGCCTAGCCATTCTGCGTATCCAGATAATTCATCATACGACGCCATCACAGGCCAATCCTGGGCAAGTTCAAGCGGAACTGGTCCAAAAACGGTGCGAACGGCAAAGTTAGACATGAAGTCCATTATAGCTTCGACACTGCTCCCGTTGACTGCCACAGGTATCACGTAGTCTTCATTTGAATGGGTCAAGATCCATGATGCTGGTATTTTGCGCGACTGGTTCGCTTGCAAATACTTGGCATATTCGCCATTGGTAATGGGCCTACCCTGCGCTTCAAATGCCGGAACGGTCACTGTTCGCGCCGGTTTCTCATTGTCCCACCCATAGGCTGCTGGAGGGACGTCATTGCCATCAGCACCATCGAGGCCGATGGTCAATGTCTGCTCCGGGATAGAGAACCACTCGTTTGGTTTCTTGTCTTTCCGAGCTTCATGGTGTATCTTCTCAAAATCTGGCCGTTCTGAAGCGGGTGGAGGAAGCATCTTCTCGCTCTGGATCAACATGTACAGGAACGTCTCTAGGTGCATCGCCTCGTGCTCAAACCCAATCCAGAAAGCCTCACCCAGGATCCTGTTTTCCGAAAGGTCGCCTCTCTGATAAATAGATTGCACCCTGCTTCTGACCCGTGCTTGGTAATCTAGGATATCGTCAAGAGCTGGCCACTCGTCTGGGATCTCGCTGTGGGAGTGGCACTTCTCGGGGTCATCTACGTCGGGGTCAATTCCACGTTCGAAAATACATTGGTAGGACTTCGGCTCTGTTGGATTTTCCCGCAGGGCTCGAGTCAAGTGGATGTCTGTCTACCAATTAGCAATCCGATTATGTGCCGAAATTGCAAGCCACATAGACTGACCCAAAAATGTGGGGATATGTCCCAGATAGAAGATCAAAGAATTCCGTAACTTGATTGGCTTTGCCAAAAGCTCTTCACGAGGAACCATGGCCTTGGTAGCAATATCCCATGCTCTCCACAAAGTCTGCCATTCTTCAAAGCTGGGTATAGGATGAGCCGCATATTGAGAGGGAGATGTCGGGAAGTTAAGGACGGCCGAGGTCAGCATGTGAAGATCTGATTGATGTGAAACCCCCGGTTAGACATGTCTGGTAGAATGAGGTAGCCGTTTACTACTCACGATAATCAGAACCATCGCCTACCTCCGCAGTCTGGATTAAATGGGCATCACGCCACAGTTGGTCGCGCTCCTCAGGTCCGTGCTTGAACGCTTCCTCGAAGATGAGCTCTTCTCCCTTTTGGAGAGGAACCCCATTGATGGTCACATCCTTCTTTGGGGAATAGGCTGCCCAGTGTCGTCCTTCCACGGCATCCCAACCCGTAACTACTTCCCATTCACCAGGCTTGAAGGCTTCGGACCCAAGAACGGCATTCGCGTGCACTAATCCGTTCTCATAGAACCGCCGTGTAACACCCTTCGAATCATTGTAAGCTTTGTACACCTTGTCCGCGTCTTTGCAGCCGTCCAGGCCGATAATCATCATATCAGAAGGGCCCAGGAGTCTAGAATACTGCGAGAGAAAACGTGCTGCACCAGGACGGTCGAAGTTTCCTAAAGAAGACCCCATAGACAAGATCATCGTAGGCTGTTTTCGGTTCTCGGGGTTATTAAGCCAAGTGATAGCGTCGTCGTAGGTGCCATGGAGACCATGGAAGCCAACGTGTGTGAACTCATCAATGGAGACCTCGGAGAACGTGCGCTGCAGTTCTGATAGAGACAGGTCCAGGGCATAGTAATCCACATGTTTCCCTACGCGTTCAAACTCCCGGAGCAGAATCTCAATCTTCCGAAGATTCCTAAACGAGGGTTAAACATGCGCTACGCAGCCTGGACGGTTACGACTTGATTCAGAAGGACAGAACGCACCCACTACCTAACTCAAGCAACTGCGCATTGTTGGGAATCCGTTCAACTATTCTCTTGGAGTTTGTCTTCAACACCTCAATCTCGGCATTGGTCAAGTAATACTCTTCCAGATAGGTGATTTGCTCAAACAGCTTGAGACCCTCAGCATCATAGAGAAGCATGGTTGGCATTGACTTCCTGACGCCAGCCGGAGGGCTGATGCCCTTATGAATCTCATTTACGAGGGAAAACTCCACGTCATTCTGATGGATGTTGACAATGTCAACGGCTTTAGTTGGGAGAGCCAATGGAGACATTCTTATGTGGTGGCACAGAAGCCCCGGATCTGCAAGAGAGATAAATAAGGAAGAGAAAAGGGTAATATAAAGTCAAGCCTAGAAAATACGGCAAGCTCGACAGAATATTATAGGAGGAAGACCAGGGGGGGTTTATAAGGCAGGCAAGGCAAAGAAAGATGGCCTCGGGGGGAAGATCAATGAGGGGTAAATGAGGAGTGCAGACAATCCCCCTGCAGATGGTATGACACACGCAGAAATTAATAGAACAGGTAGAAATTAGAAATCGAAAGAATTGTGCGAGCTCGTATGCCGAAGTAGGTTTGTTTGGAATGTTGCGGAAGAGATAGGGAACCTTATACCACCTGGGAGGACAACTCTAGCCCTTGAACATCGCAGCCCCACGGAGTGAGCTGTTCCTGACTGAATAATCCATGTTGGTTTTTATTGCAAAACCCCGGCGGATAAAGGACTAATCTAATTTTGGGTATCAGATTGAAAAGCCATGGGAAGGAAGGTTTTGATGGTACAGACGCTCTGACATCAAAGCAGATCGGATTTGATTTGCAAGCATAATGCACGTCACACTACGGCAATAGCATAGTTTGATCCTGTAAGGGCGACGAATTCTGGCCCACACTCCACTCATTGGAAGGAAGACCGACTTGTTGCAACCAATGCGGGTCAGGCATACTCGAAAGAATACTCTTAAGTATCCAACCATACGAGAAACTTTTCCCACACGGTGGAGTCATGCGAGATGACGTTGTGTTTGCATTGCCTGTTTGCTTTATTTGCTCTTTATTTGCAGCGTTTGTTTCCACCCCACTTGGTCTCTTTTTGTATGGTTTGGCTTGGTTTGCTCCGATAATAGCCTTCCCTTGCACCTAGACCACAATACTACTATAGTAACTAGTAGTCTTTCTCTACTATCTCCATATTGAATACTACTTCGCTCCATAACTCCCTCAGAATCCCTGAAGCATTCACATCTTCTCAATGGTCTACGCATGCGTCGTGGCCTCCCCCCCTGAGAGATTTATATCCAATCACGAACACTAGTGGGAAAGTCGCGCGACAGCCGCACATATGCAGACTAATCAATCTCCAATCTCACGGCCGAATTAGGACAATCCCTGATATTCACGATGCAGGACGCTATAACCCCAACCTTACATAGGTAAGAGCCATGTCAGCCACTCCAAGGCCTTATGTCGTGTCACAGGTCCCCCTCAGCCACCCCTCAGGAACGTCGGACTATGTCACACTTTGGAAGTTGACCCCACCATGTTGGTCTAACAAAGAAAAGGGAAAAAAGAAAGAAAGCATAAAGAGTACATACATAGCGTACAATATCCTTGTTAAAACGAGGCCGTCTCATTGTTGACTGATGTCCGCCGGAGCATCCTGGAATAAACCCTAATTGGCTGCTCTTTCGTTCTCCACTACTATGTCTCTTTGAGGACCTTTTTTATAGCTTTCTAAGCCACGTCTTTCCCAGACCATTCTGCAAGGCGTACAAACTCTACAGACTCGGCGAACAGCTTTTTTGAACAACATGGGCCCTTCCTGACGATTTCCTCGGAATGTTCCCAGACACTAACACTTTATGCAAAGAGTTCGCAATCAAGCTGAGGGCCGTCATCCCCTGAGCCTGACTATAAAAGCTATGGTCTCAGTGAGAAAGAACTTTACCTTTATCAAGGATCCTCACTGCGAATCTCAGCCGCTATGGCTTACACCGAGCTACTAATTAACCCAGAGTGCCAAAATGCTGGCTCTCAAAGGCATAGGAGAAGCATAAATGCAAGCCTTTACCCATACAAGCTCGTCCGGAGTCTACTGAAAAGGCACAGCTCTACCCTGGCCGGGATGCTGGAACAAATAGGCAGGACAGAGGTCATGATCTCCCTCTTGCACGCTTCAAGGCATCTCCACTGTGGTCGAGACCGCGAATCAGAATCTCATGTCTCACAAGCCATGCAACGAACTCTTCAATTGACGCAAAGCAACTTTCGGGACCCCTTGATTGCCCATTGCAAGTTTTGGCTCGGCCGCATTGAGTGGTTTAGAGGTGACGAGGCGAAGGCATATCAACTTTTTCTCGAGACAGAACAGTGGCATAAGGACTTTCCTGAAGGGGAAGAGGTTCCACTGTACCTGGAGTATCTTCAACCGGACGCTGAAAAGGAAACTCGGCGGCGCGCTTTGTGTGCAACATATCCCTTCTCTCTCCTCCCTCCGCATCACAGACGATATCCTGCTTATAGATTCCAGCTAGGCACCAGCGATCGCAAGTTGCCCTCAAAGCGCAGCCACCATGATGAACTTTGTGAAACGGAAGCTCTTGTGACCGTACGCCCAAAGTCAGGTGAGAGGAGCAAAGACCCGAAGGTATGGATTGAAATTGGCACCAAATCACTTCCTCCCCAATACTGTGGTTCCCCCCGTAGGGTTCTACCCATCAGACGGAAACACCAGAACTGGGATACTGCATGGCTGCAGAACTCCCGCTTCCGCCCACCCCAGGGTCAATTTACGTTCACCATGTACCCTACGGGCATAGCATCGCGCACACGCCCGACTAATATTTTTCCCGAGCAGATCTACGAGTGCGTTGTCCCGGAAGAAAAATGGAACTCAATCTGCAAGAGGATCAAGGGTAAATACATTACGATGGGTTTCTTGGCCTATGAAAGACAGCAACTTGAAAAGGCGGTGCTTGAGAAGACAGATCGGATTTTGGAACAAATCGCAAGGTCCTCCCCGAGTACTCCAGAGGGTATCCGAGCAAAATACCTTCTTTATCACCATTGACAGCTGTCACAGTGGGTTTCTTTCTTAGGGACGCCAAACCCTCCCTGCTCCATGTATCATATACCTTCATGAATGTACCATAACCAATTCAATCTGATCGCATCAACATAATCCCATCAATCATAGAACCCCAAAAAAGAAAAAATCACCTCAAAATCCCAACATCAAAAACCGAAACATCCCAAAACCACCCCGCAACCCCCATAGCCCCTACACTCATTACAAACGCCATCAACACATTAACCGCATTATTATCCAGCAAATCCCGTCCACTCTCCACCACCCGACTCTCATGCTCCGTCCCAACCTCACCCTGCCGCTTCACCCCCTCCGCAGCAGAAGCAGAAGCAGAAGCCTTTGCCCCCGAAAACCCAGTCGACCCCCCAGCCCTCAAATGCGGATGCACAAGCACCTTCTTCCCCCCTTCCCCCTCGACAACCTTCCCCGTCCGCTTATCAACAACGCTCGCCTGTAGTAAACCCCCCAAAACACTGTCCACCACACTCCCCAATGCCCCCCACCCGGTAAACGCAACAGTCCACCAAACCCGCTCAGCCAATCCAGTCCCCTCACAAAACGGCAAAAGCACAGCCGACGTCGCCGCAACCGTAAACGCCCCAAACACCCCCGCTACCAGTCCCGTCCCCGTCACGCCTCCGTTCGTCCCCGGCGGCACAACACGGAACGTAGGCGACGTGATCAGCCTCGGCTTGGATTTCGACAGGATACCCAGTTCTGAGGAGAAGGTGTCGGCGGCGACGGCAGCGTAGTTCCTATTTCCCATTAACCGTCAGCCTTCGATAGAAGCCCTATATATATACCCTTCTCTTTTCTTTCCTTCTTCAACCCAAAATGAAACTAAAGAGAAAGGGGGGGGGGGAAGAGGAAATAAAAACATACGCAACAATCCCCACGACCAGTAAATCGGCCGGGCTCTTCCCGTTCTGGAAACATGCGCTTGCGCTCACACTGTCTGGGCTCTGATTTAGGATATATGTGTGCGCGAGGATAAGAACAGTCGCGACGATGCTATTCGCCAGCACTTGTATATGGGTTCGTTGGCCCTCGCCGCCCTCGGAGCCGGTGGCGGAGAGGGTGAGACGGGCTTTGACGTCATGTTTGACCTGGGTGTTGAACGACTTGTTAGGATTCGTTTGTTTGTTGAAGTTGAGGGGGGGAGAAACGTAAAGGGAGGGTGGCCTGGCGGGCATACCTTTGTTGCTTTTGTGCCGCCGAAGTAGAAGACGGCGAGGAGGGCGAAGGGGGTAGACCAGGGGTGGAGGGCGTGGGCGGTTGCTGTTAGAGCTGCTGCTGTGAGACCGAGGGGGGTGAGGGATTTGCGGGACCAGGCGCGGTGGACGAGGAGGACCAGGGCTGGGATGGCGATGATGGGTTTCATCTTTAGGGTGGTTTTGTATTTTCGTTGATGGGTATGGTTGGTGGTGGGGTTTCTGGCAAATAAAATGAAAATGAGGAGTTTAGGGTTGTAGCATGACTTTTCTTTCTTTCTTCTTCTTTTTTTTAAAGAAAAGTAAGAAAGAGAGACAAAGTATAGGTTGGTTGTGACTTTGTTTAAGGAGGAACAGTAGTCTAGATTTATTTCAATGGTAAGCTAAGCTCGGGCGGAGAAGGCTGGGCTCCCGGTGGGTCACGCTTTGGTGTCATTTCGGTTCCGATGTTTGACTCTTTTTCAGCTTTTGTACATACGAGATGGATTTAGTTTGTTAGCTCGATTTTTGACATTCATGGGATGCTTATGATGCAAGTGATTCTGTAAGAAGTATTTTCTATCATCTTATGTAGAAATATGGCCCTATCTATATAGGAACTCAGTCACAATAGTCAATGCAAAGCGGGTAAATTAGCCATTATATAGCTGCGTAGTATAACCACCTCTTGCATTAAGTAATACCAGCACATTACCCAGCTTCGTAGGCGCTAGTTTACCCCAGAGAGTACCTTTGGTGATATTTTTTTTTTTCACTAGAAGTACAAAGTCAGGTCCCTCAGCCACTTCTCAAGTTGATTGGGTGGACAGTGTGAGCCGTCTCTAGTACGAACCATTCAGGGCTAGACACCCCTGCAGATAGACAGATGTCTCTGCCCGTGATCCTCCGTGGTAAGATCTCCTCGGCTTGTTGTTGGACCAGGTTCATAGGTGAAACATCGAGCTATCTTCATTCGCCTCGCAGAACCTCCAAAGCCCAGCCGCAACAGCCGCATCCCTGACAGAGCCAAGCTCATCATCACGAACAGCGCGATTAATCTCCGCATACCGCACCTCAGCCTGCTCCTCTCCGTTTGCATTCCCCGTCGAGCCCTTCTTCTTCTTCTTCTTCTTCCCCACATGCGCATCCGGGTGATACTGCTCCATAATATGCACGTAGAGATCCTTAGATACGTTCTCCGCCAGCCAGCGCATAATCTCTCGACCCTCATCCTCCTTACCGGGCATGACCAAATGTCGCAACAGAACCCCCTTCTTAGCAATTCCATCAGACGTAAAACACAAATCGCCGACCTGTTTATGCATGGCCTTGATGCTCTCCATAGCCGTCTCAGTATACCCCTCAGCCTTGAGCAGCCGCTTCGACGTACTGTCTCTCCAGACTTTAAAATCCGGCAGGTAAATATCCACCAGACCATCCAACAACTCGAGTGACTCGAGAGAGTCAAACGACGACGTATTATATATGATAGGGATTCTAAGACCCATATCGCGCGCCGTCAGAATGGCCAGCGCAACCTGGGGCACCACATGTTCCGGTGTGACCAAGTTGATATTGTGGCAGTGTCCGACTTGCTGGAGTTTCATGAACCAATCCGCTAGTTCTTCGGGGGTTAAGTCGAAACCATTGCGTTGGTGGGCGATATCCTAGAAAGTAAGAACGCCTCGGTTAGCACATTGGCTTGAGAGAAGTGGGGACGTGAGATTAGTAGTATGTGAACGTACGTGGTTCTGGCAGAACACGCATCGCAAATTACATCCGGAGAAGAAAACCGAGCCGCTGCCGTTAAATCCTTGAATGCATGGTTCCTCGCCGCGATGCGGTGCGATCACGTTGACCTTGACGGTCTCTGCGCCGATTAGGCATATCCCGGTTTCTCTATACCGGTTTACTCCGCAGCGGCGGGGGCATAGGTTGCATTCTTGTAGATGCGCGTATGCGCGGGAGCGTTTCTTCGCTTCATCGATAGAACTGAGAAGCTGGTAACGCGGGATATATTCGTCTAGCAGAAAGGCTGGAGGGATGCCTATGGACCGTTTTGGGACGAGAGGAGTAAAGGACGGTCGGGGGGAGAAATGGTGGGAAGATATTTGGCGAAAAGACCCGCTTAGGCGATTCATAATTCAGCGCTAGGTCCGGGGTAGTAGTCATCCATCTCGTTGAATGTATTGAAGGTTGTTGAAAGGAAGATAGGAGACAACCGAGGCAAACGATAAGTTAAATAATATTAAAAACTTCTTATCTTATCTCAGCTGTGGCGTCATATGTATTGGACTGTTAATGATTGGAGCACCTCTTGTTGCAACAACTGTTAGTCATGCAATTCAGGCACCAACTTAAAATGTCTACTTATATATGTTCTGCATATACGAATTGAATACCAAAGACGGTTGGATGCCTCAGGCCAGATAATTGATATATCATAGATGTACTGTATAGTACATAGTTTCACCTCTCTTCACCAGTCATCAAAACAGGACTGAGCTTTGTTTTTCAAAAGAACAAAACCAAATATGAAGACATTATTAGTGAATGAACTGACACAAAGAAAAGCCAGCCCTTAATCGCCCCACTACGCGCATCTACAAGAATGCAACCTATGCTGGCCATGAGCACCATTAGTTGAATACTTCCGTAATATTCAAGCCTTTCCAGCATTTGGCATTGTTGTTCAGTGAAAGTATGTCTACAAGACCTTGAGGACCTTTGTATAGGCTGGCCTATGGAAAGGGCCCCACATACCCCCTCAGATAGTTCTAATTGATCATCTGAAGCAGTTTGATTCGATTGTTTTGCCTCTCCAGTGATTTTCCCACGCCATTCATATCCACACTGATAGTGAAACGAGAAATGCCCCCCAAACCAGAACCCCCAACCCACAGTGGTTAAGTCCAACCCTACTCAACCCTAATACTTCCCAAGCCACTAACCCAACTCCCTCAAGCCTACATCCGTGGCATTTCAAAGATTGTGCTGCTCGGAGCATTATTACGAAAGGCAAATGTAATCTCCAATCATGCGGGAAGCCCACCAAAGATCGACATGGACCAAGCGCGGAGCGCCTATGAAATGGCTGAGGCGCACGACACGGGCCTCATGGTCGTTTGCCACCGACTTCTGCGCATAAATATTCGCTATAACACCGTAAGCTCTAAAGATTGTGACGGGTATAATGGCGAAGGCAAATGTCGCCAGGTTGTGGAGAAGCTGCGCAAGAAGTATCCGCTTGCCCATGGTGAGGTGCCATATTGACTCGGCTTTGTGAGGTTATTGGTAGGTTGGTGTCTGGTTGGGGAGTGGCGCTTTTGCATCATGGGGCAGGTAGGATTCAGGTTTGGGGCCTAGGGAGTTTAGTTTTGAAATTCTAAGCAGGGATATTGTATGTAGGGACGCCATTGGGAATGATTCAAAGTAGAAGTTCTGTATGTGTGCATTATTCACAGGTGGTCTTTTGAAATGTGGGTATATATACTAAACTACACTGCTTCAGATACTGTGCAGTGGCATAAACAATGTAACAGGCCATAGTGTACAGGTCCCATCAACAACGATTGATGGAGAACTAGGAAGTGAAATTATATACTGAAATGGTAAGTATGTTAAATAAATTCCCTCCCATCACTCGGACGAAAAGGCCAGCTCGACATAAGATGCACGCCGAGCTAAACACGGAGGAACCAAGAACGCGACGAAAAGCGGACGGGCCAAAAGATAGACAAGTCGATAGACGACGGGAAAAAAAAGATAGCGGTATTCCAGACCGTATGCTAGTGGGCCTCTAGAACTCCAGAACCCCAAGGCCCTTGAGACATCTTCAATTAATTACTGTCATGAAATTGCATCACACCGTCAGATTTTGCCAGCTATGCAAATGGCAGAGATATAGGTTGAGAGTTTATATGATGGCGGCATCCATCATAGTGCAAGACCGCTGCCATCACCGGTCCAGCGGTAGAGAGCTAGCACTTCCCGCCGGCGCTGCTGCTGTTCGCCGAAGTCCTCAGGCATGCGTCCACGTACCTGCGCTAGAGCCGAACGCATGACCTTGCGGAACGTCCTCTGAGGAAGAAGAATGATGTTAGTAAGATGTCTACCAATGTAAAACTGCCGAAAGGTATAGCTCACCTGATACTCGGTGTTCAATGTCACGACGCAAGCCTCGTGTGCACGAACAATCGTCTCACACGCGCGGACGACGCTAGGACTGGCTTCACCTTGAAGCTTGTCGGCTGCCAGGAGCAGTAGAAAGCTGCCCTGCAAGAGATATATTCCAAAAAAGAAGGGCATAAATGTGATGTCCGGATCATACTCCAATATGTCAGCAGCAGCGTCAGCCGCGCCGACAGCATGGCTCATCGCCGCGATGAACGACTCCGAGGAAATCCAGAGATCGTGATCCTCAAGCAGACTGATAGGATCCCACTTGCCTGCCAGCAGGACGTGTAGGACATGCATAATGTGGGTTCCGTAGGCGACTACCATTTTCGTGTGTACAATAGACTCGTTCACCCGCGATCCGGCCGTGCTAGTCGAATGGCCAGATGGGCTCACATGATCCAGGTGGGATCCTTCCATCGTTGCATCATTCTCCGTTGCGCCAAGAGCTAGACTGCTGGTGTAGCGGGCTTCGAATTCCTTTAGGCTCTGAGCATATGTATCTAGTTGACGGGTGATCTCCAGCACTTGGTGGTCCCAGTCAGCACTATTTCGGAAGACGCGGCCGAACCGGGGGTGTTCCTTGGCTTGTTGGAGGTCTACAATCTCTCCCAATATTGTCATTAAGGGCAAGAAGAAGCCGAACATGCTGTGCCCAGTACACTCTACTTGCGGGCCGACCTGTCGGTAGGTGGCACCCGCAAAATCACCAGCTTGCCACAAGTCATCGTTCATCGGCTGAAGAAGTCCAGCACATTCCTTATCCAGCAATGTCAGAGGACGGTTATAGCAGAGCGCTAAGTGGCGGTCTGTCGCATATAATAACCACCAGAGGCGCCGGCGCTCTTCTCGTTCCTCCTCGGTAACATTGAGAGCTGTACTACCAGAGCCGTTTCCTACCGATGTAACTAGAGGAGGGAGGTTACGTTTCGACATGTCGGCATCTGTATCGTCCTCAGGCTCCCCATCCTGCCTCGGCTGGGAGACATTTGGCGGTAATTCCCGTCCCAGTTTCAGCTCACGAGCGAGGGACCATGCCGCGGTCCACCAACGCATGCTAGCTGCCTTATACTCGCTGGCAGATATCACGGTCGCTAAGTGAACGTACGTGGCGACGTCATCTACGGCACCTGTTGCGCTACTCTGCGCGCCAAGTTGGTCCATGGAGACTCCAAAGCCACCAAGAGCCACGCCATTGATGACCATATTAGCAGCGTAGTTAGGGGATGTTTCCCCAGGAGCGGGCCCATGGATCAACGGCCTGAGTAGACCAATTGTGAGTTCCAAAAGCTTTTGGCAAACTCTGCCCCGAGCCGACGGGGGAGAAGTTAGGAACGCCGCCTCGCTAGTTTGAGCGGCAACCCAAAGCATGCTTGCCAATAGGCCAGGGCTGCAAACCCTTGGCTTTGCGGGATGGAGAAACGACTGCTTTCGGAAGATGTACCCAACCACGTACGGGGATTGAGGGGATAGGTGGGAGGGGGAGAAGCTCGTGAAATAGACGTCGAGGAGATCACAGGCCAATGACTGGGGAATGATTGAAGCGATATGAGGGAGGACGGGTTGCAGAACTGGGTACCGCAACGTGCTAGTGAATGGCGGTATGCTAAAGGAAGCGAAATTGGCAGGGGATGGCGAAGGGAGCGATAACCATCCCGGAGATTGTGCCGGCGGCGATAGGCCTAGAAAAGGCGCCGGGTGGTTTTCGGCCGAGTGACCGAGTCGGAATTGGTTGATCGAAGGGTGATTCGTTTCCTGTGCGCTCATCAGAGAGTAAGCACCATCGTTATAGCCGGGGTTCAACCCTTGAGGTGGTAGGGCTGCCGACGGAGACCGGGGATTTGCGCCGGACGGGTGTAGCATCTGTAATGAACGAAGATCTGGCACAGACATCTGCGGCCGGTTGGATTCATTGAAGGCGTTGAGGTGATTCAGGTGAATGGCATCGATCGCACCGCCTAGGGGTGGCTGAGAGTGCGGGGTGTGTTGGGAGCCCTGCATCCCCGCCATCTCTGGCATTTCAGACTGCTGCCCTATTTGCGACTGTCCGGCGGTCGTCAGGTTTCGGGCGGCATCGAAGGATGGATCGTACCTGCTGCCGACCTCTTGCGATGATTGACCGTCCGAAGGAGTGTGCCGTTTATTTGAAGATGCAGGGTCGTTGACTGGATTACCATTTGGCGTCGGTGCGGTGCCATTGTTAGCTACGGCCGCGGCGGCGGCGAGATCCTTTTTGGAGGCTTTGCCGCGTTTTTTGCGTTCTCGAGCATATTCACAGGTCAGGCCAAATTCTGTCTCGCTACTGTCAGTATCTGGACCTTTGCGCAACACGGAAAAAGAGCAAAACACTACCAATGCAATGCGCGCATGGATTTTGCCCGTCGCATTTCGTCCGGAGTTGATTACACTGATCACATGCTCGACTGATTCTGCGGCGGACGGGACCGGATGTTGAACTTTTGCGGATCGTCGAGCGAGCTTCTGCCAGCTGATCCCGTTGAGACGGGCTCCTGAAACCGCTTGTGGCGGTTGGGTTTTGTTGGGCCGCGGCATCGTCGCGGTAGAGACGCTGGCCTTGGGGCTTGGAGATGGAGCTTCTGAGGGGGCTGCCGTCCACCGCACTGGCCCCATTGGCTTCTCGCGACAGTTGTAGTTGCTCCAGCGCATACTGTGAGCCCTCGGCGAGCGTATCCAGCCCGACCGGCTGAGACTGTGCCATTCCGACCGGCTGAGTGGCTGAAGAAAAAGGAGAGAAGGAGCTGGTGAAATGCTGAATCGAGGTTATCGACATTCTCACCAGGGAAGAGAAGCGACCGGTTGGACTATTGGTACATATAGAGAACGGGGTTGGACAATATTGGCAGATGTGGGGAACGGAAATGGAAGGAAAAGAACACGGACGAGGGCCGTTAAGGCCCCAAAATCCACGAAGAGTGGTGCTAGTCGTTTACAGCAAATATAGTCCGTCACATCCAACAAAAGCCACCCCAGGGAAACAACCTGGAGAGAAGAGTGCACAACTCACAAGTTAGACAACAGGGAAGGGGAGGAGGGATGGGGTAAAAAAAAGAAAGAAAGAAATACAGAAAAGAAAAAGAAAAGGGGAGGCAAAGAAAAACGAGAGACAAGATCTGGGTCAGTGGGGAGAGAAAATCGGCTCAGTGATCAGGGTCAGAGCATAATGCCGACTAAAGTGATCGGGTCGGGAGATTGAATACTTAGAACGAGAACAAAGACCTGGGGAACCAAAAAAGGAGGAATCTAGCTGGGGTCATCGACTCATAGGTAGTCGAGGGACATGAGGGACCCCAATGGACACGAGAAAGCCGGGGAAGAAAAGGCACTAAAGGCCCCTAAGACGGAGACTAAAAGGTCACGAGTGGTTGGTCAGACCACAAGGCAGTAGACGAGGCCAAGAAATTTCTCCTCAACTCCACCGGGATCCAGAATATCATTTAGTGTGAATAAACCAGGATGTGATGAGGATGATCAGTTTTAATATCCGTTTAGAGGCACACCACCGGAGTGAGATGCGTGATTGATGGGGGGAAAGAAGGTGGAGTCGGCCGTTGATTAACTGCAGACAAACCATAGATTAAAGAAAAGAAGAGGGTAAAAAAAATTAAAAAAAAAAGGCAGGGAAAAGTACCTGTCGGATGAAGCCAGTCGGGGTCGCGTTCCGGATCGTCAGGTCAAGGTGGAGGTGAGTGATTATGGGGAGAAAGTGTCTGTGATCGGTGGTTGATCCTGATCTTTGTTGTGGTCCGTGGAAAGTGTTGGACAAACTCATTGTCATAAGAGGAAGGATAACATAACAGTCGTTCATTGATTTAAACTATGATGAAACGTGGGGAAGTGCCGGCATCAATAAAGCCATCAACTACCTGCCTGGGGCATTCAACCCATGTCAGGTGCATGTAATACATCTGTCCATATTGTTTTTTTTTTATATATATGATTTGTGTGGAGCTCTTTCGCGGTCGGTATGCCCATATGGTTATCTTACCTCTTATCAATTCATGTATGCAGGTCTATCTATTATGTATTCGACAGGTATATTGTATTATTATCAAATACACACTTCGTCAGCAGAATCAACTACCGGGGGAAGAAAAGAAAAAGAGTACTAATGACTCTACTACTACTACTACTACTACTACTACTACTACTACTACTACTACTACTATTACTAATATAAATATAATCTTTTACGCCCAGGTCTGCCAACGATTACAGGCGGGACTTGGGCACTTAGTGTGACTTTTACCATCCAACAGAGCCAAACTTGTCCTTTAGTAGGCGCGTAGTTAGATTAAATTCCCCGATCGTCCGGACAGAGGGAGCAGAAGTCGACGGAGGGGATAGTAAAAATTTTCCCCACTGGGCTGTTGAACCCTGTCTAATGCTACTTATCCAAACGGGGGCTGTACGCTGTCACTCTATTACAACAGATAATGTGCCTGCATCTGTTCCTCGAACGCGTCTTGGCGGCTTGTCGCTTTTTTTTATTTTCCACGTCCGACATTTTGCCTAAATTACCCCGGAAAAAAACAAGGGCACAAAGTTTAACTACGGGCAGATTGAAGTATCTAAATGCTCACCGGTCTAAGGATTCGAGTTTCCATATATTATTATGTACATCCATTGTGATAATACATAAACAAACATAAAGGTAGTATAGTTAGTACTGTACATGAGCATCCAACGCCAGATCTATCCACGTGAAACGCACATAAGGGAAATAAAAGTAACATAAAAATACATAAGCGTGACAGAGCGATCGAGGAAGTTTCGCAAAATCTGGCAAGGACTTAATAACAAAATGGGGATATCAGTAATCATAAACAAGACAAACGCTAGGTGAGAGCGAGAAGACGATCCCGTCCCTCTAATTTTACTTTTAAGCGTCGATTGCGCCAAAGGAAGCCAACGCCAACCCAATGCGTCCAAGCCCGACACAGTAGGCCCGCTCAACCAACCAACGTACGGTTCTTCAAGAAAAGAAATATTTGCTGTCTCGGATGCGCGTGATGTCCCACTCTCCTTTCTGAGGTACCTCACGGAAGCGTAACGGGAGCCAGAGCCAAGTGAAGGTGCCTTGTTGCCGTTTCTTCTTCTTCGGCTCGCTAACCTCATCATCCTGATCCTGATCAGCTTCAGCAGCGGCATCTCCGGAGTCCGTCTTCGGGCCAAGCACGTCGTTGAAATCGGTCATCAGACTCTCAATGGCAGGGTCCGAGGTGTCCGTGTCCATTCCCGTAGCTTTTCGCTCTGCCGCCTCCATATTCTCCGGGACATGTCCGACGACGGTCTCGCCAAGCGAGCTCGAAATAGCAAGATCATCTTCCGTACAACCTATCTCCTCAAACAAACTACCAAACGTGACCATCGCGCGGCCCTGTGCTTGCAACTCTGGATCGTCCGATCCCAAAAGCTTTTGTCGCTTGTACTCCTCTAAAAGTTCCTGCACCTTGGAAGATTTTTTCTGTTTGCGGCGACTTCGGATAATCTTTCCAATCTTGCTCGTGGTGTTGACCTTTGCGAGGAACAAGTGCTTGCCGTAACGGACTTCAAACTCGGCTGCGAGCCTCTTAACAACATCGTCGGAGTGCATGCGAACGAAGGCTTCTCGGAGAATATCGTTCATCGAATCGACATCGCATGCGTGAGTCCAGAATGAGTCATGGACCGCAGAGAAGCTAAGGCCAGCCCGGTCGCAGGCAATAGCTGACAGCATCATATGTGTAGCGTCGAGGGAGTGGATGAAGTTAGGCGGGAATGCCTGGAGCTGCTTGCGTTTGGAGACAACGTCATCCGAGCCGTTATCGACAATGCTCAAGTCTTGTAGAGTGGTGCGGACGCGTCGAGCTTTCCGAGAGCGATACGGCTGGACAACAGGCAACCCGAGAGGAGTGGTCCAGATCACGGTGGACCTGAACTTCTTGGTTGGGTCATTTGCTCTCTTTGCCGAGTCTTCGGCCTTCGTAGGGTTGAATGCTTCTTTTGCGATATCCTCAATTTGTTCAGGGGAGAGAGATTGCGTAATCCGACTTGCGCAGTCTCCAAGCCAGTATTGAATTTCGTGAGCTCCATTGAACATTGTGCCTAGGGCCTCGAAAATCTTCCGAGCAATGTATAACGAGCCATGCCTCGTTTCCTCTTGCGATAGTTCGGGATAATGGTCAATGAGCTGCTTGCGTACTTGCTTCATAGCTCCCATAAAAGTAACACCGTAGACGTTCGTCATGACAGTTTGCTTAACAATCTTCCGAGTGATTTTGCCGTCGAGGACCTTGGCCATAGGGTTGCCCTCTTTAGCTTCACGCGCCACAGCTTCCTTGACAAATTCGGCAACACCAGTATATACATCGGATGGGCGGTCGGATGGCTCCAGGTTCACTTGCTGAGCGCCTACCTTATCACCACCAAGCGCTGCGTAGTGCTGCAGTCCATTGCACGAGCCATCTTGATGAATCGGCAAGCGCGATGGATATTGAGTAGGATCCGGGTGCTGAAGAGCATTTCTCAGCTCACAGCAGGCGGCCAAACATTGCCATGGGTCCTCTGCATCGAGCCACCACCGTTTACCATGCAGACCATTGTTTGCAGAGTCTAAAACATCGTCCAAGTGATCCGTTGTCCATTGTTCACGTTCTGAGAGACTAGCCTTGTCAAAGCCAAACAAATTTGCAATCTGAATCTTCAACCATCTCATGCCACTGGCGCCCAGCGGCTTAGCTTCGCTGAAGAGGAGGAGTGCTCTAGCGTTGTCTGCACCCATTTGATTAAGGTAGGGTGGAAGCGGGTAGGCACGTCCGCGGAAATCCATGTTGTGAGGAAGATAGAACGTCTCGTTTCTGAATGCACGAGCGACCTCTAGTTGGAAATTTTGGAAACAACGGTTGGAATGCATTCCGGCTCGCCTATTTTCGATATCGCGCATAATATTATCCCATTTCTTCTCCGCCTCGTAGCCTTCTTCAGGAGCTGGTTTCGGTGGGTGAGGAAGGTCAGGTTCCAAGGGCGCCAAGTTGGCAATTGCCTCTCCAGAGTTCCATGCCTCAAGCATGACATCGAAAACATCGCGATTGATCTGCCACCCGGTTCTTCCAAGAATATTCAATCCCTCGCGGACCTGTTCTAACCCGTTGTCTTCGATCGCTGCCTTTATGTAGGATGGCTGTAGGGTCTCGCCCGGCGTTGTGCGTACGATGCTGTTTTGATAGACGAAATATCCACCGTCCTTCGCACTGTTCCATGGTCTTGGTTTACAAATCATGGGTAACTGACGACCTAAAACATCGGTGGTGGGCTCCCTGGCGATAATCCGAACAATCTCTGGATGCATATGGAAGTATCCCGCCTTCTTTCCCCAAGTAATTTGATACGAATGCTGAAACGCGGATTGCATGGTGATCGTTTTCGTAGAGTTTGGATGCTCCACAGCAACAGGGACCTTTCCGACCTCAAAAAGAAGACTCATCAAGACAGCCCCGATTCTAGCTTTCACCTTAGGCGGCCAAATAGTTGTCGGGTCTTCCCTCGCGAGATCACCAACAATTTTCAACCAGGCTGCTCGACCTTCCTTCTGCTTGCGACCAGCGAGAAGTTGTGTAAGTGCCTTCACGCGACGGGCATCAGTTCCTTGCCTTTTAAGAGTCATCTCGGCTAGTAGCTCGTCTTGGAGGTCCTTTCCAATGCCTGTAACTATTGTTGAAACCTTTATACCTTTCTCCATTCCCCCGCGACCGAAAGAGGATATAACAGCGAGGATGGTGAGCGCTGCTAATCTTTCTGGGTCTAGACTCCGTAGATAAACCCCGTATTCACAGCGCTCTTTTTGTTGGAAAGTTTTAGTAGGATTGGCCTCTGCTTCCTCAGAGAGCTTAATTTCCTCTTTGATTTTGGATACCAGCCCTGTATGCCACTGGTTCATGATAGGACCCAGTCGTCTCCCACCCCCGGTCATATCCAGACCTTGTTTTTGCATTCGAGTAAACTCTTGCCGCCACCGTTGAAGCGAAGTCTGTATCGAGTCTGCCTCCAGTTGTCGCTGCCTGTGTTGATTATATAACTCTAACCTTTCCTCCTCCGTGTATTTTTCATCGGTTGGGAAAGCCACATTAGAACCAGTTGAAAACATTGCGAGAGAATCTTGCAAAGAAGAAAGACCAAGACCCCTCTGTTCAACGGGCCTAACCATCGGTACCTCGTCTGAGATCGGGTCAGGGTGCTTCTCGGCCATGTCTATGTCTGGATGTATACTGCCAATCGCGACTCGTTGAAGGTCGTCGGAACATATCTGGAGTAATAATGTGTCAGCACCGACGGCTTTGCTCGAAGGTATGTTACTGGGACCTAGAGCAAAAATGAACCAGACTAACCTCTGATAGTTCGCCAAGCTCCAATTCCGAAAGAATTGGAACGGCTAATACCTCCTCCTCAATACCCGCTGTCTTCGCAAATTCCCAATATCTCCGAACCGCCCTTTCTCGCTTACCGCCATGGAACATACGTAATGCCATCCGAATCATGATCGCGTATGTTGTCGCATCCGGCTGAACACCACCGGCAGCCATGTCGACTTCGAACCATCTTTGCAACGGCAAGATCATGTTGTGCTGTCTTGTCACGATCATGTGAGACACCATTGCCTCTAAATAGCGGTTATGGATGGCTAGGTACTCAGGCGAACCGATAGGATAAAACTCTCCAAGACGGGTGACAAGACTGGCAGCTCGATCCATTCGGCCAACCTTCAGGGAAACATCCAGGTTTGCCATCATCTCGCCGTCGTCACCGCCGATACCTTTCATCTTTTTGACTACTTTTGGTTTGGTCTGCAAAAGGTCGTCTATGATGATCAAGGATGAAGGATCAAAGTCTGACGGAGTCGGCGGAAAGAGAGAGCCCAATCCTGCTGGCTGGTCATACTGGCGACCAATCGAATAGGAGGGGTTTTCGAAGGAAGGATACAGTCCTTGTTCTAGTGCGGAGTGATCGGCTGCCGTGGCGAGATATCGACTCGATTGAAGAGAGGGCTGACGTAGATGGTCGTGAGAAACACTGGCAGACGCGTTGGCTAAAGAATTGGGCCGGTTTAGATGGGACCGAAACCGTAGAGTGGCCAAAGACGGAGATACCCAACGCCCATTAGAGACGAGGAGATGAGACGCGGTATTTTTCGAACGAGCAATTCGGGATAACATGATTCACAAGATATCGCTGAAGCAACTGAATAAATTAAAATAAAATTTAAAAAGTTATGCAAAGAAGTGAGGGAAATTATAAAAGAAGGCAAAAAATATGCAATGAGAACAAAATCATTAGTATGCGAATATGCGCAAAAGAGATTCAACAAATGACAATGAGCTTCCTATTAGCGGAAGATATCTGCTGACAAGCCGTCCTGCAGCCCTTCACCAGTGTTTAAGAGATGGGCAAAGAAAGAACAGGGGTGAAGGTCTGATGAAGGCGAAGCGGTCGAAATCGAAAGCATTTCCTGGACGGAGGAATCGGAGGAAAAATACTCAATCCCCTTTGGGGCGATAAGGCACGTGTAGGCACGTGACCAATTAACGTCCTTTTCTTCGGCTTCTGATTTGCGGAAGGATTCTAGATCGAACTGTGGCAATTTTAGCAACAGCAGCAGTAGTATTGGCAGTAAACATTCGATGGGATTCCTCCATTGAGCTCGTACAAGTCTAGGTACGGTCAATTGTTTCATAATGATCGTGCTCCCATTCGCTACACCGGATTTTAATTACTGTGCTCAATTACAGAGTAATGTAATTGCTATCAATCTTATCTATCCACAATTTGCCTCTCCTACCAGAATGGATGGATCATACATTTTTCACTCGTGTATTGTTTGAGGATATCTTTCGTGACTGCCATTCATAAGTCCGTTTTCTGTATATGCACATAAATAGAATCATTCCTCTTCGGAACCACTCCTACTCCTAGAAGAGCTCCCTCTTCCGCGCTGCTTCATCCGATTCTGCTTCATAGCCCATCCAGTCATCTCCGGGTTTGCGGGATCAATCCGCGGCGCACTCATTCTATCCAGATAGTCTTCACTATTGATTGCCGATTCTAACTGCGGTAGAGTTTCCAAATCTTGATGCATCATGTAGCTTTCATATACTTGCCACGACTCCTCAGTCTAGGATACCAAGTCAGCAAAGCCTCTCAAAAAACACCAATCCAAAAACGAAAAAAATACTCACCTCAGCATCAACCCACTCATACTTCCCCCATTTCTCCTCCTGCATCTTCTTCAAAAGATCCAAGTTACTAGCCAACATCCCCGCCTCCCCATCTTCAGCCGCCTTGACCTTAATATCAATCGTCCGAGCCTCATTCCCACCGCCCCCCTCCTCCTCATCCTTCCTCCCCTTCCCCTTCCCCTTAGCCGGAATCTCATCCAGCGCATCTAGATGATGAAGCTGAGGATGCACCTGCACAACCGCCGAAACAGGAGAAAGATGAAGATTATCTACCAACCACCCAATTAGCACCGGGCAAGATAAAAGCTTAGTGGAGTAACTCACTGTCCCGAAAAGCAGCCAACATATAAACCGGATCCCCCTCTTCCGGAATCTTAATGCGACCTCCCAGCGTCTGAACCCGTAATAAAGAAGCCGAGTCGTCATTTCCCGTACCGCCCATTTCCACGTCCCCGCCTGTTTCCATCTTCACCTTGCCCCCGCCGCCAGCACCGCCGCTGAACCCGCCCGCCATACCGAATGCGCCGCCCTCCTGCGCGCGACTTTTCTTCAGCGCATCGCCGTATTTCAGGCCTTTGTTGACGTCGTAGTTTACGCGGGTGTTGATGGGGATGTCGACTTCGACGAGTCCCGTGGTAGGTTTTAGGCGGAAGGAGGTGGGTTTTTGGCCGTGGCGCTCGTCGTAGGGGTAATCTGGGTGTCGGTCGAGGTATTGGAGGACGTACCGAGAGATTTCGGAGTCTGTGAGGTAGACGTCGTATGATGCGATGACGGGGTCGGAGGGGTCCATGGTGGAGGTGTTTTTTTTGGATTTCGAGAGATCGGATAGTTTTGGTCGTTAGGGTCGTGTCATTAGTTCGATTGTGAAAGGGGACCGGTGGATTATGGGTAATTGGCTGCTCTTTTCATTTCAACAATTTTTTTTTTCTATATCGGGCGGCGGAGAAGTGGTTGATAAGGGTGGTTGCAGAAAGTTGGAGTATACCGCCTGCCTCTTTAGTAAAGTATATAATGAGGTACCTTGTTGATGAAGGTGATATGGATCGCTTTTCTTTCCCTTGTTTCCTTTCTTCTGCTTAAAGTGCTATCTAAAATAGAAATACTTTACAACTACATGGTAGTTCAGGCATTGGTTTTTTTAAAAATGACGCTTGAATTAGGTAGCTAATACACTGGAGCCAACTTATCGCCCCCAACATAGTACATGAAGATTAATGGAATCTGATCCGTGACTCATTATCTTAAAACAGCAGGCATATACAGGAGTATACAGAAGTAAGGGTAAGTGATCATGATTAAGAACAGAGCAAATCACTAGCCAGATGAAGCTTTGCTCAAATGGAACTCGTGGAATCTAAATGCTGCAAGCGACGTAACTTTAGATGGTCATGACAATCAAAACGTAGTTCAAAAAATAACCCAAAGAATTTTGCCCCTTTATCATCCTTTAATTTAATTTTTTACTCGTCATCTTCGTCTTCTTCAGCGACCTGTAGGGGTATGTTAGGAATAGTTCTAGTAATGTATGAGGGAGGATTTAACTTACTCCTTCATGGAAGTTTTGTCCGTCAGTCGTTGCCTTGATAACGCCCGCACGAATACACCAGTCTCCGAACCTCTCAGGCTTCTCACCATCAGTGTTACGCTCGAGAGAGTACCGCTTGAGGAGACCCTTCATGATTTCCAAAATCTCATCCTCCTTGATAGATGAGCGATACAACTTGTTCAAGCGCTGTCCGTGGTAGCCACCGCCGAGGTACATGTTGTAAGCACCGTACGCCTTACCGACGAAGGCAACTTCGGCGAGCCAGGGCCTGGCACAGCCGTTCGGGCAACCTGTCATACGCATGACAATGCTTTCTCTAGCTAAGCCTACCTCTTCCAGGGTAGACTCGAGCTTAGAGATAAGAACAGGCAGATAGCGCTCAGACTCGGCCATCGCTAGACCACAAGTGGGGAAAGCGACACAGGCGGAGGAGGAAAGACGCATACCACTGAAAGAGGTGTTGTCGAGCTTGTACTTGGCCATCAATTCCTTGATAGGGGGAAGGTCCTCATCCTTGACGCTCGATAGAATCAAGTGCTGATTACCTGTGAGACGGAACTCGCCCTTGTCAAGCTTTGCCAGTTCACGCAAGCCGGTACGCATCTGGAAGTCGGCAGTATCTTCAATACGTCCGTTCTCAATGAAGAAAGTGAAGTGGTTAAGGCCCTTCTCGTCCTTCAGCCAGCCAAAGGTATCAACGTTTGAAGTAAACTTGAACGGACGAGGTTCAGCAAACCGCAAGTTATCTGGGAGGAGGGCCTCCACCTTCTCCTTGAAGCCCTCAACACCCATGTCGTCAATTGTATACTTCAGACGTGCATGCTTACGGTTTTTCCGATCACCGTGATCACGCTGGACAAGCATAATCTTTTCACAGACAATGTGAGCCTGATCGGCAGGTACATATCCGAACATGCGGCCCGTCTGGGGATATGTCTTCTTGTTGTTGTGAGTGGCACCCATACCACCACCAGCGAGAATATTGAAACCTTCCAAATGCCCGTCGGATCCCTTGATGGCGATCAAACCAATATCGTGCGCATACACATCGGTATCGTTGTGAGGAGGGATTGCAATTGTAATCTTGAACTTACGAGGCAGGTATGTAGGTCCATAGAGGGGCTCGTGATCGACAATAGCATCTCCTGCGACCTGAACTTTCTTGTCATCGTCATCCTTCAGCCAAATCTCATGGTAAGCTGTAGTAGAGGGAAGAAGATGGTCACTGATCTTCTGTGCGACGGCATGCGCTTCGCGATGGAAGTAAGAAATCTCTGGAAGGGAGCTGCACATGACATTACGGTTGACATCACCGCACGCCGCAATAGTAGTCATGAGTGACTTGTTGATAGCACGCATGGCGCCCCGGAGGTTACGCTTGATGACACCATGGAACTGGAAGGTCTGTCTCGTCGTGAGTTTCATGGTCTCGTTACCATGTGAGCTGCTGATAGCGTCCATCTGCAGCCACTGAAGAGGGGTAGCAACACCACCGGGAAGCCGGCAACGGATCATGAAGCTGTAGGCGGGCTCAAGGCCTTGGGCTTTGCGCTCATCGCGCACGTCACGATCATCTTGCATATAAGTGCCGTGGAACTTGGTCAATTGTTGGTCGCTTGCAGAAATAGCACCAGTAGTCTCATCCAACAGACCCTCAGCAATAGTACCGCGAAGGTAGTTGGACTGGATTTTGATGTCCTCGTTCGTCAAAGGCGCGGGTTCCTCAGGTAGACCCTCGACCTTGTCCACGCCCAAGGCTTGCCAAAGTCGTGGTTCCCAGTCAGAGTAACCGGTCTGGTAAGCGTCTGGATCTTGATCATCACCGAGGCCAATATCTGTGAGCTTACGCCCACCAAGGAAGGCAACGCGGGTATCAAGGTCCTTGGCTGGCTTGTTGTAGTAGATCTTATCTTCCTTGCGCGGCCAGTAATGGCTGTCACCAAGACCGAAAACAGAGTAGTTGATGGTAGATAAGTCCAGATCACCAGAATTCTTGACGAACTCCCACAGACCACGGCCATTTACGGGAAACTCTCCCTGGCCTGCAGTGCTGGTGATGAAAACCACATTCTCCTCAGTGGACAGATCTTCGAGTGGGTAATCGTCCATGGCCACAACCATAGTCTTCAAACCCCTGGCACGGCCGCGATTTCCAAGACGCTTTGCTAGATTCTGAGCATTACCACCGTCTGATGCGAACAGAATAGTCAGAGGAGCGCCAAAAAGACCTTCAAGAAGCTTCTCATAAGAGTCTTTAGCCTTGCGCTTCTGAAGGGCCCGAACCTCAGTGCCGTAAGACTCAGAGAGGGCAGAAGAAAATTTAGGATAACGCTTCATAAGCTGGCTAAGCTGGTTATCCCTTCGGAGGAACTCTTCAAGTTCACGCTTGATGCGTTCCGAATCCAAGGAGAACTTGGGCTCGGCGTTCTCGTCGTTTCCGGGGTTCCAGCGGTACAAAGGCCAATATCCAAGATCGATAGCCTTCTTAGTCTCCTGAAGAACGGTCAAGGCAGAGTCGTCCTCCTGGTGATACGGCAGATATGCAACAACGACGGATGGACCCTTAAACTGCTCAGCCTCGGCCATCGCTTGGAGAACCTGAGTGTAGGAGCCGTACACAGCAACTGAGGCAACGTAGGCATTGCCGTAGTTCATGGCGTAAAGACCGATATCCTTCTTTCTACGCGTGGGATCAGCAGCGGTGCGCTCTGAGTAAGGCTGAGAATCGATGACGAGCATGTTGACATTAGCACCGGAGGCCAGGACATGGTGGACACCAGAGTTTCCAAGATCATAAGCCCAGGCATCGGAGCCAACGAGCCATAAAGATTCATTGTAGAACAGTTTCTTGGACTCTAAAAGTTTTTTGGACAACTGAGAATCATCCTTGGACAGGAGATCGATGACGTCTGGAGCCAGTTTGTTGGCCTTGGTTGCGTCTCCAGCACTAAGAACCCAGTTTGACAACCATGACTTAGGGGCATCAGTAGTAAAGCTGCCAGCCTTCGAAGCTTCTTCGACCTCCCGCACAAAACGGCGACGGTGTTCCATTCTGGCAATCAATGAACCAAATCCATATTCGGGGCTGGCTGCAATGGTGGAGGAAACACCGGCGTGCTTCGAATCCAATTGGTTGGCAATATGCAAACGGTCCCCGAAGAGCTGGTTAAGGATCTTCAGATAGGCATTCTCAATGTGGGGCTGCTCCAGGGCAGTTTCAAGCGTCGGAACCTTGGAACTACCGACTTCAAGGTTTTGGATAGGAGAAGCAGAGTCCAAGTTCTGGACAATACCGCGGAGGGCCTGGATTGCAGTAGAGGGCTCAACATATCCAAGTCTGTAGCCAACAATTTGGGGGGTGCGTCCGCTACCAGTAGCAGGGGTCAAGCTCGACAACAGATCCATGAACGAAGGGCCCCATTTTGTGGTCTTGCGGACCTGCTCTAGGACAGCGATCTTTTCAATCGAGGTTGGGATGGAGTTCACAACCTGACCGCCTACCCATGGTCGGTACAAACGCGCAGTGATAAGTCCGACGTTCTTGAGTTCACTGGCGGTATCTTCCCTAGATAGGACATCTACGAACACTCCAGTGGAGCCAAAGACAAAAAGAGCGGATTTGGCATCCGACGGACCAGTATACTCGATTGCACGGTAGCTGCGCCCCACCAAGGCGGATAAGTTACGCCATATCTGAGCAGTCCACTCGAAGATGTCCGAGGCGCTCACCGGCCGAACAGAAGAAGCATCCACGGTTGTGGCGGCGGAGCTGGTAGCACGGCTATCTGCGCTGCTATCCCTTCTTGAGGAGCCAACGGAAGAAGTGTCAACGCTGATGCTCAATGGGACCTGAGATTGCTGCGCAGGTGTAGCAGCGCCCTCAGGAGTCCTCGAAGTGTTCTCTACAACTTCATCAGAAACCGTGGCCACTCGTCCGGAATCAGTGTATAATGTCTGGGCACCAAGACCCGTAGAATGAGTAGCATGATGTCCACCCAAGTTCAGAATACTCTGGACGACATTCACATCCTCCTCCGCAATAGGCTCATCGCGGGCAGAATTGGCAGGGTCAAAAAAATGAATGACACCTTTGCCGGACTTGCGGGCCAGAGCATGGGCAGTGATAGAGATATCCTGTGCCTCCTGAATGGTCTCTGAATGTAAAAATGTGAAGCCACACTGCCGTATCGAGCTGATTACTGAGTAATCTGGGAATGGAGAAGGCTCCAAGGCGACATGGATAACAACGGGAGAGTTCGCCAAGCGGTAGAGGTGGGGGATAGAAGAGAGTAGGACAGAGGAACTAGAGACAACGGAAACCGCACTGCCATTCTGTAAAGGGTGGAAAGCAGAGAGAAGAGGGTCTTCGTTGTACCGTACGGAAACCACCTGGCGAACTTGTCAATACCCTGTCTATACTTAGACAAGCGTGACTCCAACATGACTCACGTCAGGTACGCCCGTGGGCAGAATACTGTGTTTCTTTCCCTCCTTGAGAGCTTTCAGCGGCTTGCTAAACCAAGAATCTGTCTGTAGGGATGGCTGGACGGAAACAACGACATCGCTAGTAAGATAGGCGACTCTTGCCACTGAGAGGAGAGTTAGCACCGCATCACCAGTTCAACCGGTGACCACCGAATCCACGATTAATGCACAAGGAAAAGAAAATTAGGCGTAAAAACAAACATACCTGCCTCTCCAGCAGTTGAAATGGGCGCCATGTTGGCAATTGCCGGTTGCGCTATGCAAAGCGCAAAGGTAGGATGATACTACTGATGATATATAGTGTAGATATCACCGCATACGGTGACTCCACACTCAATTTGAGCTCAATAGATGAGGGGAAAAGGAGAAAAAAGGAAGTGAAAGTGATAGTCTTAAAGACATAGAAAATTAGCTTGACTTGTGCCCGTTTATCTTTACGACTTCCTACAAAATTTAAGCAACGATTTTATTTCCCATAGACTTTCTCCGCCATCGGGGTTGGATCAGCAATCATTTCATTGGGCTGCGATCACGACATCGATGCAAACGGGAGCGGGCAGTGTGTGCAAACATACCCGATTGGGATAAGTGCGGGCAGCCCCGTGACCGGAGGTTGAGCACGTCAGTTCTTCAGCGGGCTTTGCTTCGGCAGAATGCTGATAGGTCAACTACTTCTACCGAGTCTGTATAGATAGTACCTCTGGAGATCTCGAGAGTGTTTCAAAACACCCACTCATCTGCCTGAGGATGACTTTATCATGAGTATTATTGGATGCATTCTTGCTCAGTATGGAAGAGTACCGCACATAGGCAGAGAGATACAGATAGCTTACCCCTTTTTTTGGGGATCGGTATTTGAATACCCGAGATTCGTGCTTGGAAAGCAGCCAAGTCTGGATTGAGAAACGCACTCTCGGGCGAGAAGCTCTCTCGGTATAACGACCTATCACGTGGAGAGAAAATAAACAAATGCTACCACTCCCACTTTCTTTCTTTCCGTAACTCTCCATAGTATTAAGAATCAAACACTCTCCTGGGGAAAGTCTGCAAGGCGTTCTGGAGGTCGACTTATATACTCCAACGGAAAGAGACACTGGGATAGAGAATGTGTCATACAAATTGAGGACTATACTGTATGTTCGGTGTGATTTAGGTTCTCGCCTTTTCTCCACTCCAATAATATGTGATTCCCTGATATAGTGCACGAAACATGACCCCTCAAGACGCCAAAGATGAAACCAACCCCATATTGATATCAATGTACAGGTCCCAGACGTCGGGGACCACATCTAAGAACCAAGCCCTTCCCAACTTACAGCCAACCAAACACCCCGTCCTCTTTCATGAGAACTGCTTTCGTTGGCCTAATATATCCCTGCGCAAACAAAAAACCACAGCTATCCCTGCAATTTTACCCCGGACGGGAAAGGAAAAGAGCCATGAGCATTGCCGAGTCATCATTCTTCCACCTGCTCGATTTGCGCCGAGCGGTCAGTAGATCGTCTCATAATTTACAGAGATTAGAATAGAATAACGAAAACCACGTATGAATCAGGCAAGCGACGAGGCTGTGGACGTTAAAGCCTTGTCGCTTACGAATTAGGCGCCCGCAGAGCGCAGAAGGGCATGGGCGTTCGTCCTTTTTTGCTAAGAGCACCCACGATTTTGAGTATGGAATCCGACGCGGAATTCCCTTCACTGGTATTGCATACCAAGGCTTGGACTGATGACACGTAGCGGGTCGATGACTTCAAATTGCTCCTATTTACCGGCTTTCGCTCCAGTCCTGCATCTTGACGTTCATACCGGGAACCTCATAGATTGGTTGTTGCAAGGCAGCCGCCTGGACAGCCGACTGAGAAGGCTGTGGAGGGCCCGTTCCAGATCGGCGTCTTCTTTCTCGTTCAAGAGGGCCGGGAAGCTCGGTGTTCTCGCCACGGGTACGGAACCGACGCCCGATGGTGTCCATCCAGTTACCATCTTCATCTTCGCCCAACCAATAATTGCGACCGACGCTAATCATAGCGCGACCAATCTTTCCTTGCCAGCCCTGACCATCGGGAGTGAACGGCGAAAATGGCTCCTTATCGATATCAGCGACACTGGCCACACTGGCAATGGAAGTGTTGCGGCTGTGAGTCGGGAGCTGAGTGTGACGAGGTACAGCGATGTAAAGACGCAGAGACTGGCGAGCAAAGGCTAGCATGACGAAGACAAAGTATGCGCGGATAATCCATAGCGAGCAAATGAAGGCAATGCTCTGGAAGCTCTCCGGTTGGGTGACCGCGTTGCCCAAAGCTTCAGACCTTCTGGCATAATTTTCAGACGAAGAATCGTACTTGGGACTGGTGAAACCCGCGGTCTGAGCGATCGTCTCACTTCCGGGTCCAGAGGGATTTCCACTCTCATAGTGTTGGGAGACGACAAGGAACCATGTTACACCAAAAGCAGCGGTATAAGCGGCGTTGATGACGCTATCGAGAAGGTACAGCCAAGCCAGAGCAAGGCATTGTAGCGGGGACTGTTTCCGGATATGTGGGAAGAGCAGGGCAGTGAGGCCGAGAGCGAGCAGTGAATAAAGGTACATGGACAGTTGGACAGGCGAAAGGTGGTAGCCGGTCAGGAGGGCGAGCAAGCCATAAAGGCCGCTAATTTTGTTTAGCAGCAAAGATAGCGTGATTAAAGAAGCGCCCGTTCGCAGGCTCATGACATAGAGGAATGTCTGTGGTATTCCGAGGTTCAGTCTTAGCATCGTCTATTAATCTAATAACGGAAACGGTATCACGAAATTTTAAATTCTGACATACCTCTGGCCGCGGGATGCGGAGGAAACGGGTTGAAAACCCCATCCTTGATATCGCCGATGGGATTCTGTGGAAATGGCACGAGCGATGGAAGGGGACAGCAGAAAAGGGAAAAGGAATGGAAGCCAATATGTGCAGAAGAGAAGAAAGGGAGAAGGCTGGAAGTCAGCGGCGCTTGGGGGTCACGATGCCCAGTATTGTCACACCAGGGGCTTGGTTTTCCGGACGATCCGCCCCGCCGATCCTTTCTGTTTTTCGCCTCTTCTATGCCAAGAAATTAATGACGTTTGGGTACATGACTCTTGCGTCCAATATCTGCTCACAATGATTAAAGGGGAGAGAGAAGATAGAAGTTAGAAATGAATCTTCTTAAGTATTTATTCTTTATCCGACTCCTGAAACACATTGATTCGAGTGAGTCCGTTCGCGAATGAGCCCTATTAGGCTACATCAGGCAATACGAGTACGACCCTTCCCGATGCTAGCGCAAATAGTTTAGATGTTTGCTGTGAAGTCGTAATCACTACCTTCCGAATATGTCTGCCTTGACCTTGGCGAATCGGTTTTATTTTTTATTTATTTATTTATTTATTTTTTTTTCAATTCTTGTGGCTGTGTTAGATTGGTAGGTTTGGCTGTGCTGTATCTCCGTACGCGCTCTCTATAGTTGCGGATAGAGTACACCAGGTATAAATTATTCGTGTATGATGGGCGTTGTCCAAAATCTTACAAGAGCCGTGACATCTTAAAAGCCATAACCTCAAAAGGGGCAGTTAAAAGTAAAAAGAAGATATCGCAAAAATCTGAGCAGTAAGCCATGAGATGCTGAAGATGCTGCAAGTAGAACGCCAAATTCTCCCACCAAGCACCAGACAACCGCATGAATAGAAAAGGAAAAAAGGGAAAAGGGAAAAGGGAAAAGGGAAAAGGGAAAAGGGAAAAGGGAAAAGGGAAAAGAGAAAAGGGAAAAGGGAAAAGGGAAAAGGGAAAACAGCTTCGATCTAAACACGCTATTCACTCGAGAAGCAAGGGAAAAAATGTACAGATTAAGAATGACAGAGCAATATTGACAATCTCAAACCTCATCATTGAGATTGAGAAAAACAGATAGGAGAACGCAATGGAAAGTGACCAGGTAGTACATGACAGAATTTAACAGGCGCATCCATCGTTGGTCGTGGTTTCTTTAGGGGTAATGTTCACATCGATCACTAAAGGTCAAAAACCGTCAGTGCTCAGAACTTAGGATGAGATGAAGTTTAGGAAAAACAAACCTTGACTCTCTCCTCTGCTACCCTCGCCTTCCATGCCCGGTAGAGCTTGGGCTATCCGCCGGAACAGTTGCTTAACGTTATGGCCGACCTTGGCGCTAGTCTCAATGAACATCAACCCGTTCTTCTTTGCCTCCTCTTCACCCTGCGCAGTAGTGACCTCGCGCTTGTCGTTAAGATCAGTCTTGTTGCCAACTAGAACAATAATCACGTCATTGCCACGCTCCCCCCGTACGTCATCAATCCATTTCCGAGTGTTTTGGAAGGATTTGGCATTTGAGATATCGTAAACGACAACGGCAACGCTCGAATCCCGAATGTAGGAAGGAATCAATGATCGAAATCGTTCTTGACCGGCTGTATCCCAAAGCTGAAGTCGGACGGTTCTGTCCTCGAGGTACATGGTCTAAAGATTTAAGTGAGTTAACACTGACGCGAGAGTATATAAGGCGGGGACCTAGAACCGAGAGGCTAGCTGGTTGCGGTGAGATAGGTATACCTTTGAGAGGAAGTCGATTCCAATGGTCGCCTGATATGTGTTGTCAAATGAATCGTACATGAATCTTGTGATCAACGAAGTTTTGCCAACTGCACCTCACCATCAGCAACATGCACAAGATTTAAGTACATTGACAAATAGTGTGGAACCCGTACCGCTCTGCTCTCCCAAGAACACCAGCCTGCAATACAGTCAGCGATTAACCTAGGCCACAGAAGAGTTCAGTGCACCAGGCCATACTTAAATTTCTTCAAAGGGTTCGAATACGACCCTACAGCGGAAGTCGATGCCATTGTGACAAAATAACGTGTTGTGGAGTAATGGTAGGATCAGGGGTAGTGGAGAGAAAGTCGCAAATAATCTATGTGTAAGGGCGAAAGGGTGCGCAGAGGGGTTTAAGGATAGAAGAACATGAGAGGGGAAATATTATTAGAGACCAGACATGAATGCGGCCAAACGAGGCGCAGGAGGTGATAAATCGACTGGGGGGAGAAGTGAAGTCAACTCAAACCCATGGATCAATATGGGGAAACTGTACGGTAAGTAAATGTTATGGACTGACAGGCCAGCAATAACTCCGACCGCCTCCCGATGAACGGATTAAATCCGGCCCGAACCATCAACCATCAGCGCAAGGTGCGGGTGTTGCTGTTGCTCCAGAGTTATCCGGACAAGAGCTCCGCTCCACCGCAATCCTACTATCGTTTGCGAGTCTTCCCTCAGGTGTCTTAAGGCCCTGTAGCTTGATTATTACTTCCTCCAGCTTAAAGATTGTGGATAAGTTGGAGGTCACCATGGGTCTCACATATCCAGCCGGTGCTGCTACCGTGTCACTCCTAGTGATCGGAGGCTGTGAGTGATCTCATCAAACAGGGTTGTTCATACCGACCGCTAATTAATACTTGTAGATATGCTTTTCCACGGTGATGGCGAACAATTCAATGTATTGCGAGACATTTGAATGGTACATAAGGTGCATCGTTAACACGTCCTAGGTTGGTCAATTCCTCGAATCCGTTTCGCCATATGCTTGGGCAAACATCGGTATCGCCATGTGTATAGGGTTATCAGTCGTTGGAGCATCATGGTAAGTCCCTCCATGAAACTATGTTTTGTGTTGTGTCATTACTCATGGGTTCACTATCCAGGGGTATCTTCCTCACCGGTTCATCGATTGTCGGCGGAGGTGTCAAGGCACCAAGAATTCGGACGAAGAACTTGATCTCGATTATCTTTTGCGAAGTCGTGGCTATCTATGGTGTTATCATGGCAATTGTTTTCTCTTCAAAGCTCAATCTCGTTGGCGATGACGAAATCTTCTCTGGCAGCAACCAATATACTGGATACGCGCTCTTCTGGGGTGGCATCACTGTTGGAATGTGCAACCTTATCTGTGGTATCTCTGTTGGTATCAACGGAAGCAGTGCAGCGCTGGCCGATGCTGCTGACGGAAGCTTGTTCGTTATCTTGTCCCTACTTCGGCACAGTCCGTAACTAACGTTTTCGCAGGTTTGTGAAGATCCTTGTTATCGAAATCTTCAGCTCCGTACTTGGCTTGTTCGGACTTATTATCGGGCTTCTGGTGACAGGTAAAGCTCTGGAATTCGGGGCTGCCTAATGGTTGACGAAAGGATGTCTTCTCTGAGAGAGGACCACACGAGTCGGGGGTAGGAACCATTGTATGACCTTCTATATTACAGCTTCATTTTGTTCTGGTGTTCTCTTATATACTGCATTATGGCGTATGGATCCGATCTGACTGTAGAGTCTTTTGGGTATGCGTGAATAGCATTGATTGTCCTGCTAGTTTACTATGATATGTGGGGGTAGTGTACAGTAACAGGCGTCGGGAAGTACTGGAAGTGCTAAATAGGTCGATATATGGCATTTTTCTCTTTTCGAGTATAGCATTTAGGTTAAATATTTACATATGATTACATAAACGTGTTTTGTAGGTGTACTATTGGCATTGATAAGATTATCGTTAGATACATGCCGGCGTTTGCCTTTTTATATCTCCGGGTTCCCCGCATCCCGACAAAAACCACCCAACTAACAATTCAAGATGGCAGACGACAACCTCAAGGCAGCGATTTTGATCGTATCAGATACCGCATCCCAAGATCCTTCCACGGACAAAGTTGCTGATACTCTCTCGACCTTGTTCTTCACGGAGGGGTCGCATACTTGGGATCAGCCAACCACTAAGATCGTACCTGATAACGTGCTTGATATCCAACGAGCCATTTGTGACTGGACGGATGGGCCAAACTGGCTTAATCTCATTCTTCTTAGTGGCGGTACAGGATTTGCGGTTAAGGACAATACACCCGAGGTTAGTTGAACCCGCTGGAGGATGTCCTTCTTCACTAAATTCGTAAATTAGGCTGTCTCGCCTCTTATCCATCGCCATGCCCCCGGTTTAGTGTGAGTTGCGTTACCTCTCAGTATTCATCTTGAGATTACTGACGGAAAGGCACAAGGCATGGCATGATTGCTGCTTCATTGAAAGTCACACCTTGTAAGCTAAATGCTGTTGGAGACATGCTGACTAGGATATACGCTAACGACTGTCTTAGTTGCGATGATGGCTCGGCCTGTTGCGGGTGTCAGAGATAAAACATTGATTATTACCTTGCCTGGTTCCCCAAAAGGGGCCAAGGAGAACCTTGAAGCAGTCTTCAAGCTTCTGCCACATGCATGTATTCAAGCAGCTGGTGCTAATTCCCGAGCCATCCATGCAGGTGGGGTGAAGAAGCTGGAGGCTGAAGCAGGCGTATCCTCAGGAAGCCATCAGCCAGCAGGCAAAGCAGATCACACACACAGCCATCACTACCATCACCACCACCATGACCATTCCCATAGTCATGGGCATGTTGTTCCACAGGCACATACGTCGCCATCGGAGAGGCCACAATCAAATGATCCTAATGCAGGGCCAAACCGCCGATACCGCGAATCTCCGTATCCGATGCTCTCTGTTGATGAAGCACTTCGACGGATCAGCGAACAGACCCCGGATCCAGTGGTTGTCGAAGTTCCCGTAACTACTGCCTTGGTTGGTTCGGTCGTTGCCGAGGATGTCTACGCTGCAGAGGCTGTTCCGGCGTACAGAGCAAGCATTGTGGATGGGTATGCTGTGATTGCACCCGAAGCGTCAGAAATTGGGCCGAGCGTCAAGGGAATTTTCCCCGTGGCATCTATTTCTTACGCCAACCCGGGAGGATCATTGTCGCCTCTGGAGCCTGGAACTATCGCTAGAATAACCACAGGAGCTCCTCTCCCACCGAACGCCAACGCCGTGGTCATGGTTGAGGATACAGTGCTCGCTTCATCAACTCCGGATGGTAAAGAGGAAGCGACTGTAGAGATATTGACGGGTGAAATCAAACCAAATGAGAATGTCCGTGAGCCAGGGAGTGATATTGCGCTGGGATCTAAAATACTTCAGAAGGGTGATCTGATAACCTCGGTCGGAGGTGAGATTGGCCTTCTAGCAGCATCGGGAACAAAGACTGTCAAAGTTTTTAAGAAGCCATGTGTGGGCATTCTAAGCACAGGAGACGAGCTTGTTGAGCACGACAATCCGAAAAAGCTCCACGGAGGACAAATTAGAGACTCGAACCGTCCATCTCTCCTATCTTGCCTTGCCTCCTGGGGCTTTCCCACTGTCGATCTAGGCATTGCTCGTGACACACCAGTAGGTGAGCTGGAACGAAGCCTTCGTGATGCCCTCCGTGGAGTGGGGAAAGCCCAAACCAGCGTGGACGTGATTATCACTACTGGTGGTGTATCAATGGGTGAGCTCGATCTGTTGAAGCCCACTATTGAGCGCTCGCTAGGCGGAACTATTCATTTCGGCCGTGTGTCCATGAAACCAGGCAAACCAACCACATTCGCTACAGTTCCGTTCAAACCGTCATCATCAACTGAACAAGCCCAGCAGGAACGCGAGACTAAGCTCATCTTCTCACTACCCGGAAATCCTGCTTCAGCACTCGTGACGCTCAATCTATTCGTCCTCCCATCCCTCCACAAGCTGATGGGCATGGGTGAAAAGCAAGCTGCACCCGGCGTATCGTCAGCACTCGGACTACCTCTCGTTTCAGTTAGCCTCGCACATACGTTCCCGCTGGACCCCAAACGTACCGAGTACCACCGGGCCATTGTGACAGCCTCTCGGTCTGACGGCCGATTGCACGCTTCTAGTACGGGCTTGGGAGGAGTCGGGCAGCGGAGTTCCAGGGTAGGAAGCTTGGCGAGCGCAAACGCGCTGTTAGTGCTTCGCCCAGGAAGTGGGAAGGTTGAAAAGGGGACTCTGGTGGAGGCACTGATGCTTGGACCAGTTGTGGCAGTGGAGTAGATGCTGTTTATCCTTGATTTGAAGTATGTTGTGCTTAATGTGTCACACGTAAACACTGACAATCATGCCAATATACATTATCTCACATGTAATATGATGTTAGCTATTTATGCTTTTCAAACAGCCATCCACAAAAAGAAGAAGTCCAAATACTACCAAAGGCAAAAAACAGTAAATCCTCTCAGCCGCACAGTCGTCCACAACCGACGCCCCTCAGGATCCAGAACCTTACACTATTCATCATCCTCAACCACAATTCGGAACATCCGACTAGTCCCCGCCACCCTCCCTCCTAGCCAAGCCCCACGGTCTCTCCAAAGTCTCCCGATCATGGGAAAACTTCCTCGGAAGGCCCGCAGCCACCGAGCCCCCGTTCCCGGGACGACCAACTCCCGATATGAGTCCCTATAATAATCGCCCCTGGCTTAGAGGAAACTAACCTCATTGTACGCATATCTGTACGCACATGCGTATCCCAATCAAACAAGTGCACGAAATACACGGAATTGATCACCTTGATGCGGCTGGTTAGGCTCTTCAGCCCCGGGGTATCATCGAAAAGTCCTGCATGATGAACTTACCCGCCAGACTGGCTTCGTCGTTAATTAACTTGTACCCTAGATCGATGTACACCTGGACAATGTCTAATCCGATCATGTTTGCTGATGGTGCACCGTCTTGCACCAATTACCGTATTTCTTGTCCGAGATCGAGCCTAGGTCTAGGAATAGATTCCGTGTTTGAATCTGTGCTAGGTCTTATTTGTAGAGGGGCAAAAGGGAATGATCGGACTGGAGGAGCCAGTAGTGCTAGATACAGTGGGTATTTGGTGATATTCCAGACTTGTTGGACCTATGAGTTGTCAAAGGATGTCTCGGGATGGAAGGGAGGTTATAAGGACGATGCACAGGACATGTTCTTCTGCTCGTTTGGGGTTGATATTGGCATACTCTCTGACGACGAGAGCTCCTGCTTCACTATTGAGGATATGGGAGATGTCGATGTCCCCGTTCCATGTTGATGAACTTGAAAGTTGAGGTTGTTGGATGACCATTGGCGGTTGATGGTGAATGAGAGGCCTAGTCCTCTATTGTGGGACTGCCATATGGCAATATGCGTTCATCAAAGAGAATAAACTGCATCTACAGTTTGTAATCTAGGCAGGGGACTCTGGGTAACTTTATCCGAAGTGTATTCTCAATACATCACAGAAACAGCTTTCTAGTCAAGGTTGCTAGATTATGAGTTGTACTTTGCTTTCTTATGGCGGTGGGCAGACCGTACACCCACTCAACTACTACATAGTCAAGATAGACAGACTAGCATGACTACTTTATGAGCTGTCGATGCCTGTTACGACCGGCACAATACGCCGTGCTCTATATTGTACAGCGTCTTGACACGCTTCTATGGCTTTTAATCGGTCTATGAAAACTATGTTATGTGATGGATTATCATCTACTGATTCTCATACTAGATTTCCCCAACTGTGTAAGCCCTAGGGTGAGGCCGAATTTTTGAGAAAAGACTCCGAATATAGATATTCATTACAGTTCTTCTGTTAAGATCATGACAAGGGAGAGAACAAGCCAATAACGCCCCCAACACAACAAAGAGGACATGGTTCGTGAAGGAATAAGAAAAGAAAAGATCAATACTATCTAACCCACGCTTGCGAACAGGATATTGTACCAGAGAACACCTCGCCCGCCAAGAATATGCGAACAGATCAAATTCGCAGCAAACAAGTACGTATACCATCTACATTAATCAACCCTTATGGATTTTCCAATTCTTCTTCTTTTCAGCCCGGAACGCAGGGATGGTATAATCTTTACCTTGCTTGCGAGCGATTTCTATCACAAGGAACCGCACGAAATCTGAAAGAGTCCAGTAGCTGCTATGTGCACTGAGCATGTTCAAGTACTGGATGTTTAGCGGCCCTCCACCCCCGGAAAGGTAGTAGTCTATTTGACCATTGTCATTGAGAAGTAACATACGCTTTTCCGCGATCTCTTCGCGGGTGAAATCATGGGTTTCAAGCTCGACATTGGAAGGAAGTTTCGAAAGGGCGGCAGGGCGGGAAGGTGTTACAGTAGCGGTAGCCATTATGGAGGGAGCCGAACTCCAACGAAACACGCTGCCGAAGGACTTCCAAAATGATGCTGACGAGCTTGGAATAGAAGTTACCTTCAGTGAGTTGGCTAAGTCGCTATCGACGGCTGCATTTACACGATATGCAACTGGGTCTGTTGTGTGCATGATGTTGTAGAGGTTGTCCACAGCCAGACATCCATATGTGTCGGCTTCTCCCGCCACACCACGTACTAAATCATCGCCTTCGCAGCCAGGTTTCTCTCTTCCACGCCGCGGTAGGAGATTTGCTTTGTTGAGAAGTAAGAAGAACCCGGCCGGACTTCCACAAAGGAATAAATCTTTGGTGTCAAACTCGAAAATGTCTCCCCGAATACTAGTTTGGGAGAAATCAAAATCGGGTACATGTGTGGGCTGATGGCTGAGTATATCCAATGCCATTGCGCTTCCGAGGGAATGCGCAAGTAAGTGTACACGGCCATGCTGCTGAAATCCAGGGTTGTTCTTGCACCAAAGCCGAAAGATGCGATTGGCTTCTTTGACAACTGCTTGAATCATTTTCGGCTTATGATGCGACATGTAATAAGGAATATCTAGCATGACATCGCTTATCAATGACCTAACGGCAGGTATAGTCTCCGGGGTGATGTCATGAAGGGTGAACTGGTTGCTAGTTGGATCTTCAACACCCTGAGCATCAAAATTGGCGTCCTCCAAGGACAACGTCGAGCGCCAATTTACAGGAAGGATCATGATACCTCCGTGACCCTGGCGTACATGGGGCCATACCGGCTCGCTGTTTAGTTCCTCATTTATGTTTCTGCGAAAAGCGTTAATGGCGTGTGTGAAGTGGAAGCTTTCCATACGCTCCGACAGCTTTTGGCCGATGCCGTGAATAACAAGCACCAGGTCTGTTGGTGTAGGGCGCATTTCTTCGATGGAACAGGCATAGCAAATCTGCCTGCCGCCGCGTGCTGTGGACATAGTGCGAGACTGAGTACTTCGCAGGTAGTTTCTGACATCAACCGGATTCGGCTTCGACGGATGTAGCTGGTCCCATAATCGCCGATTGAAGCCACGAACAACAGGTATGCCGATCTGTCGCCCTTTGCGAATCGAACTAAGTGGCCGTCTTCCTCTTGACACTGAGGGTAACAGACTAGGTCGGAGGATTTGGGCATCTTTGCCATCAACATATATAACACTAGAGTTCATATATTGTTTGACAGCTTCTGAATGCGCAGCTGGCCCTCCAGCAGCCCGACTCTCGTCAAGGGATGCGATAGCAGGATTGGGAGTGCCGAGTCCTTCCATTCCGCTGGGAACAGTGCTGGATGATTCTAGATCACGCGTCACTGTAGCCGAGCTGAGACGCTTCGGATCATCTTTCGCCCACAGTTTGTGCACAATCTTCATTTCGGCATCAGCCCCATTTTCAACACAGCTATTGAGCTCATCTTGCCATGTCTCAGTCCATGGTTTAAGATATACGTAGCCATCCTCGAGTTTATTGGCAAGGTCTGTTTCCACGGGTAGCATCGTATTCTTGTAGAACCATGTTGCGCGAATAACACTTGAAATATCATGCAGAGGACTCCAGTATATAGGTTTCATCTATCACGTTTAACACTCGGCTGTCAAGAATGAGGCAATGTATACATGTACCATACCTTCAGGTTTGGCAATTCGACCAGGTGAAGCCGGGATGCACCAACAGGGATTTTTAGCTGAGCCTTCTGGTCCTCAATTGAAATGACAGAGCCATCTAAAGGGTCTTCGGAAGCTTTTTCTTGAGGTAAGCTCGTTCGCAGCCCTGACGGTTTCTGTGTAATATGACTGGGCAAGTTGGTTTGGTGTTCAGTTCGATTGCCTTGATCTCCATCCTTTGAAGAGGCAGACTCGATTGAGCGTCCCAGCATGCTTTCAGAGGGGCCTAGAGGGGCCCTTGCAAAAGGCGAGCCACTGATAGTGCTATCGCGCGAGGGGAACCCACGCCAACTTGTGCTTTCTACACTATCAGAAACTGGACCTTCACTATGCGAGGAGTCGGTAATCCTGCGTCTAGCTGCCTTAGAGTTGCTGTTGGGGGATGACTCTCTTTTGCGATAGGTAAGAATGCCAGACCTATCGCTTTCACCTATGCCGCGATCTAGACTATAGCGGCCACGAGGTTTTTCCGCGGAATGTTTGATGCTCGCCTCTGGGCTGCGACACGGTTCATCGTCCAAGACGCTGCCTAGAGCACTTGGATGACTTTTGTGGCTCCCAGCCCAACTTTTATCGCCATGGCTCCCCGAATTCCTTTTGCGATCCGTGTCAAGAAGGAACTCCCTCCCAGGTACTGCGATTCCAGAGTTTCGATTAGACGAAGAACCCTCCCGCGAATGTTTCTTCGCCGCTAATTCCTGCTTTGTGGTTCGTAGCACAGATATCCAGGACTCTTCTAGTGCAATGTTATCCTTGACGGAAAAGGGCTGAGGGGGGGCCCTTTCGTTACCCGGCCCTTGATTGCCGGAGGGAGGTAAAGCTGTTAACGGATCATCGATCGGTAATGAGGAAACGTAGAAGAACTGAGGGCGAACTTTGGGTGGTTTGTCTAGAGAATGCCAGGAAGATGGATCAGGATCGTCGTGTGCCAGTAAACATGTTGGGCCGTAAGTATGGATAGGGCCTGTCATCGTGAGAAACCCCACATATGCTGGGTATTATGAGCTCTTTCGCGAAAGAACAGAGCACGGAAATAAAATATACTAGCACAAGACTAGCATATTTCAAACGAGCAGTGATTAGCGTTCTCTAACGTTGTCTGGAACTCGCGTCAGCAAGGGAGGATCGGGGGAAATGATAGCTTCAGAATAGCTTAGCGTGCGGGCTAGGAAAGATAAACTATAAGAAGAATGGTGAACACGGTAAGGCAAGCATCATTAGAGGGCTAGACAACGGCCCCTTCGCTGCTAAGGTAGGACAGGTGTGCATGTTTGGCCAGATGTTGTTCTTTTTTCCCTGGAGAGCCCGCGACTGAGCCTATGACGTCGGCCCACGTGCCCTGGGCTTCCCGCGGGAATTCGTTGGCCGAAAATTAAGACACGTCGTCTTGAAGTATCTCAACATTTCTCTAGTCCTTTTTGAGGTGACCACTGTCTTGGAGGAATGAAAGATCTTGGATTGCTTCTATTAAAAGAGCGGCTGATACCAGCGATGCGCTAACAAAAAGTGGCCTAAATTAAATACAAAGTGGAGAAAGACCCCAAAGGTCCTGATAACAAACTGCGTCGCGGTTCACTTGAATTCAACCAAAAGCAAAACAAGAACTGCGTACTAAGCGATAATTTGAACTACATGAGCGGCCCTGAAAGCCTTTCGGTGTTTGTCTAGCTCCATGCTCCACCTAGCTAGCACCGGCGTCTAGACTTATCTTCCTCTTACGTGGGGCCTGGAACCGCGTTGTTGTCTAGTCACTATGATTGCATTTCTCGACATGATCTCCCATCAATGACAGTGTTCGCATGTGCAGTTTCTGGAAAACGACTAGGGTGGCAACCGGTGCTCCTAGCATATCGAGGAGCTTGTAGACGTCGTGCAAATGCTTTCGGATCACACTGTCAGGAGCACAAAAAGTGCGGACGCTCATCTCCTTCACGATTGCTTTCCAGTTATGGAGGTTGGAACTCAAAAGGACTGGATTCGTCGAGCTCTCTGCATGAAATCTCAGTGATTTCTTGTTTTCGGAGATCAGGCGTCTTTGAGTGGCTTGGTCAAACTGGAACTCAACGACCTGTGGCCTGTTTTTAGATCCCCAGAAGTCCTTGATTTTCTTGATCGATTCTCCAGAAAGACGACCTTCCTTATACTGTTGGACGAGGAATGCATTCGCGCTGACGCATATCATAACCTCCAGCTCCGAATACAGCACTGCTTGTACTGGAGGACTCAGTGAGATGGGAACGCTTGATTGTGGTAGATGACCTTGCATGCCGCGGGATTTATGACTGATTGTCAGGGAAGCCCTCGCCATCCCTTCAGCCTAATATGAATGTTAGATCGCGAAACAAGGTCATGAAAAGGACAAAAGCACCTACAAATCCTTCTATTATTTTCTTTCTCAGATCCTTAAGGCCTTTAGACTTGTGCTTCTCACTTGATAGGTTTCTCAAGCCTTCCGTGCCCCCGAGCCAGCCGTTTTCTCCAAAAAGCTTTTTGTGCGAAGACCGTACTTGAAAAAGTGGGTTGTTCATATGATCAAGGTTGGACAATTCACGCTGGCAGTGGTTGGTATAGCTCTCCATGGGTGACAATGGCTGCTTGTAGGGACCTTCATACTCCAAGATTGCAGCTTGGCTGGAAATGACCTCGTGGTGCGTGTGAAAGGTTGGTGTATACTCATACCCTCCATGAATAGCCACGTGCATCCTCTCCGCTGCAGAGACTTCAACGATGAAGGGCTCGACATCACGTACTGGAGCAGGTGACGAAAGTTCTAGGGCGCAGAGCGACTGGTCGATTTCCGATATGGAGCTAATGGATCGCGAAGACTCTGTTGATGCATATGAGGAGGGCGCGCTAATTATTGCCTCAGAGGACGCGTCCCAGAAAGCTTTATATTCTTCGTAGAAGGCATTGAGTTTGGCGACATCCTCATAAGGGAGTCTTCGGCTGCTTGGATTAGCATATCAAACCGTCTCAACTAAGTCTTTCGTTACTTACTCTGGACCAAGCATGATGGGGATTTCAGACGAAGTTTGTCTCATTGTTAAGTGGATAGGCTGAGGAGGACTATGGCGTTTTTCCTGTGGTAAGAGGGAGTAGCAGGAATATGAAGTTGAATGGCTAAAGTAGGATTCAAGGATGAAGCTTGATAATGTAGACTAGTTGTACTCGATGAGGTCGGAAGAACTATCTTTTCTATATGATTTTCTACAATTCAAGTCTTGGAGAGTATCATATTGTATATCAGGGCGGGGTGGCTACTTGGGATCTACAGCAGCTGCCTATAGGGTTCAAATCATTCAATAGGCAACTGCCTTCCCTATTCAGTAGTACGAAAGGTGATTGTTCGCTATTGACACCAATACAGGCTTTCATATTACTTGTTGTATTCAATACCACGATAAGGATTCAATGGGATTGTGTATATAGCTCCTGTGATCTGGTATTGTGGAGAGCGAACTTTGTGTTTCTCTTGTCCAAAGCACTATTCTAAAGAAGACAAAGAGGACATATAACAATAGTAGATATCAATACTCAGTGAATTGGCTTACCTTTGACCTTCCTCATACCCTACCCGCCTTTCTCAATTCCCTTTATTCATGTTGAATTAAAATAGTGACCGCCCGTAGCTGTAGCCATCTCAGTCCATTATAGGTCTCGTTGTCATATCAGGAAGACCTAGTGTGTTCTACCCTTCGATTGTTTTATTAGTCTTGCGTTTATTTGAGACAAGTTGTACATATTTGTTTACTTGCCTCTTATCCCTAGCGAAGAAGACTTGAAGGGAAGCTGCTATATCATGCCTTGTTAATTGACCGGTCCGCCCAGCATGTCGTAAAGAGAATACACGCTCATTAGTGCTACAATGCCATATCCTCCCCCCATGCTGGAGTTGGACGATGCTGGTTCTATCTCTGGTTACAACAATGGCTCATCCGTGATAAAAGCTATGAGTTTATTTGCCGCTGTACTGAATAAGACATTTTACTACTTCTGTTCGTAAAGTGCAGGGACCAATTCAAAGCGATTTATTGAGAAGCAGCCGCCTTTGGAACGTAAATGCCGAAGATGACTGCCCTCTGAGAACTCCGCCTATGGGACTACTTTTAGTCAAGGAATTAAGACGGTAAATTGTGTGACTCGGAGCGGCTACTCGGGATCACAACCATGGTAGTTTCGGGGTTTCACAGTAGGCGCCATAGATTTTGTGATTGTCTGTTGGAGGATGAGAAAAGTCCTGCCTGCCACAAGCCAGGAAATAAGATTACAACTGACTAGTAGAGCATTACCAATAAGGAGAGTTCACTGGTTGGTGTTAATGTGATATAGCCAAAGTTTTCTCGTAGTTGCAGAAAGGTAAAGAAAGAGTCTGCCATGCGATGACTTCTGCTCATGTACTTCCCGTACGGCGTCAATTGATATGTCAGATTGGCCTTCCTGGGAGAGCACTGCTTCCGTAGACATTTGTGTTCTACATCTAGTAAGAGCAATTCAGATGATGACCTCCCACAATGGCTGTCCGTCACCATATTCCCCATCTGATTTGAGTTCCGTATTATTGACTACTACATCTGCATGTTCAGGGACCAATGACAGGCGGCAGAATCAGCACAGAAATCCCGGCGATTCTGCCGAGTTAAGGTCACGTGCTCCATGGCTCCACTTGCCGAGACTTGATTCCGTGCGATCTTCAGACTCTCGGAACGAACGACGGCACTGACATTCTCAGTACATTCCCCACAATTCTGACATAGTTCCCTTCCCCATTGCCTACTAGTCTAGGACCCTTCCCTACTGCGATCTATTTGATTGCTGCACGAACCTAAACAAATCATGTTACTGGTCTCTGGCATCAATTCACCCGAAAGTGAATGCCGTTGTGGTCCTCCGGCGCAAGCTACCATGCTGCTCCTCGGGATCCCTGCCCCAAGCCCTCTTTATTCAAATACGAACGTGTCACCCTCTGACATTCACTTTTTCTTGTATCACCACCCTTCTTTGTCTCTTAGATCCTTGATTTCTTCATGGTGGTGGTGCTTTGATTCTATTACTACCTTGCTTCATAATCGTCATTTGTCGATCCTCACCCCACAACCGTGAATACCGAAGCAATCAAAAGCTTAACTTTCGCATTTTGCCGCCGATATGGCACACAGCCAAGAGAAATATGATATTGTCATCGTGGGTGCAGGCCCTGTTGGCATTCTTCTGTCCTTGTGTATGTCACGATGGGGTTACAAAGTAAAGCACATCGACAACCGCCCGGTGCCCACTGCTACTGGTCGCGCCGATGGTATTCAGCCACGTTCCACAGAAATTCTCCGCAATCTCGGCCTGAAGCGCCAGATTATGGCCTATAAACCCGCTAAAGTCTACGATGTCGCGTTCTGGGATCCCCTTGTTGAGGGAAAAGGCATTCACCGCACGGGTAGCTGGCCTAGTTGTCCCCGTTTCATCGACACCAGATATCCCTTCACAACCCTTGTTCATCAGGGTAAGATTGAACGGGTATTTTTAGATGAGATTCAAAAGGCGGGCACCACGGTTGAGAGACCCTGGACTATTACCGGATTTAAGAATGATGGGTTAGACGAAACTTACCCGGTCGAGGTGCAGCTGAAATGTCTCGATACCAACGTGATCCAGACGGTTCGCTCGAAGTACCTCTTCAGCGGTGAAGGAGCCCGGAGCTTTGTAAGACAGCAGCTTGGTATCCAAATCCACCACAAGGATCCTATCTCTTATGTTTGGGGTGTTATGGATGGTGTCGTGAGGACAAACTTCCCTGATATTGAGGTGAGTGATCTCCAATATCTGTGGTCCGACTGATAAGATACTGACTAGCTTTTGAAACAGACCAAATGCACTATTCACTCTGATGCTGGTTCGATTATGGTGATTCCACGTGAGGACAACATGGTTCGCCTTTACGTTCAGATCGCTTCCTCTACGGATCCTGACTTCAACCCAAGAAAGACGGCGACTGCCGAGGAGGTCCAGGAGACAGCGAAGAAGATTTTGAAGCCATACTGGGTGGAATGGGATCGCGTCGAGTGGTACTCTGTCTACCCAATTGGGCAAGGTATCTCAGAGAGATATACCTTGGACGAGCGAGTGTTTATGGGTGGTGATGCGTGCCACACTCACAGCGTACGTCACGATGCTTATCAAAATATGATTCCAGTTCAAAAACTAACTTATTTTGCAGCCTAAAGCTGGCCAGGGTATGAACACTGCGTTCCACGACGCATTGAATATGGCTTGGAAGCTCCATGCCGTCGAATCCGGGCTTGCCGACCGGGCTATCTTGAGCACATATGAATCTGAGCGGAAAGATATCGCAGAGACCTTGTTAGACTTCGACGCGAGGTACGCTGCTCTGTTCTCTAAACGCCGTCCCACCGCTGGAGAGGTTGGCTCTGCTAGCCACGCCACCGTCGCGGCTGGTGGTAATGATGACGAGGATGAGTTTGTCAAGACTTTCAAGTCTTCATGCGAATTTACCAGCGGCTATGGTGTTGCATACAAACCGAATGTCTTTAACTGGGACTCTACTCACCCTGCTAAGTCATCTCTGTTCGATATCCCCGGTGTGAGACTGATTGCCGGCCGCGCTTTCACACCTTCGACGGTTACTCGACTTGCAGATGCCAACTTTGTGCACTTGGAACAAGAAGTGCCAGCCAATGGTGCATTCCGTATATTTATTTTCGCGGGTAAACAGGAAAGGACGAAGAAGGCCATCGCGGATTTAGGGGCAAATCTGGAGAAGGAGCGCTCGTTCCTGTCTGTGTACCGGAGACCTGATATTGCTGATGTTTCGTTCTTTGAGCGTCACCAGCCTCACTCCATGCTTTTCACCCTTTGTGTCGTGTATGCTACCCAGAAGAACCAAGTTGATATGGAGGCTGTGCCCAAGATTCTCCGCGATTACCACCACCACATCTATGCGGACGACATCCCCGACGTGAGAGTCCCCAATGCCGAGTTCGCTGCACACGAGAAGCTTGGCTTTGACCCCGAGAAGGGAGGTGTTGTGGTAACCCGCCCCGACGGCCATGTTGCCTGTACTGTGCAGTTGGTGGAAGGCAGTGGCACTGTGGATGCCCTGAACGCCTACTTCAACGCCTTCTCAACCAAGCCATTAGGCCAGGAACAGCAACACAGTCGTCTGTGATTCATGATTCGCTGGTTTTTGTGATGCTGCTTGATGTTTATATTAGTATCCTTGCCTTTCCTGTTTTTCTTTTTTCTTTTTTCTTCGTTTTAGCTTGTTTGTCCTGACTACTTAGGTATGACCCGCATGCTTGGCGTTCATTGTATGGCAAATAGAAGTATTTCCTTTATCACATAGAATTAAGTCTTAACTCGGGTTCGGATGGTATTGTGTCTTGTTATTCGTGTAGGAAAGAAAATAAATTGTAGGAGCAGTGTTCTCGGTGGTGTGTGTGTGTGGAACATGCCCACTGTGAAGCTATATTTAAATGATTTCGTTTCTTTGCGGAAAGTGATTCCCCGCACAGATCAACTATCGAGATCTTCTTCCACAGCGCGCACAGTATCAGAACTGAACCAACAGCCAGCCAACAAGATGCTTTCGCTAGTTCTTTCAGCTGAACTCATAGGGTAAGAATTTTTTTTCTTTTTTTTTCTTTTTTCTTTTTTTTTTTTTTTTAAAATATGATTTTCAGAATTAGAACAAGTATACACCTTGTCTGTCCTCATTCTACTTGCATCGATTTTTAGAGCTTCCCCGCACCTCGCCATACACGTCGCAATGGGAATGACTGTAAGCAACTCACATTAATACAGAGTCACCGAACTTCGCCCTCACGATACCCCCGAGGAGCCTTATTTCTATTCCTTCAAAGTACAATGCACTTCCTGTCGGGAGACGCACCCAAACTGGGTCAGCTTCAACCGCTTTGTAAGTACTATCTATCGCAAAACTACCAGATTGCCTCCTTTCCCTGTCCCCTTCGCCCCTGCCTCTGCTTGAGCGTATTCTGGCCTGAGCTAATTCATGATCATATAGGAACAACATGAAATCCCCGGCAGTCGTGGAGAGGCGAACTTCGTCTGGAAATGCAAGCTTTGCCAGGTTAGTCTTTCCACTACTCGAGGGCTATCTTTCTACGTACAGCTGACCAGTATGACTAGAAAACCCATTCTGCCTCCATTGTCGCGGGCCCAAATGCTTACGAAGCAAATGATAAGCGCAAGAGCCTGAAAGTGATTGACCTTGATTGTCGCGGCCTTGAATTCGTCGACTTCAAAGCTGATGTTCGTTACACTTATTTACTTATTTCTTACCAACAAGTACATGTCATGCTGATAAATACTTAGGGCGAATGGGAAGCCAAGGGCATTGAATCTTCCACTCCATTTGCGGCTATCGACCTGTCTGAGGGCGAGTGGTACGACTACGACGAAAAGGCGGGCGATGAAGTTGCCATCAAGGAGATTACCTGGGAGATGGGGAGAGCATGAAGGCATTTTAAAGAAAATACTGCACCGATGACTGCGGGCATGGTTTATAATAGCATTCTGACTTGTCTAATTACCTTTTCTTTGCAAATTGTTTTGTGATTATGGCCGGGACTATTTCTCCTAGTGCTATCTATTCTGCAAGGCAGGTATTAACAATTAAACAAAATGGAGAAAACCACATAGCAAGGGCTACCGGCCCAATCTATTGCAAATTACTACGAAGGATCAGAGAATTGGAGAAAAAAGAAAGGAGGTTAGCTTCATAATGAGTCTCTTGAGCGTTTTGTGTTGAAGGACGATAAAGGCGGTGACTGAGGACATATCATGATTTGCCAGAGGCAAGACCGGCAGTATCACATTTTCGCGGACAACCTTCAATCCGCCCATCGAGCTGGCGACTGCGATAATCCTTTAACTAGCTCAACACGCGACCAGCACAAACCGACTTACGACGTTGGAACAAGTTTCTGACCCAGCTGGCTGATACCACACGTGACGAATTGACGCAGCACAGTCAAACGGGCTGCGCTCTCCTGATATTTGTTGAATCGCGTGCTCCGACCAGACAGCCATAATCATGAGTGTTAGTATCTCCTACTCGCTCTGTTACGATTCGCTTCCAGGGGGACTCGCTTTCCTATTAATCTGTGGCTGTACTGACAAGATCTGTAGTTCCAACCAGTCAACCCCCGCCCTTTCCTGCAGGCTAGGTATGCATATGATTGCCCCGACGCGCTTATCCGGTCGCATTGAGCCTTCCTTTCAGCTGAACCAGACGCCGTTGGAACCACATATCTAACTTGTGTACTATAGGGTCGGTAGCGAAGTCGTCATCCGTCTCAAGTGGGGTCAAACCGAGTACAAGGGCAAGCTGGAGAGCATTGACTCTTACATGAATGTGTTGTTGAGGGACACAGAGGAATTTATCGATGGAAAGAACTCGGGAACTCTGGGACTTGTGCTCATTCGGTATGCTTTGTTCCCACCCTGGCATGATTGAAACCTGTTTGGTGGCGGATGTGAGGTCTTCCGCTTCGAGGATCAGCTTTGCTTTTGACCCCAATCCCGCCGCAGAAAAAGAGCTGTCACTGACTTGGGGGCTTTACACAGGTGTAACAACATCCTTTGGATGGGATCCGCAGACAACGTTGAGATGACGGATCTGGGGCTGCGGTAGAGAATAGGTTGACCGGACGTCGTTTACGAAACACCATGCGAGGGCGTAAATACATATACCAGCTTCTGTCTCCTTGAGAAATATACGTCGGTGAGGGTATGGACGGACGAAAGAGAATTGTCAAATGAGCTTTTGAGAACTGGCTATCACGGGCTCTGTCTATCTTCTTGTTTCTGGCACAAGGCGTTTTCAATGATGGCTTCTAAATACAACTGTTTTGGGTGACATGGCAATTCGACCGAGCAGACGATGATGAAGAGGCCTGAAACTGCGATTTTATGGAACAGAGGAGTTCTACTTATCGCCTGGCAATTCTGTCTATCATCAAAATAATGGTAATGCCGTGCTGTTTACAAAGCACGCGGCATGAAAGTTTCTTAAAGTGTTCGAATATATAGCCACTTAGACAAGCAAATTCAAGGAAGAGTGGTACTCAAAGCGATGCCGTAATATCTTGGGATATACTGACTGTATGGAGCGAGGACTGAGCCCTGGTGCTATCTTTAACCATGCCGTGAATCTACCCCGCCTCGTACAACATCTGCCCATCCTGCGGCTAGACAACATCTCTTAAGGATTATCGTATGTACGGCCACTTGACTAATTGATTTACTGCCTAGACAACTCAAGATGAGCAACTATACTGCAAAGCCACAAAGCCATAATCCAGATGGTTACTACGATCTCGGGTCCTTCCACCGGCCAGTGACCACTTCCAGCCATGAGGCTCAGACCTGGTTCGATCGCGGCCTCATCTGGACGTATGCTTTTAACCATGAAGAAGCAGTAAACTGTTTTGAAAAAGCTATTGGACACGACCACTCCTGTGCCATGGCATACTGGGGGCTGGCGTACACCCTAGGCCCCAACTACAACAAGCCATGGCAATTTTTTGACCAACAGGAACTGGAAAGGACGGTTCAGCGCACTCACCGAGCAGCTGAAGATGCTAGAAAGCTTGGGATTATGGCGAGGCCCGTCGAGTCGGCACTTATCGAAGCCCTCCAAAGGCGATACCCGCAGGATGAGCCGCTAGGAGACTGTTCTTCTTGGAACCAGGGATATGCCGAAGCTATGCAATCTGTTTACCAGCGATTCCCAGATGACCTAGACGTCGCAACGTTGTACGCTGATTCGCTGATGAACTTGACACCATGGGAATTATGGGACTTGCGGACTGGTCAGCCGGCCTCAACCGCACGCACGGTTGAGATAAAGACAGTACTTGATCGGGCTCTAGCACAGGACGGAGCTCTCCGTCACCCTGGCCTGCTGCACATGTACATCCATTTGATGGAGATGTCGGGCACACCCGAGACGGCCTTGCTTGCTGCGGATAACCTGCGTGGATTGGTGCCTGACGCAGGCCATCTTAACCACATGCCTACTCACTTGGATATCCTTTGCGGCGATTATCGGAAGGCAATTGCGTCTAACTCTGAAGCGATCCGTGCTGATGAAAAGTTCCTTGCTCGTGCGGGAGCTGTTAACTTCTATACCCTCTACCGGTCGCACGATTATCATTTTCGAATCTATGCTGCGATGTTCGCGGGGCAGTCAAAGGTTGCCATAGATACTGCTGAAGAGCTAGAGTCGTCCATCCCTGATGAGCTACTACGCCGCGAGTCACCACCGATGGCCGATTGGCTTGAAGGCTTTCTAGCTATGAAGGTGCACGTATTGATTCGGTTCGGACGCTGGCAGGATATCCTCGATCTTGAAGTTCCACACAACAAGAATCTTTACTGTGTGACAACAGCAATGATCCATTACGGGAAAGGCGTTGCGTTAGCTGCAACGGGACAGGTTGATCAGGCAGACAAGGAGCGAGAACTCTTTCATGGGGCGTTGAAGCGTGTTGCGTCTACTCGTATGCTGTTCAACAATAAATGTATTGACATACTAGCTATTGCAGAGGCTATGCTTGATGGAGAGCTCGAATATCGCAAGGGGAATTATGATGCGGCCTTTAGTCACCTAAGACGGTCCATCTCCCTGGATGACGGACTACCTTACGACGAGCCTTGGGGATGGATGCAACCGACTCGACATGCTTATGGTGCTCTTTTACTTGAGCAGGGACGAGTTGAAGAAGCTGCGGCGGTTTACAGTGCCGATCTGGGGCTGGATGAGACCTTGCCCCGTGCGCTGCAGCACCCGAACAACGTGTGGTCGCTACATGGATATCACGAATGCCTGATAAAGCTTGGACGGACTGCCGAGGCAAGCATTATCCAACAGCAACTGAAACTTGCAGCAGCGACAGCCGATGTCCGAGTTCAGTCATCGTGCTACTGCCGCAGAAGTGCTGGTTGTAGCTAGGGCTTCTCGATTACTGCTAATATGCGAACTATCAATTAGATTGAGGTGAATAGCGTGCTTGTCAGATCTACAATAATATTTCTCCACTGATATAGTGGCTTGACCCAGTGTACTTTTTGCATTTCTTGTGACCATTCTCAACACAAGTTCCCAGCCCCTTGGAATGTGCTTATTCCTTTCACTCTGTATCTGTAGCTTAGCAACCATACTTGATGTACTTATAGCAGCTTCACTTGATTCTTACTCAATTGACAAAGCACTTTCACCTGTGGGTTTGCTCCATATCCACAATAATCCCTGTCATTCCCCTCATATAGTTTTCATGTAGCGATAGCCTGGTGTGAGCCTCTGCCCAGATCTAAGGAGCGACTCTCCGTCCGTAGAATCTCTCTAGCTAGTCATAGAATGACCACTCTGCACAATCCTTATATATCTTTCCTAATTCTATCATACTATGAGAACAGGCCGCGATGAAGTCAGTGGCAGCAAGGTTTCAAATACCACCACAGGGCGAGACCCTCACTCGGACGCTAGAAGGCAAACCGATATTCTAGAAGCTTGCACTTATCTCGGGTAATCTGCGTGGGCCTGAGAAGCATCATGTTAACCAGACACCTTCCGGATAGGGAAAACTCGACTCGGTTCCATTAAATTAATATTGTCAGCAAAATGGTTGAGAGTATGGGATTGTGATCATTTCAATCTGATCAACATCCACATGCTAACCCCCTCACTGACGATCCTACGAAATTCCTATTCGGAACAAAAAGCGGGTATGGAAACCGATTTATCACTGACTACCCGATTTCTCAGGCACCAACCCCACTATAGTTGTTCACCGCTGTTATCGCGATTAACCCTCCAAGCCCACTTTTTCCAAACTTCTGATTCTGACAGGTGGACTCACCGTGGAACATGCCCGAGATGTTCGAAAGAAAAACTACGACCGGAGCACGAAAGTCCATCCATCGTTGGCAACGCCTCAACGCAGAGCGATCCACCCGCAATGGCGAAAATTTGAGTCCCACTCTCTCCCCCGAAGAAGCAGGCCTGCCGGGTTCCACAACTGCAAAGTTTGAAGGACCCCTTTATTCATCGGTGTCAATTGGCGACGGCAATTGGAAAAATAGTATCATCAAAAGGTTTAATATGCACTGGTATGTACTACCTAGGAAATGTTGTGTTTTCTCGCCTAGCTTTCCTATATCGTGAGATTACCTGAAGGTCGATCCATGCTTGATGAGGTCAGTGTGCGTTAAATGATGTGGTGCCTGGTAGATATGTTTGGCATGGTATATGTAGTGTAGTTGGTTACATAGGCTGCATGATTAATTATATCTAGGCACCATAGTGAAGAGATACAAAGGGAGCAGAGGGAAAGGTACAATTCAAGCTGTATATCTGGATGAAGCCCTAATCTAAGGCTAGATATAAAGGGGTGCCTCAGACTTCTTAATGAATTGCACGTGGTTTCTGACTGTCAAAACCACCCGCTGATTGATTGTCTGTTTACTCTACCCTCTCCTTCCGCGTAAAAACCTGGGGCTCGCTTCTTTCTCCCGGTTGGTCTTGTCAATGGTATTCTCGAGGCTATCGCGGCTATAGCACGCGTGATTTTTTAGAGCATATTCACGCGTGTTTTGTTTCATATGTGATGAATTGTTCCTCGCTCCAATAAACACGGGTGGAGAAGAGAATGGAGACGGGTAAATTACCAACGGATGGAAATCTGCTCCCGCCGTGCTGAACGCTGCGAAATAAGAATCGTCGCTTGTCCGCACTATGGAGCCCTCTAGCGGAGGGGAGGCTCCACCCTGAAACCCATCGCGACTCTACGGTGGCGATGGCTCGGAGGAATTGGGGGGGGGGAATTCGAGACTGCCACGGCAGATCACCGCTATTACCGCAGCAGGTCATTGCAAAGGATTGGCCCATCCATCTTTCTTGACCTTTTGATGCAGGACAGATCTAGCAACTACTGTACGTGGGAATCCTTCGTCACTATCAGCATCCATGTATCTTAGTGGATCGGATTGGCTCATTTCGCAACCCAAAGCGAATCACTATTCGATGCGGACGGACTGTTTGTGCGCAAAGGTGGGCTATCTCTGGTTCACGGTGATCATACCATGGATTGGAGCAAGTCAACCGATCTCCGATTAAGATTTTGAAGGGCTTCCGCCAGTTCCCGCCCACTGTGATGGCTCTCTCGCCCCCATTGGCCCGCCCTTCACCATGATCTGCTTCGGAATTTGCTCGCTGAAGCTTGGGAGGCTTAGTAGGGCTGTTGGCGAAAAGCCGAAAAAAGAAATCTGAGGCAAAAAATTCAGTTCACTTTCTCTTGGCCGTTGCGGCCTGCGGTCGGTTCTTAAACCCCTCGACCACTGCCAATTGATCCATTCTTGTTCCACTTTAAATTCCATCGCATTGTTTTTCATTCTATAGCGGCTGTCGGTTCCTCGATCATGTCTTTGCCGCTTCCCAATGACGTCCTCCTCCTGGTTGGGGAGTTTCTGGAAGACCATCAGGACCGCTACAATCTTGTCTTTGTGTCTCGACGCTTCCATGACCTCTTTTTGCGTTTAGTCTATAGATCTGCGACTCTCAAGAGTTGTGCCCAAACGCAGTCCTTCCTGCGTGCCATTCTCCGCAAACCAGAGCTGGCTCGGTCGGTGCGGAGTTTGCATTTTGATGATTGGCGACAACATCATTCCTTTTCGTCTGCCTCTTCACCTGAGCAAGATATGGCATCATTCAACAAATGGGCTGAGACAATTAGCCATTCTAACGAGGAATATCTCAAGTGGGAGCAGGACCTCCTTCAAGGCGTCGAGGAGGCTTGGATTGCATTGCTTTTGCCGCTGGTGAGCAACCTTCGACGGCTTCGACTAGTGTATCCCAATCAGAATGCATACCTGGACCGTATGCTGCAGAGAGCCGTGAAGGGTGAGAAACCCTTTGATGCCCAGCCCGCATTCAGCATGTTGCAAGATGTGTCTCTCGGCCACCAGGACAGCGAGGAGGATGCTAAGGGCAGCTATTTACCGTCCCAGATCTTCCCCTTCTTCCAATTGCCATCCATGCGGATGTTCACTGCGGACTCATTGATTGAGTCTAGCGCTCCGCAAGAAGACGGGCACACATCAACAACGGAGGTACCGGGTATCGGGTCCTCGCTGATTTCGGAGATTACCCTCAACTCCAGCAATGGCTCCCAAGGAATGGAGAGTTTGATTGCCTCGTGCTCCTCTCTCAAGTCTTTCAAATACCAGCACTCGGACTCCCACTTGCTTGCTGAGGGCTTCCAGCCGTCCGCGTTTTACCGGTCACTGGCGGGCAGTAAGAATAGCCTACAGACTCTCTGGTTAGATAACTACGGAAACCATCTGCCTTTCACTATTGCCGGGGTCAATGAAACCCACGACGAATGGTTCGGCACCTTGGCGGATTTTACTGCGTTGAAAGACATCCGTATCCGCCTTCCCAACCTGCTAGACGTCCGATACCAACCTGAACCCTCTACTGCGCTCCCCGATATTCTCCCCCAATCGGTAGAATCGCTCTACGTTGAAGGTTGCAAGGAGAACACTTTGGGCATGCTGATTGGACAGCTAAAAATGGTCCTCAATAAGCGACAGACCCGTTTTTCCGGACTGCGACGCTTGGACATCGAGGGCTTCTTCCATGACGAGGAAGATGAAGACGCTTCAGGGTATCAGGAGAGCGCGGCTACTACCGGGGGGCAGAAAGTGATTAAGCCGCGAGTATACGAGATGGCTGAGCCATTGCGAGCGGCTTGCGCAAATGCTGGGATCGAGTTGTTCCTCCGCGACCGTGTGGTTTTTTGATGACATCAGTGCATTTGCAGAGTTTCTTTTTGATTTCATAGACGGACGGTTGGACCGTTTTGCACGATACCCGATAGACCCGATAGACGTGGTTTGCCTTGTTTTTCTCCAAGCATTTTCTACCAATAGACCTTGCGGAATGTTTTGGGAGTTTCACTCGTGGTTATCCCCCCTATATTATGAAGAAAATTATGTCTAAATGCTTTGCCAAGGAGGTGTAATCCATGGTGGCCTTTTTTAGAGACATCGTCCTTGCTTGATTGGGAAGTTAGATGGAGGGCTTTGGCTTGATAGCTTTTACACCAATTAAGACACAGACTTCTATATCTCCCATTCTGCGCCCGGGACTCTTCCTTGGTAGACAAAAGTAACGATTGAATCTACCCCAACCGCCCGAGGAGGTAGTAGTCATATAACAAACCCCCAATGCAACCTCGAGAGAACCTCGGAAATGACCCCGTGGTTAGGATACGACTATGGGGACGAATCATGGCAGCAAAGCAAAGACATCTCCAGTTATGTCAGCCTGCTACCCAAAAGCTTGATGTTTTATATAATGGAATGCCTGGGACAGGCAATGCGGTGCGGAATCAACCGAAAAGGAATGAACCCGGTGGCCCCGTGCTTCCAATCAATACCATCTCAACCCTAATGTAATAGCTTTCTCCGCATTCAGGTCACATTGGGGTTCTCCACATAGAACGATATGATCCCAGCTGAGATAATATCGGCCAATCCAATAGGATGCGGTCGCCCATACATGGTGTCTGTCATCATCGGGCCAAATGTTCCCTATTAAATGTTAGGCCGTCTTACCAGGCGTCTCCTTGACTTGGGGACTCTATTTCGTCCCTTTCCTTTCTTCTCTCGTGCTCCTATTACTCCGATCAGCGATTTATCGAGGAGCATACCGTGATTCATAGACTTCAATCCTCAATTGCGTCAGGTTGAACATTCCAGCCATCATCGGTCGTTCTTGTTTAGTTTTCTTGACGGCACTTCACACACCATGGCACTTAATCCGATCGACCGAGTGGAAGACCCACCATCCGACCGCGAAAAGAAACATGAATACTATGGAGAAACACCCCCTACATACGATGACCCGTTTGGAGATGAAGAATTCGCAGAGGTCAAGTACCGAACTTTACACTGGTGGTATGCGTTCCTCTTGGGTCTGGAGTAGGATGATTGAAACAGATCTAACTAATATTTCAAACGGATCAGGCAATGCGCAATGAGTATGTCTAGATCACTTTACACGGTAACCGATGATTTCCTGACGTGACAGTCATGATCGCCGAGACTATTTCGCTGGGCATCTTATCACTCCCATCAGCCATGGCGGCGCTCGGCCTCGTTCCGTGAGTGTTGATTGGCAACTCTTTTACTAGCAAGACTTTCGGTGGCTTGGTGGCTGACCCCTAGGCGTTCCGGACTTGGGCTACCCTAAATAGAACCGTGATACTTATTATCGGTCTCGGCTTAGTCGCTACATACACAGGTTACGTCCTCGGCCAGTTTAAGCTGCGATACCCTCATGTCCATAGTATGGCGGATGCCGGTGAAGTCTTGTTAGGTCGAGTCGGTCGCGAGGTCTTGGGCACCGCTCAGTTGATTTTTCTGATCTTTATTATGGGTAGTCATATTCTGACATTCATTGTCATGATGAATACTCTAACGGAGCATGGGACCTGCTCTATTGTCTTTGGCATAGTCGGCATGATCATATCGTTCGTCTGTACCTTACCACGGACGCTGAAGAAGGTATCCTGGCTTTCGATCTCTTGTAAGCTGAGCCCCATAATGCTGAGCGAAAGGGCCATCAAGTTTAACAAAACCAGCATTTATCAGTATCGTCGCCGCCCTCCTAATCACCATGATCGCCATCGGGATCCAACGTCCAGGCGACGGCAAAATCGACGTAACAGTCGACACCAACCTATACAAGGGCTTCTTAGCCGTGACCAACATCGTCTTCGCCTACGGTACCTACACCTACCACAACCAAACCCCCGTTGAACTCCAATACTAACGGGCATACAGCTGGCCACGTCGCCTTCTTCGGCTTCATCTCCGAGATGAAGACACCAACCGATTACCCCAAAACCCTCTACATGCTCCAAGCAACAGACACAAGCATGTACACGATCGCAGCCCTCGTAATCTATCGTTACGGCGGCAGGGACGTAGCATCCCCCGCCCTGGGCTCGACCAGTACTCTAGTCTCCAAGATCGCCTATGGGATCGCCATCCCAACGGTACGTTCTGCGTTTTGACCCGTGACTTGCCTGAGCGCCACACTCCAATGATGGATGGCTAACACTCGTACCCCTACCTAGATCGTGATAGCCGGGGTGATCAACGGCCACGTAGCCTGCAAGTATATCTACGTTCGACTCTTCCGCAATACAGATCGCATGCACAAGCGGAATCTGGCTTCTATTGGGTCATGGATCCTCATCGGGTTGGTGCTGTGGACGTTGGCGTGGATTATTGCCGAGGCGATTCCTGTGTTTAACAACTTGTTGAGTTTGATTGTACGTTTCTTCGTCTTCGGGGATCATTTGGGTAAAGGCTAACGGCTGTACAGACGGCGCTGTTTGCGAGTTGGTTTACTTGTTGGTTTCCTGGATCCTTAGTCCAAGTATTGCGCTAACGGGTGATAGATGGGATGAGCGGGATATTCTGGCTCTTCTTGAACAAGGGCAGATACACCTCTTCGCCGCGGAAGATATTCTTGACTGTGGTCAATCTGATTATTGTTGGTATTGGTGGATGTTTGGTGAGTCTTCTTAGATTCTGTCTATGGCGCGCATGAACTGACGAATCCTAACTAGTGTGGATTGGGATTGTACGTGTCGGGGAAGGCTCTTCATGATAATCCAAGTAGCGCCAGCTTCTCGTGCGCCAACAATGCATGACGGGTATAAATTCGGTTCGGGATACCTATACTAGTTTATACAGCGATTTGATCTGCATAATACATCACCGTATAGTTCTGCTACCAAATACTTGAATCTGTCCATGGCAATAATACGTCAAAGTAGTAGGTTATAGCAAGGAATTATAATCCCTTCAATCTATATGAGTCCGCCTGCCCATCAACTTTGGTAAATATAAAAGTGTCGATATCAGGAGCCGCGGCAGAGCTTGAATGACTTTCTCCGCGGTCCACTTCAACCACACGGCGATGCGGAATCGCCCGAACATAATATCCTCGCGCATTCTCATTCTCGTCTCTTAGCATAGTCCACTTGGCTAATTCCTTGTCTTGGTTTGCCTGCTTGTCGATTAGGTTCGGAGGTCGGTAGGTTAAATCGGCCTTGATTCTTAGCACCACAGAAACGTGCAAGAGAGCAACGGGTGAGATCGGTCGAGGACTTCCTTTCATGATTGAAGGTCTGAGGAAGGACACGGGACTATCTAGACGGGTCGAAAGAAAGTATTCCCTAAGCCTTCGTCTGTACACAGTTGCCCATGGCCATCCATGTCCGAATCTTAAGGGATTATGTAGATGACCGGTCTGGCTAGCATGCCGCCAGGGTCGCTCAGGATCTTTAGGCTCTGACTGATTATGCTGATCTGAGAACGAGTGGCCTGCGTGGAGGAGTGGATTGCATGTGAAGCGTGTTTGCTTTTCTCGGTCAAAATACAACCCAGCTTTTGTGGCCTCCCTGACTATCCACAAGAGGGGGACCAGGCTAAGCGGCCAAGGTTCGTCAGCCTCTACAGGCATTTGCCCACCGAGATCCTGCCCAATACAGTTAGTCTGAGTTGATGAAGTGGCGAATGTACATATTCACATCATGGCTACCTGGAAACCAAACCTCCTCGATATCCTGCGTAGCTCCACCCTCACAAAAGGGCATATTTTCAACAAGTATTGGACGGAATATTGTCTGTCTTTCATCAATAGATACAGCATGCCGAATAGTACGGGCGGGGATGCATATTTTGGAAGGCAATTTCTTATTGTCCTGGGCTGCATGGCTAGTCGTGTCCACCAAACCGACAAACCTGATACCCCCCGTTGGACGACAGAATGTTTCCCGGAACCCTTTCATATACTTAGATGACACAACTTTACTTCCTATCCCTTCGTTTGTCTCTTCAGGCTGCTTGTACCAACTCGTGAACGTTTGCCATGCTCTAAGGACCATGTCTTCGTGGGTGATAGAAAGAATGCCCATGTATTCAATGAGACAGGCCAGCCTCTGCACAGCAAATGCTCCGTTAGCGTAGCCAAAGAGACAAATCTGATCGTCATGTTCAAAGTGTGTCATCAAAAACTGATTAGGTCAGTCTCTGAGACATAAGTGTAGTGAGCGAGAATATTATTTACCTTGTATGCACCAAGTACGTAGCTTTCAGATTTAGCTTTGGGATTCAAGACTTGGTAATAGCATAGTTGGTGATTCTCAACCCTATCGAACATGCGATGGAGCTTGGCCATGCTTGAGTCGTTGTAATCGGCGCTGAAACGCCCTTTTCCACTATCAAGGCAGACAATTAGATTTTTGTGGTGTCCTCGGGGCTGGACCACATATTTGCTTAGATGTCGGGCACGATCACGGCTACCATATGTGCGCCATCTGTTTGTTCCCTCTTGCAGAGCTATTGGCCCAGCGGTGTAGCTCTTTATCACGTAGATGGTGTCGAGAACAGACCCTGATAGAACTTCTAGCGGTATGTCCCATTTAAGTCCCCCACATACCCTACAAAACTGGCTTTCTGGTCTATCCGTGTCAGCAATGGACATCAGGATAAGTCCCACAAGACCAGACCTGTCCTGACATTCTAGTATCGCCATGGTCTGCTTCCCATACGGTGGTATGAGAGGCAAATGCATTCGAATACCTCGGTTAGTCAAGGCGAATGGAGCCGCATCTTTGGAGAAGTGGAAAGGCACGACACCTCCCGTTGGTTTGAAATCGGCAGGTGACCGTGCCAACAAGCCGCTAGGACTCTCGAATGAAATATCGTCGTTCTCCCAGGCAAACAGCGTCTGGTCATCCGAGTCCTTCATAATTTCCTCCTGCAATCGAGCAAATGCTCGCTCACCCTCCCCATACAGCAGCGGCATGTTGACATTGAAAATCCCCATGAGACAATATGCAACATCTTCAGTTCTCGTGGTCCTTCTTCCAGCGGCCCAGGACATTCGTTTCGCAATACTGAAGTCCTGAGGCCGTGAAGAACCAAGCAGTATGCCCTCATCTATGCCGGTGATCTCTTGAATCAAAGCACTTAAGCACGTTTTATTCCCAATCTCCGACCAATCCTTCGCAAGAAAAAGCACAGTCGGCGGAGCAATAAGTTCCTGAAGAGTCCATCCTCTCGTGAACCATTGACTTTGAGATATCGTCCCTTCGTCCGCATCACTCAGGTAAGCATAGCACACTTTGGCACGCTGGTACCAGCCAAACATTGAATTGATCGCTTCCGACAGCTCGGCGCTGCTATCCTTATTGATAGCGCAGGTGTCGACCCATGCGTATTCGAAGCCATCGCGCGCTACACGGGCGCAAAACTGCTCGATCTTGCGGTATCCCGCTTTTCGCTTTATCCTTTCGTCCTTGTTGGTCATCTCCTCGAATGTGACTTCCTCCGAGCCCCATCTGTGCGATAGGATCGCGTATGGTGGGACTTCATTCTCCGAAAACTCCTCTAGGTCGAGTGGGGGCTGCGTGCGAATTAAGCGCATTCTTCAGCTTTTGATCATCGGACAAGGATATTGGCATTTAATGGCTATGCCATGACACGATTATTCCCCTAGGTAGTTGTCGGTCATTATGGCGAGCGTGAGTTGCGCGTTGTGATGTGTTCAGCTCCCGTTCATCTGCATTAGATCGAATCTAATGAGAGGTTGCTGAAGGCAGGGCCAATCAAATATCAACCGAGCATGATCGACATTGAATTACTTTTATCATTCGACCTGATCGCCAAGGAATCCAACTCAGGGTGGATCTATGATGCCGCATGAGTTTACCATAATATAGTAGAGCGAGTCGGGTGTTTTGTTGACTGTCCTAGTCGATATGACCCGCTCCCCCCCTCCCCCGATTCATATACAAATGGACATACATTAATAAGAGAACAGAAGCGTGCTACACTGACGTACAATATGTTAATCGATGGAAACTAGGGGCATCTCTACAGCTGCGAAACTTCAAGCAGAGACATCTAATCCTATTTATTTCTATCCCCAACGTACTCTCGACGCCTCTCTCACCTATCTCGAGCACACAAAAAGAGCCCTAATCTGGTCGAGTGCATGTCCTGTCATAAAGGAAATTTTTAGGTGCTTTTACTCTGTTCGAGTTTGCGGAAGCCCTTTGGCTCTCGTAGGTGAAGACGTAGACCGCGATTCATACTCACGATTCGATGGCCTTCGGTCTGTTCGGAAATTGAATGATATCAAAGCTAGAACTGATGACGAGTGACTTAGAGTTGGAGTAGAGGGCCTGGCTTTCTCTTAGATTGAATAAAGAAAATGTTTAATAAACGGTGAAGAGAGCATGGTGTATTCCATGGAAGACATGCCCGGTATTACCTCTATACAGAACAGATCAAATGCATGAAAATAATTCATCCTTTCCCTAAGCCTGTGAAGTCTTCCAGGCACTAATATATCTACGCCCAACCTCAAGCTCTTCTTTCCCCCCCCCCCTCCTCTTCGCCTTTCCTCTAGATCAGACCCAATTTTGTAGCTCTATATCCAGAGTTCAACACATGGTACCAGATATCTATCATAGACCCAATAGCCTCTAAGCTATATCGCCGTGTCTATGCCACAGGATTACCATCCTGCCACCTACCTATCGTTTTAACACGCATAATCACACAGGAAGCCATGCGGCCCTCCGTTGGAGCCTTGGTCTAGCCATGGAAGTACCTTTAAAGACAATCGGTAAACCACAGTTTACAACAACTAGACGCAACTCAACATAAATCATATATTCGGAATAATGTCGCTCCTATACAGGGTGCAACACCGAGAGGAAGAAGAGTCAACCACATTGGCGCCAATTCACAACGTGGATGGGTACAAGTCAAGAAAAAATATAAATGACGTGACGTGTGCTCAACTAGAGATCTTAAAACTTCATCCACTATCATAGCCCATTCGGAGACAACGTGGATCTATCGACTGAAAGATCACAAGGTATTGGCGTTAAGACATCCCTCACTGGGCTTACACCTTTTCACAAATGATTCGAATAATGGCCATGACTACTGAGCTTACGCCCCCCTAACCTCCGTGCTCATGAGGAATAACGGGAGAACCACACGGACCAGCGCGGTTAAACAAGATTGTCTATATACCAGAGTATCTGCGACATGTTTGATGCCCTCCAATTAACGCATGGCCAGTCACTTACGAGCTTTGGGATCCATCGAGGATAGTAACAGCTGACCATTGGGTATTACCATGCATTGCGATTGCCTAGTGTACTTCGCCATTAAGCTCCACGCGACTAAACAGCGAGCACCAAGTCATACCTATGATATCGACTGCAATAGCAATCTGCGGCCCACTCGCACCCCCGCCCCACCAGAAAGCAAATACACTCTCTCATCAACAGGGTACTGCATACTCACCGGAGAGATATATGAGGAACAGGGAGGGATGGCGAGACCTTCTTAAACACTAAGGGAAAGAGTCCAACCTCACTCTGAGAACGTTGTTTATTGGATTGGTATTAGCATCGCGAGACAGGCTTCCTCTACGATAAAGCACATGTCTAACGAAGCCGGAGATGTCAGTAGCATACTTCAAAGCCGCATATATGATACATGGCAGGCCCCGTCATTCAAAAACTCTCGTTAGGGTCGCGAAAGCATGCGCACAGGTGTAGACACATTGCCCACGGCTTACAGCATGCAAGCGCTTTCCAGGTCAGAATGAGGTTTACCGGCCAAACCCAACACAGCCCTATCAATGGAGGGACTTAGAGGATGGTTTGGTATAGACTGATGGCTGCGAGTCAGAACTTCCTGCGATATCTGCCGGTGATCGAAAGAAGACAGTCTACAATCAGAGGTCCAGTTCTTTTCTTTGCGGGGGTGAAATTTTAAACACAGAGATACAACACTGGCGAAACTTTCACTACATTTCTTGAGGGCAGCTACACGGATCAGGCCATAGTCTGTAGGTCAGTTGGTCAATGCCGGTGCTTCTATCTCTACGACGAAGAGATGGGCCGTCCATGAGAAGACAATTTTCCGGCACGACGCGTCCATGGCCCTCCATGAAAATGGTATTTTATGGCTAAGGGCTATGGTCAATTCTGGTCAAGTTATTGAAACATGTGCTTATCTTTCCTGATATGATGGCCGAAGACAAGAATGGCTATACATATATGACTGCCATCTCTGAATGGTTCCCTCATGGCCTCAGGGTATTTTGTCCTTCTTCATCCGATAGGCAAGACTTTGATATTACTATGGAGCTTACCCATACGGATATTGCACTTGTGAAGCTAGACACATAGCTTTCGTCCAACAATGAGACCTTCAAGTACTCAGTCGATGGAACAGACCCAACCCAGTTAAACTTCTTCAATAATTCTCATAACGGACGGTCCCATACAGAGCTGCCAGAAACCTCAAACGACAGAAGTACTTCTTCCATGCAAGGTCCGTGAATGCTGTCTACCCACACCTTCAATGAAAGGCCGAAATGCCACTTATTTATGGGGGGCCTCACCCGCACATTGAACGAAAATGAGATTACTAGCTCTAGCACGGTCCCGGTTAACGCTGAGCGAAATAGCTGCTAGACTCTAGGATTGAGGTAGCCATACTTCATCTAATGCACCTGGGAGGGTTAAATTCGTGCAGATTATTAGCCGACCATCTTTGCTGAAGATATCCGACGGGCAACTACTCCTGCCGGATAAGGGACCTGAATCAAATATTTCTGGTTGGCAAGCAACCTTGCCGATTTATCAAAATCCTATTAGGTCGTATTCCTTATGGTTGAACTTGCTGACGATGTTGGCTCTCGACAACCATTTGCGACCGGGATAGGATACGGCACGCAGATAAAGCTCCATGATAGTGTTGAAGGAGTGCAGATTCTCCATCCCGTGAAACGGAGCCTGTTTTTGAACCCCCGGTGAAATCCATCAATGGACATAGAAGGTATTACGAGATGCAAGCAACGTACCCATTGTTGGGCCCTTCATGGATAAAAGCTGTATAGGCTTTATGACGGAGACAAAACACTGGAAAGCGGCCACCTTGGAAGCTATTGTTATATCGAGACCTACGAAACGGCCTTCTAGCCGGTTTCTCATATCAACAGAAGATATGTATCCTTGCCATTGTCGCTACTACACCTGCGGATGGACCTCGGTTGTCTTGTTTAGTTAGTATGTTTTACCGTGATTTTTCCACTGACTGACATGGTAAACACCCGCAGGTGCTGGATAGTCGCCGGGCTGTGGCGAGTAACGACTATCCCTTCAGGTTACGTTGGGCTCTTACTTTATGACCAAATTATCTACCTGAAAACTGTTGAAACCTTGCTTTGTTCGTGTCCTAGGCCCCGTTAGCCTCATGATTTAGTCTACTGACCACGAAGTTACACCCTTAGAGAGAAGTTATGACCTCCAGGTTGGGGCTGATGCCTATACTCACCCTGACATCGAAGCCGCAGACCAGCAAGCCTACTTTGATTTCCATTTACTGGCCTATATTTCCCACGCCCGCCCTCGTCTACGGAGAGACATTGCATGGTGGTTCGCCCATTCCTGTGATCAGGTTCAAATTGTGCTTTTTATCAAGGTCTCTAAACACAACCGCAAGATCGATATTGAGAAATATATTCCCATGCAGGGAGGCAAAGTGTCTCGGTTGCGCTTTAACGCATATCAGCCAGAAATAGTTGCAGTTATTAAAATAAACCAAGGAGTTAACTCCCCCCCTGGACCGAGCACAATCTCATCACCTTTTTGAATTCTGGCTGGGAACAATGGTCAGCTTAATCATAGTCATGTGTATGGTGGCATCTGACATAAGAGAGTCGGAAATGAGCAAGGAGCGACTCGAGAAATGCAGATATGGCTCACAGTTAACCAGTGCCTCTTGCCTACCGTTGACGGCCACCTTCAGTGATTTCTAACGTTATATGATCACTTGCTAACGGATTGCCTGGGATCCCCGCTGATGTTGTGTTGGTGGCATCCCACCTTTTGGATGTCCGCTGCATGGTGAGTCTCGCTGAGAAAACATTTTCTTATATACTCAACAAAAATTCTCAAGCACTGCATGTCTATTCCCGGAGTCCAAATACTGTCTGCATAATGGCTGCTGAGGGAGGGGGCTTTCCGCATTGTTGGGGAGCTCAAGACCCTTAAGACTATGCAACAACTTGAGAAGGTCAAGGTGATTCTCTAGGTTCCCGCTCGTGGCCTTCCAGAGCATTGGGGCTGTTCGCCCGACTTTTCGATGAGTTAGCTGTTAACCTGTCTTTTGTACTATGTTATAACGGCCGTCTACCCTACTCCACACATGTCGATGCATTATTTAGGGATGAACTCAACAACGTTCTCAATTCGGGGCAAGGCTTCTAACTCCTGGACCCGAAGTATATATTTTCCCTTTATAGTCTTCCCCTTCACCCTGAAGAGCCTCCCACCGGCAAAACCGATCCGTGACCTGTCTACCGCACTGTTACACTCATGTGTCCAGTTGGAATGGTCTCAGACAAAGCCCAACCATGGTTCCAAAAGGATGCAGTCGTACTGACAGGCAGAATAAATTGAGCCGCCAAAGTCACCGCCCTCAACCATATCAGCCTACTTACTTCCTACCTTAATGTATCTTTATGAGAGCATCTCCTAGAGAGGAATGAGAATGAATGAATAAGTTTGATTGCTGCCCATAAGCCCACAACTTCCTGAGGCTGTGTTTTCAGTACCACAGGGCAGGGAAATCGCGTACATATGAGTCATGCTGAACACTGAAGAGACCCGGCATTAATTTTTTTATCTTGGTGTCAGCCGCTTAGTCTATAGTGAAGCATACACACATTCTCCACTTGATCGCCATTATCTCAATCTATAAGCGTTACTTATGGAAATGCACTACAGATATTGCCCCTGAGGTTAAGGTTATGTGAAAGGTACAGCCGATCCATATTCCTGATCTGGGAAAGGCATCATTATTACGCGTGGCAACGACAACTGTCCCCTAGACGACGAGCCCGCCGATCACATCTAGGAAGGATATACGGGGAACTGATAGCTAAGAAAATACAATCGTGCCTAAAAACAGAAATCAGACGCAACGAGGTAATATAAAACTTACCTAGGCCTGGCCGTTGTAGGTCTATTTTGAGAGGGAAGGAAGCATCATATAAGAACTACTGACAGCCTTGACAGGCCTGACCTACCGTTTCAAGAATCCTTTTTGTTGCCTAGTTCTATCATTCTATCTCCTAGCTAGTTAAGCAACCAAGGAACTTAAGTTCACCATCGCATCAACGCATTATTTCGTAAAGTTAGTCATTGATCCCATTGTAAGATCAAAAGCGCTCTAAAAGCGTGAGAACATAAAGGCCGATCAGTATCATGATACAATATGTCATAAGCTGTGCTTAATTCATGTCATTATGGTTGACCGAGTAGAGTAGGTAGTAGGTAATCACAATAGGTGTAACCCTATATTTCAGCCATGCTATGGCTGTGTCCGGATTTGCTTTACCCATTTTTGGAGACGCACTGACCAGAAGCAAAGATGCCATTTGATATTTGCATATTCAGACGGCAATTTCTTCTTGCCACTGTCAGCTATCAAGGTAGATAAAACTATCTCGGTCTAAATCCGGAGGAAAAGGGTAGATATATGCTCATAGAATGACACAAAACAACCTCGGCCAGTGATAAAAAGCGATAAGGGAAGAATATCAGCGCGATAAAACAAAGAGAAATCAAGTACATAATAGAGTCTGCTAATGAGCTTCTAGTGGAGCAAAAGCTTGACCGTCTTGGCGATTGAGGAACCCTCACCCGTCGCCAAAGAGCGTCTGTCAGATCCAATGATAACCTAGATAGACTTTATCAATTGCCGACGAGCTCCAGATAACATTGTCCTACGGCCAAAGATAGCAAGGATTGTTGCGTGTTGAACTGCGCAACCATATATAACTGATCCACTTTCCCCAGTTCCGCCACTTCCGCACTCCCCACGAGCATGCCCCTGATGCAGACCCATATCGTGTTGCTTTTTTCCCATAGCGATGTCGTATCGGATCAATAATCTTTTGTTTATTTATTTACTTTTTATATATATATATATTGTCAATGCCAATACCATGCCCAGAGGCGAACATAGAAGAATTGGTGTATACCGGCGGGTTCCGGCTTTTTAACAGAACACTCAGGATCCATGCTGGAGGAGAGCTCCTATACACAAAATCGAAGGGACAAATACCTTTCACGGGCAGTGCCCTGCTGTGATAGCTGCATTGTCTCGTTGGAACATTAACTGCGATCGTCTAGTGGGTCACAAGACTCGGATATCACCGTCGTGATGGTTGACCACTCAAGAGAACATTAGAACGAAACGAGATGACTTGGCTTTCCGGGGTAATGTGCATGCATCCAAATTGAGTCCTGCAGAGCACTGGTCTGGATGTCGATCCATGACTGTTTGAATCTTCCCATTACTCATTGCAACGTTATCTGGCCGAGGTTCAGCTAGCATCGGCCGGGTCCGATGGAAGGCAAGCGGTCGTCGGTGGAGCCGTTTACCAACTAAGAGTGGGCGGGGAAGGGAATGTCAATGCTGTTCCTCCAACCACTAGCATATGGATGCTTGACCATGCCTTTGAGGAGTCTCGTCTAGCAACATGTATACGAATTCTCACGATGGTTTGGCTTGGACAAGACACACCTGGCACGAATCACCGAGATGATACCCCTCGAGGGAGCCGTGATCATCAATTCCGATCATCGGCCAAGCATCTTGGACACTCGCCTAGTGGCGCACCTCAGGAAGAGTGAAAGTCTGGGGAAAGGGCCCACGCGTTGATCGCACGGGTGCCGCCGATGGCCGGGTCACGACAGAAGAGGGTATACGATTTTATAAAATGCATCCAGGCTGGATTCAAATGGACCCATCCAATGCAGCGGGGCTGAATTGGCTGAGCCATCTCTATATGCAGCAGTATCCTGGATTAATTGTATGATTTTTGTATAGCATCGTCTGATAGTCAGACCACTTTTACGAAATCGCTTTACTTGTTGCATGTCTTGGCCATGCAGCCTTACTTCGGCCTGCGCGGTGCGCTTCTAAATCGTGCCATCATTTGGCTTGTCGTATGCCCGGCATTCGTGTGTTATGGATACAACCAGGGTGTCACCGGTGGGCTCTTGACCCTGGAGTCGTTCGCCAGACAATTTCCCCAGATGAACACCCTGACCACCGAGGGTGCGGAGCAGCATTATAATTCCACTATCCAGGGTAGCTTCCCTATGCCATCCTTGTCGCAATTGTCCCCTCTGACTCTAATGGTCTATAGGCACGGTAGTCGCTCTGTATACTGTCGGAGGTATATTCGGATCCTTGTCATGCATCTACCTGGGAGACCTTCTGGGGCGCCGGCGCGTCATTTTCATTACGTCCGCTGTATCGCTCATCGGAGCCATCCTCATGGCCACCTCGTTCGAACTCGCCCAATTCATTGTCGCCCGCCTGGTGCTGGGCGTGGGCACCGGAGGTTATGTGGCTACTGTACCTGTGTGGCAGGCCGAAATCTCTCAGGCGAAGAAGCGTGGCGCCCATGTCGTAACGGACGGTATTTTCATCGGTGCAGGCATTGCCATTTCCTTATGGATAGACTTCGGCTTCTACTTCGTGAAGGGGAACTCGGTCTCCTGGCGCTTCCCGCTAGCTTTCCAAGTTATCCTCTCGTTGATAGTCATGGCTTTTATCACAGTATTTCCCGAATCCCCCCGATGGCTTGTCAAAATGGGCCGGCAAGAGGAGGCACGCGAGATTCTGGCGGCATTAGCTGATCAGGAGCCTCACGCGGAGGATATCAACATGGCTCTCCGTGACATAGAACGATCCCTGGCCCTATCCGGCTCCGGATCATGGAAGGACATGCTGACGATGGGCGAGCAACGGCTATTTCATCGAACGGTTCTCGCCGCCGCCGGGCAGATGTTCCAACAGATGTGCGGTATCAATCTCATAACTTTCTACGCTACCACAATCTTTGAACAATACTTAGGGCTAAGCCCTATACAATCTCGGATCCTGGCGGCATCCATGACTCTCACCCAGCCGCTTGGCGGATTCCTGGCTTTCTTCACCATTGACCGGCTAGGCCGGCGAGCGCTGATGCTTTGGAGTGCGGCTGGCATGTCGGCGTCCATGGCGGTGTTAGCCGGTACCACTTCGGTTAAGGACAGCACGGGCACGCTGGTGGCGGCCGTGGTGTTCTTATTCGTCTTCGAGTTCATCTTCACCGTGGGATACTCCGGATTGACCTTCCTATATGCCACAGAGGTAGCCCCGTTGCAGCTGCGTGCGGCTATCAGCGCCGTCTCAACCGCCGCCGTGTGGACATTTAACTTCCTACTGGCAGAAGTGACGCCAGTTGGATTCAACACCATCGGATACCAGTACTACATTATTTTCGCTGTGTTGAATGCAGCCATAGTACCAGTGGTGTACTTTTTCTTCCCAGAAACCAACGGACGGACTCTGGAAGAAATCGACGAAATCTTCCTCCAGTCGAAGAGCGTCTTCGATCCACCCCGTCTAGCCAGAACGCTGCCTAAAATGCATCTGGCCGAAGATGTCGACATCGAGGGAGGAACTGAATCAGGGGATAGTGATGGGAAGGGTAAGATGTAAATGGCAAAATCCTTCAGGAATGGTGGAGAAATGAAATTACTATTGATGGATAGTTTATGATCAACATGATACTTGCTAGTTCAAATACGGATGATCGGCTCTCCGGGCCGTTATGGTTAAATTGAAGGCATTCTTCAGGGTATTATCCGCGACATTCCGTGTCACTTTCGCCGTGTCGGATGTGAATCAATCTGAAACGCTTCCATCTAGAAGGATCGTCGCTCTAGTATAAAGTTCACATAGGCACCCGACAGGTTAGATCACCACAAACCCATCATACATAGTTCAGTCTCTCCGGAATGAAGTCGATTCTCTTTCTTATTCCTCTCGTCCAGGCTGGAGAAGTCGTTTGGGACGGCTTCTTCAACACCTCGTTCACAGTAGACCAGATCGACAAATGTAAGACCCATACCCCTATATCCTCAATATCCCCCCACATCCCACGCTAATGATATTAGGGTCCTGGTCTAACCCAGTCGGCCCGTACCAATGGTATATCCACGGCTCCGAAGCGACCACCAACTATCTCGAACTTAGCCCGGACTTCAAGAACCCGGCCGACAAGAGCGATGAGAAGGGCATCCGCATCAGCATCGTACATCACCCTCTACCATACTCAAAAGCCTCTAAGGGAGCATCACTGATAAGATAAAACACAGGACGATACATCCTCCTGGAATGGCCAAACAATGATGCGTTCCGAGCTTATCCCCCAGAGCGACGCCAACCTGGGCACCGGAACCCTGTTTTACCATTTCTCCCTGCAAACGAAGGAGGAGAACGCCCCGAATGTAGCCCTTGAGCACCAGATTGCGTTCTTCGAGGTACTTTCCTTCCCCTCTGTGTCATTGTTTAACACTATCCTCATGCTAACAACCCGTCTAGAGCCACTTCACCGAACTCAAGTACGGCGGTGATTTTAAAAATAAGCTCAGCTGGTTGACGGATGGCAAGTCACAGTGGTCGATTGACCTTGCTGCCGGCACCTGGTACAACTTCGCGTATGAGATCGACTTCTCAGCCAAGACCGTAGGTCTCTGGACCTCGACTGGACCCGACGCCTTGAAGAAGGTCGTGGAGCCCGTGAGCGCAGCGACCAAGACCGACTCAAAGGACTGGCATGTTGGCGAGCTGCGTTTGGACGAAGGAAAGAAGGGTGGAAAGGAGGATTGGTTCTGGTCTGGTGTTTACATCGAGAAGGGCGATATCACCACGGCCATTGCTGGTCCTGCCGCTTAAACGGTCCCTTGTCTTATTACTGTGGGTGTTACAATGGAGGGGGCAGGGGGAAGAGGGGGGGGGGATTTTATTTTGATGGAAGGTCATAACATTCTCGATCAATTATATTCCATTATTTCATACATATAGAAGGCATTTTGCGTTAAATCATCCAGGAGTGTACCAAGCCCGCGGCCATTTACCGCACAGTGTAACCACCATCAATCACCAGATCATTGCCAGTCATGTATGAACTGGCATCACTAACCAGGTAGACATACGCGCCCTTGAGCTCCTTGGCATCACCATTCCGTCCCATGGGAATCATGCTCAACCAAAGATCCTGAACCTTCTGATCCACGAAGTCCGACAATCCCGTATCAATATAACCAGGCGAGATACTGTTCACCCGGGCAAAGTCTCTCCACTCATTCGCCAACGACCGTGCCATATGGATACACCCAGCCTTGGCAACATTGTACGAGGTCTGCTCCTGCGGGAAGTTGGCAATGTGGCCGGACATACTGGCAGTAATGACCAGACTTCCCGTGCCACGCTGCTTAAAGTGCGGTCCCACAGCCTTCGCACAGTGGAATGTGCCGTTCAGATCCGTCTGAATGACCTCCATCCAGTCCTTGACCGAGCCGTCCAGGATCCCGCTGTCAGCTGTGCGGCCGGCGTTCGCGATGAAGGCATCGACCTTTCCGAAGTCCTTGATCACATCGTCAACGAGCTTCTGGACGCTCTCGAAGGTGCCGATGTCGCATTTGTAGGCCTTGGCTTTTACGCCGTAGGTTTTGGAGAGGTCTTCGGCGTTCTTCTCGCCGCCTTGAGGCCGGGAGGCGTAGGTAATGGCGACGTCGGCGCCCATTTCAGCGCAGCCACGGGCGGCTTCGATGCCCATGCCGCGGGGGCCGGAAGCGCCGGTGACGATTACGACCTTGCCCTTAAGGCTGAGGAGGTCGGTGAGGGAGTTGGCGGAGGGGACGGGAATTGGCATTTTGGGATGTGGGTATATATATATGTGTGTACAGAGAGGAAGGTTTGTGAAATAGGTTTCAAAGGAGAACTGAGGTTTGAAGGCTTGAATTGAATTGAATAACAGTTGTTTTGGGGGTAATATGAGGGCTATAAGTATTCTATCCGGATTATCCGGTGATGTCATGAAAAGTGGTTCTCGATTTATGATATCACGACTGATCTCCAGCCCCTTCCCCGACCGGTAGAGTGGATCTCATTGGTCAATTACCTTCCCCTGGGGTTCAATTGGCCTTTGGCGTATTATAAAAAATTACGTGAGTTTTAGGAGAGCATTTATGTCCCAGAGAATACGTATATGTGGAGGATTACGATAGCATTAGCAGAAGATTATGAGAGCTCGTATCGCGGCGTGTGACGGGATGAAACCCTACAAGCAGAGGACTGGGAAGTTGAACCAACCGGATATGTTGCCTCCATGACGACACGAGGCTACCAAGGTTCCAGTTGCCAACAAGGCATATCCTTTAGATAGCTGCGGACGTATCGACTAGTTTCATATTCTACTCCATCTCTGCTGATCAATTGCGGGCCTTGACATCCATATTCCGCACTAATGTCGTCCAGTCCGGTTAGGCCGCCTTTGCGGAGGGCGAGTACAACGCATGACAACAATTTCGACGATTCTTTTCTAGGACGGTTAGTCGGGCCTAATTACACACTAAGTTGCTTGATTTATGATCAGTCTTGACTGGGACTCTATGTAGGGTGAGATCGTTCATCCATCGAGACCGCCATGTAGGCGTCGTGAGCCACAATGCTATCCGCGACTCCGTGGACATCGAGTTGCACACTTGGAATGGGAAAGATGACCCGGATAACCCGTACGTCCCTCATTACAGTGGAGAATATCGCTGAGGAAAAATGATCCAGGTTCAATTGGAGCACATCCTACAAATGGACGTTGACCATTACAGTCTGCATCATGTACGTGTGGCTTATACTCACGCCAACCACCTGAGTATCACTTACAACCCTATGTGAACTACCACATCTACTAACGCTAAAAAAAACCCCCCCCAGATCAATCCTCACGGGTATCCCCGCAGGCTCATATGGAGCAGGCAACAACTACATGGCCGAGCGCTTCCACGTGCAGAACGAGCCATTCCCTAACCTCGCCTGGGCCACCACCTCATGGAACATGGGCGCTGCCTTCTGGCCCCTGATCTTCGTCCCCTTGACCGAATCCTCCGGCCGTATGCCAGGCTACTTTGTAGCATACTTCATCCTCGTAGTCTCTCTATTCCCATCCGCCTTCGCCCAAAACTTCGCAACTCTGGTCGTAACTCGCTTCTTCGGTGGCGGCGCCTCCTCCGTCGCCATCAATATCGTAGGCGGCAGCATCAGCGACGTTTGGTACGGCGACAAAGCCCGTAGCGTACCAATGTCCCTCTTCGGCTTGACAAGCGTAATCGGAATCGCGCTGGGCCCCTTCGTCGGCTCCGCGATCCAAGCAATTCACAAACACGACCCCTGGCGCTGGATCTTCTACGTCCAAATCATCTACAACGCCGGCCTAATCCCAGTATTCTGGTTCCTGCTGTACGAAACCCGCGCGGACGTAATCCTGACCCGGCGTGCAAAGAATCTCCGTCGCGAAACAGGCCGTCCCATCTACGCCGAAGCAGAACTATCAAATACAAACATCCTCAAACTCCTCCAGGTCTCCTTCGAGCGACCAACCCGCATGCTGCTTACCGAACCCGTCGTTGCCTTCTTCACCCTTTGGATCAGTTTCGCATGGGGCATCCTCTTCCTCTTCTTTAGCAGCGTCGTCCAAACCTTCTCCACAAACTACGGCATGAATACCCTCCAGACGGGGTTGATCCAGCTCGCTATCTCCGTCGGTGCCCTCATCGGGACGGTCATCAACCCCCTCCAGGATATCATCTACCTCCGCTCTGCGCGCAACAATAAAGAGAACCCGGGCCGTCCGGTCCCCGAGGCAAGACTCTACACGTCTATCCCTGGGAGTCTTCTATTTGCGGGAGGATTGTTCTGGTACGGCTGGAGTAGCTTTCCCCATGTGCATTGGATTGTGCCGACGTGTGGCATTGCGGCGACGGGACTGGGGATTTATTCGATCTATATGGCTGTTGTGAATTATTTGACGGATGCGTATGAGAAGTATGCGGCTAGTGCATTGAGTGCGGCTTCGTTGGGGCGGAACTCGTTCGGGGCGTTTTTGCCGCTGGCGAGCTTTCAGCTGTTTGAGAATTTGGGGTATGGGTGGGCGGGAAGTCTTTTGGGGTTTATTGGGGTCGCATTGAGTGTTGTGCCGGTTGTGTTGGTGATTAAGGGGCCGGCGATTAGGAGGAGGAGTCCGTTTATGAGGGAGGCGACGTTTGCGGGGGTTGAGGGGGATTTGGAGAAGGATGGTGAGGAGAGGGTTTTGGATGGGCCGGTTGAGAGCGTTAATCGGGGATAGAGTGAGAGTTGCGCGGTGGGTTATGGAGTTGATGTAGGTGTTCGCGTGGGTTTTTTACTAGATATATATGGTGGGGAGGTGTATATTAGGGCATCTTGTATATATGAAGCGGTCTTCTGTAAGGTATAGTAGACGTTGGTGACTATGGGTTAGTTTTATGTTCATTGTCTAGATTATTTATTTGGTCTAGTCATATCTAGTAGATCCATTATCATATCATGTATCGGGCTTTATATGGTTTTATATACCCCTGGCGAGTAGCCCTTCGGCTTCCTCCGTCCGCTCGCTCATCTCCGTATCGTGGCCCTTCTCCAGGCGCTGAGCCATCGCCATTCCCTCTCTTCTCCCCTTCTCAGCATTCACCATCCAGATGAGTGGGATTGGCATCAGGATCAAGGGCGCAATGAAGAAAAAACCCGACCGCACCTGGCCGGTGGCATCGATGAGCATGCCGACGATAGCCGGTCCAATGACTGAACTACCCTTGTCCGTTGCAGCATACAGCGCGTAGAATGCCGCCTCGCTGCCAGGTGGGATCAGCAGCCCAAAGAAGGACCTGCAGTAGGATGACAGCCCACCTGATACCACGCCATGCACAATAGCGAGTGGGAAGATCTCCCACGGCTTTTGCAAACCAATCACACCCCACTTCTTGACGAAGGGAATATAGGACAGCATGCCGTACAGAGGAATGATCTCGAATAGAGCGATGCAGAGCATGATCGTTTGATTTGGCTTCAGCCTAAAGTGTCGTGAGACGATGGGCCACAGGAAAGCGCCGGCCATGCCGGACAAGGTCGCGGTGATAGATAACAAGCCGACCAGCGTCGTGCTCATCTTGAGCTCAGTACGCGCGAAGAGGATCGCCGTGCCGGAGACCGTGGCTATAGCGTCGGATAGGAGAAACCACGCGGCCAGGAACACCAGAACCTCCCGCAACTGCACCGCCACCTTAACGGTTTTCCACAGCGATTTCCAGGCGAACCCGACCAGTCGCAACCACACACGCCACCGCGGGACATGCCCGCCGGCAGTGGAGGTATTCAATGGGGGGCCTGGTCGAGTGCGCAGCCATTTCCGAGTGACCATAGTGAAGGAAAACCACCAGATGCCGACCAGCAGCAGTACGAATCGCAACGGAAGTGTCGCGGAAACCTTCGAAATCGACGTCTTCGAGAGCGTGAACAGAAGTAAGATACTTAGGATCTGCACGAACACAGCCGCACAATATCCGAGTCCGACACCTTTGGACGAGATGCGAGTGGACAGCTGTAGTTCCGGGGAAACAGGACCAGATGATGTTGTCCCTGACCCGGTCCCTGCGGTAGGGTGAGGCCGTGCTTCTGCATCACCTCCGGAAAAAGAGTCTCTTGGATGGATGTATTCGCCATCGGGACTCATAGGGTGCAATTCTTCGGAGGCCTTTGGGGCCTCTTCAATGGACGGATCGTTCGCGACCAGGACGGGTAGAAAAGAATTGAGTACTACAAAGGAGGAGCCTAAGCAGGTAACTCCAATGACAACTAATAGTGCCCCAAGGACATAGACCGGCGGCGCAATGAAGATGAACAACATGCTCGTGGCAGAACCAATAAATCCGAATGCCAGAAGGAGGGTCTTGCGATTGTTCTCTGTGACGGGCAAGGCAATTGTCAACGGTTCAGCTCGAGGCATAGCTGTCCATGAGAAGGTAAGCCATACCATAGTCCGCTAAAGCGCTGAAGGATATCAGGGTCAATGCCTGTACGAGTACTGCCAGCGAGAAGGTATACATGGCGAAACTCGCGGTATTGATATTCATGCCCAATAGTCCCACTACACATTGGTCGTTCTCGGACCCATCGCGACGGAACATGGCTGGGGAGGTGCCATTTCCAGGAGATGTAGATGGTGAGTTCGGACCGACGCAAGGTAGGTGACTCGATTTAAAGGTTCCTCGTTCGCGAGCCAGTTGCTCCAATGTAAGAGGTAGGAAAGAGCCTATTTCGCCGATCGAATTAGAACTACTGCGACGGGGCCGATAAGATTAATAGATAGATCGCCTTACCTACACCACAGACGGCGAATACCTCTGCAGCGATCCCGTACGCATACCATCCCCAAATTTCACGCTTGCTGGTCGGGGTGGTATCCTCGCCGGCATAGCGTGGAGCTCGTTGTTGGAGCTCCTCGGCGGAGGAGTCCGGCGAAGGCGGGGCGACGGCCATCGGGGCACAGTATGGGGAGTGGAGAGTGACTGAAGAATCTGCTCAGGGTGGGCAATGAATGTTCCCAGTTACACCATTGCAAGGAACCGACTGGCAGAGGTTCGTTCAATGAATGAACTTATCGTGAACGAATTCTGGGTTTCGATGCCCGATTATTCATCCGAACGGAAGGCTCGGAATAGCCCTCATGCTCGTTGATTGGTTCCCCCGCGCATCCTACAGCTGTCGCCCAATCAGAAGCTTGACATCCTGGTCCATTGAGTTGGACTCATTTGGTTTGATAAAATGTAGGGGCCTGAATGGTGCCTGGGCATGATCCCAACATCCGTCCTCCGTATTTAGCAGACCACTCTATATACGGCACAAACGAAGAACCAATATCAAGATCAAAATCAAGCCAAAAGAAAAAAAAGAAAAAAGAAAAGCTCCCACCACCTTGAATGCGCCACTGACGTCATTTAAGGAGCACGGTCCAAGCTCTCTTCTTGGCAATGGGGCAACTTCTCGCGGTAGATCGTAGTCGAGTAGTAACTATAGTGGATACATAGTAGTAAGGCAATTATCAATGTTGTGGTGCGATGAACATTGGGGAGTGACTCAAGCTGTAGGAGCATTGCATGAGGACCATCCAGGACTCGTAATAGAGTGGAGTGTGAAATGTATATACAACTCTCCTACTAGAGTAGTTACTATATACTGACAGCACCAACAGGACCGTTTTAGGTTTTGCGGATAACCATTCGCTAATATTATCTTTTAGATTCGAATCGACCGAGCGAGAACCCCGTCAAGTAAGGGTAGACCCAGTGTCGGGTGTTGGGCTCGTATAAGTCAGTGGCAAGAGCTCTGCGTCATGCCGCGTCGCCGAAGCACTTTAAATAAACGCCCTTACCAGGAGACGAAAGACTGTTTCTTGGATTTGAACACATATTCTGTAACCACTTTGCAAACCATGTGAGCTTGATAAGTCGATCAAAATCATGGCAGTAACTCTCCCAACTGGACAGCGAACTCCCTTCCGGTAAGTGACAAGCGCAAGGGGCATGTGGTGACACTCATCTTGGTACACTCATTCACTTCGGCCCTGACTAGGCCCCAAAACCCAGCCTTCTTTAGCGTTGTCGCCGGAGCAGCTGCGGCATGGGTTCTCTTCCGATGGTACTCGCCCTCGAAGCCCGAACCAAAAGGACTTCCCTTCCCGTATGAGGATGCCGAGGACGTCATCCAGTCTAGACCGAAGAAGAAAGGTCCCACCAGAATCCCTTAAGAATTGTCAATGTGGTTGTGGTTCTCGGGTATGACGTTGGAAAACAGTGACTCTCCGTGAAGTGACTCGCAGTGCTTCTGCAGATGTATCTTGCGACTCTTTAAACGTTGTTCTGTATGGAGTTAGGTAATGGACTGACAATTCAGTTTTGTTTATCTTGTCCAGTCAGACAGACGTAGCATACTAATACTGAATGCCCTTGAGATGAACAAACCGGGAGATTTAGAGTATGAATCAGCCAACGATGGCTATTTATACTGCCGTCCGAGACTGTATCCCGACAGCCGGAGTTAGATAATTTGGACATATATTTAACATTACTAAAAAGGCCAGATAAACCGAACGATTGATGAAAGTGTTAATTATCAGGATTAAAAATTTTGCTTTACGTCAAGGAACTGGTAATAGATCACTTTGAGTTGAAATGCCGAATTCCTCCGCCTAGCGTGATTCTTTCTTGTGATTGTTTACATTCACAGTTCTTCTCATATACTCTTCTCAAATGCAATATACCTAAGCCGTCATTCCCTGATCGATGGAACTGTTATCGTCACGATCGACCTTTTCCAATATCATAAATCCCTAAATAATACTGTCTGTCCATCGCACATCGCTACAAGAACTCTCTCTGAGAGTTTTCCAACCAGGTCGACGGCTCCAAGACTACAAGGGCCAGGGTGGCAAAAGATCACTAACCTAGCCAGACTGATATCACCTCCGCAGTTCCAATCCGCTCACACCTCCCATGGTGATAAAGTCCGTGCTGGAGAAATGCCAGGTGAGTCCTTCACGCTTGGCTCGTCCCGCCCACTGCAGAGGGGGCAGTCGCTCAAAACTCTCGGCGGAAGGAAGCATGTCGAGGTACTTAGCCACATGGTCCATGGTCATCTTGACCTGTGAGGGGTGGTGAATGAATCGAGCGCTCTGGTGGGATTCTAACATCGGTGCCTGGGCGCCAACTGCAGCGGCAGCAATACCGGTTGCGAGTGCTTCCGCTGGCGTTAAGTCAAACGTACCTGTCCAGCCACTGGGTGACGGGAGAGCCTGTAGTTTTACTGCAAGAGCCGACATCTCTTCCAAGAGCTCCATCGGTGCATCCGGAGTGACATCAGGAGCCGGAGTCAGCCGGTGAACATACACCGGGAGGCTTGTTTTCTGGGCGGCCTTCTCCAAATACACTTCTGACGCCCACTTGGACGCGATATAACCGTTGGATCCATCGGTGGGCGGCAAGTACGATGCCAGAGATTCCGCTGCGTAGTCCTCACCGGAACAAAGGAGATGTACCCCACCGCTGGAGATGAAGTGCAGGGGGGCCTGGTTTTGCAACGCCAAATCAACCAGGGTTTTGGTGGACAGGACATTCGGTCCCCGCAGCCTCTCGTAGTGGTCCCAGAATGAACGGTTGGCGCCGCTGTGGATCACCAAGTCCGTTTCACGAGCAACAAACGTAAACTCCTCCTCGGACATCCCGAGGAGAGGGTCTTCAAGGTGGCCACCGTGCAGAATCAACTTGTCGGAGCTGTGCGCCAACTCGCGAGGAACGCCGGCAGAGTGACCACGAACTGCGACACAGTGGATTTGAGAGACCTGTTCGCTTGCGATGAGCGCTTTCATGATGCGAGAACCGAGATAGCCGGTCGCCCCCGTAAGGACGACGGTGAGATCAGTGGTCTTGCGAGGCGCAGTGGGCTGTTCAGCGCATGGGCTGGCCCCAAGGCTCTGTGCCACCGAAGTCTCAGTGTCCCAGTCGATTACCGCCAGTGATTGACTGTTCCTGATCTTGAGAGCCATTGCCATCAATGTGCTGGCGTCGTAAAGCGCCATAACTGGGACAGATACGTTGAATCGGTCTCGGATGAGTCGTTGGAGGCGCACGAGCAGGTACGAGTTGCCACCCAGGTGGAAGAAGTCGGTGGTGGCGGAAATGCTGGTCAGCTTCACGACATCCTCTGGAAGGCAGCCAGTCCAGAGCTCTCGCAACGCCAGCTCGGTCTCGCTGAGATCAGCATCACCCTGTTGATCATCCCCGTCGACTGTGGGCAAGGGCCGTGCGGCAATCGCTCGACGATCCAGCTTGCCATGGGAGTTGAGAGGTACATGGTCCAGAGGGATGAACATGGCAGGACACATATACTTGGGTAGTGGTAGACATTGCTGAATATAGGTCAGGAAGTTCTTACGCTCCGCCTCAGGGAAGTCGGCCTTGAGTTCGACATGTGCAACTAGGAAGTCAGGGCTTCTCCGGTCAGTGACGATGGCGTTCAAGATCTCGCCGCCCGAGGTTTCCAATATGGCGGATTCCACATCCTTCAGGTCGATACGGATGCCGTTGAGTTTGACCTGCGTGTCGCCCGCGATGCGGCCTTCATAGTAGAGCTGGCCATCGGGCCTGTAACGACCAATATCACCCGACCGATAGAGTGTGGCGAGCTGACCGGGGTAGTATCCCCTAGGGGTTATAGTATCGGGGAGGAAGAGCTTAGCCGTCAACTCGAACCGGTTAAGATAGCCTGATATGTTGCCTGCGCCTGCAACGACAATTTCGCCACTTACCCCTACCGGCACTGGTCGGAGGTTTCGGTCCACCACGTAAACTGCGATGTTCGCTAGCGGAGATCCAAGGGAGATGGGGCTTCTCGGTTCAGCTGACACGTGGGTGGGATCGATTTCTGTCCCTGTGATGACGCCAGCCTCTGCAGGACCGTACACGTTGATGAGTTTGACATCCGGCCGACGTAGCGCTTCAAAACCCTTGACCAGGTCGCTGGAGAGAGCTTCCCCGGAAGAAAAGGCAAACTTCCAATCCTTGGCGGCACTGAGATGTGCTGATCCGTGACGAAGCCACTGTGTGAACTCGGATGGAGTAGCGTGAACCCAAGTGATTTTCTCAGACGCTATGAGTCTGGTGATTGTGACCGGATCCAGGCGTGTCTCGTTCGGCACCACGTAGAGCGCTCCCCCATTGCACAGCGCCATCAGGATCTGCTGCATGGAGACGTCGAAACTGGGTGCACTCTGTTGCAGCACCATTTCGGCCCCAACACCGAAAGTGGTTGTCATGGCCTCGATCTGATTGAGAAGACTGACGTGTCGGATTGGGAGACCTTTAGGAACACCGGTTGACCCGCTCGTATAGAGGATAATGCTGGTTTGGTCTCCGTTACCAGTGTTCAATGGGACTGGCGCCGCCTCAATTCCTGCTACGTTGACGGGCACCGTGATGATAGCGGTCTGCTTTGTGGCTTCGAGGTAGGGGGTATCAGAAAGAGTTCGCTCGTGACAAAGAATAGCAGAGGGCTGGCAATCCTGAACGATACTAGAGAGTCGAGAGCATGGCACGCGTCTATCAAGGGGCAAATACACAGCACCGATTATCCAGATCGCCAAAAGGGAGCAGATGGAGTCTGCCGTGGGTTCCTGGTATATGCCCACGGTACTACCTTCAGCTACCCCTGCTGTGAGGAGGCAACCAGCAATCGAGTGAGCACGATCGATCATTTCCATGTAGCTTAGTCTGGTGCCTTCGCCGTCGACTAGGGCAGGAGCCTCTGGTCGAGCTTGGGCCACATCCAGTATCCGCTCGATGGGAGTGGAGGGCCACTGCGAGGAGACAACGGGGCCTGAGGGGCCCAATCAGTATACACAATCGTTACTAGGATGCTGCGAAGGATAGAACTCACCTTGTCCAAGGCTAATAGCCCGCTCGATATCCTGGGCGTCATAGGGAACTGGCTCCCCAATGGCCTTGTTAGGCTCCATATACGCACACATTTTAACCAGCTGCACATAGCTTTTCAGGAGGAGAGAGACGCTGCTTGCGGAGTAAAGATATTGCTGCATACGGAATCGAACCAGAATCTCACTGGCAGACACATCGTTGATATCGACGGCGAGGTCAAAGAAATTATGGGTCAGATGAGCGTATACTTGCTCCTCTACAACCCCTAGGCCCTTGGGGGCAGTGAACTTGTGCTGAAGGTAATCCATAAAGACCTGAAAAACGGGAGTATAGGCAGCAGATCGTGGCGGCTCTAGCTTCTCCAGCAGTGCGTTGAAAGGAACGGTCGAGTTGGCGAGAGCCGCGTATGACTGCTTGCGGGCCTCCTCTACTTTCTGCGCAAAGGTTTGGCTGGGCTTCCTTTGAAACTTGAGGGAAAGCATGTTAACCAGGTAGCCGACAGTACGTGACACGCCAGAATCCGCCCGACTGGCGTCCGCAAAGCCAATGCAGAGCTCGTCTGTGTCTAGGAAAGCAAAGAGGAAGATACGCAGGACCGTCATGAAAAAGTGGAACCGCGTCGCCTTGAGAGCACGGCATTGCTTTCTGATTTGCTCCGCGGTGGCGGCATCGATTGAGGCCATTGGGGCCTCTTCGAAATGGTACCTCGTCACTGGGAGTCGAGAACTGAGCTTGGCGACGGGGAATAGAGGGATGGGATCTGGGATCTTGCCCAGGACCTGCTGCCAATAGGCTAATTCGGAGCGTCTGAACCCAGCCTGTAGATCCTGACGCTGTTTGCACATGACATCGGTGAACTGTGTCTTGACCGGTGGCAAATGTTGACCTTGGTATAAGGCATTAATCTCGTCGAGTAAGATGTTAAAGCTGAAGCCATCGATGCTGATATGGTGGAAGGAGAGAACTAGCCAATGAGAAGAAGGAGTGATAGAAAGCAGAAGAATGCGGATGGTCTCTCCCGACTCAATATTAAACACGTACTTCTGGACGTCTTCGCACACTCGTCGGGCCTCTTTGGAGTCTGCGACCTGCATTGTCTCCAGTTGCAGGGGTGATGTCTCTAAGACACCTTGCGTGGGCTCGTCGTCGTTCTCAGTATCCACGAAGAAGGCTGTTCTCAGGGCTTCGTGTCTCTGGCCAAGCATCTTCACTGCATATTTCAGATCTGGGATTTTGATCGACCCCTGGAGGGGAAGGCGAAACTGCATGTTTAGGACTGTGGGATCGTCGAGGTGCTTAACGAGGAAGAAAAATTGGAGCGAGCCGTATCCCATCTTGACCTTTCTTACGTACTTTGGTCCGTCAATGGAGGCAGTCTCCTCAACCTTAGCCAGGTCCTCTGACATAACGGAACTCGGTGGGGGGGTGGCCTCGGATGACGAGGACTCCTTTGTCGAGCTGCACTCGCCGCCGGAAGTGGTGGACTCGTCCAGCTCCTGGGTTTCCATTGCGTGGTTCTCTTGCTCTTCTGAGTTGTGCTCTGTTGCAGATACCGCAGTACTTCTCCCTACGACCGGAACGCCATCGCCAGGAGCACTTGGTCTGTCGGCGGCGACAGTGACATCCTTCTGCGCCACGTTGGGAATCAAATCCGGAGACATGCGTTCCATGGTATCCTCAACCATCGCTGCCACTGTGGCGCCACCAAGCAGTTTCAGCACCGGCATGTCGAGATCCAACTCCTTCGTGAACCACACCCGCATATCCACCGCTACGAGCGAGTCGATACCAAGTTCGACAAGACTAGTGTCAGGTGAGATAGCATCGTCCTCGGGATCCAGACCGAGCTGCTTGTACAGAGTCAATATCAAGCCATCTAACCAGGAAATGTTAGCCTCTTTCTAGTCTAGCATGGGGATGGAAATAGGCCTACTGGTGAGAACCCTTTGTACATCTTCCATAGTGGTCTGTTCCTTCAACTGGGACCGCACCGATAGTGACTTGGTGTCCCCCGACTCAGTGAAGGCATGCTTCGTATGCCGGTAATAGGATAGACGGGGCATGTCCAGCCAGGCCGGAGGGTTCGTTTCTCCGTCAGGGTCAATAGGGCGGAGGGCCGAAGAGATCTCGTGACATCGTCCGGAGCCGGGGACCCCAGACAGCACAGCTTCCGCGAAGAACTGGTGGAAGTCGTACTCGGAGATGTTGGCATAGCCTAGCTTTCCTAGACGCTCTAGGATGCTGCGGTCTGTTCGAGTGATGTATCCCAGCCCGAAGATGCCAGCCAGATTCATCACACTGCCTGGCAGTCCTCGTCTTTTGCGGCCCTCCACCAGACTGGCCATGAATGCATTTGCTGCCGCGTAGCTTGTTTGGCCGAAGTTACCTGTCACGTAGGCTAGGGAGGAGAAAACAATAAAGAAATCTAGATCTGGGGACTGGAAGAGCTCGTTAAGGTAGGTGGTGCCGTCGACCTTGGGGCGGAGTGTCTGGTTGAAGTCCTGGTGCGATATCACGTTGAACAGACCATCATTGAGAACCATGGCACCGTTACCCACGCCAGCCACAGGAGGTAGGGTCTGCTGAACTTTTCGCACGGTGTTGTATGTGGATTTCCGGTCCGTCGCATCCATCGCCATGACTTCGATGTGGGCACCGTAGGACTGCATCAGCTCAAGCCACGCTGGTTCGACGTCTGGTTTACGACTCGTAAGGACCACATATCGAGCGCCACGCTGTACCATCCAGTGGCACAGCGATCTTCCCAGTTCACCGGTGAGGCCAACCAAAAGGTAGGTGCGATCACCCTTAAAGGTGATCTCGTCTTGCACGGGCGAAAGCTTCACTAGGGCCTTACTCTGGCTCTTCCAGTTCAGGATCCTGATCTCCTTGTGCTCTGTGGAAGCACCTATCACATCATCAAGAGAAAGCTCCTGAACCTGGTTTTGTTTACATTGCTTGTAGCCTTGAGTGAACAAGCCTGTACTATGCTGGAGAAGGGCTGACAGACTATTCCCGCCAGCATTACCCCACTGGTGGGAGGAATTACTGTAGAACCCTTCCATTGAAATGACTCTGCACTGAGAGGAGAGATGCCGCGCGAAACGAGCAGCCATGTTCTGTTCCTTCCGTCCTCCGGATGCATCCACGAACCCTGCAACGCCCGCTGGCACCCAGCGAGCGATAGAAGAATCCGGACTGGAAGGGTGAATGAACGAGAAGGCCACTCCGGAGTCAAGCTTCGCCCGGTTTGTTGTGGTAAACAGGACACGGCCAGGCTCTTCCGCCGATGTGAGGGCAGTCAAAATCCGAGCCAACGCCACGGTAGGCTCATAGACCAGCAAGGAGCCATTCCGCGGTGTTTGATTAAGCAGCATTGTGCCCAGACACACATTTGTCACCATCTGGATAAGTGCGGGCTCGTCGGAAGACAGGATTCCGATGCTGACGACCCAATCCTTCTTGACCTGGACTCTGGAGGCGTTGTGAGAAGAGAAAGCAAGGACTCGCTGACCCGATAGTTCACACTCCCCAGTCAGAATGTAAAGGTGCCCAATTCCGTCAATTTCAACGGCCACAGTGGATGATCGAGATACGTTGATTGCCATCCGATCATCCTCGGCCGTAGGATCCGGCCTGGGTGAGTTATCCTCCTCTAGATCATAGTAGCCATTCGCATGCGTGAGGATAACGTATTTTGAACTGGGATCAACTGTTTCTCGAATGGTCCGTCGCCATGAATTATATTGTAGGTTACGGCGCAGACTGGGACAGTACCTGGGGATATGCGCCTGTCCCTGGATGTAGCGGACTTCTCGCTCTAAGGTCCAAACAGGCCGATATGGCTCGATGAACGTATGCCAAGCGTCCGATATCTGCAGTTGCAGCAGACTTCGGACAATGAAACCTGCGTCCACCTTGTCGGCCATGTCGAAGTCGACGAACTGGAACCGCATGTCGGGCTGCTCCCCAACCAGACAGCGTGCCACGCCGTTCATCATGTTCGCGTAGGGCTGCTCACCGGAAGCGCCCCGGACCACCCACAGAACGTTTCGGCACTTTTCCGTCAACATCTGGAGGGCGGCAAATCTTTCCGGGGTGAACGGTGAAAAGACGGGAGCATCCAGCTCCACCAAGCTCAGCAGCATCTGCCGGGAATGGAAGTGCGATGCCTCCAGCGCCTCTAGAGTCTCCACAACAATGACATGCTTGGCGTATCGCTTAAGCTGGTGCTTTACATCCTCGATCAGCATGAAAGAGGTGAATCCGGTGCCACCGAGGATTAACAAATGATCAATTGTGGTCCTGTTGTCCTCCTGCAGCGGCTGACGGATCAGAGCCATCTGCCGGTCGACAGCCTGGGTCAACATGACCGAGAACGGAGCCATGAAGACATCATGGGAAGGCGTTGATGTGTCGAGGCCGGAGAAGCCCGTCCGGTCAAACAGCTCGCCCCAACGCTCCTTCGTGACCAGGGGATGATGGGGTCGACCATCATTCTCGCCTACCCACCATCCTGGCAGGCACCCAAAAAAGAAGGTCGGCCGGAGGGGGTTAACATCGGTGACTTCCAGCATCACTAGATAGCCGCCCGGTTTGAGGAGCTTCCGTGCATTAGTCAACGTTGTCTCCAAGGAATGCGTGGCGTGCAGCACGTTGGATGCGATCACCAGGTCGTAGGTACGTTCGGTATATCCCTGCTTGCCGGGTTCCTTTTCCGCATCATAAATCTTGTATATCATCTTGGCGTCGTGCTCCTTGAACGTCTCCTGCGCGTTGGGGAAGAACCCGGCGGACAGATCAGTATACGTATAGGAGGAGTAGTGGTCGCCAATGCCGCGCAACACTGCCTCCGTGGTACTACCAGTGCCAGCACCTAATTTAGCCATTAGTATATGATCGTACAATACGGGACGTAGTGGGAGACAGACCAATCTCAAAGATATCCATGCGGGGAAATCGGTGAGAAAGCTGCTTTACCAGGTTGGCTAGATAATTGTTATATTCGCAAAACGCGTATGTGTTCCGGTAGATATGCTCCAGGAGGCCCCCGTTTCTCACTAGCTCAAGCAGGGAAAATTCGCCCTTGACAAAGGGGATGAGGTTCTTTCCAACGTGGGTGAGGCTTTCAAAGTCCTCATACTTGGTCGTGAGCCTTTTTGATATCATTAGTAAATTCACATCCTCTGCGCCACTATGGAAGGAGGAAGAGAAGCGGGAAGAGGGGCTAGGCGTACTCATCTAATGGCCCCTTCAACATCTCCCATGTATCGTTCATCCACTCTTGCCGGATGATGGGATGCTCTCCACGGGAAACTACGCCTACCACCTCCGTGGCCCAGTCTAGCATCTTCCGGGGATGCCATTCGCAGCGGTCGCGCTCTTCCGCTGTGATGGTGTCGTGGAGCTGCTTCAGGTAGTAGAAACAAGCCCGTTCGACATACCGGGCATGTTCCCACTCCTCATCGGTCAACGTCCATTTCGGTACATCACGCGCGGCATCAGGCTCCTGGAAGTTCCAGATCGTGTCAGAGAACACCTCGCGATCGTCACTCTGCGTTACGGGTACTAATGGGGCCACCTGGAGGCCCTCCACTTGCACTGCCTTGTTGACACCGGTGGAATCGAAGATATCAACGTCCCCAGCAACGCCGTCGATCGGAGAGACAGAAACGCTCGCATCGAATGGAAGGTCAACACCAAGACCGGAGGTGCCTCCACACACGGCAGGGTTAATTGTGATCCTCTTGATGCGTGTCGGCACGAGCACCGTCCAAAGACGGCCGTCGCCAGGAGCCCCCATTGCACCTATTTAATTTGTGTTAGGTTAGCAGTGGACCGTTAACAACCATGAAGGGGCAATTGATCTTGCATACCGAAGATACCCTGGAAGGCGACGTCGAGAGTCGCCGGATGGAGAGTCAGGGAGGTCGTATAGTCTGGCTCTGTCGTGGTGTGAATGATGCCCGAAGCTGCGTCCGTTGTACGTTGTAACGAGGTGATCGAACGGAACATGTCGGTGTAGTTGTAGCCTAGGCCCCATAGAGTGCTGTAGAAATGCTCAATGTTGACATCGTTCATACGCACTGGGCAGGCGGTTCGTTCGGGGAGGAGCTGAGAAGAGGCTGCTCCAAGCTGGAGACGAACAGCGCCACAGGCAGCCATCACGAACCCTGATTCCTTGGACAAGCACATATCACACGTAAAGTTTGCCGTGAGATTGGCCTGGTCAGGGTCTTCGATGACATTGCTCAGAGAACAGATTACCTCCACGGCGGTGTTCTCGTCCTGGAAAGCCATCGCTCGCAGGACCTGCATGTCAGTCAGCTCGACCAATGCGATCTTCTCGGTCGGAGCCAGGGCCTTGGCCGCTTCGAGGGCCATGACGGAGAAACCGGCACCTGGGAAGATCAGCTGCGATTGGACTTGATGTCCTCGAGTCCAGGAAAGCTGGGATGGTTTGATAAAGTTCCTCCATCGATACTCGCGGTTCAGACTGTCAACTCGCACGCCGAGCAGCTCATGGTGGGCAGCGGGTCGCAGCCGCAGGGCTGCGGACGATCGAGACTCCATCCAGTATGTCCTTTGATGGTCCCACGAGTAACCGGGAACGTTATCACATAGGCGCGGCTGGTCTTCTGGACCGTCAGCGAGAAGGGCATCAACCCGGGTAAAGTCAATCACGCATCGGGCCAGACTGGCCCAGACTGCACCGATCCCATCTGAGAACGATTCTACATCGTCTGCATTGCGACTTAACAGGCCAAAATAGGGAACATCGCGCCCCAGCTTGTCATTAATCGTCAGCGTCGCCGGACCCCTGAGCGCTGCATGTGGCCCAACCTCAAGCACCAGGCCGATGTCGCTCGTGTTGGAGACAGCCTGCTCTAAGGCTTGCGAAAACATGACAGGCTGCAGCAGGTTATCCCGCCAGTAACTATTCGCCAGGCTAGCAGACATCGCTGCGCTGACCTCTTGACCCTCGAGGACCGAGGAAAACCAGCGGCAGTCCGACTGGGGCTTGAGGGCCTGGATACCAGCCCTCTTCATGGCCTCGATGTAGGGCTCAGCGCATGGTTGCATGTGGTAGGAATGATATGCTGTATCGACCTTGAGTAAACGCGCGAATTTCTTCTCGTCTTCTAGGACAAATTGTGCCCAGGCGACGGCCTCCGCATCGCCTGAAAGGGTGACACTGGAGGAGGAATTGCTCGCAGCAAGCTGGAGGCGCCCCACGAAGTCGTCCAGCTCACACAGATCATTGGCATCTGCCATGTCAGTTCCAGCGGCCAGCATTCCTCCTGCGACTCCATCGCGGCCGCAAGCAAGTTTGCCGAATTTTCCTCGATAGTAGGCTATCCGGATAGCATCTCGTGCACTGAGATAACCAGCAGAATATGCAGCCCCGATCTCGCCACTCGAATGGCCCACAACAATATCAAACGAGACCCCAACGGAGTGCAAGAGGTCAACTAGCATCACTTGTACAGCCGTACACAGTACCTGGGAGAACTCGGCCTCCATCACGCGGGAGTCCTCGGCTTCCCGTTCAAGCTCCTGCACTAGGGACCATGATGGTCGATCTTCCGTGGGAAGCTCAGCGAGCGACCTCTCCAAATCGTCAAAGATTCGTCTCGCGGTGGCTGATGACTGGAGGAGCCTCAATCCCATCCTTGGCCATTGGGCGCCCTGTCCGGTAAAGACACCCAGGATCTTCTCGTTCTTGCTCGATGATCGAATACCGAGTGCTTTGCCATCCTTGATTTTGCTGTCGATCTTCGACTGTAGCTTTTCCTGTAGCCTCTCGATGCTAGTTCCGGAAACAGTCGTCCTGGTTGAGAAGGCTGATCGCCGGGATAGGGTCCACGCGCTGTCCCTTAGCCGCGGTTCTGGGTGGCTGCCAAGGTACTCCAGGAAGCTCGTCAGTTGCGACATCAGAGACTTCTCAGAGTATCCTGAAAATGTGAAGGGGATCGCAGTCTCCTTGCTGGATTGGACTTTGATAGCGCCATTCGATGGTTCATAGCTTTCCACAATTGCGTGTGCATTAGCACCGCCGAACCCTAAATCACAGCGCAAGGGGAAGTAGTAAGTAGGATATCATCACGATATTAGGGTTTAGTGGCTTACCGAAGCTATTTACACTCACACGTCGAGGCACTCCGCTCGCGAGGGCGGGCCAGGGCTTCACGCTGGTCAGAATCTGGAGCTTTCCGTAATACGGCTCAATTTCAGGGTTCAGTGTGTGGAAGTGCATGTTCGGCGGCAACGTTTTGTTCTGCACTGCGAGCGACGCCTTGAGGAGGCCTGCCAGACCAGCAGTGCCTTCTGTGTGTCCGATGATTGTCTTAATTGATCCGACGTAGAGAGTGTCCCGGGCGTCCATAGTATCCTCCTGCCCAAAGAAGGCCTTATATATAGCTTTGGCTTCCTCAGGATCACCAGCCTTGGTCCCAGTTCCTACATGACTGACGTTAGTAGACGAAGCCTCTGGCATATGACGCAGGGGAGAAGTAAAATTACACATACCGTGGGCTTCAAAGAACTGCGGGCGGTCCGACTCCCTAGTCACATCCAGGCCGGCTCGCGCATACGTCGATCGAATGAGCTCCGCTTGCGCCACGCTGCTCGGCATGGTAATGCCAGGGGTTCGTCCATCCTGATTCAGGCCAGTCTCTCGGATCACACACTCGATGCGATCGCCGTCTGCTACAGCCTGGCTCAGCGTCTTCAGAACGACGGCTGCAACGCCCTCACCGCGAGCGTAGCCATCCGCGTTGGCGTCCCACATGCGGGACCGCCCTGTCGGCGACAGCATGTTGACGTTGCTTTCTGCGATATAGTTTGCTGTTCCATTCGTCAGTATTTATTGCATGAGTGCTTCCGACCGAGTGGGGAATTCCTGCACTCACTTGGGGTAAAGATCAAGTTTGTCCCTGCCGCTACGGCAACCTTGGACGTCCCGCCCCGGAGAGTCTGGACGGCATGGTGCAGCGCTACCAGGCTGGATGAGCAGGCCGTATCGATCGTCATAGAGGGCCCAGTCCAGTTGAAGAAGTAGGAAATGCGATTCGCCAGGATACTCAACGCTGTCCCCGTGGCAGCGTACTTGGGGACGGACTCCAAATCGGCATAGGTGATGTGCGCGTAATCGTTGCACATCACGCCCACGTAGACAGCTGTCGGGGACCCGGAAAGTTCTTCGATCTTCATCGCGGCCGATTCCAGGGCCTCGTAAACTACCTCCATGATGAAGCGTTGTTGCGGGTCCATGGACTCGGCCTCGGATGCCGGGATATTGAAGAACTGCGCATCAAAGGAGCGTGTATCTTCGCTGAGCTGGTATGAATGGAGGACATTACTGGAGCCATGATGATGGCCGTCCTTGTTATAGAAGCCATCGGCACTAAATCGATCAATCTTGCTCAGGACGTCGCGCGGTTCCCGAAGCAAATCCCAAAGTTTAGAAGGGGAGGAGGCCTCACCGGGAAATCGACAGCCGCTCCCAACTATGGCAATCGGCTCATTTTGGGGAGCCATGATGGAGTATGAAGATAGTCCGTTGCTGTTGTAGCTGAAGGACATGTAACAATGATATAGTGTGTTGAGGAAAGCGAGAGTCCTGAGGAGACTGTGTAGCAGAGCAAGCAGGACCAATTGACAGGGTATCAGAAAGGAAAGGCGTCTCAAAGCATGGAGACACGTGGAGTCAAACTGATGCAGGGTGGAAATTACTCACGCCCCACGTTGTTGATGCAGGTCAAGAGAGCAGATGCAAGGACTGAAGTATTCAAGGGCTCCTTATGACATCCACCCCTCAGCATTATCCATAGTTTTTAGATGCTGTCAGGATGCAAGACCAGATGAGCCACGTTGGGCCTATGCTGTAAGATGCTTGTACCTGCATGTACGTATTGAGTGGAGCTTACTGAGACCAGCAGGTGCCTCGATTAATCCGCGGCCTCGGGGCTGACACTACTGATTGCCCGATTAGGCAATATCCCGGTCAGATGTAGTGTCACTCCAAGTTCTAGTTTTCGGTTCTGCATCACGAACGAGTCTCGCTCAGATTGCCATTATCACAATGTGATCAGGTTTCCAGGAATAGAAATGACCACTACAGTTGCTTTGGGGGGCAATGCAAATGAGTGTCTATTACGTACCTTCTTACCTCCTACTCCCCCCAATCCATAACAGACGCCATCTAGAGAAATTATCGAACACAGATTGTGCTCTGACACAATGGCAGCCCCCACAGAAGTCACACTTCGCAATCTAAGCGGTACCTGGACTTTAGTATGCTCCTGCCCTGTCAATGTGCCTTTGACTACAGTCCTAGTAACCCAGTGTTAAGAGCACTTCCCTCTCCGATGATCCCTCACCGGCGCTGGAATTGCAGGATGTTTCCTGGTTAGTGCGAAACGTCATCGCTAACGCCCCTGTCACTATCTCCATCACTCAAACCGTGGACCCCACAACTGGAGTCACCAAGATCGCATCTACGCAGTCCACGCTCGGGCGAACGGTGTCGGATGTCCGGTATCTGGAATGGGAAGTCGAGGACCAGCAGAACCACCCGCTGTTTGGCAGCTTGAGTATGCGCAGTCGGTGGGCAAAGGCGAGCGATCTGGGAGAGGGATTCTTGATCGGGAACGCGGATGGCGAAGCGGAGTTAATTGAAGTTCTCGCCCATGGAACCATGGCTGGATGGACTAGCCATCAGGTCTGGGCTTTTGAAGAGATCGACGGGCACCGGTATCACACTCGTCGGGCTCTCATTACCAAGGGAGATCAACAGGTGCAGGTCCGTATGGTGTATGACTGGCAGACTGAGGAGTAATGCAACAGTCACCTTGTTCCTTCCCCTGAGAATTTAAATACTCTTGGCCATTCTACATCTTCTCGTAGGGAAGGACAGTTGTCTTGTATTTAAGAGATTGATCCAGTTAGCGAAATATGAGGTCCAAAGTTTCATGCTTCCCAGAATCAGAGAGTAATACTTCATCTATGGGCAGGTCAGTCAGTGGCTGATTTGGGCTGTGCATGGCAGGTATTCAAATGCTAATGGTTTGATTCCTGTCATAATCAAAAAAGCCTATTCAGTCCATATCTCACTTCTAGTCTAGATCCAGCTCACAAATGCTAGTTGTATAGCTATACAGCGTCCTTATTGAACTATTACTGAGACTCTCTCTTATTTATATATCTTTTGCAACTACCTCTTGAGAGTTGTTCTTTTCTATGAATATATATATTCTACTGCCAGTATCTCGGGAAGAGCTCTAATGGGAGCTGTATTCGAGGATAATACAATAATCAATAAATTAATCAATCATTCAATTAACATCTACGCGCAGCCAAGGTAGATTAACACGAACGAACGACAACATGCAAATATGCTAAGCCCCAGTACGGATTCATCCCTCTACATACCGCAAGGCCACCTGCACCCCATGGAAGCTGCTCAAGACCAAACCCATATGCTCCCGCCACGGCCGCTGATCCCGGCTTTGGACAGTGGCAAACGTTTGCAGCATCCGAATCACCACGTAGGCGGCTTCAGTAAGCGCCTTCTGCTGTCCTAAGCAGATTCGTGGTCCCCCACTGAAAGGAAGGAAACCCCAACCTGGCCTCAACGGGGCCTCATCGCTCTCCTGCAGCCAGCGCTCTGGGCGATACTCCTCGGCGTCGGAACCGTAGATGGCCGTCGATCGATGCATCGTCCAGATGGAGTAGTGTACGATCGTTCCATTTGCGACAAACACGGGCTGCGATCCGTCAACGCCGCCTCCCCGAGGGAGTGAGGTATGGCGCGTTGCGCACCGGATGTTAGTGGGCACAGGAGGGAAAAGGCGCAGTGCTAAATACATACATGCTCCTCTTTAGCCACAAGAGCATAACTAGAAGTTTATGCGGGCATTTACGTACCTTCATTCAGCACCGCACGTACATACCTCATCTCCCGGAGTTTATCATACGTCGGGCGTTGCCCTTCGAGCTGGACAACCTCCTGTTGTAGTCTCGACCAGACGCGCGGGTGACGAGCCAGCATAAAGAAGACGCTACTCAGGAGACTTGCCGTTGTGTCCCTCGCCGCCAGCAGCACATTCAGCAGCTCGTTGCGGATCTGCGTTCCATCTGTCATTGTGCTGGCCAGCTCGCTCAAGAGATCATACCGCATGCTGCCCGGCTTGCCGTCTTCGCTCCTTGGCCGTGCCGATCGGCCAAGTGCCTCAGACACGTAGCGGTCGACAGCTGAATGCACTAGCTGGCAGTTTACCTCGAAGGCCTTGTTCCTCACTAAGCCACGGAAGGGACCGAGCTTAGCCCGCACTTGAAGAAAGGCCTGGGCATCGTCAAACGCGCGCGAGAACCGTTCGGCCTCGGAGCCCGCCGGACTGAGCTGGAATCCGACGGGCTGACCTAGTAGAGAATGAGTCGCGCTGTCGAGGGTGAAGTTGAAGAAGAGCTGCTGCAGGTCCACAGTCGAGCCGTCGCCGGGGATGCGACTCAGGAGGTTCTGGACGTGTTGCTCGATGATCGGCAGTTCCGCGACCTGGGCCTTGCTAAGGCTGGGTCGGATGAGCGCCTGTTTGTCTCGTCAGTGAGCGTTCATGGCCCTGCGGTGTGCTTGGAGAGGAACCCGAAAACCCACTCGTGATCTCTCCCATTCCGGTCCATCCTCGGTGAAGATACCCCGGCCGAGGAAAGGCGCAAAGGCATCGTTGCGCTCTCCCAGGTTGAAGTCCTGGAACTGGGTTGCTAAGACTGCTTTGATATTCTCGGGGTCGGATGTCGAGATAAATGACTTGCCCAGGAGGACGGCGGAAATCGTCGGTCCATGCTGCTGGGTGTTCTCATAGTGGCGCTGCAATGATAACCCCTCCCGTGCACTTTTCTGCATGCCCCGAAACAGCGAGAACCCGATGACGTCTCCCTTCTGGTTTAGGGGACGAGCAAGAAGAAGTCCATGCACCTTGCGGTAGCGGTAGACTGAGATGGCGGCCGACAGCTTACGGGCCACTACGGCGGTGAGAAAGGCATATAGGATCAAGAGAAACATGATGAACCACTTCTGATGGCCCTGAGGAGTGGGTTAATTGGCCCACAATGGTATCTAGAGAACTGATGTCCCTTACTCGCGCTGCTTGGAGAGGATCAAAACTCCAGCGTGTGCCAACCGACTAACTAGCCCCAGGAAGGAAAGTCAGCTTACAATGACGCGAAATTGAAGGCTCAATAATGTTGGGCAAGGCTGTTAAAGTCAGGAGCAATGGAAAATACTACGTGGATACGTGATCGTTGCAGTAAGGAGGGAGAATCTAAAAGGGAAACTATTCACATACACCCCCTTAGATGCAGTAAGAGATTGATTGAGAATAGAGACTTGGTCAGCAGGTCATATCTTGTTCACAAGTAAACCAGGAATCCAGATCTGACTGCAGATTCCTTCCATTGCATACAGTCAGACCCCGTTGGGGTAACGGTCCATACGAGATAGGCTACACGTTCCTGTACGCGATGCCTAAAGTGGCAGTCGGCTTGTATACTCGCTTAGGCTATATCGCCGGAGTAACTGGGCTTCCCTGTTGGCCAAATTAATTTCTGACATATCTAGGTACACTGGAACGTTCCTAAATGGTCTACTGAATAATCTGGTACTCCCCCACAACCCCCTTCCATGGCAGGCCACTCATCCCTTTGCAGCCTCAGCATCGTCGGACTGGACAGATGGTTCGGTGGTGGCCTCTGTGGCCATGATACTCTCCGCACGGCTCATATCGTCGTCTGAGGGCATATTGACGATGATCATATACAACACTTTCTATACCGTAGAACATCCCATTTAGTCCCAATGGATCATGACGCGGGGAAAGAGAAAACAACGAAACTCACATCAGCAATCTTACGCGGCGGTCGACGTCCCTCGCTGTTCCGGGTCTCTCGCCAGGTGGTGTTGTAGGGAACCAAACCCCCCGTCGCCAGTGATATCGGGGACTTGTTAGTGTCATCGTTGGGGTCAGCGAGCTTGGACGTAAACCCACGCCTCGGAGGCGCTGCTAGTGGGCTCGTTGGGTTCCTCGCCGCCTGCACATAGAATAATATATCGTCAGTAGTCCATTCGTCCTCCCTCATTTCCCTTTACAGATCTCAATGGAGGGAAGGGGAACTTACGTATTCCGCCTGCGCCCGTCGGTCGTAGTAATCCGCAACAAACTTGCGGAACTTCTTATACCTCCCTAGCTTCTCCGCCTGCTCGGCGTTGGCGTTGGTTTCCAGCCAGTCCAGGACGGGAAAGACCAGCGGAGCGGATTCTGGGAACTCAGAGGGTCCGGTGGTGCCGCTGTGGGACCGCAGCTTGTCTGTGTACTTGCGCACGCCCGTCTTCGGGTCTGTGGTTGTAGCAATTGCCGTGGCCAACGACTCGTCAGTCATGGCCTCCTCGTGGGTGTTGTCGAAGGAGAGCACCAGGCAGTAAAGCCCACGCGGCTGGAAGAAGCCCTGGTTGAGCTTCTGCAGGAAGCCATTAGCCCTATTTCATGGTCAGCTTGCCATTCTTTTCTCTGACTCGGGTGCTCGCCTTCATCACGCACTGTACACGGCCTCTCATCTCCATGGCGATGGCGTTGACCACCTGGATGGCGAATCCCACTCCGCACCCAATGGCGTGTCCCGGCAAGGCAAAGGCCGCGGCGGCCGTCAGATTGGCGGCACCCATCCACTGCGGTGCCCGGCCGGCGCGTGTCATGGTCACCAGGAAGTCCATGAAGGTATCCTGGTCGATGCCACAGGCCTGGAGGTCTGGTGCATAGGCTCTCACGAAGCCCCGGACACGCACTCCGGGCCGACGCTGGGGGATGATGACGGGCAACGGGAGTCGACCCGCGGGCGCGCTGCCCGAGGGAGGAGGCGGATATCGCTTGAGGAAATCATCCGCCAGCTTGGCGGGATTGCGGATTTTTTTTTTCGGTTGGTCCTCGCTGTCAGAGGGCTCCTCCTGACACAGCTCGTCCTGGAGCTCATCGAGCGCCCACTGTTCGTCTTCCACAGGGTAGCGCGCAATGTCGTCTTTTTTTCAATGAAGTTTAGTTATGTATCAGCGTAGTGCCCGTTATAATGAGGGTGGTCTAGTAGCGTACTTTCACTCTCAATAGGTCTTTCTGGTGTCTTGTGACGGTGGATGGCCTCAGCCACCAGACCAATGCTGGAGGCAATGGCCATGTTGATCCTCTCTAGAACTACCACCATTTTGTTTTCTCTCTTTCCCCTTCCTTCCTACCTTGCTTTTTTTTTTTTTTTCTCGGTTAGTCTAGTTACAGAGAGAGCCGAAGTTCTAGAGAGAAAGAGGAAAGGCAGAGATAGGGTGTGAGGGGTTTCTTGTCGGAAGTGATACCAGCATGCACTGCGTCACCTGCAGTACCCGAAGAGGAATTGAAAGAAAGGACCATATCAACCAGGCGGGGCAAGCGCATGTAACTAACTAGCTAATGGTGTCCTGAAACTAATCCACTGGCCTCGTGCATTAGCGGGTCGGGCTTTGGGTAAATACCGTTCCATGGAAAGCGTGACGTGATGAAGCCCTGGATTGGACGGTTGTGGCAAGGGGTGCTGCACACTAACTAAAGCACTATTGATGGAGAATCTGACAGCCCCAGTTTGCCCAGAACGGTACTTTGCACAAAGAAAACATAAGCACCAGGCTGATCGGCTAGCCCGTAAGGGATTGACAAGCGCCCAGCGTCCCACCAACCATCCGAACACGCTAATGCCCGTCAGCATGCCTCTTTTGGAATACTGCTCGGTGGAAGATCATGTCTGATGGTGTCCAATGTCCAATTATGTCCGATCAAGATGATGTTGTATAACTCCCATCCTGTGGCTTCACTAGTTTCCCATCGATGTAACTCTGTCCATCCCTCAACGCCATGGAGGTTGAACGACTCGACTACACAGATTTTCTCAATGAAGCGCCTGGCCGACAGGAGGCCTTCGTCCAGCATCTCTACGCTGCACTCTCGCGTGTAGGGTTCGCGAAAATAACTAACCATCCCATCCCAGAGTCCGTTATCTTGCAATTATTCGCATGGGTAGGTACATACGCAAACTCCCAGCTAGTGATTTGTATTTATTCAGTGGCTCACCAAACAGACCAAGGGTTTTTTCACGCTGCCGCTCGAGCACAAACGAAAGGCTGCTCACCCCCCACAGCCTAACCCCCACCGTGGGTGGAGCTGCATTGGTCAAGAGAAGTTATCGGTCATCGCCCAGGGAAAAGCTGTTTTGGATCTCAAGGTATATTGACTCGTGTTTGTGCGTTCGTAGGAGGCTGGGGTTAATCAGATCAGCTCTGACACCGATGGGGGCGATACAGGAGTCTTTCGACATGGGGCCAGGTGATGATGAACTGTATCCCAACATTTGGACCGACGAGGGCGATCTCCCGGGATTTCGTGCCTTCATGGAGGACTTCTACGGACGATGCCAATCCTTGCACCTGCAGCTGCTGTCAGCTATTGCGCGGTCGATGCAGTTACCGGATTCGTACTTTGCTCCGTTATGCAGCCAGAATAGCAGCGAGTTGCGCTTAAACCACTATCCGGCTGTGTCGCGGCACGATCTCACGACCGGAACTATGCGCATTTCGAGCCATACTGATTTCGGGACCATCACTTTGCTCTTCCAGGACTCCGTTGGGGGTCTGGAGGTCGAGGACCAGACGCGACCGGGCCATTACATGCCCGTCGCGGCGGACGACTGCACCGATATAATCGTAAACGTGGGAGACTGTCTGCAGCGCTGGACCAACGACCGGCTGCGCTCGGCCAATCATCGAGTAACCCTACCACGAGGACTGACCCACGGCATGGTGGATGATAGATACTCCATTGCCTACTTTGGCAAACCGAGTCGCGATGTTTCAGTGCGCACTCTGTCAGCCCTACTGCGCGCAAATGAGGAAGCCAAGTACCGAGAGGAGATGACAGCCTGGCAATACAACCAATCCCGTCTCTTGCAGACATACTAGGGCAATTTAGGATGGCTGACGATTGGAGAGGGTGGAGACTAGGGATGAGAAAGCAACATAGAATGGTAAGCGGGCCAGGGGGGGGGGGGCCAACGAACACATCCCAATGTACCTTGTGGTTGGATCTATCGAACACGTTAGCTTCGTGGTTAAGCCTAGCCCCACTTTGTCTTGTCTTATGGGGGCCATTCGAGAGAAATTGGAGTCAAGATGTAGTAGTATTCACTCTGCAGCCCACCATAAGCACATCTTCATTGGTCCAGTGCGCTTTCGAACTAACCATCTTGTCTTGCTATACTTCTCTCGTCAGACCAGAAACTCTTCGTCCCCCTGCTACCACGCGAGATGATTTCAGCCTAATTCCTACATGAGTGATACCAAAATTCACCCTCACACGCTCTATATTCATACTTTGTAAGGCCACCCTTGTTACTGTGACGTTCAATCATGCAGGTTAAATCCGCCTATGTAGTCTGGACACTAGATGCTATTGTTAGCTGCATTATCCCCCTGTTAGAATGATACTTAGTCATTCATTGGTAGTATTTCTCGTGTCCATGGTCAGGGCGACTGATGCAATTATAATTCCTCTCGCCCAGGATTCATTTGGAACCCCCAACGCTCCGAACCTAGTCATCAGCCATTATCAAGATTGCCACACTGTCCTTTCTACTCTGAGACTTAATATTGCCAAGCCATACTTATAGCAAGTCACGCCCGACGAGTTCGTAAACCTCCCCCCCCCCCCCCCCCCGCGTAGCTTAATCGGTGCCCCGGCCATGACCACTCCCGTCAAGGAAACCTCTCCCGGCCCCGATGAGTGGCACCATCTGGAGGATTTGAATCAGAGGCGACGGGTCCAGAACCGCCTATCACAGCGGAATCGGCGTAAGTGTACCATCTAACTATCTAGATAGTTGCCGTTAGATTAGCCGCATCACCGACTGAACCGCAGTCTAAGGAACCAACCTGCGCAACCAGGTAGCCCAGGGCCAAAAGCAAGAAACGGCCAAGCACTCCGAGACCAAGCAGAACCGACAGCTCTTCTGGGTGCCACCTAATTCCTCTACCGCAAAGGGGAAATTGGTGACGACAAAAGGTAACAAGCTCGAGTCGCCTCGCCCCCCAGATCCAGTGACGCCCCCTGGTCGTTGGCCGGAGATCTGGCACGCTTCGCTGCACGAGAAACCGTCGGGTGGTGCATTACACGGTGACCTGGGAGATGACATGGATTCTTGCTGGATCAACACGCTTATCCGCTCGCCCGTCCTGCCTATTGACGACGATATGCTGAGCTGCACGCCCCCGATACCTACATTCGACACGACCATGACGTTGGATGCCGCACCAGTACCGACGGCAATGCCGGAGAGGGATGGTGGGCTATCCGAGGGGAACACAACGCATATTCAAGTTCCCTCGGCGAACGGAGTCGAGTTAGGTCGCACGGAAGGCTGCAAGGCACCACAAGATATGCACTTCACAGTGCAACCACAACAGCCAATGACCAGTATTCACACGGACAAGGACCGCAGGGATCACTTCTTCGGATATGCAGCACTCCACGTGGCTGCCAGTCGGGGCCATCTTGCTGTTGTGCAGCTGCTCACGGAGCGGGGAATCCCGGTCGATCAGTTGAGCAGTGAGAACGAGACAGCCCTGCATCTGGCAGCGGAGCAGGGCCATTGTGCTGTCGCACATTACCTGCTGGAGCGTGGGGCTGACCCACACCGTGGCAACCAGTATGGCGAAACGGCCCTGCACGTCGCCGCGGGTCATGGACATTGCGATATTGTCCGCCTGCTTTTCAGCTATCTACCGGATTTGAATATTGTGGATCGCAATGGCCACACGGCGCTCCTTCGGGCAGTAGCGGAGGGACATGTCGATGTCGTGCGGGTGTTGCTGGAGCGTGGCATGGACGCTGGAATGAAGGTAGGGTGGCCGTTGGATGAAAAAAGCATTTGATTGATCTAGACAGAGACCGTGGAGGGACATGAAGAACAGTGGAATTCCTGTGTGTTTCCTACTTTCTTGTTCGATACAGAGCAGTACTTTTTATGTACATAGGGTTTGGGTCCCGGTGTTATTGATTACATTTGGTCAAGCTGTGATATCTGATTGTATAAAATTGCCAGCCATCTCGTGACCAACGCCTACTCTCCTACGACTACCAGCCCTCCAGCACCTGTGCCCGCACATACAGCCCTTCTAGGGGCTTCCCTGAAAAATTGCCGTTCGACGTCCTCATATTCTCCTCGTCCCGAAAGCGCTCGTCCGAAAGGTCCAAGTCAAAGCGTCCTACCCACGCCGATACCACGCATGCCATCTCAGCGCGGGCAAATTCGGACGCCACGCAGCTGCGAGGGCCGTGCATGAAAGACAGATAGCCGTACTTGCTCGATACCCCACCACTTGGGTTAAACTCACGGTCGTTCTTCAGCCACCGCGACGGGCTAAACCGTTTCGCATCGGGCCCCCAATACCTCTCCTCGCGGTTGATGGCCTTGATGGGGACCACGATGCGCGTGCCCCGGGGCACGTACTGGCCATCCAGCTCCGTATCGACCAGTGACTCACGCATGGTCATGGGGATGGGCGGATACCACCGCAGCACCTCCTCCAGAAAGGCGCGCATCAGCGGCATACGCTCGACATCGGCGCTGGACGCAGACTCCTGCACGCGGTCGGGGGAGGGCAGCGTGGCACGCACCTCCTCGCGTAGCCGGGCCTGCCAGTCCCGGTGCAAGCAGAGCATATAGATAGCCCAGGTGATGCCCACCGAGATGGTCTCATGGCCTGCTCCCAGGATGGTCGTCATTTGGTTGATGACCTCCTCCTCGTCGACGCCGGCAATATCCTCGTATCGCAGGCACACGCTCAGGATATCCTTGCCGCCTAGATGGTGGCCTGCCAGCTGGTCCTTCTTCTCCCTCAGTAGGCCCCGACACACCCCGCGTATCGTGTCGTAGGCGTCTCCCTGATGCCGATTAGACCGCAGCGGTAGGGCCTCCACCAGTCGTGCGGGCAGGAAATTCTTCAGCACGGCGATCACCACATGGCCCAAAGTCGGTTGCAACACAGTGTGGTACACCTTAGCCAGCGGCGCGTCGGCATCGTGAACCGAGCCAAAATCCTTGCCCATGGTCGACAGGGTGATGATATCCAGCGCCACGCGCGCTGCCCATTCACCAATCTCGAAAACGCCATTCCCGGCCCCCGTGGCGTGGATCTCGTCGCCCATCCGTTCTGTAACCTCGCGGCTCTTCCGCCAGAAGGTTGGGTAGAGGTCCCGAATATGCTTCGGGGCGAACGGCGGCAGGAAGAGCTTGCGCTGCTGCTTGTGCTCGTCGCGCTCGGTCAGGACAAGGCCCATGCCCAGCACGCGGCCGGCTAGCAGCTTGATCGCCATGGGCTTGATGAAGGTGTAGTTGTCACTGGCGATCTTGGCAAGCGCTGTGGGCGAGGACACTATGAGACGCTCGCCATTCAGGATGCCTCGACAATGGATGATACCCTTATTGGGGACATCTTTCATCCTGTTGTTTTTACTTTTCAACCCTTCATCCCGGGGGGGTGGGGTGGGTGTTCTGAGAACGGGAGAATCTCACTTACCACTTGAGCTCGGCCTCCCCGTTGCCCATCTTCATGATCTCTCCAAAGTGGCCATTGATCCAGCTACCTCCCTGTAGACATCTATGATCAGAGAATCTTCCGGGTATCAGTAGGAAGAGAAAACGCTCACCGGAGGCTTGGGCAGGTGCTTGAACGGAGAGAAGCAGAGTGGCTTCAGAAACACCTTCCACAAAGCATAGAGTAGAAGCTGGCCAGAAGAGAGGACAAGGAAGGTGGTCAGAAGACGGAATCGCACCACGGGGAGTCGTTCATCGAAATGGTACACTAGAGTGCCTGTGGCAGTCAGTGTGCCCAGCAGCGTTAGCACTGGGACTAACATTCTCGAAGGTACTCAAACCAGAAGTAAAAAGAAAACAAAATGAATAAACAAAAACAAATTAAAAAAATGATAATGAAAATAGAAAGGGCAGAAATAAGTCCATTTCAGTATAGTTTAATCTAGCTGTGTATTTGTGCGTGCAACGAGCTATGATTCCTCTCTCATCTACAACCTCAACGGGCAACTCGTGGCTAGCCCTACATTTCCACATTAGGAACATCATCAGCCTCTCGGGACGACTACCTTTCTAGGGGATATTTAGAAAGCTTACAGAAGGATAAGCTGAAAGAGGAATAAGCACAGCCAAAATCCAGCAGTCTGACAACCTGCAGGTGGCCCACCTTGTCGGTATTGAGTCCGGACTATCGGGCTGACTGGAGATCTGACATTGACCCGTTTTGGCATAGTTGCTTTTTAGTAACTTTTGCTTCGCTACCGTTTCTGAATATTTGCCTTTGCAGATCGAAAAACAAGCCCTTACTCATCCACTCTAGACTACCTAATTAAAGCAATACACTAATTTCTGACCGCTGATCTCTCCCTTGCGCAACATCTCCACTCCGTCCAGCACCGCCGCCAAGCCCCCGTCCTTCACCCGGATGGGGTGCGACCGAAGGCGACCCTCGTCTAGCAACTTCTGCACCGCAGAGTAGGCGGGCTTAGCCAGGGCCCGGATCTCAGGGTCCGGCTCGCGATGGTAGGGCTCCGGCCAGGCAGAACCCTCGCCGGTGATGAGCGTGGCCAGGATCCAACCCGGCTTGATGACCTTGCGAGTGGCCAAATGCTCGGGGTAGGGATTGAGCGCGATGTATTGCCCTCCCGCACGGCCAATCGCACTGTAGCAGATCTTGATGGTCGAGTCCTCGGTGATGCAGTCTACTGCGTACTTTAGGTTGTTGCGCGTCGCCTCGCGGATGTCCTGGGCGCAGGTGGGCGAGTTGTAATCGAACACTTCATCTGCGCCATACGAACGCACCAGATCAAAGTTCTTGGGAGAGCAGGTGGTAAGTGTTCGGACACCGCAACTACTTCTGTGTCAACTGGGATGGCCTTGCGCAATGTCACTCTGGAGAGGAGGTGGGTTTGGGGTTGGTCAGACATACATCTTCAGCACCTGGAGCAGCATGGTCCCGGTCGCAGTACTGCCTCCATAGACGAGGACAGGAAACGGTTTCTCTGCCGGTTCCTGGAGGGACGCGGGGATTTGCATCGTCCAGAACAGCGACATGCACGCCGATACCAGCGCGGTCCCGAGCGACGCAGCCTCTGCGAACGTCATGGCAGGTGGGATGCGTAGCGTGAGATCGGCCGGCAGCATCACGTACTCTGCAAAGGCTCCCCCTAGCGGTTTCTCTCGGTTCATGCCGCGAGCGCTCCCGCAGACGCGGTCCCCAATCGCCAGGCCATTGCCAACCTTAGGCCCAACGGCTACGATCACACCTGCGCAGTCGAAGCCGAAGATGGCGCCCGGCGTGATGAAATCGCCCACTAGCTTGGTGTCGACGGGGTTGAGAGCGACAGCCGCGGTCTTCATGATGATCTCATCGTCGGCCAAGGGGGTAACAGGCACGTCATGAGAGAGCTGGAACTCGCCTTGGGGACCAGCAATGATTGCGGTCTGGGTGGACGGAAGCATATGTTGGATCCCCATGTTTGTTTCGACTAGAAGTATCCGTCGTATCTCCTGTAACAACGATGGCTGTATAGAAAGAATAAACATCACCGGGAATTAGCACGCATCTGCAGTTAAAGAGCCTCCAACATTGTTGCCAACACAGGGACTCTCATGGTGCTAAATCGGAGTGCTATCCTAAATAGGAAATGGAATCTGACAACTAAGCCTGGAGGCGGAATTCAGCGAACCGGATCAGGAATGTTGGTTCATCGATAATCTTCCAGACTCCACATTCTTACGGGGCCGCGATATACTAGTAACTGACGTTTGCCAGGCAGTCGGATTCGATCATCAGGAGACATCACGCTGTAGGTGTAGATACAGCATCTCCCCTCCTCACCTACCATGCCGGGCCAAAAACCAGTTGTTCTCTTCCTCACCAACAGTGAATTTGGGCAGTCATCGGTGGTTCTAGCTGTTGCGCAGGAGCTAGTCCGTCAGTCTGCCTGTGAGGTGCATGTTGCCTCGTTCTCAGCTCTCAAACAACAGGTCGAAGCTCTTAATGTCGCCTTCCATGCCCTCCCCGGACGGTCAATGAAGGAAGCGCTCTGCGACAGCGGCCTTCCCTTCCTCCCTAAGCACGCGCCCGGCACTCGTGGTGCCGTTGAATCCTATCGCAAGGGCCTGCAGCATGTGGTTGCCCCGTGGGAACCGGCTGGCTACGAGCCCATCTACCGGGCCTGCCTGGACCTCCTTGATAAGCTCAACCCAGACTTGGTTGCTGTGGGTACGTCATCCAACGTTGGCTGTCACCATATCTCCATAGCAGCTGCTAACTTGGTTCTCGTACATAGATCCCCTGTTTGGTCCTGGCCAAGACGCCTGCAATGTCCGACAGTGTCGGTATTTGGTCCTGAGCCCAGCCTCGTTCAAAGACCATCTGGTCCAAGTCCAACCCCATCTCAGGGTTCTATGGAAGTACCCAGTGTGCGCTCCCACTACCTCTTCCCTCTTCTCTTTCATAGCATCCGAACGCTGATACCTGATAATCGGCGACAGAATATCCTCAGGGCTGCCCTACCCTCTGCCCCTATTCCTCATCATCATCAACTTCTACCTGATATTCAAGCTGGTCTTGCATACTTTTCTCTCCAAGAGGGTCCAAACATTGACCAAGTGGCGCAACCACATCGGCATCCCAGGCGATCTAACCACAATATACGCCAATTTCAATGAAAGAGTCCCTTGGCTGCTGCCGTCAATCCCACAAAGCGACTTCCCCCTCAAGATTCCCACCAACGTCACTGGCTGTGGACCCATAATTCCGCCATTCGAATCAGTGGCCCACAATCCCACCGCATCCTGGCTGGCCCAGCGTCCAACGATCCTCTTTAACCTAGGCTCGCACATGAAATACAAACTGACTGACGCGCAGCAGGTTGTGACTGCCCTCTCAATGGTGCTACACACATACCCCGATGTGCAGATTCTGTGGAAATGTGAACTATCACATGATGACCCCAGCAGCAAGGAACCAGGATCTTCTGATTCTTCGGCCATCCAGGACTTGATTCCGGCGGAACTGACCGATCGCATTCGGGTCACGTCATGGATCACGCCGTCTCCCATGTCTATCCTCGCTCATGACAGCACTATCATGTATGTCCACCATGGAGGATCGAACTCGTTCCATGAGGCGCTAGCTGCCGGCGTCGCGCAAGTGGTGTGTCCGGTGTGGCTGGATACGTACGATGTCGCTGCCCGGGTCGAGTTCCTTCGTGTTGGCTTGAGGGGGAATGGCAAGGCGGCGCCGCATCTCGAGGGCTCTGAGTTAGGCGCAGCCATCTGTCGGACGGCGCATAGACTCAGAAGCGGAGATATGGGTACTCGGACCCGAGAGTTGCAGGCCCACATTCTGGCGCAGGAGGAGGGCGTTAGTGGGACGGGCCCGGTGGACGTGTATGGTGTTGGGCGTCGCAAAGCCGCCAAGGTCATATTGGACATGATCACGGCGTGACATATTAGTATACTTCCTTATTTTTGGTAGCAGCACTGACGTGTGAAGTGTCATCCGGGAGCGGTGGTTGACATTAGCCCATTTCCTATACTCAGAATAGATATGCAGTGACTCTTTAACCGAAATATTGTAACCTCGACGGCTTCCTAGCGAAGCGAAAGCCCACCGGGAACACGGCGAACCTGGGCTAAAGACATTGGAGAGTCAATCTTCTATGTCCAGTATGCCTATGTGTGGGGCCTTAACCCTATGGTTTCATCGGAGACTTCCTTACCCTAAATCGCTATTGCAAGCGAATTTGTTGCCATATAAACAAACATAGTGCATAGGAATGATATTCTGTGATATTGTAGTTATGAATCTCAGTGTTGATTCTATCGTTGAGTAATTGCTCCATAGCTTCTTCTGCAGCTCTGAACCTGGTTACTGAGGTACATAGCAACCCAACCAAGGTCTTCAAGGTACCTAAACGGCTAAATCTTCTGTGGGTTGGTTCTTGTATGTAGGGAAGGACAGATCTATATGAGACTAAGGCCGAATACATTTCCGCAGGACAGCTCAGTCCGCGCTAAGATCCGCTCACTAGGTAAAAGGCCAGGATGTCAAGGGTTGTTTGGGAAAATCTACACGTATGTCATTCATGGTACACTACCTAGTACCAGCACCTATAATTCTAGTCTTGGTCCGTGATAATGCTTCCTCGCGTATGCGAACCAGTTCGCGATACCCAAAATAAGCATGGCGACCAGGACCACCGATGTATAGTCTATTATTACAATTAGCATGTCTCGCCCCAGTAAACTACATGAGATAGGGGCTAGAGAAGGACGGAGGACATACTCATATTCCCACTGGTAGCGGGCAACACGGTCGGGAACGAGAAGAAAACCGTCAACACAACCGCCCACACAATCGTCATTACATTAACGATATATCCGACCGAGTTGGGGAGCTTGAACGGCCTCGATGGGGGGAGGTAATCTGTCGATCGACGACGATAAAGGAGGAGTGCGGAGGGAACGGCGTAGGAAATTTGGGCGACGATGACTGTTGTGCTAATGAAGGCGTTAAATGCTGTTTCCCTCATGTTAGTATTATAGTATAGAGCTTTACGCCAGTGCATGGGAACAGGGTTGTTGTACCGTTCGAAGAAGCGACATAAACAATCCCTAATAGCAGAACGCACATTCCATCCACAAGGATTGCGTATACAGGAACCCCGAGAGATGGACTAACAGATGCTATTTTATTCGAGTAGAATAGTGCTTCGTCTCGGGCGAAGGACCATGTTAGTCGAGATGCGGTCTGGTGCACTGCGTTTAGGGCAACGAGGGAGACGACGAGAGTGCAGGCCATGAAGATTGTGGCGGCAGATGGGGAGTGGGTCGCCTTTTCCCAGATAAAGTAGATTGGGAATCTGGGTATCGTTGCATCTTGGTTAGACTGTTGGTCCGCTTTGACAGACTTGGGTAACGGGGGTCACATACCCTGTCGGTGATGATAGAGAGAGGGCGACGTCCTTGTAACTGTAGAGGATAGCAATAGCGAACGGGAATGCAGTGAGAAATCCCACGATAATCGTGACAACTATAGCTTTCGGGACGATCCGTTCCGGTTCAAGACATTCTTCCGCAAGATGGAGGGTTGCGTCGAGACCGGAAAGCATGAATTGGGGCGTCGAGAGACCGGTCAAGAACGAGATGCCATCTGGCCAGCCTCCTGAGCCGTTCACAAATTGTGTCCACACGTGTGAGGAGTCGATTTGCGTGGAGGAGCGAGCGGGGCAGGTAATTGTTATGGCGAGGAATGTGGATAATGAGAGGAGAACTGTGACCGTTAGTCTTCCGCCAATGTGTAGATGTATCTGAGAGGGGGGCAAGGTTGGGTTACATACAACCTAGATTGTAGACCCACAGGGTCTTATTGGTGAGGAATATGTTATAAACAACCATAAGAGCATTCATGGCTTGGTACACGAGGAAATAATGCCAGGTCTGCGGCTGATATTCCGGTTGCCAGCGTATAACGATGGCCATGAGCAGATTTGTAGAAGACACTGCGATGGACGCGCCCAGCGTAATCCAAGAGAATACGGCCGCAAGCCCACTAAAGTATGATAGACTGCGACTCCAGCGACTCGTGGCCAAGATTGAAGTGAAATGATATTGACCACCTGCAGTGGGATAGATACTCGCCAGCTCCGCGAGAGTCAACCCTGTAAAAAGCATAGCGACAGCAACGAGGATAATCCCATAGACCAGAGTCACAGCCCCGCCTGACTGGATGGCGATAGGAAAACTAGCAGCGATGGCAATCCAGCTGTTGGTGATATTGTAACCTACGGCGATGATGCTGAGGATGCTAAACTTTCGCCTCATTGGCGTACCGGGGAGGCCAGTTTCGGCGACTTGGCCATTGGATAGTTCGATAGAGGGAGTGGAGAGGTCATGATTGGATTTGAGGTCTTGTTTGCCCATACTGTTTCTGTGGTTTGGCAACGTTAAAAACGTGGGGGGAGTGATGAGAGAAGTGTAGATATATTCTATTCCATTTTTTATTTTTATTTTGGTATATTGAGTACAATAGGTCATGGGCTGTATACTATTGAGGGAGGTGGATGTCAGGTCACTTAGGGCTTCCAAGTATACATCCATTAGTAACGATATCATGGTTTATCAAGATAGGGTGTGGTGGTCGGAACGCTTATCGAATTCCGAGCTGTGGTTATCAGCATATTCTGACAGGCAGAATAGATGTTCACGATGCACAGACATCCCATTATAGCGGAATGAGGACGGAATTGATAGCGGATCGACGTTGAGGATGATAGGCAAAGAGTGAGGATATCTTTCCCTAATCCATCATTTCCCCGCATTTTCAGTCCCTAGATAAGGTTCTCTAGTGCTTCATGTTTATCGACCGCTGCTTCCTTCCAATGGTCCAGCTTCTATTGGGTCGTTTTACCTCCTCGGTAGTGGGAATCGGTCCGCATGGCGGAATGGGTGCGATGTTGATGTAAAAGGTCATTATCGCCAGTTCTGAGTTATGGTTCTGGGCGCCAATGACTTCAGATAAGGGTACGTTGCCAAGCGTCTATTGAACCGCTATCTCTATCACTGCCTAGATGGCTTCTTAATAAGGTCCTTGTGAACTCCTCATATATACTTCCGGCGTGGAACTAATTCCGACGCTTAGTTCCTACACTGTCGCTATCCCAACTCCACCCCCTAATAGTACTATATAGCTTACCTTCACCCTCCCTATCTCCGTTTTATCTTGAAAAACGGTATCGGTAACTGCCTATATATAGCTCAGACCTTGACGTAGGCCCCATTTGTGTAGCCTTATGCATCATTCGCACGACGCAGGCCTTTGCCTTTGGTAAAGAATGCGGCAATAGTAGCCACAAATCCAAAGCAAGCCGACGCAAGGAAGGACAACCGGATGCCTCTGTAGTATACCAGCCTGGCAGCCAGTTGGATCTCCGGGGGTAGGTTATGGATGGCCGACACAGAATGTCGGATATCGTCGATAATCTGGACGTCATATCGCACATGATCAGCTTTCGCTCAACGAGCAGTAACACGAAAAGAAAGGGATGTTACTTTCCATTTGTTTGGTACTCCACTCAAGGCCTCTGCGAGGCCTGAGCGCAGTGTGTTTTGTATAATCGTGGACGTAATAGCCACACCCCAGACGGTTCCTAGTGAGCGCACCAAGTAGACCGTCGAAGCTGACACGGCGTGATCTGGTGTTATTAGCTTAATCTGTAGCCGACATGATCAGGTACTGAGTTGTACCTACCGGCGTGATCAAATGCAGCCAGGAACGTAAACAGAATGCCAGGGTATACAATACCCTGACCTAGGCTCGCGGGAATGACATAAATAAAGTACTTCCAGCCTGCATCGTTGAACTGCAGTGACATCACTAGCAAGTTTCCAACGCACATCAGCAGGGCACCTACACGAACGAGGTGGGCCAGCTTGCCCCAACGGGACATGACGATGCCGGAGATAAGACCCCCGATGGGGGTCGCGAGCGATGGTATCGCCAGTCTTGCGCCAGCCGTCGCAGCGGAATCCAAGAGAATGACCTGGAACAGCAATGGAAGAGTAAAGAGAAACTGATTCCGTTAGTCTCCGTCTTAGTGAGGAGCAACACGACCTTACTGCATACGCCGCCATCCCGACACAGACATTTGAGATCTGGGTGGCAATCGGCAGGATTCCTCGCAGCAGACTTGGAGGAATCAGTGGAATAGCGGACGTCTTCGTTTCAATAAGCACAAAAGCACCCAGAAGGATGACACTCGCTACAAGTGAGACAGTCACCCATATATTGGACCAGGGCAGTTCGTTTCCACCCAGGCTCAAGCCTATCAGCTGGCTTGAGAGACCCAGGATAAGGACGCACGCGCCAGATAGATCAATACATTGCAAGATCGCTCGGAGGCCCTGTCCCGGTTCGATAAGCTCGGTCCTCCTGGGAAGATGAATAACAAGATGTCCTGTGATTAGTGCGAGCAGCCCGACAGGGGTTTGCATCAAGAAGCACCACCGCCATCCAATGGTGTCGACGATGGAACCGCCAAAGGATGCGCCACAGATGGAACCAAACCCATGCATGCCGTTCTGGAGGGCCTGATACATTCCGCGGCGCTGGAATGGAATAAGGTCCGAATTGACAATAGTAGCTGGGGGGGGGGATATTAGTTTTTCAATGTCAGTGCTAGGATGAAGAATGGTATCATACCCATCGTCATTAGCCCACCACCACCGATCCCTGTCAATGCTCTCATAAGATTTAGGAAAGCGATGTTCTTGGCCACACCGCAGCCAATGCAACCGATCATGAAGGTGATAGTTGCCGTGAAGAAGGAGGCACGTCGTCCGAAGATATCTGAGAACCGACCGTAAAGAGGTTGAAAGGCGGTGCTCGTGATAAGATATGACGTGGTGAGCCATGATGCCGTGTTGGCCGCATTAAATTCCGAGCTGATAACGGCATATGTTGAAGCTGTGATGGTGCCGTCAAAGCCTGAAAGAAACACATTGGACATGATGGCTGAAATAAATTGTCAGCGACATCCTGGTTCTTACTTCTCAGACCATTCCCTACCTATTTGAACCCAGAGAAAGCCTTTCGGTGGTTTCCAGGTCTCCTCTGGAGGTAAGAGCGGCTGTTCCTCGTGAAGCATAGCTGTCTCGATATCCGTTTCGTTTCTCGAAGTGTCAATCAAGTCAGATCGGCGAGTAGGTGAGGGCATGGCAGCTCTATAAATCGACCGAATGAACAGGTTTGCACCGTGCAACTGTTGCTATGGTTATGGAAAAAGAATGAAGGAAAGAAAGAAAACTAGCAGAAACGATGCGGGGGAAATGAACAATGTGTAAGGGCAGGAATTTATACAGATGTGATTGATTCTTGATGGCGTTTTGGATCCACTTGTTCTCGTCGGCTATTCCAGCGGAGTCCCGATCGGGTATTGTACCTGCGGATCAATAGCCCTAATGCTTCAACTGATAGCAGACAGAGTAATAATTAGAATAGGGATAAGCTATACAGTCTTATACATACATACATATGTTGGTCAATGTCTGAGCATCACGCATGTTGATCACCTCTGCGCCCACCCATTACTTGCTGGTAGATCTGCCACCGCCTCAATTTACGGCCATGTCTCAACGTCTCAGAGTGATTGGCAACCAAAACTTTGGATTGCAACTGTATACACTTATCCAACAGCTCGGTGGCTTCGGCATATCGGCCCATTTTCCTCCAGGTGTAGGCTAACTGGCCCATACCGTACGCAACATCTGGATGCTCCGGACCAAGTACCTCTTGGTAACTCTTCAAGATTTGTATTTGTAGCTTCTCAGCATCTTTGAGACGGCCTCGTTGGCAATAGATTGCAGCTAGGACACTTTTGAAATCCAGTGTGTCTGGATGCTCCGCTCCAAGGACCTTCTCGGCAATCTCCGTCGTTTGCACCTGTAGCCTCTCGGCCTTTCTCAGCAGACCGATGAGCATATATAGGTGTGCCAAGTTGTTGGTGCTGGTCAACGTAATTGGATGCTCCACGCCCAGTGTTTTCCTGTGACCCTTCATGATCTGCACTCTCAACCTTCTGGCCTGGTTCCATTTGCCTTTATTATAATATATACTTGCAAGTGAACCCTTACAAGTCAATGTTTCCGGATGCTCTTCACCAAGTACCTTTTGATAACCTTCCATGGCCTGCAGCTCCAATTTCTCTGCCTGAGCCCATCGCTCTTGCTCCAAGTATATTGTTATGAGGGTGAACATGCTATTCAGTGTGCATTGATGCTCAACACCTAGAAGTTTCTTCTGACTCTCTAATACTTGTACGGTCAGCTCTTCAGCTTTGCTCCATTGCCCTTGATTGAGATGTGCATGTGCTAGAGCTCCGATATTGCCTAGCGTTATAAAACTCTCGTTGCCAAACATAATTTTGTTATTATCTGCGACCGTTTTTAGCGCCTTTTCGGCCTCCTTGTATCTTCCGTCTCTCAGGGAACAGCGTCCAACGACGCTCAACAAATACACAGCTGCACCCGTTGGGATGTTCCATGCCAGTGAGTCTAGAAGATAGCGAGCATGTGGCAGTAATGGTCTCCACAGGATTCGATTCTCATTTCCCGGCCATGGGAACAGCTCGTTTAGGCGATTCAGAGTCTTGGTGGTCCACTCTTCCAGAGTTCCCTGCATTCGCAACCAATTACGGGTCGCGAGGTGTACAAGGCGATGAAGATCCAAGAGCTGGCCTTGTTCATGGCTTGTAATAAATGAGAAAGCCTTTAACGTTCCAATAGCATCAGCCGTCTTTGCTGCCGATTGTGTTGGCGGAAGAAGTACCTTGGGGATACTCTTTGAATCAACACAAGCCATAAGTGATAAGTATTCGGCCGCTAACGCGTCACAAGCTCTGATCTGCTCAAAGGAAATGAGCCAGGTGGTCGCGATAGGATTCTTTCCATCCTTGTATCTCCCCTCATCTTCGAAGTCCTGACTAAGGATGTCGACCATGCTCTCCTCCGTGCTATCATGGAGTACCATATATTCAGAAAGTGTCATCTGATTTCTATTGATAGATGCGGCCGCTTGAACAATTGCAAGTGGGAGGTATGTTAGCTTTCCAAGCAAATCAGTTGTCGCTCGTTCATCAGCTAACAGACTCTTGTCGACCAAAGACTTTCCGAGCAAGTTCTTCGCTAGTGTGCTATTCATCTCTTTAACTGTGACGATGTTTCTTCCAGCCAACTCTATAGCAGTTTTGTAGCTTCTGGTGGTGAAAAGAATAGACCCATACTTGCTCTTTGGTAGGTACTTGGCTTGCCCGCGAGAGCCTACTACGTTGTCAATTTTATCAGTCCAGAGGGATATGTCATCAGCATTATCAAACACCAAAAGCCATTTGCCAACCCTTTCTTGACTTAAGCGTTGTTGGACCAGGCTTGGTATATCTGACTTTTCTTTTTCAATGTTGGGAATTTGCAGCTGTTTCCCAATGTCCAAGTACGCTTCCAGCATGCTCTCGAAGTTTGTCACTGGTATCCAAAATATTGCACTACTCGGGTATCGTTCTCGAAAGTTATGGACATATTCAAGTGCGATCTGCGTTTTGCCAACGCCACCAAGCCCAACGATGGCCACCCGCTCGCAACGGTCTTCACCGTCAAGCATGTCATCGACCTTGGCAATCTCCGACGAGCGACTCACGAACAGTGGATTTCGTTGGAAAGGGACAAGCCAGGGTGCTTTGCTTTCTGGTACTGCAATAGATTTAGTATATACACACTCGTGGCCTTAGGGGAGACATACATATATGAGGCTGCACCGCACGTGGAACATGGTGTCTCTACAAGGTGTCAATACGATACTAACTGTCGAGGTTTGCTGGTCATTACGTACATTGAGGATCCGTGAGATATTGCACATCGCCATGCCTACCCCAGGATTAGTTGAGGGCTTGTTATGCTCTATGCGAAATCTTGGATGTACACACTCTCTTTGAGCTTTAAGTTCTGCACGCAATCTCGCACCTGAAACGCCTGAGCCTGATGGTCGAGATACCGATACGTTGCGGCTTCTATCTTCCCCTGCTCACGATACTCCTCCAATCCGACTTCTTGCAATCCTTGATCAACGTTGAAGCGGAAGTATCTCTTCTCATCGAAATGTTTGGCCCATCTCGCTATGGATTTCTTCTCCGTTCGGTCAGTCTCAGTGGCAATATCGACTAAGGTTTCGGAAAGAAATCTCAACGCCTTATCTTCGATCGCTGTTATTCCGGGATTTCCGGTTCCGATGGAGACGAAGCACTTCACAAGCGGCTTCAAATCACCAGTGCCAGAACACCATATGTCCGCCGCCTCCCCTTCCACCTCCTCCACTGGATTGTTGGACCCCAGGGCACCGTCGACGAACTTTCGAGTCCCGATATAAACAGGGTTGAAGAAAGTCGTAGCCGCTGATGTGGCAAGCGCGGCCTGGCAGATAGTGGCTGGAATGTCGACCTTGGTGGGTACGCTATAATCCCGAAGGCGCACGATATCTTTTGTCTCATATGAAGTGGTACAAACAAAGCTAAAATTATGAGAATTGATCATCTCCTCCCATTGATTGACTATAATACTCACACGCGACAGCCACGCTCGGCTCCGTCGTTGAAATTGTCCGTCTCCTTTGCTCCTTGGCTTGCCACAACTTCTTTAATGGCCTTTTCTAGTTTCGTTGCATCAAATCGCGACTTGATGTTTCCCGAGAGATTCACAGGCCAGCGTGATTTCTTCTCGAAAATGGTACGAATGAGTTTGACGTACGTTTCTATGCAGTCGTCGACACTCATTTCCAGGCGACCAAGCATAATCGCGATGAGCCCTCCTGTGCTCGTACCGCCGATCAGGTCGAATACCTCGCAGGGCTTGACAGGCCCCCGGTCTGGACGCTCCTGGCTCAGTCGATTCATGAGATGCTTCAAGATATAGAGGGTTGAGAGCCCTCGCACACCACCGCCATCAAGCGATAGCAGACAAAGTCCCGATTTGTCGAGAGTACTCGGTGCGCCAGTGGCCATTGCTTGTTCTATTGCTTAATTGCCGTTGTGATTGATTCATGAAGAAGACAGTCCCGGGACAGAAAAGAGATAGAGACTACAAATATCCTAACCGCCGTGGTGGAGATCGGTCGGAGGCGACGAGGCTGACAGCCTATATTAGCGCCCCCGCTCCAGGAGTCCATATGAGACGATCAATCGCGACGACATTAGTCGGGGTTGAAACCGCATCGCCATTGGCAGTGTCTCTTAGAGACAACCCCTGCTCAATAGTTAGCAATAATCGTAAGATCACATTAATTGGTGAACGTCACAGCCAGGCTAAGAGGTTTCACAGACACCGATGCGACGTAGGCCATCTCAGCAATTAACCCCAATCAATCCTTCTCAATTACCATCCCAGCATAGCACTAATAGTAGTATACTTTTCTCTCCTCGGCCTCGTTAATTTTCGATAACAGAGAAAAGACAGCGTGCGTCTTAAAAACAACATTGAAGTACTCTTCTCTTCACCTAGTGTAGAGATATACAAAGGGTTATGTGATAGTAGTGAAAAGCCAGTCTTCCAAGTTACAACTTGATCTAGGCACTGGGTTGCGTAACAAAGCCACCGATGGCTTTGTACGGGGTAAATGCGCGGGATGAAAATAAGCGCCGACGCTGTGATCCATACTTGGGTCTATCGGCACGGTCGAATCTCCACCCTGGCGCTCTCTTTTCTGTTCTCTTCTGTGAGGATCGTTCAAACAATTGAGAGTTTGCTAGACACACTCCTGAGCGTTTGCCCTCCAATCAAACGATTCGGATCGCTTGACCTAGCCACTTGACTATCGGGGAAAGGGACTTGTCGTGATGCACAATAGGCGGCACTAGATAGCAATTTATAGCCCTTCAACAAACAGGATCTCGTCATATCATCTTCGTTGATCGGAGAAGGACAGTTGAGGTGTCGTTCGCCTGGGAAGATTGTGTATGACAGAACTCTCAATGCCTTAAACGAGGGCGGAGAAATGTGGCCTTTCGAATCCAAGTTCACAGTAATCATTTCTTCCTACATACTAGTAGTTCAGTAATATAAAGTCCTTGAAGGAAGAGATATCGATAATATATACGATCGTATCCTCAATCATTAAGTTTATCTAGAGCGTACCGATAATATTAGATATGCGGCCGGCATATTCGACCCAACCTATTGGAAGAAGAAGTGGTGCAGACTTGATATCTCAAGACGGTTTCTATGTGATTTGTTCATGCTGTAGACCAACTAGCTAGCCCATGCTAACCAATACCTAGCAGGATTACTTCGTCTTCAAAACAGCCACGCTCAGGTTCGGCAAACTAAAGTCGAACACGCCGTTATCGCCTGCGGTCACAGTGGAAATTTTCTTGTCAACAATGTTGGCAGCCCCCACTTTATTCGCGCCCAATGCGTCCGCTGCGGTGAGTACGGTCAGCTGGGCGCTTGTGCCGGCTTTAACGCCGTCAAAGGTCAGAGAAACAGGAACATCAGCGGTACTGTTATAAACGGCCGCCTTGAAGATGTGAGAGTTACTGTTGCTGTCAAGGCCAGCGACATAGTAGAGTGGTCCGAAGCTGCTGTTGGAAGTTGTGGGGAGGGTGTTTGTGAAAGAGTTGTGGGAGAAGAGCTAGTCTAGTTAGTCGGTGGTATGATAAAACTAGGTGGAGAAATATATACCTCATAAAGATGCCAGCTCGTGGAACGGGCCGTTTCATCTGGGTTCGCATTGAAGGCGAGGAATGTTGGTGACCATTGGTAGTTGGCAAGGTTCATGAAGAATGGGGCCTGTACGTGTTAGCGAATGTTTAGTGTTTAAACTAACAGTGAGGGATCTCACATATGTTGTTCCAAGGACCTTATCGGCATTTCTTTCAGCGCCCAGGAGGAAGACAGCTTCTGCAACGCTGCCAATCCACCAAGGATACTGCGCGAAATGTGCGTCACCACCCCACACAATTTCTACTCCGTTGTACTGGATTGCGGCAATTTCACCTGTTCTTGTTAGTCGTTAGGCTTGAGGTTCCAAGCCAGAGGCTTACCCAGCAGAATCGGATGGTCGGGGCTGAATTGATCGAAATAGTTGAACTTCTTAACAAAGTTGTCCGGAGTATCGTACAAGTGATAATCACCGCCCGCATCACCAGGGAAATCAATCTCCACGGTCGAAGCCAGGACAGTAATATCAGGGTATTTCTCCTTGATGGAGTCGTAGAAAGCCTGGAAGCGATAGGATTTGTATGAAGGTAATCCTTCGTTCAAGTTATCTTCGTTGCCAACCTCGACGTACTTGACTGTCCACGGTTCTGGATGGCCTAGGGAAGCGCGGAGTGCACCATATTCCGTGTTCACAGAGCCAGTGAGGAACTCTAGCTCGTCTAGTGCATCTTGAATGTACGGACCTAGCTCAGACTCAGGGACCGCATCGCCATTCAATGCGAATCCGCCCCACACCCCAAGGACTACACACATGTTAGGCGACACGCCCTGGCTTGGGAGGAAACAGCTTACTAGGCTCAACTCCTAGATCATCACACCATTCCATGTATTCAACAAGACCTAGTCCAAGAGTTTCCTGGTAGGACCAGGTTGTCGCGCGACCAGGACGGTCCTTGAGCGGTCCAATGGTTTCATTCCATTTCCACCTGCCGGAAATGGTGTCGCCCTCAAGGTTATTACCGCCTGGGAATCGCAGAAATTTCTGATTTGTTAGCGTTGCCTTTCGAATCGACGTAGAAAGATTAAGTTACCGGCGCAAAGTCTGCCATCGCCTGCATCAGATCCTTCCGTAGCCCATTGGGACGGTCATTCCATGTAGGAGGGAACAAGGAAATAAGGTTGAAGTCGAGGGATCCGTCCACAGTGTCCTACGCAGTCAGCTACAGTCGAAAAATGATTTGAGCGTCCACTCACAGAAGCATCAAAGGTAACTGAGAACGTGTTCTCCGTGTTTGGGGCTGCCTTGCTGGGGGTCAGAGTAAAGTTATGTTGTGTCCAAGCGCCGCGAACACTTTGCGACACAATTTCCGTGCTGGCATATACTTCGCCGGTCTGGTTCGACTGCAGGGAAGCTGTAAAACTTCCATTGTACGCGCCCTTGACATAGAAGGAACCGGTGTACTTCTGCTGCCTCACATCGATTCCCCACCAACCTAGGTTACTAAGACCGGCTTTGCCTATCACTCCCTTCACGTTTACCGATGTGGGTAGAGCAGATGACAGGGGTTGACTTAGGTTTTGCAGGGAGAGTGTCGATCCATCTACCGGGATCCAAGCATCCAATGTGGAAGGGTACTTCTCGCCTCCCTGGAATGCTCGATTGCGGATCAGCTCCGCATAGAGACCCCCGTCACCACAGTAGTTAATTTCCTACGTTACCATCAGCTACTATATCCGGTACAAGTAATACCCTTGGCGGCGGACCTACCTCTTCCATGATACCATATTGTAGACCGCTAGTGGCATTACCACCAGATGATGCAACGGATATCTCAACCGCTGCACCGCAAGCTGCCAGGAGGGCAACAAAGAAACATTTGTGTAGCATCTTGAGTCCTCCCCCTCAATGGCAATCTGTACATGCACTCTGCCGAACTTATTCCTGCCCAGCCGTGGACCCCGGCAGGACAACCCAGACGATTTATATATGTTTTTTGGTCCCCGACTGCCATCGGAGGACACCCGACGATACAGCCTTTTCTCCCGACAATTGCGCACATGCTGAACAGAATAATCCTCGCCAAGTGAGAATATCCATCCTGCGGAGTGGGCCACGATGTGCCGGGAACTCCAAGTTGAGATCGAAAACTTCCGCTTCTGGTAAAAGTCCTTGAGGGGTATGCAGGGGGAAAATGAAGTCATGGCTTCATGCACAACAATGGGTTGACATTTAGCCGAGTTGCACGACGGCGTGTCGAGAAACAAAAATCATGGGGACTCGGGTTCTGTCCAGTACGTATGACCGAGTCTGCATGAAGATTCATCGGCACCATGACCCATCCATGAAATCACCCTTCGTTCTGATTGAATTGAAGACAAAGGGAGAAGAAATGCGGAGCTCCCCCGCATGATAGAACAAACTATTCCTGCGATCGTCCCTCTAGTGGCCAAAATTGGACGGAAGAACGCTGCACGGAGATTATTTCTCCGTTTCCAACCACCGAGTCTCAATGTCGCATTAATGTTGATGCCTGGCAGTTCTGCCGACATTTCTCCGGACTATAAATACCAGAGTTGCCTAACACCTCCGAATACCTTAATCTTGATGTTTTTCAGCATGTTCAAAATTCCCTAACGGCTTTGAAGCGTTGATAACCATAACGCGATGCCGATAAAGCAATGGGATCTCCACGCCTAAAATCCTTCAACTTAGAAACCCACCGCCCTTGACAGCCAAAGACAGTGAGATCAGGGGTCTGCCCGTGTCGAAAGCCCCATACACTCTTGCATTTCAAGAGTCCTGTATGGCCGATGAATAATGGAGATGTGGATAACTTAGATATTTCATTGCGAATCAACATGGTGATGGAAAGTCCACCATTCCCGTCATCCGAGAATTAGAGGCTCGCTGGACATGAATGTACATCAAGGTGAGATTAACTGCAGAAGAAAGAAGGCCAAGGTCAACGGGGGTAGCCAATCGGATGACATACCTTTCTTAGTTCCTCTCTCTTTGTTTTCGAAGCTCATAGGACTACATCCTTATGGTCTTGCCGCCTCTATCTCTCTCTACATTTATGCCATCCTACGAGAGGTCCCAATTGTGAAGGAGAAAAAAGAGAAACAATTCCAGACTATCTCCGTACTGCAGACGAACGCATTACACGCCACCGATTACGAAGACAATGGATCATAAAACAATGCTCACTTCGAGCACCAACGCAACAGGAAACGAAAGCGGTCAACAAGAAAAGAGAAGAGGGGGAAGGAAAAAAAAAAAAAAAAAAAAAAAAAAAAAAAAAAAAAAAAAAAAAAAAAAAAAAAAAAAAAAAAAAAAAAAAAAAAAGGGATAAAACAAAAAAAAAAACCAAAAAAATATAAAAGAAAAGTCATCGAAGTGAAAGCGCCATCCAGTTAAAGAAGATCTCTTCCCCATGCCTGCACCTCTTGTCCTAAAAACCATTATCCTTACTAGTAAACATGAATGATCAAAAATCGGTGCACGCCACGTTCGGAGGATAGAACGACAGGGTCAAAGGAAAGCGAGATAAGCGAAAAGGCCTGTACACAGAATGGCGGTAGTTCCGGCGCGTCCCGGGCGCCCTCGCCCCCAGCCGGTTATCCGCACGCGATGGGGAGGTATTATCATATCATCGAGGTCATATATCGGTCGTGAGGCTTAGCACATCTCGCAGCATTCGATACAGTCGATACAGCATTCGCAGCTCTCTTCGCAAAGGAAACAACAACAAAGGGTAGCCAGACTGGCGGAAACAGGGGAATTTAGCCATGCGCACGGAGATATGCGGAGACGGATAACTCACCAGGCTGTGAGGCAGCCGCGATCACTTTTCCCTCCGCGATTGTCCTGGCCTTGGTTTGGATTTTGTGGTGGCGGGTATGCCATGTTCTGCACAGTTGTCAGTCCGTCACCCCTCAGAACCGTACCCGAGTATCACGTACTGGTGGTGGTGGTTGAGCGTATCCTCCCTGGGGAGGCTGACCCTGATAAGCATAAGGTGGCTGCGGGGGCTGGGGAGGATGTCCGTAGCCGTTGCCGCCTGGGGGAGGCCCGTAGCCGCCTGGGGGAGGTCCGTAGCTATCGGGAGGTCCGTAGCCTCCGGGAGGATGTCCGCCGTAACTGTTTAGAGTACCGAGTTAGTATAACTGTCAGTGGCTCGGTCAAAGCATCTGTGAGGTATTCTCCGAACGGTCCGCTCGCTCGCTCGCTCGCTCGCTACACGGGCTAACGGACGGTTTAACATTGAATAAGTCCCTTAGACGGCCGCCTTAACCAACCGCGATGTCGTCTCCGACACTGTACATCGGAAACTCGGTCGCGAACGAAGAAGGGAAGAGAAAAGCGGAGAGAGCAATGGGCCACTTACGTAGGTTGAGGCGGAGGAGGGCCGCCGTATGGTTGTTGATAACTCATGGTGATTGAGAAACTGTTGGATGGCAGAGCGATTGTCGCACCGGTCAGCAATGGAACGATCGATCAATCCAACCTCAAGTGATGAAATCGGTTGAACGAAAAAAATTAAGATGATGGGGAAGAGGCTCTCGTGGGCACGGGGAGAGCCAATGAAAGGGGGGGAAACACACCTAAGAAATGCCAAGTAAGAACGGGTCGAACAGAGACAAGGAAACCAGCGAAGGGCCAAAAGAGAGGGGGGGGGG